CTAAACCTAAACCTAAACCTAAACCTAACCTAACCTAACCCTAACCCCCCTAAACCTAACTATTAAAAAAAAAACAAATTTAACTTGATTTATTATTAGTTTTTTTATACTTTATAAAAAACTAATATAAATAATTGTGATTAATTCCTTAAAATACTGATATTTTATTGTAAAATATAATACATAAAATAATAAAAATTAATAAATATAATTGTTTTATATATTGTAGTAAAAAGATATTCTTTTGAATAATTATTTCTTTATACTATTAATATTTGAATTAAAGAGAACATAAAGAGCTAAATGAAGAAAAAGAAAAGTATTGGAAAGAAAAATAGATGAGAAATAAGGAAATCTTTTCAATTTAATTTGAAAATTTTTTTATAAAAATAACTACAAATCTCGTTACTAGCAAATAAAGGCTATGATAATACTAAATATAATAAAACTATAATGTATATTGAAGTAAATTTTATAATAATGAGGTTTTATATTTATAATAAATTAAATTATATTATATATTGAACTTATAATTTTTTTTATATCAATTGAAATTGTCCGAATAATTTCATAAATTCAATAATTTATACTTCTATAGTACTTTTTTTATTATTTTAATAAAAAAAAAAGTTGAAGGGTTTTAGATATAATTTAAATTTATAACAGGATTTTATATTTTAAGTTTTTTTTTTTATAATTTAATTAAATCACTATTTATAATTACCTAATTTTTTTTAGAATATATAGAGTTGATTATACAATCTTCTATTATTACCATTAAATTATTACAGAAGAAAAAAATTAAAGCTAAATTATATACAACTTATTTTATAAAAGATATTTAGAATATAGTCTAATAATATTAAGAAATTTTATATAAATAAACATAACTTTAAATACATATAATATTAATATATTAATTATTAAGTATCTTATTAAATATATTTGAGGTATATTAAATTCATATATTTAAATTATATTGAAATAGTGCAAACATAACAGTATAAATTATACTCAATAAAAAAAATACTATGAACTCACTTTTTTTTTATTTTGTTTTAATATTCTAGAAATTTGGTAATCTGTCGTTATTTAGTATCCATTTTTCGGGATATCATTATCTGAACATGTATACATACCAATATCAAACACATAAAAATTTACTTCAATTTTCTAAAAATAAACTATTTAGTAATTTATATCTAATTTCCTTATTATTTAAAAATTAGTAATACCCATCTTTATTTTTCCTGATTTATTTGTAATATTAAGTTGGATTGTTGCTAAAACTGTATCTACTGCAAATCCCATCGAAATAAAAATAAATTAGAATTAATTCCACTTTAATATTATAATAATTAGAATAATCGAATTAAATTATTGAAAAATCTCAATAGACATTAGACTTAATTCAAAATTGTATCTATAATGAATACCCGTGATAATTTTGAAGCTTATATTTGTAATCAGATACACATTCTATACTTTCACTTATAAAATTTGAAATTAATAAACTTTCTTCTTTAGCTAATATATTCCTAATATTCGTATCATTTCTATAATTCTTTAATTTAGTTTCCATAGGCATGTCAATATTTTAAGTAAGCATGACATAGTATAAAACAGCTTAACAAATAACTCAAAACTAAGATTATCAATAGAATAATATACTAATAAATTTATCACAAGAATTATTGCATGATTATTTTCTTATTTGATCCATCGTATATTCATGAAAATGATCTAGAGGGGTATTTTTAGGGAAGTATATAATGATTCCAAATATTTTTTTTTCCATTTCAGAAGAAACTAGTTTTATAAAATCAGAATTCTTTCAAGTATTAAATCTGTATATAAATATAAAGAAATAGATGACCATTTATCCAAATATTCACTTAATATTTTTATATTTTTTTCCATTTATAATAATGTAATTTAAATTATCTCTAAATATTAATATTTCTACTTTGGGTTGAACACATACTTTTAAAAATTTTTGAAAATTGTCATTCTTTACATATTTAGCTAAGCATTCAGATATTATGAATATTTTAAATATAAATATAATTGACTTTATCATTATATAATTTAATAATGTAATAATAATATAGAGTCGTCTTCACACAGTACAAAGTGATATTTTAGTGTAGTTTTCATTTAAATATAATTATTTTTAATAAATCATTTTATAATGAAATTCGAATATTCCAATAAATAATACATTATATTTTTTCACAGGGTAATATATAATTTAGTTACTAAATGTTTATAAACTTAAATATATTAGAATATAAATATTTTTTCTAGTAAAATTTATTATATATTATTATTTTTTTTTCATAATATTATCTAAATTTATTTTATGATTGATTAAAGTTTATATATGTTGTATAAATACACCCTATTAGTTTAATTACACATTCAATACAATATAAATTGTATATTGACAAGTATATATCTTAGACATTAATTTTAGTATCTTATTAAAATAACGTATAAATTGTAAATTTCTTAATTTCAACTTAATAAAATAATAAACCATATCAAACATTTAAATTCCTTTCTATCTAGCTTATCTAAAAAAAATCAATCCAACTACAAAGTATTACCGATATAATTATTAATTTTTCTAAAAACCTTTAAACAATATCTTGAAAAACATCACTTAAAATGAAGCATTAAACAAATAAATATATTTATTACTTAAAATGGTATCATTAGTTCATTAAATCAAAATATCAAAAACTTCAATATTAAGAAAATATTCAAAATTTATTATTTAGGTTAAATTGATAACACAACTCAATTTTTCTAATTGAGTTGATATGCCTCCTGACATCTGATGACGTTCATATTTTACTTACTATATGGTCTAGAAATTCATATAAAAAACCATTAAACTTTAAACCAAAAATTCTTGAAGTTCTATTTATTTCAAAATACACATATCTAAACAAAAAATAATGACTCACTTTTTATTTCTAATCGATTCGACATACTTCCTGGCCTCTGGTAAATTAAGTTCTTCTGCACCTGGTAACATTTCACTTCTTTCATAATTTACTATGCATCCTAGAAATCCATATAAAAAACCATTCAAATTTACACTAAATTTTTTTGAGATATTTTCTAATGATCTTTCCCTAAGACCAGAATTTGTAAAAAAATAACGTATGCCAGTATGATAAGATCCTTCAAGTGAAGAAACTTCCATTAGTAAGTATAGAATTAGAAGAGATAAACTTGCAGATTGCATTCTAGGTAAGAAAAAAAGTAAAAATGACGGAAATTCAAAAGAATCGGAAACTCCTGATCTATATAATTCGATCATTGCTAGACAACTTAAATTTCCAAATGTTTGTGGTGATCTGATAGGAAATATGAATGGTATTGATAAGTTATGTGATACTAAAGTTGAGCCTCTTTCTGTAAATAATCTTGGAGATCCATTATTACATTGAGTAATATACCGAGTTAATGATTCATGTGATTCAGCAGTTAGAAAGTCCCTAAGATTTTTATTACCAAGAAACTCGTCAACTCTCTTTTTCATATCTAGACCAAAAAATACGGAATTAGTACAAAATATAACAAATAGTAAAACAATAGCTTTCTGAATATAACTACTTAGTCCATATGTTAATGATATCAAGTAGATCATAAAATTAAGAGTATTGTCGCATTTTTGAATTTTTAGCACTTTAAATACATGTTGACAATGAATGGCCTTCTTAACTATAGGTGGATTATATGGATATGCTTTGTTTCTCATAGCACTCATTTGTGTAGAAGCTTTAACAAATGCAAGTTCAAATTTATCTTGAGATTTTTTATTGTGATAAAAAAAATCAAATATTAAATACCAAAGTCCAATATATTTTCTCTCTAAATTTCTATGATGAAACCATAGCTCTGTTTTAAGAAATCTTGGATTCTTTGTAAACAAGTCTATTTCATTGACACCTATTAAGAAATGGCCAATCAAAGGTTTTGGAAAATCTTGAACATCTGTGACAGTTACTTCAAAAAAATCTGAAATTTGTGAACTTGGAGTTTCCAGTGAACCTGGACTTTCCAGTGAACCTGGACTTTGTGAACTTGGAGTTTGCGGTGGACTTGAAATTTGTAGTGAAGTTGGAATTTGTAGTGAAGTTGGAATTTGTAGTGAAGTTGGAATTTGTGGTAAATTTTCAGCTGCAAATGTATAATCCAAGTAATTTAGTGAAATAAATAATATATATATTAAATAACCCATAAATAAATTATAAAATACCTCCTTAAAGATAACTTATTATCAATAGTTTTAAAATTGAAGGCCCTTAATAGTAATAATTGAAAGTAAATAAGTACATTGTGTGTTGTGTGATCTTTTATACTACTTATCTACGTCTTCCCAAATTTATTAAAAAAGTTTATTATTTCATATTTAATTGATTTCCTATATATATATATATATATATATATTAAAATTGATATATTCTAATATAATGCATTTAAAAGTTCGAGATAATATTTTTACTTGATTAGGTAATTTTATTATTTTAATATTTTTAATTGCAGACTTCACTATAAGACACCTTGTAACTTAATTTTCTTTACATATATTTTATTTTCAATAATTTTATGGTTAGTAAATCCTAAATTATCTGTAGCTTTTATTTTCCCATTTACTATACCAAATATATTACTTTAAAATTTTAGATTATTAACAATATTAAATCTTTTTTTCAAATCAGAATTGGGTATTAATTAATTGATTAAGGTTATATTATTATTAAAAATGATTTTTATAGATAACATTATATTAGATCATTTTTATTTTTGCTTATTGTGGAGTATTTTTACTAAATTACTTGTTTGGGATTAAAAATAAAATAAGCTAGGATATGTACAATAAATTTTTTATAATATTTGCAACCTAATATGTTTTGAAATATTTAGATAAACGTAATTTAAAATAATTAGGTATACTAGTAATATGTATAATAAGGAAGAATTGAAATCTTATTAATAAATATTTGTAATTTTTAATTTACACAAAATTTATTAAATAACAAGATAGGCTGTTTTTTTTTTCAAAAAAAATTAAATATCTAAAGTAGCTATGATGTGTCATTACATGAAAAAAATAAAAAATAAAAAAATTCACGCTTATATTTTCAATTTTATTAAAATTAGTCATACAATACATTAAACATTTCAAGTTTGAACTAGATATTAAGGTTAATATTTCTTAAAAAGATCTATTATTTTATAAATATGTATGATATAGATTTTCAGTTTTTTTCTTATAGAGCAGATATTTATTAGATATTATAAAATTTTATACTTTTTAAGATTTAAGAGTTGTAATATTTGAATTTGGTGATGGCTCCCACGAATACATGAAACCATATTCAATAGTAGTCCCCTTAGCTGTATCTATTTGTTCTTCATTTATACCTAATATTATTGTCTTATTATTATCTGTGTTTCTTAAACTAGATACAAATTTTCCAGCTTTAGCAGTAGTATTAGTATCTTTAGATATTGTTGGTATTGATGATTCACCTTCAATATAAATAAATCCTGAATGAGCACGAGAAACTTGACTAGTAAGATTTGTAACATTTGGTAAGATATTTTTTAGCTTATTTGAGAATCCATACCATGGATTCACAATAATTGGTAATTTTTGTGCTAAAGAAATATTTCCTACTAAAGCATATTCACTAATAGCAGAACATTGGCATTGTATTTTAACTTCACTTAATATTGAAGAAGAATTAATTTGGTAAGTTTCACATTGTTGAGTAGACCAATAGTTATCTACGAGAACAGCACATTGTAACTGAGTAGTATTTGTAGGTACTGCTAAATTAAGTTCTACAGTAAATGATACAGGTGATGGCAAATTTGAAATTGTATAATCAATTGAGCAAACATATACAGCTGCTGATGCAACAGTTATTTCAACATATTTATTTGTAGGTGCCACATTATTAATAATATTACTTATAGCAGTAGATGGTATAGTAGTAACTGCAAAAGTTAATGTATTATTTGGACATGAAGGTATCCAATATGAATCAACATAACCTTCATTATAGAATTTTGGATTCATTTGCATAAAAATAGATTGTATCAAGTGATATTTGATGGTATTTATTAATTTTATAGAAGGAATTTTTAAAGATCCCACTTTAATTCCAGATTCTAATTGTATAGGAGATATTGTTTGAGAATTAAATTGCAGATTAGATTTTGGTCCTAACCATTGGAATGAATCACCAGGTCCACTAAAGAAAGAAAGTCTATTTCCAACTGCTTGTGTTAAATAGAATAATATTTTTTGATATTGCTTATTATCATTGAAAAAATTCCATCCATTAGTAGCTGCTAAAAGATCTATTGTTTCAAGTAGTAAAAATTTGAAACCAGGATTATTGGCACATTCTGCATTAAGTGTATTGTTTGCAATTGTAATAAATGGTCTAAGAGTATCAATATTACTTTCTGGATTATCATAGGCTGTTTGTAATATTAAATTAATAATATTAAAAACCATCAATTTAGATGCTGAGAAATCTGCTGCTGTTGGAGTTTGTTGTTCTTCTATAAGCATTTTAAATAATATATCATAATAAGTGTCCCATACAAGATTTTGTGTAATAGGCTGTGAAAATAAGGCAATACCAATTTGTAAAGCATCAATTAAATTTAAATATGTAATTTCATGAGTTGCAACTGCAATTAAATCTTGAATTTGTTGATTAGAATCATATGGATTCATTTTAATTTGAACTGATGGGCATATAGGTCCAATCTGAGTATTATTATATGTACAATATGGTGTAATATAATTTTGTTTAACTGATATATCACATGGTATTAAGCATCCACTATTAGATGGTGTTAAACCTCTGACAAAAATATACCAAATAGGTACTATTGATGGAAGCCTTATTGATTGTTGAAGTAATTGCAGACTATCCCCAAGTATTAGTATTTTTGATGATGAGGATATGATAGGATCTGATGAAGCTATTAATCCTATTGTTGGGAAGAATGAAGATTGTACTTGCGTAGGGAATGCTAATTGAGATATCCAAATATAATTAGTATCACTAATAGATGATGAATTTACATTAGGACTTAAGACTTTCACAGTTCCTAAATGAGGAGGCATATCAGCACTTATATAATATAAAAATTGTCCAATACCTTTAGGAGGTGATGTTGGAATTTGATTAGCTAATGATCCAAAACTTATAGGATTAATTGAAGTATTCATAGATGATGGAATTGCATAGAAAACAATAAAGCAATTTATATTTTGATCAGCAAATAATGAATATGGTTTAATTATAGCAGATATTGTAACCTTATTTGGAGGTATCATATATGAAGCTTGGAGTTTATTTGGAATAGTTGTAAGTTTCATTGTATTATATCCATCGCAAACTAAATATGATGTAAATATAATCATAGTTTGAAGATCTGTAAAAAAATTTGAATCATTTATTTGAATTTGAACACTAAATGTTTTGTTAGTATTTAAAAATGGTATAGTTCCAAAATAATGAGAACTTTGTATATGATCCCAAGGATTTACTACAGATTCTATAAGAAATACTTGGGGTATAGAAGTAGGAAACATTGGAAGTTCTGATAAATATGCACATGTTTGAGCTTTTAAGAACCACTGAGGATAATTATTAGGATATGTAATTGATTCAACCCACCATCCTATTTCTGAATATCCATATACTGTCATTGGAGTAGTAGTATTTTGAATAAATAATAATGGTGTAGTTTCAGAATAATGGCCATTAGTTATACTTGTACTCCATAAAGTTGTAGTAGATGAACTATTTTGAAGTGTATATGGTATCTGAGTTTCATTTAATACACAATTTACTAAAGGACTGTCTTTAGTTATATTCATACATATTTCAAATGCTTGATCTTTTAGGGTTGTTGCACCATATATTTGAGTAACTGGTTTTTTTGTTGTATAACATTGCCATTTAACAGATACATCTGTCATTTCAACAGGTAAAGGTATAAACCTAGCACCTCTACATCCTGATCCTGCACCCAATGTATTATAAGAACCATACATTCTTTCAATATACTGTTGAGATATAGCATAAAATGATCCACCAGGTGTAATTGTTTTAGTAGGGTTAAAAAAATAAGAGGTTGGCCAAATTATACGAGGACCTTGAATAAATATACCATAAAATAATTGATTGACTATAGATACACCTGGATATTGTCCTACTATTCTTTTATAATAGTCATTTTTATTTTGATTTGGTGTGCCTAATCCTATATATGATACAGTTTGAAGTATATTAGTTATCAGGCCTGGTTGATCAAGTGCAGATTGAAAATATCCTTTAAAATTAAGAGGAGGTGGATAATAAGGAGTTTTATATTTTACACTATTATTAAAAATTTGTGAAGAGCAATAACCAGTGTTTGTAAAACCATAGTTATCAATTGAAGGAACTAATGGATATGTACCATTATAAAAACAGCCACCAATAAAATTATTTTCAATAATAGTAAATGGAGGACCTGTATTATTTAATATTCCAGTAATATTTGGAGGATTCATTACAATATATTTGTTAAAAAAGCTATATGTTTGGAGGGTATTACGTTGAAATAAACTTCTTGAATTATTTTTTTGAAGATAGGTTAAATCACCTGGAAAACTTGAGTTCTTAATTGTTGCTCCCAAAGAATATGGAGCTGTTGGATAATAAAATACAAAACTATTTGAACAATTTTTTTCTAATTCTACAGGAAGTCTTGTTGGAGGGATCACTCGAGCAGGTGTTACAGTATATGGTATATTTGTATAGCCCCATGTAACAGCTGCTTTATTAAATACGGCTGTTACGTTATTATAATAAGGTACAACTTTCATCTGATATACTGGAGTTATTACAGGTAAAAAACCAGCTAAACCTGTTTTAGGTGGTATCCACATTGAATTTTTTGAGTTTGCAGTAGTATTTGATAAATCAGCTATTGTAATGTTAAATCCATTAACATAATAATGTTCACCTTTTGTTCCTATTACGATATCTTTTGGAAGAATATATTCAGGTAAAAAAACCTTGTATATTATTGGTAATGTAACAGTTGTATTAAATAGGGGAGCTAAATTAAATACTGATGGTAAATTATACCAAGTTTCACTGTACACATGAAGCGATAACCAATCATATGAGCTTGTTCCATTTATACTATACTCTGAGCTTGTAAAATAAGGAAATAAGCTTTGAATCATTTCACCAGTTACATAATATGTTAGATTTGTATATGTATAAGTTTGAATAGCAGTTGGAGATATATTATTTAATATTTCTGTGAATGCATTACATACTGGTAATATTGTAGCAGAATTACTAATCGACAAAGGTCCATATTGAGTATTAATTTGAGATGTTCCATTAATTAAATTTTGATTGCAAGAAAATTCAACTGAAACTGGATCTGTTATATTTAAATTTCCAATTGTTATTGTAATTGGGAATATAAATTGACACTGAGTTACTACAGGGGGATTTGATGATGCACCCCATAGAGTTTCATAATATGGTGGTGTTGGTTGTGGAGAATCAACATTATCTCCATATGGTGAACCTGATTGTGATAAATATGGTTCAACACTTCTTTCTGGATATGGTTTTGGTTTAATTTGACAAACAGTAGGACATATCTCCAAAATTAGTATAATACCCAGTACTAATAGATATATAAAGAATCTCATTTTATTTATATATAAATATTATCTTTAATTTAATAATGAAACTTAAATATATTGTTAAATATTTGTTACACTTTTACTGCATTTTTAATACATGTGTTTTTGTTAACACACCTTTTTGTCAAAAGGAGGCTTGGGACGACAATAAATTGTAATAGCCGCTGCTTACGCGCCTTAAATATCGTTATGACCCGCATGCGCCAAAAACAGTTATTAGGACTTTTTTGACTTGTTAAAGTAAATAGTAATAATGCTAAAATTAATACTTTATGGATAATCTCGAGGCTTTAATACATTCAAAAAAAAAGGAGATTAGTGACAAATTAGGTATGCTGAAATATTTTAATCCATTAATATAGAGGAATTGTATGACTATATTAATTAATACTATTTTACTTTTATTATTATAGGCAAGAAGAGCTGGATATCTCGTGGTAAATTACGTAAGATAGAAGAGGAAGAGCTTTTAAAAAAACAAAAAGAAATAGATGCAAAGAGAAAGTTATCAGATGATATAGAGGATGAAATCAGTATTGAAGTTAAGGAACGGAAAAAAGATAATGAATATTTAGATGTACTAGATGAATATAACAAAACTACTAAGACAATACCTAGTAAGTTTGACGTAATATATCATTTAAGGCTTTTAAATGAGCCTGCAACATTATTTGGGGAAAGTGATGAAGCTAGATATAATAGGCTCCGTAAGGCTGAGTTAAGAGGACAAGCAAATATTGAATTAAAGATTGGGCAACAAAATACATATTTAGAAGGTTTAGGAACAAGGATGCCACTTTATTCAGTAAATAATGATAAAGAAGAAGAGATAAGTATTGTTAGTGAAGATATTAAGCAAGAGAACAATGAATCTAAAGGTGAATTTGTATTGCGTTGGATTTCAATTCAATTGGAAGAGTTGAAAAAACAATTAAAAAATAGAAGTATTGAAGAAGCTGAAAGTAATAAGGGAAAACAAGAATCAGCTCAATATTACCAGACTGAGAGAGATCTGAAGCCATTAATAAGATTATTAAGATCAGAGTCTCAAATGGACAAAGAAGTTTTAGATAAGCTTTATGAAATAGTACAATATTGTTGTTCACGTGAATACATTAAAGCTCATGATAAATACATAGAATTGGCTATTGGAAATGCTCCATGGCCAATGGGGGTTACAATGGTTGGTATTCATGAAAGAGCAAGTCGTACAAAAATCTTTTCATCACATATAGCTCACGTTTTGAATGATGAAACAACACGCAAATATATTCAAATGTTTAAGAGATTAATAACACATTGTCAAAGACAAAGACCAACTGATCCTTCTAAAATGGTTTTGATTGGAAAGTTTGAACATAAATTGAATAAATAAATAGCATAGGGATATATCTATAGTACTATTATTTAGTAAAATGTATTATTTTTACAATTATTCATGTACACTTATATATCTAATAGTAAGAATTATATGTAAATATTTGTAGAATTAATGAAGTATCTTTTTCTCTTTAATTTATTCTTGTTAATTATAGGAAGAAATGTTGGATTAGTTAATAGTTCTGTTATTTGTATTTTCAAGATTTCCAGTTTCGCATCTTTCAGCCTCATCTGAATTTAGACATTTCTTCAGTCTGTCCCAAAAAATAAGACACGTGTAAAATAAAACTTGCATTAGAATAATTCTATACTCATAGCCTAAATCTATCCAAAACCATCCAGTTCTTTGTGGCCGAATTCTCATAAGTGATAGGTGTCCTCCTTCATATAACACAAGAAGATATATAGGATTAGACCATTTATCAGTAATATTTTGACAATCATCTCTACCAAATGAATTAATTGGTAAAAAGGAAACATCAATAATTCTTCTTTTAATAGCTGAAGATTTACTAAGATCTTGATGTTCATATGGAATTGGTTTTAGTTCATAAGGTTGCATCCATCTATTTTGTCTTTGAATTTGAACAAATAATCTTCTATGTTCTGTTATCATTGCTACAGCTCTTCCATCATGAGATATGGCTATTGATGATAAATCTTTTGTATATGACCAATATTTGTCAAATACACGTGAAATTTTGCTATCTTTTAAAATTGCATCATATTGTGATGCATTAAAATTTGCTTGGGATAATTCAATAAGAGATTTAGATTTGGTATTTGTATTTCCTTTTAGATTTACAGCTCCTATAAAAAACAGGTAGGCATAAACAATATAACCAAAATCTCTAGTAATATCAAGTAGAGGATATCGTACAACTCTATCATCATTTGCACTATAAACTCTATTTTTTGATTTAGTATATAGGCAAGATGATAAATCTTCACAGTTATCAGAATATTCAATGAATTGTAATTTATCTGTAGAAATGGATTTAGGGAAAATAAACATATGCCTTATTAATGGATAACTTTCATACCAAACAGTATTTATTGAAGACTTTGACTCATCAAGATGGAATGTCTTAATATGATGTACAAGTCCAACTTTGTTAGATTCAATCTGAATTGCTAACACAGATTCCTGATCAAGTAACTCATTCTTTATTGATGAATTTGGAATATCAGGACTTTTAGTATTAATAGAGCTTGCTCCTATTTTACTTGAGAAATTAAAAGATTGTAATAGAATAATATCTGAAGAAAAACTATTAGATCTATTTACTTTTGGTCCATCTGTCTCAATAGGTAGTTCTGGTACCAGGCATGATTCTTCAATAAGAATCCCATTTGTATTTCTACATGTAGTGTTACTTAATGATTTTTCATATATATCTCTAAGCATGTCGTATGTTACAGTTCTTCTGAAGGTGAATATATCACTGTGTCTACTATAATATATTCTTCGTGATCCCATTGAAAACGCAGTTACATCCGTATTACCTGGAAATCTGAAGAGCATATGATTATTTAAATGAGTACCATTATTAACTTCTCCCTTTTCATTGTAAATATTATACATAGATAAAAACCACTGAGCTGACTGGTCTACAATCTTTCTATATACAATAGCAGTTTTCAGTGTTGACTTGTCTACATACATAGTAACTTGTTGACTTTCAATAGATCTCTCCATTATCATTTCCCACTTCTTATCATTGTTGCATTTTGATCTAGATAGAAAATAAATTAAATCATATAGCAATACTACAGGGTCATTCTTATAATCAGAGCCAGTTTTGATTGAATCTGATTCTGATGATATATCAAATCTTATATGTCGTCCAATACCCTTGTGGGTCCAACGTAAAAAATAATTAAGATTTAGGATCCACCCAAGATACCGAAGAATTTTAATAGATAAGCCTTCATATAGTTTAAAATTACTAAGTTGTATCAACCAACTACTAGGAAAACACTTTACATAATCTTTATAAATTCCAGATGTTTGCTCATTATTTCCATAGTATATTGGGCATACACCCATAATTTTATTTTCAAATATTTTTATTGAAGCAGTACATCTATTATAAAAGGAATTTGATAAAACAATAGATTGTTCAAATTCACTTATTACATCATCATATATTGATAAATCTGATAAATATACAAGCCACTTATATATTCTAGTAATAAAGCTTCTTTTTAGCCTGTAAATTAGCTTTAAAAAGATATTTTCACATATAGTATAATTATACAAAATAAGGCTCTTAGCTAACTCTTGATAACTCCAAAATAATCTCACCATCCATCGGTATAATGATATAAGATTTTTAAATAAGAGTTTCAGTCTTCCAGAATTACCAACTTCTAAATTACTATTACGCCTTTCAAATAGATATAGAAGAAGCCTAAGTTGAATTTTAGTATTTAAGTAATTTTGATACATTATTTTTACTGCCTTATCTTCATGTACTTTAAGAAGGTCCTCATCAGAAAATCTTGCTAGCCATGCAGATATACTTACTATAATATTTGATGATTTTTGTTCTATATTATTAAATAATTTTGAAATATCTTCATCAAAAATTTTCTTATTATTTAAATTTTGAGAATCTATATTTAGCAAAATATCACAAGCCAGTGAAAATTCCCTAGATTTGCAAATAAAAGAAAGTTGCCTTAAGAAATTATCAACACTTTCAAAGGCAATTGACTCATTTTTTAATAAAATTTTACTATTCTCAAAAACTCCTGATTTCGAATATCTATAGTTAGTATATTTTCTTAATTCAGAATAATTCAAATTTTTAAATTTCTTAAGATAGCTATACTCCAATTCTCTATATTGTTGAAAAAAGTGTTCATCTGCTTCAGAAACATATAAATCCCATAGAAACCTTGTAAAGGGAGCTGTTTGATTATAATTTCGATTAGGATAATTCATTGTATTATAAGATATTAATTCAGTAATAATATTAGGGGGAAAAATTGAAGGATCATTAGAAATTGAAGAAGTTAATAATTTTATCGTTGAAAAAGCTAAAACTTCTCTTAATGATTTCCTATAGATTCTCATTGTTGATTTATTCTCATTATCCGAGGTGGCACCATTCAAATTTTTATTTGAGTAGCCATTCCTAGTTAATACAAATAAATAAACATAGCGATAGTCTTTGTCAACCCTCAAAATACATTGTGATTTTCTTTCTACGGTACATTCATCTATTGTAAAAAATTCACTTGTCTTATTATTTAAGTATTCATTAAAATTAAGAATTTCCGTCTCTATATTCTCTAAACTATTCTGAAATTTACTATTTCCAGAAGTAGAAATTTTGCTATATATTAAATTATGTTGAAATATTCTTGTTAATTTTTTGAATACTTTCTTAAAACGATTGCTATATGTACTTGGCATCAATATAATATTATGACCATAGTCTTGTATATCAAGCTTCATAAAATTATTTTGATACAAGTCCATACCAAAATTACTTTCTGTATTATTACTTATATTTTCATTGTGAATATCTTGCCATTTGGCAACTCTTCGTTTTATTGCATTCCACAATTGTGGTTGATTCTTACTCTTTTTTGTACTAGTCATTACTGATATATCCCTTATTTGTCCTTGATTATTTCCTGACAAATTGTCAATATCCATTCTTAATGATTCACTAATGCTTGTATCCAAGTACAAAATTTCTGCGTCGATTAAACTTGGTAGATCATCTTCACTCATCAAATTATAAAGTGAAGCTATTGAAAGTGCACCAAATAATAAAAATAAACTCAAGTGAAGCCATGCATTAATATTCATTTTATCTATTAATTAAAAGCATTATGGACTTCCATACAGAATTTAAGTATTATAGACTAGTTGGTAGCTATCCTAGCCTACTATTAGAAAACAAACCTAGTAGTATTGCGGGTACGTGACGAAACCCTACAAAAGTAGTAATGTAATTCTATAGATCAACAAAGACATTTTGATTATTCTATTAAAAATTGCTATTTACTTATTATATTATATTTAATATACACTAAATATTACTTTTTTCTTCTTTTTTCTCCTCAGAAAACTACAAATATTTCTTGTATATTTGAGATTATAAAAATACCTAAATAATATTTTAAATAAGCCTAAAATTTAGACATTATAGTTATTGAACAAATTATATTGTAATACAAATTCTCTTTGAAATTCTGCATCCTGAAATTACTTTTTACCATATGGCGGGATATACCCATAGGCTTATGGTACTGCATGAAATAAGTAAGCTACAAAATTAATACCTTTGAGGTAATATAAAGTACTCGGCAATTTTATTAACATATTTATATGAAAGTAGATGGTAACTCTGATAAATATGAATCTGATGAATACTTAAGAGAGTTGGGGTTAAATGAAGAAGAGATTGATTTATTAAAGTGCACCATAGATACTCTAAGATCTCTAACATATACACTAAAAAATGTAAATATTTCTAATAAATTCAAGATATCTTGTGAACTTTTGCAGTTATATAGTGCAATAAAACAGGACTTCCTTGGTGATTTTCCAGCTATTATTTTCGCATCATATAGCAATTACTGGGACGTTTTAACAATGGGATTAGAAATGTGCTGTTGTTCTAACAAGGTTATGGAGGAATCAAATTTGGATATATCATCAAGAAAATACTTAGAATATACTCCGTACTCATATTCTATTGAAAGTTCACCAAATTTATATGAAAACTCTTATTTTGAAGATCATGGAAATAATAGTAAGAATGATTGTTGTTGTTTAAATATAAAACAAACCATATTAGATCTTACAGCGCATACAGTGAATATGATAAGTTTATGGATTGATTCAAGCATCTGTAAAGATCAGTTTATTGGCTCATTGTACAATATATTAGTGAGGTTTTCACTAGTAATACTACCAAGATTTTTAAATTCATGCATTTCATTTTCTCTTAATCATGACTGTATGTGTAAATTACAATGGCTGATAAAATTTCATGAAAATTCTTTGAATAGTATATCTAGATATTGGAATAAAAAATTAAAATTATGGACATCACTATATAATTTTGTATATTGTTCTTGTAGATATAATGAAATATTTGTTATATTAACAACTAATAATGTTCCAAGTATTTCTAATATAGAAATTGATAATATAGAGAGTTTATTGGAGGAATCTATATTTTTTCTGGTAAACACTTTTAATAATATATATAAATTAGGTCAAATAGGACTCAAGATTTTTATTGTTGCATCATTTTCAGATATTTTAACTTGTTTTGTAGAATATACTTTGAAATTATTAATAATTAAATATGGAGATAATTCAGATATTAAATATAAAGAGAAAGCAAGGTTATTATTAAATTTTAAACAGGAAATACCAAATATTGAAGATTTAAACAAGAAAAGGGCTTCATTTGGATTTGATGAAGTTAAAATTAGCAGTGAAAATATTAATACTGATTACATTAAGATGGATGACCATATTCAAGACTGGATTGGTTTAACTAAAATTGGAGATGAAAAGATCAATCATAATGATAATAAAATAAAATTTGACAATTTTTCAGGATTTAATAATAAAAATTTGAAGTCTAATGATCTATCAAATAATTCGAGTGATTCCAAATTTAATAGTACTGATATTAGTCATCTTTCAATATTGGATTGTCTTATCTTACTTGCTTATAATGAAAACCTGATTGAAATAGACTTATTATATAATAGAGAAATCAAGGGAACATTTCGTAGTATGGTTTATAGTATATTTAAAGATTTGGCTTTAGAGTCAGAGTCTTACAAACTAGATGATCTTAGCTTTCTCAACAGTACGTTAAATATGGCACATTATATCAAAAAGTGTTGCAATATAAGAGAAAATAAGGAAATAGATGATTTTAAAGACTTTAAAAGTCAAATAAATTTGTTCATTAATAGTCCATCTCACTTGGTAGCTGCTACAATTTTTCTATGTAGTCGGATTAAAGATGTATCTTTATTAACAAATTACTTCGAATTATTATATAAATGTTTGGTATCAAGTAAAGATTTTTCTAGTCATATTGTGATCCCATTATATCTAAGGTTATTATTTGAGTCTTTAAATGTATTAAATGTTGAAAGCAATTATGTTGAAGTTATATTTAAAATTTTATTGGGAAACATAGAAAATGAAGAGCTATATATATTGAGTCCATTTCAATGGATCCAATCTCTGATTATTTATACAAAAAGTGTACATGGAACAAGTGTATCTGCAATTATTTTAAATTTTCTTGAATCATGGACTAGCAGGGCTTTCAGCATATACAATACTGATATTGGTATAAATGATAGTATTTCGATTAATCAAAGAAATGAACTTTCTTCTTGTATTACTATTTGTGGAATTTGTCCTAATATTGGAGATATTTTTAATGAGTTGAAATTAAGTAGAGTTGATAATTTAACAAAAAATTGTTGGATTCTACTGAAGTACTTTAATAAAAGTATTAGCTATAGGAATGATGCTACAGCTAGGCTCCTTAAGTGTTTTAACCTGGAAGCTAATTTTTCAGATCCTCTTGATATTAATCGACTTAATACTTTACCGGAAATATCTCAACGCTTTTGGATTTTGGAATCAGCTTCATCATTTAGTCAGCTTTTTTTCGCACTAAATCTAACACAAGAAGATCCTAATAGTTCAACTATATCTCCATTAGTAACCCCAGATATTTCCCAATTATCTAAATTCCTTTCAGTTTGTAGCAATAAAAGAATTCAAATCTCGATTAGATTATCTGCCCTAAACTCTCTATGTGTAGCATTAACAAGTTCAAAATTCACAAGTCAAATATTTTTTATATTGGTGGATGAATTGATCAAATTAACCTTAATTTTCAAATGCAAACAATTTTATTTTATTAAAGAGGACCAAGATCAAAATATCAATGAAACTGGGGTTGAAAATTTAGATTTAGATGGACTTTCAGGAATTGCAGATATGGTTCAGAAACATGAACAAATACTCCTATATCATCTAACTCTTTCTTTAACAGCAATATTCGTATCCAGAGCAAACTATAAAACTTTTAGATATTTTATTTTAAATAATTATGGTTTATTGTTAATGGAACATCTTATTCCATGGATATTTTCTAATTCCATACATTGTAGAACAAGTTCATCATCAGTTTTGATAGTTTTAATACTATTTTTTTTATATAGTGACGAACAATTTCATACAAAAAGTACAAAAAGTGTATCTGATGTTTGGCCTATAATAGAACTGAATAATACAAACAATAAATTAGATATCCCCACATATATATATAATATGTTAATTCTTCCTGGTTTCGTTAGACCATTAGAAAATAACCAGAAAAGAGATTATACTAAAAATAGATCTAACGACATGGATATTTTAAATATTAACAGCTCAAGTTTCACTTTAGAGTTTCCATTATTCAGTCAATCACTTGATATATCACCAGTAAAAACAATTTTACAGGAGGTTGATGAGTTACTAGATCGCAAGTTACATTATCCAGATGAACAAGATATACAAGAAGTTATTCAAGCAATATTCTCAGATTCATTTCCTTGGACTATTAAAACGTGTTATTGCATAATTTATGGATTAGGAGTTCCTTTTCTATACCAAAAGTTAGATAGTATATTCAAATATTTCATATATCAAACAGTTCAAAATTTAGAAATGGAATATCTCAATTTCATAGATATGAATTTGGAAATTGACTCTTCTAAAGGTTCTGAATTAGTTGCAATACTTAGTATTATAAAGAATATACTAATGCAATGTTTCCATATCAATTCTTTTACTTCTGATCAATTAATTAATCAACTTACTTTGCATATTATAGATATCATTACTGTAGTATATGAATTAATCTATATTCCTGAAGATAATAATAATAGACTTCAAGTAAATTCCAAGCCTAGCACTACTTATTCACTTTACATTAAAAACAATAAGTCTGAATTATTCAGGAAATCCTTTAAAAATAGCAAAATTACAAGCTCTCTTGTTATTATGGGAATTTTTGATACCATCTACTCTTGTCTAAATTCTTGCAATGGTCGAATAAATGAAATATTTTTTGATTTACTTCCTAGAAATATATCTTGGACAAAATTGATATTCCAAATATCAAGATTATCTTTTAGTACATCTTCAACAGCTTGTCTTTTAGCATTAAAACTTGCTTCGAAAATGCCACTTAAACAGTGGATCCAAGAAGATTCTATATATACTATTAAATGTATAAAGTTCTTTTTAGTAAATTTAATGGGAGATCATGAAGATGACTCAAAAATTGAACAATCAGCTTTTCAAAATTTCTTATATTTCCAAAATTTACTAGATATATTGAGTAAACTTATCATTATACCTAATGACCATCCATTATCTGTCTTTTTAAACTCTTCTATATTGGAATGGTTACAAATTGTTGAACTTAAAACAAATTCATTTGCAATTCAAGCCTATACATGGGAATTAAGATATCAATTTTTTTTAAATTGGATAAGACAAGATAACATATTGTCATGGAGTCAAATTATATACAATCTAAGAATAAGTAATAATAAAAATGGTGATAAGAGAGATAATTTAACTTGGGGTTCTATTACAATGTTTGCTATAAATAAATGGAAGCTTTTGCTTGATATATTTTCCAGCGATCCCAACTTGGCTTTTTCATGGCAAATTTCTAGTTTATATGATTGTTATGATAATGTACTACAATATATGAATATGGTATTAAAATTTCACTATAAATTTCTGAATAAAACTACGTATAATTTGGAAAATAAGAAGATACAAGATTTAGAAGTTATTAAAGTTTTTGAAATAACCTTCAAAGAAATTTTAGATCTAATTACTGAGATTATTAAAACATCAGATCCTCCTAATTTAGATATAATGGGATCAGAAATATCCATAAAAAAATCTTCAAATCTTCTTCCAGATATAAAAAATAAGTTTTCTATTCGAGTATCTTGCTCAACTATTAATTTCTTGTACAAACTTTTGAAATATACCCCTCAGAATAATGAAATTTTAGATGAAATATCCAAACTTCAAAATTGGTTTTATTGGATATCAAGCATTATATCTGTACAATATGATATAAAAAATAGACTTCAATCTGCTCAAATAATTCTATCTACTGCTAGAGTTCACCCAGTTAATATTAATTCATTAATACAGCGTATTTCTTGTATAATACAGGTTATAGATGATACGAAAAATACGATGACCATAAATGAACTTATAATTTCACTTTGTTTAAATATAATTTTGTTAAGCCAAGAGTTTCAGATTCCTAATCAAACAATAGAACTTATAGTTGATTATTGTAAAGATTACTTGACTATACATGATATAGCTATAAATGAAAAAATTAATTATGGAATTGCTTTAATACAATACAAAATTTGTTCATATATAAACAATACTTCAGATACTTCAGATGAGTTGAATAGAATAACACTTAAATTACTTAATTCAGTCATTTTGAATATTGCAGCTTTTATAAAAAATGAATTATCTGCAAAACAAGTAGAGAATTTGTCTGGAGATCTTGATGTTTCAATTGATACACCAATGATACTATTTCTTACACTTGGAAAGATGAATTCTAGCTTAAATAAAAATTTAGTAGAATTAATGCAAGCTGATCAAGTATCTGTACTGATTAAATATATATGGTCAAATATAAATAAATTGATGGAAATGTATATTAGTGATGATGAAGATTCTCATTCATATTTGCAAAGCCTTGATACATTATTAAATATATTGATTGTTTATATTGTTCCAAGTTTATCTTGTAACTTAAGTATACTGTGTGATATTTATGATCCTAATGAGATAGCAAAATCTTTTACTTTTTATTGGAGATATATTTACAAATCTCAGATACCAGAGGAATATTCATTCTATTATATAAATACACTTGCATCTTGTATACTTTGTATACTTACTAATAATTACAAAAATACAGTAGAAAAGAACTGGATTCAACAGCTTAATCTTGGTTTTTACAAATATGGAATTTATAATAATGTTTTAGTAGTTGTATCTGAATTAATAGTAGAAATGAGGGCAATTTGTTTGAAGGAATTTAAAAATCATACATTTGCATATACACGTGCTTCTTCAATATGGAATCTTAAATTTGACTTCCCTACTTCAAAATTAATTTGTTTGGTACAAACTTTGAAACTAGTAGGGCTTTGTTTAAATTATTTTGAACATCCAATAAGTCTGCTTACAGATTCTCAAGTAAAACCATTATTAACTTTTGCTATAGAATCACTAGCCTTAATTCGCTGTATGGGTAGACAATTGGAAAGTCATTCAAGTAATCAGCAATATAATGAGACTTTTCAAAAATGTACTAAAGAATGGTGGAAACATCTAAAAACTACAAATAATGAAATAGGACTGAGCTTGGATTTGTTTTCAAATATGGTGGCTGACATATTTAATTTGGTTGTATCTTCCATTACTAGTTTAGTTCCAATAACAGACATAAATAGAAATAATCAAAGTTCTGTATCTATATATAAATTAAATGCAAGAAATAAATTAGTTAATAGATTCCATGATTTAATATTAACGCTCTTAGAAACAGATAGTGCTATTGGATTGAAAGTTGGTAGAGAGTTTTATCCAATACAAGTTGATGATGAAAATGGAAATTTAATTAGTAACTTAAGTCAAAGAGAGTTAAAGCGTCTAAATGGAGAAATCTCTAGAGACTCAATGACACATACGCAAGCTTATAATATGTGGTTTCATAATTTTTTATTTAATGAAAGTATCCCAATAATATGTCGTTGCAGTACTTTAAGATTATTTATAGCTTTGGCAATTTCTTCTTCTAAAATACAATTCATCAGACTATGGTGCTCAAATGAAACAAAAGAAGTTGTCAAAATTGCAGATCTCATAAGAATTAGTCTTAAATCCAAAAATTTTGAATTTTTATGGCTTAGTTTGATACTAACCGAAATTCTTGTTTCTTATGATAGTTCTCCTCTTTTTAATTCAATAAATAATACAAAACCAAAAGTTGGAGTTAGTTTATATTCAGTTGAGCAATCCAGAATTATTTCAAATATTCTAGAGAGAGCGTTTGAATCATTGGGTATATTTCTAGAACATGAAGACTCTAATGAAGATCAGTACTCTTTAAAACAAATAATTAAGAGATGTCTTGCAAGGTTAAATTCTATATAATTAATTCAGCGTTTTTTTCACATACTTTATATTAATAGTATTTTAAAGATAATTGTAAATATCTAAAATACTTGTAATATACTTAAAAGTTTGTACAAGTACTTAATGTTAGTACATATCTATATAAAAGATCTTCAATAAAAGGATCACCAAAAGATATTGAAAAGTCAAAATTTGCCATTATTACTCTAAGATTATCTCTAAGTTTAGAATATTGAGTTTCATCATCGAATAAAATATCTTTTAAATGATCTAAATATACTGTTTCATTTGATCCTTCAAATAAAAGTTCTCTATTTTCTATATCATATTTAAACTTGGGAATATCTAGATGATTTAAAAAAGTGGATTTTTGAATATTTTTAAGCCAATGTGATATTAAATTTATACCATTTTGAGAATTTAAAGCATCTTGAAATGTATATATTGACTTAATTTGCCTTGTTTCATTAAGGTTTTTACATTTTGTTTCTATTACTGCTAACTTTAAATCAGCATCATCTATAAGTTCTTGATCGTTTATTATTTTTGTAATAATTGCAAATTTCTCTAATAATGAAGAGTATTGATTTATATTTCTTGCACTAAGTAATATTGAGTGATTATTTTTTCCTTTTTTTTTTATAAGAAATCCATAACGTATTTGGGGGTACTTAGAAATTGAGAATAAATCTCTTATTGGAATTGTAAAATTTCTTTTATCATCATTGTTGGACTTATTTATTTCTTTTATTAATGCTAATTGTATTTCATTGTTTGTTATATTAATTAAACATCTTTCAGCCTTATTAAGATGATTTGGTTTCAGATAAATAAAAATATACATTTCATTACTATTAGATATATTAGATATATTGGAATACTCATAAATAAATTTTATATCTGGTTTACTTCTAATTAGTGATTCTATTGTTTTATCTTTATTAATTAAATTAATCTTTGATGCTTCTTCAGGAGATGAGCTATAAATCTCAATATTCCCAAAATTATTAGTTGTAACTTTCTTATCTAAACTTCTCATTGATATAATTGGAGATAAGTCAACTGTAGATGTATCAGAATCAAAACTCTGATATGCAGACCTTTTGTAATTTTGATTAATTAAATATTCTTTTAGATCTGAAATACAAAAATCATTTCTTGATATAGGTACAGTTATATAAGTATTATCAATAGAAGAATATACGCGTATAGAATATAAATTTCTGGAGTTATACTTATTTAAAGATGAACTAGTTCCAAGAGAGTACTGATTAAAACTATTTAACTGCATAGGGGCACTTTTAAACATTTTTTTTTTTCAAACCAAAAATTTCATCCATTTTTTATTGGTTAAAAATTTTATTTGAAACTATATAAGTTTCTTAAATTATATAAAGAGAAGTTGTTAATTTTTAGGTCTAATTAAACTAACACACAATGTTATGTATTCACGCTCGCGCTTTTATCTAAGCCTTATGTAACTTTTGTGATTCTTCATTTTTATAATTTTTCATTATCCATACATTATAAATATCTAAATAATGAGGTGCAATTGGCAAAAATGTGATAATGAATGGTATGAGAAGCGTACACAACACAATATGATTTGGGATATCGATGATATTAGTATAAGACGTGGTATCATAGCTGTTGCATCTAATGGAGGTCCTATAGCAATATTAAATTCATCTAGTAAATCATCTAACTTATTACCAAATTTTGAATTAACATCTTATACAAATTCTGGTAAGCTAATAGCTAATATATCTTGGTTAGATCATATTCCTGTTACAATAGGTTGGTGTTCATATGACATACTAGTATGCGTTTTTGCTGATGGTACTGTCCGTACACTTTCTCCTTTTCTAGATCAGCTATCAATTTTTCATCTAAAAAGTGATTTTAAAAGTGATGGTTGTATAATTCTTGCAAAAATTTCTTCATATGGTATATTTTTTGTAACTGCATTATATCAAGTATATTATAATGCCTCATTTTTTGAGCCTGACTGTTTCATATTAACTAATATACCATTAAGATGTAATCCATTAGAAATAACTTGGATATTTTGTCCTTGTGATTCTGTTGAAAAAACTAGGATATTTCCAACAAGTATTTTTTTACCTCTTGAAGATTCTTCTATAGCAATTTTAAATATTTGGGACCCACATATAACATCTATATCTAGTAATTCTTTGATGGAAATAAATCCAGTTGATCCTGCATATTTTGAAATATCTTCAACTGAAAATAAAGATGATAAATTTTTAGCATTTTCATTGTCACCAAAAGGAAAGTTTATAGCATTTTTAACTCAATCTTGTAAATTTACAGTACTAAGGACTAGTAATATATTTGCAGAGCCAGTTATGTCATATAAATTTGGTATATCATTTAGTAAATTAAAACAAATGGTTTGGTGTGGAGATGATTCAATTGTCATTAGTGCATTAGTACCTGTTGATAATGTTTCTAATTTACCATCTATGAAAAATCAAAAAGCAAAGAGTATTGTATATATAGGAGGTCATAATAATCAATGGCTTTCATATTTATATGGTAAACAATCTACAATTCTTTTATCAGAAGTAGATGGGGTAAAAATTATTACATCTAGTGTATCAGACTTTATATATAAAATACCAGATCCTATTCAAAAAATTTTTGGAATTGGTAGTTGTGAGCCTAGTGCCATGTTATTTTTTGCATATGAAAAATATAAAAGTGGGGATATTACATCACATCATTCTCTTCGTTCGATTTCTCCAAATATTATTGATGCAAGTAAAGTATGTATTGAAGCTTCTATATACCAATATCATAATTTAGAAGTAGCTATAGCCTTATTAAGGGCTGCCTCATTTGGAAAGGCATATTCACTAAAAATAAATAATTTCGATAAATCTGTAATTGATGAATGGGAAAAATTATTTATAGAAACTTGTAGAGATTTAAGGATTGTTCATGCTATTAAGAAATCTGAGGCTGAAATTGAAGCTTCTGTTGAACAAATCCGTTTCTATGGATATTTAACATTGACTTCACGCCTTGCTAATCATAAATGTCATCTTTTAGCTTTAAGAATATGTGAATATTCTGTGTTAAATATAGATCACATATTATCAAATTGGGCTTCTAATAAAATCAAAAACTCTTTGGAATCTACTGATGAAGAATTAGCTGAAATAATATTAGCTAAAGTATTATATAGACAATCATATAAAAATTTAAATAGCTCATGTATTGCTAATATAGCTGATATAGCTGCTAAATTAGGTCGGCCTCATCTTGCCACTATGATTATATATCATGAAAATGATATAAATAAAAGAGTTGATATGTTATTAAAGCTCCCATCATTTAAATTGGCTGCTGAACAAGCTATCAAAGCTAAAAACATGGAATTAATATATAAATGTGTTCAAAATTTACTAAATCAATCAAAACAAATTTCAAATACAGAAAATACATCTAATTTGTCTTCAATATATGAAAATCAATACTCACAAAAACAATATTGGAGTGCTGATATTATAGATACTTTAGTTAGTGTACCAAATATTGTACCATTTCTAATTTATTACTGTCAATATATTGGAGAAAGTATGCTCCTTTTAAAATTATTTGAACAAATGGAAAATTTTGTAGATGCTGGATGGATTATGGTTATGTTAGCTTGTCAAAAAGATATTGATCTTAGTATCAAGTTAGAACATTTAGCTCATGCAGCTGCTTATTTTACTTCTTCTATAAAAATTAGTCAAACTTCAGATTTAACAAATAAATCTCAAGCTTCAAATATGGTCAAAGCTTTAAATATTGCTAGAAATTTATCATCTCCTCAAGATAGTCTTTTTGGGAATTCTTTTATTCAAGCTCCTCATAATGGATTAGATTCTTCATTCGAACGTGAAATAATTTTAGCAGAAATTGAACTTATACAATATCAAATTAACCTTGATTCTAAAGCTAAACAAGCTTCTTGGAATATATCAAATATTCCTGATCATACAAGTTTTGTAGGGCTTTCTCTTGCTAAAACTATTGAATCATTAGCATTTCTAGGGTTAATTGAAGATTTAGAAACTATGAAAAATATACTTCAAATACCTGATCAAATATTTTCAATTTACAAAATTAAAGGTTTAGCATTAGGTCAACATTTTGAAGAAGTTCTTAATTTTGTACAATTATCAAATAAAGTACCTGTAATAGGATATGAACGTATCATTGAGATATGTATTGATTATGATGCTAGACATATTGCTGCGAAATTTATTCCTAAATTAAAAGATTTAGAGAGGCAAGTCTTTTGGTACAATAGAGCAGGTATGCATAGAGAAGCTCAAGCTATTAGAACTAGTCAAAATTCTTCAGTACAATCAAAAATAATGGAAAGGGTATCGGGTGCCATACATATTTTTGGCGTGGGTACTCAATAATACTCTTCTAGTATATATCTTTAAATATAAATATTTTATACAACTATGTATCTGTTTAGATATATCTCTATAATTATAAATCTTTATAATATATTTGTTTGTAGTTTCTTGCTATTTTAGCCTAAAATACAATATTAAGGATATATTTAGAGTAAATCTTAAATTGTGATTAATAGGATATAAAGTTAGATCTAAAAATAAAATAGGATAGGAAAATTACGTTTAAAGACGAAATTTAATAACTTTAACATTTAAATTATAATATATATTGTGACATTTAACCAATTTGGTATAAATTTTTAATATATTTGTTCTCAATTTCGAGATCTAATTTTTTTTTCTTCATTGTGGAATAGTAGATAGGTTATAGTTTATACAAGTTTGATATGCTCAACTTGTTTACTGGATTATGAGGGTATTACTACTAGTAATTGCATTAACTGTTACTAATGGTTCTTTGATTAGATTATATCCAGCAGATAGAAATGATGTAAAAACTAATAGTTACAGTAATACAAGTCACTTAAGTTTACTCAGGAATAATTACTTACATAGTTCAACTTTAAATAGTTCATTTAATAATAATTTGGAACATACTGAAATTTCACAAGATTTTTTAGGAAGAGTTATGGAAATTAATAATCAGGATGTTAGTAAAGAAAGTGTAATAGATAAGGTTAGAAAAACGAATAAAGAGCAAAAAAAAACTAATGAATCAGATTTCATTTATAATGGTACAAAGCTTTTAACTATAATATTTCTTGTATTAACAGTATTCATGAGTTTAGTAGTAATATTATTTTCAATAACTCAGAAATATATAAAGAAGATTAGTGATAAATTTGTAAATCAAGATTCATGTGAAAATGAAGGAATTGATTGGAATGAAGTTAACTATAATACTAATTTAACATTAAATACTGTAGAGTTATCTAATATTGAGAATATAGTAGTTAGTAATTTTCAAAATAGACAGCATTCAAAGAGGAGACATTCTTTAGCTCCAAATAGTACAGATAACCTAAGTGTGATTCCAAGGCCACGTTCAGCTTCATCATTACCATTTGTTCAAACTCTTATTGAAAATCTCGATGATGTAAGTACAACTACTGATTCTAGATCAAGTAAAAATAATGGAGCAAATATAACACTTAAAACTTTTTTAAAAAAAAGAAATACATTATTGGATTCAGTATCAAAAGATAATGCAATAGATGGAAATAGATCTTTAAGTTCTTCTGGTAATTTAGGTGATCAAGAGTATGAGTTGGAATCTGGGGAGTCTCCAAAGTCTGCTTCAACTGTCGTTGCTGTTCAAATGGGTGATTTCCTAGCAAGATGGAATCCAAAGCGTGATTCACGTTTATATACAAAGGATGAAGATACCCCAGTTTCAGCAATACAGGCCATGTCTAGATTTTGAAACAATAATAATCCCTAATAATTAAAATTAATTGTTTGTAGTACCTAATCCTGAAGGATTACACAATCTTTCAAATAAGGCAGCATGAACAGGATCTTTCCTAACCCCTGCTAAGCCGACAATTTCAACATTAATTTGATCTCCAAGTTTAGCTTTAAGATTTAGATATATACGCTCAATAAGTTTTCTAGTAGCATTTAATAAAGAAGATGAAGTGCTCATACCTTGAGAAAGATATAAGAATTCAAGTAATCTTCTAATTGCATCATTATGTTGATCAGTTGATTCAGAATTCTCCAAAATATATAAGCATTTTATACCACAAAGTGCTATTGCATCTACAATAGAATTTACAAATTGAATAAATGATGAAACTGTAATAAGTTCTGGGAGGCTACAAGATTCATCATTATGAAATAATCTTGATATACCTCCATATTCTATAAAATCCTTGTCCATTCTAACTTTATTTCCAATTCCATCCGGTAGGAGGTCGTTTGAATTAGATTGAAAAGGGCGTAAAACTTGTAAATTTAAAGCTAATGGAAGAAGTGACACACCATTATAAGGTCTAACAATTTGTAAAACTGAATTTGAGTGGTTTGGTAGATCTTCTAATAGTTGTAATAATGGTCTTCCTAGATCCATAGTATCATGAAATAGTTGTGCAAGAAATTCCCTTGAAGTTAGTAATATATTCGTCACAGATTCACAATCCATTAAAAAGATGTCCAATATGTTCATAATACATGTAAGTAATATCATACAGTATCTCTGGTGATAAATAGAGGGTACTAAGGCTGGTAACCGATCTAAGGGGTATAGCATCAAAGAATCATAAGCTAAACCAGCAGCAATTTTCTCATAAGTTGAAATTGGCTTGAATATGTCAAAAGATTCTGCAATTCCTTTCCCTAGAGATACAGCTGAAATATTTCTAATCATCCTAAGTGATTTCTGTAAGATTTCAGATATATATTTCATAAATGATGCACTTGCTTGAAATGATGCAATTTTTAGAAGATCTAATATTATAGAAAATTCTTCTAGTAAAGCCAATTGTCCTATTACACGAGTCCCTTCTATAACAAATCGGATCCTAGAATCTACTAGTCCCATAAATTTAACTAGTATACGTTGAGAAAGAGACTTATATTCTAATTCTTCATCGAAATTTTCATTTTTTATCTGTTTATGGAAAGATTCAGAGTATGAACTTTGTGAATACGGAGATATATGTAAATTTTTGATAGAGCTAGAATTTGATAAATTAGACTTTGAGTATTCATGATATTTGAAACTATTTTTTAAATCATCATCTGTATCAGTACTTTTTGAATCTAGTTGCTCACAATGAATAGACTTCACAACAGTAGTAATAAGGAAGAGAAATCTGCACCAAATTATATGCAAAGGAGCCCTAAAAGTATTACCATTTATCTTTATTGTAGAATAAGCTGGAGTCCATAGAATCCCAGTTGGAGTTGATCCTGTCTGATCTATTGAGATTGTAGATTCAAGAGATGATCCTGAGCTTTGCCATACCTTGCTAATAATAGTCTTAAGAGCAAGTTGATTAATGATATCACTTTCTAGAATTGCGATAGATCCCTTTTTGGAAGAGGCTAGACTCATTAAACACGATAAAATTGAGTTTAACATACTATAATGAGCCATTTCATCCCAGAAAAAACATGGAATATTACTTGGTGAAAGTTGCAGATATATAGGTAAAGAATTGGGAATTTCATTGATCTCTTCATTTCGGTTCTTCCATTTGAGATTTCTAGTTAATCCTATAGATTCATAAGACTGGGCAGAGGTTACAAGTAAAGGTAAAACTAACTGTACAAATTTACTAGTAAATTTATCAAGAGTACTGTCTGACTCAAGTATTGCTTTCATTTTAGTTAAAAAGGGAGTTTGTTTTAAGTTTGAACCTCCTGTAAATTCAGACTCTAAAAACTGCTGTTCAACTTTCTCCAATTTGTTAATATACATATTCTCAACTATAAATGTTGGGATAGTAAGACATATTATTGGAAGAGCTAGAAATAAGCTTAAAGAGTATGGTAAAATTGTTGTTGATGTATAATTTCTTAGATTTGAAATTTCTTGTCTGATATTTTGAGATAAGAATCTACTATTTTTGAGTATAAACTGTAGTGAGATAGATGTGAGTTCTAATAATTTAGAATTTGTCGAATATGAAGATAATATATCAAAGTCGTCATTCTTCACAAATTGTGGTATTAATCTTAGTAGAATCTGAACAAGTATAGTACATGAAATCAGGTCACTAGAAACAAAATCTGAAATAATGCAACCAGTTGATTTATCTTTACAAGTAGATAATATAGGTAAAATTGACCAAACTGAAACAATTGAATTTCTTCCAGTACAAGGCTGTAAATAGCAGTTATTAGAATCCACCTTTTCCATTCTGTAGTGAGACATCACATTTATTAAAAATAAACATGCTTGTTCTAAAACAAGTGGTAGATGCTTATATAGTTCTGATTCTGATTCTTCTGACACTTCTTTACATACTGAATGTATTAATATATTTCCAGTATTTGCAGTTAATTTAAGGTTATCGTCAATATTATAGGGAATACTATCACCACGTGATTGCCATGTATATGATAGACAAACAGAAGAGCTATTTGGAGCAATTGTAACAATATTATATCGTTTATCTGAAGTATTCTCTTTTTGCACATCTGATTCAAAGTCTATCTTTTTCAAATTTCTATCAAGCCATTTCTGCATTTCTAAAATATCCAAATTACCTAAAATACTTCTAGCACTTGAAATTATATCAAATGTAATTATATCTGCAAAAATTGAATATATACAAGTTAAGAATAAACTAGGGAAGATTTCTGAAGTGTCCTCAACATCTTTGTCAAATATCACTAAGAAATATTTTGTTAAGGGAATTTTAAGAGGTCTGAATAATGTAGTCATAGTATTTAACAAAGGTTTATTAATAAGTTTGTAGGAATTAACCAAAATATGAGGTAAATTTGACTTTAAATAGAATATAAATCTGTTATAGCTTACTAGGCAGTACATAATAGATTCAACAAAACTTCTTCTATTATTATCAGTCAAAGTTGAGTTAAGAATTTGCATACAAGTTCCTAAAATTTCTTGTATTGCTAATTGAGAATGTGACAAAGATAAACATGCAACTGTTGAACAAGATAATAGAACTGCCAGAGACTTTAAATCTACTTCAAAGTCATTACCCCATCTTTTAGTTTTATATAGAAATGATGCATTTCGTTCTAAATGAATAGGTAAGGAAAACCAAGTAGAGGTTATATCCTCATCAGTATTAGATTCTAAATTCGAGGATTGGCCTGAGTTATTCAAAAGTTGATTAGATGCTAATTTATTTATAAATAACTGATTATCTCCAGTACTGATATTGGATTCAATTTTAGAATCTAGATCTCCGCTACTTTTAATTAAAGAATGTTGTTTCGGAGCTAGCAATTGTCCAGATTCCCATACAATCTCTAAAGAAGCCAGCTGAGATATTTCATTTGTAAATATAGAAATATTATTGTTATTGTTTCGATTCTTCTCATGTAATTTAGGATCTAATTCTATAGCATCGCTATAGTAATGATCAGATGCATTCGTTAAACCAAATTCTGTCCATCTATAGTAGTTATCACTTGACATTATTTTATGTGATAGTCTCCAGTATCTTTCAAAATAGTATTCATACAAAAATTCTTCTAATGAAAAAGGGGTTGTAACGCGTCTTAAGATTTGATCTTGTTTAATTGTAATGGGAATACAAAGATGTATTGGTAAATTTAATTTAGACTTTATACTTTTTAAATGTCGAATAGATTGATTGTACAATTCCTTTATATTCTCTCCACAAAAATTCCCAGATAATAATGTAATAATGCAAGGGTTAGTAGCCATATACTGAACAAATTCCCAAATGATTTTATTTGATATAAATTCTGGTAATTTAGCAGAGTTTCTTAGTGCTAAATTTGTATCTATATCTATAAAGCGTGAAATTAAGCTGTAAACAGATGTAATACACGACATCCAAAGAGTTGCTAGTGGATAGGAGCTTATCATACTGGAATTTCTAGATAATTTGGTCCAAATAGTTACAACTTTTTTAGTAATATTGAAAAGTATCTCCCAAAAAGATTTGGAATTTTCTGATTTGTTCAGATGCTTATATAAGAGCTTTTGAGCCCTGGAATCTTCCTGAAAATAAAATAAGAGTGTTATCATATCTGGGAAAAGCTGCATAAGTTCAGGAACCTCAGATATAGAAAATTTTGAAGCATCCATCTTTATTTTGGAATCCATGTCACTTAGAGATGATTCAATTTTCAAGAAAACATGTTTAATAGTGTCACATATAAGTTCTATACGACTATAAGCATTGTTTGAATTATATCCCTGTGCTGGTTTAAGTTCAGCTGATTTATTTCTTAAGTTTTGATCATCCAAATAAGTTAATTTAACTTGAAAGCTTTCTTTTTTCAAACTTGATGGATCAAAGTGACCAGAAGAAAACAGAAGAACTGAGGGCTGAGTAATCATGAGAACATTCAGTAGTTCCATTATAGCCTTAACATTGGCAAATGTAATAGAACTATACCCAAATTTATCTTCATTAATAAAATAATGTATAGGAGCTACAAGTACAAAGTCCAGTTCTCTATATAAAATATTAATAATAAGAGATACAAGTTTAGTATTAGATAAGCATAGTAAAAAGTCTTCCTGTTTTGAGTGTAATGAAGAAGGAGGTTTCAATAAATACTGAAGTATTTGAATCTTTTCTGGTTGATTTGAGTACTCAAATTCTAGCAAGTAACAAAAGCTAGATAGTATTTGAGTTGCATTAATGGAGGCTGAAATTGGAAGGGTATTGGGAGTAGTGTTAAACATATATACAAACCAAGACTTGATAATGTTCATCTGGGGAGCCTTAGATTGGCTTAGTAATATAACTCTATTATATATAAATTGTGCTACAATATCTGCCTCGGAAGAAGATATATCAAAATTACTCACAAAATCTTTGGATAACATTGTATTTCCCCCATCGTTAAACTGAGATATCTGTATAGATAATTGATCATCATAAGAAAATAGGATCCATTGAATAACACTTCTTCTAAGAGATGTAATGAGCTGAGAAGATGCATCCGTATTTGTCAAACTTGTTAAGATCTTATTTACTATACAGAGTATTACAGTAATAACCTGTTGAGCTACAATTACTTGAGGGAAGGCAAATGACTCTCCTGATAAATAGGATAGTGTATATGGACATCTGATGGGTGTATAAGCTAAACATGAATCCAAGGAAATCATATTTTGACCTTTTAGTGCTAAATTATATGACAAAGATGCCACTTTATTCATGGTTTGATGTACAAAAGAGCTTGATATTGAAAGCTCCCAATGAATAGACCCTGGATCAAGAGATGTAGATGTTACGTACCACAAAGTTCTTGAATTACTAGATTTCATATGATATTCACATAACAAAACAGACAACATGGAAGGAATCAAATTAGTTTCTAAGCAATGCTTTAATAAATTAGCAATCAGAGCTTGTTGATTTACACATGTTATAATTGAAATATCTGGTATAATATCACATAATATAGAAGAAATTTGTTTATTCTGCTCTCTAGTTTTGCTTAATTTAGAGTTAATTTGGACTTCATCTAATATTAAAGATTTATCCATATCTTCACGAATTAAAGATAAAGGATCTAGACATTTAAGAAGTAGATCAAATACTCGGAAAGCTTGTAAAAGAAGACTATTGCGTTCGCTATCAACGTTAAATTGCCAACTAGATATTCTAATCAAAACTGAACGAATTGTGTAATTCAAAATTCGGTTGAAGAATTCAAACAGATCCTTGTTATTCAAGTTAAGAGATTGGAAAATAATGCACTCATCTACTAGACATTGTAAATCTTTCAAGTATCTACTTGTATATCCTGAAGATTGTACTTTATATTTTTCTATCAAAATAATGTTTGCATGACGGCTCCATCCTAATCCCCAGAAATAAACTGGACAATATGACATTAAAGTTTCCAAAAATACAAGCATCTGAAATGTTATTGGATATGAGTTGTGAAGTTTCTCAACAGTTTCAATTATCTCAGTAGCTAGTGATAAGAAATCATCAATATCAAATCCCATTATGCTTCTAAGAAGTGAGGCATAAACTCCAACTTCTTGTTGTATTATTGGATCAACCTCCAATGATCCCATACTAGATAATAGTAAAGGAATTAACCAATACATGGGTATAATAGATTCTTTGCAAGACCAAGGGGAAGGAATTTCACAATCATTTTTATATATTTCCAAATTAAGACTATAGGAATTATAATTTGAGTGTAATTTATGCAAATTTCCACTTTGAAGAATAGTTTCAATATCTTGCGAGTGAATTGGTATCATAAATATTGTTAGTAAACTTATAATACGCGGAAGTGTCTTCAATACAGTACTTATTATATTATCAATATTATCTTTCCTCAAATGATATGAAATACCCTTCAGAAAAAACAAGCACTTGATAGGAATAACTCCAAATCTATACAATGATATCTGTAATGAAGTATCTGCAAAGTGTACAGAATTATTTGCATTTACTTTATCTCTTGTATTATAAAGGTTGGAAGGAATGAATCTGTATGATGACGTCAACTCTGTTTCAAGTATAAGTAATATAGCTGGGTGAAAGGATACTAATTTAAAAATAACTTCACTTATAGATGATAACATATTAAGATGGTTTGGATCAATATAGTCTATTTGATTTATATATAAACCCAAAGAATCCCACAAAAAAAGTAATATGTGCAGAAGAGATGGCATATAGCCTGTTTGTGAAGTGCTATGTCCAGTAAATTTGCCAGAATTCTGGATTTGGTTACAATTAAAATAAATTACAAAAGGATCCAAAGTCCCTATAGTCAATTCATTAGGATTCGAACAAAAATTTGAGGGTAATCTAAAATCTTGATAATCCAAAAATGGACTTGATCTTCCAGAATTAGGTGACACATTAGTTCTAATTGTTGTTTGATAAAATGGAGGTAATTTCTCATCTGGTACATCATACAAATTACCATAAGGAGATGTTGCCCAAACAGGACTTGAGAATTTTGTTTCATCATTGTTAACTATCATTGATTTCATAGGAATTTGTTTGGATATACCACATGGAAGTATTCTTAAAGGTGTAAGGCATCTTCTTGAATTAGGAAAACCAGCTAATAAAGGAGTGACATCTTCTAGTTTTATTCCCAAAATATCTAAAAGACATCCTTCAATAGATCCTGATAAAGCAGAACGTGATATTGTACTACCAACATTTATATTGGGAGTTTCAAATTGAGTTATTTCCATTTGCAAAAATACATTTACAATTGATCCATGTGATTTCTTCTGAGGCTTCTCATATTCATAAGTAGTCCATTCATTTATTGGTACTGCTCTTAATCCTACAGATTCAAGATAGGGAGAAAAATTCACACATTTTAATGGAGTTCTTATAAAATCCATAAATATTTTGAATGCATTTCTAGCAGATTCCATATCTAAAATATTATTCTTAGATATATGTGTAAAATCAGGAATTAAATTCTGTAAAAGTTCCAAAAATTCCACAATACCATAGGGGAAAGATGAAATATACATATCTAATAAAATATGAATTCCAATATGTCTATAATAATCACCACGCCAACATTCCCTATATACTAGTCTATTATCACGCCAAAGTAAATTATTGAGACATCTAGTTATTTTAGAAGTACAAAATAAAGTATCTATTGAAAAAGTTGATAGAACCGAACGAATCAAACTGTATATAGTTAGATGTTGATAATAGCTCCCAATCTCCTCACCTAAATAAACTGTATCTCCACATGTCTTAGATTTAACATTAAATTTCAAATTTATCGGATTTTGGTCATGTAAGGCCAATAAAATATTCTCAATTGAATCTGAAAGAGCTGTAGATTCAAATAGACAAGATGTACTAAAAATTGGAGATAATAATGCATCTCTATTAGGAGTAAGAGCTACAATAGTAGCATAACTATACAAAAAACTTGCAAAAAGAGGTTTTACAACTCTAGCATGAGCAAGTAAGAGATTTCCTCTAACAATCCTTATGTTATCATCAAAATTGTTAGCTTTATATAACTCCATATTACGAGTAGGTGTAGTACAATTTAAAATATCTCCATTATTTATTATGATTTTCTCACCAGTTTCATTAGATATAAGACATTCAATAATTGTCATAACCAATCTAGTAATAAACCCAAGATTCTCATTATCATCTGTTATTGTCTTTGGTGATAAAGCAAGGATTAAATAGCAACCAAGCAAAATCCCATTAGATGCTGTATGCCTTAATTGCTCAAGGACTTTGCTCGAATGAGCAAGAGAATTATCCCATATTGTTAAATCATTAGATGATATTCCACTCGTCTTAACAGAATATAAAGTATACAAGCTACCTAAAAAACATCTTGATTGTAATTCAGATAAAATGATCTTTATCTTACTCATACTACTAGCTTGATATAAACTATTATCTGTATTTTTAGATAATTCACTTCGTTCAGGTTTATTTAAACAGTTCTGAAAGTTATCCCAAGCTTGTAATATTACTAAAATTGTATGTAAGAGACTTGATTCAAGTTTCATTCTTCTATAACATTGAATTAATGGATTACCAAATAAAAAACTTTCAATATCTTCATATTGACAAAAAGGTTCATTTACTAAACGTTTATACCATTCCCAAAGTTTATCTAATATATTAAAGTTATCTGTATTCCATAATATATCTTCAAAACACTTCTTTGAAAAAATCTGGCCTACAAGTATATCATTGTTACTTGTAGATCTAGATACAAAATTCTTTGGATCATTAGATGCATTCTCAAACATATATTTTAAAATATCTAAAAAAATTAATTGCTCTTGTAATATGAAATCATAAATATCACTCATAAGCTGTTCATTTACATTATATAAACAACTCAGGTCCTCATTATTTGAGTTATTTACTTCATTATCTTCATCCTCAGATTGAGTTTTAATATCTGTAAACCTTACAATATAACTACTGTCTCTTCTACAATTGAAACCTTGTAGTAGTTTTAATGATATTGATTTTGAAATCTGAAAAACTTTGCTAATTACTTCTACAGCATTCTCTTTACTAGATATATTATTATCCTTATAGCTACCTACTTTTGGAGTAAAGGAGTTACATATATACTCGTTTATACGATTCTGAATTATTGATGTTACATCTGAACCCTCAAAAAGTTCTAAAGCCTCACGAGGGCATATATAAACCCTGTAATGATTATAAATATATATTACATATGAAAGTAAAGATTGGTTACAGTGTCTTATTAAGTATTTCCATCTTTTATTATCCATCTTTTTTTTGAGGGGGAAAGAAGTAAACAATGTGTGTTAGTTCTTTTAAAAGCTCTTCTTAAAAGTTAATATTCCACAATTTAAAGAGTTTAAATGCTTTAAAACTATCCATTCATAACAAAATATGTCAATTAAAAAAAAACTTTAATTCTCTAATTTATTAGATAAAAATTAAGTTTCTACTTTTTTCTTAATTCTATTAAAAAAAAAAAAAAAACCGCCATTATAACTTTTAAATCCATGGCGCCAAATAAAAATATTTGTATGACGAATATTAAAGATAACTTTAGATCCTAATTAAATAATAATTTCTATTTATTATAATAAGGCTGTTATAAATGTTTTCTTTAATAATTTAAAGTATAATTTTACAACTAGTTATATTTCGCAATTATTATATATAAGTAGATGATCTTAGATCATAGGAAATTCTTAATAAATCCTAATGATCTCCTAAATACAATGAAATATCATCGATATACTTATAAAGATACAATTATTACTATTTACTATGTATCTATAGGTATATAGTATATTAATAAATACTCCCTTGAAGTATGTAATAAAAGTATGAATGTTATAAAGTAAAAATAAAATTTGATATTAATATTTAAAGTAATTTATTTCTCTGAAGTAGTAATCTCTGTTTGTGATTTCTGAAAAGTATTCTCTTGTATAGTTGTTAAGAAAGGTAATCTAACTCTAATAATATTTACTTCTTCCAAAATATTTATAATTGATGGAATTTGTTGCTTAAATTCAAAGACAAATTCACATAACCATAAAATAAATGGTGCCAACTTAGAAATTGATCTAGATACTATGATACTTAATTCTGAATTTGCATCTTCCTCACTATTTAATGAAAGTACAGAATTCATAGTAAATGATATTATTTTAATAGATATCTTGACAAGGGATATTTGATTGTTATAATAATCATTATAATGAGCTGAATCAGATTCTGGACTTTTATTAGATTGTTGAATTTGTGTTGCATGATATATAGATAAAGAAATAACTCTATAAATTATATTTGAGAACATTTCTGGTGCTTCTGAAAATATATTGCAATTAGAAGAACCTGAATTTAGTGAATTTTCTTTAGTACTCCAATTATCAAAATTATTTAAGAAAGGAGGAAAATTGGTATGATTAATATTGCAAGTTTTTATACTAAATAATATGTCAATAGTTGTTTTAATATTCCAATATTTACAAAAATTATACAATAATAATAAACAATTTTTTTGTATTTGTAATATACTGAGATGTATATCATAAGATGAGCAACTTTTTGAATGTGAGATAAACAACCTAGCAAATTCAGGTGATAATAAATCCATCATACTATCAAATATACAGTCTTTACAATTATCATCAAATATTCTAGAAATTGGAATATAATTTTTATCATATGAGCATAAAGGAATAAGGCGTTGATATAATTTCAAAGTTTTGATTCTTAATAATTGTATACCTACATTATATAGAATAATATTTTTATTTGAGGTTATTATATCATAAATAAAAGAAGTAGATAATATGAGTTTTAGAACAGGAATATATATTTGCAGAATATATCTTGTACATGATTGGAACAATTTGGTTGATAAGAAGTTTATTGAGATAATATAATTTAAATTATCCAATGAATATAATATATAATAAAAAAAATCTAAACCAAATTCTAAAAGTATATAGGCATCTTTACTAGAATAATGAAATAATTTAGATGAAGAATTTGATGAGATATTATCATTTTCATTATTAGATGAGGGATTTTCTATTTTATTTTCTATAGGATCATCTTCTGGATATTGTAAAGATATATATTTTAATAAATCTAATATTTTCTCTATTTTATAATCTCCATCACTTATACCATATAATACATCTCTCCATACTTTACATATAGATACTACTGGACTTGTATCAATATTGTCATTTGATAAAGGAATGAATATAAGATATACACTGAAGGGTAGAGTATTTAATAGTTTCATAATGATATCAAACATCAATTTAGCATGCTTAATACATCTTCCACAATTTCTAGATTTTAAATATACATTTAGATTAAGCCATTCATCATTTAATTTATTATCAGAGAAGAAACTACCTTGAAAATTATGATTAGCTATATTAGTTCTACAAATATTGTTAAGAAAATCCTCTATTGTATTATTATATAAAAATTCAGAGGTATATCCATATATTTTATCAAGAATTCGCTGACATTCCAAAATATCTGATAGTAATTCTTCTTCTTTACATGGCATTAAATACCTTTTTCTCAATAAGATGTTTTCACCCATCCGATAGCTTAAATACAGCTACTTAGCGGTAGCAAGTTTTAATTTATTCTTAATAATTGGTAATATCTATACTTTTATTAAATAGATTACTAGGGGTAGAAGTTCATTTTTATGGAATGTACCTACTACAGGATATACTAAGAAGTCTAAAATTAGAATTAAAACCTAAGATATATACTGATCTTCAAAATAATAGTAACTCTGTGGAGAATCATGAAAATGGGCTTTTGGAAATTTTATTCAATTTTAATTTATCAGATACAATTAAAGTTGGAAGTTTACCTACTAATATAATATCATGGCATGACACTTTTTTAGAAGGAGTACACCTGGTCCAAATAATTGAAGCAGTTGACATTAGTTGTAGAAGCAAAGATCGTTTTCATTATTTACTAAAAAGTCCAGTAACCACAAATACTTCGGAAAGTGACGATGATTCACAAGAAGAAACCAAAAATTATATAAATAAAAATAACAGAATGCTTAAGCTACTATTAAGTGATGGAATAACTAAATGTGTAGCCATAGAATATAGACAGATTCCTGAATTATCTAATTTTATAAAAGAATATTCAGAATGTAAATATAAAAAAAAAAATTCATCTTTAGATAAAAAACCAGTATTGGCACTTTTATATGGAAGACCAATAGTTAGAAGAGGTATTTTATTACTCGTACCAGATACAATACAATTGATATCACTAAATCTCAGAGACAAAAAACCAAGTATAACAAAAGTTGAAACTCAGAAAAAACAATCTAAAATCGCTTCTAAAGAACCTTCTCTAGATATTAGATCTTATACAAAATTCCCAATAATTAAGAGAAATGAAATAAATAATAGTGAACATTGTAATGAAGAGAATATTACGCTAAAAGAAGACTTTGAAAATATCCAAAGTCTAAATATATGTATATCTTCACCATCATCTATATCTTCTGTAGTTGAATTGACTGAAGATAATTTTTTAGAGGTAAGTCAGGATAAGAAGAATTCTGATAGAATAAGTAAAATAACTACTATAGTAAAACCTTGTGATTCAAATAATTCTCCAAATAATTCTCCATTACGTCTTTGGATAGATGCTGCTGTATTACAGGCTACATTATTAGAAGATATGGATGAAGTACAAATGGAAATTGGAATTCATGATCCTTTCCCTTTACCATATCCTTGGTGCTTAATATATCCCTTTAAGGTAAATGTAAAGAAGCATGTAATTGAACAGATTCTATTTACTGAAAATGAAAGATTAGATATTCAAACTGAAGATTTATTAACACATGTGAAATTTATACAAGGATATATGTGCTTGCAGTATAACATAGATAATTGTAATAAAAATAATGTGGGTTTACTAGAAACTTGCCTTATAAGATTAGTTGGTTTTAGTCCATATTCTGGGAAATCACCACTTATTAAACAGATATTAAGCCTTGCAACAATGAATTTAGATAGATCAAATTGATTTCATATCTTTATTAAAGATCTTAATTATATTGAAAAAAAGTCTTTCTTTTTCTTAATGCTATTCTATGGGTATATTAATGAATATCCTAATTAATCCAGTTCTACTAGCTGCTATAAAGACTGAAACATCATCTTCAGACAATTTTGAATTTGGAACAAGATCTAGAGGAGTTTCTGAGCCTACTCTTATATTATCATCTTCACATCCATAAAGCTGGATATTTTTAAGTAATTCCGAGAATTCTTCAGAATTTGTTATACCATTAATAGTTTTTTTAACTAATTGCTTAGGTGCTAAAATAGAAGCAGTTAAATACCCATCAAAAGCTTTGAAAGAGTCAACACAATGATGCGTAGGACCTCTTTTATGATATGTTGTTGCATTTTTAATAGTAGAGTTTACACCTGAAGTAGGTCCAATTCCATTATTAGGTCTAAATATGCTTAAATTATTTTTTATATGACTATTATTTCTATCTAAGCTATACCAAGATGAATCTTTTCCAGAAAAATTAAATACATTCCAGGTACAAATGTATCCATTTTCAGATCCACACACAATCATATCTTCATTTATAGACATCTCTGCTGATATTAGAGTTTCTTTATTAACATGACCTTTGTATTTAGCAAATGTTGATACATCATTTAAATTGAAAAGGCGAATTCTACTATCATTTGTTGTAACTAAAACACCCTTATTATCTTTTTTCCAACAGAGTCCACTAACTTTTCTACCTTTTGAAGATTTACCACGCCTATTTCTACAATCTATATCACAACGATATTTTAAAGTTCTTGTATCATAAAATGCAACACCTCCATTCCGAAAACCACATGCAAGGTAATTCCCATTAGGTGATAAAGATAAAATTGTGACCAAATCTTGAACTCTAATAATTTCTACTGCTCTAACTTCAACAAGATTAATAGAATTATCTTCAGATAATATTCCAACTAATTTCTTTGAGTTATTCTCATCACTTTTTATTTTTGAATAAATACGCCAAATTTGGACTGATGCATCTAAACAACCAATAAATAATATATCACGTTGTGAAGGGTGGAAAGTAGCTGAAGTAGGCCAATCTGAGCACTGTATTATTGCATAAGGACCAGTTTGTGGTGCTTTCCAAAGCTTTACTGTTCTATCCATGCTTGTTGTTAAATATCTATGCGATGGATATAGATTTTCCCATTGAATTGATATAATTGCATTGGAATGAGCTCTTATAGAATAATCTGCTTCGTTAGCAAATAAGAATTCATCTGCAATATTTGGAGTTTTGTTTTTCATTTCTAAATTGTTTACATCAGAATTGTCATGAAGGTTATATATTTTAGAGTTGTCAATTCTATTATCTCCTGCTTTTTGAGCACTTTTACACTTTTCTATTGACTTATTTTCTGATTTATCATCCATTTTTTTCTCAAATATATCTAATTCAAACTCTAAACATTTCCAAAGTCTAATAAACCCATCTTGGCTCCCAACAGCCATCCATTCTCCATCAACACTTACAGATATTTTCCAAATTGGGCATATATAAGGTAAGGAAATTTCTCGTATTAACCAAACATTACCTAAAATTCCATTCATTTTCTTCTTAGTTTTTCCATTTATCTGAGATCTTGTTGAAACTAAAATAGGTATTTTTCTTTCTTTCATTCCCTTACGTAATACTAACTGCTGAATTTTCTTAGGTTCATGATATCCAGAAATATTTGAACTATTATATATGTTTCTTTCACAAATATTAGGTTTATCATTATCATTTAGTTCAGTAGGCGTCAATTTTAATTCTGAACAATTTGAGTGTCCCAACTTATGAATAAAACGATTCTTATTCCTATTATATTGAAACCTCTTTTTATATAAATCTGATAAATTTGATATTATATCAGATTTTGCAAGAAAGGATACCTGAAATTTTATTTTATTAGCTCTATTTGATATCCAATTTTTTGTATCTTCTAGTATATAAGATGAGGAACCAAAAGAACTTAAGGAATTTTCCTCAAAGAAATTTGGTATATTAAATGTTCTATCTCGAACAATCTTAGAGTAATTTTCTGCATGTTTAGGGCTATTTGAAGTAGAATCTTGCTTAAAAGAGATACATTTAGATGATAGTTCTAAATCTTTTATATCTCTCAAATTATCTAAGTTTAGCAAGGTATTCACATAAACCCAGTGTTTATCTCTTGATGACACCATTTTAGAATGTTCACTATCTTCTATCTCTGGCCATTCTAAGTTGTCTTCAGTAAAAAGTGAGAATTGTTCATAATTTCCTGATTCTTCTAAAGATAATGAATCATCATCTCTATCAAACCCATTATTAATATTTAATATCTCATCATCAGTATTTGTATCACTATCATATTCAGGAAAATTTAAAGATACTTTTGTGTTCATATTATTTTGAATTTTACCAGTAAAATTATCTGTTAAATAAATATTGTCAATATAAGGATTCTGAAAACTTTCATCTACACAGGATCCATTATTTGTTTGATCACTAATTTCTGCTTGAGAAGTACTTAGTAATTCATCACTTTTATCCTGTTTTGTAATACCTATTTCTAAGTCATCTGAATTGTAGTAATGTTCAACGTGATCTAAAGTAGGAAGACTAGCAAAATACTCACTTGATGACATTCTATTACTATCTAATTGTATTTTATTAATATTATTTGTACCTTTATTAAATGTTGCTGTCTCTAATTCAGTTGATAAACTACCACTCCCATCCCCCTTATTAAGGGAATACTTTTTAAAAACCTTATTCAGTTTATCATTAACATCCTGAACTGCCAACCCAATATCTAATGTTAATTTTTCATAATTTAACTTATTCTCAGTTTTCAATGAATTATTTGGGTCAGTACTATTAGATATCTCCTTTTTTGGTAGATCTCTACAAAGAAGTGAGTATGAGTTTTCAAAAATATCGCTCACTGGATTCTTACTTTCTTTAGAATCCATTTCAGCAAACAAATTAATATCATTTAATGGGAATATTCCAGAAATATGAATTTTACTGTCTATATCTTCTTCACTAATACATTCTTGACAGTCAAAAAAAGGTCCGTCCATTAGGTTATACCCTTATTCTCATTCAAAATAATGAATAATCACAAATACTATACGGCATTTGAGCCTATTTAATGTCAATTGACATAAATAATAAATAGCTGAAAATTTTATGTAGTACCGAATATACTTTTCTGTATATACTATATCGTAAATACTTTAAAATATATGGTACCCAAGGTACCTTGTGGAGGCGCCATATCTGGCGCCTTTAGATATATTACTTATTTTACATGTAATTAGAATTTTTTTTAAATACCATGTATTTATATATTTAAAAAGGATTTATGATAGAAATAGGATTAACTAGGTTTTTTAAGTTCATAAGTATTATAATTTTAATAAAGCTAAGTTTTAAACATATTTTTGCTCAAAGTACAGCTAATTATAGACATGACTTTGGATCATCCACTAATCAAGGCGAATTTTATGGTCCTAGGAAAAATAAGGATAATTATAAACCTTTACCATGGCCTGATAAATTTCCAAGGTTAGATTTGAATATTACAGATATTTTAGAACTTCATAAAATGACGAATAAACCACCAGAAATGGAACCTATATTAACCTCTGGATCAGGGTCTGGAAAGGCTCCTAGAGTCATGCAAAATCTCCGACCAATTGAAATTAGATGTCCAAAAGGGTGGTATCCATGGGGACCACTTTGTATAACTGAAGTATCTTTAGGTCCACGTACTGAGTGTTTTGGAGATTACAGTAGAATACTTAGTACATTACCTGGTGGGGAATCAAAGCAATTTTCATCATATCCAGGTATGAATTAAATATATAAGAACAATTGATATATTAGATTAAAATTTATAAATACTTACAGGGTTGTGCCAGACTTATAAAACAATTGGTCCTTCTATGTCGTGTCCAACTGGTATGAAACTCCGATTAAGATATGAAACCGAAACTAATAGTAACACTGGAGAAATTACGCCATCAGTTCTATCATGGGCTTGTGAAGGATATAGTGTAATTCCTTATGAGGTAAGAAATTCTCATGTATAATTAAATATTGCTAGGTAATAAAGAAAATTCATATTTGTCTAATTGTACTTTTTTCTTCAGCCATATAATAGAGGTTTTTGCCCCTCTGGATATAATCCCTCATTTGAAGGATGTAAAGCTTTTCAAATTATTCCTCCAACTACTAGCTGTCCCTCAGATACTGAAGTGACAATTAATGAAAATTTATTTGCTTTTCATGGAAAAATTGAGCTTGAATGTAATATAGTAACTTTCACCAAAGGAAATATTTGGTGTCCAAAAGGTTTCAATTTAATTTCGCCACCTGAAGTACTGGACAAATACGAATTTGGAGAAATAATTCCTAAAGAGTTAGCTAGAGAATTATTGTTTGGTAAAGATCCAGATAATAAAGACAATCAAGATGTTGAATTTTTATTCTTAAATGAATATTTAGGAACAAAAGGTAATTCAGCAAATAATACAAGTTTATCCGACTCTGACTTCAAAGATGTAATTCTTGATAGTGGAGAATCTTCAGGTGATAAACAACTTCATATAGAGACGTTTGATGAGGGAACTAAATTTACAAACAAAGTGATTCAATCATATATTGGAACTTACAATACCACATATTTATTTAGTAATTCTTCTAATAATATTAGTGAAGAGGAATTTATTGAAAATATTTCATTATCACTTGGTAATAACCCATCATTGAAAATTCCTAATAGTAATGTAACTTATAATACAACGAATTTCACAGATTCAGAAGTCAATAGATCTAAATCCTGGATATTTAATGCATCTAATGAAATTCCCAGAAATCATTCTCCAATAAATATACGTCATTTACAAAGTGTTGGAGGGTATTTCGGCCTTCAACAAGAATTTCAGAATGGTGGTGGAGGTGTTGGATCAATTGGTGCACCCTCTGGTATAGTTTCAGAAATTATAGAAGAAGCCGAAATGTCATATGATGAATATGTAACTGAATCAATAAATCAAAATCAAATACCTCTATTTAGAGCAATTAATAAAGCTCAAAGTAGTGAGAATTTCTTAAGAGACCCTGTTTGTTCAGTTATAGTGGCTGTACATGCTAAAAATTGCACACCATTAGAATGTAAAAATAGTTATATCAAGCATTTAAATAATATATTAAGAAATTGGGCTGCTATAGTTTTACAGTCTGATCCAGATTTAGGGTCTAATCTAATTCCTAATGGTAAGGATATTCCTTTCACTTCTGCAGGATAGCTATCCATTATAATTTAAAATCTAAATAAGTCCCATTTCCATATATATCTAAGCACTTCTAAGATCTCTCTATACTTAATCAAAAATATATCAGTGCTTACATATCCAAATCCCAATATCCAGGAGGAGATTTCGTAGGTGCATAGAGATACCTATGCTTGCCTGATGAAGCCAACATAGATTCTTTCATGTTATGAGAGCAAGCAATTGAAGAGAATGATTTATATAACTTATTTGTATCAGCCTTATTCTTTGTATCTGAATCAAATGCATTGTAGAATTTTGTACATTCCACACACTCATATGCCGGAAGATTACATCGATTTTCTACTCTACCAATTTCTCTGTACTTTATTGTTTTTGGTTCACATTTTTGTTTTAATTCATTATTATATTGAGCTGTTGGTGAAGATGGTTCTTCTGGACTTTTTAATTGAATTCTCCGAACCTTGCATATCTGTGAATTCGTTCTATTCGGAGATTTAAAATATTCTCCACAATTATATGATGTATCTATAAATCCCTCAGGAGTTTTATTACTTGCAGCTGAGTGATATCTATTTTGAGATAATGATGTAGAATTGCTTATATTAGTAGAGTTCATAGATATTCCAGATCTCTGCATAGAAATCTTCATTTCTTCTCCATCTACATTATATTCATGTACCTGAATTCTTAAAGTTCTATTCTCTAGCCTTAACCTACTAATCTCGTTTAAAAGTGCATCTTTCTCACTATTCCATTGTGCTTGTGCAGCCTCCAATAAATCTAACGAACTCTTCAAATAGCAAGCTACCTTCTCTAAAGGAAAAGTGTTCAAAATATCTTCTGTATTCACTTGGTTCTTCATTTTGATCTTCAAGGCATTTATAATTCGGGCGATACAACAAAAAAGTAAAACAAAAATGTGCACCAGTACAATAAAAAATACAAAACGTTATTTGCGCGCCACAGTTACGTGAATATGCAGCAGAGTCTGAATATTATACTTCTTAGTAGAATCTCTCCTTATAAATAGTTATGATCACTTTAAAATATGGATAAAATAAGTAAGGAAGATTTTGAAAGTTTTATATATTATCCATTTAAATCTACTAAAACAATTGTTACTGATTGCAAATCTGCCTTTTCTCCATTTGAGAATATAGAGACCAAGGTACCATTTGTAGATTTGTCTAGAATTCCTAAAGATATTATGAGACTATTTTCTCAAAATAAAAATCCAAAGGAAATTCAAGTTGAAGAATCTGAAGATTTTGAAAGCTTATCAGAAGGCTTAAGTGAAGCTTCTGAGATTGAAGAAAATCTTTTGACATTTTCATCCGATATATACGAGGAAAATAAGGAATATTTCGTTAAAGAAAAGTTAAAAGCAAATCAAAATATCTTGGAGATCAAATCTTATCCCCCTACTCACTTTATATGTTTACCATTTGATTCTAAAGCTGGTAATTTTCATGAATTATTTAGGAAATTTAAAGATAGAATCTTAAAGTCTGTGGAATTTGGAGAAGTTAATAGTGAATATTTTATTGGAGAATCTAGACTTCATCTGACACTTGGACTTGTATCATGTGAAACACCCAGTAAAATTGAATCATGCATAAAAGCTTTGAAATCTATACGTGAAAGTGAAGAATTTAACTCAATTGCAAATAAAATACGAAAATCTGATGGTCTAGGCATAAAACTAAAAGGTTTGTTCAGTTTTGGTAATCCAGAAAAGACAAGAGTTGTATATACAGTAATTCAAGAGCATCAGATAGAAATTTTAATTAGAAGACTATGGAATAGAATTTTGGAACAATTAAAGAGATATGATATTAAATTGGTAGATATAAACTCATCTATAAAATCTGAAGAATTTAATAATAATTTTAAACCTCATATAACTTTGATAAATACAAAATATGGTAAATATAGAAATAGTGTTAAACATGAAGATTATAAAACTCATAGTAAAACTATCAATGTTACTAACCTTTTGAATATGTATACTTATACAAGTTTTGGAATAGGTTATACCACATGTATTCAGCTAAATGAGTTAAGATCCTATTTAAATTTACAGAATAAAGGTGTAGATAAAAATATATATAACAGTGACAAACCGTATAATTGTATTTACTCTCTAAAATTTATCCAATAAATAATAATTAAAACATTAAAATTTGAAGATTTAGATATTAATTTCAATAAACTATATACAGCTGTTATAAAATAGTAACTTTCGAGAAATATTCTCAACTTACCAAAAAACTTTAAAATATTTAATATATGAGAAAGTCTTATATTCCTATGATATAAATTTAAGAAATATAACAGTATAATAGTTAATAAAATTGTGAATTACTGTCATATTTATCATGAAGTAGCCTGTTCAAATGCTAAATTTAATAATATATGAAGTATTTTTTATCTCAAACTAATAGAGCTTATTATTAGTATTTTGTAAATCAAACTATATGTTTAAATGTCGTATGTCTGCTATTTAAAGCGAGATCATTAAATATAGAAATTTTATTAAAACTTTTAATTTTACTACTATTTTTTGTTGTATAGAACTCACCAATTTATGAAAAACAAAATAATATAATCAGATTGAGTTATTGTATGAGGTTGTGCAGATTTTATGTAATTTAGAAAATCAATATATTTCAGATTTATTTTTTGTAAATTGATAAAATATCTTTTAAAGATTGATATTTTATACAAATTCAAAGAAAAAAATGGAAAACCCAATAGAAAATGTTATTGAAGATTTTTTTAACTTTTTATCCCTTTGGATATATTTTCATTGGAAATGCCTCTTATATTATGAAATCTCCTAAAATACTCAAAATATATTACTTAAGTAACAAATAATAATGAATTTTATATTTTATTTTTCTTTACAATTGAAGTTTTAAAAGTAGATCCTAAGCTATTAACCAGTATTTTTCTAAAAAAGAACTATGTATCATCACTAAAAATATTGTATTAAGATTTATAGAAAATACATCCAGATTTATATTTACATCAATATAATTTTTACAATATTTATAATGTATTGCCAATAATAGCCAATATTTATTAGTAAATCCTAACCTTAATAACCTCTAAAATATCATATATTAAGAAATTAAATGAAATAATAAAATCTAAGATATACATAATATTCACTTTTTCTTTATCCTCTTCTTAAGAATTTTTCTTTTAGGTTGTTTCCTACTGTTAGAATAAGTTTCATCACTATCAAAAAGATCATCTGAATCTATATTAGGTGACAACTCAGAAGAATATTCAAAGTCACTTGGATCCTCTTTCAAATTATTAATTTCCTCCTTTGAAGATTCCTGTACTTCCTTAGGAGTATCTTTAGCTTTTTTTTCAGAACTTTGTTTCCGAATTCTCTTTTTATCTTTATTAGTATTAGTATTATTTAAACCTTGTTTTTTAGGTGTAATAATTGCTTTATTACTTGTAACTTGTATCCCAAGTGGCTCTTGGGAGCCAATTATAGTAACAGGAACTGAACCACGAGGAGTAGAAGGTTTAACTATATTCTTCTCAGCAATATTAGCTGGAATCTCCTCATATGTAGCATTTAAATGTTCAGGAGAATTATCTTTTTGCTGTACAATATATTTATCGCGTTTATTAGGTTCTAAGTCATGCTGCAAGGCTTCTCTTAATTCTTCAAATTTCTTAAATAAAAAACCTACTGGCCCTGTATCAGCATAACTTAATTGACTATTTAAATGCTCCTTCAAATTATCAACTTCTTTTGATTTTGATAAATTAGGATCCAACTGATGATATTTTACGAGATTAAAAATGCAATTTCCTTGAATAATTACAGGTTCAGTTCTTTTATCATCAAAAATAAACATAGCTGTATTTACTAAATCCCTAGAATCAGTTGTTAAAGTATCAGATACAGTCAAAAAATTCCCTTTATAATTCTTGAAACTAAAATGTTGAAATAATCTTATATTCAAGAGTTTTATACTTCTAATATTAGAAGTTGATAAAATTATAGATGCACTAGATTCTTCCCAAATAATACTTGTAGTCTCATCTGTTTCATTTATTATATCTCTTAATGCTTTTCTTATTCTATCTATATCATTATTGGATGATGCTATACAAGGAAATCTTAAAATAAAATTCTTATTATTGTCATCTATAGAATTATCTACACTCTTAACAATCATATTAATAGATTCCATAGATGGCATTAACTTTGGTGAAAATAATGATGCAAGCCCTTCAGCAAAAATTCGGAGACCAGAAGGGTCTGGTACAACAGTTAAGACATGTCCATAACATTGAAGTAAACCAGATGAAGTAGTAGCCCAAAAATTCAATGCATGTGATTCTGAATGAAATTCTAACTGAGCCATATTAACTGGTTTATTAATAATACAACCTTCAGGTTGATGTAAAACATTTACAGCAAAATTTTGAGATTCTGTTGTAAATACAGATACAAGTCTCTTAATTCCCAAATCAGGAAGGCTTGTTGTAAGTGAAGAATCTAAATATTCTGAATTGCAGGGTGATGAAGATACAGTAGAATCACTTGTAGGATGAGGAGGTTGTATAGATAAATCACTCACATAATTCTCATATATTTTTGAACTCATAGAAGTTATTATATCTCCAATATCATGAGCAGATAAACAAGAAGGTATACCTAATAAAAGCAGAGTAGTACACCCTGAATACCATGGATTATCTCTAGGATGTATAGGATGAGAAAAACGATAGTCCTTCATCAAATATGATGGAGAAGGTGTTAAATGAACACCAAAATCAAAAAATGTTGGAAATTCTGTATTTAAAGTATTATAACGAATTATTCTAGGTATAAATGGAGGACTAATAGATGAATAAGTTGAAAAACCTCTTAGGTTTTTATTCTCTATATCATCTATTCCAAAAGCCTTTAATAACTCCATTACATCATTTTTAATATCATCAGGTACATCTATTAATAAATTATCTCTTTGTTTATGACCCCTTATAGGAATTATAACATCGAAGAAATCATCACATGGTATTGGTGATAAGATATCAGTATCCAAACGATCAGTCTTTGGGAGACATCTAACTACTTCCATTTCATTAATTATATGCTTCTTACTAGAAATATAGCCCATAATGAGTACTAAATATCAACTCAATTCTTATATAATATACTGTAAGTAATTATCTAGATATATTAAGAGGAAAAAGTAGTCTCTATGTAGTATCCGTATTAGATTGCATATATCCATTAAATCGAAAGCTAATAATCAATGTCAAATCTCCTATTTCTGATGTATTTCCTTCAATTATTGATGTCAAATGACATATATCAAATCCAATTTCAAATTTTTTTCCTAAAATCTTTCTAATTGAAGGTAACTATTATAAATTATTAAACTGTCCTAATACTTACCCGCTAAAAAGAGTGCATCAGATCTTGGGACAATTGTTATTCTAAATTTTGTCGCTCAAAACTTTTTTTATTTTTACTTTAATTACCATATTTCTAGATGAACATATGAAAAGTATATTACTTACTTTTTCAGAACGATTAGTTAGTGTACTTACAACAGATGGAAAAGTCTATATTGGTAGCCTTAAAGGTTATGACCAATTGACAAATATTATTTTGGCAAAGTGTAGAGAAAAGGTTTATGAAGCTAACAGTAAAGTAATTAAATATATAGAATTAGGGTTATTTTTAATTCGAGGAGATTCTATTGCACTTATTGGAGAAATTGAAAGTGAAGATCCAGTCAAATCAGCTATAAGTGAGGAAGAAAAAAACAAAAAGATCAAATATGACTATACGTAACATTTCAATTAATACATTCAATTGTTCCAATTATATATAATCTATTAATTACACCATTTTAATTCTATTATAATTTTATTTTTAATAGTTTAAAACTTTAATTTGAGTTATAATACTGTGAATCCATTCTAGATACTTTATACTATGTAAAAGATTATATTAATAGCTAACTGATTACAAAAAAAAATCTATTTTAGCTATGATATATCCTTTTTGATATTAATATGGAATTAATATTATTATTTAGGTATATATTCCTAAATTTCTAGTAATTTTGGAATTCCTTAGAATTTTCAACTTTTTTTATAAAGTAATATATTGGACATTTTATTTGTATTAATCTTTAGGTAATTTATTTTTGAATATTATGGTCTTCAATAATTAACTTTGTCTCTATAAAAATAATAAGTTCGTTTATTCCTTTTTTTTTAAGAGAATTTGGCGCTGGCGTAAAAAATTGCATGTAGTTATTTAATAAATTACTAATTTTTAGAGAATTATATAGTAGAATTAATTTAGTGAAGATATTTATAAAGAAATTGAATAACTCTCAAGGCTAATTATGATCACTATGGACATTTAATTAGTACTATACGGTAATGATATTAAGTATCATTTAGTATTGATATGCATTGTGTAATCGAGATCTAGACGCAATATTCGATACAACAGCCCATGCACTCCTCAGAAGTGCAGTAGTAAAATCAAGAAATTTTATTAGAAGATAAAGTAAAGAAAAAGAGAAATGCGCTTTATAACAGAAAATAATTTTGGTAGACTATTCCATATCCAAACAACAGGTGGATTTGGTGTCCCAAAAAAGGCTGGGGAAAGAGTTAAAGTACGTTTTGAATTATTGAGAAATACCGATACTAAAAATATTTTAGATGACAATTATAGTAAAATTAAATTACCAAATGATTGTAAATGTCAAATATGGTTGATGGATGCAGCAGGAGAATTTTTAGATTGTGTAGATTCTGAAAGTGTATCAGCTTTAGATGGTAATGTGTTTATCACTGAAAATAAAAATAATTCAATGCCAATTGCTAATATTGATCTAAATATTGTTCAATCATCTGGTTGTGGGATTATAGTAATAAATTTAGTAACAGAATCTAATATATTCTCATTACTAGAAGAATTAAATATAAATATTGATATTATTAATCCTAAAGAGAAACGTAGAGCTAGTGATATTTCATTTGAATCATTTAAAGAAAGAGATATATGGAATATTTTAAATTATAGCCCAATAGATGAATTTGTATTAGATGAACATCTTGAAGATTGCAAAAATATTGCAATAGCAGCATTATTTGTTTATGGTAGTAGATGGCATATACAAAAACTTTCAAAAACATTATCTACTGATAATAAATATGATATTATTCCTGAAATTAAAGAAATATGTCATAATATAAATAATGAAATACTTAAAAAATATTCAGCTCCTACAGGATCTTTATGCTTAAGAAGTTTACTATTAGAGAATAAAAATATAGAAGATTCTTTACAACCAATGATTATTAGACATAAAAGTAGTATAACAGATTATGATGTAATAATTAAACGTTTAGAGGAAAGAAAACAAAAATTGAAGGAATTTATTAAAAAGAATGAAGGGAAATTATTAAAGGGGAGAATTTCTGTTAATAATAATGGTGAAGTTATATATATAAGTGATTCAGAAAATCAAGAGAATACTTCTAATAGTATTGAACCAAAAATTGAAGATAGGTTTGAAGAGAATTTGGAAACTGATATGTATACATTTGAAAGTACATGTAATGATATACAAATATTAAAACAAATAACAAGTGAACTACAATTACAATTAATTAGTATAATGGATATGTTTATGTCATCTTATCCTCCATCATTTACATTACAAGGATCAGGAGATCAGAATACATATACAGATGTTCTTATGGAAATACAAGAAATAGATAATAAATTAACACTTTATAAACAAGAAATGTTACTTGAAGATCCAACATTATCTGATATAAAATTAATGAAATCAAATGAGAATTTTCAAGATTTAAGGAATAAGATGGATCATCTTCAAAATACTATAGAAATATATGGTTCTAATGCTAGAGCTTTAATATTGGATAATATGGAAATTAAGGAAAGTGCAAGAACTGAAGTATTTCATAAAGTGAAAGTAATTGAGGAAAGATTCGATCATTTAAATAGTAAATTTTCCGATTTTTTACTTTGTATTTCAAATTATAAAAATTTGGATTATTAATAGATAATAGATTTAATTTATTTTATATAGTCTAAATTTTTTAGATATTTCTTTTAATATTCTGAGTAGATAATTAATTATTTTCTATTTTTTTTTCAATTATTTTTATTATGTATTAATGATTACTATAAGTAACTGGTATCAAGAGAAATACCTTCTAGATCTTAATGATTTAATATTAAGGATTATTGCAAATTTAAAATAATATAAATATAGAATAAAAATAATCTTAATGATCTTATTATTAGATTTCTTTTAAAATAAAAAATGTTTACATATTTCACCCAAAAAGATCGGGTGTCAATTCTGCACCCATGAAAAACTGAAATATATTACAAAAAAGATTCATAGAATATTCTGAAAATATTAGTAATATTGTTATTGTTATAATAATTTGTATAAATGTTAATTTTTAGTCAATTTGTACGTCCTTTAATTTTGACAATTCTTTTACCATGCATAATTATAAGTATTCTGGAGATTTATTATGTAACTCATAAGAATATATCGTGGAAAATTTTTGAAAGAATAATATTAGATAGCCCAAATTGGTGGATTTTTGGAATTCCATTGTCTGGATATGCATTAATTTGGGAAATTTCATTACTAGTTACTGTTGCATTATCTTATAAGGAACAATTAGGTATGAATGAAAAAGAATTTCAAGGCTATAGTGAACTCCAGAAATATCCAAACTCTGAAAAGTACCAGGATTTATATAAAGGTGGTTATGATTTAAATTCTGTGACTTTTTGGATTGATAGTATAAGTATTTGGAATAGATTAACATTTTTAATGGTAAATATTGCTATATATGTGAATTTCTACCTAATATTTTTAATGTACTTTCAATTCCAAACTTATTCAATTTTAACATTGGCAAATTTTTGTCTCTTTTTTATAATTTTTATACTTAATTGGTATCCTGGATTACTATCAAATTTTATGGAAAGTCTTAAACTTACTGGAATATGTTTTATTATTTCTTTAATTCTAATTTTATGTATGTATTTTTCGAATTTAGAATCTCAAAATAGTATTGTACCTTTTATTGCAGAAAATTTAAATATTCCAGTTTTAAGTAAAGAAGAAGATGAATTAAATAGACGGATTATAAAAAGGTTTATTGAATCTGGGGGAATTCTTTATGGTATGCATGGATCACCTTCTACTGCTATTAATGAAATGATATGGGGAAAATCATCAATACAACTTCTTAAAGATACTAAAAGTTATGTTGAATGTAGTTTTACAGTATTTCATAATAAAGAGTGGAAGACTTGTATTGAAAATCATATAGACTCATATCCATCTTGGGTAGTTGGTGACCGTAAAATAACTGGAATTGTTAAACCCCAAATTATTGCATTTGAAATTAATTTAGATTTAGAAAAAATGAGAAGGGATGTATTAATATATTTATCATCAGAACAATCAGTTCAAAATGATGATAATTTACAAAAAGAAATTGCTAATTCTGTGGATGATTCAGTTGTAGAAAGTGATGAAGAAACTGATCTTAATAAAAATGATACAGACTATAATGATGATAATATAGAAAAATCAAGTTCTTATGATAAAAAAGGAAAGTATAAGAAAAAAGGTAAAAAGTATAGAGAAGATAAAAAAAATGCAAATTTATTGAATATTGAGAATTTATATGACCAACCTTTACTTAGAGGAGTTACAAATATTAAAGAATCTTTAAAGGGTGAAGAACCTGAAGATATAACAACGCTCATAGAACCTCCTGATGAGATTGATGATAGACTTCAAGGAATGAAAGAGGAAGTAAGACAAGTGAGGAGTATTGAAGAAAAAAATAAAGAAATAGAATTACTTAAGAAAGAGCTTGAGGAACAACGAGCTATTGAATTAGAATTAGAAGAAGATACTGAGAAAGATGAAAATATAAGAGATAAAGAACAAAATTTAACCAATATTCTAGAGAATAAACCCACAGATTTACTACTAAATTCGAAAGTTCAGGATAATAATTCACCAAAATTATATGATTCAACTAATATAGAAGAGTTAGATTTAGAAAAAGAACATTCTGAAGTAGATCAATCTAAAACTCAAGAAACTGAAATAAATTTAAAACCTGAATTTAGAAGTGACTTAGAATTATGGAAAAGTAACCATCCTATAGAAGAAAGCAATGTTAAGACCCAAGATTTCTCTAAAAAAAATAAGGAATTTCCTAATCAATTAAATATTAAATCTGAACAGAATAATGAAACTGATACAAGTAATGGGGATAAAATTAAAGAGAATAATATATCGGAACTAAAACAAGAAGTTCAATTATCTAACACAACTGCAAAACACAATAACTTAATGTTGAAAAATTCAATTGATGAAATACAACAAAGAGATGGAGATAATGTGGTATCAGGATTTGATAAAGGAGATTTAAATTAGATTATAAGGATTGAAATTATCAGTAATTTAATCATTTATTTGCTCTATAATAAGTAAAGATATAAAAAATAAATTAGCTAAGATTTAAATAACTATTTTTAATAAATATTCTTTATAATTGAATATAATTTAAAACAATTGATCTTAGTAATTACTATAAGGTTATTTTATTATCAATATTTAGAGTATGAAGAATATTTTAATATTTACACAATTTTATTTTAGTGAAGATATTTGTAAAATATTAATATTTAAAATTTCTATCACTTTTTATAGAAATATATTTAGAATTTCACCTCAGATTTTTGTTTATATTATTATTACTATTATTAAAATATTTACTTTTGGAATAAGTTACAAAGAAATACTGTCGTATATAAAACTATTTTACATCTTATTGAATTATACAATACTATCAAGAATCTAATTTCCTAAATTTAATAATATAGATTATTAGATATTAAATATTTTGAAGATATCAAGTATCAGGAAACCTTAACTTTTTTCTTATATATACTAAAAAGATCAATGAATTAAATCTAAATTAATAATATTCTATAGTATATATTGAAGTCTCTGTATATGTAGATAATAATTAGTAATATATTGTAGATATAAATATATCTGGGAATTTTCATTAACTAAAGAATTTTATTACAAAGAATATTAAAAGAATATAGCTAAGTATACAAAGAAAGTGTATATATATATATAATAAGAGAACTATTTCAGTGATGTAATATTTGCATCATATCTTACAGAATGCTATTATCAATAAAAAATATATAAATTATACAATTACTTTTTATAAACTATTGGAGCATTTCCCATAGATTTAGGATCCATACTAGGAAAAAACCCTATAGATTTAAAAGAATCTTCAACTGTATCAGTTTTAGAGTTGCGATATTTCTTTATTTTTACGTTCTCTCCAGTTTTATCATTCTTATAATCAGCTAAATTACTATTTATATAATCCAAACTATGTTTTAATCCACTTGATTTCCCAATATATTCTTCTTTATTATCTGTTACCTTACTTTCATGTTTTCGAATATTCTTAGATAATTCACTTTTTAATATATTACTCTCCAAAATTTGTCTTCTTTGGATTATACTTTTTTCTAACTTTCTTATATAACCTTCATCATTTCCATTGAGCTTATTTTCTACAAAATAATCTCTATTAGCTATTGTATTAGGTATATTTGTTAGAGAAAGTAAACTATTATCTTTACTATGTTTAGCAATATAGTTGTCTAGAAGACTTAAAGGTATTCCATAATTAATATCGGAGACACATACCTGACAAACATTCTTTAGTTGGGCACAGGTCTTACAAATGACGGTTTGTTTATATTTATTTGAATTGTTAAATTTCCAACGAAAACTAGTGCATGGTCTATTACAGAGTTTACAACTTTTCTCATTATTAGATCTCACCATTCGAAGATACTGTGTATCACCTAGACAATTTCCACATGAGATAGGGAAATCACATTCTTCATATATTGACATTATTGCTGCAATTACAAAATTCACTTCTTATATTAGGCATTTGGTGCAACATAATTAGAGAAAAAAAGTAAAAAGAAAAACAAATAACGCGCTCTTTAGCGAGACATTCTATACTAGAGTAAAAATATCCGATACCTCCTCTTACAAACTAAAAATAATAATAGGCGCTATATAATAGTACTTAAAATTTAAAAGTCAATAATTGAATAAAAATTGTGGAAACAACTTGAATATCCAATACTAGCAATAATTACAATTAAATTTTAATTAATAGTTACTTCTAGAAGATGCGTATTGAGAAGTGCTGGTATTGCTCAAGTAATATATACCCTGGCCATGGTGTAACATTTGTAAGAAATGATGCAAAAGTGTTTAAATTTTGCCGAAGCAAATGCCATAGGCATTTTAAGATGAAACACAATCCAAGAAAATCAAAATGGACAAAGGCCTATAGAAAGACTCATGGTAAAGAGATGATTATGGATAAAACATTTGAATTTGAAAAAAGACGTAATTGCCCATTAAGATATGATCGTCAACTATATATTAAGACAATCAAGGCTATGCAAACTATTGACAAAATTAAACAAGATAGGAAAGAGAGGTTTTATAAAGTTCGTTTAATGAAGCAACAACAAGCTCAGAAAACTCTTGCAGATAAAGAATTAGAAAAGAATACAACATTACTAAAAGGACCCGAAATACCATTAACTGAAACGGTTAAGATGAGAGATGTATCATTAAATTCTGTATTACGTAAGCAAAAGAAGAGAATAGACAAGATAACTGAGAAAAGACAGTTATTTGTAAATGAATATCAAACTCAAGATGTTGATATGGTAGATGAAAATCATCTAGATTCTGAAGGTGAAATAGTTCTGTAATACTATTAACCAGGACTATATTTAATATAAAATAAAATGAAGATTATATAAAGATGTTAATATATTTGAATTAATTATAGAATAGTATCTTAGAAGCCATTTAATATTTTAAAATTTGTAGATATTAATTAGGTTAATTTTAACAAATTATTTTTTTCTTTTATATCTCAAATTGTCTATTCATTACTTTAATATATTCTCTATATTTCTACTAAGATTTTGATAATAACCACTCCTTAATTCATCTATTTTTTGAAGATGTTTATACTCATCAATGTATATATCTATATTTTTATTAATCTTATTATTATTGGGTAAAATTACTTGTAATATAAAATAGATAAGATTTCTAGTTAATATTGGGTATTTACAATCAGGTTCTAATTCTATAATTTCTGTTAATAGATCACATTCTTGAATTAAAGTATCAATCCACTCATTAACTAATTTTTCTGGAATATCCTTTAAATTCAACTTTGATTTATACTCAAGTATATTTAAATTACTTTTATTGTTATCTTGAATATTATATAATATAAATGAGGCAATTTCATTTATATCTAATTTTGTTTCTAATTTATTTTCTATTTGGATATCTCTTAAGCCAAAATGTTGGTTTAAGGAATTTGGATAAATCCAATCTACCTTGTTACTATATATTTGTCCTGATCTTTGGGATATTACTATGTTAACATAAATACTTTGTCTTAATTTAGCTTCAAATTTATTAAAATTTTGAAATTCTTCATCCACTATATATAACCAATTTTTTGATATAAGTTGTAAATTATTTAAATATTCTCTAGGTAATCTATTATTAATTAGTGGTTTTAATTTCGTTTTATTATTTACTATAATCCAAGAACCCTTAATTTTATATATTTCGTTATCTTCAAAGTATATATAAGATTTCTCAGTATCAATAGCACATGCTTGAGAAAATTCAAACTCAAATTTTGACTTATTACTAGATATAAAAGTTGCCTTTAATATATAAAAACAACAATTTATATAATTCACCTTATTTAATATTATTTTAGGAAATTTATCCTCTATTAACCATTGATAATATTGCCATATACTTTGATCATTTGGTTCTGTAAAAATAGCTTGATGTATTAAGTCTAACTCCAATTTTAAATCTTCTATATTTTCAATAATACTTAAATTTGGAGTATTATTCAAGAGTATCCTTTGATGCCAAGATGAATAATTGGAAAAATTATCTTCAATATATTGCTTTGTTAAAGCAATTTCTGATTTACCAATATCTCTAAATTCAGGATAAGAATTATAGATCATTGGATATAAATAACACATTCTAGTTAAACACGTTAATGAAAATAAACGATGATTCCAACAATGAAAATTACGATCATCAAATTGTAAAAATCTTTCACACAAATTTAATTCATCTTTAAATATCTTTACAATAGATAATATATGAGATTTAGAATAATTATCTTCTTTACTTAAATCTTTTGATTCTATATTCTTATTAATATTATATGTATCTTCAGAATCTTTATGAATTGTTTCCACAGAGTCTAAATATTTGTAATTATTAGGTATCTTATCATCATTATTGTTACTATTATAATTAATATCCTTAGTTTTGTCATATATATTTCTCCAATAATTAACAAAATAATTATTATTATATTTTATTCCTTGAGGTATATTATAATATTTACTCTTTTCTGGATCTATTAAGTATACAATTATCCATACTCTATGATACCATAATGAATAAGATTTAGGATTTCCAAATAGTAGATCTTCTGTAAGTTTTAACTCACATAAAATGGTATCAAAACCTTCTTTAGAATTAGAATTATATATATTTGAAATGTACCACTTCCTAAAATTCCATAAACTAGAAATTTCAACATTAGTTTTAAATATTCTTAATGTTAAATCCATTAATTTAGCAGGTTGTGTAGTTGAATTTATATTTTCTACACACTTTTCTAAAAGGCATTTTGCTTGATTTATTAATATCTTCTTTTCTTCTGTTAATATTAGTTTATTACTTTTAGCCCTACCGTGCATTTTAAACTTAAAATTTTTAAAAGTTACAAATTCACTAAAATTATGGTACCGTCTTTCACCGCTGTGTGTACACACGTGTGCATCTTTTCCAAATATTTAGATTAAGGATTATATAATTACATAATTTAAAAATAAATGGAATTCCAAAAATTCTTATTAATATATTATATATATTTATGGGAAATAATATATAGAATCTTTCCGAAACTTATTATAGATCAACAAATCATAATAAATTATTCATTTGTTAGATTAAAAGTTAAGGGAATTTTAAGTTCACTCCAAGATTTTGATTCACAAAGTTTTCGATCAGATTGGGGAAATGTAATTTCAGCATCTTTACAAGTATCATTTCCAACATCATGTATTGGAGATATAATTAATATGGGATATGTATCTACAGAACTTGATGAGGATGATTATGGATTTAATACTAATTGTTATGCAAATAGTGAAACAAATAATTTATGTTTTCCAGGAGAAAATATAGTTTTATCTAAAACTAGAGGATATATTCCAATTAAAGAATTAAAAATTGGCGAACATATCTTAACTTTTGATTATAAATCATTAAAAACAAAATATAGTGAAGTTATTATGATGCTCCACAATGATCCAAATTTTTATCCTGATGATAATTGGATTATAATAAAATATCTGAATGTAGATATACCTTTAATTTTATCACCAAATCATTTAATATTTAAATTAGATCTTGGTGATTTTCCTCAAAAAGGAGATTGTGAAATAAACACAACTATATTTTCTCATTTTCATAATATATATATAAATAATAAAATAGATCACTTTAAAGTTGTTTCTGTGTTAGCTAAAGACATAAGAATAGGAGATGCATTAATTATTAATTCAATTAATGGTATAATAGTTAGTTGGATAACTGATATTAATATTTATAATGTTGAATCTCAAAAATATTTGCAGCTTAAAGGACGTTATTCACCATTAACTAAAGATGGGCATTTAATAGTTAATAATGTATTTGTTTCAAGTTTTAGTAAACCATATCAATGGCCAGTAAATATAATACAACCAAATCATTTATTCTTATTTAAAATACTTAAACCATTTATATTCCTTCAGATATACATATATAAAATTTCTTACATTAGAACATTAATTCAATATATTATCAAATTTGTAAGTTATTTCTCAAATTATAAATATGATAATTCAATACCAGAAATTTTGCAATTATTAAGAATCTTCCTAGCTCCTATATCAAAAAAAAAATATTATTTAACTATAGCTTATATAATAAAATTATACCTCGTTATTTTTTTAATAAGTAATATATTTACAATGATATTTATAAATAAGATTTATTACAATAAATATTCTTTAAATTATCATAATTGCTAGATAATATTATTTAGAATTTTTATAAATGATCTTATTATTTATATATTTAGATCTAAAATTTCATATAATAAGAATATATTCTCTATTAATTTATTTATATTATCAAATTATTTAATAGAAATTGTCTCATAAATATCTTTAAATAAAATTTTATCATTTCCTTTATATATCAGAAATTTAAAGGTTATTTTATAAGTTTTACTTATTCTATTACTCAGTTTAATTGGAATGTTAAATAAAGTAATAATCAAAATATAATTTTTAAATATTATCAAAACTAAATATTATTTAAATAAAATGATATATTAGAATTTTATTTAATTAGATTTATTGTGATATTTTTTTAATAATATTATCGGGTACCCTTTAGATTATAGATATCAGGATCTTAAAAAACCCTTTAGTTTAATTTTAAGTACCTATATAACTTAAGTTTCATTTATTTATTTATCTTTCTTTTTTAACTTTGAGATTAAATTTGAGAGTATTATTTTTTTTATTAAAATTATAGCAATATTAGAATATAGGGTTTTTGAATACATATTTTCTTTCTACAGTAATAATATATTTTAGGATATTACCATTAAATACTTAATATTAATTAATATTTAAATTAATATGTTGTGAAAATAATAAAGGTCATTCTTATTTCTTCAAATTATTAACATATATGGATTATTTCTCGATTATACCACTTAATTATATTAATAATTTCTAGTAATAAATCACTTTTACAGCCGCCATACCCCCATCATTTACTCAATTTTTATCATTCTAAGTAATTATACATTGAATATATGTAAATAATTTTTAATATGACGGATACATCTGATATATTATCTTTTGGAAATATTAAAGGTTTAGGGCTTCATGACTCGGGTATTTTTAAAGCTAGTAAAGATCTATTTGGTTGGAAAAATAGAAGGACAAATGCAACTTATCATTATAAACCTGATGAAATATCTGCAGTACAATGGATACGTGTTGGGAATGAAGATAATAGTCACCAATTAAGATTATTTTTAAAGGAGAAAAAGGATTGTATATATTTTACTGGATTTAGATCATTAGATTTCCCAATTATTGAAAAACATTTTAAAACATATTATAATATTATTATTAAAGAATTTTCTGTTAATACCCAGGGATCTAATTGGGGTAATGCTATTATTGAAAATGATACTTTTTGTATTAAAAATGATGACAAAATATTAATGTATATACCAACAACTCAAATTAATCAAATAGCATTACCTTCAAAATCTGAAATGGTCTTAGAATTTAGTGGTGAAACAAATAGTGAGGAAAATGATGATAAACTTGTTGAAATTCGTTTTTTTATACCTAATATAGATCAAAATGAAACTGATAATAGTTCAAAAGTTGAATTATTAAGGAATCAATTAACTTTATTATCAGGAATAGGATCAAGTGGCTCAGTTGATAAAGTTTGTCGTTGGAATGATATTCATTTAATAGTCCCTCGTGGTAGATATGAAATTGAAGTTTTAGTAAATAGTATGAAATTACATGGTAAATCATTTGATTATACAATTTTATATCAATCAATATCTAGAATGTTTCTTTTACCACGTCCAGGTGTAACACATATAAATCTTGTTATTGCATTAGAAACTCCAGTTAGACAAGGTAATACTAAATATCCTTTTATTGTTATTCAATTTGATACTCAACAAGATGAAGATATTGAAATACCACTTAATTTATCTGAGAAAGAGATTCAACGTTTTAATGGTCTATCTACAGTTATGGTTGGTAGATTTTGGGATATTGTAACTCGTATTTTTAAAGCTTTAACTGGTCGTCCTATAGTTGTTCCAGGTGATTTTAGATCTGCATCTTCTTATCATTGTATTAGATGTTCATTTAAGGCTCAAGATGGATTATTGTATCCTTTAAACCGTAGTTTTATTTTTATTACTAAACCTGTTATTATGATTCGTTATGATGAAATACTTAATATTGAATTTTCTAGAATGAGTGGTAATCAAACAAGATTTTTTGAATTATTTGTTACTATTAAAGGTGGTGGGGATTATAGTTTTACAAGTATAGATAAAGCAGAGTATAATCCTTTAATTAAATTCTTACAAGAGAAAAATATTAGAATTAGGAATTTACAAGAAGCTATTGATAATAATTCACGTAGAAAAGGTAGTTCAAGGGAATCTAAGATTTCCAATAAATCTCAAACTCAAGTTATCTTAGGTCAAGATCTTCCTAGTGATGATGAAGATGATGAAGATTTTGAAAATAATGAAGAGACTGATTCATCTGAAGATAGTGACCTATCTGAGGATAGTGGTTCATCTGAGGGTGATGAAGACTCTTTATCAGGACAGGAAGATGTAGATTCTCAAGGTTATTCTTCTGATGAATCTTTATCTCCTAAAAAGAAAAAAATAAAGTAGAAAATTAAATAGTAATTATATCTATAAATATTTGTCTTTACTTTATTCTCTATAGTTTTCTTTGTTTTAATATAAAATAAAAAAGTCTAGAAACTAAAAATTTCCACTATTTTAATAATAGAATTTAATAAAAATAATGGGGGGAAAGGTATGTTATGATTTCTGGAATTGGCGCTAAAGACAAAAAATATTTATTTAAATTTACCCTAGGCTTAAGAAATTTAAAAAAAAAAAACTGAACTATAAAGAATTTCTTTTCTTTTTTTTTTTTTTTTTATCAATAATATAATTATATAGAATGACTGGGAAAAATCAAGAATTAGTAGATTGTAGATTCTATGAAAATAAATTCCCAGAACCTGAAGAATTTGTAATGGCACGTGTTAAAAGAATTACGGAAGTTGGTGCTTTTGTTAGTTTACTTGAGTATAATGATATAGAAGGTATGATACTTATGTCAGAACTTTCTAAACGACGTATTCGCAGTGTTAATAAACTTACAAGAGTTGGTAGACTTGAAGTTGTGGTAGTTTTACGTGTAGATAAAAATAAAGGTTATATTGATTTATCAAAGAAAAGAGTTAATCCAGAGGATGTTGAAAGATGTGAAGAGAAATTCTCCAAAATGAAAAAGGTATATCAAACAGTTCGTCATATAGCTCAACGTGAGGGTATATCTGTAGAAGAATTAAGTAAAAAATTAATTTGGCCTTTACATAAAAAATATGGTCATGCTTTAGATGCTCTAAAAGAAGCTGCAATAAATCCAGATGAAGTTCTTGGTGAATTTGATCTACCTGTAAATATTAAAGAAGCCTTAATTGAAGATATAAAGTTCCGTTTATCACCTCAACAATTAAAATTACGTGTAAGAATTCATGTATGTTGTTGTGGTTATGATGGTATAGATGCAGTTCGTCATGCTATTATAGCTGGACAAGAGACAGTTACTCAAGAAGGTATTGAGATCCAAGTAAAATTTATTTCTCCTCCTCAATATGTTATTACTGCAGTTTCTTTAGATAAAAATTCAGGAATTCAAGCTATTGAAAAAGCAATGAAAACAATAAAATCTGTTATTGAACAATATAAAGGAGGAGATTTTAAACAACAGGGTGAAATTGAAATTGTAGGAGGAGATGATGGAAGATTTGAGGGTGAATCTGATGAGGTAAATACTTCGGAAACAGATTCAAGTGGATCTTTTGATGAAAATGATGATGAAGATAATAATGATGAAACTATGGTACATATTGATGATATTGAAATTCCCTTTAATGATATTAGAAATGATGATGATAAAAAAAGAATCTAGATCCTAGTTTTATAACTTATTTAGATACAGGATAGATACACATATATTTGGATTTTATTGATTTTTTCGTACTTTATATATTCTAATATACTAATAATAAGAGAATATGGCTCTTATATATTATTAATTTAAGGAAAAGAAAAAATTGCATTTTTATACCGCGCTCTTGATTTACCGCCGATAATACTGGTATAATTGTAGATTATAAGTTGTAGGTTCCTTAATAAAATATTTAATTAGCTATAATAGAATTTCATGGGAACCTATAAATTATATAAAGTTTTTATCATGTATATGATGGTATGAAGGATTTATATTATATATATATATTCCTATTATTTAGATTACTTAGGAATAGTACGTGTATTGTATTATGAAGTATACAAGAATTAAAGAATCTTTGAAAATAGAAGAACCAAATATTAGTAATAAAGATGAAGATAAGGATACAAAAATAAGTTGTAATTGTTCTATTATTAGAACAATTTCGGAAATAATAAATACTAATAATGGTAATAATAATTATTCTCTCCGTCCTTCTATATTAGTATCTTTATGTTCAGCATTTTCCCCCTCACAAAGAGGATTAGTTGAGTCAGTAACTGATATCTTATTTTCTGAATTTTTAACTAAATCTAAAATATCATCAGAAGATGCATCATATAATCTATGTATTCAAAGTATGTATTCAGTATTATTATTGACAATATGCCATGTACATAATTTAGCAGAACATGAAGAAGAATGGTTTGTTGAATTTCTTAAAAATAGAAAATTTCCGATATTAACACCATCTGGATTTAAGTCTGAAATATTATTAAATTTATTCAATGCATTGTCCTGTTTTGGATCTTCATTAAAAAGACGACCTTCTAATATGCAAAGATTAGAAGTAACATTATTAAGGCTTGGAATATCTTTTTATATTTCATTATACACTATAATGGATCATTCATTTTCAACAAATCGTTTTGTAAGGGCATTAATTGTAGGAGTATATAGTTGGATTCATGGTACAACATCAAGAAGTTTCACATCTAATTTAGTATTAAATCAAAGAGGTCTTTTTAATAATACAAATACTAAAATAATAAAATCTAAAGAAGTAGTTCAAGATCACATTGTGAGAAATCTTATATCTTTATTTGATGACTTTTCAATTCAACTAATATTTGTTTATGGTTATAGACCACATAGTGTTACTTGGGCAGACATAGATTTATATATAAAGAGCACAAATGATCCCATTTTAGAAAATATATTTATATTAACAACAAGTGACAAATTTTTTTTAAATATTACACCTTCAATATGCTCATCATATTGTAATTATTGTAATCATATGAAGGATGATTTTACAATATTATCAAATACTCAATCAAGTATTATTAAATATAATACTAGTAGTACTAGTAGTAGTATTACTAACTTATCTGATGATTGCAATACAATACCAATAGTATCTACCAATTCTGTTAGTAATTCTTATGTTGAAGACATAGTTTCACAATCTGGGCTTACTGAATTAGAATATGATGATGAACTAGATTGTGATGAATTATTTCACTTTAAGAATAATATTGTTGCACCTACTAAGAATACTAATTTATCAATATCATCAAAATTACATGGTATTCCAGTATCCAATTCAGATAAATTATTTAATTTTAATAGGATTAACAATAAAGTACTAAATAATGGGAGAAATATACTAAAAAATAGTGTAAAGTTTGGTATTAATTTAGGTATTAAGAAGCATTCATCCTGGTCCCAATTTATCCACATGTTTGGAAATTGTAATATTAAAAGTGATATAGATAGTTGTATAGATATAAGTGACAAGTCTAGTAATCAAGACTCTCATAAAAAAGATCACCTTACAAAGTATTTAGTGGGGAAAGATATCTATGAATGTGAAGATTGTGAAGATCCATTAAATGTATTGTAAAGCTATGTAGTAATTATTAATTGAAGCAACTAATGTGTAAATAGCTAAGACTTTTATTAATAACATTAAATTCCAGTATTTAGTGGAAATACTGATGGTCTATCAGATATAGGTTTTGAATTTACCATGTTTGAATTGGATTGTTGTTTGGATGAACGCCTACATTCATATTTATAAAAATTCATTAGGGAAAGTCTTAGTATTAAATAATCTCATTACTCACTATAACTTACTTTGTTGTACAGAGGAATTGTTTAAATAATATGCTTGAGGTGCTATATAACATTTTCAAATATCTTTTGACAAATTACTACTGAGTATTTTAAATATTGTCTCAGATTTTTGATACAATATAAGCGCGCCAATTAAATACTAATTATATAGTACTTCAATATATATATATGTTTTTTTTTTATGAAATAGAGATTATTTTAATACTATAGATATTATAATGTAACATTGGGTTTATTATTTTGAAATTACTTAAAATTAAGAGATATTATAAATATATATCTCCATTATAATAATAATAAAAAAAAAGAAAGTTAACACCGGTATTACAAATTATAAATTAGTGCATATGGCGCCATGTAGTCTTTTTTTTTTCTGTTCCTTTTTTCCCCTTTCTTTCTTCTTTCCAAGAAAGTAATTATCCTTAACTATAATAATAAATATTTCTATTAAGTAATAGCTTACTTGGTTATTATTTACGAATTTAATATTTAATATTAAATATTAAGGTATATAAAGTAATTTATAACTATTAGCTTAGAAGTTTGACCCTTATTTATTGTTAGACTCAGAATAATTATTGTATAAGGGTATAAGGGTATTAAATTAATATTGAAGATGTATGATATAATGGATATAAATAAAGAGATGTTAGAATGTGCTAGATATGGAGAATTAGAAGAAATAAAGGCATTACTTAGTGACAGCAGGATTTTAGTAGATTTTGAAGATGAAAATGGTTGTACAGCCTTACATAAATCTAGTGCTAATGGACATGAAGAAATAGTAAAGGAATTATTAAAACTTGGTGCAAATATATCTAAACAGAATAATTGTGGAAATACTCCATTACATTGGGCTGTAACCAACAAGAAATTGAGTATTATAAAATTATTACTTAGTGACAAACGTCATCCTTCAAAAGGAGGTGGTGATGTATTATTAAAAAATAATTTTAATAGAAGTGCATTAACAGAAGCATTTGATATAGATAATGATGAAATATTAAGAATTTTATTAGAACACTCTTCAGCAGAAGTTTTAGAAGAAACATCAAATAACAAGAGTGATATATCTGAAACATATGAAGACTCTTTTTCCCAACCCAGAATTATTCAAAAAATTATTCATAATTTAGAATTCTCTAGATCTAATAATTTAATAAATAATTCAATAATTATTAAATGTAGAGAATTAGCTATAGAGAATATTAAAAAAGTATTTGATAATAATCCTGAGAATGATACAACTGGTATACATATATGGTCTAGTTCTATAGTAGCAAGTTATTGGATAGTAAATATAATAGAAAATAATAATATATTTAAAAATAAAAAGATATTAGAATTAGGTTGTGGATGTGGTCTAATGGGATTATGTACTGCAATTTATTCTAGATTTATAAGTAAACAAGATATAGATAAACTTATATTAACTGATGTGTCACGAATAGCCCTAGAAAATGTTAGATATAATATAGAATTAAATAATTCTTTATTGGGGGAATCAGCTAAGTCAATTTATCCTATGTATTTAAATTGGGTTGATCCAACAACTTGGCCAATAATTAAAGAGACAGGAGAAAAGGAATTATTTGATATAATTTTAGGTTCTGATTTAATATATGATGAACATATGGCAGAAAATATAGTATTCCTACTAAGGAATCTTTTAAAATTAGGTGGATCCTTTTTATATGTACATCGCCATGATAGACTAGGAGCTAATATATTAAAGGATATATTAGAAAATTTTGGATTTAAATGCAAAGAAATGAAAGCTCCTATAGAATATACAAAGAATCCATTAAGTAATATGGATCAATCTTTAGCAGATAATTTATTTAGTGAATTAGCTAGTGGGGAGTTTTATTTACTAGAAGCAAAGACTATTCTAGATATATGATTAAGTTAAGAATTTTGATATTTTAATATAGAACTTCTTAAATATTGAGACGAATAGGTGATGTATTGATAAATTTGCGGGAATATTACAGTTAACATCGAAGAGAGTGATATATATAAAAATATATATACCTAATAGATACCTATAAATAAAATTTTTATCTCAGGTAATTTAATATCTACTTTAATATAAGAAATGACTTTGAAAATTTCTATTGGTGTATTTTCCTTGGATTATGATGAGACAATCACCCAAATTGATACATTTGAAGGTGTTATATTTCAAGCTTGCAAGATTCATTATGAAAAATTAGGTAAAGATATAAATTTTAAGGAAATGGAGAATAATATTGTAGAAGTTTTTAAGAAGCATAGAATTGAACGTGAAAATTGGTGTGGATCTTGGTTACCTAATACTCCACTTAAAGATTTTAGATGTGATGAAATATCAAAATTATTTTTATCTCTTTCAGAATTTGAATCACATTTTAATTGTAAAATGGATAGTGAACTTATACCAATTAAATATCTTAATGAATATATTGTAAATAACTCATCACAAATAGCTCCTAAAGGGTGTATATTTAAAGATAAAGCACATGATACTATTCATTCTTTATCAAAATTTTCAAAATTATGTCTTATAATTTCTATTGGATGGTGTTCTGAACGTATTTTACAAACTGTTAAACCTGTAATATATGATGATAAGAATTGTGAATTAAAATGTATATGCAATGAGTTTTTATATGATTCTCCTAATGGTGTTGTAACTGCACCAAATGGTTTATATGGACCAACATGTAAATATCGTAGATTTAAGCAAGAAATTGAGGTTTATGAAAAGAAATTTAAGAGAAATGTTTTAAGTAAATTAAAATATTCATATTTATACAGAATGATGAAATATTATTTCAAAAATGAAATATATATACATTCAATATTTATTGGTGATAGTGTTACAGATCTTGAATCAATATTATTTGCTGAAATAGGGATTATTATTGGATATAATCCAAAATATGAGTTAAATACAGATTCAAATACTGTATCTACTGTTTCCTCACAGAGTAATATTGAAGTAGATGAAAATTCAACTATAAATAATTCTGAAACTGGATATCAAAATCAATTAATTCTTGGTGAATTTCTTATTAGAATATGCAAATTATTCGCAGTAAATATTGTTCCAATTGATTCTAAATATATATCTAGATGTATAGATTATGATTTAAAAGTTTACAATAAAATAAAGAGAAATGATGATGGTATAGTTAATTTGTCTAATTATGTGAGAAATGTACAAAGACTTAGATCAAAATATTCTAATACTTCACTATATAATAAGTTTTCTGGGATTTGTCTCATAGCATCTTGTTGGGATGATATATACAAATTATTCCATCAATAAAATTAGGAATTATATAATATAAAGATATAAAATAATATTAAAATTTGTGTGTATAACTTATTATTTTTGAATTATTTCTACAAATAGTTTTTTTTTTTATCTTAATAGAATCATTAGATATAAAGTTAATTGGTTATCCTTTTAATTTAAATTTGATTTTATAACAGAAGATTTACTATAACTTCTTCATTCCACTTCTTTTTTAGATCTATACGTGTCTCAATGGGTACCGAGAGAATATTAATAATTTTTAGTATCCTTTTTTATTTTAATATAATAATTTTCATATGAAAGTAGTAATACAAAAGGTTTCTAAAGCATCTGTTTTAGTAGATAATAAAATTATAAGCTGTATAGGACCAGGAATTGTGATTTTACTTGGTATAGGGGTTAAGGATACATTAGGGGACGCAGATTATTATATTAGGAAATGTCTAAATATACGTTTATGGCCAGATCTGGAAGATAATCAAAAAATGTGGAAATATAGTGTTATAGATAAGAATTATGAAGTTTTATTAGTATCCCAATTTACTTTATATGGGAATATTAAAAAAGGTTCAAAACCTGATTTTCACTACGCTATGAATGGAAAAGATGCATTAATAATTTTCAATAAAATAGTTGATAAATTTAAAGAAATTTACAGTGAAGATAAAATTAAAATTGGATCATTTGGTTCTCATATGGAATTACAGCTTGTAAATGATGGTCCTGTGACAATCTGTTTAGATGAAAAATCACAAAAATAATAAGAAAGTAAAGAATTCTACCAAGATTCTAATAATATACTCATGGTTTTACTATTTTCCATATATATATTTAATATATTTTATAATAATATTAAAAGGTATTTTCATCATATTTTTCATTTTCCATATATATCACAAATATTCATTGGAATAGCTGATTTGCAATATTATATATCTAGAATAATATTATCTGACTTCCTAATAATCTTATGCTCTCATTATTCTTAGTATAAACTTGAATTTTTAAGATTTTATTTATATACAACTCTCAATTATCAGAATATTTATGAAGTGATCAATATACTAATCATTATATTAAGTTTAAATGTTAATAGACTGGAATTAATAGTGGTTTTAATTTAAAAAAATTTAATTAACATCAATTAATTTGCAGTTATTTATTTTTATTCTAAGTTTTTTTTCTAGTGACAAGTGTTATGATTAGTAAACTTACTCAAAATTCTAAGAAAGTAGTATTCGAATTATTAATATCTTAATATGATTCAACCTGTTTATATCTATAAAATATTAAGATATTTCATAAAATAACTCAATGTAGTTTTGATATTTAATAAAGGCTAAATAAAATTTATTAAATTAATTGAATTTAATGATTGAGGTTGTAATTTAAGAAAATTATATAATATTACTAAAGATTAACTCTGGATTAAATTGAAATTCAATATAAAGTCCACTTTCAGATATTAATCTGGAATATATTGTAATTTATTCAAGGCTTAATTTATTCCAAAGAAAAATATCTTCAAAATTCTAGTATTATATGTTATTAAGTAGAATTTTGAACTTTTATTACTATTAATATATATTTAAATATTCAATATACCATTTTGAAATAAGTTTGTTGGAATTTCAATATTGATTAGCTTATTGAATTGTTCCATTAATAACTTATCTAGGGATTATCTTATAAATTGTATATTTTATTTAAAATCTAAAATTATGTTATTTATAAATAACTTTTATCCTCAATTTTTATGGCTCAGAACTAAATTTCAATAGAGGAAATATTCGTGGTTCCTTCTTTTAAATTTATTCTTCTAAAGTCACAAATTACTTCACGCTTAATTCTTCCCAAAGGTATTATTAAAACTTTAATATTGTATTATTTATACTAGCAAACACTGAACTTTTTAATAATTATTAGAGTTAATGTACGAAATTCTTTTATATTCTGCAATTAAATTAAGTATCATATTAATAAATATTTCTAGAAATTATAATGTAAATATACATTTATACAAAAACTTATATGAAATGATCTATATTTCTATCTTTTATTTTCTATAAATGTTTCACACCAATGGTTCTTTAATAGTTTCCTATTTTGCTCATATTATAAGCTCATTATTAGATTATATAACCCAATAATTTAATTATTATTAGGCTTAGAAAGTGGAATATTTGAAGAGAATTTGGTAGTTTCAAAAAATGGTTACTAAACTTTTTCTTCTATTTTTATTAAGTTGTATAACTTACAATTTCAGCTTAAATTTGCTTTGAAGGTTCAAAGTACTATTCAAAGTTCCTTACTTAGTAAACGAGAATCAAGAGTTATTTTTTCGACAAGAATGGATATATAAAATTTTAAAATAAATAATTTATTCTATAGTTTTATTTGGAAATATTGACTTGTAGAGCAGAGTTGATAACTTGAAAATATCAAATACACTTGATATATTATTAACTAAATAAAGTCATTATATATTATTATATATATTAGACTTGTATATTTATTATCTATATCAAATATATTTATATATAGATTGAGACAAGATCTATCTTAAAATTTTTAAGAAATTATTGACCCTGTTAATAATTATATAATGTCACGTGAGAGAAATGCATCATCAAGTCTTAAATTTAAAAAAAATAAATAATTCAAGAGTATGTATAATATAATAGCGAGGGTTATATATATAAAAAAAAAAAGAGACATGACTTTAATGTAAAAATTTACATATAATTTTTAGACTATATTCTATATTTTATATTGGGGTCAGACATATAAAACCGGTTAAATGGCTCGTTTAGGAGTGGGAAAAAAAAAAGAAAAAAATAATTAACCATTTGTTTAATAATATTGCCCATTTATGTACATTCAAAACTTTTTAAACTAAGTATTATATGCATAATTTGCAATCTATGCGTAAGAATAAAAGATATAGATCTCGTTCTCACTCTTTACTGGACTCAGTAGATAATAACAGCTTTGGTGATAGTATTGAATGTAAAAGAAGATTTAATAAGTGTGAAAACTTTGTAAGAGATACTTCAGGTTATAGCAAATATTCAAAATCACATAGACATTATAGAGATCATGCTGAAGTGGATCATTCAAGTGAAGAAGAAGATTTTCTAAGAAGAAAAAAAAATTACTACAAACAAAATGAAAAGAAAGTCAAGAATTACAACAGTAATGATGATAAATATACCAAATATAGATTTCGTAGCAAGGAATCAGATTGTAGTGAAGGAAGCTATGAAGGGAATAGAGGTTCCTTTGAATATAATCATTTCAAATATAAACGTGATTATAAATTAAAATACTATCGAGATTCAAAATATGATAATAGAACTACTACTTACAACCATTGGGATTCAAGTGATATATATAAGGGAAATAATAATGGAAAAAAAGAAAGATATAAAAGTGAATTTGATGCATCTAAAGTTGCGGAACTAAATAGGGTAAAACGTGATTTGGAAGTCTCAAGTAGAGATGACCTAACAGTTCTTGTACTTAATCTAAATTTAAATGCTGCTGAGTATGATGTTTATGAATTTTTTGCAGCGCATGCAGGAAATGTCCGTGATATTCGAATAATTAGAGATCAAAGATCTGGTAGATCAAAGGGTGTTTGTTATGTAGAGTTTTACACAGCTGAATCTGTAATTAAAGCCTTAAAGTTAAGTGGTCAGAGTATAATGAATAGTCCTGTTACAATACAAGCCTCACAAGCTGAAAAAAATAGGGCTGCAAAGTTAGCAAAATTACAAGAACTAGAAGCTGAAATAGTTCCATTAAAACTTTATGTTGGTGGTTTAGTAGATCATCTCAGTAAATTAACTGAAGATGAAATTAATAAGTTATTTAGAACATTTGGTCCTATTAAATCTGTAGAGATACCAAGAGATCCTCATACAGATAAACATCAAGGTTTTGCATATGTAACATTTCAAAAAACAATAGATGGTCATGAAGCTATGAGAGCTTTAAATAACTATGAAATTGCAGGACAAAGAATTACTGTAGCTCTTTCTGTGGATACTCCAACTAATAATTCTATTGGATCTACTTCAAGTATTAATGTTATGTCATATGCACCATCAATTTCAATAGATTTATATGGTGATACAGAAAAATTGGAGGATGTAGATGGTGGTTTATTAAGTGGAGCTTCCTCTCGTTCTATATTAATGAAAAAACTTCAAGAACGTGAATTTGGACGTACTGAGACTCAATTAATTCCTCAAGATGAAATACTAAAAACTAGTTCTAGATGTCTTGTATTAGGTAATATGTTCACTAGAGAAGAAATTTTGGATTCAAAAGGAGATATTGATATCATAACTCTTGAAGAAATAGAAAAAGATGTTGAATCTGAATGTAAAAAGTATGGTGAAGTTTTAGAATGCCGTATTGATCATAAAAAATGTGATGGAAAAGTATGGATAAAATATAAAGAAGCTATCTATGCTAAAAAGGCATCTCAAGCTTTCAAAGGAAGGTTTTTTGGTGGTAGACCTGTTCAAATAGATCTTGTTTCAGAAGATACATTTCCAATAATATAAAAATAAAGATTATAAAAATTAAATTTTAAATAATTACTTAGAACTTATATATGGAAAAATCATATTTCAGCATTAGCTTGTTCAGCCTCCCTTTCCCTTTTGGATTTTTTAGGAGCATTATCTCTTTGTGCTATTGTACTATTTTGAATTACCTTTGCCTTCCATTCTCCCCAGGCTGATTCCTGAGGTTGTATAGGAATAGCTTGATTTGGTATACTTGTAATTAATACATCTTCTGTTTCATGAATATCCTTAATTACAATATTACCAGACAAATGAACTTCTGGGGTCAATTCATTTTTTTCAGTTTTGAAAGATCTGAAATCTCCGCTATTCTCTGAAATACCCGATTGACTATGCTTAGGAGTATCAGGTACCTCAGAACCACTACTAGGAGTCATCGAAATTTCCTGATTTCCTAAATTGGTATTTAATATCCCCATACAAGTATCCATACAATAAATTTTACTTGAATTTTCTTGTTGCTTATGTAGTATGCAAATAACAGATTCAAGCTGCTTTTGTTTTATATATGGTAAGTATTCAAATTCTTTAATTATTGCTGTTACAGATAATTCAATATCCTTTTCTGTATCATCCTTAATTATAGATATAAGGAACTTTAAATTATCCATATTTAAGCTTTCAATCTTTGATTTAATAGATTCAATTTCAACTTTATATTTATTTCTTAGTTGAATAGAATAATAGTAGGGATTAATTTCGGGTAATTCACGACATCTTTGTTCAAATTCACTTGCTAATTGTATAGCATCTCGCCTTACACTATTATTTGGATCCTTATGATATAGTAAAGCATTATAAAAAACAAGTCTCATATCAAGCTGCCATCCAAATGGATTCTTGTACATTCCTTGTGACAACTTCTCTCGAATTGTTTGAAAATCCATAGGATTTTGTACAACACTGAAATAGTCAGGTACACCATCTATTTCAGGATCCACTGGTTGTAAAAACCAACCTGCATTAGGATGTTTGCAAAGTTTTTCTAACGTAGATAAACAATAACTATTAAAATCTACTATTTGTAGCTTCTTAGTTTCATTCATAGTTAAATTAGTATCTCTACCATTACTACTAATACTACTTGATGGTGCTCCTAATGTACTTCTGCGAGTTGTTTTACCTTCAAAACTTGCATCACTACCTCCTGTAGAGATCTCTCTTAAACGTTTATTAATAGTTCTATATACTTGACGAGATTCATCATCTATTTCTGATCTACTTTTGTTCTTCTTAGATCTTTGAGAAAAACAATTTGTAGGAGATATAGTAAAACCAAATTCAGGACCTATTTGTAACAAAATCCACCGCAGTTCATCCAAATTTAAACTTAATTCACCTCTATAACAATTCTTACCATTTATTTCAATATCTAACTTATGGTTATTTACCTGAGATCCCATCTAACTTTTTATATTATTGTTATTTACAGGAAATTTCCAAACTATTAGCTAATGCATCTTCAGCGGGAAATCTTGGAATACGTATTATTTAGATGAGATAAAATTTACTAAAATTATGTATTTGTAATATAATGCGCTGAAAATTAGCTCTAATAATTATACTAGCTACTTATTAACAAGTATTCATGGATAATTTCCTCATCAATTGGACAATTTCTAGGAAATTATGTACCTATAAATAAACATGTTTTTTTATTTAGGCTCTATAAAGTAACCAAAAATTATAATTCAAGGTTTTTAGGTTATTTTATTATATTTACTCCATTTATGTTTCATGACAGAAACTGAAAAAATTTTATCAGATGCTTTTACTATAAGGAAACTTCTACTATCATGCCAAGTATATGAAGAAGATATACAGCAAAATATTATTAATTATATATTACAGAATGAATCTTCAATATCCAACTCAAATAGGCTTTTATTGTTATGTAATATTGTTAATAAAAAAATAAAACGCGATATTCTAAAACAGGCTAGCATAATACTTAGAGTTTTTTCTTCAAAATTAGCAATTATACCTCTGATATGTGGAATATTTAATTCATCAAAATCTTCAGTTGCTCTTAATTTGGCATATTATCTAAATATTCCAAATGTTGTCTTAACTAAAACTGTTAGAAAAACTCTATCAATATGTTATAAATCAACTATTAACGAAAATATTCAAGATATTGAAGATTATTATAAGGAATGTAATGATTTAGCATGTGGCTTTCTTGGTGATATTACAAAGGCAATAAAACAAGGTAAATCTGTAATATTCTGTGGTTTTCATCTTAATTTCCCATTATTATTTCAATTAAATTCTAATTCAATATTTCCACAACCTATCTTTGTAAATTCAGAAGATTCTCAAATATCATTTCCAATATATTTTAGACCATCAGAGAATAATTCAGCTAATGTATTATTTATACCTTTTATTTTAAAATTAGATAGGGAAGAAAATTCTAGAATTTATCATGAACAATATTTATATCAGAAAAATATGATAAAAACTTTAGAATTTGAAGATCAACTTATTCAATCTATTTTACATAATAATCTAAATTTACCTATACATACTGTCAAACATAATCCAAAAAGACCTGAAATAACTTCAAAAGAAATTCACTCAATTATTTTACATAGTTTAAATTGTTTAGAAAATAAGATTTAAAGCTTAATATATTAATTATTTAAATTTTATAATCACAAAATCTTAAATCTTAATTTACTTAAGTTTATACTCTAATATAGTTGGTAAATATCGTCCTGTATCATAATTAACACTTTTCCAAAGAATTATAAATATGTTCGTAATATAGTGAAGTATAATATTCTAAACCTTTTAATCTAATCATTTTTGTAATTATATTAATAACTTAAATATGGAAGATTCAGAAACTACTATTGTTGAATTTATATCAACTATTGCTTCAGTAATAAAGTATGCAAAAGAAGAAGATTTTTATAAAGATGAACGTTCTACTAAAGAACTAGGAAATGCTCAGTTTTTTAAAAATTTAATAAGATTAGTACAAAGATGTTGCAAACTTAACCAATTATTTTCAATAAGTAATGATGTACAACAATATAGTGATATAATGAATTCTATACCTAATATTCACGAAATAAGAAGTATATTAACTAATAATTATCATGATGAAGATGATTTAGAAATATTAATAAATTTTTTTAAATCAATTATTAAATTATGTGATTCTAATAATATAGTCTTTTTACTTGAATCAGGAAATGACAAAATAACTAATAATACCATTGATTCACCAGAAATATACCTAAATCCAATAACAAATAGACAACATCCAAGAAATATGTCAATTTTTCCTAATTATTTAATAAGAATATTTAATAATGTTAGGAGTTGTTTATCAAATCCAAATATTCGTTATATTATATTTTTTATATCTAAATATGCTATTGATACACTGGTCAATACAAATTGGGAATGTTTTAATATTTCTTCTTGGCTTTCTAGACCAGTATTGGCTAATTTTTTAATGATGATTTCTTGTGATCATGAAGAAACTATAAATGAAGAGACTTTATTATCTTCACACTTTTCTAATATATGTCCAAATTGTTATGCAAAAGGAATTGTAATTAATGTAATTCTTCAAAAGATTTTATCTGAGACTTTGGTTTTATATAAAGATTATATGCAACCTATTAATATTTCTTTTTGGCAAAAAATTGATAATATAGTTCTATGCTTTGGAATTATTACACGACTTATTAATATGTACCATCCTCAATGTTATTTATATCAATTAAATAAAGCTGAAGATCAAATTTTTTATAATTGGTGGATAACAAAAACTAATTTAGGTAAACATTTATTTAACACAGATAGAATATATGATAATCAATATACAAATGTAATAAATATGATCAAGATTTTTTATAATCAAATAGATTCAGCTCATATAAAATTGAAGAAATCTACAAATAAAAACCAATTTATGAATAATTTTTCAACTATCCAATCTAGTTATGGTGAATTTTCAGGAGATGCACTTTTTGGAAGGGTTAAAATTGATCTTCCAATATCAATATTATCTGCATTAAATCATTCAAATAAATAATTTAATAAAATACAATTGAGAAATTATTCAAACATTGTTAATAGAATTTTAGAGAATTATAATTTAATTAATTTATTCACAATTAAATTGAGATATCTAGTAAATATAGATTATTATTATTATAATAGTTTTTATATTACTATTAATTTAAATAATTATTTTATTGAAAGTAAAATATTGGTATTTATACTTAATAGGATTAATAATTATATTTTATTGATTAAATATTATTTTTAGAATAAGGTATATTCTGAGAATTTATTATCTCTTTTTTTTTTTTTTTTAGAACATCTCTTAATAATAGAAATATTTAATAGTTATTTCTAGATTATTAATACTTAGAAATCTAGTATAATTTTAATTTTTAAAAGTATTTTCAAAAATTCAATAAATATTTAAATAGTAGTAAATAAGATATCATTAACTAATTATCTAAAATTGATCAATATATTGGTTTTTGGTAATATATCACTTTGTATTAAGATTTATAATATCTTAAAGTAACAATATTGTAAATATTATATTAAATATTAAGAATCTAATTATAAAACTACCATGAACTAGTATGTTACATACTTTTTACTATATATATATTTAATGTTACTCTATATAAATTACAATATATAAGTTAGTTATATATATCGATACTAAAGTTAGAAATATAAGTTAATCTAATATGTATGTTATCAAAATATATATATATAAAATCCCCTTTATATTAAGAATGATAAAATATTACTTAAATATATAGATTAGAATACTAAGATAATACATTAAGTAGGTAAAGTTTATAAATATTTCTTTAAAGAAATTTAGATTATAATTATAGAAAAATATTCCCATAATTATATCTAATTAGAATTTGAGAAATATAATCCATAAATTCCATCATAAGGCGCCAAAAAAATGTCTCTATATATTTTAATAGGAAGTGCTATATAAAAAGACCTAAGAAAGAAAGGCTATACTCAGTAATAAATTAGAATAAAGAGTTGATATTAAACAAAATGAGTAATCGTGATACAACATTCAATATTGGGTCAGGAACATTATCTGGAAATAATCAAATAGTAAGAACACAATCAGGATGGGGAAATAGATTGAGCGAGGAAAGAGAAGATAAGGAAACAATTGCAGTAAATACAAATCCTAGGAATAATTATCAGCAACAAAGTCAAAGTCAATCTAACCCTCAAACACAAATACAGATTACCCAAAGCCAGTCAATACAACAACCACAGTTGCCACAAATGCAAAGTCAGCAAGTACATAATCAGCATAATCAAAATTATTATAAGCATCAGAGTTCAAGAACAATATTAAATACTGTTGAGATAGATGTTTCTGTCTTATTAAGGATTATAAAACACTGTATGGAGAGCTATCAGACAATGAATGCATCTGGTCAATTACTTGGTATGGAATATGGAAATAAGTTGGAAATTACAACTTCTTTTCAGTTACCTACTAGGGAAGATTTGCTATCTTCTTTAGCATCACATTATCATAATAATAAAATTGATAAATATGATAAAATTGATATAGAAGAGAGGATTTTAGAAGAGATTGATAAATATCAAACTTCAATGGTAGAATTAATGCACGAAATGCGTTCAGATTGTCTTGTTCTTGGATGGTATCAAATTATACGTTTAGATGATTTCCAAGATCCTGGAATAGTATCAACACTATTGTCATATCATAGTAATGCAGAATGTAAATCAGCAATATTTTTAGGTATTGATTCAGAATTACTTATCCAAGGGAAACAGAATGCATTTAAGGCATATACTCTTGGGAATGAATACCTTTCACGTATAAAAGAATATGATGATAATTACAGTATAATTAAAGGTATAGAATTTGAAGATATACTTATTGAAATTCCTATTTATATAAAATATCCAGTTTTATCAGAAGCATTCTTATTAGATTGGGCTACATTTGATATACTACAATCAACCATTGATTTTATTGAGTTACCCTCATCACATAAAAATAATCTAGAATTTTCAGATAAATCCTTATTAAATCTTGCAGATTCAATAGATATATTATCTATTGAACAAGAAAGATTTATCAAGAATCATCGTGATTATATGAAACAACAGTATCTAGTCAAGCAAATGGCTGAAAGAAAACGTATTGAAAATGAGCAGAGAAAACTTAAGGGTGAAAATCCATTACCAATTGATACTGAATCTATTAAGAAAATTGATCCTCCCAATCCTTTACCAGTTATTCTAATGTCAAAATATGTTGATACACAATGCCGTGATATAAATTCGAATGCAATTGAAGGTTTAAGTAAATTACTTATTAGGAATATGCCGAGTAACTAGTTGATAAATAGGTAACTAAGAAAATAAATTATAATTTTATTTTTTTAAAAGTCAGTAACTCTTCCTTTATGTGACCAATCTCCATATGTAGTTGGTTCTAGTCCTTCATATTTGAAGCCATATTCCTCAACTTCACTCTTTATATTTTTATCATCAAAGGTGTTATTCTGATTTATATCTATAGTTATGTGATCTTCATCTTTATTAATATTAGGCTTATAAATTCTACTTATCTTCTCTTGGTATATAGTCTTGCTATAAGTGTGAACACTTTTAATAATGATGTGCAACTTTTGTATATGAATTTTGTTTCCTAACATAATGGTGTTTTTATATAATTATAATTATTTAGTAACCTCAGTCCTTTTATTTATGATATACGCAAATAAAGATGGTTATAATTTACGAGATATTTCTACATAGAATTACCTATTAGTTTGAGATATAACTCAAAGATTAGTATCAAAAGTTGTAGCTTGACTGTATGTTTTAAATTAATATAGTGTGGCGGTATTGTTGGGGATGTGAATACTTGATTGATTACTTGTACTATTTCCGTAATTCCAATATCTGAAATTATAAACTCAATGATTATAAAGTTATTGCCATTGGATAGTGTAGTAAAAGAGTTGTATGAAAATCACAGTACATTCTATGAGGGTGATTCTGGCTTAGATTTATTCATTATAAAAGATCAAGTAATAAAGGCTGGTGAGACGGCTTTCATAAATCTTGGTTTTAAAGCTGCAGCATATAATAATGATAATACACCTTCAAGCTATCTATTACTTGCAAGGTCATCAATTGCAAAGTCTCCACTGAGACTTTCTAATTCTATAGGACTTATTGATGCAGGATATAGAGGTGAATTAATAGCAGCTGTTGATAATATTAAGACGTATGATTTTACTATCAAAAAAGGTGAGAGATATTTCCAACTTGTATCATTTAATGGGGATCAAATCAGTCTTCAAATAGTTGATTCATTGAATAAGACTACTAGAAATTCAGGTGGCTTTGGCTCAACTGACATATTACCACATAATTATAATCCCAAAGTAATTAAAGTTAACACTGAAGATGTTTCAAAGACATTTCAAGATGAAAATACTAATAAGAATATATTGTAGATATCAAAATTAGACTTAGATACCTATATTCATCCTTTTCCTACAAGGTATCGATAAAGTCTTTTAAATAATATCTTTTAATTGAATTAAATATTACTTTTAAATACATCATATGAATTGCTGTATGACTTAGTAATAATTTATAAGAAAAAGTGTTCACTTAATGCTTAAATTTTATCAATTCAAGTTCTAATTAGTGCTGGGAACTTTAGAATCCTTTTTTGCGTACTCGATAACAATGGGTTTTCCTAATATAACTCTTCCATTTACATTATTAAGTGCTTCTATAGCAGAGTTTAAATTGTCAAATAGCACGAAAGCTTGTCCGCGATTATTACACCCACCTTTGACAATTATTTTTAGAATTGTTCCATATTGAATAAATAATTCATATAATATAACACGCAGATCCTTTTTATTTACTTTGTCATTAAGGTTTTTGCAGTATAATGTTTTATTTACAAAAGTATCTTCATTTCCTGATACCAATTGTTTAAGCATCTCTTGTGTTATTAACTTTAAATATCTAAATCTTGTTATTTAAATTTTTTATTTTAAGTTATATAACCAAATTTTTCAGTTACCTCTTATTTTTATCAACAATTTCCTAGTATTTCATTTAAAAAATTGAAAGTTCCAATTTATCAGCTTTTATGGTATCGCCTTTTGGCGACAATACACTAAGTATTTATTGCACTAATTTTTTTTGAATAAATTTAAAATCTTCTCTAAAAACAAAAGTTGAATGATATAATATCAAGATTATCTTTAGATATACTAATATTTACCATGGTAATTATATATTTTGAATAAAATTTTTCTAGAAAAGTATTCTAGAATAAAACAAATATATCGATCTTTAATAAACTACTTCGAAAATATTTCTTGGTTTAGGAGCTGTTTTAATATTTACTGAGTTCATATTACCAAATTGTTGGTGATTATAATGGTTGTGGTGATGATGATAGTTTGAACTTGAGGACATTACTTGTATGCACTGAGTTATTGTAGGATTTGCAGGCTTGTACCCTACTGGACACTCTTTATATGACTTTTTAATCGAGTAGCACTCGTTTGTAATGGGATTTAATCTTGAATTTACTGGACAAACACTTGTTGGACCTTTCTTAACTTGTCTTATACACTTTTCTGCGTACTCACTATATTCGCTTGGACAACCTAAATTTGCATTAACACTATCAAGCAATATACAAGTCCCAGTCTTCTCATCAAGTTTAAATCCATCTGGACATACACGACTTGGATCTGTTTCAACATCTAATAAACAATCACCACCCATTAAGATATAAGGTTCTTTACATACTAACTTCGGTATATCAATATTTTCCTGAATGCAAATTTGTTCTGTATCAGATATCACAAAACCATATGGACACCCTTTTTCTGACTTGCGCTTATCTAGCTTTATACATGTATCTTTTTCTTTGTTGTATTGCATACCAATTGGACATATTTTATCAGACTTTTTCACCTCTACTTTATAACACTTTCTTTTTTCCTCATCAAAATTATATCCTTCATCACATCCCATTTGTGCTGGTAAAACTACTTGGTTTATGCACTTTTGTAACTTTTTATCAAAACTACTTCCTGAGCTACAAACTATATTCGATTTAACTACATTTCTTAGTTCGCATGACTTTCCATCAAATACATAATCATCTGAAGGACATCTCATTGAAGGTGGTTCACGCAAAACTTTTATACATGTAGATTCATCAACACTATATATAAATCCATCCCTACAACGAGGCTCAGGTAAGACAAATGATGACTGCACACATTTGAATCCTTCTAACACATAATCTTTTGGACATATTCTGTTTGCTGGTTCACCTTCTGAAATATTCACACAGCTATCTAAAGTCTTATTGTATTGGTAACCTTCGAGACATCTTGGAATTGGCTCAATATATCTATGAATTGTACACATCTGTTGATCTTCATTTAAATGGTAATTTGCCGAACAAGAATAGTTATATGGTGTCATAGTTAATTTCACACAAGAATAAGTGATTGGTTTATTATCTTCTCCCAGTTGTGGCAGTACTGAGAAGTTCCTCACATTTCTAGAATTGTACTTATTATTTTGAGTTGTAACCTCCAACTTTTCTTCTTGCAATGTATATCCATCCGAACAAATATTTTGTAAAGCTTTCTTAGCATATGTTAAACATATTCCATTAATAAGAGTCGAGTCATTTTTGGGACACACCAATTCAGGTGTTGATAACTTTACCCCTACACATTTCTGCTTTTTTTCTACCCATTTAAGTCCTCTTTCACATTCTAAAAGAGCCTCTATTTCAATTTTCTTTGTGCATAACTTTGGTCCTGTTGGTTCATAGTCACTTGGACATAGCGATTGAAGAGGTACTTCCTCAATGCAGTTACATACTAAACCATCCCTACGGCAATTTTTTGGGCATATACTCTCTAAAGCATTTATCTTGCTTAAACATGCGTCTAACTCTTCATCATATATATCAGATCCAACACATACTGATTTTGGCGATACAATGTTTGGCCCCACTTGCAGTTGGGAGAGAGTCATTTTTAAAAGAAATCCTAAGCTACATATTTCAAGCAGTTTGAGCATTACTTCAGGTTGATTTCATAAATATATAGTATCAATTGTCATTATAAATATCAGATGCAACATTATTATGCATTTTTTAGCCCCGTTTTCGCACTATTCTAAATGCGCTTTATTTTGGTTTTTGTCAAAGTAAATCCCTTTTTCTTTTTTTTTAAATATTCTAACTCATCTTTAAAGTAACAATAAAATTTTCAAAAAAAGATTATAATTCAGCATTATAAAGATGTTATAAATTTAAAACTTCTATACCGGTATGCTTCAGTTGCACATGCATTTTGCATGTATTTCCATGTGGATAAACGATATCGTGTATTTTATTAGCATTATTCAGCAAAGAGTACATAAACAAGAATTATTTTTAAAATAATTTAAAATGGTAAAGCTATCAGTATTAGGATTACTATTTGCAGTTGTTGGTGCTGTAAGAGGAGCTAAAACGGAATTAGGTATCTCAAGTTCTGTAATTGGTGAGCTTAAAGGTAAAGGTTATACAAATAGTGATATTGAATCTTTAGTAGGGACTATAAGAAGTGCACTGTTAAGTGTTCATGAAGATAATCAAATTAGTGCATGTGGTGAGGGCCTAAGAGGACTACTTGACAGGCAATTACTACCTGGTGATCCTGATGCAATGGAAAAAGTTACAGGTATCATCCATAATAGCAACTTCCAATTATATAGGGGGAAAATTGCTATTGTTACTCTAACTCCATCATCAATTACACTTCCTATTGATACTTTAAACGACAGATGCTTTGGTATTAGAACTACATCGGGCATTGCCTATAATATTTGTGCTACAGATAGAAATATGAGGAACATATGGATAAATGCAATTACTGAACTAGTTCTTTGCAAAACTACAGGTGTGAGAACTGGAAGGTTACCAACCCCATCATTAAAACAGAATATATTGGCTTCTACTAATCTTGGAAACGTTGGTGCTAGTGGAATTAACATTTTTGTAAAGGATAGCAATGAAGGAAAGCCATTTGTAACTATAAATGGAAAACCAATTTCTAAAATCATTGAGCAACAAGCAATGGCAGCAGAAAAGGCTATATCAGAAGTACCTGGAGAAGATTATGATGAAGATCTGTTGAATTTTCCTACAGAAATTTTAGGTAAGCTAAGTTATTTTGTTATAATTCTTCATTTACATTATTCTCAAATTAATTACTGTAGGCTCTTCAAGTAACGATATAGCAGATGGAAGTACACTTTCTGATGCCGAAAAATTAGCTATTCAAGGTAAGATAATGCATCTTCTTCATATATATACAATTGGAAATCCACTAAATCCGAATTGATCTTAATTTTAGAGTCTGAAGCTGAACACTTAATGTTACCAATAAATGAAGCTCCTCCCGTAGGCTATGCTTCTTTGCATATGGGTAACTCCAAAACAAGAAAATAAGTATAAATATAATTGTAGTGAATAATAACTAAATTACTGGCTATTGAAAACAGTTGTTAAATGTATATTAGTTGTATCGATGCAAAAAGAAGTAATTATTTGTATATGTTAGATACAAATACTTTAGATCTCAGATTTACAAGATTTTTTCACAATAGGATTAGCATGAGTTTGATTTCTTTTATTAATAGACTTGGATAATCTAAAAAAAGTTGGACTTATCTGTAAATACATTGGCGTAGCTCCATAGTAACAGTCACTAATTTTATCTAAATATCTTACAATATATACCATTAATTAATGACTTCTATAAATATCTTTTTTCTATAATTAAATAAGATAGATATTTAAATTACTATCAAAGAGAACTTAGAGGTAGTTAATATACATATAAAGTATAGCTAGATGTCGATAAATGATAATAATTCTTAATTAATTCCATAGTAAAGTCTATTTAAGGCTTAATTTTTCACTTAAAAGGTTAAGTTAGTTTTCTAATTGGAATTCGAGGAAGAAATAAATTAGTTATTAATAAATACTATATGCAACATTAATATTTTATCTTTAATAATAGGGCATTAAAATTACCTGTTTTGTAGTGTAATTTGAAGCAACTAGGAATTAAAAAACAATCCTTATTTCTATAAAAACTTTATTAACTTATTATTAGTGAATCTTTTTATACTAAATTGCCACTTTCCCTTAGAATATAAAAAAAAATCAACAAATAGTACAGCTAAGAAAAAGTTTAATACCAGAAGTCATAAAAATGAAAGAGTATATAGTAAAATCTATCTTACTTATTTTTATATACAAACTGCCCTACTAAAACTCTACACAGGTAATTATCTGTTTCCTTTAGTTTCCTTTCAAGCTCCTAAAATAAGTATTAAATTTACCGCTTCAGTGATATTTAATTACCGGTATACATGATACATGCATGCAATTCTTTAACTTATTTCTATGGCTCAAGTAACTATTTGTAAGAAGAGACTCTAATGGAGAATTTAAAATCTATGAATTGGCAATTAGATCTACAAAGAAAATTAGAGAAAACTGATAACAGTGAAGATCTATGGTTAGTAGTAGAAAATGGAATAGTGCTGATGCTTACAGAGCATGAAAATAAAAAATTAATGGAATTAGATATGAATCTTTATCAAAAAATATTTGATTTGCTATATGAGTCAACAACTGAGGGAAATTGGTCCTGTGCAAATAGTTGCCTTAGGTTTGTATGGACTTTATTGCAAAACAATATTGTTGAGTATGACATACTCAGTGAAAGTAATGTAAATATTCTTATGCATGTGTTTTATACATCTTTAATAATTATTAGTAGAGAACCAGTAGTTGAATTAGAATTTGCTACTTTACTAAGGAATATCACTGGGTTTTTTATGTCCTGGATTGATCAGTATTTTCCCAGGGATCCACTAAGCAAATATGACAAAAAGTCTTCTAAATTAGAGAAATCTCCAACTGTGCCATCGTGGCTCATGGAAATATTTACATCAAAAAAGTATACAAGTTCATTATTATATCTTTCTGCAGTTTGTGAACCAAAAAGATCTAATTGTAATGGAGTCTTAGAATACTTATATATTGGGCATAGCTTTATATTGGCAAGTAGATATTCAGCTGAAACATATACAATTATTCAACAAATTTTTTTGAAATCAGGTGGTAAACTAGAAATAGAGGATAGTAAAATGGAAGGGTGTGTCCAAAGATTTTTAACATGTCCAGATTTTGAATTACAGTTAATTCTTGGTGAACTACTCTGGAGAACGATCAACAAATTAAATTTAACTGATAAATCAACACTGAACGAAGAAAATTCCATGAAATTAATCGAAAAGTTTAGGTTATTGTGGCCTGAAGGCCTTACTCAATTAAGGTATATTAATGTGGATAATTTTGACTATTCATTTAGAGGATTACTAACTCCATGGAATAAAACTTGCAATTGTAATGGAAAAAATATATGGTCCTTGTCTGGAGTAGAAATTAGCTTTTGTAGTTCAAAAGTGAAAGTTACTTCTGTTGTTGATATTTGTGCCTTCAGTATAGCTATTCATAACGATATTGACGAAGATGCACCTCAGGAAGGTACCAAAATTAACAAGAATCCTGATGCTAATCAAGATTCACAAAAGGACTTTGATAGAAAATTAGGTAGTTTCATTAATGAAAAGAAAGAGCAGACACAAAGGACAATTAATGGGATACACTCTTCTGCAGAGATTCCATATTGGACAATAAAATCTGTTATTTACGATAGAGACTTTAATACAATTAAAATCAAAATATCAACTGATGATATTTTAGAAGTCAGACAAAGTTGGACTGGAAAATTCGTGGTTGATACTAATAAAGATATTTTGAATGACAAAGATATAACGGAATTTTCAATGAAAATAAGTGAGGAGCAAGCTCATGAAATTTTGGGTATATTTAGAGCAAATAGAATTGAAAATATACAAGGGATAAAATATACTGAAACTCCACCAAAGAAAATATCTATTGTGGATTCAAGAAGTACTTTAATTCAAAAAAGAAACTGTACTAGTGAACAAAATCTGAAACTTAGCAGTACTCAATTAAATTCTATAAATTTCGATATTGAAAACAAGATTTCAGTAGCTATATCTAAAACTAGCATAGGTAAAGAACCAGAAGCTAATTCTCTGAATGGAAATCTACAGGAAAAACCTAAAAAAGTTAGTTTTGCAACTACGAAAGAATTTATTTGTGAAAACTTAAGTGAAAAACATATCATATGTAATAAAAAAGTAGAAGAGTTCCAATTGAGTACTCTTAGTTGTCAGGCACAGCCTACAGCTGTTTCAAAGAAAAGAGCTGATGTGATCATTATTGGTTTAATGAATGAGAAAATCAAAGCAAGTCAGGCTGCTGAAAAAGAAACAGCTAAAAATAAGAGAATTAGAATCTTAAAACCAATACTTGAAAATAGTGATCAGTATATAACTCAGAATACAAGTCAGTCTTTAAATGATACTATAGAAGATAATAATAGTTTATTTCAGTCTCAGGGAAAAAGTGCTACTCTACCCAGTAATAGTAATAAATATGAAAATAAATATATGAGCTCTACTAACTCTGATACTCAAATTTCGGGTATATCTGGTAAAATAATGAATAAGGAAGATCAATTTGTTAGAGGTTCAAATTCAGAGTTATATATAAATAATCAGAATAGTAATTGTCAAATTAATAATTCTGCAGGGGCTAATCTAAATACAATAGAAGTCACTTCTCATGATATAACAAAGGGGGCGAATGAAATAAGTGAAGAAATGTATGAAGAAATATTAGAAAAAAAGGGAATTAATTCAAATTTGAAGAGAAAAAAAAGGATAAACAGAAAATTGAAGAGTGATAAGAATAATAATGTAAAAGAGAACGTCAGTATTGATAATGAAGTACCAAATGAAGAAGATTCCGAAATTAAAGTAAGTACCGAAGTAGCTGAGGAAATATTAGTACTTAATCATAAATATCACAAGCCTATCTCTAGTGATAAATACATTTCTAGGGAGAACCTAGAGTTCAAGACCAAAAATAAAGATGAAATAGTTGTTGCTTCTGAGAATCAGTTTGGAAATTCCTGTTGTATAAGTTCTGAATGCATTAATATAGAATCTTCATCTAGTAGTATCAATAACAATGATGCTTTTGGTAATCAAGAAAAAGATAAGACGAGAGAATTAGATAAGGATTTACCATTATTAGAAAACCCTACTGATCAGGAAATATTATCAGGTAACAGAAAATATATATTAATTAATAAAAGTAATAAGAAGGGGGAAGAAGGAAAATTAAAAAAAACAAAGGTCAAAAAATGTGTTAATGAGATGAATAAAAGTGAAGACAGTGTATCAGCCAACTCAAAAAAGTTAACTACTAAAGCTTCTAAACCTTTTTTATCTAGATTAAAGCGTGGAAGAGTTCAGAGAGATCCTGAATATAACAAATTTAGTGGTTTAAAGGTATTTGAGGATAAGCAAGATTCTTTGGAAACAAGTAAAGAAGATAATACTACAAATTTACCATTATCCCTAGAAATTTCGAGTGAAATATCAATGGAAGTGGAAACAAATTTATCTAGTAAACGTATAAAGTTTCCCAATATACCCAATATTGAAATTGAGCCATTAATTTCAGCATGTGAAATAAGTGAAACATGTGGAGATCTGAACAAGGAAGAAGAAAGTTTAACACCTAAAAAAAGCTATAAAACTCCGCAAAACAACAGAACAAATAGGTCTGAAACTCAAAGCACTACTACTGGGACTAGGAATAGAATAAACAGCCAGGGAACTAAAAATATAAAAGGGAATAGGAAGAGAAGAAACACCGAGTCTATAAGTACAAAGCAGACTATATTGTCTTCATTATCAATAGATAATAATGACTCACTTCAAGTTACAGAAATACCTGATTTTTCATTGAGTGAAAAAATAGCAAAGGAGCAATCAAGCATCTCCTTATATGTAACAGAAAAAGTTGAAGATAAATCTTTAGAAATGTTGAAATGTGACCACTTAGAAATTGTTGAAAAAAAAAAACAGAAGTACTCCCAGGATAAAAGGTGTAAGAAATTATTTGATAAGTGGAGAAATGAAGTTTCAAATAACTTTAATGTATTTGATGATAATCATTTAAAAATATTGGATTTGACACCACATCCAATATCCCCAAAAAATAAAAAGAGAATAGGTAGCAAAAGATCACAAAGTAGAACTTTTAATATTTCAGAAAAAAAAATTTTCAACGATGAACTTGAAGATACAACAGACAAATTCAAATTTATATATGATAAAGAAATTAGTGAATCCAGGGAAGAAATTTTAATTACCCCGGATTTAGAAATAAATGATTATCTTTCTAATTTTACATACTTTAATAATATAGAGGATGAAATAATAGCTAGTGAAATATATGAAGCTATGAGTTCATATACAAGTATTGAATTAAGTGACCTTGATACTGACTTGGATAGTAAAGATCTAATAAACTACACATCAATTATTAAAAACTTAATCAAAAATAATGAGGGGGATAATGAATATGAGCATTCAATGGCAACAATAAGTGATAGAGCGAACTTGTTACCAGAGTTTATGAGGATACCAGAAATACAAACAAGCAAACAAAAAGTAGATGAGCTAGCTGATCAGTTAATTCAGTGTTGTGAGTTAATTCGTATTGAATGTAAAGAGAATATAGAATCACATTTCCAGAATATGATGAACATAGTAGGCAACTTATGGTGTAAAAAGTTAGAAGAATTTCAGAGCAGGAAACAGCTAATAATTAAAGATTCAAAAAATGATCTAGCAAGTATTGAATTTGAAATAGAAAGGCTCTATGAAGATTTTGAGAGTAGTATAAACGAAATATATAGACAAATAGAGGAAGAAAGTACTTCAAAAGCCTTGAATTTGCATAGTGCCAAACAATTCGAAGTTTTAATGAATAACTCTGATATTAGAAGTAGTGAAGATGATCTAGAACAAAGTGAGCAGTACGAATACTTACTAATTAATCTAAAAAACAAATTAAAAGGAGAGATTGAGATTATTCAAGAGAAAATTCAAAAGTTCATAAGAATTAAGGAGAATGAAAAGAAAAAGATGAGAGACAAAAGTAATAGAATAGACCTACACAAGTTATTAAGAAGTATTATTAAAAGAGAGGTTTCGAACGATGTTATAACAGAAATAAAAAGTTAATTGGATATTTATAAGGTGGATGTAGATGATACTTTCCATAAATTTCTAATAAGCTCAAGATTGGATTTAGTTTGTTCAATAGTATTTCGTATAATTGGGTACTTAAATAACGAAAATCTACTAAAAATAATGTCACATTCAATATCAAGCTGTGTAGATTTAATTTGTGAATCTGCATTAGGTTCAGTTATATTCTCATGCATAGTCCTAACTGGTGTAAATCGGTGTCTAATAATGATTTTAAAAGCATCATTTTCTGGTATACCACTTGAAGTAATTTCAATACACAAGATTAAACCCAGTTCGTCACCAAAATTATACAGCTTATGATCTTCAGTAATAAGAAGTTCAATAGTATTATTAGTAAGCCATCCCAATCTACCACATATATTCAGTGACTTTTTATATTTATAAATTCTATGATGAACAAAAGATGACAGTGAAGTCGGAAGAATATCTTCGTATTCTATACTTGTCACTCCCTGAAGTTTTAAATATTGATGATATATATTTAGTTCAATTGGTTTTCCATTCAATAATTTTATAATATCTGATATACTAAGCTGAATAAACGTACAAGGAAAAACAGTAGTAAGAGGAAATAATGGAAGGTAATCATTATATATAGAGCAGTCTATATTATAATCAAAGTTAATGCCACTTTTACACATGTATTCTTGGGAAACAATATCTATAATACTTACTTTGCCATTTTTATTTAATAGATTAGAGATATAAGCATACGGAGGAAATACTGCAACGGAATCTGGGGTTTCAATATAGGGTATATCTGTATCAGGATTATCTGGAGACAAAATCTTACGGCTAATTTCGTTATCCAATTTAGTTTTATTACTTAGTGAATCATATATACGTTTACAATTTAATGTACATAATCTTGATAATACATCATATACATACTTTGTATGCAAAAAATTACAAAACATCAGATCAACAGAAGCTTCAGTTTTTCCATGAGTTACAATAGTTACGCTGCCTCTTAGAACCTTGCTACCTCCTCTCCGAACAAGTTTTGCAATTCTTGAGTATTCTATAATTATTAAAGTTACTCTTTGGAGAAAGATCCCACTATAATTAGAGAAATATTCAGGTAATTCATCATGATCAGGAAATATACTTAAGGGAGAATAGAAGACAATTTGATCTTCGGAGATATACATCCTACCATGAACTCTTTTCTTGGAATCATATCTCCAGCAGCAACCAAAAGACTCCGAAAAGTATTCATAATTTGGAATTAAATCTAAAATATCACTGCTTCCACATGATCTTGACAAGAATTGTTTAAAGTCACAATTACAAGTTCTAGATATTGAGGAATTGCAACAAACTTGGTGCAATCCTCTCTTTCTCTTTATACACATAATAAAGTCAATAAAGGTAACCAAAATTATAATACAAGTTACAAATACAGAAGTTGGATTACTTATAAATTTACAACATTTATTTAGAACAAAAAGTGTAATCTTATCCCCGTCATAAAGTCCAATATACATGATCAAGAGTAAGACCAGACTATATATTACAAATCTATTGAGCCATCTAAGTATTTTCAAAATATAATTAACAATATAATAATACCATTACTTTTATATATTCAGAATATTCCAGAAAAGAAGTTATCTATGCAAAGGAAGGTATTAGAAATGGGGGGAAAGGTTATAATTCGAGGACAAACCTATGAGCGCTAGCCCACCATAGGTCACCCTCATAATGTTAAAACATGCCTTTGCAAATAGAGGAGAGATTTAAGATACTAAATGGAATGGATAAATAAATTGAGAGATATACTTAAGTACAATGATAATGAAAATAAACTCTCTACTAATAGTGATAGCATCGAGCCTTTCTTCCAACAAAGTTATGAAATAGAAGGGTGCTATCGTTGTAATTTATGTACGAAAGGTTTAAATTTAGGGAACTATATTTGTGATTTATTTCTAATGGAGGATAAGTTGCTGGTATTTCATATAATTAATCGAACAAATGTGAACATACCCTGTGTATTAGCGCCTGTAGCTGCAACAGCTTTTGCAATATCTTGCAGTGATGGTAAATGTTCAAATTTATTTAAAGGCGAATGGTTCGTTCTACCACTTAGCCATATTGTAGATACTGAAGTAATTGATCATAATACCATAGATATACAAACTAGAACTGGTGTAATCTATCATATTACAAACAATGATGAATGTATCAGAAGAATTGTGGATATTTGGAATCAGTTATTATATGAAAAGAATAAAAATGAGAAAAGTGGATCTTCATTATCTGAAATTACAGTATTAGAAGCACCAGTACCAATAGCTAATTTAAATTCTGAATTATGCTCCAGTCTAATTTCATTCCCTTCTCTATTGCATGTCTTTCCATGCTGTATAGTCCCATTATCTCCTCTAAATCTACTTAACATTTTATCCCATGAATCGTTCTATGGAAAGTATATTTTGGATCCACAAACAACTTATGAATTAACAGTTGGTAAATGGGACAAATTAGATAAGAATAACAGTGCAAAAAGTGGATCTTGTAGAAATGTAGAATATAAAAAGAAATTAAATAGTGGGTTTGTGACTATATGGATATCATTTTCAGAAAAGCATGAGGTTTGGCTTGGAGAAGACTTCAAAGATGCAGTTCTTAGTATCAATGTAAAATTTTCACTATTTGAAAAAGATATTGAAATAAAGATCTTTCAGAGAGTAACCGGGATTGAATCTGATAAATCTCAACTAGATATTGAGTGTGAATTAGCAAATGCTTCAGTTTTACCATACTTTTTATTATATCAAGTGGAAGCACCGACTATAAATAATATTAAACTTACTGTTAAAAACTATCGAGATGGTATTCAAGAAGAGTTATCAACTAAAGTGTTTGGTAATCATTCTATTAATAAACAAATTGAATCTGATGTAGATAAATCCCCCTTATGTGACATCGAAGTAAATCAAACATGCTGCCTTAGTCAAATGTACAAATTCTTTAATTATCTATTATCATTTGCTAATTAATTATACTGCATATGTAATATTTAGAAGAAAATTAAAAGTGCACAACTTATGATACTTCACCTTATCAAACATATATTATTAAAATCAAAAGCGTCTTATTAACTTCACCAAATCTATTCATACTATCTTAAGCTCAAATATATAATAAACTATAGTAATTAGATAAACATTTGAGACAAGACGTGAGTAAGAGACAATATTTCTTAAATATTTGATAATCTTAGTCCCCTTTCAGTCTGATCTGACGACTTATTAAAATTACTCTAAATTTAAATAAGGTAATATTATCTGAAGAGTTAGTATGGTAAGCTTAATTTGAGAACAAGTTCTTCTCTATAGCTTCCCAATGAAGACAATTGAAATCCAATCCTGACCTTTTCCTGATGAGAAAAGTAGAAATATCGAGCTTTTTAACACTGAGGGATTATTTTATAAATTTATATGCAAAATAAAGTGATTTATTGTATTTGTGGATTATATATAGATGATCAATATGAAATAGAACTCTCTTTTATATTTAGAGTTTGGGAAAATTGTAATATTCTTTGCAATATTGGTAAGTTTAGGAATGGATCTTATATTGAAGTAAATGCGAAACTCCGAAGCTATATTATTATAATTGAGGTTTTATATGCAATGAAGATCCTAAACTCTATCTTCTCCTTCCACTGAATAAATTTAGTGTTGAGAACGAGTAATTATCAGGATAAAGTGATTTATCTTCATACTGAGCAATATTTAAATCGGAAATAAGGAATGATGATCAGTGAAAATATGTCAATAAATCTGTCAATCCACTGAATAATATTACTTTTTTTATATGTGGAAGGCATTTATGTCTGTTGATCTGACCTAATATTTATAATATATATTTTTATTATAATAGAGGCACTGAAAATTAGCAAGTCAAATATTGATGAATCCGAAGACCAATACAATTTACTTATTATTTGTATAGGATCAATATTCATCAAATAAAAACGAGTCTCGGGTGTCATGGCTTTCTTATATAAGGTTCATGTCAATCACAGGATTCTACATCTTTGGGAATATAAGATGCCATTTTACTTTTAACTTGCATATTTCATATTTGGAAATGTAAAATTTGTCTTTTTAGATTGCTATGGGCGAAATTAAGCTCGAGATTCTCCGCAGACATACAGTGGTGGCTTAGTTCCACCGTTTAAAATCGGATGGGAAGGTCTGAGATGCCTTTTTTATTTCTTAGAAGATATAGTTGTGAAACTATTGTCACCTAACAGAAATGCGTTGTTTTAAACAACTTGAAATGGGTTGACTGGCATGTGGGACATGTTTTTGAATGGATGTGTTGCTAATTAAGTCCAATTTTCGAGACGTTAGTTACGTTTAACGAACTCAATTCAGACTACTCTAATTTCGCTCATACTTATACAAATTATTTGTTAGACTTTTTATTGCACTTCTAAAACACGATATATTTTAAGCCTCTAGTGTGATCTTTTGTGTCTACTAAGCGCCTGAGTCTTTTATAATCCAAACCGTGTGATTCCTAGTTACCTCCTTATAAAGTAGTAGAGATAACTGTAAGAACTTTTAACTAGTTTTTTTTCTTTGTATAATGAAACATCTCTATAAGGGACTTCATATATTAGCCTTGTTCTTCATTCTGGTATTTTCCTTCGTAAATTGTGACTCTGTAAAAAAAGTAGAGCTTTTTGAGCTTAGCTCAAAAAATTTTAATGAATTCATATATGGCTTTGATCACAGCTTAATTATATTTTATAGTCTGGAATGTCCAGTGTGTATTACAATTATAGACTCTTTTACTAAACTACTGGATAAACTAAGGGAAAGAAACGTTATGGTTGGCAAGATTAATGGCGAGGAAAATTTAATTTTATTAGAAAAGTACCAAATTCAAGATTATCCTACAATTAAATTCTTTAGAAAAACTCGTGCTGAGGAATATTTTGGAGGTAAAGAGATTCATGAGATTTTGCAGTGGGTAGATGATCAAATATCATATCCTGTAACAATTATTAATAATAGCACTTTCTTAAGTAAACAAAATCTAGAAGAATTAACTGAAATGCATGGAATAATATACATTATGCATGGAATATCAAATAGTAGTAGATTTGATAATTATATTAAAGTAGCTGATTTTAACCGTGTTTCTGGAAAATTCTATTTTATACCCTCAAATACTATTAATACAACCATATTAGATATTGTCAATGTAGTTAATGATACAAGCTTTAACAATACTAATTTATATAACAAAAAAGATTCATCTGAATGGTTACTCTGTCTTCGTCAATATGAATCTAAAGTATATATATATGATGGAACATTTGACTTGCAAAGTGATATAGAAAGTTTTATACGTGCACATAATATTCCTTTATTTGGTGAAATATCAGGTAAAAATTACATTAAATATGCAGATGTACAATATGATTTAATATGGCTATTGGTCCCAATGGATAAAGATAAAGCTATTCAAAGTATTCAACCTTATATCAAGATGTTTGTAGAGCTTGCTAAGGAGTTTGAAGATGAATATAGAGTTGTTTGGTTAGATACTGCAGAACACTCAATGCACCTAAATACAGTTTTATTAGTTGAGCCTGAGATGCTCCCAACAGTTGCAATTGCAAAATCTAGGCCTTATATTTTACCACCAAATACTGTGATAGACTTGGCTACAATAAGACAATTTATTATAGATGTAAATGATGGTAAAGTTGAACCAAAATTACGATCAGAACCAATCCCATCATATAATAAGACAAATAAAGATCAGAACTCAGATTTAATAAAATTAGTTGGTAATAATTTCAGCTCTATGGTTTTGGATGATGAAGAAAATGATTGGCTAGTTATTTTAATTACCCCATTTTGCCAGCCATGTACAGATACAGAAAAACTACTAAAAAAGATTAAAGGTGCAATTATCTCTACTAACAAATCACCTATAAATTTTGGATTTATTGATATTAGTGAAAATGACTTACCTAAAGATGACTTCTACTCGAAATCAATACCATCCATTTTCTTTGTGAAGGCAAGGCAAAAAACACCTATACACTTTATCAACGATAAAGTTAGTTATCTTAATATTAAGAAATTTATATTAGATTCAACATCTAATGATAAAGATTCCATTACATTTAGTGATCCTCCTAATGTTAATAATTTGGTAGTTACATTATTTCCAGATTTTGAGCGATTTGGAGATCTAGATATGTTTGAAAGTGAGCTCTCCAACTTCGAAAATACTAATTTTAGGGAAGAAAATATAAAAGATGAGCTCTAAATGTGGTTTAGCTATGATTTTAGTAAATATTATATTATCTATAGTATTGAAGAGTTCATGATAAATACATAGATCTAAAAAGGTATCGAGACAATTTCTATTATTTGGCGCGATACCTTTTTTTTTTATCTTTATTAGTAAACTTATTTTAATTACTTTTTCTATAATGAAGGATATATGGAATCTTCCTAATATTGTACACTTGAAAGTAAGTGAGGAGAAAGGACGTTGTATTATTGCAAATAGAGATATTAAAGCTGGTGAAGTAATTTGGCTTGAATATCCTTTTATATACATTGTATTTGAAGAATTCCTCGATAGTGTCTGTGATACCTGCCTTAAATATATTGGTACTGAAAAAGTGGTTAATATAATAGTTTGTAATGGATGTAGTGTTGTAAAATACTGTTCTAATATATGCAAGTCCAATTCTGAAGGAATACATAAATTTGAATGTAAACTTATGAAGAATAAATTCAAAGATATTTCAGAAAAATGTGGAGTCACTTTTGATAGAGTAAGAATCTTATCTAGATTTATTATTGTTAATTTATTCTCTAAAAGTAATTTTGGAATATTTAGTAATATTAAACATGAAAACAAACTTCTTTATTCTTCATATGAACATGTTAAAACATTAGTATCACATATATCTGAATTTTGTCAAGAAAGAAAAAGTATATATTTAAGTTTAGCCTCTGAGTTACTTAATATTTTTGAAAATTCACAATATCATAAGACATTTGGATCAGATCATCATGAAATAGGAGCCTCCTCTATATCTCTTTCTATAATGGATTTAGTAGAAATATTATGTATAATTGATAGTAATAGTTTTGGTATTCCAATATTTGCATCAAGTTATTATTCATACTATTATGACAATATTCTTAAAAACTCCAATTCTTCTTTTGAAAATCCATCTAATTCTTTGCAGTTATCTTCAATACTATTAAGTCCAAATATCACTGCCTGGGGTCTATTCCCTTATGCAAGCTTAATAAATCATAGTTGTGAACCAAACTGTTCATATCTAGGAAATGATGAAAGTACTAGATATCCATATATAGAAATTAGAAGTACAACCAATATACCAAAAGGTGATGAGATCACAATTTCTTATATTGAACTTTATGAATCAAGAAAGCAAAGAATATCCCAACTTTATAAAACAAAATATTTTATATGTAGATGTACTCGATGCAAACAAGATCTTTATAAATCTATGGATTATTTTATTGAGGGAATACTATGCTATAACTGTGCCAAATTAAAAAATCAAAAAGTCTTATTAAAATGTATATCATCAAATTTCTATGATATATTGAAGAATCAAGACCATAATCAATGTATTTCAATTTTAGAACAAGAATCTGATCTAATATCAATAATTGCTGCTCAGTATAAATGTACTAATTGTCAACTAATTTATAATGGTTCTGAGATTGCAAATATTATCAAGAATATTGAAGACATTATAGATGAATCAAGTTTGCTTAATAATGAACATGGAGATGTTCATAGAGCTATAGAACTTTTGAGATCAGCTTTAGATAATTATCTATTAAAAAATACTCAAATACATTATCTCCACTATTTAATATATAGATGCTGCAAGTTATTAGGTTTTTGGAGTGTTATAATAAAGGAATGGGGGTATGTAGAACATTATATTGGACAGATGATTAAATGCAATATTGCTATTTTCAAGAACAAAAATAATTTGGACATTTCCAACCTTTATGCAGCGAGAGCTATTGCACTTGAGAATTTAGGTAGTATATCTGAGGCACAAAAGTCATGGAATTCATGTCTTGCTATTCGTGAAATATGCTGTGGATGTGAACATTCACTTTATCGATTTGTAGCTAAAAGATTACATAATTAAGGTTATTTATACATAACTGTATAGATATTATATAAATTGTATCTTATAATATCTATGGAAGTAATTAGTTATTATTTCCTTCTATGTAGTTTTTCATGGTAACTTTTTTAGTGATTTTATCTGTAATAATTAGTCTTTTTGTCTCGTGAGTTTCTTCATAATTGGCGCCTCTTATTCCCGTTACCTGAGCGCCAGACTTTGATAATAATACCTAGAGGTTATACTGATCTAGTATGTCCTCAAACGAGACGTGTACTAAGGACTTGAAATAAACTGAAAGAATTAGATACCTAACTAAAGAGCGCTATAATAGAATTTTAGATTTATTAATTTTGCCCCTCCATTAAGGGTGTTACACCATATAGTGGCAAGTACTTGATAATAACTATTATTGTCTATATGGGACATCTTATTTTAAGAATAAGTAAAGAGATTAGATAAGAATTATAATTTTTTATGAATAATGAGGTTTGATATTACTGTCTTTTTGCTTGTATGCTTCCCACTAGTAATATTTGGACAGCTTTTAAGTCCAATTCAAACTATCGCTGATGATCATGAGGACAACATAACAAGTTGTGGAAAATTTTTATTGAATATTGTACAAAGAAACTCTCAACAAGGACCAGATATATCTGCAATGTGTGATTTCTTTAGAATAAAAGTTTTAACACCTGATACAAATGCGAGAGAACTACATTGCTCAATAATAGGTTCCAGTATTATTAATTGTGACTTAAGGAATTTCATTGGAGATACCAACTTACTTCGTAAATTTTTTACAGAATCAGATACATCAATATCAACTATTTACTATATTTTGGGTATACTACAGAAATTACCAAATGAGATAGCAGTAATACTTGGTAAAGAAGATATTATCGAAGATTCAACAGACATTTTAAATAATATACTTAAAGGATATAAAAAGTACACTGATAATTTGGATTCAACATCAAATAATAACTATTTTAGAATGGATAAGATGGCGTATGCATTTGCTGTAGCTGATCAACTTTTATCTTATGACGTTAGAAATTCTTTATATGTAAAAATTTTTGTAAAGTATTTGGAAGGGGATATATTACACTCAATAGATAACTTTGAAGATTATATTATCAGCACTTCACTCTTCTTAAGATCTTATTTTTCGCTTGTAACATATCCAAAAGAACCGATGGATATTCCTTTACCTATTAATACAATGATTTATAATCTTGGAATTATTGGAATACAAAATATTAATAATAACTTAGTTTCGTCTGAATTACTATTAACTACACATATATTGTCTAGAAAGGGGATTTTTTATATTCAAGGATTTCTCCATAATAAGAACTTACATTTTATGTTTTGTTTAATAAATGGAGAACCTATGAAGGATTTACATATATCTATAGTTGGTGCTAAATCAGAAGTTGTAAGGAAGGAAAATACATGTGAATATGAACTCCAAATAAGTAATGAAGATGAAAGGGATATAATTATTGAAAAGATATTCAATAAGGAAATAAAGATAGAGGTGTCTTCTAAACTACTGAAACTTCAACAATTGTCAATACCTATTGTTAATTATAATAAATCAAACTTTGATAATATTAAAATTTCGAAGATTCAAGTGTCAACAAGTAACTTTATTAATATATCAAAATCCAATTTGGATATTGAATATATGAAGAATGACTCATTAAGACCATATTCATTCATTATTAAGGCTTTATTGAGTTCAGATATAAAGATGGAAGCCTTATTAATGTATCAACATCTTATGGCAATTAAGATAAAGGCTCTAGAACCAATAAAAATAGGAACACCAAATACAAAGATCTATCCAATGATCTTCACAAATAAATATCAAACAATTGTTGACTTAAGTAAAGATCACTTTTTATGTACATCTAGAAATTTCCAGGTATCATTAGTTTATGGTTCATTATCTTCGGAAATAGGGAAAACTTTAAGTGAATCAAAGTTTAAATATCTATTTAATTTGGATATTGAAGATAGCTCTAATACTGAACTTTTAAATAAGCATTGTAACTTTTCAATACATCCTGAAATGATTGACTTGTATACTAAACCAGAGATAAAGTATGACTTTAGTGAACCAAAAAAACTTCCAGGTATACTGTTACCATTAATTACAAGTTTTTCAATGGTATTATTTGCTGTATTCTTTCTATTCTCTAAATGGAAAAGACTTATTAAGGAATTGAATATAGAGAATAAATTGACTTCAAGGTTTAATTTTACAGCAATTTTGAGTATTGTTCTCCTTGTATTATCAATACTTATTGTAGTACTTTATTGGCTTTCTTTGGACATATTCCAATTCAGTTATACTTTTATTCCTTCAATTGTATCACTTCTTGTTTTGTTTAAGATATCATTGAATAATTCAGACTTCATGGCTTTATAAGACAAAAATATTATGGTAGTAGATAGTAATAGTAAGGCTCACCATTATTTTTTATGCTATATCTAATAAATCACCGTTTCTCCACATATTATAGAGTCATCCCATATGTCGGAATTCACTATTCCCCTAGTAATAGCTTTAAATATTTGCATATTTTCTAATGCAGCTCGTACTCTCTCTTTATCTCTCATTTGTTTGTTTAATGCTTCTTCTGAATCATAAGATCCAGGAGTAACCTTTATAATTACTTTGAATCTGCTTGGTAAAGTAAAGGTAAGCTTAAATAAAATGGATAGTCCTATCAAACTAGCTTGTGAGCAGCTTGTAATAGTTGGAGTAAAATATACAATTACCCTATTAGCATTATTATCTACTGAGATATTCTTCAACTCCACAACATTTAATTGTTCCAACGTCAATGGATATTCGGGGTCTTTTATACGTCTTATAATCTCAAAAATATCCTGTAATAGTAAGACAGTGTAAGTTTCATCATTTTAGATATAATTACTAATATTTACATACCATTGGTGTTATTTCAGAGATAGTTAAGTTATTGTCATCTATATTTAACATATCAACGATGGATATATTAGATCTATAATCTGAACTACCATTACCTTCTTGGAAATAGATAATAGGATTTAAATTTTCCATCATCAAAAGAGATAAGATATTCTAAAATATATTGGATAATCTGTGTAGCGCTAGTTAATCCTAAGTATCCTAATATGACAGAAAAAAAGTATTTCAGAAATCATTAATACAGAAGAAAAAATTATATTATTAAACATATCATTTCCTCAACTATTTTATTTATGTAGATAAGACTCCATCACATCCTCTTTAATTTCCTCTTTTATCTAAACAAAGTTACTTAAATATCACAGATTGTAACTTCTACTTCAACTCCAGGGTCAATATTGATGGATGTAATTTGTCTCACAACATCACTAGATGAATAAAGATCAATAACTCTCTTGTAGATACGGAGTTCATATCTATCCCAAGTTTTTGAACCTTCACCACATGGTGACTTTCTAGTCGTTATCCTCAAAGTTTTTACAGGCATACGGACTGGTCCAGTCACTCTCAAATCCTTCTGCTTAGCATTCTGAATTAAATCTGAGCATACACGTTCAATTGACTTCAAGTTTTTACTTGATAAGGTTATTCTTATACGATGTTGAGGTAACTGTTGTTCACCTGCAAACTGCCCAAATTGCTTTTCTGATGGCTTCATTGCTACAGTTGCCATATTTCCTTATTTTTACAGTAAGGTAGTTCTTCTCTAAAGTTGTAAAGTTATATTGTCAGTATTTATACAATTCTAGCTTTTGCTAGCAGATGTTTAAATTAGCAAAATATTTCCGTCTCGTCTTAAGTTCTACAATGGCGCCTTATTAAATACTATTAACTGGCATACTAGATTAATATAAAGGTAATGAGACTCAAATACTATATGTTATCGTTTGCTTTTTATACTAGCTGACTATTTAAATATTCAGTATAATTTATATATCATATCTCTGATTTCACTTATGAAGTTTATACAAGAACTATGTAGTGCTGTACATGTTTCATCTCCTTTTTGTAGCCAATCATCTGCGAAATTTTGATTATTATAGTTACCATTATATTGTTTGTATTGACTATTATTCCATAAAGCCTCTTCTAATAGAAGTAAATCCTTAAATAGGTTACGTTCACTAGTACTTTGTAATTGCCATGTGGTAGCAGCTTGATATCTTCTTGCACCTAACAATTCTAGAAATATTCTCGCAGTTTCTAAGTCTTTTTTTAGATCATAATCAACACCAATAGATACAACAAATGCACATTCTCTTGATACATGTTCTTTTAAATAAGACCATTGTCTATAATTTTCTATAATTGTATTTGGATTATATAAAAGCACATTTCTATGACAAAATTCATCTTTTGAAAGTATTTGTACTATGATAGATAATATTTGAAATGCACATTGTAGAAAATTTACAGTAGCTTCACCAAAAAACTCCAAAGATGCAAGAAATTTCCCTGTCCATGCCAATGCTTTAGAAGAAGGAGATGAAGTAGTTGAATCTGATGATCTTTGTTTTTTTCTATTAGGAAGTGACATAGTTTTTAAATTGCAATATTCTTCATCATCACAATTATTTAATGAAGAAAATGAACTTTGACTATCTTCAATACTGTAAAACTCATCAATACTATTATTATTAATATATTTAGAAGTATTATTTGATGATTGATTATTTATATTTTTGTTACTTTTGATTTTTATATTTACAGAGTCTTCACTATCAAAACTTTTTTTCGATATTGGATAAACCAAATTTTGTGTTATTGCCTGCTTAACAATTTCCCTATAAACATTAGAAGAATAATTTGGAATAGTATTTTCCTCATTTGATTGTTTATCATCATTAATAAATGCTATTTTGTTACTAGCCTGAATAGTTTGAGATAATGAAGAGTCTGTTTGATCTTGTATTAGATCAGTAAAAATACGTAGCATACAATCAATAGCATCTCTTTGTAAAGGTAATTCAACTTCTAATCTTAAAAGAGTTTCCTTCAAAGAAACACAGAATTGATCACATTCAAAATCTAGTCCTTTTTCTGGATTTCCTTTTAGATACCTTAGTAAATATGATGTTAAATTATGTAATGCACTACTCGTTTCAATTCTAATATTTTCCAATTTTTCTAATGCTTTATATCTTAATAATGAATGATTATGTGATATATTTGATGTTGTCCAACATGTATATAAGCGTTCCAACTGTAAAGTTTGAATTAGTTTCTCAAGGCATATGCTAATACTTAACAATAAAAAGCAATTATTAATAATAGAACTTTTTTCAGGTTGACAATTTCCAGTTTCACAAGCATTTGTAGATAAACAAGATGTATCAATTGAATGACTTGATACAGGAGGAGATGAAGGTGAAATTGAAAAGTGATTAATACAACTTTTACAACTTAATGGAGTCTTTACAATACCATTTGATATAAATTGCTTATTATCATTATTTAATTCATAATCACCACTTATTTCTGTATTTTCATCATTATTTACATAACAGTTTGTTCCTATTTTTAAATCATAATTATTATCTTTGTTAGATGGACTACTTGATACATTAAATTTAAATCTGTTTGCTGAAAATAAACCACTTAAGTTAGTACCTAAAGATTTACAATCTGGATTATTTAATTCTAAATTATTATCAAAACCTTCAGTTAATAGTTCTTCTGGATTTCTTAAATTTGATGCAGTTCTTGTTCTAGATATTATTTGAGGAGATGGAGATGGGCGTCTACAAGTCTGATTATTATGATGTAATAAAACTAAATCATGTATACCATAACCAAAGAATTCAGTATCATTATTGTGAGTATTATCATCATCATATAAATAATGATCTACAATTCCATCTACAAATAAAGAATAACAATTCTTTGTATTAACCACTTTATATGAATAATGCCCTGTATCACGTTTTGGAAAAATAGAATTTGTATGATTATTCGATTCTTTATCTTCAAGCTTTATAGTTTGAGAATTATTCACTTCTTTCTCATTTTGCAGTATATATGTCACATATTCTAAAAATTGTTCATATTTTACATTACCATTAGAATCTTTTGGTGCCAAAGCAAAAAGCCAATCTAATTGTATTGAAGTTAATTTAGGTAATATTAAATATAATACTGTCCTAAAATGTTGTCTTGATAAAATTTCATGCTTGGATTGATCAAAAAGACGAAATCCATCTTTTAAGCATATTGATTTAATTTTTTTTTTAGGTGAAATACTATTATGAAAAGCTGATTTCTTATTCAATACTGTAGGTTTAATAATACTCCCTATCCAATCTTTTATTAAATGATAAAAATCTGGCTTTATTAGATGCAGTGAAAATATACTCATAGAATTATTTGATAATTTTTCTTCTTCTTTCTTATAAATTTCGTTATATTTTATCTCAGTTATATCTAAATTATTTATATTATTTCTTATTATCCCATTCCAACCAATAATATATTCAAGAAATTCATGTATTATTGGTAATTTATCAAATAATGTATTCAAATTCTCATTTCTAATATATTTCTGAAAATTTTTATATTTTGAATCATTATTTGGCATAGACTGTCTCCTAATCTTCTTATTACCAATTAAATTTAATTCATCTAAAGTATTTAAACTATCAGATGATTTTGCATATCTAATAGTTCTCGAAATATTAAAATTATCTATCTTTACTGATGAAGTATAACTTATGTATGATAAAAGTAGTTCTTGTTCTGCTTCTGATATACCAATATCTAATTCTAAAACAAATTCTGCCAACCATTTGCTTGATATACGAATATTTTCAATAATATATTTATTACAACACTTCGTATTTTTATTTAGATATTCTATAATCTCATATATTGATAAATTATTTGGTGATTTTAATGACCATTCTTCAACTCTAAAAAAAATATACTGTTGTATACGACCAACAATTATACTACAATATTGTTGATCAAAATTTGTAGGAGTTATACAAAATTTCTCTTTATCTTGTCTACAACATTTATTTATATCTTCATATACAAAATTATTAGGAATAAATCCTAAATTTATTGATTCCAAAGAAATACTCCTTTCTTCAATATATGATGAATAAGATGTTAAAGATATACTATTTGTACTTGGGCATGTATCATCTGTTTTTACTGATATATCATATTGGTAATCAATTAAATCATCATCTTGTTTAGATATTATTAATTCTTTTTTATTAAATATCTGTTCTATTTTATTTTTATCTATTATCTTACCCATCAATGATATTTCATTCATCCTTTTTGTTTTTGGATTTACAATTATCTCATTTTTAGGTGTATATAATAATTTTTCTTTATAAACTCTCAATAATGGAGTTTGTAAAATTTCAAATGGATCTGGTCTTAAAGAAGAATCTCTTGATAAAAGTTGTTGTACTAAATTAAATAATTCATTTGAATAACATTTTGGGGGAGGTTCAATTTTTTGAAATGAAATATTCCAAGCTAAGGATAAAAGTGAATCACCAGTAAATGGAGGTTTTAAACATGTCAACTCATACATTACACATCCAAATGACCAAATATCACTTTTATAAGTATAAGGTTTATTTTCACACATCTCTGGTGACATATATTGAGGTGTTCCAATAGAAGTTAATGTATATGGAATTGTTACACTTAACATTATTCTACTAATACCAAAATCACCAATTACTATATTACCTTTATCTGTTAAAAATATATTTGATGGTTTTATATCACGATGTATTATTGAACATTCTCTATGTAAATAATGTAATCCAGCTGCTATTTGTGAACACCAAAATAACACTGTATCTTCTGAAAGATATGTATTTGTTTTAATACAATTCTCTAAAACTTTACTAATATCACCTTGTTTACAATATTCCATTATTATTATTAAATATATATCATCATGTATAAATGACTCATGACATTTAATTACATATGGATTATTAATTGTTTTCATTATCTCAGCCTCTTGAAGACTACGATTTTTATCATCCTCATCCATTTGTGATAAATCAATACATTTTGCAAGCCATATTTTATTATCAATTGTATTTTGTACTTTATATGTATTACCAAATTGACCTCTACCTACATATTCAATTATACGATAATTCTTATATAAGAAATCAAATGATGAATTTCTTGGTAATAATGGTATAAGTAATGTCATCAGATTCTTTATATATTTTTAATATGTAGATTATACCTTACTATTATCCATTATAGAATCATAGTTAAGAAATACCTAAATAAATTTTAGGCATGCACCCCACAGATACCGGAGTTATCATTTAACAAAACGAGTCTAATATAATTTTTATGTGTAATCATAATAAAAAAAGGCAAAAATAAAAAGATAAAAAATTATATCTGAATAAATACTGTAATATTTAAACATATACTACATACTAGATATGTTTGCATTACATAATTTTCTAAAAAAGATCTTTTTCTTATTTCTTCAATTTCATGTGGTATTGCATGCATTGGCGGTTTTCTCGTGGAAGATTTCACATATGTAATCCTACCACAAAAATTACATGAAAGTATTTGAACATCTTCTAATATTTCAACAGGGAGCAATGTAATTGGACATGCTGGGATATTATTAATACAATTATAATGATTCTTTAATAATTCTTTATCATCATCTTGTTGGTTAACTATTATATCACTATTATTATATATATTATTATTAATTACAGGATCTTTTACTATATTTGAATAATTTCTAAAACATTTATATATTGTATATGGTGGTTTACTTATTAATATACAATCAGTTTTCGTTATATTATCATATAAATTATTAATATTAATCTTTATATCTTGTAAATTTTTGACAAATCCCCATATATAATTTAAATTTAATTTTTTATTCAAAAAATAATTATTTGGATTGGAAACGTTATTAGAATTTATTATTTCAATATTATTCATTAATTGACCAATAATTTTTGATTTCTTCACTTCATTATATATATTCTCAGAAGAATGAATATCTTTTATATAATTATCTAATATATTTTGAATTTTATCCCCATAAAGTTCATTAATTTTATTAATATATAATAAAGAAAATGTCTTTAATTGTACAAGATAATTAGCAATATCTTCTTCACGTTGAATAATATCATCATTAAATAATTCTATATATCTTGAATAAAGGAATGTAATAAGACATCTATAAGAAGTAATTAATCGAATAAAATAAAGAAATTTAAAATAAGAAATTATAAATTCAATATTATTTACTATATCCATATTATTATTATTATTACCTTTTATTTCCGTAAAATTATTAATCACATAAAATTTTAATACATATTCAATAAGTTTTTTAAAATGATTCATACCGTAGTTTAAATTAGTATATTGGAGATTTTTAGGAGTAAAAATTTCTAATTCATGAATATAACAAAATAATAATAATAATAAATTTGCTAATGTAGTTCTAATATAACTTTCTGAAAGTATATCTGGAAAATATTCATGAATTAAATTAAATTCTAATGCATCTTGAATTATATTTTCTGGTATAAATTCTCTAAATATTGATAAATATAAGGTTAAAATATCTTCATCACTATCATTATTATTATCATTAAATTCTTTATTAGATTTATATTTAGTTTCTATATTATTATTTAATTTATCCTTTATTTTTAATAACAAGATCTTACCAAGTTTAAAATTAAAAGCTGAAAAAGGTTTTAATTTGATATTAAATTTATTCAATAAATCATTATATTGTTTATTATTATTATTATTATTATTATTATTATTATTATTATTATTATTATTATTTACTTCTTCTATTTGTGGTATTCCTTTAATAGTTGTTGGACCTCCCAAAATAAGACGAATATCATTCAAAATTAAAGGTTGTGATATTGATTGTATTAAATAATCAAAAAAACAAATATTTCTAAAATCTTTACAAAATTTAACATAATTATATATTTCTTTAAAACCACTATTATAAGTTTGTTGAAGATTTAAAACTAATCGTTTATTTATATAATCAATAGCTGATATTGGATTAAACATTAATATTAATCGAATTGTATGAGTAGAAGATGAATATAACATAATAATAAAATATGAATAATTAATATTATTATATAAATTATTCCCAGGATATGATAAAGGTGTATTAAAACTAATTACTTTATAATCATTTGCATTCCTATTTATCTGTATACTATTTGGTATACTTTGAATATTTTCGAGCTTTTTAGACAAATCTTTATTTCTATTCTCCAATATTTCTGAAGATTCATTTGTATATATTGATTGATCAATATTTGGAAATGATGAAGATGCTTGAAATATCTTATTTGGGTATAATATTTTAATTTGATCCCATCTTCCTTTTTCTTTTATTGATGGTCTATGTAAAATCCCAATTCCAGATTTATCAATTGTAATAAAAGAATATATTAATTTATCATCTATTATTATATCATCAATATAATGAATTCCACAAATTGGACAATTATGTATTAAAATATCTAATTTATTATTTAAATTCAATTTATTAACAGAAGAATATTCAATTGAAGTTTCTAAATTATTATATGATATTATAGAATTCCCTATTATAACATTATTACCTATTCCAATACACCATAATAATAACAAATCATCATCTTTAATATTATAATATAAATTATTATTACCTATTATCACAATCTTCATATGAGAAATTGGAATCTTAGGAAATAACTCATATATACATCTATATTCAATACATATAATAGATAAATTTGTTATATCAAGTTTAAATCTAAATAATAAAAGACGTCCTATAGAAGTTCCTATAATAACTTCAAATTTATATTCTGAATTAAATGATGAAGTATATGAAGTAGTTACTATCTCATCCATATTATCATTTATATTTATAAATTTATTATTGATTACCTTTGGTAATTTATAAATTAATACTGCATTACAAATAATTAAAGGTTTATCTGGTAAAATAGAATATATATATTCATCTTGTTTAATTAAATTATCTTCAAAATTATTTGTAAATTTATCTATGTAATTTTCTTTTGAAAATTCTTTAGGAATATATATTATATATAAAATTATATAATCATCCCAACATGATGTTACAATATATAAATTCATTTTATCTCCAATATTTGATTGCATTGATAATATAGGAACTTTTAATATTGGATTATCTGTATTTAATAAATATTTATTACAAAATGATATAAGTAAACACTTTTTATCTTCCAAATAATTATTATATAACCAATCATAAGATCTTATTTTATATTCTTTATCTTCAATATAATTATATCTTAATATATCAATAAGATTAAATGATGGTGAAGGATTATATATAGCTAAAGAAAATGAATCTAATATAGGTAATAACCATATATAAACTATTCCATTATTAATACATGTAAATAAACAAGACCATTTATAATTAATATAAGGACCCCAAGATAAATTCTCAATATATAATGATTTATTAACTATTTTTATATTTGAGTAAATATCTATATTATTAATTATATTACTATTACTATTATTTTCATTTATTTTCCATATTATATTATTTATTTTTGGAATTTCAAAATTAAAACGATTCCAAGTATTTGAACCAAATAAAATATTATCATTATTTCCATCAATCATTAAATTTAAATCTATAATAATAATCTTTGTATTTATACTATAAGCATAGTAACCAAAATTATTAATACTAGTAGATATCTGTGCATTACTTATACATGGAAAACGTCCAATAGACCATAAATTAAACATTTTTTTTTTTTTTCTATTATAAATATAAATATCCCAATTAATAAAATTATAAATAAATCAATATATTAATATTTACATATATATTACAATTAGACTAATAATTCTTCCCTTTTTTTTCTTTTTAATTAGTTAATCTAAAGATTTTATTTAGAACCTTAGGGATAATATTATTTATTAGGTAATAATATAAAATATTTTACCGCGTTATATTAATAATTAATATTATAAATTTGAGACAACTACTTAAGTAATAGAATTATCAAAATATTATTTCTAATAATTATATTTAATTCTTAAATTTTATTTATAATAATAAAAAATTAACTTATATAGTAAATTTTCCGCCAAAATACCAAAAACTAATAAATATTAATATTATGTTATTATCCTAAGATTATATTTAAAAGAAAATTTATAATATTAAAAAATTTTCGTTTACCGCCTAAATATTCGTAATAGTTACATGCTCGATGTATATTTTGTTCTTAAAATATCTAAAGTATTGTAAAATGGGTCTAATTTTCAATATTATATAGTTAATATTAATTTTTGTTACCTTTTTTTTTATTTTTTCTTTTAATTTTTTTTCTTTTTTCAATTCCTCTTTCTTCTAAGATGATTTTTTTAAAATGGACCGTATTTTCCAGTTTTTTATTATGTAATACAATTAAAAGTACATTTTATTTAAAATATCAAGCAAATTTTTATATTATTTCATTTATTTCAACACAAAGAGGACTAACATATTTTTTATGTAGAGGTAATGGTAAAGAAGATCAATATGATAATGGATATGGTTTAGATTATACACAACCCTATTCGTGTGAACATAGACAAAATAATGAAACTCCACAAGTACTAGATAATCATAGTTATTTAGGTCTACCTATGTATAAAGAAAACGAAGATGATAGTGGCAATGATTATAATGATAATAATAATGAATATACATCAGATTATGGTCAAAATAGAGGATTATCATGCAAACATGCAAAGAATTATAATTATATGGTACCGAGAATTCCAAATGAATATGATAAATCTAAAGTATTATATATATTATATAATGGACCTGAAATTATTGATGCTAGTATTATTGATAGTGATGTAATTAAATCAAAAAGTTTACAAAAATTACTTAGTTTATATGAAAAAGCTTATCAAAAGTGGCATCAACAGCAATTTAAATGTGATAATAATCCCTTTTGTCCAAAAATACAAAAAATAGTTTTTAAAATTTATACTATATCAGAAGAAATTAGACAGGAAATTGAAAAATATAATAGTAATAACTAAATATTGATAATTTATAATATATTATTAATTCTTTGAATAATTCAAGTTTTATTAAAGTACTTTTTTTTATTAATATTAGAATTTATTATGTATATTTATTATTGATTGGAATGTATTTAATATATTATTGGATACATATATTATTTATGTTAATTTTTTTTCAAGGATTTTTCTTTTATATTTTTTATTAGATCTTAATATTAATATTGATAAATAATATATAATATTAGTTTATTTTATTTAATATAAATTATTTTAATTAATATATCTTTAAATATTATTAAAATATTAATATTATATAATATTTCAATTTTCTCTTAAAGAATTAATAATAAAATAAAAAGATTCTTTGAAAGATATCATAAATATAATAAAGACAATGAGTCTCCTATATTTAACTAATAATTAATAAATAATAATAATAGTAATAATAAATTTAAACATAACTAATTTTATTTAACATACTTATATTTCAAATATTTGTAATCTGATGATATTTTTTATTATAATAATGTATTCATTGAAGATATCACTTAAAAAAAAAGTGAGAATTGAGAATTTAAATAAGAATATGATGAATTATATCTATTGTGATCAAATAGGTTTGTTTGAATAATATTTGGTAAATATACCTAGTCTTTTGATTGATTATGAGATCATAACAAATAATAATAATACTTGGGAATATCCTAAAAGTAATTTTTTAAATAATAAAAATGGAGAAAAAAAAAAATTTAAGAACAATATTTAGATAAAAATAAATTTGAATTTAAATGTCAAAATAAAAATTTAAAGAAGAAATGAATATAGATAATGAAAATGGATGTAAATTTGAAGAATTATTATATTTGATTATTATTGACTTTAAATTAGCTGTATACTGTAGTTATTTTAAATTTAAGATATTTACTAGATGAATATAGGAGAAGTTATAGATTACAGAAGAAATTTCAGTCTATGATTAATGAATAGTTTTCATATTAATTTAATTTCAAGCAAAGCTAAATATTATTATGATAAAGCGTATAATATATTAAATAGAATTATAAAATAATTAAATTTAAGAAGAAATGGCAATATGATATAAAGATAATTTAAATAATTCTTTTTTTTATATTAATTTAAGATTTAATTTTGATTACAAAAGTTTAAATGGATTTATAACGATAACTTATCTAACTATAATAAGTAGATAATATTTTAATTTATTTATTATTATTAAAATGAGGATAATTTTAATAGGATTATTTTTGTATGAAATGCTTAGTACTTAGAAATAATTTGGTTTTTTCTTTTTGTTTTTTTTTTTTTTTTAACTTATTAAGATTATTTAAATAATGGATTTCTTGATTAATCCAGAATATTTACAGATAATAATCTTAAAACTTTTATTAATATAATATATTTATTAAGATATTTGTATTTTTATAGAATGATTTACCTTTTTTATTTGATTATATATAATTAATGTAGTTAAGTTAAGTTATAAATAATATTATCAATAATTATTGAAAATGATTAATAAATATACTCCAGAACTTTTTGTTTCTTTATTTTTAAATATTTAAATTTTAAAATTAATTTTACATTTCTATTGATTTATATTGTAAAAGATTATTAAGGGGAAATAATTTAAATATTGAATTGCTAGGTGTTTGAAATAATTCTATTATATTAGAAAATTCTTTATATTGATCATTTATTTCAAAAGAATAATATTTTTTATTATAAAATATATCTTGATAATTTTGATAAATTGATATTGGAGGTGAAATCCAAGTTAATTTACCTATCATATTTAATTTATCTATTTGAAGAAATTCCATATTATTACAATCTTTATTAGTATATATAAAAAAATGTATTATTAATTGGTAATATACTTTTATATCATCTGTTGTAAATGAAGGAATTATAGATAAATTATTAATATTTATATTATGTTGAAAAAAATTATCCCATAAAGTACATCTTTTATAATTATAAATTTGTTTAGTAGATTTATTTATTTGATCAATATTAATAAATTTAACCTCTTCTATTCTATTAATTAAAATATGTATTTCTTGCGTTTTCCATCTTGCATTTAACATATTAAAACTAATATTTATTGAATCATATTTATACCAATGATTTATATTAGAAATATTACATATTGCAACTAATTGATTTTGATAATTAATATGTAAGATTTCATTTTTTTTTTTATAAAATATATTTTTATATATAAAATGATCTTTTGTTATTTCAAAATCATTAAGTTTCATTATTTCCAAATTATTCTGCCAATATAATTCTAATATTGATTTTGGTAAATTTAATAATTTACTTTGTATATCAATTGTTTGTGCTAATGGTTCAAAAAATCTTAATTTTAAATTAGACGAATTATTTAATAAGATTTCTTTATAATTAATAATTTTATTTTGATATTGTTTTTCAAGATTTTTAATAAATTGTTTTTTACATAATTGAAAATCTTGATAATAATGAAAATATTCATTATTATAATAATTATATTTATATTGATGAATTATATTATCTTGATTATTTTCTAAATATAAATTTTTATTTTGTTTATTTGGACTAGTAATTGGATAAGAGAATTTAAATATATTAGAAAAGGATAATAAACAATTTACTAATGTAGGATATGATCCAAATAATTTAATATCAAAACGTAATCTTTTTTGTATTTTTGACCCTAAACAATTAATATTATTATTTGAATTTTTATGTGTTCCAAAAGTTAATAATAAGAAATAACCATATTTTTTATATTGACCATTAAATGATGGTGGTAAGAATGGTGGAATTATACAAGAATAATAAAATGGACCTATTTTATCATATTTTTTATTTAGATTTAAATTACTAATAAAAACATATGGATTACTTACAAATATAATTCTTGTATTTATTTGATTATTTTTTTCTAAATTTAATTTATAACCAAATAATTTGTTTAATATATTATAATTTCCATTATAATGATCTAAATTAAAATGATTTATATTATTTGTTGTATAACCATATAGTTGTATTGCACCATAATCTAAAAAGTAATCATCTGATAATTCTTTTACAATATATTCAGGTTTAGATATATATTCTTTTGGTAATGTATTAATTAGATTTTTATTTTTATTATAATATATTGTTATATATACTGATAATTTATCTGAGCTAAAATAATATGGTTGATCAAATTGTATTTGGACATAATATCTTGTAGAACCATATACAAATTCTTGATAATCATCAATATACATAAATAAATGTTTATTAAATAAAATTAATATAATATTTTAATATAATAGGTGTTTAATGAACATATATTAGTATTTATTATAAAATATAAGGATGACATACATAGGATACTCGTGTTATAGCGGTTGTAATTTACTAGTTTGAATAAATAGATCATTAATATTATTAATATAGATGAATATCAAATATTGGTCATATAAATATTTGAGATAGTGACTAATAATAGAATTTAAGTATATAGACTATATTAGATTAATAAGAAATGATTTATTTATTGAAGTAATATTTAGAATATTTTTTTTTTCATTTGTAAAATAAATAAGAATCTACTATAAATTCTATATATTAATGAAATTATTTAGTTAAATTTTAGATTAATCCTGTGTTGGATTTAATAATTTATCAATAGCTCTATTAATACTTCCATCAGATTCTGTTAATGCTTTTAAACAAGCATCAGTATCAGTAAATCCCATATTTCTTAGTGTTTCTAATTGATAAGAATAATTATTAGTTTGATTTTGTTGATTATTATTAATATCTAGATCTAAGTTATTGATAGAATGATTAGATATATCAATATTTGATTGCATATTAGATGATATTTGGGTATTATTAGTTATTCCCATATTTCTCATTGAATCAACTATATTTTGCATTTGTTGTGATAAATTATTATCATTTCTTTGTCTCATAATAGAGGAAAAGATGTCAATATTATTAGTAGTATTTGAAATTTGATTTTGATTATTTTGAGGATTATGATTAACAAGGGGATCACTTTGTGTTTCTGCATTATTATTATTATTCATTATAAAGGGTAAATTGAAATTATTAAATATATTATGGGATGATGATAAATTATTATATGTAAGTTGAGATAAAGAATTTCTTAAGTTATTATTCTGATTTCTACACCAAGGATTAGGTAATGCTTCAACATTTGGTCCTAAAGATTTATCAATATTGTATTGTATTGGTTTATTGTAAGATTTCTTATTATCTTGTATATCAGAAAGTGCAGCATCCCACATTGGTTCTTGGACTGTTTGATACATACGTTTTAAAGCACTAAATCCGCCTGGTATACTTTCTATATTACTCATAGCACGATCTGAATTTCTCATAACTTCTTTCATAAGTTCAGGATTTCTGAGTGCATCTATAGACATTTGTAAAAATTGTGGATCATTAAATATATGATTTAATTCTGGATTTTGTTCTCTTAATAAACTTATTTGTGGATTAGAATCTAATATCATACGGAATATTTCTGGATCACTTAATAAATTTTGTATCCATGGTGAGTTCATTGCTGATGTTAGGAAGTCATCTGGTGTAGATTGTGGAATTGCATTACCAAGTATTGATGAAGAGGAAGTTGTTGAAGTACTTGAATATCCATTATTTTGATTTATTATAGAGCTAGTATGATTAGTAGATACATCTCTTCTTGGGGTTCTAGCTACTATTATGGTACAATCATTTTCAAGTTTGTATATTTTAAGAAAAGCCATGTTGTCAGAAAGTATTTTCTCTCTCCATACTAATCGTATTTCATTGATAGGTATATTACATGTCGAACTAATCATTTGTTTAAGCTGTAATACTGTTGTGTTATTAATATTTATTTTATTGGGTAATTTAATAATTGAGCCTTCCAGGAGTTTGACATTTATTTCAATTAGTAAATCAAGATCAGGTTTTTCATCATTATTACTTTCATTACTATTATCTGTACATGAATTCGAATTTTCATCTCCAGAATATCCTGAATTCTCCATATATGCTGTTTTAACTTTGACCTCACTAAATATTTATCACAATACTATTATTACATAAAATATATTGAGAATAGCTAAATATAAATAAAGCTATATATTAAAAAAAACTTTTTTTTTCCTTCTTAAGTAAGAAAAAGAAGAATTTTTATAACCACTTAAGTTTTGTAATATACACCGTTTTATATTATTTTCAGGTTTTTGCGCAAACATAACTTTAGGCGGTAACAAATATGCCGCCTAATGTATAATATTCTTTTCTAAATAGATAAGGAAAATTCTACTTTTTTTTCAAAAGTACATTAATAATTAAAAGCTATAAGCTGTATATACCGCAGGCGGTATATGTGTTACTGTATCCCCACTATAAGGAATACGAATAGAAGTTCTTACTCTTTTTTTTTTTTTTTCCTCCTTCTCTTTCTAAATAATAAGAGGGGTATTTACCTATTGTATAGACTAAAGTTTTGATAGTAATTCTTTGTTTGCTCAGTAGATACAATACTCTGACTACTTCAGGATTCACTGTGGTGATTTTTGAACCTAGATATTTTGTACAATGCCATTAAGATTGGATGCGAAGAAGAAACTACAAACTAACAGTGATAGGGTAAAATGTGTTTATTTTCATCAATCTGAGCCATGGATATTATCGAGTTTATACAATGGTACAGTAACAGTTTTTGATTATGAGACCCAAAATATTGTGAAGTCTATTGAGGTATCAGAACATCCAATACGATGTGCTATATTTATTAGTAGAAAACAGTGGATAGTAACGTGTGGTGATGATTTAATGGTTAGGGTATATAATTATAATACAATGAATAAACTTACTAGCTTTGAAGCTCATAATGATTTTATCCGCCATGCAACAGCTCATCCTAAGCTTCCTTTACTTTTGACATGTTCTGACGATTTAACAATTAAACTTTGGGATTGGGATAGAGATTGGTTAAAGGTTCAAACATATCAGAATCATTCACATTATGTAATGATGGTACAGTGGAGTCCAAAAGATAGTCATGTTTTTGCATCTGCTTCATTAGATCGTACAATTAGAATTTGGGGTATCCCATCTAATGTAGGAACAATTTCAAATTCAACTGTAACAGTACCAAATTATACTTTATTGGGTCATGATAGCGGAATAAATTGTTTAGCATATTCATTATCTGCAGAAAAACCATATATCGCAACTTGTAGTGATGATAAGACAGTGAGAGTATGGGATTATCAAACTAAGCAATGTATTCAGGTTTTGTCAGGTCATTCAAAAGCCGTAAGATCAGTCGTTTATCATCCACAACTTCCATTAATCTTGTCTTGCAGTGAAGATTGTACTATAAAGATATGGCATGCTACAACATATAGACTAGAATGTACATTAAATTATATGATGGATAGAAGTTGGTGCTTAGCAGTTTGTAATAATATGGTAGCTATAGGTTTTGATGAAGGTACAATGGTAATAAAGATAGGATCTGAACAACCATTAGCAACTTTAAATAGTGGTAAGATTATTTTAGCAAAGGGAAATGAGATTTGTCAAGCAAACTTAAGGGTAATTTCAACAGCACTTGGTACATTAGATTCTAATTCATGTGAATGGGGGTTTGATTACGAAGATGGTGAGCGCATAATCTTACCTACAAAAGAATTGGGGTGTAGTGAAATTTATCCACAAGATATACAATATCATCCAAATGGTCGTTTTATTTCAATATGTGGTGATGGAGAATTTATTATATATACAACACAAGCTTTAAGAAATAAGTGTTTTGGGAAGGCAATAGAACTTGTTTGGTCACTAGATGGTCATTACTTTGCAACTAGAGAGAATGGTGATAGAATTGTTTTATATAATAACTTTAAGGAATTTTTTTCATTTAATCCAAATTATTTCGTAAATGAGATTTTTGGTGGTCAACTTTTAGGAGTTAAATCATCAGATTTTGTGTGCTTTTATAATTGGTCGGAATGCAAATTAATTAGACGAATTGATGTCTCATCTACACTAAATAATATTTATTGGGATGATCTAGGAAATTATCTATGCCTATCTTGCATAGATACATTTTATATTTTGAAATATGATAAAGATAATATTGAAGGTATTCTTTCAAATCCTAGTGTAAATTCTTCTATAGACACTAGTGAAGGTATTGAGACATCTTTTGAATTAATCTCTGAGATTCAAGATAAAATTGAGAGTGGTATATGGGTATCTACATGTTTTCTTTATATTACTAGTCAATTAAGGCTCCAAATATGGATGAATGGATATATTGATATTATAGCGTATTTATCAGAAAAGAATATTTATCATATTTTAGGATATGTCAAAGAACTACAAAGAGTTGTATTAATGGATCGTGAATTTAATTGTATTAGTTATTCTTTAAATTTAAATTATATTGAATATCAGGCTTGTATAGTCAGGAAAGATCTTCATACCGCAGAAGATTTATATTGGAATAAAATTCCTAGCTATTTACATACTAAGATTGCAAAATTTCTTGAGATACAAGGTTATAAGGAGAAAGCACTTGAAGTAACTACAGATTTTGATCAGAAATTTGATCTGGCTTTAAATTTAGGTAAACTAGAATTATGTATTACAATTCTCCAACAGATAGAAGCAAAAGAAAAAGGTGAAAGAGAAGATATACAAGATATACAAAATAATAAAGTTGCAACTTCTTTAAACAAGCAAAGATGGAAAATTTTAGGTGATATTGCTTTAGAACAAGGTAAATTTAGCCTTTCTATAGCATGCTATAAAGAAGTAAGTGATTTAAACTCTTTATTATTAATTTATTCATCAATAGGAGATAAAAATGGACTTGAATATGTTGCTGAATTAGCTAAAGAGGAACAACAATGGAATGTAGCATTTGTATGTCACGTATTACTAAATGATTCTCAAGGTTGTATTAATGACCTTATTTCAGCTAAAATGGTACCTCATGCTGCTTTATTTGCTAGAACATATAAACCATCAAAGATAAATGACATTGTTGAATTATGGAATAAACAATCCTTTAGGCCTAATGAAAAATTAGCATCTCCACTGGAAGCATCAGAATTATTTCTTCATTATAATATGTGCTTGGATATTGAAGCGAATATTACAAAGTATATTGAAGCTCCAGTTAAATCCTGGATTAAAATGAAGGAAATTCTTGATAGTGATATAATAGAAGATTATATGCAAAGGGGTCCTAATTATATAATAAACTCTATTTGGGGAGATCAAGATATATCTATAAAAAGTGATATAGATAATGATAAGAATTGTCCAGATGAGAGTAAGGAAGATATTGAGGACAAATCTGTAGAGGAGTCGCTTGTTGAATCTACAAAGGATATTTGTGAAGAAAACTTGCAACTTACAACAGAATCGAAAGAAAGTAAGGGCTCTCACAAGGAGAAACAAAAAAGTTAGATAAGGAAATTAGATTAATAGATATTTCGATATATTTAGTAATTGTTAAGAATAGACTAGAGACATCTAAAAGTCTAAAGTAAGTTTAAAATCTTTTTTTATTGACTTTTCTCATATAGAAAATATCTACATAATATTTCTCATAGTAATTAAAAAATAGTTAATAATGAGTTAGCTCTTATTCTTTATTTATCGCTAATAATTCTGAATTGATTTGCAAGCTCCTCATTGAGTTTTGCAAAGTAATTCTTAAATTCTTCATCAGATTGTCTTGGATCAAGGAATTTCATTGATGTAACTTTATTAATAGTATCTCTCATAGAATTATAGATAGTAGACCAACCAATTTTTTGTTGTTGTTGTTGAGTATCTTTGATAGTCTTTAGTGACAAGTCATATAGATTTCCAATAGTCTTCATCATACCTAATGTCTTCTGTAATGGACAAGTAAAGTCATAGTCAGAAAAGGCATTTTGTTGTAAGAAATCTTCTCTTATAATACGAGCTACTTCCAATATTACTTTTTGATCTTCAGATAAAGAATCTTTACCTACTAATTGTAAAATATCAGCTAGTTCATTCTCTCTTTGTAAAATATCAGCCATCTTTTGTCTCAAAGAATTGAAATCTGGATCTACAGAGTCGAAATAAGGTTCTAAAATCCTTGAATATTTACTAAAAGATGTACTCCAATTTACAGATGGGAAGTGTTTTCTTTGTGCCAACTTCTTATCTAAACCCCAAAATACTTGTATAATTGACATTGTAGCAGTTGTAACTGGATCTGAAAAGTCACCACCTGGAGGAGAAACAGCTCCTACAATGGATACAGTTCCCTCTCTATCAGGAGATCCTAAACATTTCACTCTACCAGACCTCTCATAAAATGAAGCTAATCTAGCTCCTAAATAAGCTGGATATCCAGAATCAGCAGGCATTTCAGCTAATCTACCTGATATTTCACGCAATGCTTCAGCCCAACGTGATGTTGAATCAGCCATCATTGCAACATTAAAGCCCATATCACGGAAATACTCAGATAATGTAATACCAGTATAAATAGAAGCTTCTCTAGCTGCGACAGGCATGTTAGATGTATTTGCTACCAAACAAGTTCTCTGCATAATTGATTCTTTCTTCCCATCTACTACTGTGTATAACTCTGGGAATTCTGTTAGTACTTCAGCCATTTCATTACCTCTCTCACCACATCCAATATATACTATAACATCTGAATTACTATATTTACTTAGTGCTTGAGAAATACAAGTCTTACCACAACCAAAAGCACCAGGAATAGCACAAGTTCCTCCTTGAACAGAAGGAAAAAGTGAATCCAAGACTCTTTGGCCAGTTAATAGTGGTGTACAACCTTGGAGTTTCTCTAAACATGGTCTTGGTACACGAACTGGCCATGTATGATACATTGGATATTTCTTTATTACCCCATCATATTCTACTTCAATCAACTCCTCATCAATTGTATAATTACCAGAACTTGGCAAACTTATAACACGGCCTTGAGAATTTGGAGGTAACATTATTTTGTGTGATTTAAATAAGGAATTCTCAAATACTGTACCAAATACATCACCCCCCGTAATTATATCACCTACACGCAAGTTTGGATTTGGAATAAATTCCCAAACTTTATCATGATCTAATGACTTTACATCTATTCCCCTAGGAATGAACATATTACCAGTTATATTAGCAATATGTTGTAGTGGCCTTTGTATACCATCAAAAATATTATTTAAAATACCGGGACCTAATTCCACTGATAACGGTTTCCCTGTTTTTATTACTGGATCTCCTACTGTTAAACCAAATGTATCTTCATATACTTGAATAGATGCTGTATCCCCTTCCAGTCTAATAATTTCACCAACTAGCTTCTGAAATCCCACTCTAACTAATTCGTACATTTTCGTACCACTCATATTTTCTGCTACAACCAAAGGACCAGCTACCTTGTAAATGGTACCATAATCATTTTCTTGATGTGTCATCTTCAAATCTAACTATAAAAGAGCTGCAGCAATTCTTAAAAATAGCAATTTAAAAAGATAAGTCTTGGTTTATACTATCTTCTTTTGTTGCCTTGTAACTAATTCCGTTTTACAAAATTCCCCTTTTTAAGCTAAATAGACACGCCTAGACAGAATAATATTATGGATACCAAAATATTGGCGCTCCCGGGATTTGTGATCTTTAGGAAGTTTTACAAGTATATTAGGAGTATATTTATAATTATTTAAATTCATATACATAATGATTAAAATATCTTGTAATCTAAATTTAAATATATTCTTCTATATATAAAGTTAGCAATAATTAATTATTTTCTCTTCCTTTATAATTCTGAATTTTTAGATTTAATATATTTCATCCCATTTGACTAAGATAATAAAAGATATATTTAATGAAAGATAATTACAAAAAATAGTTTTATTATATTATAATGTATAACTTATTTTTATAAAATCTTTATTAGAGGTGAATCTAAAAATAAGAAGATGTCAAACCCCGCTAATAGCGCCATAAACGTTACTAATAAGAGCATGTTATGTGGTGTGTGTATAGTATACTAAAGTAATTTCTTTTTTTTAGATTTCCTTTATAAAATTTTTATTTTTAGGGTTTTATAAATAAGATTTGAAGATTATATAGATATCATTACGTCACTATTCTATACTTATGAGTATCATAGTGAAAGATCCATATTACAGCAGTAGTGGAATTTCCAAAATAAGATATGTAAACTCTTTCAAACTTTATTCACACCTAAAATATACTAAATTTGCTCTTTGTGAAATATCAGATTATATTATACTTAGTGGCACACTTGGAATTGTTGAAGATATAGAAGATAAAAAAAGTTATGAAAGGCAAAATGTTATAAGTTTTTTAATTAATGCATCTTTACGTCGTGATTTAAATGATGATCTTGAAAGGAAAATTAAAAAGCAAGATACTTCTAAAACGATAATTTCAATAGATCCAGTTGATGGTAATGTTGAATATTTTAAATATCTTTTAAATAATGAATTATGGATTCATTTTACAAATATATTTGATAATGATAATGAGGAACTGACAAATTCAATAAAAGAGATTTCTAAACAGATGGTTGAAGTTTTAAATTTAAATAACGTGAATTTTGGGAAGGTTTCAACTGGTATAAGACGTTATAGTGAAGTTTTAAATCCTAATTATTTGGAAGATAAGGTAGAGATGGTCAATAATAACTTTAGGGATATCTCTATTTTGGATACTAATCCAAAATTAATTTTTTTTCCCACACCATTAATCAAGTTAAGAAATTTTATTTGTGATTTAACTAGTGAAATAAGTTGTAAATTGTTTGATACTACAGGGTCATCATTATATGGAATTATTGGTGCTTGTGACAAGTTAATGAAGAAAAATCCCAATTTATTATATATACCAAATATTAAATACTCAAATTTATTAACAGATAATTATTACGGGAGATCTGATAAAATTAAAGATATTGGTTATCTTTTGGAGCTTATTTCTAGATCTTTAGATAATATTTTACCTTTATCTTTAGTTGAGGAAAGTGAACATCGTAAATATTTAAAATCTAATTTTCTTAGGTTAATGTCTTTAACAAGTAATGATTTTTCAGTTGAAATTTTTAATGAAATTGTAAATTGTTCATTAAGACTTATATTAATTACTGGAAGTATTGATATGTTACTTTTATTACTACAAAAGCTTCATGATTATTGTAATGTTAATGAAGGAACCAAAAAATTACTTTTAGATCCAGTAGTTTGGAATTCATATCAAATAATGGCTTTAATTGCACCTTGTCAAGTTCATATTTGTAATAAGATCAATAATCCAACAAATAAGGTTAAAGAAATAGGAGTACCTGTACAAGGAGTTATAATAAAGAGTGGAATTCCTATATTTGGAAATCATATTGTACAATTTTATATAACAACAGACTCAATGTTTCAAAATAATAATGCAAAAGCAGATATAGTTAGAAGTCGTATTGAATTTGCTATTACATCAAGTAATACATTAGATTGGTATACTAAGCAGCATCCTCATGGATCTACTTTGTTATTTGATACAACAATTGGTGGATCGAAAAAACTGTTTGGAAGAATGCTTTCTATTGAGATATGTGATTCTGCAATATATCTATTCCAAGGGATAAGTACTGAAAGAAATATGAATAATGATTTTGAATTGTATTCAAAAAGAGAAATGTATGGTAATCAAGAATTAAAATCTAGTAGTTCTCCAATACATATTCACCATTTAAGTTCTCCTACTGATATTTTTTTAGTAGAACTTATAATATCATATGATAAAAAAACATATTTTAATTGCCTTTATATTTATATAAATGGTGAGTTTATATTTAAAATGAATATACCATCAAATTTATACGAATCTCCTTTATTATTAAGAACATCTAAATTACTTATTCAAACTACAACATCAAGATCTACATTTTTTGAAATACCATCATATCATATACTTTCAAGGAATGTTATCAATGATATTCTAGTACCTAATAAATTAATAGATAGATTTCAATTTTCAAATATGGATTATAATTGCTATATTGAATTAAGTATATCTCATTTAATGTTCTTTTTATGTAATATATGGAATACATTAATTTCAAAATATATTAGATATAATAAAGATGAGAATTTATCTCAAATTAAAGAATTAGATATTGAGAAATTATTTAATAAAGAAGAATTATATTCTTGTAAGAATCCTTGGTATACATGGTTATATGTTGATTCTTTAGATAAATTTAAGGCATTTCTTTGTTTGATTCAATCTATATTAAATAATATAGCACAAAAACAAAGAGAGAATATTGAAATAGAAGAATATCAAATGGATTTACTTGTATGCCTTCTATGTATATTAAAATATATTATGATTGACACAAAGGATACATTATATAGATGTCTAAGCATAAAGTCTCAAACTGGAAGTGGTGTTTATAGTAATATTCCAGAAACTACTGAATTATTATTTAGTATATTAATGAGATGTATATCTTTAAAATTTTTAAATAATGAATGTATTTTTAACAAGACAAAATACACAAATAAAGAATGTTCTATTAATACAGAATATGATGATATTAATTGTATAGAATGGTTGATACACATATCTGCAATTAGATGCTTTTGTAATATAAGTAAAAAATTATTATATTTTTTATTTCGTTGTGTCAATATACAAACTATAATTTCGTATTTTGAATTATTATTAAATATACCACATGATGAGGCTAAAGAGGTTTTACATTTATTTCATCATTTTGCAAATGGCGAAATATTTATTTTATTAATTACAAGACTAATGATGGAATCCACAAATGATTCAAATAATAGTTCAAATTGTTCTTTATTTATAAATTTTCTAAATAAGCTAATATTAACCTCTACAGATACTAGTAAATTTGGTATAATAAGAGAAGGTGTTGATAACATATATAAAATGAATCTATCCACCTCCTTTGAACAAGAATTGGTTGACTTTAGGGAAAAATATAACAAAACACTTTGGTATGATATATGCGGTATTAGTGATATTTCTAATATGATAATTCCTGTTCCATATTATATACCATATGACGGAAATATAATTGTAGCAAATACTCTTTCTAGTATTTGTATTTGTTATGGAATTGCAATTGCACAAAATATGCTTTCAGAATACTTTTTAACTGAGAAATCATCTAATTTATTAAGAGAGAATAATAATATTGACAATACAAGTGATTATAATGAAAGTGCACTTAGTAATAATAAAGAAAGTGAATTTAATACAGAATATATACCCAATAATTCTAATATAAAATTATCGTCTTCAAATCAATATTTAGATCATACAAATTATTGCAATGACTCTTCAAATTTACATAAAATTTACAATGAGCCTTGTGGAATAAATGGCAATGGAAATATTCATGAAAATATGAATTTGTATCATCCTATAAAAAGTGATTTAAGTATTATTGATATTGTAAAATCAAAAAATAAAGATCATATGAAAGATCTGAATTTTAAACATTGGTTAGATTCTATATATGAAATATTATCTATGGTTATATCGAATTGTTCTGATCTAATTTATAATACTAGAAATAAATTGGATAATGAAGAATTACATATAAATGGAGATGTATATCATAATGAAACACTTAAATATTTTATTAATAATTGTGAACTAAATGATATCATAGAAAAAAATGAATACATTACAAGTGGGAAATATAGATCTCCTGAATCATTTTGGTGTACTTATTATATAAGATATAGTGTAATTATCGCAATTTCAGGAATTATAAAATTTGGAGAATTACCATCTATTATTTATAATGAATACATGATAAATAGAGATCTAAGAAATTTTAAAACTTCATCTAAAAATAAAGATAAATATTTACATTCAGCTATCAATATTACTCAGCAATGTGTTATTAATTTGTATTTAAGGTTATGGAATCCCATCATGAATTTGAATGTTAACATTACAAATTATCTTAAAGACACTTATCCGTCCGCTGTTTGTTCGCTATTTCTATATAAAGATAATGTATTACACCCATTATTAGATAATTACATTGCATATAATTGGCTCATATCACAAATGTTTATTTGGTCATTTATTGATATTCCAAAATATTTAAAGAATTATCTAGAATTTATTTTAGAGAGTCATGATTCCGAATTAGTTTATATTAATCCGATTATTTATAACCATGTATCTGAAGATTTTAAAGAGCTTAAAAGTGATGTTATTAATTCTAGATTCTATTATAATTTAATAGATGAAATAAATTGGTTAGATATATTATCTGAACAAGTAAGTAATTTTAGATTTAATCAGGGTAAAAACCAGAATAGTTATGGACATAATTATCTTATTAACACTAATAATATTTATAATAATTCATCATATTCTAGTCATTTTGAAACAGGTTTAAATTTCATATTTGATGTATTCAATTGTAATCAAGAAGTTTTGAAATATATCTCTGGGAAATATTGGAGGCAATTTCACCCCAATTTTATAAATGTTCAATGTGCAATATATGCTACAATTCTTTATTTATTTGGATATACAGGATATAATATAGATAAAGAAAAAATAAATGATAATTTTGATTGCCAGATATATAGTGATCAAAATAATCATGAGATTTTAATGTTGGCATCATCTATTTCACAAAAATGCTGTTCTAGGCTTTTATCGAGGTGGCAATTATTAAATGAAAATAATAATAAAGATAATTTAGATTATGATGAGGCAATTAATAAGCGTAATGAATTTTTACAATCTGTAATCAATCGTTGCTATTGGATCTTAAAAAATATTCCATTTAATATTTGTTCAATAGGATGTAAAGAATTTCGATATATTAATAAAACGGATTATACATATGATGCGGATAATACTGTAAGTCATATAAATCCTAATGTATTACACAATAGACGTGCTTCTGATACAGATATATATACAAATAAATTTAAATATGAATCTAATGATAAGCCAGATAATAAAGATTGTACCTTATCTAATGAAGATAAGCAGACGAATTTGAATAATATAAATTCAAGGAATTATGGATTAAACAATATTTTTAATTGGCATCATATGGATATATTAAGGCAACTACTATCAAAAAGAAGGCAATCACTTATTAGTAAATCCAATAAGATATTAAGTAATTCAAATATTAGTCAATATAATGTATATGATAATACTCATGGTATATCAAGAGATTTTCGTATACATTCTGATCCAATAATACTTTCAGTTAGAAATGTTAATAAAATAGATAATATTTCATATAATTTCTCTAAGGATATAGAAGATGATGAATTACAAATTATTTTACCACTTGAAAAAATGGATATATTAAATATATATTTAGATTTCATTCTATATGGACCTAAAAAAGTGAATGAATTAGATACGATAGTGAAATTAGAGAAATTGGCATCATTTTTCCGTTTACTAACACTCCAAACAATATTGGGTATAGTCAGTTTTAATTCTGATACTAATAATATAGATATAAATAAATTGAATGATGTTACATATTTGGAATCATGGCAAAATAAAAGTAAAATGAACTCATTTTCTGAAATAGGCCCTTTATTATATATTAGACAGTGTGGATGGTTATATATACGTTTATTACATATGATAACAATTAATTATAATATGATTAGACCACTAATATATGATATGAGAAGTGAACATAAAAGTGATCAAGATCAATTTAGAATTAAAAATAATAAACAAGTTTTACCATATAATACAAAGTTTATTGATTTATATATGTATATACAGCCATATTCATTACAAATTCTCAGTTTATTTGAAAAAATAATAAATCAATTTAAGAAGTGGCTATTTAATGTTGTAATATCACTAAATACCTCCAGATTATCTAGTTCAGATTTGAATAATATCTCATTGAATTTTACAAATAATGGAAACTTTTCATCAGTTCATAGTGCTCATTCAAGCTTCTCAGATTCAATAATTTATAATTGCATTATTTCAACTGATGAATTTTGGCTTGATTCGATTTTACGTGTAATGATTTTATATTTTGTTTTAAGAAATAAGTCATGTATTCTTAATAATGAAAAAGATAATATACATAACAATGGTGAATTCTTAATATTCAAGCACTTACTTGACTTTGTATTACCAGAAATTAATAGGTGTATAAAAGATGGAACAAATAATAATAATAATAATAATAATAATAATAATAATAATAAATCAGTTGGATTATTGAGTAAAGCAATAACAGGTATTGTTATAGCTAGACATACTGAAGATGATGAAGAAGGTGATGAATATGGAAATGATTTTAATTGTCGTTTCGTGTCAATAACAAATAATTATAATCAATTGAAAAAACTTGGTTATAATATTGAGCAATGCATAACACTAAATGATAATACTCAAATCTTATTATTTGTACAGAGATTACAAAACTCACCTAAATACACTGAACCAATTGATAGCTTAAAATATAATTTTGGATCATTTTTACCTTTAACTAATAGATACTTTAATAATGGAAATATATGCAAACCACATGAAATAGAAAGTAATTATCAGCAAGAAGAAACATTGGTTAAAGTATGGATACTACGATTAGTTAAATATGACCAAAATATTTTAAAAATGAAAGATTTGAAACCTGGATTATCATATATATATTCAAATGTATTTGTTAATATTCCTGATAATAAATCTGAGGAATTATCGAGTCCTGTAGAAACATTGATAATGAGTGATGGTATATATCATTTAGCTTGTACTATACCATTATGTCTTTATGTAAATAATACTTTATGTAATATTAAGAATATAAAAAATAAAAATAATTTTATTGAAATTTATTTGAAGATTTCAGAATTGAATAGTATTGGTAGAGATACTTCTATTAGTGTAGGAGATTACAGTTCTAACTTACAATCTATTTCTAATCAAGATTCATTATCTTTACTTTCAATCTCTGCATCAGAATCATCTACAACATTTGGATTAAACTACATTAATTCATCTTCGTTTTTATTATCAGCCTCACCTAAAGAGAATTCAACGAATTTGAACATTTCACAAGTAATAAATTTATTGCAAATTAAGAATGAATATCAAACAAGGATACGTAAACGTTGTTGGAGATTAATTAAAGCATATGTTTTATCGACTTTACTGTCATCAACAAGGGAAAGTATAAATAAAAAAAATAAAGAGATAAGTATAACATTGAGAGAACAAGTAGTTAATTATATAATTGATTTATTAAAAATCATTTCAAATGTTTTTTTTGAGATAAAAAGTCAAGATGATGTAAAATGTGAAGATAATCACCAAATACAAGATTTTGGAGGAATTAATGATATATCCCAATTAAATAACTTAGATCAAAAAGAAAAAATGAGTTCTAACTTGGCTAATAAATTAGATGAATACAAAAATTATGCTTTAGATATTATTAATATTCTAATAAGCTATGTACAACTATCTGGATATTGTACTAGAATAACAAAAATTAAACAAACAAATCAAGTAACGATTAATGTAAAAAGTGAGCATGATAATAATAATTCACTAATTGTATCAGATACTTCATGCAATTCATATTTGATATTATCAGCACTATTACAAGCTAATAATGGTAAAACAAATTTATTAAAATATTTATGGGATAATAATAGCGAATTCGAATCAAAATTATGTACATTATTAACTGAATGTATAAGGCAATGTAATTATTCTGAAGTATTAAATTGTTTTTATTGTGGTGTAAATATACAAAAAGATGACAATTGTAATATAATAAAAACCGAAACTAATGCTGAATATCTTGATCTTAAGACTTTATCTATTTCACTACCTGATTTACAATTATATCCAAGATCATTTTTAATTACAATATCGCGTGAATTAATTCAGTATCCTGTTTCTGCTCCAGATAAAAACCAGATTAGTGAACATAGTGAAGGGAATTTAGGTTCTCATAATATAAGTAGTACAAATACTAATAATCATAATAGTGCTGGAAATATTTCACAATTATTTTCAAATTTTCCCCATTCACCATTTTTTATTGGTTCATATGCAAGTAGTAACTTTCATGTTAGTATTGATGGTCGTACTGTAATTTGTGATAGAGCAACTGAAGGGGGTGGAATGGTTATTAGTAGAGCACCATTAACATTTCGTGGATTACAAACTACTGGCTTAACAATCCCACCAAATATTTTGTCATTTAGAATTTTAAATATAGCTAGATTTGGCATAACTGTTGCTCCATCAAATGTTATTACTATGCCTATTGATGAAGTATTTCAAAGAAATGATGTTGTTGGTTTTAAACCATCAGGCTCAAATTCGCTATTATTACCTCAAAATCTCTTTGCATTAGAGGTTTCTTATATTGAAGGAAGTGTTATTGATATTAGATATGGTGTTAGCACAACATCATCTGGTTCTATATTAAGATCAGAAATATTTGTAGGAGGAGAAAGTATTGGGAGTGTATTAGAAGTACAATTTAATGAATTAGCTCAAATATCAGAAGATACACGTTTATCAGTTATATTTCTTATATTAGATCCACTAACTTTATATTATGAAGGTTTACCATTTACAACCAGATACCGTCGTCGTAGTAGTACATGGTTTGAATTAATTTCTTCAAATAACATGTCTAATATCAATAATAATTCTGATAATATATCTAATATAAATACAAATAATATTAATAATCAAGAAACAAATAGTATATTAGGCTGTACAGATGGACATTCTACTGAATTTGTACAGCAAAAACAAAAATTAAAAGATATACAAATGTATAGTTACATCTCATTTTTACAAAATATTCATTTATATCAACAAATATTACTATCAGATTCATCAATATTATGCATGTTGAAAGATGATTTAATTTCTACAATATGTACAAGACTATTAAAATGTAGCAACTTACTAAAACAAAACTTGGATAATTTTATTCAAATTTCATTGAATGGAAAAGTTATAAAATTTAGAAGATCAGATATTAATAAAGATGGTTTTAATTCAGATCATTCAAATGAAGAGATTCTTGATCTATTAATTGATCATTGTTTGTTATCATGTTCAATATGTGCCATATTTGGTATTGATATTAACTCAAATGAGTGCTTAGATGATTACAATGAGGATATAACTTCCAATAATAAAACAAACAATAAGCAAAACTTTCAAACAGAAAAAAAATTATTATTAAGAAGACGATGCTCAAATATTATTGATGGTGATTTTCCTTGGTTAAGCAGTAGTATTGATAGTAGTGTTTTATGTTATACATGCTTATATGGTTTATCATTGGAACAATGTGAAAAACTATTACAAGGTTTTTTATCTATATTAGAAGTTAATTGTATTAATACTATTTATAAATTATTTGGTAATGGTTGCATAACAGTTAATTTAAGTGAGTTTACTGAAAATATTGATGAACAAAATCAAAATCTAGATAATAATAAACAGCAATATCAGTGTTTATTAAGTATTATATGTGTATTAATATCTCGTTCAATATTAGTTATATCATTAATAACACGTATAATAATTGAATTATACCCAAATAGTAATGTACCTTTGTCTGATTTATCAAAAGATATATTATTAAGGTTATTTTGTATATTCGGTGAATTTTCATTGAAATCCTCTGGAGATAATGAAGGAGTTAATCTTTATGATTTGTTTTCTGGAAGATCTGTTTCAAATATAATGAATGATAATCAGAATAATAATAATAATTTACTTAAGCAAATTATTGAATGCACAGGAATAGTTACCAACAGTATACCAAGTATAAAAATTAGTTCTATTATTCCAATTGAAGACACTAAGAACTTGTGGTATTGGATTTATAATTTAATATCAAATAATAAACAATCTTTACAGGATAACTATTATTTAAATCCAATAAAACATATTGATGACTCCATATATGGTCATTTAAATGTTAATCAGAGAATTTTTAATCTAGATGGATCAAATCCTATGACAGCTAAAAAATTAGTATTAAGATCACATGGAACAATTGGGACATGGTCAATACAGATTGCTACTGTTGATTCTTTATGCAATATATGTGGTATAATTCCTGAATTTATTAATTCAAAAATTTATGAAACAAAACGAAATGATATAGATATTAAAAAAGTACAAGAAGATAAAATAGATAACTCACAATCAATAAAGTGTCTGTATATAATAAAATTAATGCGTATATGTTGCTATTTCATATGCCGTGGAAGAGAAGATTTCGTTTTCCCTGCAGCTCACCAAAATATAGATGATAATAATCACTTATCACCGTCTCCAGAATACTGGCTCTTATATAGACGTCCATTAAGCAATGATATTAGCCAAAATCAACAAATTGGAATAACAAATAGTACTATTAATATATTAAAAAAATTAGATTCTGAAAGTATGTTAATAGATAAATTATATTCATGGCAGAAACTTTTATACCAATCGGAGATATGGGCTTATCAAAATAATATTGAATATTATGATATATTGCAAACATGTATAATGAGTGAAATATTATTCCATTTAATTGGATCGTTAATACAAGTCATATCTATTAAGAAAAGTAATAAAATAAATAACAATGAGAAATCTTTAAGTTATTCCTCATTATCGCCTTCTGTATATGTTGCTCACTGGCTAATGGATCCATTAATCAGGCATCCACTATGTCCAAGTGGTATCAGGAATTCGATTGTTACTCCCTATACATGGAATTGCTTATTCTCATTACTAATTAATGGGATACAAATGCCAACAAAGCTTGCTATAGATGCATCTAGAGTTACATATTGGATATGCTCTAAATATAAAGTGAATAATGTTCATAATACAATTAATAGATTTATACAATATCAAAGTATTTTAGATTCTATATGTTATTGTGTTTCATCTGTATTATCACTATATGAATGTAAAACTATTAATGAAATTGACGGAACTATTAATCAATCTGGTTTAGCAGTATATAAAGAGATGATTTTAGGAAAATCATCATTGAAACAGTTATCATGGGATTACTTCACATCTGCAGAAGATTATAAACCAATTAATAGACAACGTATTAATGCAACTTTAATATGTCATTTTATGGCATGTTCAGCTCACTCTATATTAGACATCTCATTGCAGCATTCATTACTACCATTACCACATATACTATCATTTTTCGGTAAATATTTAAACTATTTATCAATAGCAAATCATTCTATGCTGAGTACAAGTGACACAATTATTGCAACATATAGAGAAATTGAAAAAATTGAAAAACAAAATAAGCACAACTTAACAAGATCTAATCAAAGTGATTTTTTTAAATACAAGTATTATAGAAATCTTCTTATGAATAAAATACCTCCAAATACTTTATTACCATGGCAATATATACATGAGACCTTAAATTACATTGATGATAATACAATTAATTTATCAATGGAAATTTTCGAAAATACTGAATACTCAGTGAAAAATTTATCCTCTAAATACCTTGATAAAAATGGAGATATTATTAGTTTATTACGTATCAATGATGGTATTATCAATAATAGTAATAATAATGTTTTATCTGGCAAAATTAATATCTCCAGTAATATGATCAGATATTCAAATCGAATAAATGGCTTAATTGGCTTTATTATTCAACCAAATAATTTATTATATTCAAAATCCATAGAAAATGATTTTTATAATATTAAACTATTACCAAGGGTATTGTATGGCTTATATGATAAATATTTTAGGTGTATTCTTTATGAATACGGTGGTATGGAAATATTTGAATGTAACACTGAAGCATTATTTTCTATATTACAAAATATTTATTATAATGAAAAGATTGAACATCATGAAATATATTCAAATAATATCGATATTAATAAAAAATATGGTGTGAATAATTATGTTCAGTGCTTAAGAGTAAATAAATGTTTATACTATAATGGATTACATTCAGGTACTATTAAATTTACAATAAACATAGGTACTAACCTAACAAATAATAAAATTGAAACAATTGATTCAATCTTTATTGGTGGAATATTATTTGATTCTAAATTTGATTTTAATAATGAAGAATTTAATTTATTTTATAATGAATATTGGCCTAAAGAGTTGTTAATAGCAATTAGAAAAGGAGAGGTATTAGCAAGTAATAAAAAACAAAATCATGTATTTGAAAGCTATATTGGTACAGTATTATATTCATTATATGACGATCATTGCTTTGTATTTGGCAAAGAAGATATCAATAAATGTACAGCAAGAATTAGAGGTAATGAAAAGGAGAAGTTTCTAAATTATAGTAAAAATGGAAAATTCATTATTAATATAGTATTTCAAAATCATTTAATAATATGGGAGATCAATAATATTCCATTAATTATTATGGGATTACCACCATCATCAAACTTTATGTTACCCATTATTATACTAGATAGATGTATTCATAGTGAAGATAATCTATCTGATATATTATGTAATATAAAAGTCAGTGATGGTATTGGCTCTTTTTTTGTACCATTTTCTCAAGTTATATCAAAAACAGAAATGATCCCAATATTATCGAAGAATGAATCATTAATAAAATGGATACCCAGTGAGTTAAAACATGAATTTAATAGTGACAACAAACTAGAAATAGAACTTTTAAAAAATAATGGAGATTTAAAGAGAAGTGATGATGGATTATTAGATAGTAGCATTAAAGTTGTTGGTTATTTATATCCAAAAATATATAGTGGCATTAGTTTATGTACAAGTTCTTGTAATAGTAATGAGTTGTATAAGTCATCACTACTTGAATTTTGGGAAAATTGGATATTACCAACAAATATAAATATTGAAATTACAGATAATAAATATATAAATTATATCAAGTATTTGGATAGAAGATTAAATCCAGACATTTCTATTACTAATGATGAAAAAATTTCAAACTTAAATGTGGATGAAATAAATATACTATCTGATGATAATAATAGTAATAGTAATATCCATATTAATGAAAGTAGGAATTTGATTAAATCTACATTATTTAATTCATTAGATCCTGCTAAATCTTTTACAATAACACTTCAAGTTCAATCAAAATTAATAGATACTGATAAGAATATTTCCTTAGATAATGTAGATAGTAAACCATTTGGTATTGGAATCGATTGGATTAATGGTTTATATAGGTATATATGGATGTGTGATGGTAGTTTTATTGTATCTTTACTCCCACCATTACCGTATGAAATAAGTGAATCGTATGAGTATAATATACCTAAAAATGCAGAGATTAAAATAACAGGAAGAAACCATACTAATTTAAATGATAAATTTATTGATTTAGTAGAAATACCAGAATATGGCATAGATGATGAAATAACAATAGAATTTCAACCAAGTATTCCAGCATTAATATTTTTTAAAAATTCAAAGTATTGTTTTTCGTTTAATTTTACAAAATTTTATCAAGAATTAAATATATTTGGTTTATCTACAATCAGTTTACAAAGAAATTATATACAGGATTTAGATTGTAATAATAGTAGTCAGATATTATCAGATACTAATAAATGGATTATTCGACAGTTTTTTATAATGGCACTATTAGATGATGATATTCAAATTTTATATTATATTATGAAACAATATAAAGAGATTATAATAGATAAGAATGGGCAATTTCAATTTTTAATTTCATTAACTAATGATATGTGTAATACATTATTAAGTTTTATACCTTTACTAATAAGCAACAATAAACGTACATTTAGAGATTTTTTAAATGATACATACACTACTATAGAATTTTTAAAACCACAAGAATATTTGAGTAAAGTTATAAATAACGAGTTACAGTTTGATTTAAACATATTAAGAGAAAAGTTCGAGATAGATAATATTTCCAATTATTCTGGTAAAAATCAAATAATAAGACAAGAAAATCCATTTTGGTTAGCATGTTGGTTGGGTCTTGAGAAATCAATAAAATTTTTATTATTGTATATTAATATTGATGTAACTGGATGTTTAAATAAACAAAAAAGTGAATTGAATTTAAATCAATCAAATGTATCTTCAAATTGTATGTATATTGGTTTTTATTTAAATAAGAATAAAATGAATATATGTATTAATAATAATGAAAATTTATGTTTAGAACAAACAGGTTTAATGGCTAGTATTATTAGTGGTAATGCGAGAATAGCATATATATTACTTTGTATATATAACTCAAATGTCAATTTAAAAGATAAAGAGGGAAATACATGCTATCATTTTGCATTAGCATATGGCCATTTAAATATAGCGGAGCTATTAGCATATAAAGGTATAAACCCATATATATGTAATGGAAATGGACAAATAGCTGGCTTTACATATAGAAGAATCTATTCAAATTCAATTAAAAAAAAAGAAAGAAAAATGGGTAATTATACAGAAAATATTGATACTGAAAATGATGATGACAATGATAATAATAATAATAATAATAATAATAATAATAATAATAATAATAATAATAATAATAATAATGATAATGATAATAATAATAATAATAATAATAATATATGGTATATGACTCCACAGCCATCAAATATAGGATTACATAATGATAGAGATATGATTGTTGAGTTTACATATCAATATGAACGTTTATATTGTTTTGGAATAAGTTCAATTGATATTGAAATGGGGAATAAATATACATCATCTTTATTTGAAAATAATTTAATGTTAGATTCCAAAAGAAAATCAAATTTGTTACCACCCTATCAGTATCCTTGGCCCTGTTTATTGTCTAACTGTCAATTAATAAGTGTCATTGATGAAAAGGATGAAGGAAATATCAAAAACCCGTTAATATACACAATTAAAATAAATTCACTAAATATTGGTGGTATATTGCAAAATAATTCACTATTATTAACATCAAATACATCAAAAAACAACAGTACATCAGATGATGAATTTAAATTAGAAAATGAAGATATAATACATTATACAGATTACATTAATTCGAAATTTTCAGATTCATTTTATCTAAATAGGATAAAGTTAAATATTCATACTATTCAGTATTTATTTTATCGTTGGTTAAGAGCAATTAAATGTACTTCACAGCCATTATCTGGTAATACATATACAACAAGCACCGTAGCATTATCTATATCTAGACGTGAGATGACTGGAAGGCCAATTGATGAAGAAATATATTATTATAATGAATTAGAAAATAATATTCAACCAAATCATGATTATCATAATAATACGTCTTATTTTATGTCCAATATTACATCTTCACAATCTAATGTTGGTACTACAGTGGTAGATGATAATTCCTTATTTAGAAATCAAATTAATAGATTATCATCATTAACAGATTATAATGTATCTGGGATATTAATTAAACAAAGTATAATGGAAGAAATTTATAATGGATTATCATTAGTAAAAAATAAATATCAATTATTAGATATTATACACACAATCCATAAGTATTTAACTCAATTAATTACTATTAATAACTCATTATCTTCATATTCTTCTGCTGATGTGAATTTTCCAAGAAATTGTGGTATTAGTTTAAATAAAGATACTAAAAGTGATGATAATAAGGTATATGATTATATGAGAAAAATATGTTGGGAATTATTGGAAATAGAAGAATATATTGATAAAGATCATGGTTATTATCCATATTGGTATATTGAAAAAGAACGTTATATTTGGATTCATCAAATTAGAAAGTTATTATCACTATTATGTACAAGCACAAGAGGGAACATTAGTTACTCATCTTGTAGATCACTTATTGAGTGGATACCTAATTTAAATTTATTAAATAAATCTTACTGTAATCACTTAATAAAAATAAAAAAACAAAAAAATAAAGATTCCACTCAAGATAGTTCCAATTACTTTCATTATAATTTTAAGGTGAAACCAATTATTTCAGTCGACCTAAAAATACTAAGTGAAATGCATAGAAATTGTCAACAAAATATTGATCATAAAATTATCCAATTATTAAATTTAGAATTATCAACTCATTCAATATACAAATTAATATTATCTGAAACATATAAAATTATTGCTAATATAAGTACAAACTCCTCAAATTTATTCAATATGAGTTTTACAAGAATTGATCCAAATAAAATTTTACCAAAGAATGATTCATATTTATGGTTAAAATGTAAAATATCACCATCTGATTCATTTGATATTATTAAATTACTAAGTGTATATATAAAAGATTTAATTCAATCAGTAATATATAAGATATATATTAATCATATACCTAAATTTAACTTACAAAATAATATGGATAATGAAAAACACTTTCCACTGCAAATGATTAATAAATTATTAAATAGAATTTCACCAATATATTCAACATCTATATTAATAAAGTCAGATTTGAATAGTGATAATAAACAAGAAATGATCAGAACAATTTTATGGTATATTGATATATTAAAACAGTTTATATATGGTAGAATAATATTGTTAAATAGATTTAATGATATATCTAAATATACAATTCCTATGATATCAGCAGTTTATAATTCACCAATACCAACATATGAACAAGAAGATTTTCTAAGAATGTCATCACCAAGAGATTTTTTTATTAATATATATGGTAATAATTACTGGAAATTACTACTTGATAATAAATTTCTTGAGATAAATGAACATGAATATTCATTATCTCATTTTATATTAATTGAATCAACATATTTATTGGGAAGTTGGGGGTATTATAATAATATTAACTCATCGCCTAGAATGGTAATTCATGTTGGACCATATGATATTCCAATTCCAATCAGTAGTTATTTATTTTTAAAACCACTTTATAAAGTAAAGCTAATTGATTCTCTATGGAATGATATATTAAAAAGATTGGTTGATTCGGGTAAAAATAATGCTAATAACGCTAGTAATAATGGATTGACGGTTCATCTAAACCGTAGTTTAGCAATAAGTGATAATGATTTAAAACACACATTGTTAGCACAAGCAACAAGACAAATATTATATATGTTACCAGAAAAATTGAGAACATCTGAAAGACCATTTTTAGTAGTTTTTAGAGGTGAGGGAAGTACAGACTTTGGTGGTCCTTTTCAAGAATTCTTATCATGGATATCAAATGAAATAATGAATTGGAATAATAAAAGTAAAATAAGTGAAAATGAAGATAATAATGAAGATAATGAATATAATATTAATAATAAATCAAGATTATTTATACCATGTGCGAATGCAATACATTCAATTGGACATAATCAAGATACAGTTGTAATAGAACCATGCAGTGCAAATTTATTACATAATAATTTTTCAAATACATATAAGTCTCCTAAACAGCTATATATATGTGAAGAAGATTTACTATTTGATAAAGAATTGAAAAATAAAGTTTATATAATGTATGGAGAAGGATCTTTATTAAGAAAATTAAAAAATGAAATAATATATAAAAATATATATTCAACAAAGATCATTGATAATAATACGAATGATATTTCATCATATATAGAATTATTAATTCCATCATTAAAATTAAGTAAAATTGGTCAGATAAATAATATAATATTAAGAACAATTGATAGTAGTATAAGTAATTTTAATTTTTATATAGACAAAACAGAAAATGGAAATAAAGACAAGTTAAAATTATATAACTCATCAAGGAGAGTTGATCATATATATTTAGACCAAACAGTGATTAATTCATTATCATATCCTTTAAGTAATATACAAGATAGAATAGTAGAATCTGAATCTGGAATTGATTCCACAGAATTAAATAGGGTACAAGGACAATCTAATCCACAGTCATCTTCATCTCCTATAACAGGCGTAGTACATAAACTAGACCCTTGGGAATGGCCTAAAGATAAAGCTTATGAAGATATAATAAAAGAAATTTATGAATGTTTAGGCAGAGTAATGGGTATATGCATGATTATAAAGAGTGCACTAAATATTAATTTAAATCCTTTAATATGGAAAAAATTTGTTGGGCAACCATTATCACTTAAAGATTTAATTGATGCAGATTGTATTACTTATGAAATATTAAATTCACTAAAATCAATAAATTCCGAAATGAAATATAATACACAAACCAATGAAAATTATACAGAAAAAGATCCACAAGATTCCAAAAATTTATTAATTCCTCCAGAATTAGAAGGACTGACATTTCAAATAGAAAATATGAATGGTGGTATTATATCATTACTAGGTAATAATAATGAGGGTGAATCAGTTAATGTTAACTTAAAAAATCTTCATTTATTTATACAATTAGCTGAAAGATGTAGAATGATGGAAGATATATCTAGTATTACATGTATATTAAAGGGATTAGGCTCAATATTACCACTCGGACGTATGAGATTATTATTTGATCATTCTCGTATTGAATATTTAATATGTGGCGAATCTTATATAGATTTAAATGTATTAAAACAACATACAGTATGTACTCAAGGTGAATTAAAAGAGCAACTATTTCAAGTCTTAGAGACATTTACAAATGAACAAGTGCAAGAATTATTAAGATTTGTATCAGGACGTAGTAGATTACCACAAGGAAATGATGAATGGAAATTTTCAGTTAGCTATGATAATCCAGATATTATACAAGATGAACGTTTACCTATAGCAACTACATGTGGATTTAGATTATCATTACCAAAATATTCAAGTAAAGAGGTTCTTAGAGAAAGATTATTATATGCAATACATAACTGTGTAGCTATTGATCTAGATGCATATGTTGTTCATGATAATGTGCAATCAGGATATGATGAATAGTTTCCTTTCCATGGAGATGAATGTTAATAGAAATGTTAACAATCAAATTACATTATTTTATTCAAAGTATAACAATATAGTTTTCATCTCCTTAAGCTAAAGTAATGTTTTAAATAACATTACTTTATGCAAATATTTACATTTCAGTTTTATTTCAATATTATTTAATTTTCATCTTATCTTCCGTATATAGACTGGGATATTAAATTTTTAATCCTTGTTGGAGTTGTACCTTTTACTATATTTGATACAACACGGTCAGCCACATTAACAGCCGTTTTCGCTTTAATTACAGATACTTTTTTAACATTTGAAAATGAACAAATAGAGGAATTTAAAGATTTCATTTTCTCATTCTTAGGTTCTCTTATATATTCATGTAACATATTGGGGTTTTTTACTAGTTTTGTAAGAAATTTGAGGATAAAATCATTAAGACGTATATAGGAATTCTTTAAATTCCCATCAGATAATTGAGATGAATCTCGTTTATAACTATATAAGATTTCATCATCATTGTTGATATCAAAGATATCTGAAATTCTATATGACCGACGTAAATTATCCAAAGATTCTAGATCATTTTCAAATAATAATATATCACTTCCTGTTAGCCTGCGAGAATTTAACCCTTGTTTAGATAACTCCACAATATGTATCAACCAAGATAAATATAGGTTATTGAGCCAAATAGAATTAAATTTCTTTTTCCATTCATCATTATTTGGACATTCTGCTACAAAAGAATCGAATTCTCTTTTAATCCTTGGAATTAAATTTTCTAGACCTGTTGTATTATCTATACATGCTGACACGCTATTTCCTGCTATATTTGGATATTCAGAATAAGTATCTAAAAAGATCTCAGTTGCCATTTGTCCATACAAAACACTTATACTAAATAGATCAAATATTTCAAATGCTAACTTGTCTATATTTGATACACATTCATTAATAATATTATTAAGCATAGATTCAAGGTCACTTGGATTTGAATTTTTTTTATTAGCTATAGATGGTGACTTCTTAGATTCAATATTTTCGTTGGATCCACTTAAGTTCAAAGATATATTCTCACTTTCACTTTTTTTTTGTTCTTCATTTGAATACTCATAAATATTTGAAATATCATTATCTATTCCAGTTAAAATTAATGTATTTAAATCTTCATTATTAGATGACAAAATTTTATTTTCATCTATATCCATAGCACCATACTGACGTAAATACTCTAAAATTTTCCGGATATTCTCAATGAAATTTGTATTTATTAAATTTGATAAGTTCAGTATATTAGTTTTATTAAAAAAGATATTTCTAACTTTTTGAGATGTATCAATTAACAAATTTTTAAAAAAAAAGAGTGTATGTAAAGATACTAGTACTCTGATTGAAATTACAAATTGAACTTTGAATCCATTATTATATGTTGATTGTTTAGGTGATAAAGAATATATATTAGAAGAAATGAGATTACTATCTAAATTTCTTCCAGAAGTTGATAACTTTATACAATTCAACAATAATTGATAGAGTAATCCATTTTTATTGAATTTCATTGCAAGAGAAGATCCTAACGCAGTATTTTTTAAATCATTAATTTCTAAATCATCTATACTTTTAGGACTCATAATATTATTATTATCATTGTCATTATTATTATTATTTAAAGTATATTTCTCATTGTAATATTCTATTCTCAACTTTCTTCTCTCCGAAAAATGTTTATTATTAAATGAATAGTTACCAACTTTATAATTAGAGCTTAAATAATGTAAATTCTCAATTGAATAATCTTTAATATCAGATAATTCTAAGTATTGATTTTGTTCAATTAAAGACTTTATCACAAAATTAGATGCATCTCTAAAAAATGATAATATTGGTGATAATAATATCATTGATGAGTCCTCTATTGGTAATTTAACCCATTCAAGTATAGAATCTATTCCAGTATTTATTATAGTACCAATATCTATAATAATAGGAGACATATATATACTAGGGATGTTAATTCCAGATACCCAAAGTGAAGTAGACAATGAATCTTTATTATTATTTCCAGCCTGTTGTATTAAAGATAATAAAATACTTAATTTAGATTGAATCATTTCAATTAAACTAGGAGTTATAAAAATAGATAAAAAATGAGAGTATTTTAAATTATTACTTGTCAATGGAATTTTATTAAAATTTTTTATAGTAGTAGATACATTCTCGTTAGTATTATTTAATGAAAAATTCATATAATTTATTTGATTTAAATGATTAAAAGCTTCATCTTTATCAGCTACTGAGTCTTTTCTTATATAATATGAAGGTTCAATTCCAAATTTTTTAAAAATATTATCCTTATTAATATATTGTAAATCTTGGAATAAAATATCAGCACCTAAATTGAATTCTAGCCAGTTCTTAAGTATATATATATATTTATCAATAATAAATAGATATGACAAAAATTCTTGAAATTGCTTAGATGGAATTATATTTAAGTCCCAATATTCTGTTTTTATCAGTTCTTCAATATAATTTGGAATATAAATTAATAATTTTTCAATAATAACTTTAACATAATCTTTAACAGAAATATTACCGTAATCTAGCCATACTTTACTCCAGCAAGTAATTGTTTCAAGTATATATATATCATCTAAATATTTAAATGATGATATAAATGTATCTATACAACTTTGTATCTCTTCCTTTGCTAATTTCTCTAATCTTATACGCTCTTCTTCTTCAATTTCTGAGTTATTCTTATTAATCCTTAATTTAAGCTCATTTCTATGTGTAGCTGGTAATTTTAACATCTGCATTGGAATATCAAATAATTTCTGTATCATTAATTCATTTGACTTTGAAACGCAAAAACTACAGTATAAATTCCAATATGTTTTATAAGATGAAAATGAATTTAATCCTACTAAACCAGATTCTATCCCATATATCTTCTTATTATTATTGGATAATTTTATTTTATTATATAACTGAGACATCTTATTATCACTTAATTCTTTTTTTGGATTAATATTATTTAATATTATATATGTATTAAGTTTTCTTATAATATAAAGTAACTCTTTTAAAATATTAGAATTACCCAAAATAAAGAAATCTTGACAACACTCAAGCAATTCAATACGAAATTTAAGAGTATATAAACGTCTCATTATTATATCAGTATATAATCTTTCATAACGTGAAGAACTTGATAAAGAAATTCCAAATATTTTCCATAAATCTTGTAAATCAATATTTGTATTAGATAATTCATCATATGAAACAAGCCAATCTTTATCTTTCCAAAGTAAATTAATAGTATCAGTTCTTTTTATACGACTTAAATACATATTCCAAAATGTTGACTTTTCTATAATATAGCAACTATTTTTTTGTTGACAAAATTTATTAATTATATCTTCATTAGTAGTTCCAGATATATTTAAATTGTTACAATCAATTTGAGATTCTAATAGAGATTCACTTTTTATTTTCTCACCAGAAAATCCTAAATTTGAATATGAATATTCACTCATAGAAAAACTATTCATTGATATTACTGATGTTACAGTACTATTTAAAGGTTGATTATTCATTTTTAATATATGTGAACTTGATCTTGATAATTGTTTACTTGTTATTAAATTTTGTTGTGGTACATGAAATGGTAAATCCAATTGTGGCATCTGTAGTGATAATAATGGACTAGCTTCTAATAAAGGTTTACATTCTAATAATACCCCTTCAATTGTAGGATATTCTAAAAATTTTGTAAAATTAGTTAATAATAATCTTATAACTTGAAATATTCTTTTTAAATTATTATTACTATGTCCTGATGTAGCTATACCATTATTTAACCCTTGATTAAAATCCTTCTTTATAAATCTTCCATTTAATTTATTATAATTACTATTATAATAATTATTCCATATGTTTGATGCACAATATAATGCATATGTATCTATACTTATTGGCATCACTCCTGTTTTTGTTAAATAATTTACTTTAGTAGAAATATTTTCACTATCAATTTCATTATTAGTATAAGATAATCCTGAATATAATGAATTTAAATATTCAATATCTAAATCATCACCAATTGTTCCATTTTGTAATAAATATGATATAAATAATACACAACGAGTTATAAAAGGTGAGTATAAATGAATACCATCGTATCTAGTTAAATCATTTTCATTTAAATCTTTATTTAATTCTCCTTTATTTGTATTCTTGTCATTATATTCAAAATTTATACAATTCTCAATTCCAGATTTAGAATTTTTTTGATCTATATCAATTGTATTAATATTCATCAAATTATATATAATAACATGTAAAATTGGTATTTCTAACATCCAATAACTTGATAATTTTGCAATTGATTTAAAAGACCTAATATTATCAATATTCTCATTATAATTCATTAATTCATTTTGATCTGATTCTAAAGAATTATTACTTTTTTTTGATATATATCTATACTCCTCATAAATTACTCCATTATCTTTTACTTCATTATTTAATGTACAAATTGATGCAAAATTTAATTGAAAAGTAGATGATAATTTATTATTTGTTATAGAATAATTAACAATATCCCTTCTAATAGCAAAATCTAATCTCTCCATAGCTGACATTAATTTCATTAATCTTATCAATAATTCTTTACCAACCTTTTCATTTCTTTTATTTATATTCTTTTTACTTTTTAAATATGCTAAATCACCCCATTCATCTCTCTCAATTTTTATCCTTAAATTATTTAATATTGAAATAGATTCTAAACAATATTCAAATATCTTCTGTGGATTTGTACCCAAATACTTTATTACATTTGAATTCATAAATTGAAGATGATGTTGATTATTATTCAAATTATATATTTTACTTGTCCAATATTTATCACGATATTTTACCATATCTAATAAATCAATATCACTAGGAATATATTGAATCCATCCAGGTGGAATAAATATCAAAATTCTTTGTAATTTAAAAGCTACATTTGAATAAATTAAATTGATCTGTCTAAATAACCAATTCTTAAATTCTTCATTATCTATCATTCTTTTAGATTCACCAGATAATGGACGAATTCTAGGAGCTCCCCCAGGACGTATTCTTAATTTACCATTATTCCAAGTACATATTTTTGTTTCTTCACAATCGCCTATATTCCAACTTCCTATTAATAAAGAAATTCTGAATCTTATATCTAATGGATTTATCATAATATGTGAACCCATATTATAACAATCACTTTCTATTGTAAATCTTTCCAATAAATTATGTATATCTTGATTTATTTCAAATCTTGTTCTAGCTAAATCTAAAAATATTAATAAAGCTTTATACATATCATTAAATTCATTATATTTTTTTGTTATTAAGTAATAATTCTGATTTATTCGTGATTTTGATCTTATTTTTTTAAAATTTACTGCTTCATTTTCATTATCTCGTATTGTACCAATATTTCTTCTAATAATATTTGAATTACTTCTTGTACAACTTCTCTCTATAATATCTTTCTTTATCTTCTCCTCTTCTATTTTATTCCTATAATATCTTAATTCATCTATCTTATATTTTATTAAATAACAACATAATAAAATTGTTTCATAACAAATATATTTCCATTGTTTAGTATCCATTTCAAATTTATTAGATTTTGTTATATTATCTTGATTCTCTATATTATTCACATTAGAAACTATCTTTTTATTATATTTTTTACAAGTATTATTACCCCATTTTGGTGAAAAATTATTTGTCAAATTATAAATTTCACTCATATCAGGTAATGTTACTGGGTATTCTCTTGTTAATTCTGCACAAGTCATCATTTCATTTAATTTTGACCAGTCAATATCTTTATTTTTGGCATATTCTTCAAAATCTAACCCATTTAAAAGTAATAGAAATAAAAAATTTTCTTTTAATGATTGGACTTTAGACCATATATTCTGTGGTGTTTCAGCTCTATCCCATTCACTATAATATGCTTCTTGTGATTCTAAAAATAATGCTGTTAATTCTCCATATGCATCTTTTAAAGATGAAACATTTTTTTTAGATATATCTCCAGCACTATTTAAATAAGTATTTGACATTCTTTTTGTTTAATATATAAAATATTTAAACCTTCTATATATTTCTAGAAGTTCAAAAAAGAATTTGTATTGACAAGATCCGCCAAATTTTCTCCACACCTATTTATATTGAATATAAAAATGAAATAAATCTTCATCATAATAGACATCTTCTCTAATTAAGTTCTAAATATAAAACTATAACACAAGTTTAAGTCTCTACTTTCCTTCTCTTCAAAAAAGAAAAAAAGAAAGTAAATATTTGAATTAAACTTAACCTATTAATTGGTTCTAAATGTCCTGTAGCATATGTTGAGTTACTATAATCAACAATTAGCTACTATTTACTATATAAATTAATAAACTGACATTTATTAAATAATAATATTATTCTACTTCATATAAATTATCTAAAATTATAATTTCTAACTATATGTAATTTTTCCCAATATCTAGTGAATTATAAGGGTAAATAGTATCAAAACTAACCCGCCCTATATACACACACAAATATATTACCGGCCTCATAGTGCTCTTCCTTTCCCTCATTCTATTATTAATATACTTCAAAATCTTTATTTTTATATATCAAATTGTATTTGTAGATATTTATTATCAATATTATATTTAAAAGTAGACTAATAATTTCTAATATACTTTTAATATATAAGGCTTTTATTTTTATACTTATTAATATAATATTACTGAGTATATTATTATTGATAATAATTTAATAAAATGGACTTACATACAACACTTTATACGTACTTTATACTTTATTGAAAAGAAAAAAAAATAGGAGTTCTCCTCTAATATAGAAATATTGATTAATAAGAAGTTTTAATTAATAACAGAAAAAAATAACTGTAGATAAGATTGTATGCAATATTAAAATAAAAGTATTGCATGTGGTGCTTTACCGCCTAAAAAAGAGGACCTAATAGGAAAAGGAGAGGGCAATCGGCACCCAGGTCTTCCCAGGTGGTCCCCCACCCTAGTACTAACCGGGCCTTACACCGCTTGACTTCGGAGTTCGGATGGGATCCGGTATATTCAATGTAGTATGGCCGATTGCTGATGTAGCACCTCTTGTTACAAGTTATATTATAAATTAAATTTTATTAACATGGAATAAAATTAATTAAATCAAAAGTAATAAAGAGATACTATCAAAGATATTCCCATTGATGTTATTATCATTTTATATTTTTTTATTATACATGAGAATTTAATATTTTTTATATAGAAAAAAAAAAAATTAGCTATAAATTTCTATTATTTTAATAAAATAATATTTTTTTTTTATTTGTATATGCATGCATCTCTTATATGTAGATACCGATATATAGGTATCTACAGATTATACACGATTATATTAATTTTGATCATTGTATTTTAGAAATTCTTTACAATAAACTTATAAATAAATAAGGGTGGAATTAAAATAGATCTTAATATTTAATATTATGTGATAATATAATTTTGGAAGTATCATAATACTATATATATATGTATATATATATTAAAAGTAAAAAGAAATTGGAATGTAAAATTTAAAAATAGTTAATATAACTGAGATTACTATAGATACCTAAAGTATGTAAAAGAGATATTTGTTGATAATGGCAGTTAGCACCCAGGTCTTCCCAGGTGGTCCCCCACCCTAGTACTAACCGGGCCCTACACCGCTTGACTTCGGAGTTCGGATGGGATCCGGTATATTCAATGTAGTATGGCCAACTGCTGTGGGAGGATTCCAATCTATATAAGTTAATATAATATTAGATGAAATATTAGCAATATATTAATATCGAGGTATTTTTATTTGATGCATTTGGTTAGCGCTCAAAATATTTTAAATAAAAGCTATGCACTCATGTAATAGATGCTTAAGACTTGGTTAGGATGCAATCGATAACAAATAGTGCATTATTAAATCCAGTAAACTACTCAATAAATATTGGAATATTATCACTGTGTGTTTTGGGTTTAGGATATTTTGCATTATGTACATTAGCAATAATTCAAGCAATTTCAACAATCCAATGGAATACAATAACTCTATTTGCAACAAGTGGTACTAAAACTCGTCCATATTTTCTTAATATATTTTCAGCTGCACTTTTATTGAGATTTATTTTTATTATATTACAATGTATCTTATATTTTACACCTTCAATAAATTCAAATCATCTATCAATTAAAATATCATTACTAAATTTTTTTAATTATCTAACTAGTGCACTATTTCTTTCATCATATTCAGTAATAATTGGACTATGGAGTTCTGTATATATTCGTTCAAGATATACAACAAATATTCCAATATTAACATTAATTATACTAATAAATATAATAATCTATATTTTATTATCTATATTACTTTTAATTGAATATACAAATAATTCAATTAGTTACTATAGAAATAATTCAAATTTTTTTTTTGGAATATTATATATTATTGTTTCTATACTTTGGTTATATTATGGATTGTGTTTAATTAATCAATTAGATAAACGGCAAGATTTACATATAAACTTGCAAAAAAACTTATTATCAAAATCATACAGAGAGGAATTATTTACTCCAAGTTACATAATTGATAAATATTCTAATAATAATAGTTCTAATAATTTTTCAAGTCAAAATTCATCAAGTTTAATAAAATTTACAGGAGTTGATAAAATGACTTATTCAAATACTCTTATTGATGGATGTGTATATGTATCAAGTACAATGAAGGATTTAAAAAAAAAAATTAAACTTTTAACATATATTTGTCCATTATGTTTTTTTATAATTGGATTATATTATATACTTGGTAATTTTAATATTATTAATAGTATTCCTTTTTTTATTTCAGAACCAGTATGGTATACTATTTTATATGGTTTTACTGAATTATTACCTTGTTGTATTATAATGCATGGATTTTGGAATCGTAAAAGTATATTTACAACAACGTTAAATAATAATAATCAAAGACAATTATTTAGTAGTGATAAACAATCAGCAACTTACAATTATATGAATATATATAATGAGGATATTGGATTTTATACACAAATTGAATAGTGATAATATTTACTAATTTTGCATTAAAATTATTATATAATCTATTATTTAGAATATATAATATTATATCAGGAAATATATATTGCTATTATTTAATAACTAAATAAGTACTAATAATAAGATAATAGAACAAATCATAATTTAAGTATTAGATAAAAATAGGAAAAAAGAAGATATATATAAATATATACTATTAGAATATAACTTAAAAAGAAATCTAGTATAATAAATATTAGAGAAATTTTATTTTTACCTTGAATTTTATATTAATTTAAGTGTCAAAATATCCAATTATAAAGAGGTATCAGTAACAAAAGCAATATATTGTCCATTAGGACTTTTATATAAAACTCCAAGTTCAATATATTCATCAATAACAAGTTCCATCTGTTTTTTTAATAATCCACGATGAATAACATTACTTTCAATATCAGAAATATTTAATTGTATTAGTTCATCCTTACGATTTAGGTTTTTATTAGCTTGTTTTTGATGCAAATCTCTAATAATTTCAATTATTTGATCTCTAAAATCACTTTTCCTATTTTTATTTATATTATTTGAGCTATTATCACCTGGTTTTGTTACACTTCTTTTACTTTCTATCATAAGTCTTGTAGCTTCCTCAAAGTCATATCTCTCAACAATATTACTAAATCTAAGACGAGCTAATGCTTGTGAAAGACGAAGTATTCCAAGTAATGCTCTTGGTGTAGTATATGATCTCCTCCAGTCATCTTTTGATTGTTCAAGACTCTCCTGCTTTCTCATTTCTACATAGTGTTCTACTATCTCTGGTACTAATTCACTTGGAATCAATGGCTCATATTTTCGAGCCTTTTCAATAAATGCACGCATAAAAGATGTTGAAAATGGTCGCTCATCATCATCCTGTTTATTATCTTCATTATCATTTAAGCGTCTTCTTACTTTTGCCCTTCCTTTTCTAATCCCATCCTGATTAGGAGTAAGAGATTTATTAAATACTTTTTTACCTGGAGCTTTATCATACTGATGAACATGTAAAACATGATAAGCTAACATTAAATCTTTATCTTTATCGGGAATATCAAGAAGTAAAAATTGAAGATCAAAACGTGATAATAATGAATCTGGTAAGTTCATATTTGCCACTGGAGATTTTTTTGGATCATAACGACCAGAAACTGGATTTGCAGCTGCTAATACAGATGAACGAGCATTTAAAGTTGTAGTTATACCAGCTTTAGCAATTGAAACAGTTTGCTGTTCCATTACTTCATGAATAGCAGTTCTATCTGACTCATCCATTTTATCAAATTCATCTATACAACACAAGCCATTGTCTGCTAGAACTAAAGCACCACCCTCCAAAGTAATTTCTGATGTCACCTGATCTCTAATAACAGAAGCAGTTAATCCAACACCACTACTACCTTTACCAGTAGCATAAATAGCTCTAGGTGCAATCTTAGTAATTTGAGTTAAAAGTTGGCTTTTAGCTACTCCCGGATCTCCCATCAGTAATATATGAATATTCCCTCTAATTTTCATTCCATCCTTTACAAGATTGGTAACACCTCCAACAAGTTGTAATAGTAATCCTTTCTTAACATCTAACATACCAAATATTTCAGGAGCAATACTATTAGCTAATCTAGTATATAAATCTGAGTATAATCTAGATATTCTTAATGATATACCAGAATTTGTAGCTGTATTACTAATTTTATCTATTTCAGGAATATTTAATCCATCATTTGACTTCTTACTACTTTCTTCTAGTAATCCAAGGAATTTTTCTTCATCTTCAGTAAGATTTATACATTTACTACTTATAGATTGATATATATGGTGAGCTTCTAAATATGTATCAGCAGTTAGACCAGATTTCAAAGCTTGGAAACCTTCTTTCACTACAGGAAGAAATATTCCAGATAATGTTACATACATACCAGGTAATAAACGCCTTGTATTTTCACCTAATACAACAACTTTAATAGTTCTCGGTACATTACCAGTTGGTACTTGATCTGCAGGTTCTTGAACTCGGACTTCTTGATATTTAATAAATTTACATTCTTTTATATTACACCTTAAATTACCCGTTCTCTTATTATTTTTACAAGTAGTTGATTGACAGTCAAAAAGTGGCATATAACTTGGACCTTCTACTGCCTGCCAGATATTTGCTCCACATATTTCACAAGTATAACTTACAACTTGTATCCTTGGTTTTACATTAGCTACTCTGATTACAATACATTCCATCCTAACATAACCACCAACAAAATCTGCTCTAACCTGACGTAGTGGTGTTATCGGCATTTTAAGATTTGGTATTATGTAAATTTCATAGGAGCATCTTAAATAAGGAGGGACATTGCATGCTTGCATAGATTCTGATCTCTTATCTTCGCTTAAATCTTCAATCTTTAAAGTAGATAATGATATATCAGATGGTGGTGGCATACATTTATCCGCTGCTATATATATTAATTGTATATACCTCCTTGTATTTGTCAATATAGAAGGAATTATATCAGAATATTCCCCCTTTTCTTGAAATGGACTATAACTTAATAAATCATCAATTTCCAAACTTAATACTTTACTACATTTATTTGATATCATCTGTAGTTGTCTTTTATACTTTTTATTTCCCCACATATTACATGAAGAATCAATTAATCCATATTCTTTATGAGCTACACAAGATTCAAAGTCTTCAAAAAAGTTTGTTAATACTTTTATATGGTCTGCATAAATCCTCACTTTCTCGTGAGCATTTTCTGATTTCTCAAGTCTTAACATAGCCTCTTACATATATTTTAATTCTAACTATGTAGAAGATCAGTATTAAGGAAGAAAAAGAAGGGATATATTCCAGTCCACTGTTGGATAATACATTAGATTTTGTGGGGTGATAATACCGCCTAAGCGGTATATACATGTTTTTTTTTTTAAAAAAACAAAAGAAAAAAGTAATTATAGAATCTTTTCCTTTACTCTTAACTATCCTCTACCTATAACAAATTTGGAGTTATGGAAAAGACAAAGATTTTAGCATTATTTGACCTGGATGGGACTTTAACTTTACCTAGAAGAGAAATATCGGACGATATGATAACTACTCTAATAAAAGCTAAAAATAACTTATGTATAGGGATAGTTAGTGGTTCAGACTACATTAAAATACAACAGCAACTAAAAAACAAAGGTGTGTTATCTAAAAGTATGTTATCCTTAATATGTTTAATACTAAATTCTTTTTTTAGCTTTTGAATGTTGTGATTATCTATTTGCAGAAAATGGAATAGTTGCATACAAGCATGGAGAATTATTTAGTTGCCAGAATATTGCATCTGTTATTGGTGAAGACTCACTTAAGAAGCTAATAAATTTTTGTTTGCACTATATTGCTGATCTTGATATTCCAATTAAACGAGGTACATTTATTGAATATAGATCTGGAATGATTAATATATCCCCAATAGGTAGAAATTGTACATATCAGGAAAGGCTTGAATTCTTTAATTTTGATAAAAAGTATGAAATTAGAAAGAAATTTGTAGAATCAATAATGGAAACTTTCAAGGATCTTAGATTAAAATGTTCAATTGGTGGACAAATATCGATTGATATATTTCCAGAGGTAAGTACAAATATAGAACTAGAGATTAAATACTTAAACATTGGAATTATAATATAATAAATATAAATTGGCTTGATTATATATCATTAGTAATGTTAATATAGTTAAATAAATAAATAAAATGAAAAGAGATAAATTAACTCCTTAACTGAATAAAAGTTAATGATGAAAAAATAACTATTTTATATTTCAGGGGTGGGATAAGAGATACTGCCTAAATCATATTGAAGATATTTTCAGTGAAATTCACTTCTTTGGAGATAAGACTTCACAAGGAGGTAATGATTGGGAAATATTTAATGATCCTAGAGTAATTGGTCATACTGTAACTGATCCACAAAATACAAAAAATAAGCTTTATTCACTTTTCTTAAAGTGAAATATAATTCTCAAACTGTCCACAACATTATTTTTCCATCCTGTCCACCAGAAAAAATTCTTTGTTTATATGAACTCCAATGTATAACAGTAACACACATCGCAGATATATGAGCAGATAAACGTTCAATACATCTTCCTGTTCTGATATTCCATACTCCAATATCATTTCCATTTGGATGAAATAAATTTTGATTTGTTATATCCTCAATAGAAAAACGTCTAAAATATTTTAATAATTTATTATTGTAATTTCCACTATTATTAGTATTATAATTACTCCACGAACTGTTCAAATCAAATCTATCAAATGGAACATAACAGTTTTTTCCATTTTGAGCATTCCATAATTTTATTGTTCCATCTTGATCAGATGATATTAAATATCTCCCATTATATATAAACGAACAACAAGTAATACCACATTCATGTCCGCGACCAAATGTAGATGGACTATTTATACCAAAAACTGGATGATTATCATATTCTGCTAAATCATATTGAATTTGTTTTGATCTATTTTTTAAATATAAAGATTTACTTGAATTATTCTCATATAATTCCTTATTTAGTTTTTTTTTATTATATAAAAATTCCTCTTCCACTTTAGTTAAATTATTTATCTTTGGAAAATTTGCATTGTTATAACTTGAGGTATCCTCTTGTATATCATTTAAATTTAACTGATTTTTCAATTCACCAAAGCTATCCATTTGATTTTTCATTAATAATGGAGTCATATATCCTGTCTGTTGAATATAATCCCAATCTGGTAAATTTTGATTACAATATAAGTATGGCTGCTGTGTAAATCTCATATCCCATAAACGAATATACCCATCTTGAGAGGCTGTTGCTAAAATATATTCTGAATCGGGCTTCCATGATAGATAATAAATTGGGGATTTAATATTATCATCAGGTAATCTCGTTGTTTTAGAATCAATATGTAGTGAATGAGTATATTGGCCACCACTACGTAAATCTAAAATCCTCACGCTACCATCTTGTAATGCAGTACCTATTATACTTGTTAATATAGGTTGAATACTAGAAAAATATATTTTTAAATTAGATTTAGTATCAAATACGCATGTTGATTCAATCGTATCCCATACTTTAACATTTCCATCCCAACCAGTAGTTACAAATAGTTGACCATCTAATGGGCTCAATTCAATAGATGAAATTACACCTCTATGACATTTTTTAAAACCAGGGTCTATTGTACATATAGGATTTAAAGTAAATTTTTTCCCTTTAGAGACTCTTTCTTTTTCTCTTCTTGTTAAAACATATCCTAAAGGAAATTTCATTGTTGGCCCTTTACCAGCATTTAATTGACGAATATTGTCCATTGACCTTAAATTATACATATTTATTGTGCCATTTGTACTCCCACATAGTATTATATCCTTATAGGATGAGATCCCCGTTATTGAAAAAGCTTGTTCCTCAGAGTTTACAATCTTAAATCTAACATTACTAGCTAGTAATGGAATAATTTTGTCACTATATTTGTAACTTTTAATTTTTCCTGTAAATAAACTTTTTTTTAGCAAAGGATGCCAATTCTTAGTATAAAGATCTGAGTAACTGTAAGTTTGTCTACATTCAAATTTCTTATAGATATTTTCTGGTATTATTATGAATTTCATTAAATAAATAGTGTTATAATCATCTCCAATTAAATATTAAAACCTAATTCCTAAAGAAAATCCAATAGGTACCAATATAATATATAGTAACGAAATCCACGCTTAAGAATATATGGAGTAAAAGATGCCACAAACCGCTAAATTACGGGTGCAGAGTCTAGATCTAAAAAAAAAAAAAGTTAACAGTAAAAATTCTAAACATATTTTGAAATAAAAATTAATTTCCTTTAAAAGTACCTAAAAGCTTAACTAAATATTTTTCAACAAAGAAGTATATTTTTGTCGACTTTCTTCAATATTTATTGAGCATATCAAGGCAACATCTGGATTATAATAAAATTTATTACATTCTCTCAAACTCTTTAAAATCTCTACACTGTCATCTTTCTTATTATCTCGCTCACTATTCTTCAATTCTTTTTCTTCTTCAATATATTCATTATTTTTAGAACGTTCAGAACTATTTAATCCTATAGTTGATGATTGCCCTTGACCAAATACTTCATGTTTTCTATTAACTTCTCTATCACCAGAATATTGTTGATTAGCTTGGTTAAACTTTTGGGTTGTTGCAACTGCTGCTGCTATAGTAGGCATTGCTCTAATTATTTCTTGAGGATTTGAGAGTTCAACCTTTTGCCCCTTAGCAGCTAGCCTTGCTCTTATATTATATTTCAAAGATTCCTTAACCTTATTGGATTCATCATTCTTTTCATTTAACTCCTTATTACTATTTATATCTGAATTATTATTTGCTGAATAAACCTTTGTCTCATTTAACTTTGATTTCCATATATTTGAATCAAAGTCAGGTTTTGAAGTCTTAACTCCAACAACCATATGAATACCTCCACTTTTCCTTGATGAAGTATCAGTGGCATTTGATATACCTGAACTTATTATAGAAGATGATATTGTATCTTTTATTTCAGTATTTAAAGTCCAATCATCTGTATTAATATTATTTTCGGTAGTAGAAATTGGAATTGTTGAAGAACTCACGGGTAACCCAGCTACTAATGGTTCATCTTTAATCTCTAATTCTGCTAAAACTTTTGTTTTATGTTTCTTTTTTTCAAAGAACTGATTTAATTTACTCATTTATACTTGGATTTCCAAAGAAAAAAAAAAAAAGGAAAATAAAGAAGTTCATGAATTACAAAATGAGTACCAAAACCTAATAATAAAATAAACAGGCGGTATCTAAAAAATATAGGCGGTATATGTAATTTTTTTCCTGATTTGAGAGAACTGTAGCTAATTGCTTTTCTTTACAGGCTAAGCCTTTTATATTGTTAATTTTGAATATACAGCGATAGTCGCATTGAAGGCGACTATTGCACTTTACTAATTTTTATAATGGAGTCACCTATGGACTTAGTAAATCAGGAAATTTCAAAGGGTATAGTAATAGCAGCGAAGAAGCAATGGGGTGTAACACCTCCAATATCTGAATCTTTACCCACTCCTCAAGACTATAAACTGACAGAACAGCTAATTATTGCTATGAGAAGTGAGAATTTATATGAGACAGTTGAAGGGATGAAAAAACGCGAACAAATTTTAGCATCATTAAATAAAATGGTCCGTGAATGGATCTATGAAGCAAGTTTAGAGCATAGTATGAGTGAAGAAGAGTCATTAACAGCTGGAGGAGGTATATATACATTTGGTTCTTATCGTTTAGGTGTTGTAGCTGCAGGATCAGATATTGATACACTATGTATAGTTCCAAGGCATATAACTCGAGATTCCTTTTTTACTTTTTTCTTAGCAAAATTACAACAGGATATTCATATAACAAAGATTCAACCTGTACCAGATGCTTATACTCCAATTATTAAAATGGTATATTATGGAATTGAAATGGATCTATTATTTGCGTGTTTAAACTTATCACGTATTCCTAGTGATTTAAATACTTTAGATGATGATCTTTTGAGAAATGTAGATGAGAAGACAGCTAGATCACTGAATGGATGTAGAGTAAATGATATGATTCTTCAATTAGTCCCTAATAAAGAATCATTTAGGACAGCTCTACGATTTGTTAAACATTGGAGTAAATCAAGAGGTATTTATAGTAATGTTTTAGGTTATCTGGGTGGTATATCATGGGCAATTTTAACAGCTAGAATTTGTCAATTATATCCAAACTCAGCTCCCAATCAAATTATAAACCGATTTTTTTATGTATATAAAGCTTGGCAATGGAAAAACCCAGTTATATTGTGCGAAATTAAAGAGGTCCCAAAAAATAGTCCAGGTCTTATGGGGTTTAGAGTTTGGAATCCAAATACAAATCCACAAGATAGAGCTCATTTAATGCCTATTATAACACCAGCATTTCCTTCTATGAATTCTACACATAATGTGACGCAAACTACACTTCGAGTTATTACAGAAGAATTACAGCGTGGATCTGAATTAGTGAAAGAAATAGAAAATGAAAGAGCACAATGGAGTGATTTATGGAGCCCTTATATGTTTTTTGAAAATCATAAACATTTTATACAAGTAAAAATGCTGGCAAATAGTGAACAAGCATTCCAGAAATGGACAGGATGGATTGAAAGTAAAATCCGATTTTTGGTTAGAAAACTAGAAACATTTAAAGGACTTCAAGTTAGACCATGGCCCAAAGTTATACAAGAATCAGATAACCAAAAAGATGGTTTTCAGTTTGCCCAGTGTATGTATATAGGATTAGTTTTATGTACTACTAGTGGTAATAATAATGGAAAATCTACTGGGATAACTCCAGTTGTAGATTTGAGAGGGGCTATTTTAGATTTTGTTGGTTTCATAATGAATTGGAATGAAGTAGAAATTTATAAGGATTCTATAGATCTTAAAGTAAAACATTTAAGATTTAAAGATCTCCCAAAGGTTCTTAGAGAACAAAATAATACAAAAGTACTTAATTCTAAAGGAACTATTAAAACAATAACAGTAGAAAATATAACATCTGAAGTAGTTGGAAATTTTGGGTCTACTACTAATTCTAACAATAATAGTTCTATCCCTAAAATGGGACAAACTACAAATTTAAATTCATCCCAACAATCAACAACACCTTCAACTAAGAGATCAAGAGAGGATGAATCAGAGGATATAGATGATCAGGATTCATCTAGCAAGCATAGAAATAAAGATATTTTTGAACCTGAACAAGTTCAGAAATTATCAATAAGAGACCCAGTTTCAGAAGTTGACACAGTTAACATAAAAGTTAACTCAGCTCGTGTACCATACCGTCCCCCTTTGACTTTAAGAATAAATATATCAAATGCTAAAGAGTGAACATTTATAATACCTTCTAATAAGTAATTTTCTTCAAATTTAGAAAATTTAAATGCTTTTTATTATTGTATCTAAGTATCTTTATCGGGGAAACTGAAGATTATAATTTAATAGGTCTACTTTTTGAAATTTATTAGTTTATTTATAGTGAAGAGATACTAATGAATGATTATAGATTATTTCTACAATTTTTGTAATATAATTTAAGTTTGTAAGTTTTATTTTTTAAATTTATCCTCATTTCTCAAATTTAAAGATTATCAGAATCTATTACCTTTTTGAATTTATGAATAATATGTGGTTAATCCAATAATCTATAAGAGAAAATAAGGATATATGATATATCTAAGATTATTATTAAATTATTAGTAACTAAATGTACAGTTGAATATTTTCAGTACTTTTTTTAAAGTATATTTACTTTAGGTCAATAATCACGAAGAAATTGTTAAAATACCATGATTTATCAACTTAATAAAATCCATTATGTTACAGTATAATAGGTTATCCTAACAATTGTCAATACTTCTACATTATTTTGAGATAGTATTAAAGCAGTATAATTCCGAGATTTTGTAAAATAAAGTTATAAAAAATTGGCGCCTAAATCAGCAAATTACATGTAAATTCCACATAATTTATTGGTCTAGAAGCATTTAGAATTTTTCCAAGATTTAAAGTTTACAACCCCTATATATATATATTATAGGAAAGGTGAAACAAAAAAAAATTAATGATAATAATAGCTATTGAAAGATAATATTTTCAAGAGTGGTGCAACGATAAAATTATATATACAAATATTTGCAAGTAAATAAGTTTTTATTTGAGAAATAGGTATCTTTTTCCCTTAAAATTTTAGAGTAATATAAGCAAATTTCACCTTAATAGTTATACTTATTTATGAAATTTTATATTTTGATAAAACTGTGCTAATAAAGGAATTATCAAAGATAATTTACTATTTATATAAATCATATATATCTGAATCTGCTTAGGTTTTTTTTTCCTTTGATGTGTAACTCGAAATAACGCATAATTTTCATCGTGTTTGCGATATTAGTGTTACAAAGAGTGCATCAAGAAGTAACTATAGCGATATGACTATCTAATGAATAGTAGTAAATATTTGTAAATATATAATAGAATATAGATGCTAATTGAATTGACTCTAAAAAACTTTATTAAAATTATGCTAAAGAAATTTACTTTTATATCTTTAATTGTGATTATTAATTTATACCCTATATTATGTTTAGATCATTTGAATTGGGATTATTTAAAGTATCAAGATATATTTTTTAAAATTAAACAGTTGGAATCACGATATTATACTTCAAAGTATGATTGCGAAAGTAAAGGACTATGCCCTGAATACTTTCCATTATGTAGTGACTTAAGCCAATTTGAGAATACACGTAAAATTCCAGTACTTAAACCATCAACTATGAAAAAGTATGGACCAGAAATTGAATTATTACAAGTACAAACTATAATTCGTCATGGGGCAAGAACTCCAACAAGGCTCCATAAATGCTGGGAAGGGATGAGTCAATCATGGAACTGTGATGACTTAGTTGCAACAGTCCAAGCATCAGCTCATGACTTGTATAATAAAACTAAAACATTAGAATTTTCTAAACATTATGATATCAGACAATCAGAAAATAATTTAAATGGAACATGCCAAATGGGGCAACTATTACTTGAGGGATATTTGCAGCAAAGAATAAATGGTCAATTGATTGCAAATGCATATTTTCCCACAAATTCTAAAGAATCTTTAGTAGTTGGAAAACCACTAGAACTAGAGAGAAATTTAAAGTTAAGAAACAACCCAGATTTTTCTAAGGAAATTTTTGTAAGATCTTCAGATATGCAAAGAACAACATTATCTGCAGCAGCCCTTATTACTAGCCTAATTGAACAAGTTGTTGGTGAAAATGAAACATTTGATCTATATCAAAGATTTCCTTTACATATGATGGATATGCAGTCTGATTACTTATTTGCTAATGCCAATGCAGAAAATATTACAGAAGATCTCCGTTCAGCTTTGCATTCAAAAGAGTACTATGATCAAATAGTAAAACATCAATCCCTATATAAAGAGTTGGCTTTACTAGTTAAAACACCCCATTTAGAAGATCTATGGCCTGGTGACATAATGGATTGCATTATGACTAGTATATGTACGGGTAATAGCAATAGATTACCCTTAGGATTCCTTCAAGATAATTTATTAAATAGGACTATTCATGCAATAGAAGAAGAACTTGCAACTATTTATAGTTGGGATAACTCAAAGTTATCAAAGTCAGAGATGGCTAGACTTCTGCATGATATTAGGGACTACCTAATAAAAGCAATTATTGATCATGAAATAAAGAGAGATAATACTGAATACCTAAGAAATAAGTGCAAAAAATTATATGTAGATAATAATTCAATAGAATATATGCTTGGAGTAATTTGTGATGAGCTTGATTCTTTAAAAATATATCCAGAAAAGAAAACTTGGGTCCCAAAATTTATATTATGGTCAGGCCATGATACTACCATTATTCCAACAATGGCAGCAATAAAAGTATGGGATAAAAAATGGCCTCCATATGCATCTTCTTTTATTATTGAACTTTATAGAGGTAGCCAAAATGAAACTCTTAACATAGATCCTGATATATATACAGATGAATATCATCATGGTAATAAAGAATCATATCAACTTGATAAGAACCTCCCTTATTTTATGAGACTTTTGTACAATGGAAAAGTTATTACACATAATCTAAATGGTTGCCAATATCAAGAACTATGTCCAGTAAGTTTTGAAATACAGTATAATATTAGTAGTTGTATATTAATATTCTTAATGATTGTGTCATTAATAAAGACTGCTAATTTTATTTATTATGATAAAAAGAGAATCTTCATATATAATCTTTTTTTTAGGTTCCAAAATTTTTTAAGGAAACAAATTTTGTAAATCAAATAAATAATCGTTTAGTTAAATCAGCTAGTGAAGGATTAAATAGTACAGACTTATCTCTAGGAAATTTGTCACAAATAAGACAGAATAACTCAGAATATAAGAGTATTCCTTTAAAAACAAGGTTATCAACAAACTTTATTAGTAGCCCAAATATATCTGTAATATGGTTCCTAGGAGGAATTATAACAGCTACAATAATATTTCAAATAGCAAAGGTAAGCTTTACTATATTTTGTTGGACTTTTTGATAAGAAAGTATACTTATTAATTTATACTATAACCTTTTAAATAATGAAAAATATACCAAATTAATTCTATATTATCTTTTATATTTAGATTATCAAGAAGTTAGTCCCATTCTTAAATAGAAATAACAGTGGTGCAACTGTAGACAATTATCAGGCTCTTTAGAAACTTGATAAAGTATCTATAATAGAGTTTTATTAGTAATCCATTTATCCCTGATCATTATTAAATAAAATATTTAAGGTCGTTTCAAAAGCACTTTGTATTCCACTTGTTAATTCTGAACTGTCTTTATTAATATCTTTGTTTATGATGGAATTGTTAGTAAACTGATTAGGTAAAAATAAATAATCCAACAAATAAGCCTTCTGATCTAAACTCAACCATCGAGATTTATACTTTTCATTATATGCTCTAAATGCAGCTGATATTTGTGTAAATCCTTCAACTTTATATAAGACAGATGGATTTATAGTGCAAAGAATAAAAATCATTACAGTATTGGCTAACCAAACAGTTTTTGGAATTGTGACCCACTCTAACGTAAATTTAAGTATGATAGCTATTTGATTGACTGATAGTTGCCTAAACCACTCTTTTAAACCCCCTATATATTCTATTTGTTCAATCCTAGCTAATTCAATTTTATCTTGGTAATTGCTTAAATTATAACTTCCATCTAAACTTTTACTAGAAAAGAAATTATTAAATTTAGGTTGCAAGATCTTTTCAAGAGCTTGAAAAGTTTTTAGTTGAAGATTAAGATCAAGGGCCAAATTCAAAGCTTCAATCAAATTATTCTGTTTAATTAAAACATCCACTTGTGTTATCTTTTCATTCTTTAGAGATTCAGTAAGTTTCTTTTGTTCTTCAACCTTTGATGTAATATCCTCCCACAATATAATTTGGGAATCAGCTCCACCAGTTAACATAAAAGAGTATTGAGGAGTTGTAAATATATCTAAAGTCCATATTTTGTCTTTATGACCTGAAAATGTGGCTATACATTCACTAGTACTAATATTCCATAGTTTTACAAGTCCGTCATCTCCACTTGAAACTAGTTGCAGACCATTTTGAAGAAATGAGACTTGAAGTACAGGACTATCATGCCCTTGAAAAGTTTTAATACACATAAAATTGTCTATATTCCATAATTTTGTGGTCCCATCAGCAGATGCAGATGCAATAACCTTGTCAATTGGAGAAAATGAACATTGCCAGACTCCTCTAAGATGCCCTTTACATGTTCCAATGAGTTCTATATCAGGAAATGACCACAGTTTAATAGTTTTATCTTCTGAACATGTCGCTATAATTTTGTTATTGTGAGATATACAAATGTGATTTATATCTTTATTATGTGCTATTACATTGTATTCTACCATTATATTTTTAACTTCATATCCTTGTTCTTTCACTTTAACATTGGATATATGCAAATTTTGCCTCTCTCTATATGATAAAACCTTTGTTAATTCTGGTCCTATATTCCATGATTTTAATGTTTTGTCCCTAGATCCTGAAAATACAAAAAATTTACTATTAGGACCTTTTATAAATTTCTTTCTCTGAAAGGCAACGCTGGATATTGTATCTGTATGTCCCGATAAAGTTAGTAAACAGAAACCATCTTTAGTATCCCATATTCTTATAGTCTCATCTTTGCTAGATGTAGCTATAAATCTGCAGCATTCTGACACATCTGTAGATAATACAGTAGAAGTATGCCCTAATAATGAAATTGTCTTAAATGGAGGCTCAGTTAATGACATGATAGTTGGTACTTCCGTGCTGTTTAAAATAATACATCTTAGTTGCAAATTCTCTTCTATCATATTAGATGAATTACTATAGACTAGTTCATCTTGTTGATATTCCTTTTCACTTTCCCCTTCTGTATTTCTAAAGCCATTCTCTTTTACTTCATTTGTATCACTTTCTTGTTCATCCTTATTAATCAAAAACTTTGCCTGAATAATATCAGGAGTTTCCCCTAATACAATAGTATATAAGGTAAAATCCGGAAAATTTAAAACAACAATTCTACGATCTTCCATAGTTAAAATAAGAAAATCTCTTTTATTTGTATTACTACTAATACCAAAATCTTGATCCCTACACATAAATATGTTGGATACTATACTTTCGGTGCACCCATAATCATTGCACTTCAAAATTCCTAGAGTTTCCCCAGAAACAGGATCCCAAATTGTTAGTCCTGTCTTCTCATTGCCAGTAATAATTACCCAAGGACATTTATAGTCTTTATAGTCTGCTATTAGGTTAGTATTACAACATAGAATAGAAAAAACAGTTTCTGATGAATGTATCTGTTTAATTGGTATTAATTTACTATATTCTGAGCTCTTTTTAGATTTTTTCTTTTTTGGGGCTGATTCTGGATTTGAAGATAAAATCCCTAAAGTTCCTGAATCTTTTAGCTGATCAAGATCCCATATATTAATTATATTATCAGAGCCAGCTGTAACTAAACCTCCCAGGCTACCTGCTACAGTATTAATCAACTCGATAGAATTAATAACACCAAAGTGTTGATCTTCACTCCTTAATATTGTTCTATTTATAGTTAAATCATGGATTCCAATCACTCCATTAATACAACTCGAGAATAAAAGCCAACGAGAGGAGTGAAATTTTAAATTTGAAATTGCAGATTCGTGACATGTAAATGAATGAGTTACAAAACCACCAGTAGAATCATATACTTTAATACTTCCATCACTGCTGCCACAAGCAATGTATTGACCTGTTTTATCAAAACAAATCTTATTAATAAACTTCTGTACAGATCTCCATGATCTTATAAATGAGAATTTCACCTTTTTTTCCTCTGATAATTCTACAGTACTGACATCCATAGACCAGGATCTAAAAATCCCTCTAGCACCAATAGTCACTATTGTAGAATTATCTAAATCATTACAAGCAAAAAAACTAACCTCCTCTGCATGTTCTGTAGTCATATAAATATCATTATATGGGCCTATACTACCCAAAACAAAAGGACTCTTACATATATCCGATGCCAAGATACATCCATCACATAATGTTAATAGAATTCCTGAACTCTGACAATATACAACATCCCCACCACTGTATAACTTCGTAAACTTCCTATAGTGTGCCCAAGAGGATGATAAAATAGTCTTCCTTCCCGAAAAAGTCATTTTCTGACACTAATCAATACCTTGCTACACTCTCCAAAATTTTGCGCGCAAAATGGAGACAGTAATTGAATACCTTACACCGGCATTGGAGTATCCATTATCGATATTTTAAATATTAAATACGGTTACTCTTTAAAATCAATGGAAGATAGATCTGGAATACATGCTCAATTAGAGCAGCTACATAGCAAGTATAAGGGTACGGGATATCCGGATATAAGCAGATGGTAAGTTTCTTCTATAGTTACCATCAAACCAAACATTCTTATGTGTCCTGACCTTTTTCATAATTACAATTTTTTTTTAGTGAATGGGCGGATAATATACTAAAAGACACGGCAGCCTCAAATATTTCACACTATTCTAGGCTAGCTTACTTTGCAGTAGTAGAAAATACAACTACTTCTAGGATACGTTACAGATTCCTCGAGTCAATGACTACAACTTGTGTTCCATTTAGTGAAGATTTAATAGATAAAGATAATTAGAGATAACTCTAGGGACTTTGTAGCTTAAATACTGCTTATTAAATATATCTTATGAAGGAGAGAAGTAGTTCTTTTCGAAAGTATACTGTTTTGGATAACAAGTAATTATGTGTAATTCATTTAGATATTTTAATATTCCTTAAATTTTCTGAACACTTTTTTTAGTTGTATTACTTTTTAGATCCTTTGGATACAGAAACAAATACTTTAGTGTCCCCAGTTCTGGCGCTTTTAATGTTTAGTTTTTCCGAGGCCTAGAGATTATTATGAATTTTGACCCGCTTTATCATATGTGGTTCTGGTAATTAGAAGGAAAGTTGAATATTAGGTTTTTTTTTTAATGGCAAGAAATTACTACTAGCTAATTAGCTCACTCTGAATTTAGAGCCTAGTTTTCGGATGAATTTGGAAAACAGTACACCTAAAGATGAAGAGACAGTTTCCTTTAATAAAAGAATCGCTAATGTTCTAGGAGAAGATATACAATGCCCTGAAGGAATTTCACTACTTAGTAGTGTTGAAGTCTCTACTTTATCAGAGTTATGTATGACTAGAGATCAATCACCCAACACACGAGATAGTAGACCTATAGATAAGATCTCTAAAGAGGACTTAAAATTAACAGCTCCTACTGAGATAAATGATTTAAGTATTATTGATGGTAAATTTCGATGTGATATATGTAAAAAAGATACGTGGGAATTTAGAATCCGCTGTGCAGAGTGTGTTGAATATGATTTATGCTTAGAATGCTTTTGTGAAGGGAAGACTAGTGGCGAACACCAGTCTGATCATGCTTATATACCTATAGGACGTTATATGTTCAATTTATTAGTTGAAGATTGGACTGCAGAGGAGGAGTTATTGTTAATGGAAGCTGTTTCTCGCTATGGTTTGGGTAATTGGTCCGAAATATCGAAATATATTACTGAGGGTCCAGCAGGAGCACTATCATTATATCAGAAATCTACAAAGTCTGGATCTGGCCATTCTGCCGATGAATGTGAGCGTCACTATAATGTTTTTTATTTATCTAGTGCTACAAAACCTCTTCCTGATACAAGGAACTCTTGTAAACTTGCAACTCAGTCTATAGAAAATAATAAGTCTGAATTAACAAAAGAAACAAATTTTCCAGTAGATACCCCAATGAATATTGATCACTCTAATATAGCTGTAATAGTAAATGATGAAGATTCTAATATATCTACTATTAAACCTGAAATCAAACAATGCAACTCAGCTATAAAACAACAAAACAACACGAATTCTACAACTACCAATACTAAACCAAATACTAGTGTTATTGGTTACATGCCACTAAGGGGAGATTTCGATGTAGAATATGACAATGATGCAGAATTATTATTAGCAGATATGGAATTTAGGGATAATGATACACCACAAGAAAAAGAACTGAAATTGCAGATTCTAGAAATATATAACTCCAAATTAGATGAAAGAATTTACCGTAAACGTTTTGTCATTGAACGTAATTTGTTAGATATTAAGAGTCAACAACAGAAAGAGAAGAAGAGAACAAAAGAAGAAAGAGAACTGTACTCTTTTCTCAAACCATTATCCCGTTTCCAAACAGAGGAAGAACAGGATAAATTTGTATCTTTACTTATTGAAGAAAAACGTATTAGAAATCATTTACAAAAAGTCCAAGAATGGTGTAGTTTAGGGATTAGGACACTTGATGAAGTTCGTCGTTATGAAGAAGAGAAAAGGCGACGTGAAGACTTTCGCAGTAAAGTTATTAATCTAGCTCAAACAAATAGTACAAATTCAACAACAGATGTAACCAGTGGTAGTAATACTACTTCAAGAGTTATTCCAGTAGCTCCTTTGGGATTGGGGTTAGGAAATGTTAAGGTACAACCAAATGGTCCCACACCATTTGTTTATGAAAGTCAAGCAAGATCTTTAAAAAAACATAATAAGTCAAACATTTCTAATTCAATTCAAGTTACACATGGTAACTCAAACACTAGTGGTAAATCTACAAGTCAAATTGGGGTTAACTTGAATATACCAATAGAAAATTACCCTGGAGCATCATTATTGACAGAAACTGAAAAACAATTCTGTGATAAAATTCAATTAGCCCCTATTTTTTACATATTAGCTAAGAGGATTTTGTTACAAGAAGCAAGAAGTCAATTGAGTGGGCTTTCAAAAGATGAGTTTTCTAGGGTAATTCGATTAGATGGACACAAGGCCGGTTTGCTTTATGATTTTTGTTTATCTTTTGATGTTCAAAAAGCACAGGATGAAATAAATAAGTAGTACAAATATAAATTAAATTTATACAAAAAAGATTATATTTATTAGTCCTTAAATAAATCGTATATTTACCTAAATAATCAAAATAATACGAAATATGTATATTCATAAAGTGATACTTTTTTTATACTCATAAAGAAATTATTTAACATATAATTAAAAATTTATGTATTATTGGATTACTTCTAATTTATTTAAGATTATTTTATTATTTCAAATAATGGTTATTTATATTTTACATTGTTTCACCTCTTAATAGGATATAAATTCTGAATAATTTGTGCTAACAATGGATTTTGGTTTCGACAATATTGTAGGATATTTTGAGCTTTAATATCAAGTTCTGGAGGTATATAAGATTTAGATAATGGTCTTAATTTATCCAAATTTTGTTGAAAACCATCTATAATCTTGGTAGAATATTCACAAAGCAGAAAAACTAATTGGGAAGATGTACTACCCATAAATTTATCTGTTGAGTAATTAGTTTCTTCATTTTCATCAATACTTCTGACTAGTTTACTACAATAAAGTTTAGCCTTCTTCAAATAATCACTTAAATCTAATGATTCATTCCAGGTAGCCTTACATAAATCTATAAATACAGGATCTAATTCCTCTGCAGGATTATAAAATGAGAGACAAATTTGCATACCAAGTTGCCTGGCTATTGCACTAGGAGATTTTGGGAATACTAAATCACCATATAATCCCGTAAGAGTGTAAGTTGGGAATATTGGAATATAAGCATTTAAAAGAGATGAAATTCTACTGTAATTAATTTCTGGTAAGTATGAAACATTTACTAAAGTAATGAATGGAAGTACTCTTATTTTTTCTCCAAGTCTGAGTGAAATATAGGCTTTCTTCTGTTCCATTGGTATAGATTGTACAAGAAGTCTTTCTGTCTTTGCAACAAGATTAGCAATATGAATATTTGCTGTATTAATATTATATTGTGAAAGCTTTAGTATCAAACTGACATATTTAATAGCAGATTTCTGTAAAGGTTCCATGATATCATGATCAACATCTTCTCGCAATAGATCTTCACCAAGATATAATAAGGGATTGCAATCATCTGATCTTTCTGGTATCTTAAATTCCTTATTTCTAAGATATTCTGCTTTAGGAACTAATTTTGCATTATTACAAACAATTACTAAGATTTCTAAAGGATTTATAGGTAATTCTTGAACATTATCTGCCACTATTAAAGTTCTTATTAAATGAAACACCATATTTACATGATCCACAGCTTCAAATAATTGGTAAATCTCTCCATTTATGTATCTTGTATTTTCTTTATCACTTAAATTTAATCTATCTAATTTATCACGAAATTCTATTCTAGATTTTCTTGAGTCAGGTAGTTCTTCTAAAATCATTAAAATGCTATCCATAACTTTAGCTAAATCTAATCTAGTAGCTGGTGAATCTGCGGATAATATACTAAATAATTCTGAAGGATAAATAGATTCCAAAGCTGATTCAGTCCCTAAGATATCAGATAAAGTATTGTCATCTTTTTCTTTACTATCTTTATCATTTTTACTATCTTCATCATCTTTACCATCTTTATTTATATCTTTAAATATTATCGTATTTATAACACTCACAGTATCAATTACTGTATTTATAATGAATTCACTATTCAAATTCTTATTAGAAGAAAATTCTGAGGATAAATTTTCAGTATTTAACAAATTTATTAACGAATTCCAAGAAGAATCACAATCTTGAGGGAAAAAAGAAAAAAAGTCATGTGATACTATTTTTTTAACAAAATCAATTGATGATGATTGTAAAAGTTTTTGAGTTAATATATTTATAAATACTCCCTTTTCTTCCTTCTCTAACTTTTCATATAAAGTTTTCGAGTCTGAACAGATCTTTATCCACCTAATAAATAATGAATTCTTTAAATCATTATTTAAATCATTATTAACTAAAGATTCTCCTACTATTTCTTCATTAGATTCCTCAAATTTAGAATCAGTTGAATTCTCTTCAGTTTGTATAGAAGGTTTATCTTCCTTACTTCTTTTCATCTTATCCTCTCTTAAAGAATCTAAGGCCATTAATCCTAATGGTCTATGCTTTTCTTTATTATATTTAGATATATTTTCTCTTTCAAATACTTCACCAATTAAACCCCGAGATTTTGGAACTGGCATATCACCTATTACTATTGGAAACAATATATGGGCTTTATCAGTTGGGACATTGTTCCAACATGATGTTGTTGTTAATCTAGCCAACATTCTAACCATTATAGATTTTGATGTAACACCATTTCCTTCAATTACATATAAATGAGAAAATTTATCATTTGATATTTGTGGTAAATCTAGATATTTTAAAGACTCATCCTTATCTAGGCTATTTTCTTCCATTTCATATGATTTATTTTGAAATCTATCACTTTTTTTTTTATATCTCTTCATTGATGATCTTTTCATATTTCTCAATTTTGAGCATAGTTGTTTAACTGATTGTTTAATTATATCATCCTCACTATTTATTTGACTATCTTGGTCTTCATCATCTACTATATCAGTCTTAGAAATTGGTTTTGTATATACCTTTACTAATATTATAACTGATATAAATTTAGATTTCTGATGATATTTCTTTGACAGCTCATATATACGCGAAAATTCTCTTGGACTATTCAATTTTAGTACTGGACTTGTTAATACAGAAGAACCACTCCAAAGTCTATAAAACCAAGAATATATATTAGATTTCATTATATACTCTTTCAATATCAACTTTGTATAATTATTAAATTTCTTTGAAAGATGTTTACTAGAAATTCCAAATTTTGGACACCATTTTCCACAAGATATTATATATGGTAATGTAGATTCAATACTATACATATTAAAAAGAATATTTGTACTAGGGATAACTGAATGTTCATGTTCTAAAAGTGAAGACTCTGCAGAATAGTCTAAGTGTAATACACTAGGACTACTCATAGATATACTTCCTTGTTCTGATACTAATGGTTCCATAATACTTGATAAATCCGGACTTTCAGTTGCTAGTAATATTGGGAAATTGCCCATAATAATCAGATTTAAACATACCAAATTTGTTAGATACACAAAATAAAAGGCCAGGAAAGACTTCATTTTAGCCTTATATATTCCTACGATATTTATTTTGGTTAGTTTTATTTGTTACTTTGTGTGTGAAAGTATTCTCTGAGTCAAGTTTAATTTGTACTGCACACCATAACTACTCACAAATAGTTAATAACAAATAAATAAAAATTTAAAATGTAAAAAAAAAGCTTCTGAGAGTATATAACACTCCCCCCCCCATAACTTTATAATAAACAATAGAAATTTCAAATCAAGAGTAAAGAGAAAATTAGTAGTATCTATAATACAAGGTTAGGATTTATAGAAAAGAAAAAAAAAACAAAAGGCGCCAAACAATGCATTTTGTGTATTTGTAATCATTACTATAAGCTTAAATTTTAGAAAACTTGTTACTTTTTAATGCCTTGTAGGATTTTGGAAAAAAAATTATATATAAGATAGCTATTATAAAATTTTTATACTTTGTAATCTTATAAAATTTAGGAGAATTTTGAAATTGAGAAGTATCACTTTGAATTTTTACTAATTTTTAAAATTTGGGATATTTAATGCTATATAATAACCTGGAATTTAATCGAGACTATCAAGAGGATATAGAATCTTTTTGAATAATGAGCACATCAGTTTTACAGAGTGAATTTATAACTAAATATCCTTACCTGAATTACTCGAATAATTCTGAAGCTGATAATCCTAATAAAGAAGTAAACTCAAATTCATTATTGAGTAATTCTTCTAGTACTTATATTCCATTATCAGATTCTCCTTGTATAGTAAATTCATCACCTAAATCCCCAGTTTGTATATCACCTACAAAATCCTATTCATCTTCTACTGGAAATTGGATGTACCAATGTAATAAAGGTTGGAGATTTTATCCTACCATTGATAATTTGGAGATAGAAAAAAGCTATCAAGATGGAAGCCCTTCTATTGAATTATATCCATATAGAATAGACTTTTTAAGATTTATACAAGTAAATATGAATACTGGAAAAGTGAGATCTATTATTCGTGATGGAATAAAACCAAAGAATATTTGCACAATAAAAGGTAAAGATGATTTTGATGAGATAAAAACAAGAATATATCAATTGAATAGCAATAATAAAGTTGGTTATTTAACTAATACACTAAATAACGAAGATTCTTTTAGTTCTTTATTAGTTGAACCCATATTTTCAAGTATTGCTAATGGTACTTTTGACTTTTTAAATAATATTATGAAATCTATAAATTTTGGGAATTCAACAGATTCAGAAAGTGATTGTATAGAAGATGGAGATTCTACTAATAATACTGAATATGATGGTAGTGGGAGTGTTTATTTAAGTGCTAATTCATTAACTGGTATATCTAATTACCAAATTCCTATAAAATATAAAGATAAAATTTCTATAAATTCTCCAAATAGAATAAATACATCTACTCCTTTGATATTAACTCCTTGTAACTCACCTAATACAGGATCTGCAATTGTTACTCCTACAAATACAAATAATCAATTATTTGGTAAACCTATATGTTCTTATACAACTAAAAATAATTATATTCCATGTACTCCAAGACATAAACAGAATTTATTAATTCAATCACCTTGTAATTCTATATTTCCTTCTAAATATTCATCTGTAGTACCTTTGAATGGACAGGATGTTACTACAAATAGAAGCCCAGTCAGAATTTCTCCTTTAATGAATCTATCTCCTATATCAAATGATTTCACTAAAGCTTTATTTAGTTCAGTGAATTTATCTCCTAGTCCATCAATACAATCACCAGATAAAATAGAAGATTACTCTAAGTTAAAATATATGTCTCCACCAAAATTATTTTCTAATACCCAGATTTCCAAATCAAAATTAGATTATTCAAAATCATTTTTAGGTGGTAATTTAGAGGTAGATAACAAACCAGAGAACTTTGAGATACTAAACTCTTTTCAACCATATAAATATAGGAGAACTGTTGGTATTGTTAGTTCAAAGTCATTTTTAACGAAATCTTGCTCTACAAATGATAAGAAATTAGTTAGATTTAACAAGCTTTCTCCAATTGTTAAAGAGAGCTGTGATAAATTTATGAATTTGGGAGATGTCATATCTCTTCCAAATGAGACTGATATGTATTCTATAAAGGAACAATGTGACAAACCTGAAGTTCAATTTTCTAATGAAGATAAATCAATACCAGGTTTAGACATTACTGATATAGAAGACTTATTTTCTCCCAAATTACCAGAAATAAATAAAGATTCAGATTTTCCCGAATATGATGATAAATATTCAAATGTTGAGGGAATTAATCATTACAATGATTTATATGATCATCCTACATCAGATGATGATTTTTCATCTGGTCTATCTTTAAATTTTCCATTATCTCATATATCATATATGGATGAGGATTTGTTATCTATGGATTATGAACTTAACAAGAAAAAGTCAATATCAAAATATCTTGGTTCAATTCAACCTAATATATTTAATGAAAATTATCATTCTTTTTCTCCTTCAAATAATTTGGGAACTACAGATCCTAATTTAAGTAGGGTTATAGATTTAAGAAATATAAATCCTTCTAATGGAGTTCCTTATGAGATTATTTGGTGGTCTAACCATAGTATAAAATCTCTGTTTGTTCAATTAGATTGTGATATTGGATATTCTTTACCTTTTCAGGCTCCTATAGAGCTATTACCTCTTTTACATCCTTTACTTAAAGGTTATATGGATACTCCAAGTAATTTAAGTCAAATAAAAAATGAAACAAATGAACCTTGTTCAGTTCTTATGGGTCTTAAAAATCTTGAAATAAAATTTTTGAAACCTTCTATAGGCGAATATTCTAAAATTTCAGATTTTTGTTACAAGGAGCTTAAAAATGTAACTCCAACTATACTAGATCAGTTTGAAATATCTCAATCAGTCCTACCAATATCTATATTTTCATTATTATTGACTAGATTTCCAGTACCAGCAGCCAATACATTCTTATTTTCTTTTATATGTAATGATGATTCATATCCACATTCTGGGATGCAAACTATACAGATTTTGAGTTTTCAATTACAAAAAAAGACTTGTATGAATTCTAAGTATTTAACAAATTCCTGGAATAAAGATAAAGTTGGAAATCTAAATGATTCAAGTTGTAGTCATATTCATTTAGATTCTCATAGAAGTAATTCTCTAAAAGTTTGCCCATGGCTAGCTATTTCAAATATTATTGATGAATTTATTTTAAGGACTCCAATTGTAGTGAAGTGTGTATTAGATCATTGCAATATTATGATCATTCCTTCAAATGTTTATTGCAACTATAAATCAACGAAAAATAATGAATTTAAAGAATATGATTTTGTAATTTTAACATTAAATTTACTTATTCCACTTCTAATAATTCATTCTCAATGTTTACAAAATATCGTAATTGGAGATAATAAACCATTTTCAAAAGATAATTCGGATTTATTTATAAATATTAATACTAAAATAAGGATAGATGCAATGATTTTGTCATGTAGGTATCTCCCTTGTACATTTCCAAGTATACGAAATATAGATTTAGTTCTTGATCTGAATTTAGATAATACAAATATTGGTTCTACTCTACTTTCAAAAAAAAATATATTATATTCAAATTCTTTATCTATTACAAGTGACGAGGAAATCCCAACAAATCAAAAAGATAATTTACATAATAATAATTTACCAGAAAATGACATTTCTATATTTGAACCATATCATGAAAATTTTATCTCTGAGCTAAACAACTTAGTTAGAGAGTGGATGAATGAATTTATTGAATGGTTTGATAAATATGTTGGAGATTCTATAGAGTATATAGAAATTACTCTTTATTTATCTTTGCGTTGTATTGAAGGAAATATCCAAGATTATTTTATATTGCAGAATCGTAATTTGCATGAAACAAATGTTAAAATTGACTTGTTAATGGGTAATAGTGATGATATTTCTACTCATTTTGAACAGATTTCTCAAGATTTCGCTAATAATATAAAGGAATGCAGAAATAATATTAAAAATTCAAATTTAAGTATCCTTATTTCTCCTATATTGGCTAATTTACTTCTTGATATTACTATTTCCAATTCATTTAGTAGACTAAGTACACCGAAGTCATAGACATTTTTTTTTCAGTACTCTGGTATTTATATTATTCACTTCAAAATTTAAATTTAATAAATCATTTTCTGCTTGAGATATAGAATATAATACCTATCTTATTAATTTTAAACGGAGAATTTACACTATATTGAGGTATAATTTAACTAAAAAAGTAATGAAACCCGTCATTTTCAATTATCATGGTGTGTAAAACCCTATATATATACACGTATATATTTGAAAAATTATTTTGATTAGTAACTAGATTTTATCTTTATGCTTATAATTCATCTTAATAACTATTTACTAATCTAATTATTCACGTTTTTATATAGTATAATTTCTAGATCTACCCAACTACCTATCCTACTTAATACTAAATAATAATTTGAGTGTAAATTTTTCAATCCTAATAATTTACTTGAGATCTTAGGTTAGTTATAGTTCATTTTTATCTTCTGACCACCGTGAAAACTTTAGTCTATTTGAAACAGATCTAAAAATACATAATGTAGCGCTAAGTATTCTAAATAGTTTTTAGTTTTGTTTTTTGTGGTTTAAAAAGAGAAATCAAGAGTTTTATAATGAAACTTAAAATTCAAAAAGATATTTATATATATTGTAATGGAATCTTACTTTAATAGAATTTTTTTTTGGGTAATTACTCTACTTTTGTTTTATGGTATTAATCTACAAATAGCCAAGGCTATTACAACAGATAATAGGGAAGAGATTAGATATGCTATGGAAACCAAAAAAGAAGATGTAACAAGTATAGAAGAAGCTCTAGGATGTATTATAACCCAATATATTCGAGATAAATTCGGTTGGAATAGGATACATAGAATACCTCGTTATATAAGTATGCCAACAACATTTCCCTCAACCTTAAAAACTAAATTTACTAATGAAGATTTAAGTGATCCTAGAAAGTTCTATTTAAATTGTTTAAAGATTATGGCTGAACTCGAGAAGAAGAATATAGCTCTATTAGGACCTGAAACGATTAGTGAAAAGGAGTATGCACAAAAATCGTATTGTATATCTTCAGCAGTATATTGTTATCCTGAAAAATCACAACTGGAAATAGTAGAAGAATATTTCAATAAAATTATGAAAGATATAGCTAATACAGTCCATGAATATAGGATAAAAAAAGTGAATATAATTGAACAGGAAGAAGATAAGGAGGAAGATTTATATGAAAAACCAAAATATAAACCAGCTATAGAGGAAAAATTGAAAAAATTACAAATTTTAAGAAAAAAATCGATTATACCCCCTATGAGCTCAGATTTAGAACAGGAATTTTTTTCAACAACACTAGAAGATGTCCCACTTAGAAAAGCTGCTGCAAAACAAAAAGCAACTGAAAAACTGGAATATCAATTAACTGGCAAGGCATCATTATATAATCTTCCTATAGATGATAATTTAGTATCCAAAATGTCTTGGAACTTTTGGAGATCTATAGTAACACAGGAAGAAAGAGATACAAAGGAAAATAATATAAGATTACTACTTAAGAGTCACAGTTTTCCACATAACCTCAATAATTCACTAAATACTATAAAAAATATGTACGAGATATGTCAAAAGGTATTATTTTCTGAATGGAAGGATGGATTAGTAAATATCTTAAATTCAGCTATAAATAGTGTTAAGGATATATTTATAGATATTGATAATAGTAAATCTGAAGAAATGAGTGCTCAATATCCTAATCCAGAAATAGATGATGAAAAAAATACTGCAGCAAAAAAAGTTATTTTTCAATACTGTGAAGATTCTATAGATCATTTTGTAGGTAATAGACAATGGTCAAAAATAGTGGAGAGACAGAATTCTCAAATATATGGTCTACCTTCTGGACGTCCTTACAGACCCTTCAAATTTACATTTGGGAAAACAATATATGAAATGAGGGAAAATTGTGCTAGTGTGATTTGGGATTTATTTTCAAGTGGAATAACTAAAGATTTACATATAGAGGGATTTAGAAAATCTGGAAAATATGATTTAAAATTAGTAAAAAATACTATTGAGAGTTTCTGTCACTTTACTTCTATAGCATATTTCCAGGGAGAACCTACGTTAGAGGAACTGGAAGCAATTCCAGAATTAAGATTGAGACACCAAAATAAAGATAGTGCTGATAAGTATGATGATATTTGGAACTTTAAATCTGATACTATTAAACCACCAAGATATCAGTTTTTAGCTAAACCAAATGACGAAAATGTGCATGTAATATCATCTAAAGCATCTCCTACTGGATACAATAAATTTGAGAGTAACAAGACTTTGAATAAAAGATTTTTTTTGGATGGAAGAAGCCCAAGAGCTTTATTTGGTAGTACTAGGAATTTAGATGATATACTAAAAAATGGTGTACCTGTTGGACTCACTGTTGGAGAAATAGACTCCGAAACTCAAACCTATTTATCTTTATATCAAGATTCTAAGCCATCAATAGTAGCTATTCAACAGTGGAATGCTTTAAGGAGTCAGGTACAAGAAAGTAATAAAAAAGGACATGGTTTTACTTTGCAAGATTTGCCTTCAAATCCTCCATCAGAATGGAATACACCACAATATAACAGTGAGAAATTTTTTTTTGTATGCGTAGAAATTTTAAATTCTATGCTAATTCACAAAAAAATTTCTGTAATATTTCCTCATGGAAGTGGAGGTAATACTCAAACAAAAGTACAAATGACTATCATAGAATTTTGTAGAGATGCTGTAAATCACTATTTTGAGAATTATGAGCAGCTATTTGGAATTAGTAGAGCTGTTACTCATGCACCTTTAAGTAAGATTAATTATGAATTATTAAGTCCAATGGTTTCCCCATCTACTTCTTCTCAGTGGGCTTCTATGCAAGAACAAGTTATTCTAGATTTTATTAGAGACCAACCTAATAGGATAAATGAAATACTACCATCTGAACCAATCGAGTTTGTAGAAGTTTCAAGTCCTGAAGAATTTATTCAACAATGCTTTAATACTGTTATGCTTGGTATAGGTGCTACACCCTCTACAATTATCATAGAACAAGATTTCAGTGTAAGTACTGAGGAAGTTGTCCAAAAATTTTGCTTTAATGCAAGTAGTATATATTTTACAGCTATAGAATATGCACACTTATGGAAAGAATCACAAGAATGGTTCTCTGACTCAAAATATGCGATCTATGCAAGTAGAGGGACTCTCAAAGATATTCCTTGGCCTCCTCCAAGTAAACCTTTAGCATATGTAGGCCAAGGCCAACCTGAATTGTTTAGGGATATGTGTTTTTTAGTTCTTTTCATTTATTGGATTAGTGGTCAATTTAAAGATTTCCTAATAGAAGGGACAACTTATAGAGAAACACCCAATATTGATATAGCTAAAAATATATTAGAGGACTTTTGTACTTCTTCAGCTAGGTCCCTATATAAAATTAGTGAATTTCATCTTAAAGCTAGGGAAAACCTAGATATTGATATTATACAAACTTTAAAAAATTCTAATAACTATGATGAAGCTAAAAAATCTCAATTAGAAAAACTGGAAAACTTCGAATATCCCGAAGAGACAAGCTTAAGAACTAAGGCTGCTAAGAAACAATGGGAAGCTCTTAAAGAACAACTTTCAAAAGATTTAAATATGAATTATGTTAGATTTCTTAAATTACCACCTTATGATCAAACTCTACAAGAACTTTGGCCTTTGAATGTAAGTGAAGAAAATTTTTTTAGGCATTGCATATATGTACTCAATGAACTAATAGATAGAAAACTAGCTGTACTATCAAGTTATGTTCTAGGTGATAGGAACTATGTTGTTGAATCATTTTGCAAAGAAAGTTATTTTTATGTATTTTCAAATATCAAGGAACAAGATAAATTTAATTCAGAAATAGATTCAAATAAGATGAATAATAAAGTAGATTCTAGAGCCCATTCATTCCTCATGGATATTTTACAGGAACTTTCTGCTGAAGGCTTTCCTATATTACAGTGGTTGGATCACTATCTCAACTTTGAAAGTCAAGAAGATAGACATACTTTAACAAGAGCTGTAAAGTGGGGAGAAAAATATAATAATTGGCATTTTCTAGATTTACTTATTCGAAATTTAGATAAAGAACAATTTGTAAATATACAAAAACATATTCAGGCAATCTCCCCTTTTGGGAAAATTATGTCAGTGGGTTTATTTGACAAAGAAAAATTATCTAGTATACAAACTACTTGGGGAGCTATTTATTTACAATCACTAAGGGATTCTGAGAAAGGAGAAAATAGAATTATAGGACTTGTTGGAAGTACTCCACCAGAATCAATTTGGCCAGGAGCCTCCGGCGAACGAGATTTTGTTCTTAGATGTGTAGAATCTCTTCAAAAACAAAAAATAAATCCTCCCTATATTATTATTAAATCTGATGGACGTAGTGAAAGAGGAATTCTACAAATTTTCTGTGAAGATGCTTTAGATACTCTTATGGATATTCAACGGGAACCTCAAAAAATTCTTTCCTTAGATTTCTCTTATGAGAAATGTATAAATGAAGCTACTAGACAATGGCAATGGCATCATATATTCCAGCAAATTGATATTGACGAGAAAGAGCTTGGTTTCCCTAGAATTACTGGTTTAGAACCTACAATTTCACATTTATATTTTGCTGGAGGAACAACTCCAGATGAAATTGAAGATAAATGTGGGAGTGCTCTTGAAGAGCTTGATAAACTAAGAAAAATAAAAGTTCTAACTAGAGATGCTTCTACATTTTGTCATGATGCTGTTAAAAGAATTTGTAGGGAGAACCAAGATGGTAAAAGTACCTGTACATTAGAACGAGAAAAATTAGAAGAAATTATTCTTGGATTTTATATGGACAGTCCAATTGGAAATCCTCTTCATGCTAATCCTAGAACTAGGTGTATGAGAATATGGACACTATTAAAAAGTTCAATTCCAGAAGCTAAGAAGAAACAAATCATAAAATCTGGATCTGCTTCTATGTTCAACAGTAGTTCAACTATCCTATGTCAAACAGCTATTAAATTTCCTGCTTTAAAGGAAATTTTAGATGTTTGCAGCCCAATTGATACTCCGAATCATATTATTCGAAGTTTTCTAAATGCAATTCGAAAACTTAAACAAATTTCTAATTTGTATTATGATAATGAGGATAGAGTAATACAATGGATTAAGGAATATATAGTAAGATATCTTGCAGATGAAAGAACTGATACAGAATTCACAGAACTTGCTGGAGACAATGTATTTGGGGATCCATACTCAAAGGAAGATGAAGGTGAGAATTTTGGAAAAGAAGGTATATTGGGAAAAGGTATTCCTAAGACATTTAGACCACTAACAGATAATGAAAAGGCACTCTTAAATCACAAAAAAAATATGCGTATTGATGCTCTAGTAAATGGTATAGTTAAAGAAGTGCTTCCTATTTTGTCAGAGCAAGTCAAAGTAGGAGCAAAATCTAGATTAACTCAAGATGCTTTGGAAGAAATTCAAAAAGAATTGGACCAAAAAGATGAATTCTTTAATGGTAAAAAACTTACATTTGAAGATTTTGGAGCCTCTATACCCATTTCTAAGGATGATAGAACAAGATTAGCTGGAGGAAAAGTTTATCTACCACTAGTATCCCGGCAGTTTGAAACAAAAAAGCAACCCACTAAACTCATTGCTGAAATTGATACTAGATGGAATAATAGTAAAAAAAATAAAAGTACACATATTTCGAAAGATAAAGACTCAAAATATGACGGGAATCAACCGAAAATAGCTAAAGCACTGCGAAATTTAGATAAAGAATGGATATCTATAATATCTTATCGAAATTCACCAATTAAGGGACTTCCTTTAGGAAGACCAAGTGAATATACTGGTAAGTATGTATTTACAAAAGAGGCAATGGTGCAGAGGTGTATTAAATTTTTAACAAATGAAGTTTATAGTGAACAGTATAAAATACAAGTTAAGGGTAATATGATTGAAAAAGTAGCGCTCATCAGAGGGCATTGTATGGGTGCAGCAAATATGCATTACTCAGGAAACAAAAGATCGTATCAAATTGTAAGGGATAGACCAAAAGCTACTTATAAGGCTGGTAGGACTATTTATGTCAAAGAACAAAAGAAACCACTACACCAGGTTATAGTCGATGAGAAGTTAGGAAGATCAGGTGGAGTCTTGAGTGAAAGTGAACTCTCTCCAGAAGAGAATGAATTTATTCAAAATAATATACCACCACAAGGAGTATCAATTGAGCTAGTCTGAATTATAAAATATAAACATTATAAATGCACAAAATCAAGTAGTTACAGTAGTATATTTTGTATATAAATCTATAAGCTAAAAAACTCCATACTAAATAATTAATGACAAATAATTCACACTACAGTGTGAATTAGTACTTTATATCTTGAGAATCCTAAATAATTCCCCAAAATAAATTTATATATATACAGTATAAAAAGATATTAATTTATTTACAAGAGATTGTATGTGTGTATACCTTTAATATACTCCGAGACGAACAGCGTGGTAGCGCCGTGTTGGTGTCTCAAGACAGCGGGTTGAATATAAACTACTATTAACTCCTATATTATAATGCTTACTATAATAGCTTTGTAGTCCATAATACATCATATATATTATTGGTACCTAATACATATTGGGCAAGTGTAAATAATACCGGTTTTCTTTTAGCTTAAAAATAGAGTCCTGGTTAAAGGCTGACGCGTTTGCAATAAGTTGTTGCTTTCAAGGCAATTACTAGATATCTAATAGGATTACATAAAGGGACTCAGTTAATATATAATACGAAGATTCTACAATGTCCACAGTAAAAACAACTATAAAAACAGATATATGCTCATTTAGTGAACATCGTATTTATCCAGGACGTGGAAAAAAATTTGTTGCTCGTGATGGCAGGGTTTCCACTTTTCTAAACCAGAAGTGTAATTCATTATTTCAGCAGAGGATTAAGCCAGTGAAACTGACATGGACTGTTGGATGGAGAAGAATGAATAAGAAGTTAACATCTCAGGAATTTAGTGCAAAGAAGAGAAATAGGAGAACTGTTAGACTACAGAAAGCAATTGAGGGTTTATCACTAGATGATATAAGAAAGAAGAGAGCTCAATACCAACAAGTTTCAGGATCAGCTCAAAAGGCTGCATTATCAGAAGCTAAAGCTAGACAGAGAAAGCATAAGTAGACCTTGAATAATCTTAATGTGATATTTAAGATATTTATAATAGGGTAGTGAATAGACTAACTATGAATTATTCTTTTTTAGCTACTTTAGTATTATGGTACTAAGTACTTTTCTTAAGATCTACACCAATTACTATTGACTTTTTACCCACCTCTCTTATTATTGCACACTGGTTTTTCCCGGGAGCAAAGCTATATCTTTTATTTTTTGTGACATTATTTAGAAGCCAAAATATCATATATATTCGTAGTAATCATGTTATGAGTACTAAAGATGTACAAATATCTAAACAAAAAGGAGATTCTATCGTCTTAGTAGGAAATGTACCTTCTGGTATAAAGCAAAGATTATATAAAGCTTCTATCCTCCCAGATCCTCATCCAATTTCCTTATCTAGTCGAAAAACTATCTTAGATGAGGATTCTTATATATCAACATTAGATCATATTATACGTAGAGATTTTTATCCTGATCTAACATATATGAGATCAGCTTCAAGTGGAGTTTATAATGTAGTCGATAGTGCTCCAGGAACTTTAGCTATCAACGATCCTTTGTACAAGATACCTGATTGTAATCTTACAGAATTTCAGAATCATAACTTTGTTATTAAAAATAATAATAAATACATAAAAGTTAATCCAAATATGTCCTTAGATGACTTTCATTCTCGCTTTACTAGCCAAGATAATACATCTTTTAAAACTATAATTGCAAATGATAAGGCTAATCTAACAGCTAGTGAGAGTTGGGTTGAAGAATCCAGTAGAAATTATAATATTAATAGAGAATTAAAAATGATTAAAGTGGAATCAAATGAACTTGAAGATTGCATATTATCAACAAGAAGTGAACCTAGAAATACTCTAATGTTTACTCCACATACAGAAGTTAGCCTAAATAATAATCAATTGAAATCTCAAGGGGATATAAATATATCGAATACTAGATATCATTACTTAAGTAATTTTGCTTTAGATAATAGACTAGCTATTCAGAGTAATGAGAAAATAAAACAAAAAAATATGAGTGAGTTAGTGACTTTTAATGATATTGTATATAGTCAAGATCAGTTACAAATGAGTCAATATCTGGACAATATAACTTTTGAAATTCCAGATATCCCAATGAATGAAAGGATAACTAGACAACTTATTTCATCATCGAATAAAAAGAAAGCATTGACTTATAAAACAAAATCTGAAACGAAGTTTAAGATTGGATCAAATACATCATCTTATTCACAAAGTACTGCAAAATCCTCAAAATATTTGTTAAGAAACTCACCTTTAGTTAAGAATGTTTTGGAAAAAGCTGTAAGGGCAAATGAATTAGTAGATCGACAACTCAGAGAAGCTTACTCTGGCAAAAGAAGAGGTACTATATCAAGAACAAGTATTGGATAATTTATTACTACAGATTAATTATTAATATAATAACTTATTCATCTGGAATAAAAGCATAGTTAAGATCCAATAAACGACATTTACCATCATCACAAACTGTGACAATAGCACAATCAGTTAAATGAGAAGGAACACTAGTCTTATTTGTACAAGAAATACCAGAAATTCTCTGTGGGTTAATAATAAGCTCAAAATCCATTACAGGGGCATCATGAATTCCTTCAATAGTCCCTACAATGTTACCATTTACAGAATTAAAAATAACAATATCCCCTAGTGGATTAGGTTTTGTTATATGATCTAGAACAGTGGCTGTCTTTACAATTTTTAAGCTTGTATTATCTAAAAAACTATTTGACATCCTATTACTCATTAATTTATTAACATCTGATACATTATTAGAATTCAAATTATTTGAATGTACAGCAGGATTAACTGCACTAGTAGTACAAATCGTAGCATCAATAGCAGTTATTGCAATATAACGTTCATCTACTAAAAATATTCCCTTTGAGTGGCATGTATTCCTTAATCCTGTTGAATACCTCATCATCTCTTTTCCCATCCTTAGATCCCATAAACGACCCATACCATCACCTCCACATGATAACAAATATCTTTGAGATAAAGATAAACATAAAGAATGTACAGGATATCCACAATGAGCATTGTAAATTGTATTTACACAGTGAAGATTTACAGAATCCCACAATTTTATTGATCCATCATCACTACTTGTAAGTGTTATAGAACCATCATTACTAACTTTTATACAAGTTAACCCAGAATTATGTTGATGAGATGGATTTGAGGAAGTGTAACTCTCACAACTATTTATATCATATAAACGTAAAATAGGATGTTGAGTCCCTACAAGAAAATAATCATCACAAGGATGTACATCTATACAGGTAATTGGAGATATCTCTCTAATAAAATGAACTGATTTTCGAGATATTCTTGGTACAAAATATCCTGTATTAGTTGTTCCTATTGGTCCACTTGGGCCTAATGTTCCTATGCTAGCTCCACTGCTATTTGTATTACTATTAATACTTCCTTTAATATCATATATAATTAGTGTACTATCTGTATCACCAGATATTAGTATATCTTTCTTTGGGCGACATGACAGTGCTGTAATAATACCTCTACTTTCTGTGAAAATCTTTTGATGTGATGATAAACTTGAACTTGAATTACTTCCAGGAATCTGAGATGGAGGTGGAACTACTCTTACCATTCCATCTGCTCCTCCAGTTGCTATAAACATTCCATTAGGACCTACACATAAAGCTCTACAATATGGTCTATGATTAGATATTATTGTATTTGCTCTTAATATTGCAGACAACATTGGAGGATATTGCCAATTATCAGAATCTGTTAGTTTTGTTATATTTCTTAAATAATAAACTTCACCTATATCTGTTACACATGAAAACATTCCTGATCCCATCTTTTTAGTACTCCCATTATTATTCTCATTATTCCCATCCTCTCTTCTTTGGGATTGTATTCTTGATTTAAGATTTAATGGTATCCATTGTTTTGATATATTTTCCAAATTTGGCAAAATACTCTCAATTCTATGTATATCACTACTACTTCTAATTTCATTCAATTCCTTCTTTGTTTCAAGTTTCTTATCACTATTTCTAAGATCCATTGGTAAAAAAGTTAGGGTCTTGTAAAAATTGTATAAACTGTCCTTAGGCATATTACTTGGTACTGGAAGTTTTGTCCTAGTATGCAACATATGTGCCACTTCTACTAATCCATCATCTACTAATTGACGTAATATTAGTTCATATAAACTAACTTTAAGAGGTTGAAATTCTAGTGATTCATCTATTTCTGGAGAAGTCAAACTACTAACTGTTCTAAGATTATCTGTAAACTTCTCAGATGTTTTATCATAGCTTTTAGATACATTATTATTCAACTTTGCTGAATCATCCATTCTATAAATATATCAATAGTTATTGCAGATTTCATAGGAATTATCATTAGACTACAATAAAAACATTAAATAAGCGGTTTATTTCTGGCGCTCATATGTCATTTTTGAATATTTTCTAATATTAACTTATCTACTTATAATTAAAATTATGTACTAAGAACTTATGGAATTTATTCAATATAGTTATATTGGGATTAAGTATTTCACTAAAAATATTCAACTTTGTATAATTTCCTCTAATAGCCTATATATTTTACTAAAGACTTCATATATACAAGATTATCTAATAAAATATAGTTAATGAAAAGTTTTGTATTTTTTATTAATTAATAAATTACATTAATTAAAAAAAAGTTATTTATATTCTTTATATTTACTGGAAATTTTAATATATACTGTTAATTAATCTTGATTTAAATTCTACCAGTACAATTGTTTTTACCTTATTTCTGTATTACTTAATAAAATATTCTATATATATTTATACAGTTTCTATATTCATTATCTATTTAATATAAAAATATCTTTAATATATAACGTAATCTATTAAAATTACCAGTAATTTTTAGTAGATTTGTAGTTTGTTTTACTAATAAAATATTTGTAAAAAGTTTTTTAAAAGTTTATATTTTAAGATATTTTTTTTTATTAAATTCTTCATTCTTAATTTATTTTGTATATAATTTTAAATTAAAAAGTTATATAGAATATATAACAAAACTCAGAAATATTGATTAGAAGTTATACATATTACATGTAAATGAAGTATGAAACTCCCTATGTATATATATTAAAAAGACTAAAAATTAAGTAGATATATATTAAGATTCAGAGTTATTACTATAGAATAATTCTTTAATTATTTTATAGTATAATATTTATTCTATTAATTAAGAGTTATAGAAATATAATTAAGTATAATACAAGATATATTGGAATATTCAAGAAAACATCATTTATAGAAGAATTTGGATAAATAGATGAATTTATTAGATATATAGTTAATTTTTTTATTCCTTATCTATTATAAACAATAAAAACTTGTTTATACTATCTAAATTTATATTAAAAGGTTAATTATTTATGGATAAGATAGGACTCACGAGACAGAAATATTAAGATGTTAATATCCCGCCAAAATTTGACTGCAGTAGTTACCCGAGAATTATATTTTAATTAATGAGAGGAAAACTTAGTAAAAGACGAAGATGACAATAAAATTAATAATTAATCCAGAGACTTCATTTGGAACTTTACTTATTTTAGTATCTAATTATATTATTAATCAGAAAATATCAATTGGAACTGAATATAGTAATCAGATAGCTTCAACTCTGATACTTGAATCTGAAGGTATAAAGTTGATAAATTCAGTTGATATATTGAAACATCTTGGATCAATTTATCCAAAGATTTTCAAACAAGATATGGAACCAGTAATGACAAAATTTTTAGAATTATTATCAAGAGATTCATTTAATACTGAATCTGATGATATACTGCAACATTTGGAAGACCAAATAAGTGGTAAAAGTTTTTTCTTTGGTAGATTCTTATCATTACTAGATCTAGTAGTTTATTCATCTATTCATAGTTACTTTAAATCTATGAATAATATGGATTCTACATATACTCCAAAATATCCTTCATTATCAAAATTTTTTGAATTTGTTCAAATAATGACCCCAATTAGACAAGCATGTCCAGAGAATTTGGAATATTTAGATCTTCCATTTTTTACAAAGAAGTTATCTAATAAAACAAAGAAATTAGATAATACATCAGATGAACGCTCACTAGATGATCCTAGTAGGATTGAACTACGTGTTGGTAAAATTTTGTCAGTTGAAAGACATCCATCAGCTGATAAGTTATATGTTGAAAAGATCGACATAGGTGAAGAGGAGCCCCGAACTATTTTAAGTGGTTTAGTTGGTATTTATGATCTAACTTTAAAAATAAATGAATTAGTGATAGTAGTAGCTAATTTGAAACCTAAAACAATGAGAGGTATAATATCTCATGGTATGTTATTATGCGCAAGCTTAGATGGAGATACAAAATTATGTGAACCTATTATAGTTCCAAATGGTGCCAAAGTTGGTGAATTAATTACATATGAAGGATTTTCTGGTAGTCCAGATCCTGTATTAAGTAGTAAAGCAGGGAAAGATGCATTTTCTACTGTACAGGCACATTACAATATATCAAATAATTCAATATGTAGATATAAAGATATTATAATGATGAGCTCAGCAGGGCCATTATATGTCAATAGAATTTTCGCAGGTGCAAAGTTATGTTAACTGATTATTATAGCTCATCATGTTTAATATAATTGAGAGGTTTATTTTTGTTATTAATTAGGGATCTATTATTTAGTAATTCTGTTTTGAAGTCGACTTGATAAATATTTTTTATTGGTTCACAGCCGAAATTTATGATATCTGCAACTTGTAGAATATCCTCTTTACACAATTCTAAACAGGCAACAATTAATTCTGAAATTGGATATACAGGAATGAATTGGCTTGCAAAATTTATTAGTAAATCAATAGGAGTAATTTGGATATGTTTTGAATTGATAGTCATTTGTTGATAAGCAAGACTCCATGGAGTTTTAATATATGCATTACGTAACAGTGGTATTGTGAAGTTAATTTTTTTCAAATTGATTATTCCAAAAGATGTCAAATAATAGTTAGAATAATTCTTAGCATGTTCAAAATTATAACTATGATTTGCTTTAAAAATATCTCTCCAATTATCTTGTTTAGAATAATTATTAGGATCAAATTTAGAATTGGAATTACAAGTAGGAAATGCAAAACTAAATTCATCCATATTAATACTTGCTAATTTATTAATATCTTTGATATTAACATAAGAAGGATCTATTATATAAAGTTTAGATGCTATTCTTGGGACCCAAGTATCTAAAGTAACAAATATATCAATGATATTAGTTTGTAAATGTTCTGGTAGTTGTGGTAACCACTCTGGCCACATTACTTCAAATATATTAAATTGAATATTATACTTTTTTTGTAATAATGGAAGCCAAGATATTTTTAGATGAGCATCCAGTTCTCTATTATCTAAATGGATAATTATATTAGTATATGAAAGATTTAAATTTAAAATTGATTGGACAAATCTTTCTAAATCTTGTCCTGTAATATGTTTGTTTATGTATGAGATGCAAAGAATATTTAACATAGAAATTTCTTCTTTAATATCTTGTTTTATATTATATAGGAAGGAATTTGAGTTGAGATTATTCTCTATTATTTCATTAAAGTTGGGACTATTATCATATTTAAGATTAGCAAAGATATTAAGAGATTTAGAAGATGAAATTAAATTATTTGTAGTTATTTGGAAAATTCCCTTCTTTTGTTGAACTTCACTTGAGTTATTAGTATCATTATTAATCCATTCATTGGATAAATAATCTACCAACTCAAGCTTATATGTAAATAAGTTTATCCCAGGATTAGTTAATACACTAAAGTATCCAAACTCAAGCAGGCTATAGCTAGCTAAATCATTTGATTCACTATCAAGGTACTTATTCTGTATAATAAAGCTTGAATTGTGCATTTCGGAAGTTGTGTGAATACTTCCACTTTTCCTGAAGCCTTTGAGCTTGTACTGGAAGAGTATAGGACAAGAAATATTTGCGAATATTGATGGAGATATCGATAGGAAATTATATTTAATATCTTTATCGCCATCAAATTTTACTTGTTCTTCCATATTTATATCTCTAACCACTGTTTGAATGAATTCACTTACCCAGTTTTTAGGAGTATCTAGAGCAATTTCTAAATGATCTTTTGTATGTATATTGAATTTTGCAATGTATTGTGTATTATTTTTAAAGTCATATTCTTCACTTCTACCATTAATAAAGCTGGAAGCTGAATCAGAAGAATATAAAAGATCAGATAATCTCACTACACTGGTTGAATTCGTTTCATTAGACTGCACTAATCTAGGATAATTGAATACATATCTAAACCACATATTTTGAATAGGTATAGATCCATTATAGTATAAAATTGGGTTATAAACTATTCTTACGTTGGCTTCAAATAATGTATGTAGTATTTCAAGTAGAGACAAAACTTTGGTAGAAATAGGAGTAAGAGGATCCAAAGTTACAACAACATTTATTAAACTAATTGAATTTGATTTAGATCTTGGAGGTTTAAGATGAGTTTTAATACTATTTGAAATATCATGTTTATTGTAAAGTTCTTCTAAGTATATGAAGGAATTTCCCTGAGTGTAATCTAATGCTCGAATATTTTCCTGCATTAATAAAAATACATCTTCAGGAGAAAGAGATTCCCATCTATTTTTTATATTTCTTTTATATGAAGTTGACACATCATTTAAATTTATATGCTGCTTATATTGGCTTAGCATTACTAAATGTCTCAATCTGCTAGTTATTGCAAGTTCCATAATCTTCATGTGTACTATATGAATAGGAGAAAACCTTGTTATGGGTGTATTTAAACTAATGTAATTAGGATATAATTGAGGACATACTCTGATAAATAATCCATTAATTGCAATACCCATAGAATATACCTCTGAACACTTTCTATTTGACAGTTCAGTGTCTTTAAATATTGGTTTCTTAGATTTGAAAGTTTTTTTAGAATTATAGCTTGTCTGATCTTCATTCTCCTTATTTTCTTCACTATTAGAGAAGTTATACGAAACATATCTTGGAAAAATGGTACTATCTCTACTGGAACGCTGTCTGAAAGGGTATGAATGGACAGTTTCATCATTTTGAGAAGAAAATTTTCTAATAAACTTTTTAATTGCCTCTATTCTACTGGATTCCATTTGAATATTTTCAATTGGAATATCCAACCCTGCCATATTGGCTATTTTTGTACAAAGATCTTGTATTTGGAAGTCATCTGGTAATTTCTTTAAATAAGGATCATTTATCAATTTAGATAAAATACTTGTAAATGTCTTTAAAACTTTTAGATGCTGAAGAACAGGATATAATCTATCATTTTTGTTTAAAGGTTCTAAAACTCTATCAAAGCACTGCTGTAACGATTTGGCTGATATTGTATGAGTACCATTAATTACACTCATCTGATTGAGATCACTAGTATTATGATTAGAATCTTGCACTGAACCCCCCTTCAAATATTCTAAATTCATTGGAAATTGATTATATTCATTAATAAAAGATATTGAGAACCTTCTATTTGGAAAAAAATCACTAAAAGATCTCCTATTCATAGTAGAAGTAAATAATGACACTGTAGATATCCAGTAGTCTAATACTGTCTGTAAACTATATAGCCCTGCACTATTACTTCTAACTAATACTATAAATGTGGTGAAAGGAGATACTTTAATTTTTTTCTCGTCCAATACAGGGTTTGTATCCCATAATCTTGTATAGTTCAAGGATAAAAGATCAGACTTTGTTATTTCAACATTTTCAAATATATCTGAATCTCCCTTAATTATATTACTAAATTCAGATAAATCTTGAGGTATATACTCAGTTTCTTCTAATTTAAGATCTTTTTTGTTCAATTTTTTATCGATAATACTCCAACCATATCTCATTCCCGAATATGGCCAATCATTTAATCTTATTGACTTTGTTAATGGGGGAAACATTGCAGGTAAGGTTGAGTCTGAATACTTTAAAATATACTCAGGTATATCATCTTCAGTAGCTATAATTCCAGACTTAACACCCTGAGTAATTAAAGTTTGTTCTCTCTTTGCAATTGTATAAATTACCTGTTCAATATCCAGATCCTCAATTTGTATGAAATATCCATTTACAAGAGATCCTCTAGATGTAAAACCTTTTAGTCTACAATAAGCTAATGCTTTATTCACATATGAGTCTTGATTTGGGTTATTAGAATATATAATTTGCCACAATTTATTAATATCTGCATTTGCATCAAAGTGCTTGAAGAACAGTTCTAAAAATTTATTTAACTCTCCTAGAGTAAATGATGGATTTAAAAGAAGTGGGAAATTCCTTGCAATCATTTCTAAAAATGCTCTAGCTAAAATCATGCCTTGTATAGTCTGAGATGAAACAAAGAATCCAAATATTTCCGAAATAGCTAACTTTATTCCCATTATACCTGCAGAATTTGCATTTAATTCCATATTTTCGTTCATTGAAGTATTTGATTGCCTAATCCATTCGGGACAATCTTCAAGATTTTTAGCAAAATAAAAACTACATAATGAAGTATCATTAAAACTATTAGTAAATTTTTTAGACGAATTTTCTGCAAATCTAGTTTGGAAATCCTTTTCAGTGTTAACTCCTTCATAGTTAAAAGGAATATTAAAATCTGGTTTTCTTTCTTGTATCCAATTAGGGTCTACTAGCATAACATTTAGTCTAATTGGCCACTTTTTATTTAATAATTTTATTATAGTAGCCATGCAATCCATATCTAAAGGATCACATAACAAAATAACACTCAAAATAGGAGCTTTAATAGGATAAATTCCAGTATATTCAGGAGTCATTTCCTGAAGATTTGGTAATGCCTCCAGTGGGTATAACACTTGTCCCATTGTTTTTTCAGGTTCTATCATTATATCATAAATGTAATAATTTTGAACTTCAGCTGCAAAACGAATTTGTGACATAAAGTATACTGAAAACATCATCCATGGGGAGTACAGCCTTATTAATGTTGAGTTATCTGATTGTGAGCTATTCAAATACTCAACTGAGTTATTGAATCTTTTTAACTGACTAACTACTTCAAATTTCTGTGAATTTCTAATACTATCAAATTTAGTTTCATTTATATATTTTTCAGAGTTATTAGATATTTTAGAGTGTCTTTCTTCATCAAATTCCACAATTATTAACTCTTTTTCTTCTCTTGTAAACCAGACGTCATCAAATAGCATAGGGGTTCTCCCCCATTGAGTTTCTCCAATATTAGCAATGTCCATATAAAAATGACTTTGTTTTTTCGGTAGCTCATAAAGAATTCTCCAATCTGTTCTAGGTGATGACTTAACCCAAGGATCAGATTTTGTTAATGTATACTCCATCTTTCCAACCCATCCATCTTCGTCTAAAATTGAAGAATCATTATCTATATCAATTTTTACATCTTCCAACGTACTATTATCAAATATCTCTGAGTTCCTAGCTTTTTCTAGTAAATCCCCTTTTAGAATATTAATGTAAACTGAATTATCACTTTTAACTCCTAAAGTCACATTTGTCCCAAATAATGGAATTAGTTCATTATCAATTAAACCTGTGTTAGATAGAACATCTTCAACCATATCAAGATTTATATTATTTGTATAAGCGAGTTTGAAACGACTAAAGATTATAGACTTAATAATTGGAGCTATATTCATAAATGATGCTTCTGAAGGAGATACCAAACGTCCATTAATAGATATTATCGTAGCTCCTGGTGTTATATACTTATGTAATTTCTCAATAGCTCCATGGGTTCTCCTTGTCCTCAAGCTTTTACATAAAGCATATTGATAGGTGCCAAAATTACTAACAAAAAGAGACATAGCTTTTAGTGGATTTTCTAAACGCTTAGAAAGAGATATTGTCTGGACTCCCAAATCTACAATGCATTCGTTATCTAAATTTGTATCCGGGTCAATAACATTCTCCATATTTACAGCTATATCGCAAGATGTCATTAAATCACAATATTCTTCATCTACTTTATTTAATATTTGGTGACTAATATCGGAGTTACAACTTTTGTTAACAAAACTATTGAACTTTGAAATACTGTCCTTTCTAGTTTTTCTCAATATTGTCCCATATCCTGTTAAATATTCAAATTCCATTTCCCCATCACTCTTAATTAAGTCAAGATGTCTGATTAGCAGAATAGCTGATGTAAATATTAAGTTATTTTCAATATCTTTTAATCTATTCCATAAATTAATAACGGATCTCATTAGTTCAGTAGCATGTTCATTGGAAAAATCTATATATAATACTATACTTAAATCATGATCTCTCTTAGTTTTATTTCTGGTATTAAAATATTCTAGTTTATGTTCTGGTATAAATACTTCATTAGATAATTGGATAGATATATAACTAAGCTTATTCTTTAGTCTTTCTATGTTAACAATATTAACTAGGTTTACTTTGTCAACTTCCTCTGGACTACATTTGTAATCAAACCAACCACTTTTATGAGTAAATAAGACCCATCCAGTGGGTGATCGCTTTGTGTTTGAATTTGTAGAAAACAAACAACTGACTCCTACTTCTTTTCTATGTATTCTCTCAATACTTCTCAAAGATTCTACCGCAGGAGAGTACCATCGATTTATTACAAGTGTCTCCATAAGTTTTATCACCAAATTGTCAGTAATTAAGTCACTAGCTATAGATGTCGAAATATAATTCTTGCTTTGTTTTTTATCTCTTGACCTCTCAATATCATATAACAACTTATCGAGTGACCTACCTGTACTTTGATAAAATTCACATAGGAACTCAAATATTGCAGAGTCCAAAGGTACTATAGGCCAATTACTTTTTAATCCTAAATTAATATCACTCCAATTTGCATTCAAGTATTCATTTCTCGTTTGAATAAGTGGCCTCAATCGAGGTATATTAATTAGTATATCACTGACCATTTTATCAGATACTCCTACAGTTAAATCATCATTCATCTGGGATTCTAAACAGATAGAATAGGACTGCAGATTGAATATATAGATAATCATTAATAATAGCATAAATATAAGAGTATATTGACTATTGATAAGCATTTTATATATAAAACAAAATTTCACTAAATCTTTAACTCTCTTCTTACTCTCTTTCGTAAAAAATATGTTTTGTTTGTCAGGTAATACTAGAAGGTAAATTGATGCTTTCGTGGGGACTTCGTTTGTAGCGCCTACATGTACAACACGACAATTTAACAGACACTTGTGTAACCTTAGTGAAGCATATGTAAGAGTTACAACAGAATCTTATTTGTTCCTAATATGGTGGTAGGAGAAGCATCAATATAAAATATCTTAAGGCTTTGAGGACATATTACTTTACAGAATCATCAGATTTATATATAATTTAAGAATATGTGCATAGATTACTCCTAATTCGTCAAGTTAACTTCAAAATAACAGAATAGTCCAGAATTCCCCAGTAACTATTAAAACAGTGTATTAAAATCCAAAAGATGCAATATATCTACTAATAAGAGTTTGCAATGCACAAATTAGAAATATGAAAAATTTATTACTGTTGAAATATAATTAATGTTTCTAAAAGTTTAATCAATAAAAAAAATCAAAAATACATTACTTCATACCTTTTCCCATCCCAGGCATTGGAGCTTGCATTCTATCCTCCTGACTAGATGGATTCTTAATAGTCTCATCTACTGATAAAATAGCACATACAGCTTCAGTAGCACTTGAAAGTGCACTTAATTTAACAACTGTTGGTTCCCATACAAAACACTTTAGTGAATCACAAATTCCACCATTATTGCAATCAACACCATAATTCTGGCAATCATCATCATTTTGAGCATGTTTCTGCCTGAGTTTATTAAGTATGTCAATTGGATCAAAACCAGAATTAGTTGCTAAAGCACGTGGTATTGACTCCAATGCTCTCGCAAAATAATTTATAACTAGTTGTTCCTTACCAGATATACTCCTAGCATATTCACGTAAACTCTTAGATAATTCCATCTCAATTGCTCCACCACCAGGAACAATACTAGAGGATTTCATTGCTCTTCTTACAATCATTATAGCATCATTTAGTGACCTCTCAGATTCATCAATAAACTGTTGAGCACCACCACGAAGAATCATCGTAGCAGATCTTGTCTTAGGGCAATCATTGAAAAGATTGTATCTCTCTGCTCCAATTTGTACCTCTTCAAAAACTGAACAAGTTCCAAATACTCCACTATCTGCCTTCAAACCATAAACAGTTGTCTGTACAACTGCCCCAGTGGCTAATGCTGTTCTTTTTAGATCCTGTTCTTCAACTCTCCCAGCACAAAATATATGTTTCTCTGCAAAATATTGTGTAGCTAAGTCACCAATAGCTAGACGGCTTAGGACTACATTTGCACTAGTTGCAGCAATTATATCTAACTTATCAAATATTATCTTCCATTCGGCATCTACAATACTTTGATATGATGATGGATCTGTTAGTCGCACTTCAGCATTGTCTTTCTCTGCTTTGAGCTCAAGTTCAAGGTTCAATAGTAAAATCTTCGGATTATCGAAACGTTTTGGTTGCTGTTCAAAACCAGCATATGAAAATGTTTTTTTAAATGCTACACCACGTAATAGAAAGCTATCCAGTACTGATCCACCAGTTACTTTTTTAATACCTATCAAGTCTTTATTCAATTCATCATCTAAATAAGAGACTGCATCTACAACCATTGTTGCGAAGTGAGTTTTATTATGGGCTAATAACTTAGAGTTAAGAGTAGTCTCTGCACACTTAATTAACATATTGCGTGTTACCTCACTTGTCTCCTCAGACAAGTTCACTTGTAATGTATTGATTCTTTCAATAGCGATCTTACAAGCTTTTCTAAACCCTGATATTATAACTTGGGGACTCATGCCATCTTCTATAAAGCTTCTAGCTTCTTTTAAAAGCTCACCAGCTAGAACTACAACACTCGTAGTACCATCTCCAACTTCATCATCTTGAGATCTAGCTATATCAACTAGCAATTTAGCTGCTGGATGCACAATTCCGAGTAAGTTTAAAACAGTTGCACCATCGTTAGTTATAGTTACCCCATTGGAATCACCGTTTTTAATTAGTTTATCCATCCCACATGGTCCAAGTGTAGTACGAACTATATCTACTATAACTTGACAAGCATTTATATTGCTCAATATCTGACCACGTCCTTGTGAAGTATCTACTCCCTCACGAAGTAATATAATTGGAGCTCTCAACATCTGAGCCATGCCTGAATTAAATATAAGTATTACAAAACCTTCAATACAAAATTATATTATTGCGTTTATTTATAGTAATCTAAGCTTGTTATGTATATCTAACAATAGTTTCCAGGTACTTACTATTATCCGTGGGGCATTACTATTACAAATAGTATCTAATCTGTCTCTAATATTACCCGCTAATTAGGGTACCAAACCTAGTATATTTCCGGCGCTACACAGTAAAACTTAAGTACTTAACTTTAGTAACAACTGAAGTTAGTAATTATACTGAAGCTACGTAGTTGATGATAAGCACAAGTGTACAAAACCATGCAGATAATTTAAAATTAGAAGTTAAGTGCTTCATTTTAAGAAATTGCTAAGCTAAATTTTTTTGTTTAAATCTGAAAATATGGGATTGTATGAACTTAATTCTTATTAATATCTAAGGTTGTTATACTAATTATATAGGGGAACAATTAAACTCAAATTTAACTAGGGACTAGAATCCTGTTGTTATATATATTGTCAGGAATAAGTATCAGTAGTAATAATTTAAAAGTTCACCAACCTTGCCAATATCCATAACCGCTTAGAGTAGTAAACTGTCTTTGAAAAGCTGCTGTCTAATTTTTTATGTAGCATCAAATAAGTCCGCCCTTAATGGTGGGGTCATTGTACTATGGTAAATATTGCAGACTTGGTAAATTAGTTTTTTTTTCAGTAACTATATAGGCATAACCTATTATGATTCCAAATCAAGTACTAGTAGTTCAACAGCCGTCACAGCGTGATCAAGGAAGGAAGGCACAATTAAGAAATATACAAGCTGGGAAAACAGTTGCAGATGTTGTAAGAACAACTCTTGGGCCTAAAGCGATGCTTAAAATGCTTTTGGATCCGATGGGTGGCATAGTTCTAACTAATGATGGAAATAGTATACTACGTGAGGTTGACGTAGCTCATCCAGGTGCTAAGTCAATTATTGACCTATCAAGAACTATTGATGAAGAAGTTGGAGATGGTACGACAAGTGTAGTTGTATTAGCAGGCGAATTCTTAGCTTGTGCTGAACCATTACTTCAAAGAAATATACACCCAACTGTAATTATAAGTGGCTATTTAAGAGCTTTAGAAGATTCCTTAAAATATATGGAGAACCTAAGTACTAGGATAGATATAAACGATGAAGATTCATTAATAAGTGTTGTTGACTCTTGTTTAAAAACAAAATTTTCTGGTAGATGGGGTAATCTAGTAGGTAGTATGGCATTAAAGGCTGCAAACTTTGTAACTCTAATAGGACAAGATGGAAGAAAGGAAATTGATATCAAACGTTATGTAAAAATTGAAAAGGTACCTGGCGGTGAGATAGAAGATAGTGAAGTTTTAAATGGAGTAGTTGTAAATAAAGACATTATTCATCCTCGCATGAAACGTCTTATTATTAACCCAAAGGTTCTATTATTAGACTGTACTTTGGAATACAAAAAGGGAGAAAGCCAAACAAATGTTGAAATAACTAAAGAATCTGATTGGGAGGCTCTTCTTAAGCAAGAAGAAGAAGAGGTTCAGGAAATGTGTAGAGATATTATAGCAACAGGCTGCAATGTTGTATTTACAGAAAAGGGTGTTTCTGACTTAGCTCAACATTTCTTAGTTAAAGCTGGGATATCAGTTATTAGAAGAGTACGTAAAAGTGATAATAATCGTATTGCTAGAGTTACAGGTGCTACTATAGCTAGCCGTACTGAAGAACTTACTACTAATGATGTTGGCACCTTATGTGGAAGATTTGAAGTTAAGAAAATTGGTGATGAATATTTCTGTTTCCTAACTGAATCCAAAAATCCAAAGGCTTGTTCTGTAATATTAAGAGGTGGATCTAAAGATGTATTAAATGAACTGGAGAGGAATTTGCATGATGCCTTAGCTGTAGCTAGAAACGTATTACTTGACCCTGCTTTACTACCTGGTGGTGGTGGAACAGAAATGTACCTTTCTTGCTACCTTAATCAGCAGTCTTACAATGTAGATAGTACTCAGATGTGGGCGTATAAAGCGTTTGCTCAAGCATTAGAGGTCATTCCTAGAACTTTAGCGCAAAACTGTGGTGCAAATATAATGAAAACTTTGACAGCTTTGCGTTCCTACTGCATGTCTTTTAATAACTCCAATACAGATAGTCGACCTATATATGGCATTAATGGCGATAATGGTAGTGTCTGTGATGTTACTGAACTTGGAATATGGGACACCTTGAACGTTAAACAGCAAGTATATAAGACTGCAGTTGAGGCTACCTTGATGCTATTACGTATTGATGATGTATTGAGCTCTGTTTCCAAAAAGAAGGCCCAGAATCCTAATGTAGAGCAACCAAATGTGGAGTCATTTGGTGATTCTAGAGATGGTTAACTTTGTACTTGTGATAAAATAAATCAAATTAAGTAAGTGCACTTCAACTGGATATTTAAAAATGAATTATAGTGTCTCTAGTACTATTTTTCAACCATAAAAAAACTAGTAAAGGAACAGTTTCAAATAAATGCTACTAATTTCTTTTGAGTACATATATACGACATTTTCCCTTTAGCAACTCTCACAATGATACTCACATTGTTTCTAAATATAATCGGTACCCGTGTTCTTTTGTGCGCGTTTCTGCACTTTACTATCCCCATTAATGAGTATTCTGTTTCTCACAGAACAGAAGGAATTTGTATTTATTATGGTATGTGTCAATTAATAACTAGAAAAAAAATAACAGCGTTCATTACCTTGTATTATATATATTTGATTTTATTTACTACATTACCTCATAATGTACTTGGTACAGACATTCATGATCCAGGACTCAGCAGCAGAGAGCTGCACCAAAAATACTACTTCAAATCTTTAGGATTAAAATCTAACTCTAAAGATGATTTTTATAAGAATACTCGGGGATTAAATCAAGAAAAGTCAGTTATAATGCCAGAAATCCTGCTGCAGCTAGAAAAACTTCCAGAGAAATCTAAATCTCTGTTACTAACAGGAGTAATTGAGGAACGTAGCGATTTTTTTGAAAATATAGTTTACATGGAAGATAATGATGAGAGTAGAGTAAAATTAAACAATACTTTAAATAATACTTATGAAAGGGAAAATATTGACTCAGAACAATCAGAAGATTACTTTAGCTTTCATACTCTTGGCCCGACATATTATAAAAGAAGCAATCCAACACTTTCTATTCAAAATCACCTTTCATATTATATTCATCCATTACTCTTAATTGCTGATTTTATTGAGACAAATATGAATACAGAAAGTATTTTAATCACCTTAGATTCGATAAAGCTTATGAATAAATCTAACTTAGATTATAATACTAAAAAGCACAAAGAAAATTCTGAAATCCAACAAAGAGCATTTTGTGATGATAATTCAATAGAGATTTTGAATAATATTGTAAATAAAAAAAGAACTGGCACTTTAAAATTAATTAAGAAATTGGTGGAATTCGGTCTGAATATTGATTTGGTTCAGAAATACCCTGAAATATTTACAAATGCAGTGAGAAAATCCAACTATGAATTTGTAGAATTTTACATTAACTATTTACTTGAAAAAATTAAAGTAGATTCACTTCATTCTAGTAAAACTAATTTAAGTGTTTCAACTAACAATAACTCAGGCTATCTTGAAAGTGACTATAATACTAAAGTGAAAGGTGAATTGCTAAACTTATACAGTAATAATAGTGATTCTGAAATTTTGAATAACCATTTTATGCAAGCATACTTTGAAAATCCCCCTGCAAAGAATATGATAGAATCTTCTAATAGTGGTAATACTTGTAAACATTTATCAGACTCAAAAAGTTGTGAATCATGTAAATATTATTACTTTAAAGATTCAATTAATAAATATTCGGAACTATTAAATAATTTAGATGAAAGAGATTTATATTTTAATAAGACAATTTCTCGTAACTCGTGCTATCCAAAAAGCCTACAACTTCTAGTAAATTTAGTTGATAGATATAATCATACTCCTCTCTACTATGCTGTTAAGAAAAATGACATAAAAATGGTGAAAATTCTTTTAAAATATGGATCATATATAAACATTTGTGATCCCAGGAGTGGTTATAGCCCTTTAATGTTAGCTGTTCAAAATCACAACGGGGCCATGTTAAGCTTTCTATTAAATAATGGTGGAGATCCAATGCTTATATCACCAACTTCTGAGGAGGATGTATTGGATGTTGCTATTGCAAAGAATGACAGAAAATTAATTGAAAGGATAATTAACCATGAGGCTTATGGAAAATTATGTGACAATAAAAAATCCCCTGAAATCTTCAAGTATTTAAATGACAACTTTAGCTATATACATCCCAAAAGTGATTGTGAAGTTGGAAATTACTTTTTTTTAAATAATGTTGATATCCCGAAAGATGCTAAACACATTTTGCACGCAATACAATCTAATATTCCAAATAAACTACTTAAAAAGCTCCTAAATATGGAAGAAAAGAAGAAAGTGGCAACACTTTGTCAAATAACAGATAAAAGTGGTCGAGGAGTACTATGGTGGTCTGTTTATCATGAAAATATATCCCAAGTTCAAAATATTTTGGATTTTTATGAAAAAGCTACTAAAAATAGGTGGGAGGGATATTTAAGCTGTAATCCTCATAAAGAAGATGAAAATGGAATTTATCCTTTAAATTTAATTATTACCAGATCTTCTAAATTTCCAAGAAAGCTTGTTACTAGACTCTTGAAGTTTAAAGATCCAATGACCCATAGCTCCTTATTACTACAGGTTCTTACTAAATCTAAGCAACAGTTTGGAGCTTTTAAAAATCTACTAGATTTTCTTAGAAATCATTTTAATATATCTCTTTCGTCTTTTAACATATGGTCGGATGATCCAGATATGTTGGACCCGATTGGATTTGCCTTATTCAAGCAATTACCTCAGCATATTTTATCATATTTACTGGAACTAGCTTTAGAATATGCGAGCGAATTTGTAGAAGATATAAATCACTGGAGAATTAAGACAGAAAGAACAATTAGGGCAACACAACAGATCCATGATATCGCCTTATCAAAAGATACTTTATACAGACAAGATATGGAACATAACAAGGGAGAATACAATAAATCAAATTTAAGACAACAATCTAAAACTGATAATATTAATAATAAACAATGGTTTTTATTTAGAAATTCACCTTCAACTCATAATATTTACGATAATACTAAACAATCTAGAAAGAGTTCAAAGCAATTTCAAGGTAGATGGAAATCTCATATTGTTAATAAGCAGCTTCAAAGATACAAAGTATCTTATATTCCAATATCCCTGCCTTTAGATAGTACTCCTCTCCGTATTTTAAGTCCTACTTTAAGTTCAATACTTATAACTAAGAAGTATACAGAAATTACAGATAACTATAACGACATTATTCGAGTGATTATAGGACGTGGCCCTACACACAGATCAGTAATGAAAATTAGAGAGCTTTTACGCTTGGCTGTAGGTCTAGGTACTTTCCATTTTAACTCTTATGGTGCAGAAGGTATTGAAGATAAACTACGAAATATTGAATCTCGGGAAACACAAAATAAGGAACCTTTATTGTATGAACGAAATAAAGATTGGGATTTTCAATGCTTGAAAAGCGAACAATTATATAAGAAACGGTTATCAATTTCATTTTCAACATTTTCACCTTACCTAATCTCTACCTCACCTAGTTATACATCCAAAATTGGTGAATCTTATATATATCCATTTGGAGAAGCTAGTTTGGATGTTATTCATTCTATAGCAGAACTAAGACCTGAAACAATTGGTGAAGTTTTAGTACGGATAGACTATTCATATGAAACTGATTGTGATAGAGTTTTGGCCTTATTAGAAGCTCTACCTGAAGACTTTCCTCCATTTTCATCAGAGTTATACTCACCCTTAGAAAGAGCTTCTACTATTTTGTACAAATATAATGGAAAAAGAAATATACTTCCGGTCATAAAAAGATTTCTTTCACATAAATACATTAAGCTATTTACTCCTATACATTTGACTGAATCTCTTAACATTCTCGCTCTTATTGAATTTGTACCAAGCTCATTTCTTGAAATGATTGGAGGAACATCTTCTGAAACTTTACTGAAGCATAGAGGTGTTGAAAAGGAATATGAAGATATAAATTTAAAGGATAAAAGTTATACTAAATTTGATATGGGAGATCTCCAATATACTTCTGAAACAAAATACTCACATTCTGACATTTATGAAAATAACACATATTTTAATGGAAAAATTCCAAATACAGAAAATTTTTCAGAAAAACCAGAAATATCAATCAAGCTTAAAATCATCCATGAAATTAGAAATATTAGAAACCTACCATGGAGCTCCAATTTGGATAAGTCTGACATACTGTTTTGTGTTTTGTGTTTAATGACTCTTGCTGGTCTCTTTGTAATATACTTTAATATCAGCTACAAAATCGCTTTATTTGTTTCAAAAAGACTTTACTACTTTCCAGAATGGTATTTTAATATAAATATGTTAGATTCTGAGGGCTTAAGATTTGCATTACTATGTAATATACCAAGACCATCAGACAAAAACATTAAAGTAGCTTTTTTTAATGCTCTAAGGAAATGTTTTTTTTTTGATCCAACTTATAAAATCGAGAATTTTCCAATCTTTAATAAAGAAGATAAATTTACTACATTTATTGGATCTATAAAACTTTTTTTTATTATATCTTTAACACTTTGGTACTTCATTTGCAAGATATATGAAGAAGTTTTTTTATTCATATTTTTTACAATTACAGCAATAGTCATTTGTACTTTTCATAGTTGGAGAATTAATGAAGTTATATTCTATCAATTAAATATTTTTCTCACGTGTAAGAATAGTACTGTGTTACCAGAGGTACTAACGCTACTGAAACGAACAAACAATCAAATAATATATACAACTCAAAGAGCTATTTTTTTGTATAATACCCTAACAAGAACCCCAAATAATATTAGACATATCTTCAATATAAATAATTCCACAATTACAAGATATAATATCAACAAGCTTGAAAATAGTTCCATAGGACAATCAAAGCTAAATCTAGATTTCTATTTATCTGATCATATCCCTTTATTTCAAAAAACTCAGAAATATGAATATTCAAGTAAATATTCACATACATGTTTTAGAATCTTATTTGGTATTAATATAATATGCTTCATTTTTTCATTTATTGTTACACTGAAAATACCAACTGAGTGGCATAAAAGACTTATGCTTAATGGTTACAAAGGCTGGTTTGGCTTGATTAATGAAGTTATAGCTGTATTTCGTGATATTAGTAATAAACGAAAGCTTTATATTTTCCAATATCCCAATATTTATCAAGTAACCTTATTCTATCCATACTTTGTATCATTTATCAACTTTCTAACTTTCCTCTACTATTGGCAAATATTTTCCATTATAACTGCACCTTTATTCAGTGTAATTCTTGTTTTGTATCACTTTTTTGCCTTATCATTGGCATTTAAAAATGCTTTGCATACTCCTACGAATATACTCTTACCTAATGCAAGAAATAGTAAACTACTTATGTTCCAAACTTTATCTAATAAAACTAACTCAGAGAATCTAAATACCCCTAAAAAAGCGGATTTCAGTCAAACTTCTACCAGCCAAAATTCAAAGAAAGATCTTTTAAGCTCAAAATTGAAGATTTTTGGTCATTTGTTCCCTGATAATTCTAAATGTCTTACTGAATCTAGAAGTGTTCGAAAACTAAAAATAGATTCTGTTGAACATGATATTACAAATATTCCAAATATTTCCAAAGGAGAAACAAAAAAATTTTACGATACTGATAGTCTATATAAGGTGAAAAGTTACAATTATATTCAGGATTCTAATGATATAGCTGAAGAACTTTATTTAAACGTGAAAGAAATAACTGAAGAATCATTACTTTACTCAAATGATATTATGAAATTAAAAAAAGATTCATTAATGAAACCATATCTGGATTTAGATAAATTAGTCTACGGTCAATCAGCTAACAGTGCATATGAACTACTTGAGAACGATTGCACTCCTGATTCCATGAATATAATAAATGAAATTCAGTCTTATAATTTTAATCACTCACCCTTTAATTCGAATATTTTGAATTTAGATATTTTAAGTGCAAATGCCGAAATTTCCTATTATCAGATACTAGAAGCTCAAATTTATCCCTTCTTTCTTTGGGCAGATGTCAGACGATCTTCCTATAAAATATATAAACAATTTTGGAAACCTTTAGATATTGTAAAAGATATGTGTGCATTGATCTTCCTATTTTTAATTATTATATTAGCGTATGTGGAGTTATCTAATTCACCAATTAAGACAATAAAGTTATGGGATACTACTCGTATTGCAATACTTTCGCTTAGCCTTGTTCAACTCTACATTATGTATATAATGGTCAGTATTCATAAATTAAATGTTGAATGTTGGAAATGGGTGCCAGATATATTTGATGTATTACCTATTTGTTCAAATTTATTGGATTCTGTTGAAACTTTGATGAGGATGTTACACATTTTAACTTCACCACTCTACATATTAAATATTCCTATTACAATTCTCACTTTTTGTACAGCGATAATACTTATTGTTATTCCTATTAGTGTAATTCTGTAATTCTGAAATATATAAATAGATCTCCACTAATACATGCATGCAATATCAATTTCCAAAGATATAAAATAAAATATTTAATTCAGTTCTATTCAACAAATACTTGGCTCTTGTAAAATCTGACACTTCATTCCTACTGTATTCTTATGTAGTAATCTTCTTTTATGGTTTTCTAAAAGTTTTCTCTTACTTTTTGAAGATGTCATTGTACAAATATATATTGTCTCGTCTCATTATTAGCGGTAATTAATTATTCCTAAAGTATATAGACTCAGAGATTACATTTATAAATAATTTAGGTCTCTATGTACAAATTTAAATCTCATCTTTATCTGTTTTAATTTCTCAAGTTTCTAAAAGTATCCTTTTATTTGTTACTTTTGTTTTCATTACCTTTTTACCTTTGCACCGTTTTAGCGCCAAAGTTAGGCAGTTACAAGAATTTTCATGGAGTTCTAGTCAGTAGAAGTTTAGCCCCTCTCCGAAGTTATAAATCAACTAGCTCATAATTCATATAAGGGTATCTTGAAACTCTCATATGGTAATTAAATGGATTGAGTTGACAATAACAGTTGCAGCACTGATAATCTTCCATAATGCCAAGGATGTAGAGACATCTGTATCAGGAACTAAATATGGATACAAGGTAACTTTAGATAATGAAGAGCCACAAGAAGCAAAGGAGTATTATTTAGGTCAACTGATACTTGATAAAGAAAAGGTAAATAAAAAAGAATCATTATTTCCCCCTTATTCAGGAGATAGATTATCTGCACCAGCACAATTGTTGGAATCAATAATTCTTCGTGATTTAGGACGTTTTATCCGCATATCTAATTTCCTCTCTAACCTTGGATATGACTTTGGAAGATATAGATACTCTGATACAGCTCTCACATCAGCATGTAAAATACCAGGTGAAGTAGGGTACTTCCTTGTTGCTCATCTACTATCACTTGGAGCTCCCGTAAATACATATAGTGAAGATATGTATACACCATTACTTTTGGCTTGCAAATATAAACATAAGAGAGTAGTAAAACTACTTATTGAACATGGAAAGTGTATAGTAGACTGTGCAGACTCAGATGGGAGAACTCCATTGTTTTACGCTATAAGTCAAATGGATAAAGAATTACTTATATACTTTTTACAAAAGGGTTCCAATGCTAATTTTAGAGATTTATTGGGCAATACTCCCTTAATACATGCTGTAATGATGGGTAATAAAGAAGCTCTAAAACCTCTACTAAGCTCTGGAGCATCTCCATGGCTGCGTAATTACGCAGGCTATGATCCTGTAACTTTGGCAGTTATAGATAATCACATAGATTTTATATCTATCTTAATAAATAATAACAACTATTCTAAACAGGAATTAAGTATTAGACGTTTAGTACCTGATTACAATTATCTTGCAGCTCAAAGATTACTAGTGGGAGTTCAGAAACAAGTACCAGAATATATTTTGTTAGAGTTGCTAGAAATCGAAATTATTTTAGAAAATGTATTGATATGTTCAGTATCTGATAAACAAGGTTTTACTTTGCTATGGTGGTCTGCCAAGTTATATTACACACTTTTTATTCAGAGACTGTTGCAGTTTTATCAGCGTGCCCAGTCTTTGTCTGAGGGACATATTTGTAATCCTCATAAAAGTGGCAATAGTGAAATTCTACCTTTAGAAATGATGATAACCCAACTACATTACAATTCTAAAATTTCTAAAATAGCTTCTAAAAGATTATATCAGGAACTTGTATTTTTTAATAAATCCAATCTGAAAAAGACTAGGTTTAATGTAGACCTAGAAAACATATTTACAATACTGTATATGACAGATCCCTATTCTAAAAGATCATTTTTACTACAAGTACTATATCTTGGAAGAAATATTGATAATATAATGAGGATTTTTTTTGGTTTACCACACAACTACTTGGAGAATAACTGCACAAATTATATCAACAAAGATGATATAGATTTTATAAAATTCCAAAAACTAATCAGATCATTAATGCTTCAATTAGATACAAGAAATCTCTTAATAAATGAACTTGTATTAGATAGTAACTCAAATATTATAAGGAAGAATAACACAGACTTAGGTTCATCACTGGATGCTACCTACAACTCCTACGCAACTAGTATTTCCTGTATAATAAATTCAAAACCTTCAAACAATAGCCAAATGGAATTCTTTACACATCCAGCAAGAAGTTTAATTAGTCCAATGTTGTACCCTCTTTTAGTTAGAGGTGAGACAAAAATTCTGGAGGAATCCAATGCTCTTAGTATAAGTGTTTCAAGAGGAAATAATAGACTTGTCTTATTTCTTGCAAATGTATATAATCAATGTATTCAAGATGATAATTTTTCTTCTCTATCTGTTTATAGAAAACTCTGCATGGAGGCGTACTATGGAGCCTTAAAAATGGCTTTGAAAAAGTATCATCCTTTGGATTCAATTTCACTTATTCAAAAGGGTGCAGATATTTCTCTTTATACTCTATTAAGATATAGACCAAATACTTTCGGTGAAATTCTAATGAAACTTAACTATTGTGATCCTACAGATGAAGTTATTGCTATAAAATTACTTCAATATGTTATTCATGGCTTTCTTCCAAAACTTTGCTATGGGACAAATGTTTTTCAAAATTTCTATCACCCCTCCAATCCTATAAACTATATAAATGATCAAACTAAGGCTTGTACAATAATGTCTCTTGAGTACTATGGAATTGAGGGATCTAAACCATCTCCACTGGAGCACTCTATTATATTGTTACTTAATATTCCATGTGATGTTAGTAATACTAGATTTGTTGATATACTAGTTCACTCCTTTGCCAAAAATGCCTTTTTTCTCAGATATGGTTGGGTTCATTCTCAACATATACATAGAGCTCTAAATTACATTATGGACAATCCCCGTAATTTTGATAAGCTTGATACATTTACAAATTATTTATTACCATTGTTAGGGTTTTCTTCTTATCTTACAAATTCACTATTGTATAAATTCCAATTTAATGATATATCCAAACCCATATATTATTATTTTTTAAAAAGGAGTCTTTTTACAGAATTTCTCCTTAACCATCCTTTATTTACTTCTATGACCCATATTAATAGAATTTTGGTTTGTATCATCATCTCAACTTTTACTTTCTGCATTCTCTTATTAATTCTGGTTCTTGCAATGGCAGATTACCCTACAGCATATTATGAAAAGAGCCAATTTCTCAATGAAAGTTTTACTCAGGATAAATCATCATTTGCATCTTCTAAATCTGTATCAAGCTCAAGCTCTTCATTAAAAGTTGAGCAAATACTGCATAGGTCTCCATTAAAAAAATATTGGGTCAAAATTCTGAATAAATTCTATACAATCTCGTTTCATCTGTGTTTATATCTTTTCTATTCTGGATATAGAGCTATTCCTTCACTCCTATTCATCCCAAATTTAAGTAATAAACCTTTATCTAACTTGCAACTAATTTTGATTAGTATCAAGTGTACTTTATTTGGAAATTATTCCATTAACGAATTAAACTCAGTTAAAAATTGTGACGATAATTCATCTTTTATGAAGAATTATATGGAAGAAAGTACATTTTTCAAAACATTAGTGATCAAACTAAAGCATATTCAATTGTCTCTGTTACGCATCTTTTTATGGACAATATCTTCAATTTGGTTATTCCAATCCAAAAATTTTGATTCGGGAATAGTCATTGTATACCTTGCACTGTTCTCTATTTTTATTAATATGGCATTCCTTTCGTGTGGAGCTTCTACACAAGACAAAGACAAATTTTACCATTTATTTGTTCCCTCAAATCTAAAGTTCTTGAAAATTTATAAATATTCTAAAAAAAGTTCAAATAGTGAGAGCACTTCAAATCCATGCTTATCTTCTTTCCAGTGTAATTTGAATTCCTCCATACAAGATTCACCTTCATATTCTTCAACGAATTCAATTCACAGTAGAAATAACTCGGTTAATTTTTCTTTATTAAATGATAAAGTTGGTGCAGTTCTAGATAAATGCTCTTCTTCACTATTATCACCAACAAATTATACAATCTTGCCTCCTTCACATTACAATATAAGTAGAAGAAGCCATACAAATAATACTTCATTCTCAAATTTTTTTAAATTTAAAGATCTTCTGACATCAAACCCTTTATTCAATAGGAGAAATTTTTGGATATGTAATTTTCCATCTTATAAGAAATGGAAATATAAAGAAGTATTTCCTGAATACTATTATTTGTGGCTTAGCCTTCAAACCCAGAATAATTACTCTGTAACATTTGATTCATCTAAAAATCTTCGTTTTAATTCCTCAACTAATGCAATTATGACTTCTCAAAGTCCATTTGAAGCAATAAATAATAGAATTAAACTTGAAGAAGATGAATATATCACAAATAACACGTATAACTCTGTAGGTACTAATTCCATCTATTTGGCCCCACCAACTTCCTCTCATGATGTTAATAGAAACTCAACAAAATACTTAAAAAACCTTACAATACAAAATTCCAGAATTGAGTCTCATCTTTTAGCTATTTGTCAAAATGAGTGCATCTTTCCAAATGACTACCGTAAGTGGTATATTTTACAGTGGTGCTCTTGTATACTTATTGGATCATCTTACAGCTTATTCTCTCTATATGATGCAAAAAATTTGTACTATAGATTTCTACAATATCCAACAATATGGAATATGTATGGAAAAAATTGGTTTATAACTATTATTGGTGAAACAATAACTTCTGTTCACATATCAGTACTAGCATGGAACTGTTTAAATCCTTTGGGTATATTATGGGTTACACTTGTTCAGAGATATCGAGTTTTTACATATATAACAAAGGTTTTAAGAAAAGAGAAAAGGGAGTCTGAATTAAGTCACATGAATGAAACTCTAATACTTCGTCAACTTACACTCTTTCTTACATTGTGGAATTTCATTATATGTAGAAACAACAGTTTTCTACAAATAACACTACATAACAAATATTTAAAGGCTATATTTATCTTCTTTTTCCTTTTTTTATCTCTCCATTTCATTCTTATTAGAAGTAATCCTACGGTGATAGTAAGATCTCAGCTACTTTATACTCTCTTCATTATAGTTTTAGTATTATTTTTTCTGGCTATTCTCTTCTTTGGATTCATAATACTACTTAATCATATAACTAAGAATATTTCGACCTCTATAAATAATATTTTACATGTATTCTATCATAATAAGCTGTTTCATTTGTTTCTAAAACGTGAAATTGCTATTTTATCAGCCAAGAAACATGATGCTTTCCTGTATGTATAACAGCATATCAGAATATACTTTATATGTAGAGATTATGTTCTTAAGTGATAAATATATGTGGAGTATATCTTAAAGCTCTAGATAATATATTTCCGTTGAAACTATAATTATATTAGTATTTGAGTATATTTAAATAGTAAATATTAACTAGTACATCTCACTTTTTATTCAATGTATTCACCAAATATAACTTTTAGGTAACTATAAATAGTAATACTAGTATATTCCAATATACTTAAATTTATTAATTTGTTGAGTCATAATTTTATTTTTGTATCCAGTTTATCTTTCAGACTTTCCAATACAGTGCAGATTTTATGCAATTCTGTAGCGCCTTAAATGCTTAAGGCGCCATTATATTGCATGCAAATTTTTTTTTATGTGGTCAAAATACCATCATAAAAGTTATCTAAAAGTTAACTTATTGTAAATTGGGAAGTTAAAAAAAAAGAGTGGTTGTAGGGATAAATGCTACTATTAATGGGTATTTTGTAACTGAAATACTGTGGGAATAATTTTGAAAGCTACAAAAACTTTTTTTTTACGAGGATATATATATGTTTAAGTCGAAAAATGGCTTCACTAGAGGGAAATAATATGAATTTGCGGATGGAACTAGTTGGAAATACTTGTAATGAAAAATTAGAGTCCACAGAAAAAGATGCAAGTCTTTATGTACAAAGTATGAGTGAGAGAACATACTCTCCAATAAATATATGTACCACAACGTGTAGTAGTGATATATATAGTGATATAAACATACCAGCTTTTCCAATTAAAGATAATGATGGAGGTATTCATTTAAAAGAGGAGAATAGAAATGATGCTAATAAGAAACAAGTGAGGCATATAAATGGTCTAAATGCAGTAATTCGCGAGGATAAAGAGAAAAGGAAAGTTATTGTAGAATGGTATAATAATAATGAGCTATGTAGTAAGCAATGGAGTTGCAAGAAATTTGGGAAGGAAGGTGCTGCAAAACGTGCATTGCAGTTTCTTGAGAGAATGCATGGTATTCCTATACTATGTACAAAGCAAGGATTCTATCCAACATTATTTGGTATTGGTTTATCTGATAAAGCTGTAAATGTAGAGGGAGAAAAAGAAATAAAATATCCTAGAAAAAGAAGAAAGAAGGAAAAGACATGTGATATATCAGATAGTAGTGCTAAAGTAGATATAAATAAGGGAGAATTTTTGTTATCATTGGAAAAATTATTGTTATATACATCATTTGATGGCGAAGAACAAATTTGCAATTTCAATATTGATAAAATCCCTAATAACTATAACAATGCAATTAATGATTATAATTTACAAGATAGAGATAATAATACTCTAGAAAGATACAAGACAATTAATAGAGTTAATTTATTGAACTTTTCTTTGAATAAGAGATTAATTTTTAGAAAATTATTAAATGATATCATCACAAATAAAGAATTTTCATTAGATGAAATTATTAATACTCAAAATGATTTTGATAATGATATAAATTATAAGAATGATTCCAAATCTCTTTTTAATATCAAAACTGTACGTGAATTATTACAAAAAACAGTCAGGAACAAAGTTCAACATGATTATACTATGGAAGACTTTAAATTAATACTCGGGGCGATAGATAGTGGTATATGTCAACCAATTATAAATAATAGTGATAAATGTGAAACAGAAAATATTTATTGCAATCAATCATGGAATAATGCAATAAATACAGTATCACGCTTGAGTGATGATTTGTATTATTTATTTAATGGTGGTCATCCTGGATATACATTAACAAAAAGTCCAACTTTTGGAAGTGGTTATTATCGCTCGAACCAAAAAAACATATCTAATACCAATGAACATTGTGTAGATAATATGCTATTAAATTATGAAAATACAGAGAAAAATAAAGTTCATCCAAGTGTTGATATACGTAGAGTTACAAGGCAAAAGGGGAGAACTGACAAGATTAAGAAATATATTAGTGAAATAAAAGAAGATGAACAAAATAGATCATGTTTTATAGAAGACCATAATCAAGTAGAAAATGCTATCTGTACATTACTTGATATTAAGTATAAGGTAAATAGTGGCAAAGTAAAACAAGTATTTAAAGATTTATATATAAATCCAGATTTGATAGGTTCGTGTAGTTTACTAAGAGTTTCCAATATAAGAAGAAATATTGATAAGCCCTTAATCTCGGACGATCAAATTATTTATAAAGAGTATAAAAGGAAACGTAAAAATAATATTGAATATGAAAGATCATGTATTACTAATGTATACACCAAATCTACATCATTAAAAAAAAGAGTAAATTTAAAAAACAAACAAATAATTGGCAATATTGGAGAAAGTAGTATTGAATGGTCGATAAAACCAAGGGGATGGAAAGTATCATATTATAAGGGTGAACATAAGTGTTATGAAATATTTAAAATTCCACCCAATCTATCTTATGAGGAGCAAGAAATGCAATACAAGAGAGCTTATAAATTTTATCAGTTAACAATGAGTTCAAATGATACTTTTAAAAGTGATAATTGTCAATATATTGGTGATTCTAGTCAACAGAATACAGATAATAATGAAATTTCACATATTAATACAAGTTATTATGATACAAATCTATCCAATAATATTCCAATTCAATTTGCTTTACCAAATTATTCACTAATAAATCAATTTGTCGATACTAATAATATTTATAATAAAGATAAATCTGAGTTATTAACTAATTTTAATTTTTCATCCGATAATTTATCAGGTACAAATAATTTAATTACAAAAGAATTATTCGAAACGATTAAGAATCCAATATACAGTCCAAATTTGCTGCAATACTTCCCATTTGTAAATTATCCATTAGGTTTTATGGTGAATCCTCATATAATTTTTCCAAATTTAACTCCTTATAATCCATTTATCTTCAATGAACTAATGAGAAATATTAATCAAAATTTTAATCAAGTCAACACAATAAATCAGATTTTATCTTTTGATCCAAATAAAATTGGTGAATCTCACAATTTAATACAAGGTTCTCCCTTTAATTTTACTAATTGTTATATGAACTCCATCTTACAAAAAGGCCAATATAGCAACACTTCTATAAATAAAAATCTTGAATTAAAAAAAGAAAATAATATAAATAATTTGCAATATAACTAAATTATGTAATAATAAAATTCGGCATATTAAATTAACAACATTTCTTAAAGGTATTTAAATGGATATTATGAAATTATTTCTTAACTATTAAGTAGTCCTACTGTTTGATAGTTTTGTAAAAGCTCATCATATTTCAAAAATTCTGAATCTGTCATAACATTAATAATGTCATCAGTTATTTCAGATATTTTAAATATCTTTCCATTAATTGCAGATATACTTAATGTTGGTTCTTCTATATTTCTCGAATTTTGAGATTTTTCTATATAACTAGTATTATTATCCAAACTATCTTCAGGTTTATTTAAAGCTGTCTTATTAATCCCTATATTAGTATTTACTCTATTATTACTTAGCTCTTGTGTTTTGGATAAATTGAAAACTTTCTTAGAAAATCCACTAAATCCTATGTTATCTTTATTTCTATTATCCTCGCTAATATTATTAGATGATAATTTAATACCAAATTTAACTTTAGGAACACTTGAACTTATAAATGATTTTCCAGTTCCGGAATCAAAACTTAAAGTTGTGTTAGATTCTGATAAATCCAAATAATTGCCAGGATTTCTTAGTGAATTAGAGTTCATTGAATTTGATGAGTTCACCACATTATTAGATGCAACTGTACTATTACTTTCTTTAGATATATCTGTAATCTGCCTAATAGGCCTAGATTGTTTAAGTTTCTCATTCTTACCTTGATATAATGGAAATATAGGAATATACATATTCTTAACTCTTTCAAGAGAATTATATAAAACTTGTAATTGGGATCTAGTCCTCTCAGCTTTATCCCTTGTAGCTTGTCTAAATGAAGCGGAGTCTCCTGATTGTAACTTTTCATTGCAATATCTACAAAGAAAAAAACCATCATCTTGACTTAGTTCTAACCCAAGTGCATCTAAAGAAGTATATTTTACATTACAAATTTTGCATACAAGCTCATCTAGGCTAGCTGCTTCCTTAATAGCTTCTTCAACATTATGTATTATTGTATTGTATTGCCACTCAACAACAGTTGGTAAATGTGGATTGATTCTATAATATATAGGTGACATACGATTAAATCCAATATTTCCATAACTACTATTTGATATATTTGAAGTAGAATTCAAAAAAGTTAATGAAGATGATCCACTATTTAAGCTATCACCTTCACTCTTAGAATTTAAATGTTCTGTTGGTTTCTGTTCTTTTAAAATAATAAAGTCATCTTCAAGTATTTTTAGTGCTTCCCTTACTTGACGGTCAGATAAGCTCAACTTTTCAGCTAGATCTTTGTCTGAATAAGCTTTCTGTTCTCTAATTAAACAATCTCCTACTATTATAATAGGAGAATCATAAAAAAGTCGTAGTAATATCTGTACAAATGTTCTAAATACATCTGCATTATAAGGTTCTTGTTGTAATTGATAAGATCTATCTGTATAGATCTCCTCTCTAGGCATTTTGAGATTGTCTAGATAAGAGATGTATAAAAAAGTTATAAAAGATGCAATATCTCATTACCGCAAATAATCTTAACACGTATGAAATACTTAGTATAACACTCTAAATATATCATTATATAGTTTCAAGTAACTTATAATATAATTGTACCTATCTAATTGGATTTTCATTTAATTTAAATTAGTTAAGTATTTCTGTATATTATTGTCTTAGAATTATAATAAAGTTTACTATAAAATAAAATCTTTATATATTTAAAGAAATATATAGATTTTAAAAATAGCTCTATAAAGTTGTTATTATCAATATTAATTGTCTTTAGTATTATTTCTAGACTTGTTAATTATAATTACTACAATCTTTTAATATATATCTTTATTGAAGTATTAATGGAAAACTTATAATTGTAAAATATTCAATTTAGATTCTTTAAAATACAAGGTATAGAAGATATATTAAAATATCATGACAGATCTTATTAAATATATCAAATAATTAGAAATAATTACAGTATACTGAAAATAAAAAAAAAAAAAAAAGAAATTATTATGTATAAATTCCTATTCTTATCTTAAAATAACTAAAAATATGTAACCTTATAGTAAAATTTCTATCTAAAGGACTTCTACAAATAACATATTAATAATTTATAAAGATAATTGTCACTTATCATTATCTTCTTCTATATAAACAAGGTTTCATTATATGTTCATTTATTTGACTATTTGCAATATTTAAAATTCTTATATATTGTTTATATTGTTTATATTTCAAAACTTTACAAATAATATCTAACCACAACCGTTTAAAGCCATAATAATGTAATTTATAAATAATACCAAATTTCATACTTTTCGACTTTAAAAGTATTTTTGATTTATTTTTTTTAAATACAAACATAGTGAAAAAACTTGATAGATTTTTAGGTTTGATCATTAATTTAAAATTTAATAACTCAATATTATATATAAATTTCTGAATATTTGGAATTCTAGATGTAACCTCTACAATTAAAAGAATACCATTTATTTTCAGAACTCGATATGCTTCTGCTAAAAATAATGGCCAATCTATACCCATTAAACTTAAACAATATAATGCCATATCAAGCTGACAGCTTTTGAGTGGTACACTTTTTATATTACAAATAATAATATCTAAATCACTATTTTTAGATCTAGCTAAGTCAAAAGAAAATATTTTATAACCTTCATTTGATCTATTATTATATATACTTCCTATTATACCAGTTCCACAACCAAAATCTCCAATAATCTTAATATTTGGATTATTATTAATATATTTAATTACTTCGTTTAATGGATCTATTGGCCAATTTTGTTTCTGTAATTCATAGCCTTCATGATATGCTTGAAACATTTGTGGGTCTCTTATACATTTATTATATACATCTTCACTTGTATTCTTATAAAAATACTCATTAATTATCCGGAAACGACTTCCTTGTAATCTATATAGAATATTATCTGATTTATATTTAGGATTGGAATTAGAAATTGCTTCATCTTTGATATTAAAATAGTTATCTGATTGGGATCTATTTATTTCCAAATTTAATTTTAGCATAGAACTATTTTTATAACTTTTATTATAGTTAAACTGTAAATTTTTTACCTTATTATATACATTATTCCTACTAAGCTCTTTATTAAAGTCAGTAGTATTACTAACTTTTTTTTTCTTTGAACAAAACTTTAACATTAATCCAAAAAGTTATAAATTTTGTTAATTTTGTATTAATTCTTAATTATATAAAAAAATTTTTAATATAAAGATTAAACAATAGTAGATCCATAAGCAGAGCTCCTGTCCCAGTACATTATAAATACAGAGACCTATAGCGCCATTGAGGGTACCTAGATTCTGAGAAAATCTATTGCAATAAAGGGTGGCATCATTTTAACTATAAATAAAAAATTAAATTACCAAATATATAAATTACTTCGATAATTATATAAATGCCAATATTTGCAATTATATTTATTAGTTAAATAAATTCTTTCATCTTATAATAATTTAGTTTAATAATTTTCGTTTCTTAGTATAAATCTTATCTAAATTCTCTTTATCCTGTTTCTCATCATAATTTGTAATAAGTTTATTTGATTTAAAATAATTATCACTTAAAAAGTCTTCAATTAATAAGCTCTTACCAAATAACTTTGGATCACTTCTAATCAATTTCATAAATCTAGATTCAGATATACCCCAGAATTGTCTTGAATTTGGAAAATTTGATAATTTATAGCAGTTACACTTAATACCAGGGTGATCTGAATGAGATCCAGCGTCATCATATATCTCCCAATGTTTAGACATTGGTAAATCTTTTAGTAATATATTATATGCAGGTATAGGAAAAAGTTTTATATGATCATCTAGTACAGAAATGACTTTGTTTGTACATTTCTTCTTACTATTATTATATTTCCATTGTAAAGCATGAATAATAGTGCGTCCAATAATAATACGTAATATATTTTCTGAAACTTTTAAAGGAAGTTTCTTTTTACAAAAAATTGATCTTAGACATCTTTCATAATCATCTACTAATTCAACTATTCCTCCCCCAATAGGACGATAACATTTAGAAGTATTATTATTATAAAAATAGGATTTATTTTCCAATGATATTTCAGCTATTAAAAATACAAATCCACAAATTGTTGGTTCAGTTAAGGATTTTACAATATTTTCAATATTTAAAAGATCTTCTTTATTCAAATACTTAGAATTAGAATATCTACAAAGATTCATATCTCTTACTCCCACATTTAATGAATAATAGCCATTGTTTTTCTGTATTATATTATCTTCATCAATTTTAATAGAAGAAAAAGATAAATTTTTAAAAATTTTTTGTTTTATACCTTTTCCAGTACTTTTTGCTATAGAACTATTAAGTGGTAATTTAATTAAGAACGTTCTTAATCCTAATTCAGATAATATATAGTCACAATGATTTAGTATAGAAATGTATGGATCTTCCATTTTTTTTATAATAAAAAGAAGTAGGGGTTTATTTTTTTTTATTTTTTTTTATTTCTATTAACTCATGCTATTTATTTCCCGCCTAATTCCAAGTTTTAAGTATGAATAAAGCGCCAAATTTCTGTCTAGCAAAATATTAGTAATATATAATGCTTGTAATATAGTAACTAAATGATAAGCGATCAAACTCTGACTGAATTTATTTGTAGATTAAGAACTTTAGTGGATCTTTCATTAGGGAAATTTCTTGATTCTTTTGAGAATTCTATTAATGCCAGAAACAGGAATATAGAAAGTAACTTAATCGATACTGAAATAGAAAAGTGTGAACTTTATGATGAATTATTTACAGAACTTAAAGATTTACTAGAAGTTAATAATCAAGTATACAAAGATATACTTTGTAATTTATCTGATATCGATGCTACAATGTATAGTGATTTATTAAAATTTGACAATTTTCTGCAATTGATCGATGCCTTTATAGAAACAATTAGAAGATGCATAAAGTATGGTCAGACTAATTCATCTGACCAAATAAAAGCATTAAAAGTAACTTTAGAATATATGGAAAGTCCATTAATATAATGAATAAGCCCTTTATATAAGATAATAAATAAATAATATTGAAATTAATATACAATAATTTCCAGAAACAAGATTTTATATTGAACTTTTTTTATATAACTAAAATTATGAACTTTAAAATTATATTTAAATACATTTAAAATGCAAAATTAAAGTTAAACTCTAATAGGTCTGACAGAAATAGGAATATTTCTATTTTTGTTATATTGCTGTGTTTGTCCAAATTTTCTAGAATAATAGTTTAGACCTGATGTGTTTGTATTATTTATACCTAAAGTACTTGAATTAGTACTTCTAGAATTAGTTAAAATATTACTTTTAGTATTCTTAGAGCTAATCATAGACTCATTACATTCCATAAATTGTTGTAATTTATCAGACAAAATCATTGCATCACTTTGTACTTTACTTGTATGTTTATGATTTAATAATACAAAATCTCCAGATTGATCCCATAATGCTAATAATTCATTCTTTAACATCATTTTAGATAATAAAGAATGAATAATATCCCTTGAAAGACCAAACATATCTGATAGATTTTTGACTGAAAAGGAGTCATATAGATGTCCATATGTAAATATATAAGTCCTTAAAGCCTCCTGTTTAATATTAATTTTTAGGGTTTCTTCAATTTTATCTCTATCTGCAATATTATAATCCCATATACTTAATGAAAATATATAATCACAACATTCTTTCCACTTTCCAAGTTGAAGTGCCCTCGTAGCAGCAATAATTGTATCCCTCTGACTTTCTGGAGGACCAGTTATAGGTTGTCGTTCATATTGTTCTAGTAATCTTCTAAATTGTTTAGATATTGGTTTAAATTTTGTATTAAAAGTTGTATTCCCTTCATTATTCAATATTAAGGATTTTTGATATGCCATATATGGAATTTCAAGTAACATTGAACAAATAAGATATATACAATCTATAACTTCTAAAGACAAATGCATATGATAAGGTAAAAGACGTCTTTTTTCTGCTCTTTCTTGTTCTGGAGTTCTTTCTTGAGATTTCATATTACTCATTCCTTGAGCTAATAATTCACGATTACGATTTGGCATACAAATATCACTCAATAATGCTTGAGCTTCTGTTACAGCTCCTAATCTGAAGGCAGCTAAACCAAGTTGTACAAGTGCCCTGTTATATAGAATTTGAATATTTACGTCAGATCCCAATGCCATATCGTAAACTCCCATTGATTGGAATAAATTAATAGCTTCATAATATTTATCATGCAAAGCCATATTGTATACATGTTGTAATAATACCCTAAGCTTATTTTTGGTATCTCCATATAAATACACATTGTGTACTAATTGAGTAATTAAGTCACTAGGTTTACATGTACATTCTAAGCTTTTATCACCACACTTTTCACATTGAGTAGGATATAACTGAAAGTTACAATTCTGTAGAGAAGATCCTGCAGTTTTTTTAAATATTTGTCGAGTAAATTCCCACACTTTTACTGCTAATAAATCACTTTTAAAGTGTAATTGATTAATTAAGTGGACTGACAAAGTGGCAACTAAATCATTATATTTTCTTTCTTCACATATTTTGTAACATCTCCAAAGTAAGGCTAACAAATGCAAAGATTGTACAAGACGATCCTTATATTCACTAGAATGTACATCTGTTAATTGTAAGGCCTTGAGAGACTCACCATCAAGTCTTTCTATAAATGAGACCAAAAATGTTACAGTACTTTTATCTTGTTCCTGATTATCTGAGGATGAAGCTATATTATCTAATTCACCACTTTGTGATGTAGAATCACCGGAATTTCCTGTAGAATTTGAAAGATTAATGAGATTTCCTGTAGAGTCATCTCCAGAAAGCCTTCTCTTCCTCTCTTTAGATGAAATAAAACTTTGGAATCCAGATATATAAATACGTTTATCTTTACTTGTATGAACAATTAAATCCAGAAGTATATTAATATTTTGACATATTTCAGACCATATAGAAGCAGATATACAATGAAAAGCACCCGTAATAGTGTCAAATTGAGCAGATATTAAGTGTGTTAATACATCAGCATATACTTGTAGTGATAATGGTTTGGCTATATCTGCAGCTCTTTTTAAAAGACGAATTTGTTCCTGTCTATCAGTTCCTTTCTTCCCTCTAGCAGCTACAATCTCACCAACCTTCTCCACAATCATATCTACGGTTACTTCCCCCTCAAATGAAAACATATCACCTCCACCAAGTCCTGCATTATTAGATGTGCTTACTCCAATACCTAACTGACCTTGTAATGAGCTATCAAAGTATTCCTTACGTAAAGTCTTTTGCTTAGGAATCCTTTTAGTTCCATCAGATTCAGATTTCTTAGGTTTCTTTACTCTTGTTCCCCATTTGGCTAATGCTGAAGCATGACGATCTTCATAAGCCTCTTCATCAGAAGACCATGTTGAAGATGATGTATCACTCCTAGATTCAGAAGTATCATCCTCATCATCTGAACTTGAATCCTCTGATTCAGAATAAGAAGATGAATCAGAAAAAGATTTCTCACTAGTATCATCATGAAAATTGTCAGGATTAGCTTTGCATTCATCCATTTGAGCTTTATATTCTTCAGTTGTCTTACGAAACTTTGCACGTAGAGTGTTGAAGCTAGTTGCTTTGGCCTTTGATAACTTTTTTATACCCTCCTTATCTTTGAATTTCTCATCCAAAAATAATTCCAATTCAACAAGTACCAAGATCAGAAATCTTGGTATCCCATATTGATCAATTAAAAATCGTGATTTCTGAATACATCTCAATAGCTTCTCATAGTCCTCACTTAATACTGCAAAATCTGATATCTTTATATGATTGGTTATTAAACGTGTAATAGATCTTAATTCCTCATGAAATTTCTCCTTAGCCCCACGGACCACTCGACGATCATCCTCACTACTATCAAAATCTGAATCTATTGCCCAACGATTATTATTGATTTCACGCGGACGGCGATAATGGGATTGAGCCTCAGCCTCAGATTCCGAAAAAGAACCATCATTACCATTTGAGTCTGAAGATAAGGATGAGTCAGATCCTTCAGCCCAAAATTTGCCTTGCATTCTTAATTCGTGCTGTAAGAAAACTCAATAAGTTATAGTAGAATCAAAACACTACAAAATTAGATTATAATAGTACTGAACCCTTTTATACCTTGCAAATAATAATTGAGTCTATAGAATTTACCTTTTCTTGTAGTGGTACCGGGTATTTCATTTCTGTCTCTAAAATTAATGTGCCGCTTATATCTGGCGGTCATTTGCAACCTTATGTAGAAAACCCATGATCTTATTTGTTTTGTGTTTAAAAAAAAACAAGAAAATAAAAAAGAACCTATAACTCGGCTTTTTATTAAAGAATTGGTATTTTATATAAAAAAATGCTTGAAACCTTGTTACATACATATAATTGTTTAAAAGAAAATACTCAGGTTTGTCCAAAATAATGGAAACTTGTCTACCAAAGTCTCAAGGTTATTGCATCAGTAATAAAATATTTCATAAAGTAGAATATTTAATCTTGAGCCTCTAGACTTATTTCAACTAATTCATAGGTTGTAGATACTCATCCCACTTTTTTTTTTTTAGGACTTTTCAGGACAAGACCTATCTTATAAGATCCATGAATATATACTTCTGACCAGTGCAGTTATTGCATTCTGTTTTGGTTTTATTTATCAGAGATTTTTGTACACATTTCTAATCCTCTCTGGAGGACTCTTGTTGACAGCATTAGTAAGTTCATACATATCTAAAATATTGAAATTCATTAGGTGCCAAATTGACCCGCTCCCCATTTATAGATCTGTATCCCTTCTTGGCCAATATATTGTAGAAACAAGGTGAAATGGTTACCTGCAGAAAGTATAGGAAAAGAAAAAGATTTGTAAAAGTGAGTTATAGTTAAATATATAAAAAAGTAGAAAATAAGTCTTAGAAAATTTCAGAAGTTCTGTAATACATATTTACATAATGGATAGCAAACGGAAATGTGAACTTCTTACAAGCTTATTGCAAGAAACTATATCTCTAATAACTGATCTTACTGATTGCTTGTCACTATGTATTGAGAGGTGTAACTCTATAGATAATTTAAATAAATCTACGCATATCTCAACAAATGAGTACAAGTGCTTGTGGTTAATGGAGAGGGTACAGAAGAAGTACCAAATACAAAAGTTAATGAAACAACTGCAACACATATCTTTAAGTTAACTAATATTAACTAGACATATTAAAAATTACTTTATTTATATTCTAGATGTTCTGAGTTACATGTTACACTATATATTCATGACATAGAGGGTTACACACTAATGATATTTGTTAAGTTATTCAAGGAAGTAATTCATGATCATTGACGAGTTAAATATAAAGTACACAAATAAATAAAACTTTCCATTATTTAACTTCCAAATTTATACTACAATTCAATATCCTAACTATAAGTCTATTAACTTTAAATTAAAACATCCCAAAAAATATTTAAAATGCAACCTTTATCTAAACTTTTTAACTAAAAAAATCGAGTTTTTATTATAAAACACTACAAATTATTCAAATATAAAGAGTTTCATAAGTTAATAGATGTTTATTATTCTATTCCTATATCAAGACAAATACGAGTTTATAAATTGGGATATATTACTACCTTCAAGTCCCTTAGAAAATGTAAATGAAGGAAATTAAAATCTCTTCACTTTATAAGAAAAACAACTCTTAATATTACTTGATAAATTGCTTCAATACTGACTAGTTATTTATATATTTCAGAGATATTATCAAGAATTAAATATAACGAAATATCTTTATATCAGGAACATACTATAAGTCTCCAATAAAGAATACTATCTGTTCACTTTAATAAATGATAAATTATCAGATATCTATTTTAGACTGAAACTCTAAATGCATTGTATTGATTTAAAATATTGTTGATATAGATTATGTTGGTATGAAATCTAATTGGATCTTATATAAAATTTGCATTATAGTACAAAAGTATTAAATTTAGGAGTATTCGTATTTCTGGAAAGAGATAAAAGATTATTTGTCTTAATATTCAAATTCCTAGAATTTTATATTGTTAATCTACATATTTTTAAAAAAAAATATGTAGAAAACTAAAATACTATAAAATACTTAAATTGTACAGTAATTATTAAAGGAAAATGATCCATTTTCAGTTGCAAATGTTTAACTTGTCATAGCTTAATCTTTTATCATGTTTAAAGCAACATTATGAAGTTGAAGTTATACTATTCAAATGAGTATTATGTATTCTTCTTATTAGAATTGTTAACTTTACTATTTGAATGAGTATACTTACTCTGATTATTTTTATATTTTGTTGTGCTTAGTGAATTACAAAAATTCAAAGAAGATTTCCTAATCTTATCATCACCTCCATGTGAAATCTTAAAATTTGGTATTGGAAACTCCTGATTTATTTTATTAATAATGACTTTATTACCTAACCTATGAAACTTACTATTTTTATTCTTAACATTTGTAGAAATCCCCTCAATCCCCTTAGTTACTTTCATAAAAGGTTCTTTTAAAGATAAATAAACTATTTCCTTTAACAAATTAATAAATTTAATTACCAACATTAATTTCTTCCATCTTTTCTTAGCAACTCTATTATTAGAATTGGGCTTCTCGTCTAAACTATATGAATTGTGATTATCTGGAGAATAAGATAATGGAGTTTCTGATTCTAACGTGGAATCAAAACTTATATCTTTTTTCAATTCACTATACACATCTAAATTCACTTGTTTACTAGTTTCTTCATGACGTTTATTTAATATATTGAAACAAATTGACAAGTTACCTTCCAACCTCTTGATATCAATCTCTAAATCATGAATAGACCATTCGCATAATAAAATACGATACTTCCTGGATTCACATGATGAACAACCTCTTAGTTCATGATTTATACATCTCTCTATTTTAATATTATCAATAGCATGTTTATAATTATCTTGTACCTCTCTAAAAAAATCTATACGGGCAACTAAATCATTGTATGATTCTGCACTACAGTACTTCCTGATATCTAAATATGAAGGAGGTGCTATTGGTTCTGGTAAAGTTGGTTCACTAGGTAGATCTTGTTGTAATATTAAAGATATAGAATCTCTAATCTCACTTATTTGTTCCTTAATAGCTTTAAAAGTCGCATAGCACTTGCGGATTATCTTCTCATAATCTAAAGGCTTACGGAATATAACACCCAAAATTCTTACATAATTATAAACCATAATATATCGGTATAACTCAAGCTTACTTATTAGCCTATCCACAGATTCGTCATATATATCAACCCCATGATCAATTGCTCCCGAAACTTTCCCACCTAAAGAAGATGTATCCCATATACTTTCATCACCCAATCCAATCATATCTAAAAATGACATATCAAGTGACTCACTTGATTCAATATCAAAACCCACATTATATTCTGCATGCCAATATACTAATAATCTAGATGTAATCATATTTATTTTCTTTATTTGTAAATTTATTAATTCAAGTCTTTGAGCTGTTAGTATATCTAAAATATTTGGAATTTCAAATTTCATATTACTAAGATCTTCCCCTACTAAATTTTGTACTTCTCTAAAATCGACTTTGATATTATTTTTTAAAGATGTTATCAACTTCAATAAAATCTCAATATTAGATCTTATCTCCAGTATCTTATCATTTAATAATTCTTCATTATATCTTGCAGATTCTACAAGGTTATACTCCCTCCTTATAGTCCCAAGTAAAGATAAATTATTGAATTCATATTTATTATTGGTAATTAACCAACAAACTTTATAATGTAATATCGTAAAGTATAAAACTAACTGTAGACAAATTAATATTAAAAATTTATTTCGTATCATATATCTCATATTAAATATATCCCTGTCATCTCAATTACTGTATATATATATATATATATTTAATATCTTCAAAAAGGCACTACCTATTGAAAAATATTATTAATACTATTGAGTGTTGTAGGTTTAAAGTAGCTCAATTTATAATAAAGTCTCCTCGTTACCAAATACTAATATTTACCGCTTTTGTAGTACTTAAAGATACCACTTTAAATAGAATCTAAAGTATTTTACTACTTTTTTCTTAAAAAAGAATATATTGGATACTTTTTTATTAAAGATTTATTTAATTAGATAAATCTTAGGTAAATTTTATACTTAAAATCAGAATTACTTCTTGTGATGCATAATCACGCTCAATACTTGTCTACTATGTAAAAGATTTACTTAAAAAAAAATTATTTAAAATTTATTTATACTCTGTAAGTGATCTTTAAGATGGTAGATCTATCACATACTTCATCTGAAGATTGGATTTATGTATACGAACCATCTGATGATACTTTTTTTTTAGAAGATACATTAAAACAAGAAACTGAAATTATAGTAAAAGCAAACCCAGCAATTATATGTGAGGTTGGATGTGGTAGTGGGTATATATCATCATCAATTTTGAAAGAACTTAACAAAAGACAAATATATCCATTGACATTATTGACTGATATTAATAAAAGTGCAATAAATCTTGCAAAAAGAACAATAACTCATAATAATATCTCATCAGGTACTGAATTTATAAATATGGAATTATTTGACTCTTTTAGAAATATTAATAGATCAAAATTAAATAATGGAATATTAGATTTAATTATATTTAATCCACCATATGTTCCATGTTTAGAAGATGAACTTATACAATTAAGGAAGCAATGTAATATTGATGTAGCTTGGGCTGGAGGATTAAATGGATTAGAAATTATTAATAGATTCCTTTTTGGGAAAGATAACTTACATAAAACAAAATTAGATGAAGTTATATGTTTATACAATATTTTGAGTTATGGTGGTTTATGTTATCTATTGTTAGAAGGTAGAAATAAACCAATAGATGTTATAAATTTATTGAGACAAAATAAGAACTATATAGGTTGGAATATAGATATTATTAATGAAAAAAAAATATCTGGGGAACATTTATATATAGTCAAGTTGATTAAAAGATTACAATAGAATATATTATAAAATATATTATATTGTAATAAAAATATTTTGTTAAATTGTGTATATTTGAAAGTATGTTTATAATATATCTTCATATTATATCAAATTTTTATTAATGATATTTTTCAATATGTTATATTTTATTAAGTATATTAATAAAAATTACATTAACTATATGGATATTAAAGTATAATTTTAATGTAGATATATTGTCAGTAATAGAAATATTACTTTTAATGGGTATTAGCCTTAAAAATAATTACTTTTTATTGTATAAATATATTTTATTATATATTCATAAATATTTTTAGTAATATTTATAGTAATTAATTAAATTTATAGATTTTTTGAGAAATGTTAATTAGTTAATATTTTGATTATATATATAAAGAATAATTAATTTCAATATATTAAGAATCAAGGTATTATCTAATTAAGAATTATTAGTTAAGTCTTAAGAAAAAAAATATATATATATTTAGTCCTAATATAATTATTACTATTCTTAAATGAAATTATTGTTTATTGTGGTTATTTAGTGCTCTTCTCTTAGCTTCCAATTCTATTTCATGTTGTCTCCAATCAGCTCTTTGTAAAAATGCCGTTTTAGATAAATATCCATATTTTCTTTGCTGTTCTAATTGAGACTCTATACCTGTCATTTGTTTAAATTCAGACCAATCTGAATGAGATTTTTGTATTGAGTTTATGCTACTTTCTTTAGTAATCTTTGATACTATATCATCTAACACAGATAATTTTCCACTTAAAGCATTTTCAATAAATTGATTACCTTTTTTATGTTTATTATATGATAATTTCTCCACTTTCTCACGTATTTTAAATGATTTCCCTGCATATCTAACTTGTTTCTCTATATATATTGGATTTTTATCTATTGCATTACTAAGTGCACTTCTTACAAGTTCATGTGTTTCATCTGATGAAATATTCTTTATATCTCTACAGTTATTCTTATAACTCATAATATCTAAATCTAAAGATTTAGGTAGTACTTTTGATGTCTATATAAAATATAAATAAGAAATATTTAAAATATTCAAAGTATTCTTATAATTATTATTTTAATAAAATTAATATTAAACTTACCCCAATATCTATATAGTGCATAAGTTCTGATATATTTGAATTCTTCCTAAAATTAGGTGGATTATAACATTTACGTTGAAATTGTAACATAAAGTCATCTGAGTTAACTGTTGATTGCCTACTAAATATATTCATAGATTTCTTTAGGATATCATCATAAAGTATTTCAATCCTTTCTTCTTTGTCCAAATCATCCATCATTTCATTATTATCATCCCTTTCATATTTTACATTATTTTTTTTACTATAAGCATGTATATATAATAATTGCATTATATTTTGGGAGATATTCTTATTAGATAATTAAGTGCCTTACCTATTATCTTCTTCAGATGATATATCAGATTCATTAAATGATTCATCTTCCTCATCATCAGACATAAATACTGCGTCATTTATTGTTGTCATTGTATATATTACAGAAAATGACCTTAAATATTTTATAATAGAAAATAGATAATACACAAAATAAGAATATTTTCCCGCTAATACAATGTATTTGGCGCCAATTTATCTCTAATGTATTCTATAGAAGTATATTGTAACTAAATATTATATAATCTTTGTATTTCAGCCATTAAAACTTTAGGAAGCTATTGTAATGAGTTCCCCATTTGATAATGCCACGACTGGTTCATTAATATTTGCAGGATTGGGTTTTATTACTGCAATATTTTGTGTTATTTATTTTGGAGTTAAAGGTAGTAAAGGACTATCTCGTGGAGAAACTGTAAAGTAAGTTAGTTATATACATATAATTCATTAGGTCTATATATATTGTCCTATATATATATATATATATTCTTGCTATATATCATTAACTTTCTTGTAATTATTTCAGAGTCTCTTTGGTTGTTGTTATAATGATGACATTTTGCACCTGGATGATGTGGATTTGTATTTATTTTGCTCAAATGTACCCAATAGTAACTCCAATTCATAGAATTAATGAGCACTAGTTAGTACTTTACAGATTTATAAGTAAATCAGGCAATGTTACAATATTATACTTAGAGGTATTTTTGAATATAGATATTAACTTTCCATTTAGAATTATATTTTATATATTGAGATATTAGAAATCTTCAACGATATTCCGGATATTAACAATAGAATGTTTATTATATATATATATTAAAAACTCTACAATTTTGATTATAATATTGTTTTTATCTTAGGAAGAAGCTAGTATTGTATTGACTAGCCTTTACAATTTTTCCTAGAAGAGGTTTGATTATTGATTTTATGTGAAATGATAAATATAAATCATATTAGCTATGTATTATAAGGATATTTCTTATTCAAATACAAAGCTTAAACTCTTTATCCTTTATTTATTAATAAAAGATCTAATAATAATAAGGTAACTTGAATAATCAGATATATAACATCAAGAATACCCTCATATATAGAGATCAATTAATAATTTGAATTAAGATATAAAAAAAAAGAAGTTTATAGGGATAAATAATAAAGTTGAATAACCCTATAGAGAAAATTCACAATAATTGAGAGTGTAAAAATGTTAGCGCTATATAGCATGCCACAAATATAATTAGGCGGTTTATACTTGAATATTTATACCAGACTCCAAAAAGTATACGATAGATAGTTAAACATTATGTATATATTTGGAGGAATAAATGTGGTAATATTATTTGGGATATTTAATAAAAATATTTCTATATAGGAATTTTACTATAAAAAAATTGAAATATTTTAATAGATAATAAATTAATATTATGGCGGATAACTGTGAGATTATTTATTATTGTCTTTCATATTTGAATGTAGCGCACCAAAGTGGTTTCTGCAATACCAAAAGACTGGACGGTGTATCATGACCCTACAACGAATATATCATAGAATTGTACAAGTTTACTTGAATTTTATTTTAAAATGACATCACTTAATATAGAACAGACAGCATGCCATCTTATGCAAGAATATAAAGATGGTAACTTGACAGCTATACAATCAACATTGAAAGATATAGATCCAGGTCTAATTCGTTATACAGTCACACGATCGATAGAACATGGTAAGACACAATTTAAGCAGAAAAATTATGAGGGTGCAATTACTTCATTTACACAAGCCTTAGCTGGTTATACATTGAGTCCAAGAGATAAAGATATCTGTGATACTCTGAAGGAAGTAAAAATAGAAAAAGCAAAAATATATACAAATAGATCACAATGTTTTATTTTGCAAGGTGGTGAGGAGAATTATATGAAAGCTTTTGAAGATGCAAAAGATGCTATTTTATTATATCCAGAATGGTCTAAAGCATGGTTTAGAGCTGGTAAGGCACTCTACTTGTTGAATATTTTTGATAAAGCATCAATAGTATTTAAAGCAGCATTAAAACGGGAAATACAAAATGAAGAATATTCTCAAGATAAGGTAAAAGAAGAGATAGAGAATTGGATAAAAATATGTGAAAAAAAAGCAGATCATAATGCAGCAATACAACGAATTACTGTGGATTATAGTAGATTTGAACATATTTTAAAAGAGCTTGAAGATCAAGAGAATATAGAATCTGTGAATGAAATAAGTGGAAATTACTCAAATAATAAGAATATAATTACTTTACCAGCAAAAAATTTAAATTCTACAGTAGGATCTTTAGGCAGTGATTTACAATTAGAACTTTCACCAGATCTATCAAAAGAAGAAATAAGTAACTTAAAGCAAACACTTACTGGAGTAGTCGAAAATAATACATTAAATAATTCTAAAAAAAAAAAAATGGTATTTAATAATAATATGAAGTTTCTTAGTAAAGGACTACAAAAACCATATGAGAATTCACTTAGAGGTATGTCTAGAATTGTTCAGCTATCATCAGAAATATATTGGTATAAGAGGATAATAAATATATATTTGGATACAAGTGAGATATATTTATCAAGTTGGATTGAGGTCTTGACTGAATTGCTTAATTATTTTTTTATAGAAGAATCCTGTACTGTATTATTTATTGGATCTGGAACAATGATTCTTCCAATATATTTAATGATGAAAATAATTAATAATTCTATAAATAATGTAAATATATTAGTTACTACTCAAATGAGACCATTTTCTCCATGTTTACAGAGATTATATGCTAATATGGCATCTTCAAATGGGGTAAATATTTTACAATTTAATACTAGTGCTGAGAGTTTATCTAATAAAGAATTAAATAGTCCTGATAAAATAAACAATAATAAGGAAGGAAATGAGAATTTGAATATTGATAGCACTAATATGGAGATATCAAAAAATTTAGATAAAAATAATTTGAAAATCAAAGTTATTCATGGAAATGTGCAAAATGTTAATCCTTTTATTTGGAAACAGTCATTCCCAAGAACAATAATTATAGATGCAAGTCAATTTGAACCTGGTCTACTAGGTTATGGTTTAATTGCAAATCTTTGGAGTCTTTATAAGGAAGATGAAAGTATTAATACTTTGAATACTAGCTCTCATAGCAAATACTCGAAATCTATAGTTGTCCCATCAGATATTAATGTATTTATCCAATTTGCAAATATAAAAATTCCATCCTTTGATTTTTCATTAAATGAAAAGAATTGTAGACAAGAATCATTTGCAGATGATACTTTTAACTCATTGGAAATTTGTATGGATAGATTAAATGAAGGATTATGGTCACCATACTGGGAACCATTAAACCCTTGTTATCCTCTTGAATATTTGACAGAACCAATACCACTTGGATTATTTCCAATTGAAGATATGGTAAATAATAGAAATCTTGAATTTTTTAAAGGAAATAATGAAGTTATTGAAAATATGGTAAATGTTTCTTTCTATGAATGTATATGTGCAACTTCTAATCTTCCATATTATAACGGGAGTATAGAATATTATCTTCCTGGAAAAAAATCTATTAATGCCATTATATTATCATACAAAGCTTTAAGAAATACAATTGATCATGATAAACAAATAATTATAGATACTTTACCTCAATTTATTAATGAAGAAGACGAAGGAAAATATATTTTTCCTTCTGCAGTTCAATGGTTAGGTGGAGTTTTATCCAATAATACATGTAAACCTGTAAATATTAAATTTGAATGTAGAATTGAGCATTCCAGAATATTATTACAGCCATTAAGCGAAACAATCACACTATTATCAAATCCTGAACATGATAATACAAATATAAATATTCCAATAGTACCTTTACATTCAAGTTCTGTTCCTCGTCCTGTTATAGAGAATCTATGTGATGTAGAATCACTAAATATGTGGATAAAAGTACTAATAAAGACTTTTAGGGAGTTATCAACTTCAAATTCACCTTCCAAGTTATTTGAGGGAATAATATCATCTTCAAGTCCTGCTGCACTATTACCAATGATATTATTATATGCAAGTTCCAATATTAATAAAACTCCTAAACACAATCTTTTCCCTAATTGGAATAAACTTGATGTACACTTTACAGCGATTGAAAACTTCCCAAATTTACAAGAGCTATATAAGAAGTTGATTAAGGATAATTTATTTACATTATTGTGTGATGTGATAAAAAATGATGTAAAACCACTATATGAACGTGAGATTATTTCAAAGGATTCATCTATTCAAAAATCAAAGTATTGGAAATCTATCAATACTTTGGAAGATAATAGTAATAATACTAGTGAACAGCATAGAATCAATAAAGTAGATTTTTATAGGTGGATCCAAAATGATACTACTACAAAATATCTTTTAAACAAAAAATTAAATGAAAGGCTATCATTTTACAATGGAGATGTACGACAAATAATTTTAGAGTCCTCAAATTCTTCTATAAATAATAATAATGGGATGTCTATTACAATAAAAGAAAAAGCAAGGTTATTCACTGGTATGAATTTCGATCATGATGCCTTAAGTGAAGGAATTATTCCGTTATGGAGCACTGTATTTCAAAGTGGAGTTTTACGTAATACAATCTTAAAGACATCATTACCAGTACCTTGTAAATTATGTATTTATGGAATAGTTACACAAATTGGAAATGATTCAACTTTTGGAGTGAATACGAGTGATTGGGATACATATAGATTTGATGGGCCACTGCAATGGAACGCATTAAAGTATGTTAATAATACTCCTATTTATGATAGAAGTGAAATATTCCATATTTTGACAATTGATTTGATTCCAGGTGGATTTAATAAATTAGAAAATTGGGTAAATAATATCATTATAAATATTACAAGCAGTGGAAGAATTAACTCATTAGTTGTATTTTTCGATATATGGCTTAATAGTGAAAATATATTAACCACCAATCCATTCAAAAATCATATGAATAGCAGTAGATACATTGAGTTACAAAATCAAGACAATAATCAAGAAAATTCTTCATCCCAAATATATTTTAAAAAGACAAATTTATGGAAGCCCGTTTATCATATGATGCCTCAATTTTATGCAAATGTTGGAGATAATGTTGAATTTGATTTCTCATTAGCACAAAATTTGACAAAACTCAAGTTTATTATTAAAAATATTACCAGCCATGGCAATGATACTCCATCAACAATAAATTCTGATGAATCTGATAACAGAAATTCCGTATTTCCACAACTTGGAGATATTGGATATTTGCAACTTCGTGATAAATATGATAATTTAATCAGAGAAATAGGACCGAAGATATATTCAAATGATAGTCCTACATCACTTGAAGCATTCAATGCATCTATAGATATAGCAGTAAACCCAGGTTATTTTGCTGGAAAAAATGCAATCTCAAGTGAAGACATGCCTTTTGACCTAGAATCAGTAAACTGGTTATGTCAATCATTTTTAACTTAACTAATAAAGTTCATAATAAAATTTTCATTTTTCACTTAAATATTCCTTTGCAATTTTGTCTAATACAAATGGCAAGATTCCACCATGCTTATAATACTCAATTTCAATATTTGTATCTAGTCTTAAGATAGTATTAAATACTATTTCTTTATCAGTTTCTCGTTTTCTTACTTTTATTTCAATTTTATCTCTGGGTTTAAATTCTTCAGATAAATCTATTGAAAATAATTCTGTACCATCAAGACCAAGAGTATCAGCATTTTCACCTTCAAGGAATTGAAGTGGTATAATGCCCATACCTATTAAATTACTTCTATGTATCCTTTCAAAGCTTGCAGCGATAATTACTTGAACTCCAAGCAATCGAGGACCTTTTGCTGCCCAATCTCTACTACTCCCACTTCCATATTCCTTACCAGCAATTACAAGCAATGGTAGCTGATTGTTTTCCCTATATTTTTGTGCAGCATCGTATATTGGTAGAATTTCATTATTTGGTATGTATAATGTATACGGTCCTTCAATATTCTGATGTAATTCTGTATTGTCACTGCAATTTTCTTTATATAAAATTTTGTTTATTATTCGTACATTTCCAAATGTACCTCTAACCATTACTTCATCATTACCTCTCCTAGCCCCATAAGTATTAAAATCAATAGCTTTAACATTTCTTCCCAATAAATACTTTGCTGCTGGAGATATTTGAGAGATATCACTTGCTGGGGAAATATGATCTGTCGTGATAGAGTCCCCTAAATTAAGGAGACAATAAATATCTTCTAGTTTTGTATTTGTTGGAACCTTTAGTAATTTATCATCAAAAAAAGGTGGTTTGTGGATATATGTTGAATCGGGATTCCACCTAAATACTGGGGTTCTTTTAACCTCTAAAGAATTCCATTGTTCAGTTCCTTTTGGGATAGTAGAATATACATCATTAAACAACTTTGGAGTAATAATCTTAGATTCCAGTTCTAAAATTTCTTCTCTGGTAGGCCATATATCTTTTAAATAAACTTCCTCTCCAGAAATATGATTTATTCCTAATGGCTCACTAGTCATATCTATATTAATCCTACCAGCTAAAGCAAATGCAATAACTAAAGGTGGAGATACAAGATAGTTAGCTTTTGTTAAAGGGTGAACTCTGCCTTCAAAATTACGGTTTCCACTCAGAACTGATACAGCAACAAGATTTTTATTTTTTATAACATTACTTATTTCTTCTGATAAATTTCCACTATTTCCAATGCATGTCATACACCCGTAACCCACTGTGTAAAATCCCAATTTTTCCATATATGGCAATAGTCCACTTATCTGCAAGTATTTCTCTACAATATGGCTACCTGGAGAAAAAGACGTTTTTATATATTCAGGAACTTTCAAATTCTTCTTAACTGCCTTCTTTGCAAGTAATCCAGCCCCAATCATTACTAAAGGGTTAGATGTATTGGTACAAGACGTTATTGAAGCCAATACAATTGACCCATGAGCCAAATCTAGATTACTATTGTAATTACTAACAACTTTACACCCTTCATCTGTCTTTTTCACAGCAAATCCACATTTTGATAATGGTGCATACAATGCAGTTTGGAATGATTGTTTTAAATCCTTTAGTGCGACCTTGTCTTGTGGTCTTTTAGGTCCTGCTGCACAAGGCTCAATCATACTTAAATCAATCACAATTACTTCACTATACTCAACTTGAGAATATTCACTAATAGAACTACTTGTAAATTTGCCTAGACACTGTTCTTCCAAATATTTTTGGACAAAGTGAACAGTTTCACTAGATCTTCCTGTTGATGAAAGATAATGTAAGCTATACTCATCAGGATAAAAATAACCAATAGTTGCACCATATTCCGGAGACATGTTGGATATTGTTGCCCTATCTTCTACACTTAGCTGTTTTATACCATCACCAAAAAATTCAACAAACTTCCCGACTACATTACTTTGTCTCAATATGGATGTTATTGTTAAAACAATATCTGTACTAGTTACAGCTGGCTGTAAATTTCCAATTAACTTAGCTCCAATAACTTCCGGTATATTCATTGTTATTGGCTGGCCAAGCATCACTGCTTCAGCTTCTAGTCCACCTACTCCCCAACCAAGTATACCAAGTCCACAAATCATTGTTGTATGACTATCTGTTCCTACAAGGGAATCAGGATATAGAATATTTGAGTCAGATTCTGATATATTTACACCATCTAAAGTTATTTTGTCTATTTCTTCCTTTTCCAATGGTATTTTGAAAACTGTTCTAGCAAGATACTCAAGATTTACTTGGTGAATGATACCAAATCCAGGAGGTACAATTCTTAAATTGTCAAAAGATTTACTTCCCCACTTAAGAAATTCAAATCTCTCTTTATTTCTATAAAACTCCATTTCCAAATTTTTTTTAACAGCATCACTTCTCCCATAAAAATCTACTTGGACACTGTGATCAATAACTAGATCTACTGGTACTTTTGGATTTATTATTTCAGGTGATAGCCCATATTTACTTAATATTGCATCTCTCATTGCTGCCAAATCTACAATTGCTGGTACACCAGTGAAATCTTGTAACAAGACTCTAGAGGGAAAGTATGAAATATCTACATTTCCTTTTTTTGAAGTATTTCGCCAGTCTAATATATTTTCAATATCTACTTTTTTGATTAAATAGTTATCACAATTTCTTATCAAATTTTCCAGTAAAACTCTTATACAATACGGCAATTTATATAACCTTGGATCATTCAATTTTTTAAGAGAAAAATAATAACCAGATCCTTCTAATCTAGATAGTATATTAAGAAATGGATGAGGTTCAGAGTTCGCAATGGTTGAAAAAATTTTTTTCATATATATGTGTTAAAATAGCTATTTAAAAGTTTCTGTAATATATTAAACTTAGATACTTGTATCTTTAATTTTGCACTTTTCTGTATTAGATGAGCCGCTTTACGATCAAAATATTTCTACTTAAAAGAAACTATTCTCGTTGACGAGTTAATTTTGATTTTTCAAATCCTCCGGTATCATCTACTTTATATTTTTATTTCTTTGTAGATACCTTACTTATTTTTAAACCATAACTCTTTAACCTCACTAGTACCTAAAGTATATTTAAGTGGGAATATCACTTTTCATTGATATAAATAAGTGAATTAATTATTAAATTTAGTATACTTATTTTCTTTTTAATAGTCATTTTTTTTGTTTCTAACGGTATACACAAGTATTTAAAGTTTATATACCGGCATTTGCATGCATGCAATGTGGATAGGACCAAACCAATATCTAAAAGTTGAATATGCTATTAGTGTATTCAAAAAAAAATAAATATCAATAAATTATAGAGATTATTCAAGTTAAAACTCAAGAAAGTGTTACTTTTACTCATTATTTGGTAAATGCGAGTACGTTGAAAAGTAGCGCCTCAGGCATCTCAAACTGTGGGAAACTCAGAATAAACAGCTACAAGGTAAATAGCTAAAAGGACAAAATAATCAAGGAAAAATTGGGATTTTGGTTATTTATTTATTTATTTAATATATATAATAACTAACTAGGGTGTAATGGAATGCCGAAATGGACTGGACCAGCGTGATAGAGCGTGATTTACGTCGTCTTTCAGAATTGCCTAAAGGTGATATAACAGGTATTCTGGCATTTTTACACCATGAAGCATGTGATGGTAAATTATATAGGTTAGTAAGAAGCTCTTTCCCATTTAATTTGTCTTCAGCTCCTCCAGATTGGGGGTTATGTAGACCCAGTGAAATCCCATCAACAATATCCTTAAGTTTATCATACGTGTATCGTAATGCTGTTGATACAGCTAACTTAAGAACATCAATGGACTGGACCGAAAAGCATGCGGAACTATTCTTGGAAGCTACGATTGTGAGCTGCTGGAGTTCATTATCAAAGTGTGAAAATAATAGTGAATTATGTGACTTAGACATAGGTACCGATCTATTGAATGAAATATCTTTACAATCTATTGGTCAGAAAGATGCAAGAGTTTGGGGATTGTGGGCTGTTTTGGATTTTCTAAATTATTCAAGAAAACCAAATAGTTTACCAAACTCTACATTACTTTTTAATGCTGCTACAAAAGCTCTGCAAAAAATTGAGCAAGGAAGATTTTACAATGCAGAACCAAGTGCCTTATTAACTGCTGTAACAACACAATTTACATCTATTATACAAAAAAATAAACCAGGAATAGGTGTTTCTCCAGTTCATAATATTGTGGAGAATGATACAAATACACATCCTAATACTTTATCACTTTCCTCATCATCTTCTGCATCAGCCAATACAGAGACGTCACCAATTGGTGATTCTACTTGTAATAATTCAGTCAAACCACCAGAACAAAGAGCAACAATAAGATATGTACCTTCGAAAAGAATTGGTGGAAGAGCTCATGTGTTTTCTTTAAGCTCAACAACAGCTACTACACCTGCAGGATCCAAAACAAATGATACAATAAATGTTGCATATTCTACCCAGAATAATACTAGCAATAACTTTTCAACTTCATATATACAAGGTGATTCATATACAACAAATAGTTGTGACCTTAAAACTCCAATTCCAATAAGAAGACAGAGATCACAAAATGAATTTCAACCTCAAAATATTGATAATATCCAGCAACAAAATCAAATATTAAATAGTGAACAGATAGATCCGAAAATTAAGTCAAATAAAAAAATTGGTTTTAATATTGTTCCTGAGCAACAACCAATAGAATATTCAATAAATGAAGCTGATATTAACACAAATAATCGTTCTAATCCCTTACAACTTCCAGAGGTTTGTAAATATTCATTAGAGCCAGCAGTGAAATATCCAGGATATAAAATTGAAGTTAATAGAAAAACTTATGAAATTTTGTCATCTATACAGAAAGGTGGTTCTTCTCAAGTCTACAAAGTACGTGAATGTGATAGTAATAATTTTTATGCATTAAAATGTGTTAGGGTATTCACTGGCTTGCATAACCATAACAAAAGTGAATCAGAAAATATTGATCATACTAATAAAAATTTTTATAAAAATATAAATGATGCAAGAAAAAGCCCAGGATATAAAGTGAACTCTGAAAAAAAAAGTAATCAGAAAAGGAATTCATTACTTCAAGGAGCTAATATGGAAGCTGATGGTGAAGAAATAGAAAATGAAGAAGAGGATGAAAATGAAGAAGAACAATTACTACTCATGTTTACAGAGGAAGTCAACTTACTAAAAAAGATGCGAGGATGTCCACATGTAATTCAATTAATTGACTATGAAATAGCATTAGGTTGTGGAGCAATAGATATTATTATGGAGTTGGGCGTTAAAGATTTAAATGGAATCTTACAAGGGAATTCTCTACTACCAAGTATTCAAGTACTAAGAAAAATATGGACAGAAATGGTATTAGCTCTTAAAGATGTCCATGATTTACGCATTGTACATGGAGATATAAAACCTGCTAATTTTGTTTTTGTTGAAGATATAGATCATTTAAATAATGATAATTTAAATGATCTAGCTGGGAATAATGGAAAAGATTTTTGTATTACAGGAAAAAAAGTAAAAATAATAGATTTTGGTATATCACGCCCAATTGCAGATGATACAACTCATATTTTTAGAGATAAAGCTGTAGGATCACTACCATTTATGGCACCAGAAACAGTACGCCCAGTTTCAATTTCAAGCAGTAAATTTGCACTTGCAGCAGCAGCATCCAAATTACGTATGCCAAATCAAATAATGTCACGTACAGCTGATATATGGTCATTAGGTGCTATACTATACCGTATTGTCTACAAACGTCATTTATTTCAACCAATCCAAAGTAAATCTAAACATAATGGATCTAATAATGGAGGTCCCCCACTTCCTTCAGCTGTAAAAAAAAATTCTAACTCATCAAATAAGTCAAATGTTGCACCACATGAAATACTTATGTTTTTACAAAGTGATCAAGGTAAAATTATATTTCCAAAAGAAATTGGTTATACATTTTCATTACAATCTAAAGATGATCAATTATGGCTAGATTCACTCAGAAATTTACTACAATGGGCACTTCAGTGGGACCCAGCAAATAGACCAAATGTTAATCAGCTACTAACACACCCATTTATTGATACAAAAATTGTCTCAGAAACAATATTCCAATTCCATATTCCACACTCTTTAACTATTGGTCCACATCAATTTGAAAAATATCAGTCAATAGAGAAATTAATAGAGACATTATCAGATAATGATCGCAATTCTGCATTGGATAGATTTTTTAAAACCCCATTTAACTCAATTAAAGGTGAAAAATCAAATACTTTCTACTCTTCTATGAGATGGAATATAGTTACACAAGGGAATTCATTATTTTTAAATATATATAATTCTCTTGTTTCATCAATAACAACTGGAAAAACTGGAGAAGATATTACACAAGATATGAGTAGTATTAATCAATTAGCAATACTACAATACACAACACTTGTAAAAAATATTTATATCCCACCACCTCCATCAACTGGATCAATAACCGCATCTAGAAAAGGTCATTAATTTATTATAAACTTAATTTCAATCTATTCCAATTAAATATAAATATATTATTTCATCTTCTATAGAATCGGTTATCAATATTTAATATTATTTAATAATATAAAAATAATTTTCTAGTATTAGTCTTTTTACATTTTATTATTAACTCTAAAATCACTTTAATATTTTGCATTTAATTTTACTAATTTCAAGAAAAAAAAAAAAAAAAGTTAAATTATAAATTATTTCAATTGTTTATACTTTATAACCATATAATCTTTAGATCTAATAAATTATTATTATTCATATAAAAATTAAGTATAATTAAATAGTTTCCAAAAATTTTTAGATATTTTAATGTCCCTTTATAGAAAATCTAGTTAATCCTTTATTATATATTTATATCAACTACTATTTCAAAACCTCTACTTTTTTGTTATTATCACATACATTTTATTATTTTATTAACTTTAACTTTTTTTTCACTTGGTCCTACCTCTAATTAGTTGCGTCTTCTTGGTATTCAGCATTTAAAAAAAGATACACCCGTGTGCATCTGTATTACTACTGTGTCTATTGTTGACTTTTGCGTACACCCTCCTGTAGAGTAATTATGCATATCTAATTAATTACACTAAACTGTTCCCTTAATATTAAGTATAAATTTGAAACTATTCTAAAAGATATCTGTATTCACAGTCATTAAGTTTTGAAGATGGGTTGTAGTTCTTCTAAACCGGCAGCAAAACCTGATAGTAAGCTATCTAATGATATAGAAAGGCAGAGAATTCTAGCTGAAAAAAAAGCTGAATTAGCTAAAGCTATGAAAAAGCCAAATAAAGATATATCAAAACCACTAACAGAAACAGAAAACGTAGATAAAGAAGAAAATTCAAAAGTAAATGAACCAGTACTATTAACGAAACCAGAGTCAACTTCAGAAGGGCATATAACAGAAACAAATAAACCAGCTGAAGAGTAAAATTTATCATAAAGTACAAAATAAAGATAAAGATCAATTAAAATTAATTATTTTATATTGAAACATAAGTTTTTCAGGAATACTAGTATTACTCTTAGATCCTTAATATTTTGCAAGAAAAAAAAAGGAAAATTATTCAATTAATCTAGATAATGTATACAATTTAGACATGTAAATTTATTGTCTATAATTTTCTTAATCCATATATTATAATACTATTATTTAATATTTTATTGTAATATATTTTAACTTCTAAATAGGTGTAATTTTATTTAAACACAATCTTGGGATTTATTTTAAGACTATTCCCTACTAATAATATATTTCAAATTATTTATTTCATTTATTTAATAATTTATTGTAAGTATCAAAATTTCTTGGAATCTGTAGTATTTATCCTTTATCCTTTAATAAAATAAATTGCTTATTTACTTTTTATATTATTTTCTTTTTTTTTTATCTTTAATTCTTAATATATTTTATATTATCTCCTATTTTTTAATATATTTATCTAATAAAATCCACTTTATTTCTATGAATAAATCTTTATTTATAACTACCCCCCTCCCTTTTAATTGTTAAAACTTTGAATTGAGAGTTTTGAAACTTTTTAAAAATATAATACTTTAAATTTCCCAAAGTATCTTGATAAAATCTTCTAAATATGCCCTTTTTTAAACTTGTTTAAAATTATTTATATTTATAAATTATATACAAATGATGTCTTTTAAAAAGTACCACAATTTATAAACAAAAAATCCACCTTCTTTCAAATAAAGATACATCTAAATTTAAAATTAAAGGTAAATTTAGTAATTTAAACAATTCTTATTTAGAACCAAACAATTGATATTTCTAAAGTCAATTTATTAGTATAAGATCCATAAAATTTTATATCCTTAATTATATATCCCCTATAGTATCGATATATTTTCGAACTAAAAATATTAAATAATCTAAGAGCTAATTAATTATTGTTATTATAAGCGTTATATTTATTAAAAAAATATACTCTTAAATAATATTACAATAAAGTACAAAATTTAATATTTCCGAAGGATAATATAACAATATAAAATCATATAATAAATTCAAAACATAAGGAAATATATAGATATCATAAAAGTATAAAAATATGTAAATATTAAGTATTTATTAATATTTTAAATATGCATAAATATTGATAAAAAAAAAAAATAGAGCGGTATATTAGTATAATTTAGGCGCCAAATTGTTGATACCCGTGCTATTTAGACAGGGGTCTATATTACGTAATTAATAAAGTATAATAAAATAAATTGAAGTTAGAATAAATTGGGGTTAGAAGAAATCTCAATTATCACTTTTTTATTGATAACAAATTATAATTTTTTTAAAAATTAATATATGAAGAGTTTATAATTAATATTTGATTTAAGAGATAACTTAAAAGTATTAAGGGATATAAGACTTGTCTCTATATTAAAGTTTAATGATTATAAAGCTTTCCAATATTACAAATAAAATAATTAATTATTAGGTAATATGTGTTTCTATTATGTGAAGAATAAATTAAGTTCTATAGTCATTTTGGTCTTTTTCCATATTATTGAATTAAATACAATATTTATTGAAGGTAGGGAGAATTTGGAATTAAGCCCATTATATATACTTAACCAATGGTCAACATATCCCTCAAGAAGTGTAGCTCCAAAAGGAATATTTCCCTTAACATCAATAGATCCTATAAATGGTACTTTATTTGATGCTCAATCTTTTAAGAAACTAGTAGATATTACTAAGATTAGTGAGAAAAATAGTACAGATAATGATAAATTGCCACTAATAGCTCCAGTTGAGTTATTTTGTGCTCATCTTCACCCTATTTTTAATTGTCTAATGAGGAGATATTCTCAGAAATATTCATCAGTTTCTAATAATCTTGCAATATTTAATGACGATAATCTTTCTTGGTATATATTTAAAGGGGCACATGCAAAAGTTGCACCTGGTTATATTATAACTCCACCTATAAATGATTTAAATTCTAATACATATACACATTTGAGAAATGACTTAAGAACAAATATAAAATTTGATTCTATAATTGATCCTAGTATACAAACAATATTATCTTTAATTGTAAATTCAGATAAGAATTTAGTATTTGATGAGAACTCTGAGTTTTACAAAACTTTTCGTCCTAAGAATACTTCTATAAGGAATATTGGTATTTATTTTCATGGTAATGGAAGATACTCATCTGGGTGGTTATTACCAGGTACAGTAGTTTATGCTGCAGTTAAAGGTTTAGTAAGACAACCATCAGTTTTTGAGAATCTTTGGGTACGTGAGAGAGAATTTTCATTACAACTTTCTTCTTCAGAAGCTTGGTATGTGAATGGTAAACATGTTCACTTTTCTCTTGGAGTATTTTCATTATATATTTTAAATGTGATTGATAATGAAGGTCCTAATAATTCAAGAACTCCAAAATATACATTATCTGCTTCTCCTTTAATCCCTGATATTAAGAATAGATCAAATTTTATATCTGACTTTCTTATAATGGAATATGCCTCAGGTTTACATTTACATGAGGTTAGAAAGAGAATAAAATCTTCTACAGCTGTAATGTATTATAATATGACAGATGATTGGCATGGTTGGTTTAATAATGCCCTATTTTTATTATATACTTGGTTATCTTTGATTTCAGCATTTTCAATGACAGGGAGATTTTTATATATGCATTGTGATTTGCATGATAATAATATTATTGTTAGAAGTATCTCAAATCAAGTCCCATCCCGTATTTTATTTACTGAGATGAGAAGACTTATAACATTAGATTCTATTAACATTATTGATTTTATGTTTTCATGGATACCTCAAGAACGGGGTCAACGTAATTCACCAGGTCCCTGTTCTACACAATTTAAGGGATGTATTGCAGATACAGAGAGTTTGAATGCACTGTTAGTTGGGTATATGTTTGAATTAAATATTTATCCATTTGAACCTACTCCAATTCAAACTTCTAAATATCGTGAAGTTCATATGAAATCAATTCAGTTAGTTGAAACTCTCTCAAATATTCCAGAATGGAGAAGAATCTCTAATTATTATGTAGGTGGGGCTATAGAGTGGTACAAACAGTGGCGACGTTACGGTGCAGATGTTACGGATGTTTCTACTTATTCTCTTAATGAAGAATTTGAGGGTATTATGAAAGTTTGTGATTATTTACAAGATGTTTTAAGATCTAATAATATATCTCAAAAAGAGCCTTGTATATCATTTGAAGCATATTTAAGAGGATATTCTATGTTTAGTTATCGTATGATGAGAGTAGGTATGTGTATTCGTAAAAATATTACAAGTATAAGTAAGAATAGTACTATAGGTTTAAAGTCTTCACATAATTTGAGATTATCAACTAAAGCATCAATTTCTTTTTGGGATACATCTCGTTTGACACTTTTTATTTACTGGAATATCGCAACTTCAAACTTAAAGACATGTCTTCCTCCAGACTTTATAAATAAAGAATTTTATAGTTTTTACTTAACAAGTGGTGAAATAATAACACTTTACCCATATCATTGTGAGTTAATAATAAATTGTTTAAATGATGATAATAAAATTTTAGAGAATAAATTTAATAATTTGAAAGATGTTTCTGAAAATATACAGGGTTTTAATTATATATATGAAAGTCCTGAAGATACTCTTCTTTTAATTTATAACAATTTCATGAGTCAAAAAAGTGATGAGACATTAGAAAGACAATCTAAAAAGGTATTATCGAGAGGGTCACTAAAAAATATAAATCTAGAGACAATTAAGAAATTAAATGGATCTTTAGGGAGAATTATTAATACTTCTAAGACTTTTAATGATACATTGAAGACTTTTGAAGTAGAAGAATTTTTGTTAGATCGTTGGATACATAAGTTATATTATGGTATGGACTTTTCATTATCTTTTTTATTAGTTGGTTTAAGATTCTTATTTAGAGTAGAACCTACTATTACAGGTCAAAAGAATTTAGGCTTACAATTTTTGACATCTTTAACTAAAGTTTCAAGAATTTTAAGTGAATATGAGCAAGATGATACTAAAAATGGTGAAATTCTCTATGATAAGTCTGAAGAACAAATTTATGAGATTTGTATGCTTTTTATAAATATATATACAGAAATATCTTTTGATATTAATGATGAGAAGAATTCAAAAGAAGAGTGCAGAAATAGAAATATAGTAAGTCCAAAATATAAGAAACACCCAGATTATCCTGCTTTATATCAATATATAAGGCAAAAGTTTTATGATGATGATGGAGAAGAAAAAGTTCATTTTCCTAAGCATGTAGAATGTCAAGATAAGGGTATGAAGACTAAAAACAAAGATTTTATAAAACAGGGATTATGTGATCAATTAATTAAACCTTTGGGTTTTATTAACATCCCGATTTATAATTAGTAATATAGAATAAATTGGAGGTAATTATACAAAGAATATCCATTTTGAAATATCAGAACTAAAACATGGAATTTACTATTAATTTACTGAAGTACATTATTCAATTTTATTTAACAAGATTTCGTCTATATCAACCTAAATATATATAAAATCAAGATCTGTAGCTTTTTGAAGTATTAAACTTGACAATAAAACATATCTTTGACTTAATACCTATTTACTTAAGACTACAATGATATTTGACAAGTTATCTTTATTACTAAAGAAAGTTGAGTAAATTTACTATTTAAGTAATCTAGTATTAGAACATTACTTTTATAATAGGTTTAATTGTTCAAGATTCATAATTCCAAAAAAAGTCTAGTGACTAATAAATAAGACAGAAAATATATAGGTAGATTTTCTTTTTAGTCAATGTATACAAACAAATTGTCTATGTTCTTCATATATATATCACAGAACTTGATCATGAAATCACCTGAAATATTAAGATGAAGTAACTCGTTAAACATACTGATGAATTTTTTGCTTTTACAAGCTATAGAGATATTTTTTTCATTGATAGGTTTCTCAGTATTATTTAATAGCACTTTTACAATACTGGTAATTTGAATATCACTAAGTGTCGGAAGTAAATCTTCCGTAAATCTAAATTTAAGTCTTAAAGCTATAAGAATTCCTTCTTCAGATAATTCAGCATTATGGCAAAACTGAATAAATGCTTCAATAATATTAGATTCCTTAATTGAACTATCAATTGATTCTTGAATATTAGGACCAATATTTTCTTTGAAAGTAAGATCTATTCTGTTCAGGCTTTCAATTGTGCATTTGTAAATATCAGTACAAATAGAAGATAATTCAGGAAAACTTGTAGGACATACTTGAATCCATATTGATGCAGGGACATTATATGTGTTTTGAGAGAAGTAAACTTCTGCATTAGTAAGAACAGTTAGTTGAGGAGTTCCTAAACCTTCAGCTGGGCTACTTGTTTGGATAGAAGATACTGATTTTAGGTCATTTATCATTCCAAAACCTTTGAATAATAAATATATCTTGATCATATAAATTGCAAATTCAAAATATGAAAAGATCTTTATATTGCTAGCATGACTCAAATTTTTGATATTGCGTATTACACACATTGCAAGTTGTATTTGAGTAAAACTGAAGAAGTAGTAACCACGTAGATAAGCTTCTATACTAAAGCAAGTTGGTTGTTTCCTGAGACTTTTTCGCTCTTTTTCAATACCATAATTATGAAATTGCGTTAATTGGCTGCACCCGATAAGTAGAGCTTCTATACTATCAGTAATAGAATGTTTGGCATTAGGTCCATAATATGGTTCCCAAGATAGCCACCAATCATTAAATGGACCCCTATACTTATCAGTTGCCTTTAACCATTCATCATATCTCTCTAGTGAAATAGCAAGACTATTTAGTGTCTTTAAAAGTTCATTTCTATATTTTGATTCTGTTGTAAAGTGCACTTTGTAAGAGTGCTGTCTTAGAAATTCGGATAACATTATTGATACATTCTCACTATCTGAATAAAGTAAATTTTGTTGTGATTTACAAGGAGATAATGAATGTCTAGAATTTATATCCTTCCCTGACCATACAAATGAAAAATCAACAAAACGTATATCATTTGGGGTAAGCATAAGCAACCTTTTAAATTCATCAAGAATTCGACTTCTACCAAATTTATTCCAATTTCTCAACATTGGCATAGAAGTAATAAATAAAATATTATTTTCATTTAAATCACAATGATATAGGATATATTGACCAGTCATTTGGAAAGAACTAAGTGATGCTATCAAAGCTGAGAATATACTCATTACAGAAAAGTACCATAAACTCCATGGACCAAGATTATCAATAAAATATTCATGTCTAGTTGATTTCAAAATTTCAATCCAATCTATATTATTACTTTTAGATTCCATCCACTCAGTAGTTAAGGACTCAAGTGTGTTAATAATATTATTACTAAATAAAAATCTTCTTATATCAGACATCCTGTTGACATGTAGATTTTCCATAATCAAGATTTCACTATGGATTCCCATGTTATTATTAGAGTATAAAGGTGGAAATAATTTTTGTTCTTCATTATGAACCGAATTTGTATGAATAGTGAATAGTGTTGGAGTTAATTGCAACAAATTACCCGATAATACAAAAGGTTGTTGAGCCAAACTATAGCTATACTCCCTTTCTCTTTCCCAATATAGCATCCAGGACTTGTGTCTTTCTCTAAGTGCAGTCTTAATAGCTACTGCCATCTTTACTCCCGATTTAACCCAACCAGCTTTGAGCTTACTTGAACCATGATACAATACTCTGAAATTCCTTAACAGTTTTGGTAATCTATAGTACAATGAAAATCGTGTTTGGGGAAGATTCATAACAATATCTGAAGAATCTATAAAACCAAATGCAACTCTACCATAAGTACCTCCAACTATATGCCATTGATATCCATTAACTATTACCCATGGTTTATATGATAATGATGACATATTAGATGTTATAATCTCACACCGAACTAGTGGATATAAGTGAGCACAAAGCCCCTCAGAAGAAGCAAAATCTACTAAAGAAACTTTAAGTGTTAACTTATTTGAACCTGATTTTATATTTCTTTCTTGTACCTCTGTTCTAATTGTTTCTTCAACTAAAGGCTGTACTACAGATTTAGAAGGATATAACATAGTTATAAATCCATCTGGATGTGACAAACACCTTAATTTTAATGATATATATTCGTTAAATTGACTAGATATTGTTTGATTATCATTGTTCTCTAGTAATACTGGTGAATTAGAACATAATGAACTTGGAGTACACCTATATCCCAAAATAGTTGTGTGCATTCCTGGGGTTAGTACTCCAAATGTTGGGACAATACCATAGTGTGTTTGCCCTTTTTTTATTGGTATAACTGCATCAGGTATTGTGGACGATATTCTTGATTCAAGTATTGGGGATAATCTATTATCTATCTTCTTCTTTCCTTTCTTCCGAGTTTTCTTTGGAACCCTATTTTTAATATTACTACTAGGTATCAATAACTTCTTTGGTTTATGAGGTATATTACCCTGTAACATCTTTCCATTCTGTTCATATGGATCAGTTGCAAAAACTAGTCCATGATCCCTTATAAATATGGTAGAAATTAGAACCAATTCAATTATTATTAAGTGTAAAACAAAAGCAAACCCCATATATTCTATTAATTTTTTAGTAGATTTTGCAAATTGATAAGATTTTGTAAGAAATAAATTTATTGAAATCTAATTTAAGGTTGTTACACTTATTATATAGAATAGTACCTACTGTCCTTCAAACCTTACACATAAGCAGTCTTCTAAATGTTAAGTTGTATGTTCTATTTAGAAAATACTTATATTAATGTATATCTTTGTAATAATACCAAATTAACTAACAATTATGAGCATATAAGTGGATTATTTTCTGCATGCAAAACCCACAATAGCGCTGTGAAATAGCGCTGGCGGTATCGGTACCTGTAATATTTTTTTTCCTAAAGATTAGTATTTATAAAGATATATATGACATTTAGCATTTACCATACCTGAAATTTATAGTAACAAGTAAATTATCAAACAAATTATTGTAAATATTTGAAATATTTCATACAAACAAAATAAACCATATTAGTAATCTTATATATATAAAAACCCGGACCTTGGAATTAATCGCATATTTCTTACCGACATTTTATGAATCTTGCAGATATAGATTTTGCTATTATCTATATTAGTCAAATATGTAACTTTCATATTTTTATTAAATATATATATACTGCTATTCTTCAGAAGGAAGTACTGAGTCGCAAAAATTTGAATCTAAATCTTGAAGTATGGGAAATTTTCCAATTTCACTATTAGTTAAATTATAGCATGCAGTTAACAGCATGGTACTATTGTATAACTTTGAATCATCTGAAATATATGATAATATCCTATTAGATATTTCCAGACTAATCTCTATAGAATCTTCCTTGTTAATCTTTTTTCCTAGTATATATTTATAAAATATTCTAATTGCTAAGGCAAAGTGGATCTCACTTTCTGATTTTCTAAATAGTGTCATTACTATGTAAATAAATTTTTCTTCTTCTTCCTCTGTCTTAGCTAACCATTTTCTAATATATCGAGGAAATTTTTTCTTTTTATTGAATTGTCCACTATCTTCTATTTCTAAATATTCATCTAACCATTTTCTTTTAAGTCTAATATTTTGAAAACGAGAATTAACCTTATAACATCTATCCCAAAGTAGTGTTGACTCATGAACGTATTGTAAACTCCATAAAGGTCTATCTGTGCTAGTTATTTTTGTCATATATAAACTCAAAGTCTTTACAGCATATTTAAAATATGAAGAATTCAAATGTTTTATATGTGAATTTCCAAAGTAATATAATGTACAATGACCAAATATCATAAGATCAAATGGAACATAAAAATACCCTCTTAAGTAAACCTCAAAGGAAATAGCATTATTAAATTCTTTATTAATTCTCTCCATATATTTCGGCATAGACACATTTATGTCTTTTTTATATTCTATTTCTAATATATCCAGTGTTTTTCTTAAGGAACTATCGAATGTTAAGTAATTATTAAATGTCTCATCAAATGTATACTTGTGTTTAAATGACCATCTAATCCACCAATATTTACTATTACCCATAAAATAAGGTTTAATTAAATTCCAGTTATTATTTTTCATAAGATTCTCAATTAATATCTCTAATGGTTGATACCTCAAAAAAATATTGGATTTTTCTAAAGCTATATTTATATCCATATTAAAATCAAATATAAAAGCTATCCAATTCTCTATATCATTTAAGGAAGTTTCTCCAAGTGTTTTACATATATTAATAGATTGACGTTCAATATAAGAATATAATACATTTACAAATGTAAAATCCAAAATCCTCATTTCATTAAAAGGTTTAAATATTATATCACCAATTAGTTCATAAGGATTATTTATAGGTTCAAAAAGTTGGTTATGAATAGATGGTCCCCAAAATTTAGAAATAATAAATATATTATTAGCATGTAAATCACAATGTTGGTAAATTAATCTCCCTGTTAATGAAAATGATACTAGTGATGCAAAATGCATAAATAATAATTTTAATAAGGCTATATTCCAATAATATAAAAATTCACTAGATTTTTGAATCCAATTTAAGACTTCATCACTAATTAAATATCTGGCAACATCTGCTATACTAGGACCCCATATTCTCTCCATTATTAAAAATGAAGACCAATATTTATTAGAATAAATACTCCATGGATAATTAGTCTCATATAATCTAATTGGAAAAAGGATATTATAGTTATGTTGCTTATTATTTGAATCTGATCTTTCTAATTTATCTTCTTTATTTCTCATTGTTATAGTAATTACAAGAGGTACAAATGATACATCAATATTTCCAATTCTCCATATATCATTATTTAACCATTTCAAAATATATTGTTCACGGTTCCAAATATCTATATAAGAAGGTATATCTGTAGATCTAAAAGATTTAATACAAATATTCATATCTTCATAATATCTCAAAAATCTAGAATTCTTGTAATAAGAATGATTTATATATGTATTATAAATTGAATTATAATCTATCATATAAGTACTTGATAAAAAAGATTCATAATTCTTTATTTCCAATAAATGAGATCCTCCACGTAACAAACCACATACTACATCTCCATAAGTTCCTCCAAAAACACTCCATGATAATTTTTTATCCGAAGTTATCCAAGGAAATTTTAATGGATCATCCAATAAAAGAGTATTATTATTTATATCCACATCACAATATATAAATGATGAAAAATAAGTACAAATTGTATATAATCCAATATATTTTTCAAAATCTGATAATTTGCCTTGTAATAATCTACCTTCAAAAAGCAAATGATTCTCATTTTCATTAGTCATTTCAATTAATTTTATTCTATCCTGCTTAGATATTATAAAATTACTTCCATTATTATTCATGTATTTATTAAAAGATATTGATCTTCTTTGATATTCAATATCATTGGGTTTATAGAATAAATTATCTTGTTCATCTTTACCTTGCAAATAGTTATAACCAATGGTATAAGCATAAATGTGATATTTTGGAGTTACATACTGATGCCACGATATACAGGTCCAAAAATATACAAGAGCTATAGTTAAGTAGATTAGCATTCATCAATAATCAAAAATAAATATTTGCTTGTCTTATGCATAAGAAATTATTAATGTACTTACATTATATTTTCAAAAATTATTTTTCAGTACGTTGTCAAAGACCGACTACGAGAATTTTAGGTTATCAACTAGATATAAATGCACCTCTCCAAAAAATACCCGCCCAAAATTATTAACCGTTTTTTTATAATATTAAAAGATAAATTTTATTAATTTAAATTTTGTAATTTTTATTATTACCTCAAATTTTAAAAGTTTATTTATATAGATAGATAGCCTTTTAAATTTATAATATTTTAAAATATTTAAAAATTGTAAATTTTTCTATTTCAACATTTCTTAATGTATATTCTACTTTATTATTACTAATTTTGCAATAATAAATTAAATAAACCTAGGATTTATGAAAATTTCAATATGATCTTATTTAGATATTAAATAACTTCTTTAGAAATTTGTAACTTTAATTCTTTAGTAATATATTGGGATCATTTGCGGTACACCTTACGTGGTAGATCTAATAATAAGATGAGCATTAGTAATAGATTATATCAAAAATAAAGGTGGAGAAAAAGTTTTGAATGGATAGTATTGGGAGAGTAAAGAAGAAATTTGAAGTAAATGATATGTAAATATAGTATATAGAAGTATTTATAGAAGTTGTGGGACTATTTACTCAAAATTATCCAAAAATTTTTTTCTCATAAAGGGATCTAGAATATAGGATTTTTAGAGAAAATAAAAAAATGAAAATATTAAACAAAATTTTAGTATTATTTTGTAGTTTGTTCATATTAATTAATGGGAAATATGAGAGACATGGATATAGATCTGAACTATCACCTGAAAAATCAAAACCAAGAGAAAAACCATTAACAAGAAATATTCCTTTAGCAGGAGGGATACCAATTAGAAAAAGAGTGAAATCACCTTTTCCACAAAAGAATGAAGGGAATTTTTCTGAAAGAAGTCCTGATAAAAGTTCTGAAAAAAGTCTCAAAAGAGTTTCTAGAAGAAAACATAAGAATTATAAACAATATGATTTGAAGAGTGCAACTAGTATTGCAAAACCAGCTTTAGATAATTTTTTAACGGATACTACTGTTGGTAGTATGATGAATGATATGGATTTGATGTCTCAAGCTCCTGTTGAATTACAAACAAGTCCAATAATATCATTAGACGCAATCAAGAGAATATCAAAAACAAGGCCAATAATAAAAAAGGAACCAATATTAAAAGAGAATTTATTAAGAGATAAATATACCAAAGTTAAAGTTAGATTTATATCTCCAAGACAAATAGGAGTTCTAGAAGTAGAGGAACCTCCAGAAAACCTAAAAGTTATGTTAATGAATTTAACTAGACAGTTTGAGAATAAGGAAAAAGCTTTAGATAAAGGAGCTGCAGAAGTTGCATGTGCAAAATTTGAACCTTTGCTACATTGTGAGATAGTCAATGTAAATAGTAAATCTCAAAAACATTCAGTAAGTACAAAGTGGTCAGATAATAAAGAATATTCGTGGAATACTGCACATGGATCATATGGTAGAGTTGTATTTGGTTATATAGAAGTTCCTAAAGAAAATGTTGTTTTACAAATTAGTCAATCTCCATTTACAGATTTTTTTAAAGTTCCATCCCAGTTACACAAAGTAAGAATATTATTTCATGGAGGTGGGAATTATGAGCCAAAGTATCTTTTAGGTGGGACAAAAATTAGTGTAGTTGTTAAATCACATTTTCGTAATTTATATGTAACAGCAGAAAAGATATGGGAAAGAGAAAGAGAAATGTATTATGCATTATCGAAAGAATTATGGACAAATGGGAATGGGGAACCTATAATCTATATACCTACTGTATTTAGTATTCATTATACTGATCCTGAAACAAATAAACAACAAGTTTTATTTCCTGATTTAAAAGGAAGAACTCAATTAGTTTCTGAGTTATTGATAATGGAACGTATATCTGGTTTAACAATGCATGAATTAGTTATATATATGCACGGAGAATTAATTAGAAATTGGTTAGATAATACTGATCAATGGTATTTGTGGCTCAAAGCATCATTTAAGCTACAATGGTTAATTTTTCATGCAATACAAAGTTTTTTTGCCTCTGGTTATTTGTTATATATGCATTGTGATTTAAATAGAAGTAATATAATAGTACATATCCCTAATTTAACAAATAATCATCAAAAAAATCTGGAGAATATCATTGCTTTGACAATTTGGGAAATTAGGATTATTGATATTTCATTTTGTTGGGTCCCATCAGTGAAATATTCTAGGAATATGATAGGACCATGCAGGCAAATTAATAATTATGCTACTTTTTCAGATACAGATTTATTATCTCTTTCTACTCAAGAATGTATAAAGAGTGTATATATTGGTTTAAAATCGAAAAAGAATTCCCCAAAATATCAAAAAATGATGAAGATTGCCAAAGATATAGTAGATTCCCTTAATAATATTCCAGAATGGTGGAGTGTTGGAGTATATTATCATACTCCTAATCCAAAATATTCACTTCGTTATAAACATAATAGATTAGATCAAGGTCATACTTTTAATGAGAGTATTGAGGGGTTAATGAAAGCTTGTGATTCTTTAGATGGAAGTGCTAGAAAATTGGGATTTAATCTTCCTTTTCAGTGTTTCTCACCAGAATCTTATTTGAGGGGGTACTTACATCTTTCATTTCGGCTGAGTAAGCTAGGACTTTGTTTGAGGAAATCTATGGCTATAAATTCTTCTGTAATCACTATGAAGATACCTATAATGAGCTATTTTGATTTTGCCATAAGTGTATTGAATCTGGATTTTAGTTTGCGTGAAACATCACGTCAATGTGTAATAATGATACCCAAGATTATAGAATCTCCAGAAGGAAATAAAGTAACTATTTCAATTACATATACTTTACCAGATATTATTTGTAGAGATATCAAAAATTGTGTAACAAAAATTGAATCACATAGATCATTTATAGGTGACAAAGTTCTAAAACCAGCCTTAGCTGTTGTTACTGCAGAAAACTATGAGTCAGATTTATGGTTAAATGAATTAATGGAAACTAAAAAGTATAAAATTCCACTTTTGCTATCTGGTATGAGAATTTATGGAAGATTTCAAGGTTTGGAAATGCCGGAACCATTTAATAAAGCTATGATCATGAATTTTATGAATTTGATTAATGATATGGCTCAAGCTGTAGGAGTACAGACTCTAAATGAACAAAATATTATGGAATTATGTACCAAAGCTGAATTACAGCATAAATTAGAAACAATATTTACTATTAAAAATATTCAATTTTTAGTAAAATATGCTGAATCATATAAATTAGTTAGAATATGTCAAGTATTTTTTAAACTTCTCCCTAATGCAAGTATATTATTAACAGATCAAAGTATCACCCAGGAAAATTCAAAGAAGTATTTAGATAAGGAAGCTTCTCAAATGTCTTTAAGAGTACGTCAATAGGGTAAGATAATTTTTTACGGGAATTATGGGATTAATTGGTATAAGGATTCAAGTAGGATTAGAAGATTACTAATAAAAAAGTTCAATAGCATATAATTTGAAGTATTTGCAATATATTTTAAATTTATCATTTCAATTTTTTTTTTTAAATATAAAGTAATGAATAATATATAAATTGAATTATATGCTTATAATAGATAAATCTTATATCAGCTTGATTTTGTGAAAGTTTTACCTAAATAATGAGTATAAAGAAGATTAAGTTATAAATTTCAGTCCTACTGTTTTCTATATCTTATATTTTACAATTCCTAATTTAAATAGAATTTTTATGGTTTATATTGAATGTTAATGAAATTATAAATTAAAATTAATCTTTTTTTTCAGACTATTTCTAAGAGAAAATCAGATATCCCAGTAGATATTATTACAGAAGATAGTAATTCTGAACAAAAATTAGAAAAAGCTAGTCTTTCAGAATTATATAAACAACAGCCTTATGAATTACTGATGTTCAGGAAGTATTATTTCCAAGATGCTGCACATTATCTTATTAAAAATCATCAGGATAGGGGTAAGTCATTAATTTATGACTTTTTTTTTATTAAGCTTATGTTTATTTTTTTTTTTTAGAATCAAATAAAGTTTTTGATATTAATTGTGATTCAAAATATGGCTTAATTTTGGTACCATTATTAGACTCATATAATGAAGATGAAGGGAATAAACAAGAATACAGTACATTAAATAATGATGTCAGTACTGATATAGGATACTTAAGAAACAAAAACCTAAAGGAAATGTTAATTTCTGAGACAAGGAAATATTCAAAACTTAAAGGTGAGGAAATGTTAAAGTATCAAAGTATTGAATTACTTTGCAGTGAAATAAGTAATCTAATTGATTGTGAAATAAATAAAAACTTACAAAAATCATTTGAAAATCTCTCTAATAAACATATGACAGTAATTTCAATATCAAATAGTGAGGGCATAATGAATATTTCCTGGAAATTCTTGCAAGGGAAATATGGCTCCGTAGGTTTTGGGATATTAAATGTCCCAAGTAGAATTGATGAAATATTCATAAAATCTTCACTCCTAGTTAATTCAAATAAAATTGAATATAAAGTAAAGAATATTGGAATATGGTTCTATGGAAATAATAAACTATTCCCATCTTGGTTATTAGAAAAATCGAAATTTGTGATTTCAGTAAAAAGTCCCTTTAATAAGGTCCACTCTAAGAGGGATAAATATTGGAATAGAGAAAAAATTCTTAGTATTTTAGTAAGCTTAGAGTTATGGACATCTTCGAAGGGGGATTTGTATCAAATAGCTCCAAGTACATTTTCGATATTTTATAATGTCAAAGATTTTGAATCAGATCCTTTTAAATTGGGAGCTTCAATTCAAGACATACCTTTAGAAAGTGGAGTACAAAAAAAAGGAATTTCAGATACTTATGTAAGAAATATAAAGCCCCTTTTTACGAATTATCTCTTTATGGAAAGGCTTCATGGAGAAACAATGAATAGTCTTTTATATTATTTGAGGAGTAGAAAACTTTTTGAGTGGTTACAAGAGGATTATTCCATGACACGTTGGGATCTTTGGTATCATACTATTTTAACATTATTATATCTCAGTATACATACAATTCAATCCTTTGCAGCTTCTGGATTTAGCTTATATATGCACTGTGATATCAATTTTGGAAATATTATTTACATATTACCTCCAATATCTCAATATAATCATGAATACAATCTTCTTAATATTATTAATATGAAACTTATTGATGTAAGAATTATTGACTATTCATTTTTGTATATATTTCATTATAGAGATAACTACAATGACTGTTTGGATATGAATAAACATGGAGAATCTATGGGGTTTGGAAGTTTCTTGGAAGAAAGAAATCTCCCAAATGTATGTAAAGAGGTTATTAATTCTGCTATTTTTAGTGACCCTAATTATATTTCAATTTTTATATCTGAGTTACTAAAAGGTAGTAGTATTCTATATAATATGAACAGAATATTCCAAAAAAAAGAGCAAAATATGCAGAATCAGGAGCTACAGATAGAGAATAATTTTTTGTACATAGATAAATATACATCATTATATAATAATAGAAATCCACAGGTAATATGGAATAATCAGGAAAATAAAGTCATAAGAAAGCTTAGTGAAATTCACCAAAATATTCAAGAACTTCCAGAATGGTCACAAATTGGTTTAAGTTTTATTCCAAATGATAACCCTTTTAAAAGATGGGTTTCTAAGGATCAAAATAAAGGTAAAATGGCTACTTTTAATCAAGGTATTGAAGCTTATATAGCTACATGTAATATTTTAGCTCCTACTTTTCTTCAGTCGTATAGACGACTTGTTTCTCTAAATAATTTTGACATTATTTCTGAAATCTCAAGGTTTCCCTGCTTCTCATTGGAAAGTTATCTACGTGGTTATACATTTCTCTCTTACAATGTGGTAAAGTTAGCTCTATGTATGAGAAGAAGTAGCTCAAAAATTGGGGATTTAAGTGATTTTTTACAAAAAAGACAACCAACTTATTTTCAATTTGCTACATTAGTATTGGAATATTATACATGGCTCATAATACATAATAATAATTTACAAGAATCAAAACATGTGAATCCCGTCGTCCATCGTTCATTTTTTACAGAACTTAAAACACTTTGTAATGAAGAGTCACTCAAATCTGATAGGAACTTTAATTTACAAGTAAATATAAGTTTTCAAGCAAAAAAATCAAGAAATATCTATTACAATATAAATGAAGATCAGGATAAACTCATTCAGAGATCTATTATGGAATTTAATTTACAACCTACATTCGCACTTATATTGCAAAGACTATGGTATAGAATACAAGGTCTTGTAGCATTAAATAATAGTGAAGATCCCATAAAGATACTGTTGCTCCCTTTAATTGATTTCATACAAAAGGAATTCACTACAAAGGACGAATTACTAGATGATTTGACTTTATTAAATGCTTGTAATGAACTATATAATAGAGGTATTATCAAATCCGTACTAAGAAGTGACTTATATGTAACACTAGCTAGGATTGATAAATCTATTTGCGATATGCTAATAAAACCAGCTAACAATTTAAAAATATATTGAATTATTTTCATAGTATAGGATAGATAAATGATTTAAAATGATTATTATTTGATATTCTAAAAAATTGTAATATTCTTTATATGAATGTTAACTTAGCAGTTAAATTATTCTTAAATTTATTTATTGAATCTAAGATATTATAGTTCAAATCTGGTTGTAATTCTATCATTCTATTTTCAAAAATTAAGTTTAAGTTCCTTTGTATCTTCTCATAATATTGAAGAGATTGACTTACAATCAAAAATGCTAACTCATAATAAGTTCCATCTTTTTCTAGATCAAAATATTTATGAGATAATAATTTCGCCATTTCACGTGTTGAGTCCAATATATCTTGACAATATAAAACCTGTTTAATAATATAATTTATTATATCCTCTTTATTTGTCTCACCTATACAATTATTATCAATCTGAGTATTGTCAATAAATTTGATAGAAATATCATATCTATCTAAATTCCTCTTTATATCTTCTAAATCTTTACAAGAAATCTCCTTATACATACTCTCCATTCTTAATAAAAGTTGTTGAATATTAAGTAAAATTACTTTATGATTACCTATGCTATCATTTTGAGTTGTATTCATTGAATCTACAAAATTTAGGTAAGGAAATGAATCAATTGTACTAGGTGTAGTATCAGGTTCACTTTTAGTTACAAAATCCGATAATTCTGTCAATACAATAAAGTTACTAGAATTTTCATAAATATTATCTTTTAATTCATTATTATTTTTATTTTCGGATTTTACTTCATTTATATATTGTTTAGTTGTATTATTCTCACAAATTAGACTAGATAAATCTTCCTTATTTTCCACACAATCTGAAATATTAATCAATTTCGATTTACTCTTAAATGAAATGATGAAACTAGACTTTTTCTTATTAAATGTATTATGAATCAAATAAGATATTTTAGATACTTCTAAAGTAATTTTTGTACATATTTTCTCCTTTATTCTTATACAATTTAACCTAATTAAAGATAAACTTTCTTGAAAATGAGCATTTAGATCACTTCGAAATTGACCTGATATATACTTAAATTTTCTCTTTTTCCTAGGTCTTTGTAATATAATAGGATCAACATTTGATAAATTCAAAATTTTATCTTTATTACTAGATTTCCTGAAAATTTTATGTATTCCTAATTTAAGATTCTCATAATTTGTCTTTATAGACATTTTGACATTCTCCATAAATTTTAGTATCCTCTGTTTTTTTGTTATCTTCTGAATCTTACTTTGTAGTTCTGACTCACTATCCTCTTCAATAACTGTACCAACATCGAAATTATAACTTTTCATTTTTAATAGTGGCATATTAACTCTCATTAGCTGATTTCTATTTATTAATTTATATTGTTTAATATTTGGAGGTAGAGATTGACAAAAGTTAGAATCTGGACTATTACATTCCATACTATCAATTAAGTATTATACCCAAATATTAGTTGATATATATATATATATATGTTAAAACTATTGTAATAGTCTTAGTTTTATATTTCTCTAATGTCCCTAATTTTATCGTATTACGTTTTATAAATGTAGCTACTAGAGCAAAATCTAGCTCTTAAAAATTTTATTGTGTGGAACCCGCTATAGGCGGCAAATATTCGTAACTGTAAGTTAACTAAATTAAGGAAAAAAGTTGAGTATAGTAAATCACATAACATTTTTATAATAAATATTTAGATCAGATATAACTACAGAAATACTCGTGATACTTAGAATTATAAATACTTTACAATATTGCCCTATTTAGGGTCCTTTATTGACCATTTATCTGGAATAGGTTTGAATGGATCTAATCCACAAGGTAGGGGAAGCCAGGATACTCCAGTACAATTAATTAATTCTTGTGAGCACTTTTCCTTATGACATTCTTGACATTTCTTATTACATGTACTTGAGAAACATGGGCCTTTACAGTTCTTACTACCACATAATACTGATTCAGCATAACAAGTTGAACATAATTCAGATAATATCAAATTATCTTTTGTAAAAGTCTTTTTCATAATACATCTCTTTGTTCCAGTATACTTTCCAAGAGAAGATCTACCACACTTCATAACTGCAGTTTGAAAAGCATCCTTTTCAGTACCAAATATAATTGATATATCAGAAAAGTTAATACAAGAACCTTTACTTTCTTGAGTAATAGGGGGATATGGTGTTGATAAAGTAGTTGTTTGTAGAATTGTCTTTATATTACTCCATTCCACATCAGGTATATTTTTACTAACAATGGTAGTATTAGTCGTCTGATGTTCTGAATCATCAACTTTAAGTACAGATATATGATCACTAACTACACTATCAACTTTTTCTTTTTCAATATTATCTTGAGAAACTTGTTCTGATATATCTTCTGATGACTCAGTTATTGAATCATAATCATCATCTAAATTAATAATTTTCATTGGTCTATATTGCACAGATTCCTTTTCTACTAAATCTTCACTAACTGTAGGTACTTCATTTTGTAGTTTCTCTAAATTCCCATCTTCATGACTATTATCAAATTGTTTAATTAATTCTCTGACAGTTTTATTGCGATCTTCAAATAATTCTATGGGTGAAGATGTAACAACTGATGTCTTCGTAAACTCTGTAGTGTCTAATTTTGTACGAGGCAAATAACTTTTTGGAACACCAGCAGATTTCTTGTGTACAAAATCTGAAGCATATAAAACCGGAACATTATTTTTTGAAGATGTAGTATATTTATCATTAGAACTAGGTATAATTAATACAAATAATGTCTCAACTTTATCATTCTCACCTTTCACTTGAATTGTATCAAACTCTAAACAATGTATATGATTAAATAGATCAGTACGGAATAAGAATAAGAATGAGTATACAATAATAAGAGACCACTGATGCTTAATCATTATTGTATAATCTTGATATTAACAAATTTTTTAGTCAAGAGTTTTGTATAGACACTTGTCATTCCGTATTAATACGACAGATTCAAATAGTTACCTAGGAGACACGCCGCTCCACTAAGAAAATAGCAACTCAATAAATAAAGGATACTTGTCAAGTACTACGATATAATTACTTAGAGATATAATATCCTAATTAATTGTATATAGAATATATTATTAATAATTTAATATATATAAGGTATAGGATATTTCACACTAATTAGGTAATTTTTATAATACAAGAAAAAAAGTAAAAGAATGTATTAATTGGGAAATACAAAAACTAACAACTAGACAATTAATGAGGTTCTTTAGCTTTAAAGTTATCCGGTATGGGATTATGTGGATTTAGACCACATGGAAATGGTAACCATTTGGTCCCTGCACATTTATTAAGATCTTTTGAACAGTGATTAAGTGAACACTTCTGACATTTAGCTACACATGTATTAGCAAAACAATGATGTGCACAGTTACTTCTTCCACATGCGACTGTAGCAGACCAACAGTTAATACATCCTTCGCTTAATTTATGACCAGAAAGTTCAACTTTGGATAAACATGACTTTGTAAGTTTAAAATTTCCAAAGGATTTTCTTGAGCACTTTACTATTATTTTCTGGAATTCATCTCGGCCTACACCAAATATAATTGCAGTATCAGAAATCTTGTTAACACATGCTCCAACTGAATCTTTTGTAAATGGTGGTTCTGGTGAGACATAATTTGTATTATTCATAGCTTCTTCAATAAGATACCATGGATCCTTAGAATCACTATCATTAATTACAGTAGTACTTGTTGTTTTTGCAATAAAGCCTTCACTAATTTTTGTCTTAGGTGTTCTTTCTTCCAAAGTAAAGTTTCTAAAACTAGAAGGAGTTATTGTATAACCATTAGTTAAATTAGTAGTATTTAATGTTATATTACTATTATTTGTAATATTTGTAGTATAACCAGAAATAACTGGTGTATAGATAATAAGTTCAGCACTTAGTGTCCAAAAGTTAAATACTAAAACCAAGGATAGAATACAAAAAAATCGATACATAACTTTTTTAAAAAAGAAAAGAATGACCACTTTTGTTGTATCTGTAATAGACATGTAGTGTTAATTGAAATAATAGTGGAGAAACGATCAAGTAAGTCAGCCAAATTGTTTGTGATAATAGCGGTTTAAGTGTAGTGCTATTTTCATTATTATAGGTTATAACACTTTTTTTTTTTGCAAAATAGGAAAATTTAATACTATTTCTCTTTAAATTTTACTTCTACACATGACTTGATTAGTATAAGTTAAAATAAAACTAATTATATTTTTAATTTTTTAATTATTTAGAAGTAAAACAAATATAAAGGCGCTATTTTTGTAAAAATGTTTCCCGCCTCTGTGGGGGGTAATGCTGATCTAAAGTAATTAATAGATTATACATGTATAGGAATTAAGATCAAGAAATACTGAGAGCTCAGGGAACATAAATATTATATTTCTTTCTATAATAGATAAAATTAAACAAAAGTGGGCAATTAGGAAGATAACAAGGTTGGTTAGGAATTATATAGTGAGGATTCTACCAGATTGCAACGTGTTAACTGTATTTTATATGATGGTAAAGATAGAATTTGTAAGTAGAAAGTATACCATATGGTATTTTTTATGTTTTACATTGTTATACCTAACTGTAGTTAGGTCTTCTCCATCTAATTATGAGCAATCTGAATCATCAGATTCAACACCAGATGGTTCAGGTGAAGGAAGTCTGTCTTCTGATCTCTCAATTGATTTTTTGGATACTTCTGTTGCCTTTCCACCACCACCATCTTCTTTTAAAGATCCAAATGATAATAATAAAAAGCTTTTTCATAAGGAATTATTACCTCCTATGCCGAAATTTGGAGGTCTAGTTGGTGAAGTTGAAGAGGTGTCAGAGAAAGCTGTTTCACCATTTAAAACTCCTAAAAGGGAATCCAATACTAATGGTTCTGGACCTTTTGATTTTATTCATATCACGGATAAGAATGTTCCATCAAATATGCCATTTATAGTTACGCTTCCAAATGAGCCTGAAAAGATTAAACTTCGTGAAATGAAGGATAAATTAAACATAGATATTGAACCCGAAGTAAGTTTCACTGAATATGAAATTGGAAAAGATATTAGAAGAGATTCCCAATTTTATTATGAGTTAAAAGAAAAGCTATTTAATGATAGGAAGATTCATAAGGAAGTGTCAGAAGTAGTTAGAAGTGCAGAGGAATATAGAGCTAGTATTGATTCTAATATAAGGTCATTAATTACATCTGTTAATCAGATTAAACATCTTTATGAAGATATGAAAGCTAGATTCGAAAAGATGAAGAAATCTAGTATTCCAGAAGAATCATTAATTGCTCATGAGGATGAAATGGCTCGTCTTAAGTTAAAGCATCAAGAAAGTTACGGTTATTTAATGTCAGAAAAAAGAAAAAGAGATGCTGCAATTGATATTATCATGAAATCTAAACAACAGTTACTTAATATTGATGAGAGGATAAAACGTACTCAAGAAAAGTTGAATGTTTTTGAGAATCAATTAGATATTCATGAGAATTCAAGTGTTCCAACTGATGAGCTTGAAATATTACAAGAAACTGAGGTTGAGACTAAACAGGGATACCTCCCAGATGAAGTTTCTATTGCACCTCACCGTAACGATGTGGACATTTCAGCTAGAAGTTACGATGAATCATTAATGTTGGAAGCAGAAGAATCTACTGGTGTTCCTGAAATGAGTTCTCAGAGTCCTCAGAATTCTCAAAATCAAATATTCGATATTGCTGCTGATGAGTCTTTGAATTCATTAAATGTCCATTTGTCAGGGTCACCAGTTGCTTCGTTAACACCATCTCCAGTTATTCCTTTAACACCATCTCCAGTTATTCCTTTAACACCATCTCCAGTTATTCCTTTAACACCATCTCCAGATTCTTCAAAATTATCTCAAGCTTCTTTAAAATCACCTCCAGTTCCTTCAACACCATCTCCAGTTCCTTCAACACCATCTCCAGTTCCTTCAATTCCTATAAGTCATTCATTATCTCAAACTTCAGATTCTGATTTAGGATCAGAATTCGATATTTACAAATTTGTACAATTTGCACTAACTTCTTATTCTTCATCCATTTCTGAGGGTGAATATAACCAGAGAGTAGAAGAATTGGCAAAAAGAATTAATATTATAAATTTTGCTATGAGTTGTATTTATGAAGTTACTGAATTCTTTCTATTTCTCTCTTTGGATGATTCATCAGAATCAAGTTATACTGCAGCAGATGCTTTAAAAGTATGTAGACAAATATGGCGTGATTCTTTTCATTCAATGGTTAAACATTACGTTACCATTCCTCCTGCAACTTTGCGTACTTTATTTAAAACTGCAATTCAACAACACTCAGAAGCAGTTAAATCTTTATCTAACTTCTATAGAGAGGATCAATTTAATACAATGGTTGAGTCAATTAATATTGAATCTTTTGAATCATGTAAAACTATTGTTGATAATTTGTTTAAAGAAGCAGATTTCTCTGAAGAAGTAATTACACGCATTTGTATAACAATGCAGGAAACATATAAGAAATATTCAAGGCATATTAAAGATCACGCTGCTTTAGTAAATTATGCATCGAGAATTGCCATTTACTCTGTTATTCCATATTCTTATGATACAGCTCCATTTAAACATAATAATGATTTAGATCAAATGATTAAACGCTTTTCATTCAAATCTCTTTCTTCCTCTTCAACTTTTTATTCACAATGTTTGGAACATTATTCAGCTGCATATGGTCCTAATAGTACTTATGAAATGCCTCATAAGATAGTACAAGAAATTTGTACATCAGTCCAAAGCTTATTTAGTAAGGCTTTACCACATGGAGTGAATGTTGTTATCTTTTCGACGAAACAGGTTCCAACAGAAATGATTCCATTATTTAGTGGAGCAACTGAGATGGTATTTTATCGTTATAAATCTCAGTCAGATATATTAATACCAAAAGAATCTTCGGAATCTTCGTTAGATCCTGGTGTTCCTGCTGATCTATCACCTGAATTACAGTTGACATTAAATATTTTAGATCAACAATCTAAAACTCAAGACTTCTTACAAGAGCAGCAGACACAATTAAAACAAATTTTAGAGAAACCTTTAAATTCTGATGATACACATCAAATTTTAAGTGTGATTGCTTCTTTAAATTCTAAACAGCGTGAAATTGAGAAGAATTTAGCTGTAACATCTCCAACAATAACTCATCTAATTTCTGGGGCTCGGAAGTATTCCCAGCCATTAATTTCAGTTCCAATATCATCTGCTAGTACTACTGATATTTCTACGGCAGATGCATCTATGGTTCAGAATTTTCTAAAAGCAGTAGAAAATCAAAGGCAATTATTAGATCAACAACAAGAACAGCTTTTAATTTTAATGCAGCAACCATCTCTATCGCCAGCTGATAGAAGTATGACATCAATGCTTTTATCTGACACTGAATCTCGTAAAATCAATTTATCTAATCAAGTTGAAGCAAGTTTTCAATCATTTTCTATGCCATCTCCACTTTCTCCTGAGTCTCCTTTATCTTCAGTATCTCAAACTAGTATCTCACCGCATGATAATTCAGCTTTGAGTGATGCTATTAGTAATTTAAGGATTCTATTTATGGAGGTAGCAGCTACAAGTGAAGAGGCTTCAAAAATTCTTTCAGGGATTTCAGTTAGTACTTTATCTCCAGAATCTCATAATGCAGTAAATTCCTTAAATAAGAAAATTCAAAAAGTTAATTCAAAATTGGGTAGTATTAATAAGAGACTACAAAAACCTTCAAATTATATTACAAGAATAGAAGATGCTGATGAGATTAATTCAATTTTGATGAGGTTACTCAGTTCGATTAAAGTATATATGAATAAATGTCAAAAAATTGAAAGATCAGGTTTAGGATTTAGTACTATATCATCAGCTGATATAACTCCACCTGAGTCTCTATCTCCTTTATTAACAGATTCTGTTAAAAAGAAATTTCCTTCTCCTCAGTTTGTTGCAAAAGTTTCTTCAAATATAGTAAGAACTCAAAATAATCAAGGTCATATAAAAGAATTTCTGGATATTATGGCAACTAGAAGATTAGCTGAAAAGGAGAGAAAAAAGTTGAAGAAGTTGTTTGATGATTCTGGAGAAAGATTACGATCTATCGTTAGAAATATTGCTAGATTAGCAGCAAATTCTAATTCAGATCAATTGTTGAACTTTGCAGATAGGTTTAATTCTACATTAGTTGATATCTTTATAAATCAACAGAATTTATTAAAAGCATATTTAGCTATATCGGGAAGGGGGGAGAATTCACAAGATGGTATAAGTATTAATCAAGCTGTTATAAAATTAACAAATAGCCTTTCAGAAATAATGAATTATTTGGGGATTAATAAATTTGAGGAGACAACATATAGTCCTAGCCCATTATTAGATAACCAATTATCTTCTATTTCTACTTCATCTTTATCTCCCAAATCAGGTCGTAATATTACAAAATCTCCAATCTCTAAATTTAGTTCTTCAGAAATAGCTCCAAATTCTAGAATGTTGCCTATTGAGTCGCCAATGATGAAAATTTCTGCTCCAGGGCAAAAATCGAATAATAGATTACAATTGCCAGTTATCCCATTGTTTCGAAAGCCTCATATTGAGAAGCCAATTTATGAATATAATAAAAGTCGAAAGGATTCAAGAGGAGTACCTATTGTTGCTGGTCCATTGGCCGGTTCTAATGTTGGGCAAAAGGCCCTTTCTTACGTTGAGAAGGCTCTTAAAAGGCAACAAACTACTGGGATATATCCTGAAGGGTTTAAGATTCAAGGGAGTAATATTTACAAGCAATTACCTATATCTGTAGTTTCTCCACTTTTAGAATCAAATACTTCCATATCCACAAAGATTATGAATCGTGATATATTTTGTATTAAGTATGGTTATAAATCAATGAGTATCTCTTCTCATCATCGTGCTTATCGTCTATTTGCTAAGGCTCCAAAAATATTACCAAAAGGAGTTGTTATGGACAGAAGATCAGCATGTGACATTGCATTTAAAATAAGTGGAGTTAATACATTGCAAGAGTGTACCAATATTATCTATCCTACCTTAGTTAACTTAGGTTATTCAGTATCAGGTCATAGAACTCAAAAGGTTTGTCAAGCTATTTTGGTTGAGAGTAATACAACTAACATTGAGGGGGATTGCTCTCAATTTGTAAGTCATAGAACTAAATCAAAATATAACTTTACTCCACTTGAAAATGAACGGGCAACTAAAATGTTTCTAAATTTCAACAGATTAGGTAATGAAGCAGGAGTGAAGACAGTTAAATTAAGTCATCATACAATATGCGATTTTGTTGAATCAATGAAATTAGTCTTATTCCCTGGTGAGAAATTTGGATCTTATCGGGCTTACGAGTGTTTAGGTGCATTTGAACAGCATTTATTACTCGAATCAGCAAATTTAACAGAGAATCACATTAGGGCCATATTAAAGGCATGTCAAGATTCTGGATTTAAATTGTAGGCAATTAGCTGGTAATACTTTAATAAGCAGTGCTACTTAACAGACTCGATTAGTTGTTTATATAGTCTTCTCAGTTATCCATGGATCAGATCTCATAGGAAATCTATCTATGATGTGGGGTAAGAGAATATGAATAAGCATCGATTGCAAGAGCAGGATAAGGATTCATAGATAGGATAAACAAGCTTTAGCTAAACCTTAAGTTAAAAAAAAATTGTCACTTTGTTTATTTAAAACAAATATATCACATAATTCTAAATTTTGTTTTTAATGCTTGATAGTGTTATTGGTTGTAATAGCCGATAATAGCACGTTATTGTGAAGATACATAAAATATTCTCCTCACTTCAATTCTAAATTAGAGTATATTAGGCGGTTTGAGTTCATGGCGCGTTATTCGTTATATTAGATCTAAGTTCTAAATGGTGTAAATATTTTACCCAGGTTAATGATCTATTAGCCCTATATTCTTACTGAAGAAACGAATATATATTACTTAGGTATGAAAGGGTACCTTAAAATATTAGGCATGGAATGAGAATTTTTGTTTATCCTGTACACTCAAGTATACTTCCATTACAGTTTTGGAATGGTTTGTTAATATTTTAATTGAGATGTTTCAAAAGTGTTACATTTTAATCTTAAGTATTATATGTGTATATTATATATCTAAGTTAAGATGTTTCGTAATAGCATCCGGAAATTTTGATGAACTTAATAATTATAATTTGCAATATGGAAATACTGGTAGCAACAATAGTTCAATATTTCCATTTACAAAATTGACTAATTTTTACACAAATGAAATATATTATATGACTGTCAATCATTTCCAATGTATTAAAAAGGCTTCTATAGAGGCATATAAATACATTAAAAACAATGTAGAGGTGAGCTCTATAAGAATTTATAGGCGAGTAAGGATAACACTTCAGCAGAAGAGTTATGCATATATTTCTGGTGAGCAATTAAATTTATTAAATCCTTTAAGTAATATGTATCCAATGATTTTGGATGAAGTGGATAATTCAGCTCAAACTTCGTGTCCTTATAGATATTTTATTATACCAAATAACAAATTTAACATAGATGATAAATTACCAAAAGATTTAGTTCGTGAATTCGATGATTTATTATTAGGATCTGGGACAATAGCTATATTTATACACGGGGGAATTTGGTATATTTATGAAGGTTTGGGATATTATTCACCTATAAGATTATTTGAGAATCTTTCTCAAAAAGGAATATTTGCATATTCTGGTTTAAAGCAAAGTATTCATTATATATATGTGACAAGCATAGAAAAAAATAGTAAGATAGTTGAAGGTAATGATAAAGATATTGAAGTAATTCTTCAAGAGTTTATTTTTAGGAGGTCTCTTATTTCTATAGAAGAGAAGCTGGAAGATGAAAAGTTAGAGATGAAAGCTAGACAACGAGTTATACTTAGAACAAAAATAGAAGAAGACTTAAAGAGACAACGCTTATTATCTTATAAGAAATTAAGTGATTTAGAGTGTAATAGTTGCATAGATATATTTCAATGTCCTCAATGTAATAAAGAGATCTTTCCTTCAGAGAACGAAGTGGAATTTCATACTGCAGTAATATTGGCTAAAAAGGGAATATGGTATGAAGATATAATTAAACCTTCAGTGTCATTAAATATTAAGTCACCTTTTTATACCTTAGAGAGAAAAAAATTTGAAGAATTATGTTTTGTAAGAGTAGAAGAAGACTCAAAAAAGATATTACAATATAACTTGATTTCTCAGAAGGTAAGTAATACAGATGATGTTGATATATCAGAAGTTTCGCCAGTATCACAATCAATTGGTTATGAAGAATTATTGCCTATTGAAGTTAGTGAACAATTACCACAAGCTTTGGACCATTCATTTGGCAATACTAGTCGCGAAACACCAGTAACCTTATTAGAGGATTCTCCAATATTTCAAGAACTATCAGTTAAACCTTTATATAAAGATCCTCTAGTACTTGGAGTGCATTCAGTTGAAGAATTTAAAAGTGACTCTTTAGATAAGATTAAATTAATAGATGAGTCAGAGAGTAAAGTTCCTCCAGAGCTTGTAGAATTACGAAAACATCCACTATATAATACTTCATTAAAGCCTAAAGAATTGTTAAACTCATCAGCTATAAAAGATCTACCAGCATCTATAGAGTCTTCTGATAAACTACTTCATTCTAAATCAGGTTTCACCAAACCTTCAGTAAAATTATTTGTTAGAAATTTCTTAAAACATCGAGAACCTTCATCTTTTTTAGATCAAAATATCAAAAAATCACATGAATCTCCTCTTGGTTATACTATCTCAACTATTCCCTCTAATAAAATATTTAATACTGAATCTCCATCTTTATATTTAAAGGATTTGGATAATTCCATGATATCTAGAGAAATTTCAGTAATTCAACCAAATCCTTGCATTAAGTATTGCCCCAAATTTATATTGGACACTGTAGATAAATCAACTGAAACAGCATCTATACGGGCTATAGAAAAATTTACTAAATATTTAAGTCCTCTATTTAACTTATTATATTTTGGAAATAATAAATATGAGTATAGAAGAATTTATGATTCAATGCTATTTTGGGGTTTCCAAAGTGGATCTAATCATTTGACTAGGTTATCAAATATATTATATAAAAAATCTTTAGATTTAAACGGATATAAACAAAATCAACCTGTTCTTCAAAGTAGAATAGATCAGAAAGCTTCTCATATATTAGCTACAAATTCAGTACATCGAGATAACACTATAACTAAACCATTATATTTTAATTCTAGTACAGCATATAATAGACATAATTCAAATGAACTACTGAGAATTAAACGGAATTCAATTACAAAGCCTAGATCAATAAGGCCATTAAGAAAGAAGATAAAAAGGAGGTATCCAAAGAAAACTGTTACTTCTAAGCTTAAATCAGTGAAGAAGTCATATGAAGATTCATTGATACCACACACCAGGAAAAGAAGAGAACAAAAAATGAAAAGGCAAATTTAACAATATATATAATAAATTAGAAGTCTTATTTTATATTCCTAATTATATCTCTTATAGATTTATCTGGAGTATTAATTCTTTTAGAAAGTTCTTTATAAGTAGACTTGATGCAAAATACCTGTAAAAAGGGTTCCATTTTACTTATAGGAAAAAAGGCAAAATCTTTGAAATTCTTGTGAATATTAAATAACCCAATGCCAGCACAATAAGAACGAATGACTTCGCTCAATACTTTAGGACTATCTTCTTCTGAGGAATTTATTGTACATACTATTATCCCTAATACAGAAAACATTGTAGTTGTAAATGAATGCTTGTTCAAAAACCTATTGATCATACAGTTACTATTTAAGTATTCAGTGGATAAATAGTATACAATCTGATCTTTCATATTATTATTCTTAGTTCTTTCTCTATTAAGTTTAATATTCTTTGAAGTAAATAATTTACTTGGAAATAGTTGAGCTTGGTTATTTGGGATTTTGGGATAATAAAAAGGTACATTTGGATGGGAAGGAAAAACAGGAAAGCATATTTGAGTTACAAATTCTTCATTATTTCTAATTGAAATGTTATCTGCTGATGTAAGAGGATAAGGTAGTTGTACTGTACCATAACAGACAGATTGAACTACTGATTCTATATTAGTGTTGTTATCCATACATTGTAACCATCCTATATCCTAAAATTTTAATGGAGAAAGAATTATTATGAAGATATTCAAAAAAAAAAAACTTCTAGTTATTAAACTTACATCTTCTTTATCTACTAATATAGGAAATGGTAAGTTTACAAATTTATAATTAAATATGCAAGAGTAATCATATGCCAAGTGAAGAGCAACAACATATGCAGCTATAGAATTGTAATAATTTTGAATATATTTGTATAACTTTTCACTTCGAACCTTCCCTTCCCTAATTTTGTCGGGTCTTAAAAGGTGAGCTGCTTTAGGTCTCAGTGGAGTAAATATATCAGAGTTTTCTGAGTTTACATCCAAACAGCATATGAGAGCTAAGTTCAGAGAGTATACCACTAGATATAGAATTGCTTGGAGAAACCTTACCATCTGCCCTTATTATAATTTGGCTGAAATCGATATTGCGGGACATCCCCGTGATGTACGCGTTTGACGTCTTGTTAGTAGTGTAGAATATTATTATTCCATACATAAAGTTTCTAGTTTATACATTGATGTTGAAGAGTAAATATATAGTTGTATCATATTGATTAATTATCTTAAATCTGAGTTTCTTTATATATTGGAGAAGTAATCTGTTCACTCCATATCCTTAGATTTGTCAAAGCTATCCTATTGCAGTTAATAATTTCCCTACGTCAGATATAAAATTAATCTAACATAGACCTTTGAATGAGAAGTTACTTGAGGTCAATTCTACTTCTCTTGAAGCTTTATATTTAAAGTAAATTTGTACTTGCTAATCAGACTTTTTTGGCTTTAATTACAAATAGGATTGATAATGAAATTTCAAAGTACCTTAATTTAAATAAATTTGATTTTAGAATATCAACGTTTTTATTATTTAATGATGCTGAATTTTAAAGTGAAATTAGCTCTAGAGCTACTTATAATTATTCTTCTTAGTTTCAAGATTCTGCATTCAACTGGTAAACCTGGAATTTTAAAAAGTAAGATTATGAAAATAAAGAACAAATTTAGGTCATATGAAGATAAAATATTAATGCCTCATAAATATGAATCTATATCTCCTTTGGATACGGAAGAATTACAGTTTTTAAATGAAAGTAATATTATGAGATTGTCATTAGCAAGAGATTTGACAAGGTTCCAAGAGAAAAAAAGAAATAACAAAAGCACAATAGACCATAGAGAAATTGAGTTTTATAATTCTATGTTTCCAACTTATTCAAAAAATATGCGTGTTGGAGATTCAATGGAACCATTTTCTTCTGAAGCTAGTATGTATTTATGGCCAAGAAATCCTTATAATCATCAGGGATCTAATATTGTGTACTCTAAAATGAGTAAACCTATACAAATAGACCATTTTGGTTATATTATATCTAAGTTTGACAATACAATTAACAGTGGTAAGGGTATTAAGGAAAGAATATATACAAAAGTTTTACATTCTACATCTATTTGGGGAGTCTTTGTATCACCTTGTCATGGTTTGATAATATTTTCTCAAATATTTAGTAGATCTCTTAAGTACGATGCAAATACATGTTTATACAGAATATTTTGCAAGAATAGTGATATAATTGAGAGATACAGCCTTGCTAATGGAATAGTGACTGAGTTTATGAATAGAAAACTTGTACACAAAGAAGATGGAACGATAGATACTAGTGTAAATTATAATGTAAGTCGCGGTGACATTATTTTAAGAGTTCTAGAAGATTATAATCCACCATTATATGAAGAAGAAATATTTGAAGTTCCTGTAGCTATGCCATGTAGTGGATATGTTTTATGGGCAAAGAAACCTAAACAAGTATTTATTACTGGTGAGCTTATTGCTGAAATTAACTGCTATTCAGATATCAACAAAACTAATAGTAGTCAATTAATATTTGCTTCAAGCAGAGGTTATTATGACCTATTAAATCTTAACTATACGAAATATAGAAAATACAGTAATGACACTTCATTGAAATCAAATTTCAATAGATCTTTTTTGCCAGTCAACTTTCCATTTGCGACTTTACATTTAGAATGTAAACATTTTATTTCAAAGGAAGATAAATTAATTGGTTACCAAAATACAGATAATATTATGATAAAGATGCCCTGCAAAGGTATAATTAGATTTCCAACAATACGTTTAGATTTTGTGATGGAGAATGAGGTAAGTAGTGAAAGTAATAGATTCTATTACTTTTTTAAATTTATATTATACTTAATGAGGTATTAAAGAACTTCAATAATTTTTTCTTTTAAATTATATTTTGATTTCAGAAACTATACGAAGTTAAATGTTTGAACGGCACAACTATAACGCAGCAAAGTATGTTACAAGGAAGTGTTGAGATGCTAGTTAGTTCAAATACTATTATAGAAGAAAATGAATATATTTTATGTATATCAAAAAAAGATCTATCTAAAATGTTATTAGATGACTTTTCATCAAAAATGGTAAACACTTGGAGGATGTCTAAAGAAGCTGATGTTATGATACCTATCTTATTAAAATTTAGTAATAATGAGGAATGGAAATATTAAACAATTTGAAAAGAAATACATAAGTTATTTATAGGTATATCTTAAGTCAGTGATTTCCTGTCAATTTCAGTATTAATTACTAATAGTGTATATGATTTCCACCTCTTATTGTGCTTTGTACAGTAATATATCATTAAATAAACATTAATTCCGTATTGTATAAAGCATCACTGAATATTATATACCATTTTGGAGTTTTTATAAAAAGGGATACCTTAGATACTCATGTCTAGGTATTTAATCTTGCATTAAAGATTTTCTGATTAAATATAATGGAGGGTTTTTTAACAATATAGTTTAGGGAGGTGTTATATTCTAAAAAGTGGGATTTAATGAAGCAGTGTCCATAGTTTCTTTGTGTTCAAAATATTCTTACATATACCCTCCTATAATATACATGCAATTTCGTCTCGTCCTGGGCGCGAGAGAAGTATCTTTAGAGTTTCATAGACGATCTCATGACCTTATATCCCACATAGTCTCTTAAAAGTTATAAATTCAAATATAACATTCGAAGATTCTACATAATACTATCTTTAAGTTGTCATTCTATATACCTTATTATTTCTGAGATATAAAGTGCACTCTATCTAAATGGTTAGGACTTTGAAATTTCTGTATTCTCTAATATCTCTGTCAGTTTATGGAGGGGAAATTAAGTAGTAATATATTTCCTGCAGTCTCATTACGCTCTGAATCTAGTCATAGTGGCGAGATATCTATATTAATGAATTTTAAGCTTAGTGATGTAATAATAATAGATAATCCAGAAATCAGAGTATTGAATCAAAGATTTCTAACTAGAAAAAAGCACTATAGTGGAATTTCATTAAATGCAAATAATCAAGAAATAAAAGTAAATGACTGTTCTTGTGATATTAGAGTCCTGGATTTTAATCCCTATTCTATATATAGTGGAAAATCAGAATCTCCAAAAGAAAGTTTAAATAACCAAAGTTATATACAAGCATCAATAGTTTCAACTAAAAATCAATTTCAATTCCCAAATGAAATAATTAACTTGACTAAAACTACATATCACTCTCCTGTTAAATTATCTGGGGTTGCTGAAAAAATGATAAAGATTGATTTAACTCATTTGACACATTGTAGTGATCAGTTCTGGCCAAGATTAATCAATTATACCGAAAAAATTATGCCATATTCTATTACATTACCCCTTTCTCCAAAAGAATTAAATACTATGGTTTCAATAGTGACTGATATTACCCCTACTATTGAATTAATAGCTTCTGTTAATCATAGTTGCCAAATAGAAAATTATAAAGTAGATAATAATATAGAGATGTCTAACTTTAATATTTACCATAATGAATTTGTGAATAATCAAGATCCTCATTATAAAGCACATTATATACTTTGTTATTGTACTCTGCGTTTTATCTTTGTTAATAATATGTTGGTATTATAAATATAAATAATGGGTTCTATTCAAATTAGTGTTGTGTAGTTTATGAAGTCTTATTTCCGATTTCACAATATCCTCCTGCAATATATATAATTATTGGGCATGTTATTACTATTAGAAATATTAAATTTATAAGAGTAGCTTTTTTTAGAGAATCCGATTCTGATTTTTTACTTTTTGTATCTCCTCCAATCTCCTTAGCTTCCTCATGTGTTTGAATAGCTTCCAATAGTAACTTTGGTAAAATTAAATTTGTACCATTGTTGCCGAATAATACTTTAGTTTCATTAGAAGGTAGAAGTAAAAGAGTTAATAATTGTTTATCCACATTTATCACTTCCAGAGTTGAGTTCCAGTCATTAAATGAATTTGTGAGGTAATGTCTAAGTGCTGTTATTCCATACTTTGCATAATAGTTATGTGCATTTCCATATGAAAAAATCATATTATCTTTAAATATAGGAACAAAATTTTCCAATTTATTAACATTTACAAAATATCCTGCAATAAGCAAAATATTTACGTTTGGATTTATTTTCCTTAGTTTCTGTAGTTGTATATTTCCCTTTTTCCTCATATTAACTTTGGTCATATTTCCATTGTCTAGTAAAAAATGCATCTCCAAGTTCATTACAACAATCCTCTTTATAAACTTAGAAAAATCACTCAGGTTATAGCTTATGTACATACCCTCATAGGGTAGGTATATTGGAAAATCTTCCTCATAAAATAATATACTTTGTTTATAATCTATAGAGTTATCAACTTTTAAGTGTTGAGTACCAATGATTGAGATGTTATCAAACTTCCTCATATCTATTAATTTTAATTTATCATTAATAAGTAATCCAACATTTGATGGTTCATAAATAGCTTCTCTTAAGTGTTCTGAACGGTCTGAAGCTGATATAGATGAGTCAGAAATATTGTAATAGTGTCTCTCGTAATAAACTTTATTATTATCACTTCTTAGTGCAGATGAATGTAGGAAATAAGTAAATACGTTGAAATATCCAAAAAGATAGAAGTGTACGTTAAGGAAAACAAAGGCATCTCCCTTTAGGAGCTTCATCTGCTAACCTATTAAAAGTGTACTCTTAAATAAAGATTTCTGACTTTAGAATTTCTTCAATATTATATTATAAAGAAAAAAAATCTAATATTGGATTTCCTAAGACTTTGCAAGTAAACTTAAATAATCCTCGAAAGGTAACTACCCGCCTATAATTGGTGGTCTGTAGATACAGCAATTTATTAATGGAGTTGTGCAATATTTGATACATGCAATAGGATTTGACTCTTCAGTAAAATTTTTCACTAAAACATATTGAAGTTGTTTTATACGTTATTATTTGAGAGTAATGGCTGATTACTTAGATCAGCTTGTTTCTTTTTTCTATTTTGTATATAGATAGCAACAATAACTCCTACAACAACAAAAAGAACAGCAAGAAAGATAACTGTATAGATCCATTTAGATCTAGGCTGAGGTGGAAGTTTAGTTTGAATCACAATATCAGGTCCTACATCTTTCATATTTGAAAGTATCCCAAAAGATTCATTAGGACCTATAGATTCAATCATTATTCTTAAATTTGTACTATTGAACTGTTTATATACGATTAAAATATCTGATATAAGATTCTTGAGTTCTATGATATCTGCGCATCCTGATTCCTTTTGTTTAAGATGAGCTATTTTGTAGTTATAGGAATTTACCTCCGATAGTCTTGTATCTCCTTTAGTAAGAGATTGAATAGGGTCAAGAAGAGTAATTTTAATGTCATGTGGATTAAATCCAGAAAATCTGGTTATCATGAGTTTTATATCTGTTATTGACGCTATATTTAAGTCATTAATTACATTAAAATCTAGGATTATCATTTTAGCCTTTTCTTCATCTGATTTATTAGCTTTTAGAAGAGAAATAGTAAACTCTGTTTCACTACTAGGGGGGCCAATGATCTTGTTTTCAACAGGATATATAACTTGTGCACTTGAAATAAATTCTACTAAGTCAATTTCATTATAATCTATATTCTTTCCATGTTTATCTGGGACTAATTTATCTTTAGCATCTAAATTAGTTTTGTAACAGTAAGCTTCTTTAACTATTAGCAATATACCGAAAACTATAAAGTATTTGTTATTCATTTATGTGTAATTGTTCTGAACTAATCTTTATATTATTTTAAACTTTAGAATTAACAAAACAGTCGTGTGAACTTTTTTTTTGTGTGCATATAGTCATAATAACCAGAAAACCTGTTATTTAAATAATAAAATATTTATATGTAAACTAATATAAAAGTTAGACAAAGTAATACTAGAAAAAAATACTTGAATTTATTAAATATTTTAATAAATATATGTTCATCTTTTTCTATTGAATTTTAGTTCGATTTTCTTCGAATACTTGGGTGTATTGGCTACAAAGCAGGTATACGCCTGAATATATCACTTCTTAAGTTATCATATGACTGTTTAATAGCTACTGGAGCCACTGCTGGAGTACTTTGAACTAGACTATATTTGTACTCATTTAGGATTTATTGCAAATTTGAATTTTGTGATTTTAGTAACTCTATAATTTTATTTTTTTGGTTATTATCAAATTCTATATTGGATCGGAATTTCTGAGTCAGAGATTCAGCAGAAACACTTGGAGTAGGCGTCCGTAGCCTTCCAACTGATACAAGAGAAATACTTTTATTTGGAATTTTTTTACTAGTATTTATATTATTATTTTTTCCATTGTAACGATCTACTGTTACTTTGCCCTTTTGTAATATGTTAGGTTGTGTATATTTCAGTCTAGCTACAGTTACGGAAGTCTTTGAAGGTGTAGAAAATTTAACTTTAGATTTCGACTCATTTATAGTATCGAGCTCTCTCATTTGTAAAATTTTATCTTTATGTTTAAGCTCTTTTATTTTGTTTGTTTCATCTAAATCATCTTTTTTTTTCTCTTTATTATTGGGTATTTTTGGTGCACGTTGTTTTTCCATATTCATAATTTCATCCACTAATTCTTTTGATTTAATACTACTAGGAAAATGTGAAGTTATGTATTTCTTTCTTGCTTCTAGCATTTCAAGTTGTCGAATATTTCGGACATCTTCACTATTATTGTATTTATTATTCGCTCCCTTTATTTCTTTTTGAACTTTATCAATAAATTTTTCTTGTGATAAACTTAAAGGTATTTCACTAACAACTTTTGGAGGAAGTGATCCAATAATTTCTTGCATTGAATTTACATCTGTAGGAGAAATTTCATTATATTGTTTCTGCTCAGCTTCTAAATATGATAATGCCTTATCACGGACAAATTTGTCAATTTTGTCTAATTCCCTATTTCTCAAAATTTTCTCTCGACTAGCCTCTATAGTATCTGATTTGGCTTTCCGATTCATTATATATACTAATTGATCAATTTTGCTGTTATCAACAGGTAGAGTGTAAAAGTCTATAGATTCAGTGCTACCTTTATTAGAGTAATTATATTGAGTATTTTTATCTTCATATTTATTAGTTCTATTATCATCAATTTTTGGTTCTCTTCTATTTAGTGAAGAAGCACTGGACACTTTTGGACCTGTATATTTTAAAGAAGATTGTACTGCGGTACTATAATCAGGTTTATTAAGTCCAAAGAGCATATTAACTTTTTCTTCTATTGAAAAAGTTGGTAAATCTGGAAGTTGATATCTTCTACTAGGTGTTCCACGCAATATACCCTCTTGTTCAGTATCTACCAAATAATGATTATCCATGTTACCATCTCTTGAGACATCTAACTTTTCAGATGTATAAGTTACTTGTCCATTGGTATCTTTTTCTGAATCAATTGAACTAGTATTGAGTAAATCTAACCTTGAATCATTACTAATATCAACTTCATTTATTTTTATTTTAGGATTCTCTTCACCATATTTGATATCAGTTTTTTTTACAGATCTATCAAAAAAGATTTTTCTTCTATTCATTTCATTTAATACTTTACTGTTAAGGTCTATATCTCCAAAACATGGCTTATATATTTTGCTTTTAGAATTTGATTGACAAATAATATTCTGTAAATCCCACCCACTACTACTTCTACTTAATGTTTGAGCATAACTATTCCTATTAGAATAATTTAAGTAAAATAATATTAGAACTATCCAAGATAACATTTTTTAGTTACATATTCTTAGTTTAATACTTTTACTATTGACTAACATAGTAATCTTTAAAATATCGTATGTACTTGGCGCTAATTCTAAATCTTTTATTATATTCTAGTCCCATTAATAAAAAGTTCTTGGAATTTCTTTTTTCGCCCCCAATTGTTAGAATATTGTAGACAAATTTAATATATTAGTAATGCATTAAATTTTATTTTTCAAGCTTTTTTATTTCTTCTAAAAATGGGAATTTAGCTACAAGATCTAAAGCTCCCATTAGCTTGTGTATTGAGATAAATCACAAGTAACATTATATATCTTCACAATTTAAGAACTTGTAGAATATACCTCATTTATACCACAGAAATTTTAGCTTATTTCATACTAGATTGTTTAATTTATAGTGCAATTACTCCTTTTAAAAATTTCAAAGAGATTAAATATCATTTTATACACATGTGCATTGTGTGTGAATAGTGTGCACACATTTGGTCTATATTTACAGAATTTTTGCTTAAAGTCTAAAAATAAATTAAGAAAATAAGCTTTGGGATTGAAAAATAGGACTATAAGCAACAAAAAGGTATAACTAAACCCTATTGCACTTGTTTGACTCCTGAAGGTAAGGCAAGGAGCAAAATGAATAAAGTATTATGGCTAGTTTTATCCCTACTTTTATTATATCTTGAAAATGCTAGCTCAAAAGAAAAGGGATCCAAAAATATAATAAGTAGACCAGGAATTACTACTAGGATATCTTCAATAGGTATAGGAAGAACTTTTGATAAAGGAGTTGAAGATACAACTGAAATGCTTGAACGATTTTATGATGATACAACAAAGTGGAGACACTTTCAAACTGTACCTAGTGATATAAAAAATAAAGAGAATAGTAAAAATGACCTGAAAAATATGAATAATCAACAAGAACAGATACAGAAAGCTGAGGATGCCAAATTTTCAGATAGAGATTTGGCAATAGCTCAAACTCCTCCAGAATATAAAATACCAGATGCTGTTCTGCCAGTAGCTTTATCAAAAAGTATAATGAACAAACCTTCTAGTAATATAGAAGAGGATTCTATTAAAGAAAATAATCAAGAAGGAGTAGATGAAAGTGAAGGTGAAGCATCTGATATAAGTGGGGTAAATGAATCTACAGAAATATTATCTGCAGAAGTTGATAGTGAGCCAAGTACTGAATATTTAGTTGCAGATGAATCAGAGCCATCTGAAAATCAAGGAGAATTCTCTAAGAGTTATGAAGTAGCTGATGAAGCAAGTGGAAATGAACAGGAATATAAGTTTATAGAATCCTCTGAAAACAATGAAGATAAAAGTTATATTTTGCATGGTGAAAAAGAAAGTGCACCCGATTATAATATGTATGAGGAGTTAGAAAATATGAGTAGTGGAATAGAAAATGAACAGTCTTCTGAAATAATTTTAGCAAACGAAAAGGATGATATTGGAAGTGATTTAACTTATAGATTTGTTGAGGAGGATAACCCTAAAGGAATATACAATGATAAGGGAAAAAAAGATAGAAAGGTAAGGTTTGCATTAGAAAGTGATGAAGAAAGTGATAAAGATTATAGATATACAGAAGAGGAATACAAAGGAAAAGAAAAGAAGTATAAATCTGGGAAAAACAGTAAAGAGAAGGTATTATTTGTAGAAGGATCAGATGATTCTGAAAGTACTAAATATAATTTTGTTGATGAAAGTTCTCAAGAACAGAACTTTGAAGGAGATATCTCTGAACCTAATTCTAATGACCGTAATAATTTGAAATCATTACAACCTGATATTGAGATTCTGGAAAAAGATGGTAGATTAGTAGAAAGGCCAAGACGAATACGCGTTCCTGAAAATTGGGATAAATACTCCCCTGAAGAAAAGAGAAATTGGATAAAAAGACATCGTGGGAATTTGAAAGATTTAGATATTGTGGATAAAGAAGAAATCCTTCCCTATTTTGATAGACAGAGAAGACTCGAAAATCTTGAGCCTGAATTTGGTGTTTCTGAAAAATTAAATTTAAAGAAGAGATCCCCAAAGCATCCAATTGTAATAGGAGAGAGTGTAGATTATGAAGATCCTCAATTTGGTAAAGGAAAGCGACGTGAGCAACCTAAAACAGATATAGAGTTTACAGAAGAATATCCAAGGCTAAAGAGGCAAAAAAGAAGGAAGAGATACCCTAATGAAATTTTAGAGGGGTCTGAGGAGATAAATGACTATAATATGCAAAATAAAGATAAGAGAAATCGTTACAAGGCTTCTCAAATGTATGATACTCCGGATTCAGTATTACTAATAAAAAAGAGACCCCATCAAGTTGAAGATGTTACAGATGAACCCGAATATAGTTTTGATATGAGCCAAATGGATGACCATATACAACTAAATAGAAGAAAACCTTATATAAGAACCAAATTTGAAGATTTAGATAAAGAAGCACTTAGAGAACTAAAGAAAGGTATACGAAGAGTGAAAATTTCTAAAGATAATCCTTTAGAAATAATTCCTCTAGTAAGTAAATTTGGCCCCGAGATAGTTTTTGAAGAAATTAAACGAACAAGAAAACCTTTACTAGAGATATTAGAAGAAGGTGAGATTCCAGTATTATATCGTAGTAAGCTACCACGAGTTGCTGTAAGATGGGAGGAACTTAGTCCTGAGGAGCGTCTTAACTTAAAAAAAGAGTGGAAGGAGGAACTCAAGCGAGGTACTTTCTGGGATGAGGAAAACTTTAAGGCAATATGGGGACTTGAAAAAAGACTTCAAGGGATTTGGGGTAATGAACATACATCGGATATCACAAAACCCATAATTCGTGGAATATTCGGACCTGAAATCCCCACAGAATTAGAGAATATTATGCTTTTAGGTGATATAATATCATCGACAGCTCCTGATAATATACCTAGACTTTCTGCTAGACAACATTTGAATTTTAATTCTTGGCTTGACCCTGAACCAGATATATCCCTTGAGTTAAAGGGAAAGTTTGGACTAGATGAACCAATAAGTTCACCTTGGGAACTTCAGAATTTCTCAAATAAATTAAGGCCTATTAAGAACTATAACTGGATGGAGCCTTTGAACCGTGAAGAAGCTTTGCAGCTATTAACTAGTAATATTGCAGAAGAAGATCTTGGAGTTTTACCAAAATTAAGACGCAAATATCCGTGGCTCAAAGATTTAAAAGACTCAGAGGTTATTCTTCCCATTCAGATATTGGATGACTTTATACCTACTAATAATAAACCCAAAGGTAATGATTTTGCATTGAATCCTGAAAATTATTGGTATTATTCTGAAATTCCAGATGATAAAAAGCTAAACAATGCCTTGGTAGAAATCATAGAACAACTTGGGGGAATTTCTACTAAACCCAAAAAAAAATCTAGACATAACAAACCTTTGAAGATTAAGTCAAATAGCTTAGATATTACTGAATTACTTCAGGATAATCGAGACATAGTTTCGGATTGGGATCTGGAGACTATGAAGTATCTAAGAAGTTTATTTGAAGATTTATATGAAGACAGTGATGAGATATCAAAATTAGAACCAAAGAAGAAAAGATTACATAGAAAAAATAGGAACTTTCCAATTTGGTATTATGGTACTCCTGAGGAAAGACATCGTGAAAAGGCTTTAGAATTTAACCCTGAAGTTGGAGCTGGAATAGTTGGGTTGATGGAACGTAGTGAGTTAGATAAGGTATATATGGACTCTAGTGGGAATATCTTGCAGCCTTTTATTCTAGATTTAATTAAAGAGCAATCAAGTGAAATCGATGAAGAAAATTCTGAAGTTTACTCTGAGGAGTATGAAGAACCCATAAAACTTATTGAATATGGTGACAATAATTTTTATTTACGAGACAATAAAAATAAAAGCTTGAACTTTAAAAAGAAAGCTTTAGATTCTTTTTTAGATGGACCTAAAAGGCGAGTTATATTTGATGACTATGATGATGTTTCTGAGTCGGCCCTTAGCATCTCTCAAATCGATAAAACCCCTGTCTATTCTGGGTTTAATCCAATTAAAAATTGGACTCCCTTTGGTAAGCTAAGATCTAAGCAAAGTCCTAAAGTAATTAAAGTGTTAGAAGGTGAGGGTGAAGATATTTTAGATACAATTAAAGAGTATCACGAAAATGACCAAAGTACAATCTTGGAGTTATTAGATGGAGTAGAACAATATAAGAATAAAATAAAAAAAAAAAATGGTGATAACTTTGATTCTGTGAAGTTTATAAATGGACAAGATGACAGAGATTGGAATTACAACAAACAAATTCGGAATTTGGAGAAACCAAGAAAAAAATCTACTAATAAATATAAATTGAAGAAAAAACCTAGTAGTCCTCTTTGGTATTATGATGAATCAATTGGTGATTTTTGGGATGATCAATTGAGCCAAAATAATGATGTTATAGATAATGCAGATAATATAAAACTTCTAGAAGTAATTGGGTTTCAGGATGAGGCTGATGAACTATCAGAAGAATATAGAAATACTCCAATTAAAATCTACAAGGGGAAAAAAAAACTGAGACCAGAGATCTCCGAATCATCTATAGAAGAGCAGCAACTTTCAGAATTTATAGATAGTGGTAAACAAAGCCAAGATACCGAAACTGAATTTGAACTAGCTTCTAGTGAAGAAATGAGTCAAAGTAACCCAAGATTACGCAATTATGGGTTCTTTGAGGATGATCTTGATCCTTCGATTATTCTAGATATAGATCAGAAAGTTGGACGAGAAAGGTCTAGGAGGAGAAAAAAGCCCTTCATAAAGGCTTCAAATGATCCAAGATTGAAGCCTCCCAAAAGAGCTTTAACTTTGGAGGATATGAGGAACTTGGATAGACTCATTACATTAGATAATCATGATCTTTCTGAAGTCAGAAGGCTTAGAAGAGACCTTTTTGATAATTCTTCCGCAAATGCAGATGTTCAAGCTTTAAAAGCTCTGTTAGACAAGTTACATTTAGATAAAGTAATAAACTTCGACAGTATTGGCAAAGATGAAACTTTTGAGACAGGATCATTATCCGATATAGAAAGCGAGTGTACATCTGAATTTGAACCTTCAGAGTCTTCTGTTTTAGTTTCTGATTTTACTGAAGAGAATAATAGAACAAATGATTCTGAGAAATTAAGTAATGATATAAGTGACTGGGATGCTGTGATTGAAGAAATTAAAAATATACCATTTGCTGGTAAAAAGACATTTAATAAGAAGTCTTGTAAGCAGAAGAGTATAAACAAGAATAAGAAATCTGAGAAAAAGTCAAATAATCAAGCAAGAGGTGGAGAATATTCGTATAAATATCTTAGTCCAGAAGAAGTCAGTACCCTGGGAGATCTGGGCCTGAGCCCAAATATAATCAAAAAAGTCAATGATTATGTTAAAGAGGGTCCTGAAGGAATTCAGAAAGCTTTAGATTATATTCTAGATTCTTTGGAAGCAGGGATAAAAACGAAAGATGAAAGTAATTCCAAAAGTGAGCGTAACCCAAAAAAACGTAATCGCAAACACAACCATAATAGATCCTATGATCTGGAGTCGATTAGTCCCTCTCTGGCTAGGTATGTTAAGCGTATAAATGATTTAATAGGTCCCCATGAAGCTCTTGATGAGTTGTTAAGTCGCTTAGATCTAGATTTGGAAAATGATACACCTATTCCGAAGTCTATTACACACTTTGTAACACCTCAGGTATTAGCGAAACTTAAGAAGCTTAAAAAAGAAGGAAAAAAGAATGATAGAAAAATTTTGAAAAAAATGTTCGAAGCACTAAGAGTTCCAGAAGAAGTAAAGAAGAAAAGACTTCTTGGTGAGCTAGATGAAGAGGATATCCTAGCTGTTGAAAGGCTTCGGAAAAATGGAAAACCGAAGCAAGCTTTAGATGCATTGCTAACTGCTTTGGGTCTGGACCCAAAACTTCAAAATTATAATAGAGATATAGCTTCCAAGAAATTGAATGATGAATATCCGAAAAGGTCTAAATTTTTGTCTGATATTTCAGTTGAAGATCTAGCAATGGTAAAAGAACTTACCAAGCAAGGGCCTGAAGGTTATAACCAAGCAGTTTCAAATTTACTAAAAATTTTGGGGATTCCATTAGCCTCAGATTTAGATTTATCTTTTGAAGAGAGTGTATTAGAAGACTCTTCTCCTACAGAAAAAAACGTTAACCTAAGAACTCAAAAAAGAAAGAAAATCTTACTACCAAAAGAAAGAAAAGGTAAGATAAAGAGAATAGAATTTGATGAGTTTTCATCTATTATTCCAGAAGAATTTACAGATCGACTTAAGTATGGAGTAGTAATTCCAGAAAATAAAGCAGAAATTCTAAAGCGAGTAACTCCACCAAAGTCCATTCTCAAAAATAGATCCTATCCACCTCCAAGATACACTGATAAACCCTTGCTTTCTCCATATGAAGAGCAAGTAAGGAATTATATCAATAACAGGCGACATAAGCTAGGGCTTCCTACAATTCCTGGATATCACTACTGGAGCTATAACCCCAATTTAGAAGGGAGAGCCTCTTATCTGGAAATCAGCACTCCATCTCAAAAGAGAAAGAAAGCTTTGATGAATCAAAAGAAGCGTCTGCAAAATCACTTAAATAAAGAGCATATGGTCCCAGTTTCAATTCATCCAAATGGAAATCAAGCAGTAAAAAAGACTATTATGCTGAAATCCTATGTAGATGACGAACTGCCAATTGATAAAGAAGAAATTTTACTCTTCCAAACCCCAGAATATCAAGATGACGAGCTATATCAAATTGCAGAGCTATCAACCTTATCATTACCCTCAGAACAAAAATTCATCCCAAATCCTGTACCTCCAAATATGGAAAAACCAGTTTATAGAGAGGAATATACTTTCATATCTGATGAAGATCCCCTACAAAAATTTTACCGGATTTCGCAAACTTCCCCAATTTTAGATATCTCCAAAGTCCCTGAGCCTTCCAAGAAAATCAGTAATCTTGTTACACTTCCATTAGACAATCCTCAAAGAACATTTTATGGTTATATTAATAATAATTTAAGTGACTACGAAAATAGTTTATATTCCCAAGATTATATTGACTATTTGAAACTCAATTCAGACTTAACTCCTGTAGACTATAATCAGGCTATGGAAAAAGACTGTTTAGAGATTGAAAAGAAACTTAAATTTAAGGATCTATACTGCAAAGATCCTGGAAATAATGAAAAAAAGAGGAAAGCAATAGATCCAAAGAGTTTAATTAAAGCTGTATCTAAAATGAATCGAGGTCTAGCTAAATCCTTTATGAAACAAATAACTTTCGTCTATAGTGTAGCTTCACTATATTTTGATCGATTTCCAGTTGTTAAGGGTTGGAACAAAGCTATAGAACACCATAGATGGGTAGCACTACCTCTAGTTTCTCCTCAATCCTACATTCCAAATATAGGAGGCCTTAATCTTCTGCAAAAAATGTTATGGCATCAAACTCTTCATAAATCTTCTCGGCTATCTCCTAGACGCGTCCTTCTAATTGTCTTATCAAAGAATCCAGTAATAAAAACCAATATACCTGAAAGTACAGTTGGAATTGAACATTTTGCAAATTATAAAACACCAGTATATCTAAAAATGAATGTTGAAGTGACTCCAGAGAATCTTATGATTGTTCCTTTAGCTCAATTAGCTCTCTGTATTAAAGGAGCACTTCAGATACCAACAAGAGATATAAAAAAACTTAATAAATCCTCTAAATCAAACTTGGGAAGTTGCTACATTGGAGGAATTCAGTCCCATTCAAGTGCCCAGAAGGTATACGATATAGTGCTAAAGTTTTTGCATTCAAATACTGATCTTTCAATGGCTAAATTCCTTATAATACCTATTCGTGTGGGTAATGAAGATTTGAACAAGCAAATATTATCTGGTGAACAACTAACTACTAAGAACCTCAAATTTGAAGTCTCTGAAGATGCAATTTCTCCAATTATATCAGATATAGACTTCAGTATATTACAACTAGATATGGTTCGTGAAAGTACACAAGAAGTCAAAAATAAATATTCGGCTGAACTAACAAAACTAAGTGAAGATTTAATAAAACTTTATATCATCCATTCACAGGATTTGGAAACTCGTTCTCTAAGAGCTAATGGCCCCAAATCAATTGTTGTGCCTATGGCTTTCCCTCAATTATACATAAAAGGTTACAAAAATGCAAGAAAATTAGTCAATAATATACAAAACAAATACAGGCCTATAAGAGGAAGTAGAAGCTATAGAAAAAAGTTACGTCCTGGGTTTATACTCTTAGTAAATGATCCTTTCTTCAAGTTAGAAGAATCTCAATCATCTTATTTAAATAAACAGCTCATCAAAATTCAACAATTCTTCGCAAATCCTTACAGTTTCAAAAATTATGATGCCCCAAAACATGAAGGTCCCGTTTTAGAAATTCGTGGTGTAAACAGTCTTGAAATTAGAAAATACTTGCTTGATGCAATGGCTAGAGGTGCCCGTCAACCTGCAACTACTCCCCTAGTAATTGTACCTATTTACGTTGATGCTAGCAAGAAAGAGGGGAAAATTCTTAAGAAGCATAAAAAAAAAGTGGTCGAAGTTTTTAACACAAATTGAACTAGATCTTATAAGATGGAGAGAATTCGGAGCTATTCATTATTATTTCTCTTAGGCTCTTCGATTACTGCTACTTAAAAAAATCAGCACTTTTAACCCAAACTTTAAAATCTAGCTACTGAAATATTTTAAAGTTAGCAATTAATTATTTAAAAGCCTTTTTATGCTCTTAATTTATCTTATCTGTCTTATTTCAAACTTTTATGCTTCCTATATACTTGATCAAATTGAATACAAGTATCTTCCATCATTTACACCTTAATAACAATATTAAATTTGATTATAAAAGATATTTCACTGTTTTTTGCAACTTTTCTAACTGAAAACACCTTACTAATACTAAATACCTTGTTTATTCTATGCAGAATTTGGCTCAAGCAGATCTCAAATTACTGATTATTCCTGTGTGCAGAGTGTGCAGGGTCTAACACACAGTTTTAATGGGTGCATGATATTTAAGGAATATTGAGTAATATTGATGAATACTAATATAGTAAATAATGATTCCTGAATACTCAAAGTTTCTATTTTTACTAGTACTTGTATGGTCAGATTTTGTTCTAGTAAAGAGTGAAACATACAATGGCCAACCTCTATACAACTTATCTGAATATGACTCTAAAGTAGAAGGTAGTTCAAAAGTTATTGGAAATGAAGGAATAAAGTCACCTATTATTGTAAGTTCAAAGCCAAATTTTAAAAATTATGGGATGAATACACCAGAAGCATTATATAGACTTTATGAATCAAGTGAAATGAGTGAAACAAGTAAACTAGATGAACCCATACATAATGCACCTTATGTTAATCATTCAAACGATAGTTTAAAAGAAAAAAATAAAAAGGAAAATTTATACATAGAAGATACATATAATGGAAAAAGTTTATATGGTAATGAATTTAGTTTGCAGCCAAGCTTTTCTGAAAAGACTTCAGAATTTGAGGAAGAGATTCCTAGTTCAACCTCAAATGGTATTACATACTATGAGGAAAAGCCCAAAGAGATGATGTCTACGGAATATATGCACTATTTAAAAAGTGATAATTGGGATTTTAAGAAAGATTTAAAACCTTTTGAATACAAATATGAAGCAAGCAAATTAAAGGATCTAAATACACCTGTAGTAAGTTTAAATAAAAGACCTAGATTTGAGTATTATAAGAAAATGCCAGACTTTGGTAGATTTCAAAAAAATGCTGTAATTGAGATATCTCCATGGATCCCTCGATCTTTAGTACATTTTGAAATAATAAAAAAAAATCCAGTTCATGAATTGAACTCACTTTCAGCAATAAGAGATCGACCATCTGCAACTGTGTCCCCAAATGGCCAATATATAATAATTACTTCAAACCCTCCTGAAACATGTGTAGAAAATAAATATGATGTTTTTATTCGAAAATACAAATCCAAAAAGTTAAAGAAACCACGCAGGAAGTATAATATTTTGAATATTTTTCACAAATTGAATTTGGAAGGAAGGGACAAGGGAGTAGGAGGAGGTATCGGAGTAGATGAAGAAAATCTTCCAAGTAGATATGTCTTACTTGCAATGAGTGATCGTTTAAGTAAGAGACAATGGAAAAAATATAGTTATAGAGTAAAGGATATAGCTTTATATATAGAAAGTGCGAGCTATATGACATATTTTTGCTATAAAATGTATGTGAACTATACAAGGCAGATCAGAACTGCAAAATATTATCAGAAAATTCCAAAAAAAATTAAGGATAACTCAAACATTGTACAACAAAGATTCCCAATGGTACCTTTTACTGCTATAGGTAGTTATGTTCCAACTTCTGAAGATTTCACGCTACTAATGAAGTCAGTCCACAAGTACATTACAAGTAAAAGACGTAAATTAAAATTTGTTAAAGGTAAAAGGGTTCTCTTTATTGGTTATCAACAAAATCCAGTATCTGAAGTGAGTTTACCAATGGAAGATGATGATCTAGAAAAAGCAATTCGTGAACAAATGCCCCTCAAAAAGCAGCACAAGGATAGGGATTATGCTAAAATATTCAAAAAGATGAAAAAATTCCAGTATGAGAAAGTATCTCAATTTAATTTAGTTTATAGCGAATCAATCAATATTTATATTGGAGTTCTCAAAAATCTTTGGATGTGTGTGATATCTGGAATATTTAGAATAATGAAGCATAAGCAAAATGTCTCTACATGTATTATTGGAAATGTGTCTAGTTATCAAGTGGCAAATGTACTAAATAGGGTAATAGTTGCAATGTTAAAGTCTTCAGATGTTACAAATGTTCCAAGTTATTTGTTATTTCCAGTTTCTATAGGTAACGAAAGGTATGGATGCAAACAATATGCTTCTGATCATCTCCAAGGCCACTTAATTGAAAGATGGGATCAACCTATTTTTGCTTTACAAGGTTATTCTATACTTAGAGGGATGTATAGAAAAACTCAACTTTATAAATACAACAAATATGCTGTCAGGCTCTATGCACGTGCTTTCAAATATCTAAAATTCCGATACCAACGAGTATTTGGAGATGCACCTGTATTGATTATGCAGCAAGCTTTTCCTCTAGGTTTTCTTGCAGATGTGCAAGATTGTTCGAGACTTGCTAGGAGCAAAGGACTAAATAAGTACAAAAAACTTAGGGTTACTATTTTGTGCATGTATAGAAATGGAAGTGACAGTACAGTTTCTACGGAGGAGTTAATGAACCTTGAAAATAATATACTGCAATATTCTTTTGGATCCAAGAAATCTCATTTAGGTGAGAAGAAGGTCGTAATAATAAGAAATGTAAATTCTCCTCAAGATATGGATAACGTGAACTTTTGGCTGCATAGAATAAGAAGCAAAATTCTTGCTACTAACACAGAAATGCTTATTATCCCAATGTTGGTTGTGAACACTAAGTCTTATACAAAAAATTATAAGAAACTTAAGAAAATTATAAAATTTCAATCCAAGAATAGGCAACAGCCAACTTGAGAATATAAGATTTATTAACTCAGATCATCAGTTAATATTGGAGAATCTATATACATGGTTAAAGGATTAAAAATTGAGGTTTAAACTACTTGCTCCAAAGTATGACTTTTATAGTAGTGGGTTTCTTCTCGCTTTAAAAAAGTAATTTCAATTTTTCAAGCTTATTCGCAATATAAATTACATGACAGGAATAACAAGTAGCTAATCCTAAATTTTAACTTTTAACAAATCCTAAGCTATTTTATAATTTTTACCTAGAATATGACAAAATTTCACTTTATAATTATCTAATTTTTTTAAAATTCAAGGTAAAATTTATTCTGATGATTCTGATGACTCTGTTGACTCTGATGACATAGTATTATATTTTTTAATTACATGTTCTAATATATATGGGGATTCATCTGGGTCCATAGATAAAAAACGAGGATCAATCTCTGTTCCAGGTGGAATTACATCACTTGAACGCACTATAAATAATATGCCTTCTACTGGGCGTCTTATAAACTTCCCATCTGATTTATCGTCAATTATACCCCAACCATTATCCTCTAAAAATTTTATATCTTCAGGATTTTTCAGATTCAATGTATCCAAAAGCTGAATTATTAACTCTCTTGCCCTCTTATCACTCATGAAAGTTTTCGTTGACAAATCTTCTGCAGTCAAATGTTTCGTTAAAGTAGTACCTGTCCAATTATCCAATATATCTTTATGTGCAAAGGCTAATTTTAAAGCTTTTTTTTTCCAAAGAGTTACATCTATATTGTCATTTTGAAGTGCTGGATTATTTGTTGTCGGAATAACCATGATTCTCACCAATGGATTCGATTTTGGTATTGCAATCCACCTCATGTTACTCATTTTTATAAATAATTCTTCTATGTACTTTTCACAATAAGGTACTATATTTTGGGTTACTTCTGATATTTCATAAGGTATTGTATCTTCCAAAGTAAATATAAACAATTTTGTTTGAGGATCCTGAAATTTCAGTTTATGTTTCAGTTTCAACTCACTCTGACTATTTAATAGTCCCTTCACTTCTCCTAATCTCTGCTTCATTCTCCTCATTGTTCTTACACATGGTTCACGATCTGGTCTTGGTGCAACCTCCAAATTTGCAAGTATTATGGGTGGGATATCTGTAAGCTCAAGAAGTGCTTCTTGTAAGGGTATTGATATTGAATCAGATCTTCCGGTTGTAGATGTTGGAGATAAACCAGATTTTGAAATAGATAATATGCTCTTTCCTGAAAGTAGTTCCTTGCATGTTTTAATATGTTCATGTATCCATTCTGAAGGAAAGTTATTAATAATTTTTTCAACCATACTAGTACTTCCAGAGTTATACTTTAGAACTCCTAGCATATTTTGTACAATATAAGGTATTTTGCTTTGGATATAGCCAGCACCACGAAAGTCACCTAAGCTGACTACTCCTGAATCTAAAAAATCTGTCAGTAGTACGACTACCCTTGTGTGTGCACCTTTCTTGCTTAACTTTTCCTCATAAGTCTCAAATATTGAGATTGTGGAATTATAGCATTCATCATATTGGAGTCCTGGAAGCACAGTTCTAGATAAAACTTCAAATTTTTTGCCATTTGATTGAAAATTATCAAGAAATTGTTTTAAGGAACGCTGAAACGATTTCACAATCCCTTCACACTTTATTGAGCTAGAGGGTGGTCTTGGAACTTGAATATCATGCAGTATATATACATTTCTTTCTACAGGTCCTTCTTTCTGTTGATGATTATTTATTGTATCTTCATATATTGTATTGGCTACTAACGTTTCTTTAGGATTAATATTAGGTACACTTATAGAGTGTTTTACTACTGGAGTATATGAACTTTCTCTACGATTTAGCACAGATAATGGACTATCTTCCTTCGCTTTTTTTGTCTTCTCAAGAAGTTCTTTCATTAAAAGCCTTGAGTTTTCAGAAAAATCCTGTTGTGACTGTGAAAGTTCTGATGTACTTTCATAAGATTTTCCTTGATCGCTTAATTCACCTGTGTGTTCTTTCTCTGAAATTTCACTTCCTAAGGCCATTTCACTCTTTATAGTATCAGGTTCTACTAATGGAGTTTGTTCTTTAGGAGCTATAGAATCCATATAACTTATCTTTTGAGTATGGATAGGATAAGGTGTATTTTCTGGAATCATTGACTCTTCAAATACATCAACCCCCTTTTTTTCGTTATATATTTGAATTGGTTCCTTTTCTGAATTCGACAGCTCCCTATGTAATATTAATTGTTTGTTAAGTTCTTCAATAGTACCTTGAGTTTCTAATAAAATATCCTTCATAGCTTTAATTGATCTGTCTTGTTCTTCTAATTTCTTTAGTACTATATCAGACTTTGAATTTTCGAGCTCTATACTACTTATTGATGCTCCTGCTGCATCTTCCCACAATGTCGAAACACTTTGAATCTCCTTTTCATCGAGTTCTTTAGCAACTTTACTATTTATTGATGCAAGTGATGCCTCAAATGAGACCTCTCTAGTTGCTAGCTGTCTCTGACCTAAGGATATCAGATTAATTCTATCTGTATCAGAAAGTTCTTCTAATCCAAGCTGCCTTAGTCTATTTAACTCTTCCAGTTCGTGATCTAATAGTGGAGTTATGTCGCATTTTAAAAGATCGGAGCTAGCTTGTGAAACACCTGCCTCCTTAGCTCTCTGTAGTCTCTCTTTCCTCTCCTTTAGCTTCTCCTCTCGTTCTTCATTCAATTGTTTTTCAAAAGTCTTATTCTTCTCATAAATATCTCTTGCGTTCTCCAGATCCTTAATTGCAGTTTGCATTCCCACCTCGCTCTGATCATATCCGATCCTTGCATTCTCGACATCTTTCTTTGCTGTCTCCTTTTCCTTCTCAGCTACACTTAATGCTTTCTTCAAATATTCTAAAATTTCATCTGAAGGAGCACCACTACTCTCTATATTTTCCATCTTCCTTTTCAAAATTTTTTCTACATCTTCTACATCATTTAATTTTATTTTAGCTAGTTTAAGTTCTTCATGAGCAGTATTACGTTGAATTTTCATATCCTCAACTTGCTTCATTAATTCCTTTATCTTCTCATGTTGCTGCTCAACTTTTTGTATTAAGTCGTTATTTACAATCTCTAACTCTTCTCTTGTATTCTGAAGCTCTTCTTGTTTATCCTCAAGTTGCATTATTCTATCTTTAAGTTCATTTGCAACTTTCTCAGCATTCATGGTACCTTTTTGCTCAAGTAACTGCAGTATATAACCTAAATATTCCACATCTCTACGTTTCTGTCTTTGATAAGCTAACTCTAGTTGTTTTTCTCTCTCCCTTATTCTGTGATTAATTGCTTCTTTAATCTTGTTCTCGCTCACTTGAGTATCATCTATTCTATTTAACTGAGTTTGAGCTTCTATTTCCAAATTTTCCACCATATTTTTGAATCCAGTTATTGGATCGTTATTTTCAATATTGCTTTTTAAGTCTTTAAGCTGTTTTTCATAGATACTTTTCATCTCATTTAATTGTTTCTGCTGCTTTGTCTCTGCCTCAAAATGATTTTTCTCTAATTCTTTCATATAATTATCTCTCATATTTATCATCATTCTGATCATTTTATTTTCTTCATCAAGATTTTTTAATTTGTTATTCAGAAATTCATTTTGTTTTTCTAAATCTCCAATAGCAGATGAAGCTACATTCAAAGCTACTTCCATTTGTTCCATTGATTGGTTCATTTCACCCCTTAATCTTGCCTTTTCTTTTTCATTTTCATCCTTCATCTTATTGCGGATTTTTTCTTGATTATTCTTTAAAATATCCATAATTTTGGCATGTTCCTCTAAATTATTCTTATACTCACTTTCCAACTTTTCTCTATATTTTCTTTCATCATCTAAAAGTTTTTTAAGCCTTTCAGTTTCATTATTTACAATCTTTTTATTATTTTTACTTTCAATCCTTTTTAATCTCGACTCAATAGTTTTCCTTAATAATTTATGAAATCTCTTCAATCGTTCCTCTTTTAATAAATTTGAAAAATTATATTTATCTTTTGCTAAATGAGATTTTTTACCAGATGGTACAAAAGTGATAATTTCTTCTTCCAAAACTTGAGATGGAAACTCCTCTGTATCTTTATGAGTTTCATGCTTATTTCTATTATGAGATTTCAAAATATTGATTTTATAAGGGCGTTTTTTACTTGATGCAACTAAAATTTTTTCCATCTCTTTAGGTTCTCTTCTATTAATAATTCTATTGTATTTCTCTAAAACAGCTCTTACTATTTCATTATCTCCGAGAATCAGCAACTCTTCATGCTCTACAGGATCTATCCTATCAATACATTGAAATATACGTTTTAAAACTACACGATCTTTTCCATTTATCCTATAACCTTCAGGTTTTTGATCATAAAACCAATTGATCATTGCACGTCTCGCTGCTTCACGAAACTTCATTTCTAAGTATACAGTTTCATCATCTTCATCCAATACATTATTTTTTGCATTGACATCCCTTTTTGTAGTCAATAATAAATTAATAAACCTCTTACCCACTAGTCCCTCATACTTCAATGTTGGTATATTCTGTGTAGACTGAGCTTCGGTAATGACTAAAGGTTCCTTTAATAAATAAGATGATGAGTCACTGTATTCTTTACTTTTTTGTTTCTTTAATTCCTCATCATCATAATATGCATATTTATCATATTTATCATACTTGTATGTATTATCAATGTCCTGATCAGATACATAGTTGTAATATGATAATATTCCGGTTTCATCGATTTCATATGGATAAACTAATTTTCTTTGCTCCATCATCTTAGGTACCTCGTAAACTTCTATCCTTGGTGGGATTTGTCTACTCAATATATTACTCTCCCACTTTAATGCATCCTCCTTTATATTAGGCCATGAAATTCCTGCTTTTTTAATTATATATTTGTCCAAGGTATTTTTCCCTAAATGTTTTTCTGTTTCTGTTAAATATGGAGTTTTCCAAAAATTACGATAGATTTTAAAATTAACGTTTCCCCTATCATCTGGATGTATTGGAGTCAGGTGGGGATTTTCATAGGGATATTCTGAAGGTACAATAATTGAAGAAAATGTTTCTGGTGATGAGAACCCAGGAAATAAATTATATTTTGACATCCCTGGTATCTCTTTTGTTTGGACCTCAGAGCAAATTTCCGAAGACACAGAAGTTGGCAATTCAGGAACTGGGAGTTTTGAAGGTGAGAATCTAATTTCTGTTGGTCTCTTCATTGGAACCTCTTCAATTTCTAGTTTTCCATAACATCTTACTTCCTTTGGTATATCCTTTTCTTGTGGATCATGTTTAGTCACATTAGTCCTTAGAATTTTATTTTTAACTTCTTTATTTTCTTCCATATCCATATTGATTCTAACTTGCTCTATTGAGCCTTTAATACGATCCTTCCAAGCATTCTTTAAGTCATAAAATGTAGTCTCATCAACTAGTTGTTCTGCTGAAACAAGTATGCTAATAATATATCCATTAGAAGTCTGAAAAATATGTTGGGCACATGCAGATAGAACTTCTGTTGTAGAATATATCCATAATTTTTGAAAACCAAATACCTCAGCTATATAAGGATGATTTCTGGCAGCATTAAGTGGCCATCTAACCCTTGGTTTTTGTGATAATAGGTGTTTACAGGCAATATTTAAAAAATTAGGTATTTCTGCTAAATTTCTTGACTCTCTAGGATGTTGGTTTGGGGACATTCCGAGAAGTAATAGCCTAACAGGTAAAATATCTTCATAATTTTTAATTTTTGGATTACTTTTAATTAGTTCAACCTTCTCATAATGCCATATTATCAGGCGTTTGAGGCAAATCCCATTATCTTCGACTGGAATAGGTCTGAGTAGTGAATAAATTATTAAATTTAAACGAGCATATTCACTAGTCACTAAAGTGTCATGCTCTAACTTATCAATTATTAGTTGACATCTTCTTTCTGCGGAAAGTGATATCCATTCTTCATCTTTTACTCTATCATATTCATTTTCTGGCCTTGAGTGTAGTTGACTATTATTATAAATGTTTGCATTAATAATGTTAGCATCTTCCAACTGTATTGTTTGATCTAAGAAACAAGTAAATAAAAAGAAGTACAATATGTACTTCCCAAGCACCATTAAGGATATACTCTTAAATCACTCTAAGCTCTTTGTATATTTTAATTTTAACTCTGCATTCAATCCATCAAAATAATCTTACACAATTTATTTTGTTTATCTATCCTTAGATAAATCTTTCTCTTATAACTCAAAAATCTCAATTTAAAAGTACAAAAGAATTACTCCGGCGACATTACGCCAGTAGCATACACACCACGTCTTTCTTTGGCAATCACTACAAAAAAGAGATAAAAACACATCTTTATTCCAATATATATTACAAAATAAGATAAACTTGTTAATTGTATGATTTTAGAATTAGAAGTTTTGTGATTCTTGTTAATACATTTGCTCATTAATATTCCCTCAATATACTAGTAACCACTAGCTATAGTCTAATATTTAATAAATTTCCTTATCTTCCTAAGCCTTAATATTAGTAGTTCGCTTATAAATAAGGAGAATCTAAGTATTTAATCACCTTAAATTTGTGTAATATAGTGATCCTTAACATCACATCTATCTTCTACTTACAATATTTACATGCATGCAATAGTTATAGCTAAGTTTTGTAGTGACATTTTAAGGCGGTAAAATGCTAACTCAAAGGGTATGGTAGGTACTGTAAATAGTGTTGCTTGGTTCACTTTCATCTTCGATGAATACAATTCTTATAGAAGAAGACTTTTTACTTGATAAGGAGACAGAAAGGGAACTCTTCAAGTTATATGGAGATTTTGAAGATGAGTTACAAAGGCCTGAATTTGACACTATAGAGTATGTTAATAAACTATTTCCTAATGAACAAAGCTTGACACAGCTAGATGATGTACTCAATACCCTTACAAAAAGACTAAATAATTTAGAACTTGAAATATTTCAAGATATAAATGAACTAGCATCTGAAGATATCCCTGAAATTTATAATACTGTTATGAGTACTCTGGAAGAAAAATTTTTCCCTAGTTTATTACAAATGGATGAGATGTCTAAGAATGCTTTAAATAGTATAAATGATATATCAGATAAAATTCATACACTGGATATAGCTCAAAAGAATTTAACTAACACGATTGTATTGATGAAGAGATATTCTATGTTAACCACAGCACAGAAGGAATTAGAAATAAGCTTAAACAATAGAAGTTATAAATCAATGGTACCACTCCTTTCTGTTGTATTACGCCTGAAAAGCTACTTTAATGATTTGATTTATATAGAAGAGAATTTTGAGAAAAATTTGATAATGGCCGAGGCCGAAACTAACTTAGATATACCTAATACTCTTTCTGTAAGGCAGGTTAAAGGATCTATTGTAGAGATTGATACAATGATCTCTACTTTAAAACAGCAAATAATTGATGATTTTGTTGCATTGATTGATCCATATATTCTATTTTCGCAATACTTAGCTGAAGACCAGTTAAATAAATCTAAAGCAAGCCCTCCACACTTACTAAATGCTCCAGAATCATTTAGGAAGCAGATGAGATTTTGTTGTTTCTGTACAGATATCCTAGGTACAGAATTTCGCGAAAATGTTATTGATACTTTTACTACAAAGTTACTAGTACCTTACAGGAAATTATTTAGTCGTGCAAGCACTGATAATTTAATTAATACTAGTATCTCAACAAAAGGAAATGTGAACAATCAATCTACGACAGGATTAGAATATCTGGAAAGACGTTTTGGATGGTACAGAAAGTGCATTAAAGAATATGATCAACAATTTGGAGATATTTTCCTTATACAATGGAATGTTCCTAAAATATTAACTGAGAAATTTTTTCTTTACACAAAAAGTGACCTACTACAGATTTTGGGTGATGTAGGACTTTCAATATCACATCTATTTCTCATCCAATATAGCCAAAAATGTCATCAATTTGAAAGTCAAGTTCTATCCAGATTTGCTCAATCTCTTCAACAACAGCAGCTTATACATGAACTAGAAGCTACTAAGAAGACCCTTTCGGAGAATCTGGATATTTTTGAGCCTGAAACTAAATTTAAGGAGGAATACTTCATTACAGATTACAAAGAGAATAATACACAAGATCAGAATCAATCATTACCAAATGTACGTGGATTACTGACAAGTTGCTTTATAGTATATATACTTCTGTATTTTGATTCAAAAAAACGAGATTTTACTAATTCAATAATCCCTAATTTGATTGAAAATAGCGAAATTTTGCAAACTCCAGTAACTAAACAATATATGACTTTACAGAATAGCATTGATATGGTTCCATTTATCTGGAGTTCTTCCACCATACTATTTCAGCAAATTAATAATATATTACTTTCTATAGAACATATGTTGACATTTGATGAAATATGTCAGTACTTTATTACCTTTATCATTGATATTGTTACGAAGTATATCTCAGATATATCTAAAATAAAAGAAGATAGGGCTGAAAATCCAGTTATTAAGACTCGTACGACAAATACATCTCTAGAATCTATTGTAGAAGCTGTGGTAACAACCGTTTCACAGACATCTATTTCACGATCTACTCCTTCAGACTTATACTCTATAAATAACTTATTTTTAGAATATAAATCGGTAACTTTGGGGACAACAATGTATCTTGACTGGATGTTACTAAGATTACAAACTATAATTGCAGAAAAGTTGCAAGTATCAGATAATCATACTAGGCAACATATACACAAGTTTGAAGGTGAAGGTGGTAATGAAATATTAGATGAGCATCAAGTGTTAAATACCAGCTATCGGAATAATAAGATTAGTAAATTTAGTCGATTAACTCTAAGTAATGGTGCTAAACCTAAAAGTGAAGTAACCAACAATGAAAAAGTAGCCCAATTCAATAAAATAAGTAGCAATCATCAGTCCAATAGTTATCTAAATATTAATGGACAATTTGACAAAGGCAACATCAGCCACTACCCCAACAATTACAGTACACAAATATACCCAGTTCTAGTAAGTCTTAGCCAAAAGTTCTGTGAGTTCACCTGTAACTTGCGGATCTTAATAATTAACGACATATTTGAACAATTTACTCATCCTATTACTAGCTTGCTTAGTCAGCTATTTAGGACATTAAATGGAGGAATCGAAGAAACTCTCCCACTTGAAAATTCTACCAATTGTTCACGACAAGTGGATAGTATTACTAGAATATCTAATGTAGAACTTATTGATAAATTCCTCACAGAATCCCTCTTAAACATAACAAAATCAATACCAAAGATTTTCTTTTATCATATTTGCAGTAGAATTACTATGTTCATTATAAACAAAATCTGGGATATATTAAACTCAAAAGTAACATTACATAATGCACACAAGCAAGATTTCTTTGAAGATGAGTTGGATAAGCTCTCTTCATTGTTACTACGATTACCATCTCTATCAAGCTCTTACGTTCCAAGAACTTACGTCAATTACATTAAAGACTCATTCAAAAAATATAGTGAGCACTTCAATAGACAAATTACCTTTGATTAGAGATAGAGCTCCTCTACAAAATTAAGATACATAATTGTAAAAGGAAGTCCTTGAGTTAAAGAGAAATAATCAGTAATTTGCATCAAAATTATGTATAGTAATAGTAATGGGAAGTCAATTAGGCAATTAAGTGAAGAACAGAATATGACAATACAATGGTATGAATTCATAGAGTCAACTTTCAAATTATTCACATATTTGTCAATATGACTTGCTACTAATCAGATGTTGGACAAATTGTTCCTGCCCTTGTTTAATAGAGACCTTAAGCTTCCTACCACTTTCAGTAACAAAACCATTCATGTTGTTGACAGCATCTGCTGCAGAATGAACATGATCATAAGAAACAAAGGCAACACCTTTATTTCTTCCACTATTTTTATCAATCATTAGATGAGCTGACAATATATGACCAAATCTACAAAAGTGATGAATAAGACTTTTCTTTTCCCATTCATAAGGTACATTGAAAATAAATATATTGGCACCTGGAGGTCCTACAACTTGACGACTAAATACCGGTCTGAAATTCATGAACTCAGGAGGAACTTCCCACTGAGTTACCCGAGATATTTCATTGTGGTAGTATGGTTTTCCATCTGAAGTGAAGTATTCCTTCCACATACCAATACATCTAGGCATGAGATTAGCTGTGATTGCTGCAGCTGCAGTAGAATTAGATGGAGAACCAGATAAAGGATGACCTCTTGAACGAGGGTACATGTTTGTTGTAGCTGCAACAGATATTCCATTATGATCAAATAAAGTAATATTTCTACTACAAGAACCCCTGTGACTTAAAATATTGCCAACTACCGTAGGATTCGCACTTAAATAGGAAGCATCATTAACAATATGACAAGGTTTCCTATTATTAAAAATATGATAAGCTGATCCTGAAGGTGGATTGTGGGCCATAGCTGAATGATGTAGACCATGAGTTAGAAATAGATTATTTGCATTACTTGATCTAGAGGCAAAACGAACTTCAAGTGGTCGATTAACATCTCCCAAAGTAGCAGCTCCATGAAGACTTGCAATAGCATATAACCCTTGTTCCTTGAAGGCATACTTCACAAAAGCACAACCTCTACAAAAACCAGTGTGTATTTCACGCATAATGAATATTTCATTAATTTGGCCATATGGAGAAAATACATCACTAATCTCCTCTTCAGTGATATTTTTGGGTAGAGCTCCGACAAATAATTTAACTTGGTCAACTCCAGGAATACATGATTCTGCCTCAAAACCAAATCTTTCTGCTTCTCCAGTAGAATATTGAACTTTTAGAGGACCTCTAAGATTGTCTAAAACTTTTATAAGATTTAGTTCACGAATTGCGTAATCTGCTTGTGCAATTGATTCCATCGTAACTAGAGCTGCACCTCGATGTATCCCAGTGTTTTTTTCTCGTACAATAGATATATTTACTACATTGCCATATAATTCAAATAATTTCTTTAATTCATCTTCCTCTATATTTCGAGGTATTCTCCCTACAAATAGCTTTATTTCCATGTTTGGAGCAGGGTGAGCGCAAGGGAAATTACAGTGACTGTATATAGAACCCTGCAATTCTACATAACTCTCTTGCTTATCTATTTCAAAACCTCCTTCACTTAATGTGGGACTATTATCAACCTTATCTATATCGGTATCTTCTTTATTATTAACACTGTGTATGTCTTCCCCTATCTCTGCGTAATCTCCGCATACTTCTGGAGTTACACTACTATCATTATATAACGAAGATTTATCAGATGTCCTTATTACATTGTCAATGTCTTGAACTACATTACTATTAGTACTTAGTCTCATTTGTTCCTCACCTACAGCCATTTTAAAACCCTAATTCTTATTTTTGAGAGAAAAAATATACTATAAAAACCACAAAGTAATATTAGAAAGTAAATTAACCGTTGCTTCTATCAATCAAAATCCAACAGATTATAGGTCAAATGACATCTTAAGCTATAATAAGCAAAAACTAACACAAAAATGGGCAAGTAAGTTTTATTAAAATCCCCAATAATGGCAAATAAAGCAGTTACTCAGTTGCGTTAAAAACACCTCTCTTCAAATCCTTGCAACCCTCCAAAGTGTACAGTCAACTTAGCCGCTCTCAAACTGTTCCATAAAGAGTATAATTGCGGTTAATTAGTTATTTTAACTTCTCTTTTTGTAATCCTTACAAATGAAGTAGCATCTAGATAGACAGAACGGAAATTAGGCGGCATTAATTAAAGCGGTAATCACTTGCAGGTATCGAAGAAGTAAAAATTCTGAAATATTTCTTAGAAATTTGTAACGAATAAATGCATTGAGATTGCTAATAAATAGTAATTTAGTGAAATATCTAAAATTCTGGAATCTGGATTGACACACAAGTTGGGTAGCTGAAATGAGAGACCTTCAGCTTATTATATTGTGTATAACTATTTTCAAACTACTTTGTATAATAGAATGCAAGAAAAGAGAAGCTGGAAATTACTACCAAGGGAAATGGTCACAATATGTGCACTCATACCCACTTGCAGGAACGGATAATGATCCAATGATGAGCCCTATTTATAGACACAGTGATTTCCTTCATGAATTAGTAAGTAATTTTGAATCCAGATTAGAAAGCACATATGAAATATATACTCATGGTCTTTTGAGAAGTAACAATAGTTTTCTTTATGGAAGAAGGTATAATGAGCTATTATTCCATAATGATCCTATTTCTAGATTTGCAGAGCTTCCTAAAGAAAAGTCTCTCAATCTATTCTCGAAAAAAGCAAATCAAGTTCAGTTTGAATGGTATAGATACTCATCAGTTTTAACTTTAGCTAGATATGTTGGATCAGGATTGCTTTCTCTACCGGATTCTTTGCCATTTATTGATCACTCACCTGATATTAAAAAACCAATAAGAATAGTTTCACTTCTAAGCAAGAACCGTTTGGAATGGAGTTTACTAGATGCTGCATGCTCAACCTATGGAATCGTTATAAGTCCCATATATGACTCACTTGGTGAAGATGGAATATCTTATAGTATAAACTTGGTTCAATCCAAAACAATTGTTGTGTCTTTCGAGGTAATTTCAACAATATTAAGATCATTACATAGGATCCCCAAAATTAGATATGTTATAGTATTAAGACCTGAGAATACATCCAAAGTTGGAGCACACCTGGATTTTAGTATTGACCAAAATAAATTAATTATTCATGGAGAGACAATAAACCTTGAAGATTACCCAGATTTACCACGGCATGTAGAATTTCTTTCCTTTGAAAGCATTGTGGAATTAGGAAGCAAAAATTTGCATCTCCCAACTCCTTCCTTGTATGAGGACATAAATTCTATATATTTTACTTCTGGAACAACTGGAACTTCCAAAGGTGTTATTCAAACTAATGGTATTTGGATTGCAGGATCAGCAGGACCTTTAAGGTCATTTTTGAGTCGTTCAGATAGTAATTTGAGTCCTAAAGACACTTATCTGAGCTTTTTACCACTAGCTCATATTTTTGAGCGTTTGGTGCATCTGATATTAATTTACTCTGGGGCTAAGATAGGTTTCTATAATGGTAACATACTGAATCTAGGTGAAGATTTACAGTCCCTGCATCCAACGGTTTTTGTTTCAGTTCCTCGTCTATTTACAAAGCTTTACAAGGGTAGAGTTTTACCAGAGATTAGGAAAAAAGGCAAGTTAACCCAGAACTTTTTCTTTTCAATTTTGAATAGGAAAAAGAGAAGTAGGAATCCAGTAGTTAATTCTGTATATGATTTTTTGGTTTTCAACAGAATAAGTAATTTATTAGGAGGGCGTATTAGATTTACCTTAAGTGGAGCTGCTCCTTTAGAAGACTCTATGCAACGTGATATGAGAGCTATGCTAAAATCTCAAATTGTCCAGGGATTTGGAACAACAGAGGCATTAGCTACATTTTGTCCAGAATTTACAGATTTAACAGTCAACAATATTGGAGGTCCTATTCCTAGTGTAGAGTTTCGTTTATTAAGTGTTCCAGAGATGGGCTATGACGTTAGAACTTTTCCTAGACAAGGTGAACTCTTATTGAGAGGCCCTACAATCTTCAAAGGTTACCTGAAACAACCTAATAAGACCAATGAAGCTATAGATACTGAAGGATGGTTACATACAGGTGATATAGCTGAACTTCTTGATAATGGAGCTGTTAGAATTATTGATCGTAGGAAACATTTGTTTAAACTGTCTCAAGGAGAATACATATCACCAGAGTCCATTGAAAATATCTATTCAACACACTCACCTTTTATAGCACAGATATTTATTACTGCCAAATCTACGGAACCAGTTATAATGGCTATTATTGTCCCAGATCCGGATTATGTAAAAGCCTGGTTATTAGGTCAAGGAGTAAAGATAAATGATTGGGAAACGCAATACAATTATATATGTCAGCAAGCTAATTTAAATTATTATAAACTGAAGGAAGATACCTTACTACGTCAAGGTATTATGAATTCTTTGAAGAAAGTTGAACGTGATAATAATATAGCTGGACTCAAAAGGATAAATAATTTTCATCTTGAGTGCGATGGCTTTACTATTGAGAATGGACTACTAACACCTACTGCTAAATTAATGAGGTTTAAATTAAGAAAACAATATGAGACTGAAATTAATCACTTGTACAACATTTATCACGAAGATCAGGGGTAGATAAGTGCGTAAATACGCAAAATCAGGGTGTATTCTACTGAACCCCATTGAGGTATGTCTCCACAGTATATATGTATTGGTCAAAGGAACTAACCATTAGATTTGGCACTAAGATTTTGCTTTATTTAACAATTCTTTATAAATAACTGCTCAGTCTTCAAGTATATCCACCTCTACATTACAAATTAAAAGACCACTCAACAGATCTAAAATCAAGTGGTCTTTTGTACAATATATTTTGTTTATGTTAACTGATTGTAGATTTGGCATTAATACTTGCAAAGCAGTCCTCGTATCCAAATATTCCACAAGTGAAACCTTTAGATCTGAATTAAATATGTAGATTTGTGGTAGTAAGTATATTGTTAGAGGTATATCTTGCATAGCTATATCATTATCTTTTAGTGATAAGATTGCATATACATCTTCATGTGTCACATGGTTACTCTCGCTATATACAGGATCATATTTAAAATATTTTGCAGCAAGAATAATCCCTCCCCTATAATAATCCCAAGTGGCACTGTAAACAACTAAATTTGGTAAATATAAAATCCCTACTAGTTTAGTTTTCTTCTGATTAATCTCCCATGTAACTATAATTGTAGTCTTTGTTTCTGGATTATATCCAACAAAATGTAAGAGATTATACCTATCAGTACTTATCCATGATATTTGATCAAAATTATTCAATGGATGATTTATATCAGAATGATCCTCATCACACTTTAGTGAAGAGGAATTTCCTATCATTGCAATAATATCTAAAGTATATACTTCACTTGGTTCTATAAACCATAAGTATGCTTTATTCCTACTATTCCACTCGCTATTTGAGACTATCAAGCAAGAAAATGATAGCTCTTTTATATTTATATCTCCAGTTGCACTCACTTTGCTGGAAATTCCTATTGTTGTCTCCTCATTGTCATGATAGTAAGGAATAATGTTAGATTTAACTTTATTCTCTTCTATAGTAAAATCCAAGGTAATTTTAGTTACTTCATCAATCTTTTCAGTTTCTTCTTTTGAAATGTGTATGTTCTTCCATGAAAATACTGAATTAGTCTCCAAAATGCAAATCGGATCTCCATGTAGAGGTATATCAATTATGGGAAGCCATTGAAGATGACTTAAAAGAAGTTTAGATTGGAGATTATGAGTATGTTTGCAAATAGAAATAACACCATCTAACGAGGTAATAATGATAAATACTTGATTCTTGTCCTCAAAAATCTTGATATATGTAATTTCGGCCATATTATACTGTCTAATATATTTATCTTTAAGAAAAATACAAATATTTTTGTTTATTAATTCTTTCTTAGAAGCATGATCTATATTGACTTCACTCGACATCCTTAATTTAAAATTGGTTATATGCCTAGTATTCCCTTCTACTGAAGCATAGAGTAAGTACAAAACACCTCCAACTTCAGTTCCAATAACTACATATAAGATGTAACAAGAATTATACATTGTAAGAAAGGCACTTAAATAAGAAACTTTGTTTTGCAAATCCTCATCTATTTTTGTTACACATAGAGGTAGAAAAGGACTTGTCTTTATTTCTTTATATTGATGAAATTTAGAATTTATATTTAAATTATTAGCATTATATTGATATAATCTAAGAAATCCATCTCTCCATAATACAACCATTATATATAATTTGTCATATTGAGTAATAGAAATAAAATTATTATCTATATATGATTTAGTAACAAAATCGGTAAATAAAGGATTCACATCAAGAAAAGTTCCGATTTTATTCAGATTTTTGTCATTAATTCTTGATATACATGTATATAGTGTTTGATATCCACTCCATTCCATGAATAAAGAAGAGCTTATTTTTATATTTTGAAATTTTGCTTGTGGTATATCTACACAAGATAGTAATTTACTCTTATTTCCACTTTCAGAATCATTATAGATATCTAGTATCTTGTCTTCAGTTGAGTTAAAAGCTGCAGAACTTTTCTTTTGTACCAAATTACCATCATTAATAACGAAATTAGACTTATGTGTTTCATTAATACAATGATAGTGTGTAAAATTATCAGTTGTATGGAGAGATTTATCATGTCCATCTAAATCAGAAGAAAAATCAATAGGATGTAACAATTGGTTATCTGTATTATTACTAAGGTCAGAATTATTGTTATACTTCCCAAAATTGTGTACAGAATATTTGTCATAAATATCATGTGACTCCAGAATATCACAATTTTGAACTCTATTGTTAATTAAACTAGTATCTCCAAATTGAGATTCAATCAACTCTGTACGTAGTTTGAGAAGGACAAACCATGGATAATTAGCTAAATCATCACATGTATGCTTTAATACTTTAGATTTATCAATTATATTACGTCTTGGATGAGGACCATCAAATATTTGTATGGGAACTTGACCAAATTCTTCCACTTGAGCCTTTATTGCAGCTATATCATCTCCACATGAATTGATATATTTCTCATTAAATATAGGAACATTGTCGTTAAAATTCAATTCAGACTTTGAAATGTACTTATTAGATATTTCATTTCCAATTCCTTCTGTAGTAAATCCCCTTAAATTCCCATTTTGCAATTCTAGTTGTTCTCCAGGTATTTCCTTAATCTTGAATGAGTTAATATAAACAGGTGATAAATCTTTCGTAATTGCTATCTGAGAGTTTATGTAAGTAATAGGATGAAATAAATTATTGGCAAGTATTGCTTCTTTACCTCTCTGTTTATATCCAAATATTAAATCAATCCAATCATTAATTTGTTCACTTGTATTTGAAGACTCCAGAGCTAGTCTCATAAAATACAAAAATTTCCTTGCAACTTGATATTCAGAACTCCGAGTGTTTAAATCTTTCTCTTCAAAATTCCAGTTCGGGACTTTAACATTACTCAAATTACCATTGTTTGTATGAACTTTCAATTTATTATTCAAAAGGAAATTAGGATCTTGCTCATAAAACTGAGGTATTAATTCCATATATGCTGCTCTACCTTGTGTAATAGTCTTCCAAGTTTCACAAATTGAGTGAAAAATCCTATTCCAAACATCAAAATCTCCACAATGCAATTTCAATTGATATTCAGGAAATGATCGAATCAAAAAGTAAGAAATATGACCTGGTGTAGAATAATGAGAACCATAAAGAAATTGATCATTAGGTGGTAAATCTCTCATTCTAGCTTTTAATATCTCCAAATTAGTTTCATTTAAAGCTCCTAAAGGTTTTGATAAATCTCTGAAATTTGATCTATTTCCTATTATATCACCTTCATTATTAAAATTTCCTTCAAAATTGCATAATGTCCAAGGATATACTGGATACTGAGACAAATCACTTCTAGACCTCCCACTGATGCTATTCAAATAGTCCAAATAATGATAAGTTGATATTTCACCTCTTATCCATAAACTTTGCATATAATTTTTAAAACAAATACTCTGACTGGCATAAAATGGATCCACATATAGTAGAGAGAGGCAAGAAGATTTGCAAGAACAAGATGCATAAGATTTGATTGATACTAAATCAGTTTGTTTTTTAGAATTTATATTTGTTAAATAAGATTGTAATAATGTAGCAACATATTCACGATCTTGGTTTGACTGAAATTCTAAAACTATACATTTCCATTTTCCTGTATTAATATTAGAAATATCTTTACCACAAATAAATTCCAGAGTATTTGGTTTCATTGAGTATATCCTACGAAATATAAACCACACACTTTTTAAAGGAATTCTTTTATAAGGTTTATTCGAAAAATTAGGCAGATATTTAAAATAAATACCTGACTGCATAATATGCAAAAATCCCCTATGTTTAATAAAGGGCTTAACTCTGTATGCTATTAATGGTTTTGTAAGTAGGAATTTATCACGATGATCTAAAAGAAATTCATATTCCATATTAGATATATCACTCGAATATAATTTATTTAACCATTTATCTGCAATATTTTCTATACATTCAACTGATTTCCTATGTTTATCTCCTTTATAATATGTCCACAATTCATTACATAACGAAATATACATCTTTACATTTTCGTATGACATTAAAATTTGAAGTTGAAAATTCGTGCCTGAATCTGCACTAGATTTTATTAAATTCGGAGTAACACAACGAGATTTACCGTTTATTATTTGAACCGTAATTAATCGAATGCTATTACATGCAATTAATAAACTGTAGAAATTAATTGTTTTATTTACCCCAGTTTGCTGAGTTTCAGAGTATGTCATTTCATTTATACACACAAACATCACTTTAATCATTGGAAGTGAGATATCATCAGGCTCTATTGTTATTGACTTTGTCCCTATCCTCATCCTACCCTTAAAATTATCTTTATATAAACGTTTGCTTAAATTATGTTTGCATAAACACGAAGTATCTGACAAATATTCCTCATTTTCTTCCAGTAATAAATATGAAAATTGTCTAACTCCCTTTAGAGCCATAACAAATCAGATTAATTTTTTGTAGTTAATGGATACCCCTTCCCCACTATTGGAAAGTTAAAATTCCCTATTGTGTGTTGTGTGTTGTGTGTGCACACTTTATCTAAAATGAACCATATTACATGATTAGTTTGTCTTCAATATTAATATTCAATATCATGCAAAGTATACAGAGTCAGATCATAAATACTAGACCAATTAGAATTACAGTACCAGACTCTTCATTAAGGCGTACAGATAATGAAGTTAGAGGATTGGTTGTAAATTTGAAGGAAAGAATTTATTCTGATCAAGAATTTATAAGACGAGTAAGATATTTCTGGCCTAGTGAAGAATTACAAGAACAATTATTGTTTGCAATTAGCAAAGATATCCCAAGAGATGATAGCCCCATAGAAGATCCAACACACTATAGATTACAGTTTGCAATAGAACCAATAAAATATGGAGGTACATACAATGATTGTTGTGCTTGGTTAGGTCCAATTAATAAATATAATTATTGCCCTGCAATAAAGGTACATATACCAGATACTTATGAGCCTTGGATAACATATACAGTTAATGTCTTAGCATATTTATTTGGAAAGGTATCTGGATGTAGTAAACCTAGTGAATTCATAAAGCAAACAAATTTGACACATAATGAACCATTCAAAATGATTTGTGGAAATAGAAGATGTGTCAGGGTATCTCATATTGCAATTAAAAAAGGTACTAAGGGCATCTCATTCTCTGAAGTAGTTGACCCAAGTCTTGTAAATGAAAATATCGACAAACCAATAACATCTATGGAGGAATTATCATCTAGTAAGATATATACAGAATCAAATACCCAAGAATTACAAATGACTACCCAAAAGGGTAGTACTTCACTACAGAATTATTCAGATCACATCACAAATTTAAGTAGTATAGAACCAAATATATCAAATTTGCTTCATGAACCACATAGTAGTAACAAAGAAATGGATACACTTCAAGAACCATCAAGTTCTAACCTTAAGATATCTAACTTAGTAGGAGATAGTGTATTAAGTACAAACACATATAATTCGAAAAAATCTCATCCACAAGATAATTTAGAATTAGAGGTCAATATAGAAAATAATCAGGAACAGCAAGTAGCAGCAACAAGTAGTAGTTATCAGCATAAAGGGATACTTGGAAATATTAGAAATTTATTTAATAGACACAAATAAATAGGAAATATAATAAAATTAATTTGTTCCCATAATTAACTATATTTAGATTCCATAGATTTCTTTAATCCCAAAGGAAATTGTTTATGCCAAGTTTTAAATCCAAATATTTGATCTACTTCTTTATTTGCATAGTGATTTAAAAATCCTTCTTGATCATTATTTTCTTTATATATATAGATATGACCAATACATGTATTTGCTACAAATTTACTTTCTGACAGACTATTACCCAAAACTATTTCATCACCTCTAGTAAAATCTGCCTCTATAAGTAGAGTAATATTTTTTTTGGTTAATGGATCGTTAATCTTAAGATTTTTTGGTAGAATCAAATTCTCAAATGTTACATCTTCATTACATAAAATATTACTTAATAATTCCTTAGCGATTTGACTAATTTCAATCCCAATATTCCTATCTACAATTAATCTTAACCAATTTGAATTTGGATTATCATTATTATTAAGGCCACATTTTGATCTCAATTCTGTTAGATATGATATTTCTTCGTCTACATCTACAGTCAAACCACATACATCTCGTTTTGTATCGATATCAAATTCAATTTGGGAGTCATCATCTATCCAATCTTCTTCACTATTATTATTATCTAACGAACTATCAGAATAAAATGAAGAATGGTCAGATACCATTTATCTTAAATAATAATCTTCATAAATTTTAGCTAATATTTACATTAAGGTAATTGTTAATAAAACCTCTAGCGCCTAAGATAGTTTATGATAGTAATATAATAAGACTACATAATATATTGTGTAAAGTCTCTAAAGTTCCCTAATACAGTGTAATATAAAGATATTTTATATAACCTCGGTAATATCTATTTAGTTCTAGGCTTGATATTATGAATCCTCGAATTACTTAAAGATTATCTGGGATAAAGATATTAAATGAATCTTGTGCTGTAGATATCACAAGATTTGGTATCTGTTTATGCCACTTAGCTTCTGCAATGTGATTTTGTCCCATATGTAGAAATAATATTTTATAAGGGACATTAATATTTACATTATCACTTTTTTCATCATCTACTGCTGGCTGTTCTATACCAATATCCCAAAAACTAATTGAGTTGTCAAGTGAAGCAGCTAAAAATACATCACTATCTATCTCTAACCAATCAACAGAAAGGATAGGCTGTTTATGCCATTTAAAAGTTTCTAATGTATTATTAGTTCTAGTATCCCATAATTTTATATCACAATCATCACTGCCACTTAGTAACAAATATTCATTACCTGGATTCCAGGAAAGAGTATTAATATCCCCATTATGCGCATTGTGAATACTAATAGATATATCATCAGAACGGGTATCAATTATATTAATATTTGAATCTACAAAGCCAGCTGCAAAAATAGTGTTATGACTTGGTTCCTTCATCCATTGTAGTATTTCTACACTTGATTGAAATTGTCTATAAACATCTCTGATTTTCCATGAGCCATCTTCAGTAGGTTCCCATAAAGATATTTTACCTTTTCTATCACCCGAAATAAATTCTATAGGGCTATTTGGATTCCAATCCATAGCAAAGCCTTCATCTAGATGTCCTTCATAAGTTAATTTGGGTTTTATTTCTGTTTTAACCTTTAATGTTACACCAGAATTAGTAAAATTATTTATTATTCCATTTAAAGCATCTGAAACATCCCACATGTTCACCACACCTAATTCAGACCATGTAGATAATAAAGATGGATATTGAGGACAAACACGGATTCTATTAATGGTCCCCTTATGTGGAATGGACTGAACATTTAATACTGGATCTTCATCAATATATTCTAAATCAGATTCACATGAATCACTACTTGAGCTAATAGAATCTTCATCATTACGATCTCTTTTTGTCTTATGTAACTTAGACCATTTCATCAAAAGTATCCTATTATTTTCATCTCTATTTGCTTGAGTACCTGCTGCTACATAGCATGTATGTGGAAATTGTTTACGAATACTTCCTAATCCATCTGGAATTATATCAAATGATAAACAACTCCATTCAACAATACATTTATGATACATTTTATATGCACTAGGTTCATATACCAAATCTGTTTCATCTACAATTTCTGGTGTCCAATAGTTTATTACCTCCTTAATAGTTTCTCCACAATATTCTAGTGAATCAGTATCTTCCACCTCTGTAACTTCATCTTCAATTTCATCTTCATATTCTTCAGCAAATTGACCTTCTAAACTCATCACCTGATCTTGTAATTTATATGATTGAGACTTTGAAGATCCAGATTTATATTTGCTAGGTAAGATCTCTTCTGTTGTCTCATTTTCCTGTCTAACCTAAAAAAAAAATTCAATAGTTCACCTGCAAATTTATTTAGGTTACAATGTATACTTACTCTTATCTTTCTTCCCATTAGGAAATTTAATACAATTTTTCTTTAAGATATAATAGTCACCTTTGGAAATGAGAAGAAAGGTATATGGCGCTAGAAGTAGTACAAGTTCACTACAATCATTATGGGTTACCTATTTAATTTCTCCCCTTGACATTTTTTATTCCAGTGACTTTTTATCGTATTAAAATTGCTATATAATAGACTAGTTAGAAAAATAACCAACTAATTCTGTACATCATTGACTAGTTTTCTAATAAAAAGTGCACTTTATCTAGATTTCCTTTCTATACTTATATAAATTCAATATATAAATAATTCCTTAGAAGATATTTATTATATCAAATATTACGTAATAATTTTAAAGGAGACTGCTTGGAGTAAGATGAATAATTAGGGGACCATGTTGCTATTGTAATTATTGGCAAAATCAATATTCATTTACATTCAGTTGTAAATTAAATAAGTATCCAAAGTACTTGTATTATATTTTAATACAAAAATATTATCTGAGTTCCTTCATTTATTAATGACTTTTTAGAAGTTTGAACCTTTCATATGTATACTAAAATATATTAAATTTTAATTTTATAACTTCTATAATATTCTATTTGTTTTGGTATAAATTTATAATTTGACTATAAGCCCCACTGTAAGATAATATGTACTTTTAAGCTAATAATAACTTGCTTAGTTAAACTGATTTTACTATAGGTCTAATTATTTAATGTTTATACCTTGGAAAAAAAAATAAACTTGCTAAAAATATACTTCCCAACTTATTTATTATTATTAGTCTAAAGTTTAAATGTATTCTTAGTGAAAATTAAGCAATATTATTTATATTAAATTCATTTCCACCTGCACCATTATTCACTCAATATATTATAGTACAATTTCTTTATTTTGCTAGTATTGATCATTATAAAAAGTCTTTATTAATCTTATTTTAATGTTTATATTACTAATTTTTTACACTTTTATACTTTCTTTTGGTTATACAATATTTGTTAAGTACATGTAGGTAATTATGTTTAAAGGTAAGGATAATACTATACTAATAAATCTAAATGCTAAATGGGCTTGTACCGCTTAAAATGTGCTACCTCTATGTAAACTAAAAATTTGCATGTATATTACTCTAAAATGTAAGGAATCAAAAGAATAAAAAGAAAAGAGGATAGTGGCGGGAAAGAGGAGATGGATGAATATACATGTTTAATAGTATAATAAGAAACCATGTGCTCGTTTTATATGACAGGAAAACGAGGATTATACATATTTTGTCTATGAAGTAAAGACGAAGTTTCAGACGGTAATCTTAAGTTCTTTTCATAAGAATGTAATTTTAATTATGGATACAAACAAGGACCAAAATGAATGCTTAAAAGCACCAATATCTAAGGATGTATTGAAATATAGCCTGGATACTTCAATACTATTTCAGGCCGTGAAAAATCCAAAGGGAGTCCCACAAAATGAGTGGATTGCACAGAAGGGTAAGATTATAATTATATTTTTGATAGAAAAATAAAATAAAATAAAATATTTACATTGTTTCTGCATTTTTAATATTTAATGCAGCTATGGATTTATTTAGAGATGCTCAAGTTGCTTGGGGTTTTGTAAGCAATTCATGTCACTGTCCACTAATGAGAGCTCATTTCATGGTATTTAAATGGCAAGACAATCCTCATAAAGCTGCAGTACCACTACCAGCTACAATTTATGTGAAATCCTTATTTCATTGGATTGATGACCAGATTGCAAATACTAGTTTATTTCCTTTAAAACCAGGTATGTCATTAGCTATAGCTATATAATCTGGTATAAAATTGATTACTCAAACTATCAATATTTTTAATTTATAGGAGTCCCATTTTCAAATGATTTTTTATTTATAGTAAAGAATCTTTTACGTCGTTTATTCAGAGTATACAGTCATATTTATTGTCATCATTGGCCTTATATAGAATCTATAGTAGCTGGGGCTCATGTGAATTATTGTTTAAAACATTTCGTATTTACATGCATACAGAATAATATTTTGGACTTTAATGAATTAAAGCCTTTAGAAGAATTAGCTCAATATATAATGGAGGATGCGACAAGCAACTCGTTGAAAATTAGACATATTCCCAATTTGTTACAAAATATAGGGAATAATGATAAAAATTTAAGGAATAGTCAGGATAATAATGTAACTGAATTAAATTCTCCGGATACTCATATCCCATCAACTAGTAGTTTACTGACAGATTCTCCTCTTTTTGAAGATACAACTGCATTGGGAGAGACTCTAAGTCCAGAATCGCTTAAGGGAGAACAAAAAAGATTACAAGAGAATTTAACCTCTAAGATAAATGCAAAAATATCCGGAGGTAACCCATCTAATAAATACCAAATATCAAAAAAAAATACTTCAATGACAAGGGTAAATAAGAATATATCAAACTTAATCCCATTTTCAATATCACCTTTAACAGAACGGAAAAGGATTCCATCTGTGTGTAGTGACAGCATTGTTGTTACTGGGGATCATCATCGAAATGATAAATCTAGTACTAAAGAAAATTCCAGAAAAACAAAAACTTATCCTTGGACAGAATTTGCTAAGAAGTTAATTTTATGCACAAAGAAAAAGAAGAAAGACTTGAAACTTTAGAATTTCTAGACTATTTTTGTTTGTTGCATGACTACTTTAGGAGATTTTAGCAAGAATAGATTTCAAGAAAGAAATGGCAACTTACACAAATATGGGTAGGTCTTTTTAATAAATAATGAAACTTTAAGTATTTGGTATAGGAATAAATGAATAGTTTACTTGGATAGTTGCAAATATCAATAACTTGTTAAGATATATAAATGGAAGTGTTGGGAAGTGAAATAATTACTAAAACTTTTCATCACTTGCATTTTATTCTCATAATTTTTATAATTCTTTATAATTATCTTTATAATAGTAATAGTTTGATTATATCCAGATGATACTAGTTATAATTACAAATGATATTGATTTGTCATTAATAATATGATCATTTATTATATATATTTGACTAAAACTATAATATTTAGAGTACAAGTGTGGTAGTGATATTGGTGTAAAGTTTTAAGTAAATGTTAAAGTGATATTTTCTTGAGATTTAAAAGTTATATTTAGTTTTATAGTCTAAATAACTTCTATAACTTTTATCATTATCCTATAGCTGATAAGAAAAAAAGAAGTTTTTGTTATATATTACAAATATTATTGTCTTAATACTTTTTAATGTTAATATTTACTATGAGTTTTGTTCAATATTATATAGATATAATATAAAATTTAAAAGTACCTAAAGTCTAATTTACTAATTGATCTTTAAGTTAACAAAGTATCAAAGTGAATTTTCAAGAATAGAAGCTGCTAAGTTTCAACTTTCTATAATATAAATATTTGCAATACATAGACAACTCGATTATCTTTCAATATTTATAATAAAATGACCCTATCTTTTTTTATTCATAAATATGAGTACTCAGCTTTAAAAGTCTAGAATAATTAAGTCATTTGTTAATAGTATCTACACTTTTTACGTTAAGCTTTTCATTTACAGTTAGATATTGTCCATTACTTGTTCTTGCACTATTACTTGCATTAGTTGTTAATGTAGCATAACTTTCAGATCCAAAGTAATTAGTACTTAATTTATATCCATCTTCTTCAACAAGATTTGTTACTTCAACACTAGATTTCGTTTTGGGACTCTTCATTGAAGGACTAGAAGATATATTTGTTGAGTTAACTATTTGAGATCTTCTTGCTACCAAAAGTGTGTATCTCCAAGCTCTAGCATCACGCCAGGATCTAGTACAAAGCTGAATAGGAATTTCTTCAAATTCAGTATCTCCATCACTATCTTCATTAGTATATTCATCAATATCTTCTTTATTATTATGCATATAAATTGGGATATCAGATACATAATCTGATATAAAGTTCAAGTCTTGTAAAAAATGTTTCTTCTTAGGTTTGACCACTAGAAAAGTAACTTCGAAACAAAAGCCATGAATAGTTTCTAATATAGGTCCCAATGCTACAATACTCCCCGGGTTTAAAATCTCCACTGGACTTTTTGAATCACTTCTTGGATAATATAGATATAGAGTGTCAAGAGCAAAATTATAGGGATCAGCAATTGTAGAAGATTTATCACTAGATAATTGTTGATGTTCCCCATGAGGACTAAACTTCCTAATTAGATAATTAATTTTATAAATTGATGATCCAGAAGTAGTTTTATGTCCTAAATATGCTATTTGAGTTGTTGTACTTATTGATGAATGTGTATATCTCGATGGAAATGCAGTCATAAATGAGAGTGATTTTGCACTTTTCTTATTTTCTTCAGATAATAAATGATTAAATCCTTCGTTTGGATATAGGGATGGATTTCTTAATAGTGAATCCAATCCCCCATTATTGACTTCAAATGAAATATATTTGTATTGTTCAAAATTTGTTCCTAATATTGTTCTTTCGCCTAAAGTAGATGATGGATATGGATGATGAGCATCTGAGAGAGGTCTAGAACAAATAAGTAGACCCCAGAAAACACCATTATTAAAAAAAGGTAAAATGCTATTTTCTCGCCTTATATAAATTAATCCAAATGTACAATTATCTAAGAATGCATCCTTAGAACTAGCAGATAACTGTTGAAGCATTATATCAGCAAGTTGAATGCTATATTTGTGCTGATTATTTCTAACATATTCTATCTCCTCTTCTAATGTTAAGGGACATCTTTCATCAGCTATTGGAACTTCACTAACATGTCTTGAAGATATCTCATTTCCACAAGTATTTAAAGATAAATCTACTTCTTCTATTATTGTCTTATAATTAACTCTATTTCCACCTTGATAATAAATATCTAATGAATTAGATTCAATGATCTTATCTCCTATTATTTTAACATTGTTCTCATTTTGTGCTATAATTTCCTTGCTAATTTCCCAAGCCTTCATAATAACATCATATAAACCACGATCTTTCAGAAATCTTCTCTTATTAGAGTTAGATAATGTCTCAGGACCAACCTCTATTGCTCTAGTTGCTGACTTTTTAAAAGGTTTGAGTAAACTTTCAACAATATAGTGAAAGCAAGATTGGGTAGCATCTACTAGTAAATTACTAAATCGAAAGTTTCTTGCATCCTCAGTTCTTGAACGCATTTTACGACTTTTTAATGTCCATAAAATTATTGCATCCATCCACTTATCTTTTTCTGTTGGAGTGGAGGCTCGCAATTGATAATCACGTTGAGGAGTACTTAGAGTAATCCCTAATGGTCCATCTGCAAATACATTTTCTACAACTTTCAAATTTATCGAGCCTCTAGGTTGTTCATCTCTATATGTTGGTTTTCTAGTCCAATATATTAATGTTCTATCCTTTTCTAAAAGAGAGAAGTAACGAGATTGCCATCCTCTTCCAATAACGGGGCTCCACTTCTTCAAATAACCAGATACATATTCATTTTCAATTAACTCCTGAACAATAGAAGCAGACCGTTCACCACGTTCAATCATTCGATATACACTTTCCTTCATATCCTAAAAAGTGTATGGAAACTATCAAATTCCTAATTTGTTATATTATTAAAAGACTCTTGTATTGTTTCTCATACATAAATAAATTAGAAACAGTCCTGTAAATCCAGTTAATATGTTTTCACCTGTATCTAATTTGCTATAGAAGTAAGCAAATTTACTTTGGTCTTACTCTTTCTCTGGTAAACAAGAATAAGAAACTGACTATTAAATAAAGTCTTATAGCGCTATAAAATTGGCGTCAATATTGTTTGATAGAGGCTAATTTCAGGGCCTTTTTTGACACTTAAAAAAGTTGTTGATACTTTTTGATTCACATATATCTTACTATATTTTCCTTTTTTAATTATATACTAATAATGTATTGTCCTTTCTCTTTTAAGGGAAGGTACATATATATATCTTTATTATAGTATCCAAACTACCTTATCAAGTTCATGAAAAGGGACTATATTTTAAATACTCTTATCTATAACATATTAGGCACTTCAAAATTCCTTTAGAAGTATATTAATGCTTACATTAGTTTAAAGTAGTTATTTAGCAATATACTTAATAGAGTGACTAATTTAGTAGAATTAGATTAGTATAATTATAGTTTGCTAAAGTATAATATCTCCAATATATAAGTTCCTCCTAATAAGTTACTAAATTTCCTTAAATTATAAATACTTTTTAACCTAAAATATCTAAAGAAGTAGCTTTAAATCTAAATTTCTTAATAGTACTTGTAAAGTAGAAAGTTACTAGATAAAGAAAAGGTAGTAATCTCTAATACATAGTATTCAAATAACTACTCTACAAATACCACCTCAAAATACCAAATACTCATCATTATAACTCTTTATAATTCCACTTCATGCTTTGTGTTTACTTATTTGAGATGTCTCAATAATAGGATATCACAAAATATAAATATTTACAAAAAATGGGGAAGATCATCAGTATCAATAATATATCTATATATATACATATATATTATAATGAGAAATATCCCTATTCTAGAATAATAGTCTAAATTGAACTCTCCTTGTAATCGCTCAGTAATACCTTAGATGTCTCCTAAAGTGATAGAAAAAAATGCGCCAAGTGTCTTATACTAGCGGTAAATTTATGTAATTTCGTTGGGGTTAGGGCATGTTTAGCGGGTGACCTGTACATGTTCTATAAAGTGATATTTCTTGCAATAAAACCTGATCCTTAAATTAAACAATTTAAATATTTCTGCTATAGAATGTCTGGTGAGTCCGTAGAATCTGTAGATGAAAGTCTTGGCTCACAAGGAAGTAACTTGGAGACAATTAGAATGCGCTTATCATTGGCTCTTTCAAGCAAAGAGAATTTCTTAATGAGTGCCAAGTCATCTTTTGAACAATTTGACGAAGGTCAAAAAGGTAAATTAAGCATGGAAGAGACTAAAAGATTGCTGGAACGCTTGTCAGTGAATTTGGAACTCCCTCCAGTTGATAACAACATGCTAACAAATATATTTAATAAATATGATGAAAATTTAACGGGATTTTTAACTTTCGAGGAATTTTCAAGATTTTTTTGGCATCTGTTATGCAGTATAAGAGATAAGTACTATCCTGAAAAATCCATTTTAGTTACAAGGGATCAATTTATAAGGCGGACCTCATTAAGAAAAGCTGATGATATTAGAAGTATATTTGATTTTGTGGAAAAAATAGGTGAAGGATCTTTTGGACAGGTATTTTTCGTTAGAGAAAAGTGCAGTAATCTGAGTAGAGTTTGTAAAATGATTGATAAATCTCTTTCAAATGTCTCTGTTGACCAAATTGAAGCTGAAGTTGCTGTATTAAAGAACTTAGATCATCCAAATATTATTAGAATTTTTGAAGTATATGAAGATACAGACCATATGTATATTATAATGGAAAAGTGTGCAGGAGGAGAATTATTTGAAAGAATTCATGAAGCGGTAGATAAAGGTTTTAGGTTAAATGAAAAATATGTATCACATGTAATGCGTCAAATCATGGCAGCCTTAGCCTATTTTCATTCAAGAAAGATTGTCCATAAGGATTTAAAACCTGAAAATATATTGATGCAGGAGAAATTTCACCATTCAGCGATAAAAATTATTGACTTCGGATTGGCAGAGATATTTAAGACTGTAAATGAACACAGTAGTCATGCAGCTGGAACAGTATTATATATGGCCCCTGAAGTTTTTATGCGTGACATAACTATGGAATGTGATGTATGGAGTGCTGGTGTCATAATGTATTTTCTTTTGGCAGGAACTTTACCATTTTCTGGGAAGTCTGTTAAGGAAGTGAAAAATAAGGTACTCAATAGTGAACCTGACTATGAACATGAATGTGTACATATATCAGCTGAGGGAATTGACTTAATGAAGTTGATGTTCCAAAAGGATCCAAAAAAGCGTCCTAAAGCAGCAGCTATATTGGCACATCCTTGGTTTAAATTAGCTAAAACAAATGTACAGCCTATTAGAATGAGTACACGTCTTTTACAAAACTTGAAACTTTATATGAAACAGAATCAGCTTAAACAAGCCTTAGTAAATATGATGGCTCATCAATTAAATGTTACAGGATCTCAAATTAGAAATATTACACATGTATTTAAAGAGTTAGACCAAGATGGCAATGGAATCTTAACCCCAGAAGAATTGATAGATGGCTTACAGAGTGTGGGAATTCCTCAATGGGACATTAATAGAATTGTCCAAGCTATGGATGCAGACGATACAGGTTCTATAAGTTATACTGAATTCCTTGCAGCTTGTTATGAGTGGCGGGATACTGAATTGGGTGTTATTAGAGCTGCTTTTAATAAAATGGATATTGACGGAGATGGGAAGCTAACAGTTGATGAATTTGAAAAGGTCCTTTGTAGTGGAAAACAGAAATTATTAAATCATAGAGACTGGGATCAAATTATTAAGTCAGCAGACACTAATAGAGATGGAGTTATAGACTGGAATGAGTTCCTTGAATATATGCTTAAATAAAAGTACATACATTAATTCTACCAAATATAATATAAAGTTCTGTTTTATATTAAAAATTATTTGTATGCAATATTTACAAGCTGACTTTTCTTAGTCTCATTAACTATCTATTAAATAATTTCAAGATTAAAAAGACTGTTATACCGCATCTTTTAATATAGCGGGTAAATGTAACTGAAAGTACAGAAAGTTACGATAATATCTATATTGTCTTTTAGCGAAGTATTGAAATTTATACAATGGAACTTGAAGATATTTATGAACTAAAGAGATCTTTAAAGAGTTTTAATAGGTGGTCTGAACTGGCAGAAAAGAAATCAAGATTACCAATATTTACAAGAGACAGCGGATGGACTACTCCAAAGAGAGACCTAGCAAAAATAAACAAAAACTCTTCACTAACAAAGACTAAAACTAGAAGATTAGAATTACTTGAAAAAAAATATGTTTTAAATAAGGTTGATACAAACTACAATACATACTCAGCAAATAAACTAGAGAATAAAGTAAATCAAACTGACTTTGATAGTCATACATCTACCATAAAGACTCCCAGAGATATAGCTGTACTATGCCAAACAGTCATGGCTCATCCAGAAGAAAATATAGCCCTTCTTGAGTGCCTACTGTCATTTTGCGAAGCTAATAGAATTAAAGTAAATGGAGATTTAACCGAGTTGGCAATATTATCCTTAACATTAGTTATTAGAGATATTGTACCTGGATATAAAATATCAGAACATATAATGAATTTAAGTATAACAAAGACTGATAATGTAATGATTAGTAAAGATTTACAAAAAATTCAATCGTTTGAGAGGAAGATTGTTAATATTTACAAAAGAACATGTCTTCTACTTTGCAAGATTTTAAAGTCTGTTCATTACAAATTTATTAATAAAAGATCAATAGTAAAAGCATCAGCTGATTTATTAGAGTTTACATTTCACTTTAATTATCATGTAATACTGTTGAGATGGTTAATTTTATATCTAATGTCAAAACACAAGGAAATAAACAACACATACATAGAATATTGTAGTGACTGCTTTGCAAATATTTTAACAAGTGATATTAACTTGCAAATAGGAGTAGAAGCTCTTGAGATAATTCACCAGGTATTATTTCTAGATATTAAATCGAAAAAAAGTCTCAAATATAAGTTAACCTGTTGGATACTGAAGCCATTCACTAAATATTCACCATGGGTTAGAATACAAGAATCTAAAACTGAAATGGTGCGTTTATTTGGTAAGAATTCATCATCTATTAATAAAGATATTTCTGAAGAACTACAACAAACTAATAGTACAAGAGATAATATTGAAGTGCTAAAAAAAAGAGAAGAAATTATTTTGACTAAACTTTTTGCCTTATATGCTAAAGTCCTTATAATAGATGGAGAAGATTTAGAATATATATATTTAGGAATTTCTCACTATTGTCATAGAATAAATGAAAAACTCACTTCTGAATTAATTGAACTTATAAAAAATAAGTTATTTAATGAAAATTCATTTACAATTACATGGGTAAATTTCTTTGTTATAATGAGAACTGCAGTTATACTTTTAAAAAATTTAGTTAAATCAAATGAAGAATTAGAACGGGATCAATCTTGGATAATTCGTTCATTATTAACAAGAATTAAGGAATCTGAAACTTTTCTCAATAAAATTTATAAATCTCATAATAAACTTAAATCTAATTTAAATAATAAAACTCATAGTATAGATGTAAGAGAGAATAATCTGCATAAAAATGAAGTATTTATATCAAATATATCTATCCTTGGATATAACATCTCAGATTCAAATAAATATAATCAAATAATTAATACATTTCAAAGTAATGATCTGATTCACTTAATAATACAGATTTCAACAATATGCAGAACTAACATAAATTATCTATACGTATTGTTATTATATCTTATAAATATATCATGGTTCCTTTCTATATTGGGAAACTCAATTGCAAGTTGTAATTTGATGTTTATTGTTGCACAGTTAATAATTAAGTTTCCGAAACTTAAGATTTTGTTAGATCCAGAAGGTATATCATGTAATGAATTTCCATTAGATAATGGGTTTACATCAAATTTGAATTACCAAGAGATTTCCATATGTAATTTGTTAGTTCAATTTATTGAAAGCCAAGCATGTGATACTGTGAAATTTGCTTCTGCTTCTTTGTTAACAGAATCTCCTGATGAAAAAGTTAGGAATAATGCAATTTCCTTCCTGAGGTCAAGTATTAAAGGTATAAACCAATCTAATGTTGGCAATATTACTCCATCTTATTATATACTTAAATTTATAAATCAGATGAGAAATAGTAAGGAAAATATTTTAAACTAGTCCATCTTTAAAGTATAACCTTTTATAATTCCCACTTTAGAAATATAGAACGTCTTAAAATAAGCTAAGATATTTCTAGATTGTAACTTAATAAACTCAGAATTAAGTAAATCCTAAAATAAAATATTTTATATTGAATAGTCATAATTAGAGTACTAAGGGGAATTTCCGCCATTAGTTCTAGTATAAATGATTATAAAACATAGTTCTACTTAAGCAATAACCTTGTACTATATAGATTTATACTTCACATCTTTTATTTATATGTAACATTACTTCTACGCAATACATCTAACACTAGCTCTAAATACTCTAAATAGGGTATTTATTAGCAATTCACTCAAGTAATTTCAGTAATTATCCCATTCGTATCTTAGTTATTTGAGAATACCCCAATATGTAATAATCGATATAATACATTAATACAATATTCCTAGTAATATAATAATTAGTATCTTAAAATATTTGAATTTGCATGCGAGGCTATACAAAAATTTTTTAATGAGCTATTACAAAAAGAGAAAAAATATAACCAGTACTTCTTACATTAAAAAAAAGAACCAAAATCTTAATCTCACTGTAAATTGAGAAATGAATTACTTCAATTTATTAAATGGACTTAATTTTAGGCTATTTTTATATAGAAGTGGTAATATCGTTAAAATATTTTCCTCCACATTATCGTTTATATCAACTGTGTACTGTTCATTATTACCATTCATCCTATATAAATTATTATTTACACCACAAATTACAGCTGGTAGCTGAAATTTTGTACTTTGGAGGTTCTAAAGGAATTTTTTAAGATCAAAAAAGAAGTGATTCAATATACGTATGCATGCAGTTTTTTTTATTTTAAGAAAAAAAAGGTTGCAGTGTACGAAATAAATAAAGTTCTACTTATTAACATACAAAAACAAACTTACCTTATTTTCTCTAATATTTATGGCAAACTTTAAGTTACTTAGTGAGTTTTTTACTGAGGGTTTGTCTCTCTTTTTCAAATTTTTATTATATTCATATTGACTATTTTCAGAATGAGAGTAACTATCCATATCTGAATTATCATTAAATGAACTTCCATTATGTGTGAACATATTAAATGTTTAATATTAAGTTAAATTAAAAAAAAGAAACAAGGAAATTATTTATAATGTGGTAAAAAGAAATCAATGGATAGCCGGGAAAAAGGATAAAGATTTACGGGTCGAAATAGATATTATATTTACTACTATTGGGTAACAGTTCAATTGTTAAGTTTTGGAATTTTAATTTTTTATTTTAATTCAAAATAATATTTGAATAATTTGGACATTATAGTAGATATTTACAGTTAAATGAGTTTATTAAGACATAGTTTAAGCAAGGTGATTGAGAGTAGTGGTGCTACTATTAAACCATTAGGACCACTAACATATGGAACTGCTGGATTTAGACTGAATTACGAGTCTTATCCAATAACTTTAAGACAAATAGTGATATACAGTACTGTAGTCGCTTGTTTACGAAGTGCTTCTGTGGGAAACAAGTGGGTTGGTATTATTATTACTGCATCACATAATAAAATACAAGATAATGGCTTAAAAATCATTGATATTAGTGGATCTATGCTTAATATAGAGTTCGAGAAAATTTCTAGTGATGTTATGAATTCAGAGTGTCCTTTAACTAAACTTGATAAGTATTATGAAGAGTTTAAATTGAGGAATATAAATCTAGACCTTAATAAAGCTCATATATTAATTGGGTATGATACAAGACCATCATCACCTGAACTTGTAGGATATATTAAGGATACTCTAGATAATTTAGGAGTTGATAACCATTACGAATTTGGTCATGTAACAACTCCGCAATTACACTTTATTGTAGCATTAGCTAATGGAACTTTAAATGAGTTACTACCTAGAGAAACACCCAATATATGGAACTACTTAGATGATTTTAATAAGAACAAGGTAGTTGAAGATTCACTTGCTCTGTACTATGCTTATCATGAATATTACTTTAAACTTTTTGTTGAAAATATTACACAAAGTGAGATATTATATACAACACAAGATGATTCCTATAGTTCAAATGGCAGATTTTTAGTAGATGTTGCAAATGGAGTTGCAAAGTATCACATTGGGAGATATTCTAAGTGTTTAAAATTAACTGCTAATATATGCATGGAACAGATAAATGATGATAAGCCAGAACTACTAAATGATCAGTGTGGTTCTGAGTATATTCAAAAGAATAAAATAGCCCCAAGAAATTTTTATGATAATGGTAATTTCGATATAGCAGATATTGATTATGTTGCAAGCTTTGATGGAGATGCAGATAGAATTGTTTATTTTACAAAAAAGAAAAGTGATCCCGAAATAATATTAATTGATGGGGATCGTTTAGCAGCAATTTATATCAATGTGATAATAACATTATTTCGAAAGATTATTTCTAACATAAATAAAGAAAACTGTAGTACTTTAGATGATATTTTTAGATTAAAAGTAGGTGTTGTACAAACAGCTTATGCTAATGGTTCAAGTACACTCTATATTTCTGAATTATTAAACTCATTGGATAAGGACTTTTTTGAATCCGAAGTAACTTGTGTGCCAACTGGAGTTAAACATCTTCATCGAAAGGCTGAAAGTTATGAAGTTGCAATATATTTCGAGTCAAATGGACATGGTACAGTCATATATAATAGAAAGGAGCTAATATTGTGGGCTAAGAAATTAAGGAAATTGTATTTATTAAATTGTAACTGTAGATATGATCATCCTAGTTACATGAAGTGTAATGAATGTTCTACACTTAAACAACTCTTTTGCTTCTTAAATATTTTTAATCCAGCAATTGGGGATGGAATGTCAGATTTATTAGCTTTTGAAGCATCTCGTATGTTTATACAGGGAACTTATGGATGTCAATTTGCTGTTCAAATGTATCATGATCTAGTTACTATACAAGACAAAATACCTCTACCACGAAGTAAATTAGACATATTAGTCTGTGATAAACAAACTGAAAAATTCCTTATACAACCAACAGAATTACAAGAAAAAATTGATAATATTCTTGTTAACTATAACAATAATCTTTGTCGAGCATTTATAAGACCTTCTGGGACAGAAAATATATGTCGCTTATTTGTAGAATCTCCTAATCAAGAACAATCAACGGAAATAATGAACTCTTTAAAGCAGTTATTACATGACTTCTCTTCAGTATGAGTCATAAGGATTTGTTGTAAAAGGCAATCATATACATTTGATTTTGCAATGATTTTCAACAGAACAATAAACCAGTGTTTTTTATTTTTAATATTAAGTGTAAAATTGCACTAATTTCATATTTGAAGTAGTATGCTCGTTATAAAGCCTTAGTAAGAATTTTTCGCCTAATTTCTCTTAATATCTAAAAACCCTAAACTTATCCCTATGAATTTTCCTGAAGTTGTGATTGCATTTGTTGTATCTGTTGCTGTGATTGCATTTGTTGTATCTGTTGCTGTGATTGCATTTGTTGTATCTGTTGTTGTTGCATCATTGTAAATGCCGACTGTTGGTGTAAAAGTGCCATAGATGCACTTTGTGACATCTGTTCCAAAATAGTTAGTGGATTAGGTAGTGGTTCATCTGGATCATGTAAATACTTCTGTAATAATTCAGGATGATCATAAAGTCCAACTGGTACTGGCTTTTCAATTGTCCTTTTTACTGGTATTGGTATAGGAATATCTTTGTATACAGGCTCAATTTTTGGGCACAAAATATCTTGAATTATCTGTAGTTCCATTGGTATGGGGACTGCTCTATCAATCAATATGGGAACAGGTATAGCTGAATAGAATGCTATTGGAACTTCAATGGGTTTTGGAACTTGTCGATATTGTGTTTCAATATCCATTGGTTTCCTTTCTGCTGTTACATGTGATCTTGTAGACCTAGGAGCACTTTCAATACCTTCAGTATCTCCTGACCTAGCAGATGATCTAGGAATAACTTCAACTCTTTCAACTTCAACCAGCTTTTCTTGTAAAACAACTTGTGGAACTTCAATAACCTTTTCGACAACTTTATAATGCGGAACTTCTACTATCTTCTCTTTATACATAGGCTTAACTACATGAACTTCACGTTCCTGAATCACTTCCTTAGGTTCATATCGAATCTTTTCTTGTACTATAGGAATATCTACAGCTGCATACCTTTCATGAAAATGTAATTCTGGTACTTCAACTACACTTTTTTCTATCTGAGTAGATGGTACTTCCAATATTCTACTTGTATTAGACATACTATGTTGAGTAATATGTTCTTGATCTGACATCGTTTCGTTAATCAAAGATTTATCTGTTACTAGTATTAGTGAATCCTACTAAGTTCAAACTTGAACCTATGGATCACTCCCGCTATTACATGGTTCAGCCTATAATATTGAATAAAACATAATATATACGTATATATATGCACACACATGCTTATTTGGAAATTGCGTTGTGTCTTTTAGACGTTACATAAGCTACTAATTAAATGGAAAATAACCAAATATATAGGTTATTTTTATTGAAATCTATGATCTTTTTTTAAATTACCTGGTAATTATAAACTATATACCTGCAGAACTATTAGATCTATTTTACTGTATGCCTAGAGATACTATTATTCTTGATTTTCTCCTCTTACCACGAATTCCTCTTGTATATATCATTTTCAATTTAATACTACATTTTAATTGAATTTATATAATAGACTAGATGTTCAATATTACTCAGGGCTACATATAGATATTGGTCTAATTGCTTGAAGTTATATATATCGAATTTTATTGATATGATCTCTAATTTCGAATTTTTACCTGATACTAATCTATATTCATTCATATCAAAGAAGATTTACTTAAAGTTAATTAAGTAACCTTTATACTATCTAATTCATTTTCTATTACAGATAAAAAGTACTTATATTTAGCACGTATTGGAAGCGGTATATTCTGCATGTAGGTAGTAGAACTAAAATATTCCTAGTCTCTTAAAGCTATGCATAAATACAGTATCTCGTGTATATATTATATTTAAACAGTTATTAGATTAATCATTAATATTCCAAAATTTAGGGATCTTAAATATAATATAATCTCTTCTAGTAATATGACACCTGTGGGTAATATAAAGTATTAAACAATTATAGACCTAAAATCTAATATATCACATCCACAAATAAGAATGACTAAGACATTCTAGATTTAAAAAGAAAAATTATTAAACTTTATTAAAGATAATATTAAAAAAGGTAGGAAGAAGAGAATTCAGAAAAGTCGTATAGATCTCAGCAGACGTATTATCATGTCTATATCTAGAGTGAGTGATTAAATAACCAATAGTGTGTACACTGTTCTGTGTGTTTATACGGAAATAAATACGCCTAAGTCTAGTACATGTAATAGAATACGTTAAGGAGAAGAAATTGCTTGCGAACTATAAGGATTTGAAATATTTGAGATGAGCAGTAGTGAACGTTCTAGTTCATCCTCAGGGCGTCAGCGTAATGCTCACTTTGCTGATACTGTAGATGATCAGCAACAGCAACAACGCTTGTTAGTACCATCTCTTCAGATCCCTGAAGATCAATCTAGTGCAACAATTGAAGTACCACTGGTTAAGCGTGTAGAAACAGTTATTCCAGATATTGAAGTTAAAGAAGTTGTTAGAACAGTACCACGTGTAATCCCTGAATATAGAGAAAAGGTTGTTGAAGTGCCAGTAATTAAGACGGTTGAGAAGATAGTTGAAGAGCCAGTGGTTAGATATAATGTGAAGTACATACCTAGAGAAGAGATTATCGAGAAAGTTGTGACTAAACCAGTGATTGAGTATAAAACTGTAGAGAAAGTGGTGGAAAAAGTTACCTATGTTGAGGAACCAGAAGCTTCAACAATTAATCCACCTGAATCTTTACCAATATTCCCTCCTAATTCTATACCAGCTGATGGGCAGACAGTTGTAAGTATAACTAGAGTGCCAGTTGGTGATGCTGTACCTTCACTTATTGAACTTCCAGTACCATACATGGTTCCAAAGCCATTCATAGTTCCTATACAGGTCCCAGTACTTGAATTCCGAGACCATTATGTCCCAATACCAGTCAGGAAACGTGTAGTTCCTAAGTTCAAACTGACTGAAGAAGTTTATGAAGTTGAATGTCTTAGAGAAGTTCCATATTTCGTTTATGAGGATATTATTAAACCCATACCAGTTGATGTAGAGTTTGGGAAATGTGAAAAAGAAATGGATGTTCATTTAATGAACCCAGCCGAATTATCACAAGCAGATTTTCATGCAATGTGGATGAGAGTTAATGCTGATTTATTAGAGGAAAGGAGAATATTGGTTGGTGAGATGGAAATAGATAGGATGATAACTCCCTACAGAGAAGCTATGGATGGTATAAACTCTAATGAAGAACCTAGCTTAGAACGTATGCAAAGCTTTGAAAGACAGATGAATTTACAAAGACAATTATGGGATCCATTACCAATGTCTCCTGGTAATCCATTGATGATGACATATTTACAAAATCAGTGGATATTAACACCGACAATACAGATTCAAGATATGTATACACAGGAATTTTTCATGTTACAGCAACAAGCTGTTTATAATCTAGTAACTGGGGCACCACAACAAGTTAATCTAGCTCCTCATCAAATTTCCTTATGTGGCTGCGAAGCAGCAGCAGGTATTGTAGATATTGAATCTTTACCACCTGGAGCTCAAAATCTAATAAAAGGTCTTGAATCAAAAGAAATTGCGAGTGTTGATGCATTAGGACCAATGGATCAAACCCCTATCGTAACATATCCAATACAACAATGCATCCCAATGGCTGTACTTGGTGCTGCTCCACTTAGCTTACCTCATGATATTGTACCAATTAAACCTGAGCCCATCGATATTTCTCAACAAGAAGAATATTCTCTAGCATCAATATGCTGTAATCCAAGGGAACAAGTTGAATAGGGGAGGGAGGGAGGGTAATGGCATTTCAATTGTGAACTATAATAGTATCAATCTATACCATACAAAACATACACTTTATCTGAGGGTTAGCTAGTCAATTTTAGGTTTTCACTTTTACTAGATCTCTAAAATCTACTTACTGAAATGAGTAAGAATAAATGCAATCAGTACATTAATGTAAAAAAAAAGTCTAAATTCCTTTCACTACTACGCTACTCTTAAACTAATATAAATATATTCCACAATAGCGCACAAACTACTGATTTCTCGTGAGGGGATTTACCTCTGAATTGTTATACTAGGTTGAGATATTTAGTTTACTTGTTTAAATGAATTTTGATCCACTTTTTATTTTTCGTTTACTTGGTTGTTGTAAAGTAAGTTTTTACTTCTCATGACTTTAATTATATCTACACTTTTAAATGTATATTATAAACAAATCTCCTTATTCCTTTTTTTTAAATTAAATTACAGGATCCCCCAATTGAAGTAGCTCAACCTCAATGGTGGGAAGAGATTCAAACAGAACAACAACAATCCAGGCAAATCTCCCAACCAAAGAGTACAAGATATCATATCTGATGAATAGCCTTATTCGGTGTTGTTTTAGTACTAAATTTCAATATAATTCGTTTTGTAAATTATTAATATTGTAAATACTCCAATAAATCTTTTTAATACACTACATTTATGCCTCTGAAAACTGTGAAAATGAATTGTCACTCTTCACACTAGTGCAGCTTAAATACTACATGTCAGTGCATCTAGATCTTAGAATTGTCCGTAAAGTATCAGAACTAGCTCCAAACATTTACTATATAAGACTCTAATATAACTTGTTACATAGTGTAAATGAGATTTACAGATTTAGGAAGTATCTGATATTTTATTATAATTTCCACCCTTATTATCACTTTCTATCATATATTGGCGCCAAACGTAGTATCGATAGTGCGACAAGACGTCATGGATATATGTCACCTGCAAGTAACTTTTTACTATACGGATCAATAGGATTGCAGCTGGCATTGCAATACATGGTGTGGTATAACTGATCTCCAGAAAATAGTGATGAAAGTATAAAATTAGGTCATCTATAGTGGTGTGAGATATTATAATTTTGAGATCTTAAAATAAAGAAAAGATATTAAGGATTAAAAAAACTGTTGAACTAACTAAAAGGTAATGTAATATTGAATAAATGACAGAATATCAACGAACTGAATACTACGTAGATAAGATTTTGAGTGATAAAGAGATAATTAGTGGAAATTTTAATGAGGGAACTTCAAATATAGCTCTTCAAATGATACCAGATAGTCCTCCTACTATGTTTGTTAGCGCAAATTCCTCCCCTATAGGTCATATATCATTAGAGAGGAATGAGGATCATGTTGATAAAATCAGTACAATATTTAATAGAATAAATGAAGAAGTGAAGGACCATAATATTAAATACTTAAGAAATACAGATGTAAATAATCTAAATAACTTACTCCCTCCCAGCTTATTAAATGGTGCTCATGAAACTTTTATATTTAAAAACTCCAGTCTCTCTAATTTGGAATCTTTATTTTCAATTCAACCAAATATTTTTGCAAGTACCATTAAACCAACCTATCTAAATAATCTATTAAATAGTTGTTATTACCAAATGATGGTGTATAATATATATTATAATTTAGGTCTTTGCTCATCAATTCTATCTCCTTATAATTTGTACACGGGATATACAGGATCTGTTAATCCAGAGCCAATAATCTCAACATCTAGAGATAATACGGCTAATGTTAGTACTCCTAATCAATGTACTTTAGTTCCAACGCAACCCCAAAATAATCAACAAACCTCTGATAATAATAGAAGTTTGGTGAGTATATTAGCTGAACTTGGTTGTAAGCAAGAATTTAACATTACAACTAAGCCAAAAGTAAAATGTGATACTAGTCCAAATAATTCCTTATTAGATAAAGTTTCCACTGAATCTCATAGCTCAGTTTGGAGATATTGCGACAATAATTTAGACTTAAAGTCTTACTCTAAGGCTACCATAAAGGGCAAACAAAAAAATTTAGTTAGGACTTCATCTAATAAATCTTCAAAGAAACAATGTAAATCACTTTCTGGAGGAAGAAGGAAGATTGATAAAAGCTCTGCTGTTTGTACTATATGTGGCACAACTGAGACATCCCAATGGCGTTTTTTGAATACATCTGATATATATAAAACCCATAGTATGAGCAATACCAATAATTTGGAAAATTCAATTTCTCAGGATACTCCCTTTTTGGATAAGCAGATCTGCTGCAACGCATGTTATATGAAATATGACCGCAATAGACCAAGATATAGAAGTGGTAAAAAGGTACCCCCTCCACTACCTCATTATGTATACTTATATAAACAAAATATGCAAGAAAATCAAGTGAAGGAGCAGAGTGAGGTTAATTTACCAGATAAATAACTTAAATTATTTCCAATCTCTCAATAGAAGGGAACTTTATTACCAAAAATTTTGAGAAAATCACAAAGTTAGAAATTTATTAGCTTATTATTGTGATTAACTTCCTAAATTTTTTTTATATTTGGAATTTGTATAAGTTATGGATTACTGGAATATACTTAATAGTCATCTATCTAGTTTAGAGAACTACCTTGAATTGGGTATTAAGATTTGAAATTTTATTACTAGAGTTATGTAAATATAAGCTAATGAGCTAGTTGTCCAAAAAAACTAATATGATGCAAGATATAAAATTCTAAGCTATTCAAGTATTCCACAATATTATATTAAATATTACAAGTAAAATTATCTTGTAGAACCTCTGCTCATTTAATTAGAAAATACTGAACTCCCAACTAATCTAAGTATTTTCAAATAAAATTGCAAAATATTTTGAATTTCCAAGAGTGCTGCAGTACTAGATTATATTTAGACTGTGTAGTTAAAATATTGAAAATTAAAGTTCTAGTTTAAGTTGATATTACTTGCTAACTTCATATTACAGCATTGATGTTAAATATCGAGAATTGATAATCTAAGCGTATTCAAGCATTCCTAGATTTACTAGAGTTTATCGATATATCTCATTTACTATTTATACAACTTTAGGTCACATTCCTTAATATTTTATCTAATTGATTAATTCCTAAAGTCTAGGACTTTATCATGTATATATTCTCTATTCTATCTCCATTGTCTCATTGTTAGTTTCATCTTTGCTTTCTTGCATCTCAGTATCCATTGCTACATCTTCATTTAATTTAGGTTCCTGAACTTCTTGATCCCCTGTATATGGTACTTCCTGCTGAGTTTTAGGAAGAGGTTTCAAAGTCTGATTACAGAAGTCCTGAATTTCCGAGCATAAAGATCTAAGAGTAGAAATTGGTACAATTAGTTCTTGATATAGATCACGGCCCTCTAGGTTCTGTTTCAAAGATGTTGTAAACTCTTGGTACTTTGATATAAGTCCCTGGTGAGTTTCAGCTTTGCTCTCAGGAGTAAAGTCTGTATCAGGATTTGTACATATATTGTTGAAATGTTCAAATAAGGAGTTCATATGAGTTTGTATTTCTTTTAATTGATTATTTTCCAAGAATCTTCTTTCAATAGGATCACCAAAAGACCTGAGTTCCATTAATTTTTGTTCAAATATGTTTCTTGTAGCTGCATAATTATCATATATCCAATCTTCTGTTCTAGCTAAAGAAGCTACAAATTCATTAATAGTTTCTTTCTCTCCAAAAGGATATAAGATACTACCTGGAGATAATTTAGATCGCATATCAAATACATAAGTTTCTAACTCGTTTAATTTTTCTCTAGTCAAGTGTACTTCTAAATCTTCTAAACTCATCCTCTTTTCTTCTTCTATATAAAGAGCTTTGTCTTCCGTTGTTAAATATCCAGGTAATTTACTTATAATTGTAAATGGTACATTTGAACGTTTCACTCTAGTTTTGGTTGATGTATTAGTAGGCACTTCAACTCCAGGGTTTGTATGCATTTCTTCTTCCCCTGTGGCTGTACTTCCTGTTTCCGGGCTTGGGTAAGGTTCAATTACCTTTTCTTCTCTAATCAACTCAACTCTTTCCAATACTAAAATACCATTCCTATCTAACCGAATATAAAGTTTAACTTTGGCATCTCCTTGGGAAGCTTGAACTGGTATTTGTAGTAAATATCTCCCTAAGTCTAAAGAAGGGCACATATTACTTGGAGAATATCTAAAAAATACTTCAAAAGGTTCAGTTTTCGTAAATGTAGAATTTTTCAGAACATTTAAATCACTTCCAGAAGAGAATAAAACTGTAGACTTAAAGTCCTGTAAATTTGTAGTATTTTGCCAAAACAGTAAAATTTCATAGGGGAATCTTTCCGTCATAGAAAATTCCCTAACTTTAATAATTGGAGATAACATTGCAGCTTGTAAAGCACAACCTCTTGCAACTGTCTCATCTGCATTAAGTGTTTTGCAAAGTTCCCTGCCACCAAATGCATCACTCACAACTTTTTGTACCCATGGGATCCTACTACAACCACCAACGATTTCAATTGAAGAGATTTCTTCTGTGTTTAAAGAAGCTTGTTTAAGAGCATTTTTTATCATAGAGTAAATGTCATTCCTCATGTCAGAACATAATTCCTCAAATTTAGAGCGTTCAATTATCATGTTTATATCATATTCTCCATAGACACACTCTACAATAAAGTTAGCTTCTTGATTTGCGCTCAAAATCTTTTTGCAGCGAGTTGCAGCATCCTCCAATTTAATCCTTGCCTTCAAGTCATCCAGTATATTTATCTTATGTTTATCATTAAATTCCTGTGCAACAAATTCAATTATTTTATTATCCATTGACCTGCCACTTACTTTCCTCTCATATATAGTAGCAAGGATATTAAATTTCCCTTTAGTAAATTTAACTATAGAAGTAAAGAAATAACCGGCTCCGCAATTTACGAGGGCTACATTTGTTGCATCATTATCACCAAAACTACTAGACCTAAAAATCCCATAGTCTAAGGCAACTGCACTTTCTTCATTCATAAGTTTTAGACACTGTACTCCAGCAATTTCCAATGCATCCAAAACATTTTGTCTTGCAATATTATCATAATACCCTGGGATACTTACAACTAAATCACGAATCTGTTGGTTAGTACTTCGTTCAGTGTTCTCCTTCAAACGTTTTAAAAACGTTGCATAAACTCTAGTTAAGTAAATTATTAGAGGTTTTTGCTTGTACATGACTTTGTATCCTAAAGTACCATCTTCACAGGTTTCAATGCTAGCTAATGCATATTTTAACTCTCCTCCATCCAAATTATTTGGAAGCATACCCATTAAAGTCTTCATATATCGACATGTATTTCTATAATTGGACTTTAATTTCGAGAGTGCAGCTTCACCTATCAAACGTTCACTTTCTGTATATCCAACTAAAATAGGGGTCGTGCGTTCAGACAGTTCATTCCTTACAATTATAACAGACCCCCTATTTATCGTTGCAACTACTGCATTTATAGTCCCAATATCAAAACCTACCACTGACATTTCTATTACAAAAAAAGATTCTTAAATTCTCCCTTTGCCAGAAAAGAAAGTGCTTTACTCCTCATTTATTAACAGGAAAGGCGCCATTACTTGAGACAGGTGCAAACAAACTGTTTAGTTCATATTATATTTAATCGACAATTTTTTTCTTTTTTTTTGCGGGACTCAAAGATCTACACTACATTGATTAAAAGTTAGTATTAAGTCACTATAGAGATACTCAGTCATGGAACTTAGATGTAGTATCTAGTAATATACTCTAATAGCTGTATTGTTACACAACTACTATATATGGATGCTCGAGCACTTTTATCATTTTCCTTTTCTGTTAAGATTTGGTAAAAGTGGTATATAATTATAACTATGTAATTACAAGGCTTTCTATAGACTCACAGAAAGTGTATAGGGAGTATTAAAGTTATTTCTACAGTATAATAATCTTGTAATATAAGTTAAGCCTGATATATAAGCTAAGCGGGTAGCTGAGATCTACCTTAATTTTTCAGTGAAATTACAATAGAATTGGGAAATCTATCACTTTTCTTATTTATTATACTATCTATTAATGTTTATTCTTCCTAAAAGTACTAGAGGTAATGATAAAAAGTCAGATATTCTCTATATTATCCTACTTATTTTTTTGATATCTTGAGATTTAGATTCACCTCAGGAGATCCTTAGACGTGAATTTACTTTTAAAATACGCTTTATGACAGGCAAGTGAGAACTCCCTATTTGAATTTATAATATAAAAGTTAATTATATGTCTTCTTAAATTAGTATTTTGGGTTAGTATAAAAATTCTCCCAATAATTATTGACAGGCTGTCCTTAAATAAGTCCAACTAGATACAAGTAGTAAACAAAAATAAATAGCTCAGTTCCTTAAATTTTCTATTATCTAAGTAACGAATTATATAATTAGTTGGGGATTTCCCGGATATCCCTTTGTATAAAGAAAAATGAGTTGATTTCTCTTTATATCTAATTCATTAAAGTTTTCTTCTCATGTATGTTATATGCAAGTAGCTTCTCTATAAGATCTGCATGAGTCAGAACCATTCTCCTGCAACAATATCTCCTTAAGCCCAATTTATCTAGTGCTTCCCTAAAATAATAAGTCAAGCCTTTTAAAGTTGTATTCTACATAAAATTAACCTAATTTCAACTTACCCTTCTGAAACATCATTTTGTAGTAAAACGAGCCATTGTTGCCATAAATTTCCTATTACTTTGCCACATGTAAAGCATCTTACTGGGATAATCATTTTAGGGTTAGTAAAGGGAAAAATAGCCAAAATTATACCTGGTAATCGTGTGATATTAAGGCGCCAAAGGTCATCTTTATTACTACTGGTCACCAGGTGTTGCAGGTACCAGAAGAACTACAATAGGTAATGGTGGAATATTTAAACACTATCCTTATAAAAATATTTTCATTATGAATGTAGAACAATCCGAATTAGCAGAAGCTAAATGTTCAGATTATATTCACGAAGGCAAAGTAAAGATATATGCTTTGAATAATGAAGTATTCTATAACTCTGCTCAAATCTTTAATAGAGACCTGTCTTTGATAGTAATTAAAGCTTTTTCAATAAAAAGAAGTCAGGATCGAATAAAACAACTAAGTGAAAAGAAATTAGATACATCCGGGAATTTAAACAAATCATTAAGAATTGAAAGCCATACTATTAAAGATGAAGACTTGACAAAGAAAGTAGAATCACAAGAAAAGTTAACAATAATAGAACCACTTGGAGCTTCAGGCCTTAGATCTTTACGTTATATTATTGAGCTTGCAGATGAAGTTGATTTTGTAGTATGTGGAGATCATGATCCAATTGCAATTAAACAAATGGAAAGGAATGTAAGCTTAAATGGAGTTGATACAAATAAACTTGTTTGTATCTGTGCTGATGCTACACGTTTGCTGTCATTAGGAAATCCAAAATTTATACGCGAATTTACTTCAATGATTAATAAATCTATAATCTCTGGAAGCTCATCTTGGCATTCTAATTTATTGAATAATATTTTAAAACCAAACTCAACTCTTAAGTACTCTGTTGTTGATATAGATCCATATGGAACATGTAGCCCTTTTATAGAAAGTGCAATAAGTGCTTGTGAAAATGGAGGGATGGTATGTTTTACATCTACAGATATGCCAGTATTATGTGGAAATATGCCAGAGGTAACATTTTATCGTTATGGAGGCAATGCATTGAAAAGCAGCTACATGCATGAAATGTCACTTAGACTTTTACTAAATGCCATTATGTCTTGTGCTGCCAAATATCAGAAGGGAGTAATACCTCTAATTAGTTGTAGTGTCGATTTTTACGTTAGAATTTTTGTTCAAATTGTCCACAGCCCTATAATTTGTAAACAATTAGCTCAGAAAACGTCAATAGTTCTCCAGTGTACTAACTGTCCTTCTTTTCATGTAATTCCTTTTGGGAAGAGTCAACCCAAAAAAAAAAGAAGACACAATATATCTATAGATGGTGGTAATAATGAAGAACTTAAAGATGAAATATCTATAAGTCCTAACGTGAGTAGTCAGTTAAAGTATAAACCAAATAATTTAAAAGTCCCAGTAAGCTCCACAATTAATAGTACTCCTATATTAGAAGAGAATTCACTATGTTGTGAATGTGGTTCTGGTCACTATGTTATTGGAGGACCCTTCTACAGTGGTCCTTTGTTTGATCCAGACTTTTTAAATAAATTATTGATAATATGCAGTGATATTCAAGAGAAAAAAATATCATCTTTACAAAATATTACAATGCTAAAAAAAATTAAAGGTTTACTTCTTTCTATGAAAGATGAGCTCTCAGATAGTCCATTACATTATCATATACCATCTATGTGTACATTTTTGAATCTCGAAATGATGAAACCTTCACTTTTCCATTCTGCACTTCGACATTTGGGCTATATATCTTCTCACTTCCATCGTGATCCTTTATCATTAAAAACGAATGCCCCTAATCAGGTTGTCATGGATATTCTTAGAACATGGGCTTTGGAGCATCCTCCAAAAAACAGTCAATATCACAAATTCCTTCAAAAACCAATTTCTACATTAAATATTAAGTTTGAAATTCACCCATGTATACTGTTGGCATCTAAAGTTGGTCCTAGATGGTTACCTAATCCAGAAGACAATTGGGGCCCCAAATCAAGACCAGGTAATAATTCAAAGAAAAAAAAGGTAAAACACAATATATTGTAGTTTTTATATTCTAATTATCTTGATTATATTGTTATATCTACTCGTATAATTTTCTAAGCTCACATAAAGCTTATTTTATCACTTTTTCCCTTTATTTCACCTCTGTATTCTATCTTCTTTAAGTCATTACAGCTAATAACTGAGTGACAATTTAATATACAAAGTGTAGTATGATAAAATTACTTAATATTCCCTAATTCTTTATATTGGTCCCAAAGAATCCTTAGCTCTGTGATAGTTGGCCCATTGTCTAAATCCATACCGTCTTGCCAAATATGGTCTGACATCATCCAAACAGTATAATTTATTTAGTAGAACTAATAACTTCAGTAACTCTTTATCATTTGGGTTTCCATACCAACTATCTACTGGAATTGCATTATCTAACTGTAAGGTACTGCTTATTAAGGAATTATCAATTAGTACTGTTTTCCCCATGTTTACACCTTCAAAAATCCTCAGATCTTTCATATATCCTTTTTTATAAACTGTACAATGTTCTCTGAAAAGTTTGTATCTAATATATTTACCATTAGGATCAATGGACTTTAGAACTTTTTCCGCATAAGTTTTCGTGCTAGCAGTAAAGATACACAAATCTCCCAAATATGAAGCATACTGTAAAAATAATTGAAGGTAAGGCCGAAAATAAACACACCAAGGAGAACTAAAGGGGATTATATCAACTAATAAATCTGGTTCCATCCCATTTTCTAGTATTTCAAAGCTACAATGGACTAGAGTTTCATCCATATCTAAAACCATGAAAAGGCTACGGGATCCATCTTTTTCAACTGATCTATAAAGAGGATATTTAGACATGTTTATCTGTATAATACTTTTATTTAAATTCCAAGCTTCACCATGTAATATTTTAGGAGGGAAGTGGGTACTACAAACATAATCTATTATACTTTGAATAGATGGACACAAATCATTTATCCTTTTTGCTGCTAAGTTTTCCATCCCCACATGAAATATGTTACCCTTATTATTATTAGATTGATTTTTTTCAGACATGAAACAATACTCAAGTAATTTTTCACAGTCATCTAGGATTGCCCTATGAACTTGTATGTTCAGATGTCTAAGGACTTCTATTAGTTGCCTGCTACTTAACTTTCTTTTCGGTAAATCTGAAGAATCACTAATATCTCGTTTTTCTTTGTTAGAAATAATATTCTTACAGAACTTATTTTCCAAAGTACAATTTAAAGATCTATCTAAACTTCGTTTTATATCCTTTACCTTGTATTCATGTAAAACTACCATCAGAGAGTATACATTAACAAAACCTAAAGCACAGAATATATGTAATATTAGTTATTCTAGATCTTCCCAATCTAGCCTATATACTTTCAAATCCTAATTTACAGTAAAATTTCTACAGTACCAGACCTATACATTTTACAATCCATAATTCACATTTTGATTCCCTTAGTTTAACCTTAAATAGCACATTATGTAATTTGTATTATAAAATTAAAAGTATTCATATTTTTACAGCTTTATCTGGGTATAAATTACTGTATATCGAGTTATATCTTCCTTTGTAATTTTTACATATTTCTTTTTTGAAACTTAAAAGAAAAAAAAGTAGCGTCTGTCTCTACAAATTTCACCTAGTATAACATGCATCATCATCCGCATGTTTAGGCGGTATTATTGTCCCACCTTAGACTGATACGTGACTTTAGGTGAAGTCATAAATGATCAGCGAAATAACTATAAATTTATATAAATGACATAAAATATAGTGTATTAGGAAGGTGGTAATGTTATTATGCAATGTACTGTTTGTATATCTGGTGATTCTGTTAGCCTCAGCAGAAGGCCAAAGTTTAATCTACAGAAGAATTATGTCAAAGGATCTGGCTAAACAGAAAGAAATAAAACGACAAGTAGCTATAGAGAGATCCCATATAATTAGTGAAATAGAGGGATATATATGTAATCCCAGTATTTTTCCATATGTTTCATGTTATTATAATAATATAGGAGATCTAGAGAGCTCTGGAGGTACGTTTGGAGTAGGTATTAAAGCTGACTTACTTTTATATCATCCAGATATACTTATTTACAAGGGCTGTAAAATAAGTCCAAAATTAGAGATAGAATGTTCAGAAAATGATTTGTTAAGGTCATTACCAAAAGTTCGGGTATTTATTAAGAGAGGAAATAGTAAACTTGAAAATCAGTACAAATATGCATATAGCAACTATATCCCCATTACAACCCCTCAAGCTGATGCACCTGGATATCAGGTAGATTTTGGATTTCTTATGGAGAAATATATATCAAGTTATATTCCTTATAAGTTTCAAGGTTTACAAGTTGTTAGTCCAGCTATATATACAATAATGAATAAGAAGAGACAGCTAGTATCAGAGTTAAATCGTTATATATTTATGGAATTTTTAGAAGGAATGACTCTGAGTGATCTTCTAGGACATATTACAAGGAGTGAAAAATATCATATGAAAAATGGTCTTAAAATGGCCCTTAGATGCTATCGGAATTTTATTCAGTCTCAAAATAACCCAAATCATGATGCTAAAACAACTAGACGCAAGGAAATGCTATTACGAATAAGTATAAACAATGCTATTGGTAATATTTTTGGGAGATTTAGATACAGGATTAGTTTAATAGATCACACCTTAAACTTTCTGCAAAGAATTTGGGAACAGAATATTTACCATTGTGACTTGACCTATCCAAATATTATGATTTTAGAAGAGCATAGTTCAAATAAACAGGAGCTAGCAAAAATTATTCAAGAAGGGCAAGGATTTTTATTTGAAGATGATAAGCAAATCAATATGATGGATGCATTTGAACTAGAGTCACAAATAAACAATCTTTTATATGACAAAGTAGGAACTATCTCTAATTTTAGCTCAAGTGTCATCTCTTATGCAGGCAAAGTATCTGATATGAATTCAAACATTTCTTCTTTAAACAATCTACTTTCTGAAACTTCCCCACTTCCATATACAATAGCTCAAGATTACAACAAAAATTCATCTACACAAGGATTGAAATATATCAGGTTTAAACCTGAAAATTTTCGTATTATTGACTTATCATTTGCAATAGATGCTAACCGAATAATGAAGAAGATGAAAGATCATGAAAAATATTTTATTGAAACTCCATGTAGAACACAAGCTCCAGATAGGATAGAAGATTTAGTTCAACTAAGAGATTTCTTAGATAAAACTTTATATTTTGACTATAGAGTAAATAAACATATACTTGATGATACCTGGAGTTCTATAGTAGAGGAATTAATGAGTGACTCTGAACTATCAGAGTTTGTAGAAAAATCTCTCATTACAGATAAAACAGTAATAAGCCATATTAAACATTTTAATATTGCAATACAAGCTTCACAAAGATATTTTAAGGAGTTACGTAATAATATATATAATTCAGAGTGGATAAGCTGTTATGAAAATTCTTCAGAATGGAGGAAAATGAAGGTGTTAGATAAAGTCAGTACAATGAGTAGAGATCGTATTAAGTTCTCAAGTTCGTGTAATATTAAAGATATGACAGTTGCTATACATAAAGCGAGGGAACAACTTCACTATTATGCTAATAGATTTAAACAAGTTTTATTTGGTCATATCTATATTGATGCAACAAACACTATGAATCAATATTACTCTGTCTCAGTTGCCCCACAATATTTGGATAAAAAGCTCAAAGATATCATAAACTTAGGTTTATACAAAATAGAATAAATTTAGTTCCAATTCTCCTCAATTTGTAAGTTTATTGACTTCACTTAGTACAATTTAATCTTCATTATATCCTAACTGATAAAATCCTACTAATCTTTTTCTTCACCAACCCCTTTGAGTTAGAAATAATAAATAAGAATATCTTGTAATTGCCATTAATATGTATTTTCAATAATGATATCCCTATATTCTTATATATAAGAACTCTAAGTTCTAATATATAAGTGAAACCCAATGTATAGATATCTCTGTAAATTGAATAGAAGAACCTAACTTATTTGTAAATATCTAAACTTCCTAATTACTATCTTTTAAAACACATGTGATTGTTCCTATTATATTGGAAATAAAAAAAGATCACTTAAGTCCAATTTATTTTTCTGTCAGCAATACAAAGACATTATTAATAGTAGACACTTAATGCAGTCTAGGCGCTAATTCATAAAGTGTGGATATATTCATTGTAGTGTGGAATAGATAGTAAACACGTAAACGCGTCTATAATGCAGTATAGTGTGGAATCTCTCAAATATCGTAATATATCAATCAGCTCTCGTAGCTCACTTGCCTGCAATTTGTGCTCGACAAGGTACTGAACAAGTTCTACTAAATAATTTAGCAAAAAAACCAGGAAAATGGCTAGAACAAAACAGACAGCCCGTAAATCAACTGGTGGTAAGGCACCACGTAAGCAATTAGCATCTAAGGGTGCAAGGAAATCAGCCCCAGTTACTGGAGGAGTAAAGAAACCACGTAGGTATAGACCAGGAACTGTTGCTCTCCGTGAAATTAGAAGGTATCAAAGATCTACTGAATTGCTTATTAGGAAATTGCCCTTCCAGAGATTAGTCCGTGAAATTGCTCAAGATTTCAAAACTGATCTGAGATTCCAATCATCTGCTGTTATGGCTTTGCAAGAAGCTGCTGAAGCTTATTTAGTTGGCTTGTTTGAAGATACTAATCTTTGTGCGATCCATGCTCATCGTGTAACAATCATGCCTAAAGATGTCCAGCTTGCCCGTCGTATTCGTGGTGAGCGATAGACATCTTAAAACTGGTTGTTATCCTTGTCTGAATTTTACTGAATATTGCAGGATTGTTCAGTTCCTTAGATATTTCCAACAAATAAATATGGGGTTATAATTGGCCCTAATATACAGGCGGCACTAGCCGCCATAATATAAAAATAAGTATGTAGATCAGATAGATTATTATTCTGGTCTCAGACTCATAGTTATTGAATTATAATTTATTTAATTTACTAAAGAATTCTTCCTTTTATTCCCTTGTCTAGTAATATCTTAACTAAGTCGTTACCTATTTTACTTGTCAAATAATGCAATTTAGAGTTCGGTTCCTTAGTGTTTGCAGGTGAGTTCAATTCCCCTAGGCAATCTATTTCAATTGCACAATCTACACATGATACTAATAAGTCATCAAGCTGTTGCATGAGTCTATTCTTAGTCTGCTCATCTAATTCTTCACATAATCTATCTGACTTATCATACTTTATCTCATTAAAAGGTTTCCCACCTAATCCAGTTGGTTTTAAATGTGACAACTCACTATTCTCACTTTGTTCACTTTTTTTATTTGTTGAATCTACTATACAAGACTTATAAGAAGAATCTTTATGCTTCAAGTCCATATCTTCTAATTTACTGAAAATTAATCCTATCTTTCTTTTGTATTGCTCTTTATCTTTAACATCACATCTTTCAGATAAACTTCTTATTAAAATATCCGATAAATCATTTAAGGATGTTATATTTCTTGTTGATTCCAATATCCAAAAGTAATCATTTGTATTATTATCTTCATTAATATTACTACTCCTAGGAATCTTACATACTGTTACTTCATCCATAATTATTGTATCCCTTATAAATTATAACTCTATTCTAGTATAAATTCAATCATATTAGTGTTGTAGCTTTTTGTTTACAAGGTAGCTAGCGCCTGAAACTTACAATGTTTCAATCACTGGGTAATTTATTAATTTTATTACAATTATTTATACTGTATTCTGAGGTACCATTGATTCTATCTATTTAAATATTTGTAATAAATTATACAACCCATTACTTATGTCTTAATATAAATATATATAATAACCTATATTTTACTAAAGTAGACAAGATTATATTGAACTTATTTTCCAATAAAATTTCTTAATATTAATGTTATATTTTTAGGATTATCCCAATATAATGTATTCTTAATCCCTCATTTCATGCGAAAAGTTATGTATAGCTTCATCAAATCTCATCTCAATAGTATCACATATATCTAATAAATCTTTACATGCTTTTCTAAGAACTCCCAGAGCATTTGGACGACCACCTAAATTATTAATTGAGTTATTACTGTGTATTATAATGTCCTGTTTCGTCTTCTTAGTATCATCAAACTTGTCTTCTAACTTAAATATTTGATCCTCTTTACCATAGTCAACATTAGATACAGTTTCAATTCTTAAATTCATTGAGGATATAGAGGGATGAGGAATTGCATATCCTGCAAAAGTTGTTGAAGGGTTTAGCATTGCTAAATGTCTCATTATATTCCCTATTAAGAAACAAATAAAAGTTTATAGATCAAAATGAAAATATAATTCAGATTTCCAATATAAATAACTTAAATTTCTTTATTTTCGTCTTTATAAAAAAAAATAAATGTATTGATTTATTTTTGAAACTTACCTAAAGTATGATCTTCTCCATTAATTTGAAATGTTAAATTTGCAGATTCCAGATTTTTCAACATTTCAGCCCTAGAAGATATATTGATCTTTGTATTTAGATTATCAGGATCTATGATGGGATCTTTATTCATATTATTGGAGAAATTCTAACTTCGAGAAATAATTACAGATAGTAGAAGTTTTAAGGTACTTAATTAACTTAATTAGTAGCGGCACTAGATGGTAAGGATTTATACCCAAAAGTAACAATAACTATTTGTGTTAATTGTAATATAATGAACTTTATATATTTAGGATTTATAACAAGTTAGGATATATTTATGGTTTTAAAATAAAATATAGTAAATTTCTAAGCACATAAATTATAGTTAATTAACTTCTGATCTACTATTAATTTTAGTTTGTACTAAAGACCATAAATCCTTATGATTAGTTATATTTAAGGTGTCTTTAACTTCAATACCATCATATATACTTCTATTTGATTGAAAAGGTTCATTTGGTAATACTATTAAATTTTTTGATCTTTTTTCAAGTATTTCAATTAAGATCTTTAACTCCAAACATCTAGAAAATAACTTCCAATTTCCAACAATGTATAGACCCAATGTAGCTCGTGATAGTGCAACATTCCATCTCCTTAAATCCTTTAAATATCCAATATGTTTTGTCCTAACGAGAGATAAGATAATAATTTCACTTTGCCTTCCCTGGAAGTGATCAATAGATGTAACTTTCAGAGGCTTACCAAAATGGGGATTCCAGCTACATCTTTGACTAATAATATCATTTATAAGGTTTACCTGTCCAATATATGGAGTTAAAATAGCAATGCTTGATGATGGGTAACCAACTGAACGTAAGTACATATATAATGCAACTACAAATTCTGCTTCTAATAAATTTTGATAAAAGTAAGGCATTGGTTGAGACTCTATACCCTGTTCTATATCAACAAATTGATATTCGTAATAAATTCCAGAGATACACTTTTGGAATTTGATATCTTGAATATGAGGCATACTAGTTAATATAGGATAATAATTATGTGAAAATAAGTGTAGAATAGTAGATCTACACCTCCCTTGCTTGCTTAGGAAGATGCAAGGGTGATCAAGTCGTAGTAGCCTTTCAAATAAAGATTGATCCAAATTACTATAACGTTTTAATAAAGGATGTGTAACAGTTGGGGCTAATTGTTTATTGTCTCCAATAAAAATTAGTCGATTTGGAGTTTTATCATTAATATTTTTAGATATTGTGTTATGTGTTTGATTAATAAATAATGGTAATATACTTTCAGCATCTGTAATTTGAGCAGCTTCCTCTATTATAACCGTAGTAATTCCCAAATTCAGTTCTCTAAGATATTCTAAATGTGAAATAGCATACCTACAAGTCATAGCAATAACTTTAGAATACTTGCTCAAGATATATTGACCTCTATCATGATTGGTAGTGAGTATTTCCATAAATTCTATCTCCTCCAATTGGGTGAAGACACTTTTAATATTTTTAAGACATTCTAAGTAATCTAGAGAATTTTTTAGCTTACATCCAACATAATCTAACCAGTATTGTGAAAATAGAAATTGTCTACAGTAATCTTCAGTTAGTTCTTGAGACTTTTGAGAATACTCCTTTAATGAGATTTCTAGTTCCTCCACTACTGGTACAATAAAGTGCTTGTATAAGATATTAAATGATGAACAAGTGATGTGAGTTTCATCAATTGGAACGCATTTAACAGACATTAGAATATATTTAGCACTCAGTAATAAAGACTCCTTCATACCCAGAATATATTTAATACGACCATCTAAGCTAAAATCACGTGACAAATCAATTGTTTTATTCTTTTCTATACCATCCAAATTTGAATATCCGAGACGAAGTAGACGATCAGTAGGAATTGTACTATACATTAATATCTTTTCAAATAAATTATTTAGAGCATGATTAGAATGTGCAATAACTACAATTCTTTCGTTTGAATTGGAGTTACAGAGTTGACTAAGAACATTAGAGGCTATATCTGTTTTTCCTGTACCTGGTGGTCCGCATATAATAGTAATTCCTTTATTTAAACTTGAATAAATAGCTCTTGCTTGTTCTTCAGTAAAAATTATATTTTCAGGTCCAGACAATAATTCAATATTATTTTCTAATTTTTTATAAGTATTTTCTTTTGGTAAGTTTCCAAGAATAAGACTCTGAAACCATATGTCAGAGATTAAGGACTCAGAATTAGGACCTCCAATCAAAAAATTTTTTATATTATTTAAAGTAGTGTAAAAATTGTTCTTTTTGGGATCTCTTCTAATTACAATATTAAAATTAGAGTATAAATCCAATAGATTTAGTTTATTCCTATATTCTTTAATATCCTGTGATTGTCGGAGTAGTTTCTTATCTTCATTTACAACAACAGAGTCTAGCAAAGCACGAATAACTCTCCAAGTACCTTTGGGTTCTTCATTCTTGGAACTATTAATAGAAACACCAGCCTCATCTAAAATATCTACAATAATGCAACCACGTACTAAATTTACACCGTATAAATCAACAAATGAATAATTATCAATATTTGATTCAGTTTTGTGTATTGAAGGCATAGTCATTGAAACTAAAAATAATACATCTTTTTTTTTCAGATAATCCCATTCTAATGCAATTTCGGGAGAAATATCTTTAAGATTTAGCACGAATTCAACACAAACTTCATCTAATGTAGACGAGCCTAACCTTGGAGAACTTATATATAATATTGAGAAGGAATGTATAGGGATAGCAAATCTAGAGTATCCACGAAATATAATAGAAGTGGTCCGCTCTAGTGATAAATCCCTATTTTCATTGTCTATTTGAGGGTCAAGGCGTGCAATAACATCTTCAAGATCCTCTCGTACTTGATGATAGCTATCAAGTCTCAAAAGCAAAAAGTTTCTAAATAAAAAGTCGTTGATATCCAAATATTCCAAGTTTAATTGTGGAAAGGCAAAATTTATATCATCTAATAAAGTGTGATTAATTTCAAGGCTAGAGATTGAAGCAGATAATAAAGGATCCCAAATTAAATTTTCAGAAGGTAAGATTGCAATATTTGATATATGATATGCAAATGAATTATTAAGAGTAAGATAATCACTTAATATTTGAATGAAATATATTCTATCGAGTTTATCACTCTCTTGCATACTATGAATATTTACATTAGGTTTCCAAAAATATAACTCTTCAAATTTATCTACACCTATTGGAAATATTCCAAGCTCAATTGCAATAGATCTTATTATATCAGTTGGTACCTGTTTAATTAGCCTATTAAACTCTTCAGGATTTCCAATTATCCTTGGTGGACTTGTTAGAAGATCCTCAGGTATATTCTGGGACATATATTCTTCTGAAGAATTCCATTTCTTAAATAAACACATCTGAAAATCACTTATTCGCTTGTATTGTTCATCACTATTATAAGGAAAGTACTGGATATAAAAGTTTAACATTTCAACAAATGGACGAAAATAAAGTCTTCCTTGCCTACTAAAAAACCACTTGGATAATTTACATCTTGAGATAAAGAATATGCTGCATAGAAATGGTAATAGGATCATCCTAGTAAACTTCTGAGAGATCAGAGAGAGTAGTAAATGCAGACAACTTTGTAAATAACGCCAAGTTTCCAAAGTTTCTACTTGTCCAGAATTAATCAAATCTATTTGGTTATATCTATAATCAACATCTTGATCATTCTCAAATTGAGAAAAATTCAATCCCAAAAATGATAACGAGCCTAAAGAGTTGTTCACCTTCTCATTATTAGTAATATCCCTACTTTGGTCCATTTGTTCCAAAAAATACAAAATTATTATGGGTATTACTGGTATAAATTGTGGTTTAAATTTCTCTAAGTCTAGTTGTTTATCTAAATAAAAGCGAGAATTATCATATAAGTATCTGGGAGTGTAGGTCCACAAGTAAGGGTTACAACACTTTAAAATAAACTCCTTAACATATTCTATTTCATAATATTGGAAGAATATATTGATCAAACTTACTAAAACATATTTTTCATATGTGCTTAAAGAACGATAATTAGTAGAATTTTTCAAGTTATCACAGTATCTTGCTTCAAATTCTAAAGTACCAAAAAAAATAGATATCACATTACTTAGGGACTTGAAAAATATTGCCTTATATTTTAATTTATATTCTGAGTCTTTTAAGTTCCACATATAAATTTTTTGGTTTTCATTATGAAAAGATTTGTAAAGTACTAGATTTGCAATAGATAGGCAGACAGGTTTTTCTAAGTCGGGAAATTTGATTAACTTGTCAAAATGTGTAATTAAAATTCTTTCAAGATATCCATAATAGTCTAAAATACTTAATATTTTCTTTGATGGATTACTAGAAAGATAGTTTGTATACAAATTTTCAATATTAACTATATTTCTCTCCACTATACTAAGTTCCACATTAAAATCTCCAAATATGCCAATTTCACTCAATAATGAATTCAGTTTTGGATCACTTAATTCCATGATTTCACTAAAAATAAGCGAAAGTGGTAAAATTATTAATCTTGAAAACTATACACGCCACGGTACTTTGAGACGCCATTATACCACGCTAATTCACTGTTTGCATGTAACTTTTGAAAAAAAGTTCTATAGTCTCTCTTTAATATTAATCAGAAACAATACATATAAATATGATTAAAATGCAACATATTTATCTAAAAAAGTAAAGTACACTTTCTAGACTTAAATAATATCCAATTATAATAATCGGAGCCACTTTAATATTAATTTATAAAGGAAAAACTATTTTAAAGTTTAATGTATGGTATTAGTGTCTGTAATATAACATGTTTTCTTTTTAAATAAACCCTAAGTAATTTCATTTACTTTTATAGTCAAAATATATCCTTCAATATTGTACAGTACCCTATTACTCCTCCAATACCTCAAGAATTTAATTAAAAAAATCAAATTCTTGTTATTTTCTCGATTTATCTTAGAAAATAATGGCTATTATTTGATTACTCCTTTTATAAGTTTGCAGTATGTTTAAGTTAAATTTATATTAAGTAAAATAAAGTGTATACAAAAAACTATACTAAATCTGGCCTAAATATATGAAGATATCAACTGAAAATCAAAAACCTTACAAGTATCAAAACTATAGTTTTAACTCTAAATTTTATACTATTCTTATACAAATTATGTATTCATCATAGATTTTAGGACTATTGACAAAGTTAAACATTCGAAATTGTGAAAGCTATAGTATTTTATATTACTCTTAAAAAGTTAATAAAAAAAATTGTTACAATATACTGTGATGATGTCAAAGTTAATAAGTACTAATCTCAATCACTACATCTCCAGTACCCTCTAGCTACTCGATTGCTAACAATACTTATATTTTATAATCATTCTATTCTTTTATTAGTTTATATATCACTTATCATGTAAGTAACTAGTTTAAGTTGATATATGTATTCCTAAGTTAAATATAAACTTTATATCTTATCAAAAACTTAAAGGTTTAAAAGTGTATATCGGGTCTATTTACCAATTCAAGTTCCTTATTAGTATTTAACTATTACTATAAATTTGTGTTATAATTTATAATAAAACTACTATTTTTTTGTAATAATTTGAAATATCAAACTTTGATTCATAAATTTATTGTTAGCTTATTATTTAGTAAAGTTTTTCATTACTACCTTTCCTAAACTTTTTGCCTATCTAATAAGTTATAAATCTAGTAATTAAACTCTACAATTTACTTTATAAATAAGTTAATTTGATTAATATATTAAATACTTGGTTCAGTTTATATCTGTATTAGATTAATGAATAGTTAATCAAAAACTTTAAATTTAGGATACTATAATTTTAAGGTATTAAATTACAATATATACTTATATTATTATAGTAAATCTTAACTTGACAATATACTGTATATTTCAAAGTTAATATAGTAAATTTAAAGTTTTAAATAATAAGACTAATAACAGGGAGTTTCATAGCATCTATGTTTACATCAGCAATTAAAAGGGCATTGTAGAGTTTAAATAGAGAAGTATTATTAAGGAATACTTTACATAGAATCTTAAATATAATAAATAGCTATTAAATAAATATATTTTAAAACGTATTTAGTTATTATTACTAAAATAACTTCTGAGAATAACTATTTCAGCTCCTATTCTTAGTGCAACCCAAGATTTAAAATATATATTTTTATTAGAAGCTAGTACAGTAAACCATATGTTAACCAAAATACAATATTTTAATTATTTTGTATTATAAATACTTTAAAAAATAAACATAACCTAATTATTAGGTTCTTGTACCTTTGCCTCTGATATATTTGTTTATATTTGCTCAACAGAATAACCATACTTAAAAAAATTGAATACTTTAATTCAATAAATATTGTAAATGAGGATAAGAAATTTCCATTTATTAGTTGTAAATAATGACAAGTTTGATTATCTATTCAATATTATACTAGTTTATTTTTTTTCATACCATCTTAAAAAGTACTTTATTATAGAAAAAAAATGATTTTAAGTTCCTCACTTTCTTTTTAAAAGTGTTTGTAATATTACATGTTTTTTTAAAATATTTTAGAATTATGTTACATATTTATAAAACAGACCATAATTTTTAAACTCTAAGATACGATCTCTATATTTCAATAAAAAAGTTTTGATATTTTAATATTTATTATATAAATAATGTACCACTTCTCTAGCAAATCAAAATAATTAGATATCTCATATATCTTAATATTTACTCAATTCATTCATCCCTTTTTCTAGATATGCTTTATATTAGTTAGAGACAAAGTCCAGGTTTGGGAAATTAGATTTGAAATATAGTATAATATAGTTTATTTAAAATAATTTAATAAAGGTACTTATCTTATTCCTATTTAGATTATTTGTCGACTATTTCTATATATATCTTATTTAGTCAAATTATGTATAAAATCTGTAACATGATACATTCGGACCTAGTCTCCCCCGTCTAATAGTACCTAATATTTCAATATTTTGAAAATTATTTGGGCTCCTTTATTATGCACCTTTTCATTACTTTTCATAAAAATAAAAATATAACTTGAAATTAAACATTCAGTTAGAAAAGTGTCTTTATTGGATTAAATTATTAGATATAATGCAACGTGATATAGAGACACATAAAAACGTTAAGAAAGACAAGGAATTTCTCACAGAGACAAATGTTCTAGTTACAAATATTTTGGATAAATTAGGAAATACACTCAACTTAATATCTCAAGTTGATACTTCTAAACAGCGTAATATTGAAGATAATGTAAAAAGGTAAGAGTAATACAACTTTTTATTTTTCTATTTGCTAAACAACCTATATATAAATGTATTAAGACACTTGAATTATACTCATTTATGTTTCTTCATATCAATCTACTTTAGCTACTATCTAAATGTTTCAGAACTGTCAAGAATTTTAAATGAAAGGATTGATCAGATGAGAGATCATGTGGAGATTCAAGTTAACGCTGACCTTCAAAGGTTACTTAGCAATATTCAAGGTAGTGAGAATATAGTGTAATATACGTTATGAATTATTACAAGTGTAAATTTAAAGTCAGAAATTAATAATATATAATACCGATAATAGGGATATATTATTAAGTTAAGTATTAGACTTTATGGTCAGATGAACGGAAATCTTTCTGAAATTCCCTATTATGTACTAACTTGACTAAGATGATAGCTTACTACTAAATATACCTAATTTGGACTTTTTAGAATAAGTATTACTGAATCGCCACGGACAAATAGTTTTGATATGAAACGATCCTTGTTTATAAAGCGATTTGACGATTTCTTTTTTTGACTTGAGTTTGTCTTAACAGCTTCAGTCCATATTTCCCTCACATCAGTCAATAATAAATTACAGTGACGGTCAAAAGCCTTCACTCTGCCAAGTATCTTGCGATTATTTCTGCAATTTACCAGAATCTGAGTATTTGTCCTAACACATTCAGATAGTAAGCTTAGTGGGCCTTCATTTGGACCATCTTTCGTGACTTCTGCTACTTCATTGTTTGTGGGAACTATGCTCATTCTGAAGGCCCGTAATGCTTAATTATACAAAAAGATTGGGCTCTATAATAAATCTAAAGATCAAAAGTCCCTTTGTTACAAAATAGCAGTCTTTTGTCTATTTTAGTTATTATTCAATTATTTTCTATATTAGCGCCTTTTATTAGTATATTTTACCCGCCTTAAAAGGTCTTCTACAGATTATATTACAAGGAGAATAGCAAACACTTAAAGGTTTTGCTTAGCCGGAAGTTAGAGCCTACTTATAGTAATAAAATGGTTAAAGATGAATCAGTGAAGGATACTGGGAAATTTCCCCATACAGAAGAAAGTTTAACTTCAAATAAAACTATGGAAAATATAACTTTTGCATCGTTGGGAGTCTGCAAAGAACTATGTTTAGCTTGTGAATCTTTGGGGTGGCTAAAACCAACAGATATACAACGTGAAGCTATTCCTATAGCTCTAAGAGGTGGTGATATAATAGGCTTAGCAGAGACAGGTTCAGGCAAAACTGGAGCCTTTATATTACCTATATTACAAAGTTTACTAGAAAATCAAAGTCGCATGTACTCTGTAGTACTTGCACCTACTAGAGAATTATGTGTACAGATATCTGAGCAGTTTTCAGCCTTAGGATCTTTAATATCCCTACAAGTAGCTAACATTGTAGGTGGCATGGATATGGTGAATCAGGCTTTATCTTTAGCAAAGAAACCACATATTATAGTGGCTTCTCCTGGAAGACTAGTTGATCATCTAGAAAATACTAAAGGATTCAATATTAGTAGTGTGAAATATTTAGTTATGGACGAAGCAGATCGTTTATTATCAATGGATTTTGAAATTGCACTAACAAAGATTATTGAAGCTTGTCCAAAAAATAGAAATACATACCTATTCTCTGCTACAATGACAACAAAGGTAGCAAAGTTACAAAGAGTATCTTTGAAAAATCCAGTGAAAATCTGTGTAAATACAAAGTATGATACAGCTGAGAATTTGTTGCAATATTATATGTTTATACCATTTAAGTTCAAGTGGAGTTATTTGGTTATATTAGTACAGAATCTGAGCCAGTATACAGGTATTATATTTACAAACACTTGTATAAGCTGTAAACGAGGAGCTTTATTAATGCAACAGCTTGGTTTCAGCTCAGTTTGCTTACATGGACGGATGAATCAGACACAAAGATTAGCTGCTTTAAATCAGTTTAAGAGCAAACAGAGACATCTCTTATTTACTACAGAAGTGGGTAGTCGTGGACTAGATATACCTCATGTAGACTTTGTTATAAATTTTGATATACCCATGTCAAGCAAAGATTATGTTCATAGAGTTGGAAGAACTGCCAGAGCAGGACGTAGTGGTAAGGCAATTTCACTAGTAACTCAGTATGATGTAGAGATGTTCCAAAGAGTGGAATTTGCCCTAAATAAAAAATTAGACGAGTACAGTGATATTAACAAAGACCAAATGATGGCTATACATGGGAAAGTACTTGAAGCATTAAGAATTACAGATATAGAACTTAGCGAGTCCAATGAAAAGAGTAATCTAGTTGGGAGCCGTAAGACCAATAAGAAGTATAAAAGACGTTAATATTCTATGTTCCTAAGTTCCTATTCCATATTTCTTACTAGTTGATCTAGTAAAGTATATGCAACTGAATGGATAGTATTAAATAAAGTATTGTTTTATTATAAAATTATATTTGTATAATTAATATATTTCTAAAATAGACTTACCGGACGCTGCAATAGAATATCTAGTCATCATCTTCATAGATGACGAACACTTATAGAGAGCTCCTGATAATGCTCCAGCAATTGGTGCACCTAAACCATAATCTGCATATTTACCCAAAACCCACTGTGTAGTACCATTGAATCCACAATACATCATAGCTATAAAGACACGATGGTTAAATTAAATAGGTGTAGTTAGTTTGTGTTTATCTATGTAGAATTTACTCAACTTACTCATTATTGCTGCGGGATTGGCAATACGTGGTCCACGAGTTGTACAGCTATTTAAAATTGCATTAATCCTGAGTTTCCTAGTCATCCCAGGTTTCTTTAGTCCTTCTAAAAATCCATATAGGCCACCTCCAAAAAGCCCTAATAGAATTAGTAAAGCGAATTTAATTATTATTTATATTTGAGATGGAAATTCTAGAATTTGTTCAAACCCACCAGCACCATAAGCTATACCAGTACTATATGTGACTTTTTCACCCCAAAGCCTTCCATAAGAATTGATATATAAATCCTCTTTTCTAGAACTTCTCTGGCAAGTTTTAGGAATATTTTGCAAGATTGAGAGATTACTCGAAACTGAACCCCGTTGCAAATAGTCATCTGAAGCCATCTTTTTACTGAAAAAAGAAGAAATATAAACAAATAATGTAATTGTTTTGTGAAAAATAACACAACTTCCGGTTTTATTTTTTTATTATATTAATTTTACCTCCTTAAAAGCTAACTTATTTAATCCGCTCAGTAGAAAAAAATTTTAATATTTGAAGTAGATTCTCGATGAGTATAAATATTGAGAACCCTTTCCCTTTAAAGAAATTAGCTGAATCCCTGGGATCTAACTCCACTCAACAATCTGCAATATACTGGGAAATTGGACACAGAACTTATTTACCTTTCTTTAAACTATTGTGGCCAACTTTTTATCCTAAGGTTATGGATCATAAGATAAGGAAATGGCTTGGATTAGGTTTCCAAACAGAGTCATTTCCATTTGTATTCTATAGTGGAAGTGACAATATTAACTATAGAAAATATTACGGGGATCCACTAATATCCGAAATAGTATCTGTAGATACAACCTACCACTTTTCTTTCTATCCCATATCAAGAGATATATGAGATAATTGTCTCGCATCATTAGTGTAGATTCCAAGTGTAAACTACAAATAAGTCACTAAATACTTAAAATTTATGTATTTTAAATCATCTGTAATATATTACTACAAATAATAAGCTTAGAACTAAGATCAAGTCACTGACTTCTAAGTTAGGATCTCAACTCAGCTGTCAGCAGATTAGTGGCCTGGGTAGACTCTGAGATAACTTTTGAACCCTTTTCTTCAGTTCCATCTATTCCAACATGACTTTCCATTAAACGAAACACATCAAATGATGGTTTAGATAACACCTTGACCTTTCTAATGAATACGTGTTGTAGAGGGAATATATGTCTACAGACTTTTTCAATCTCCTTTCCAATGGACTCTGGAATAAATTTCCTAACTAAATCCCTCAAATTAGTGCCTTCAGCCTCAGCTGTAATAATTTCAACCATCTTTCTTCTAATCTGACGAATCTGGGAAGTCTGGGCATAACATGTAGATTTTACTTGATCTGCCATTCTCCTTGTAAATGCAATGCAAAATAGTCTTAAGACATAACCATCAGAGGTCTTCACATTGCAATGAGCTTCAATCAAAGTCTGATATTTCCTAATTAAAGAGCACAACTTATCACGAGTCATATCCATTCCATAAAATTCAGTTAAGCAAGTTCTACCTTGAGTATCCTCACATTGCAACTTAATTTTACGAAAGGCTTGGTCCTCATCATTATTCAAATCAGCTAAGCTAACTTCATAGACTCTATGTCTCAAAGAATCTACAGCTAATTTAGTACCTTGATTCTTAGAAGCAATAGTAGTACCAAAATTCCTAACTTTAAATATACTTGGAGCACGTAGATCGTAGAACTCCTTACGACACAAGGGATCAACTATCTTCTTGCGACCTCCCTTCCTACCCTTAGAGATACGTTTATTCTTCCCAATAGCCATTCTAAATTATTTCTTTCCTATAGCAAAAAAAAGCCGAAAGTAGTAGTTCTATAACCTTAGTTCAAAACGTCAAACTTCCCGGTGGAGCACTACGAGACACCGAGATAATTTAAGTTATGAGACGACAGAATGGCAATTAACATATTGATTTTTAGCGCCTATTACTTTGTCTCCTTACTATATTAAAAGTGAAGTTGTCATGTTTTCCTGAGTTTAGCAGTAAGTTGCGTCTGAAGCTGAAATTACATTTTCTTTTAGTAACATGGAACTAATAGTCAGACCCCAAATACTTTAAGTAATGTGCTCTATCTTTGTAACAAGTACTTGTACTTTTAAAAATACCAAAATAAAAAGATTATAGTTTATATCTTTTATTTATATTGTTAATTTACTTACTAAATTGTAGACCTCTGTTAATATTTTAATTAAGTATTCAGTTTATTTGATCTACTACTTTTTTTATAGACCTTGGCGGTCTTTACTGATACAACCGCAACCCAAAGCCTCACAATACTGCTTAAGTTTTACCACTCTGAAAATATTGAGGTCTAATGTGTAAGATTGCTAGTAGTTTCTATCTTTATTACTGGGTTTTAATTTGTATTTGAAATGAATTTAGGGAGTACTACCACATCCTCATCATCTGCAGTCCTAACAAATATATCTTTTGATTCAGGCTGGAATCAAATACAAGAAGAAGCAATAAATCCTTTGGAGGATTTCTTAAGCAAACAAGAATACTCAGTAAAGATATGTAAACCTATTTTTACAGCCCAACAATATTCACGTATATACACTTTGATATATAATATGTGTACTCAAAAAAGTCCTAGAAACTGGAGCTGCAAACTATATGGTAAGTACTGTGAAACTATAGACAAATATTTAAGAGAGAAGATACTACCAAGGCTTCAGGGCTGTCCAGGTCCTGAATTATTAAGAGGAATTACTGCTGCTTGGGAAAATCATTATGTGTACATTCATTGGATGGAAAGGTTCTTTGGCTACTTAAATAGATACCACGTCAAATTATGCGGTGAAGGTAGTCTTGAGGCAAAAGGAATGGTCATATTTTATGAGTCCTTATTTTCACATTTAAAAGATGACATAGCAGTAGCATTTGGAGAAGCTATTGAGAACGACAGGAGTGGTATAAAGTTAGTTTCAGACCAGGTTTTACAGGGAGTTGTAAATTTGTGTTCAGAACTTGGAAGAAAAGGAAATATTCCAGAAGTCTATGAAAATGACATTGAAGGTATTTTATTAACGGCTCTTACAAAACACTACTGCTCTAAGGTCGAGGAATGGCTTGAGAAAGATACAATGTGGAGATATCTACAACGAGTAGATTGTGTCTTTAATGATGAAGAAGAACGTTGCAATCGCTGCTTAGATGAAGTAACTATTTTAAAGTTTCGTAGAACCTTAATCCAGATTTTATTATCAAATCCATTAAAGAAACTATTAGAGAAAGATACTGGAGTTCACTATATGCTTGTAAATAAAAAGTATGATCAACTGAACCTTGCTTACAAACTATTTTCAATGATTAATGATGGGATTATTACCTTATCAAACTACTTTAAACTTTATATCCTAGAATGTGGCCAAGATGTTATAGATTTTTACAAAACTTTTCAGAATAACATTGGCAACTCAATTAATACAATGAATAAATTAACTATACCAAATTGTCCTTGGATAGATGGTGAGATTGTTTGTCCACTCACTAGCATAACAGTTGAACTCCAGTGTATACAAACAATGTTATATTTATATGATTACTCACAGTCTATCAGCTTAAAGTGCTTTCAACAGGATCCTCAAATACAAAAGGCGATAAAGGAAGCATTTGAAATCATTATTAACCGAGATATTGGGACTTATAGCCAAGTTCAACTAATTTGTAACTATTGTGATAGATTAAACAAAAAGGGTGGAATTCAGAACAAATATACACAAACCTATATACAAGAACTAATCAGAAAGCTTATTGAACTTTTTTCTTATATACATGACCAGGATTACTTCTTGGAAATATACAAACTTCAACTAGCAAAACGTCTCTTGTTAAATAATGTGCAATCTGAAGAAAATGAACTTCTTTTCATATCCTTGCTCAAAAACAAATGTGGACCAAGTTTTACAATTAAGTTAGAAGGTATGCTTCATGATATGCAATTAGCTTTAGATTTAAATAAAAGATATAAGAGCTACCAAGATGAAATGAAAGTACTCAATCCTCAAGCAATGGAGCACAAGATATTTCCTTTAATGGACTTTTCAGTTAATGTTTTGACAATTTCTACCTGGCCATCATTAATGGTCTCAGATTTAGAACTACCAGAGGAAATGCAGCAATATACTAGACATTTTGAGGAGTTTTATCATAAAGAGACTACGCATCGGAAAATTGTTTGGGTTCATGGATATGGGCAATGTATTATTCTTGGGACTTGGTGTCCTGATGATGGTAATTATGAATTTCATTGCAACACTTTTCAGGCGTGTATACTATTATTATTCAATCATTATAAAGAACTTTCATTTTCTCAGATACAATCTCTTTTAAAAGTAGATGAAACTATATTAAGAAAGCATATAGCTTCTTTAACAAAACCTGATATAAAGATTCTTAAACAAAGTTTCAAAGATACTAGTGAAACAGAAACTGAATATTATTTTCAGATAGATAATGATTTCACTTCTCAAAATAGAAAAATCCGATTGCCATTTCCTGTTCAAGAGGAATTCACCTTTAAAACAAGAATAGAAGAAGATCGTTCTCATACAATTGAAGCTGCTATTGTAAGGATAATGAAAAATAAAAGAGAAATATCTCATAGTGAATTAGTGAACGAAGTTACTAATCAACTAAAGTCTTTTAAACCTAATGCTAAATATCTTAAAAATAGAATAGATTATCTTATTGAAAGAGAATACATTGCAAGACATCAAGAAAATCCTCTCATTTATATTTATATTTAATATCTAAAGTATTTTATTTTTGTGGATATTCTAGGATAACTAGGACCTACATATAATCAACTACTTAGTATAACTAACATATTAAGCTCTATTTAAATACAATTTATTTCCTTTCTTTATGATCACCTATTTATTATCTTGATTATTGATTATGTTTTCATCATTATTTTAAGCTTAAACTTTAAAGGGCCTATTAGATTTAATTCTCTATAGTGTGACATTAACTTTTTGGATCTACTTTTCAAAGATAATTTGTATAATAAATACATTAGTTTTCTAAATTAATTACAGACTTTCTCAAGAGTATTTGTAATTTCATATCTATTTTATCGGTGCAAATAAAATATATATAAAACTCAATTTATCAGTAATAACTAGATGCATTGTTCTTTAATTAGAGATTGTATCTTTTAAATATTTATAACTTAAAATAATAAAAATTTAAATAAATTTTATGTAAAGATACTAACAGTACAAATAATGAATATAAAAATTGTGTCATGGGTATCTCACAAATCATATAAAGAGGTATTGTTTTCAGTTGGATATTCTAGCCTATTGACATTTAGTAAAGAATTCTTGAATTTATAACTTTTTTTTAGTCCACACTTTTAAAAATAGTAATGTTATTGGAAAATATATCATTAGTTCTTTTTCTGTAACTTCGTTAGAAATAACACCTAAATTATTGGTAAAGTATATAAATTTACTGAAGAATTAAAGTTTACATTGATAGTGATAATCTCTATAAAGTTAAATAATATAACAAATACAATAATTTACTTTAATTATAATTATTTATTCACAAAGAATATCTACTATTAAGATTAGTCTCAAGTAAAAACTTTAGCTTAGAAGAACCAAGAATATGTATGTAGCATTTTAAATTTAATAGTTAATACATTCCATCTATATTTTGGATTTTCTTGAGTAGTACACAATAAAAGTTGTTTGATAAAAATTTGAAAATTAACACTTAAATATATGTAAGAAGTAATAATGAGAGTTAGTTAATTGGTATACTTCCCAATTAAAGCACGTCTATCCATACCAATAGATGCAATTATAGGTAGTTTTGGATGAAACGAGATATCTGTCGTGGCTCCTGTATGTCCTGGTAACTTTTGAAACAACTTCTGGTATTTAACAGACCATATATATACATAGCAATCAGATGATGCAGCAGCAATTAAATCACCATCACTGTTCCAACGAACTCTATGAAGATTCTTTTCAAAGTTATGTTGACTTCCAACAAGAGTACTCAATTTCCTATCTTCTACTAATGAGTATGGTCTTACATCCCAAATTATAATAGAACCATCCATACTATTAGATACTAGTTGATCAGCTTCAGTTCTAATATCTAACCCCGTTATTGTATCATTGTGCCCTGTTATTTTTGCTATATTATTACCACGTAAATCAATACAAAAAATGATATTCTCTATTCCTCCACAATATATATTACTCATATTACAATCAAGAGTTACTGCAGTTATTTGGTAATTCCATTTATGTTCATAAATACAAGATTCTTTAGTAGAAACTCTAATATCCCATACTCTAACTGTTCCATCATCTGAGCCAGATACTATAATAGAATCTTCTATTTTACATGAATTTACTATATCAGAGTGCCCCTTAAATCTAGTCAAACATTTAAGAAATTCTACGTCCCATAATCCAACAGTTCTATCTGCTGAGCATGATACTAAGGTACCATTGGACTGTTTATTCCAACAGACTTCTAAAACTGCATTTTTATGTCCAACTAAAGGAAAACCTCTTTTTTTAAAATCTACATAATCATCAAACAATAAAATATTTGGATCATTTCCACATATAGCTATACAATTCCCCTCACTTGAAAAGCTTAGTCCTAGACCTTCTCCTTTTAATCCTGTAAGTTCATAGACTTCCAATTGTTCAGCTGTTACTAATTCTAATAAATTTGCCATTCAAATAATATAATTCAAACTAAGACAATTTATTTTATAAAATTAACCCAAGTTGTAAAAAAACCTATAGAAAGGTAATACTATAAGCGCAGAAAATTCAATTTCCTGAATACCCAGCTACAAAACTTTACACCAAACCCCTTAATTTAAAGATATCTATGTGGTTGAATGTTTTATATATGAGTTCGTAAATTCCAAATTCTTTTTAACTTTCATCTAAGCTTCACTTTTTAAGAATAAAATCATTTAAGAATATTTGGGCGCTATAGCGCGGTATATTCTACCAGTGGTGGGACAGCACTTTGAAGGTTGGAAAGAGGAATCTTGTAAGTCATAAAGTGATAAAGTACAAACAGAAAGTTTTTTTTACAATAAATAGTATTTTAGTTAGAAGAGTCTTCAGAATCTTTGAAATGGCACTGAGAACAGCATTTGAGAGTTCTTCTGAGGTTGGTGTATTTACTAACTTGACAAATTCATACTGTTTATTAGCTCATGGATCTTCAGCAGCTTTTACATCAGTATTTGAAGCTGAACTAATGGATCATATACCAATCATAAATACCCTAATTGGTGGTACAAGATTAGTGGGACGTTGTACAGTTGGAAATAGGCATGGATTACTAGTATCAAATATGACATCAGATCAAGAACTGCAACATCTAAGAAATAGTTTGCCAGATGAAATAAAAGTCCAAAGAATTGAGGAGCGATTGAGTGCATTGGGCAATTGCATAGCTTGTAATGATTATGTAGCTCTGATACATGCTGATATGGATAAAGAATCTGAAGAAATCATTCAAGATATATTAAATGTAGAAGTGTTTCGAACTACAATTGCCGGCCATGTTTTAGTTGGAAGCTATGCTAGGTTTACAAATCAAGGTGGAATAGTCCATACAATGACATCTGAGGAAGAGATGAATGAATTATCTGCTTTATTACAAGTCCCTGTAGCATCTGGAACAGTTAACAGAGGTAGCGACGTAATTAGTGCAGGAGTTGTTGTAAATGACTGGGCTGGTTTTGTTGGGATGGAAACCACAGCTACTGAAATGGCAGTAATTGAAAGAATGTTTAAACTTGGAATTAATAGTATGTTTGCTCAAAATCAATCCAGTGATACTGATATGAAACTCCGATGTTCTCTGATAGACACTTTAGCATAATTCAGACACTTCTAGCAACTTAGGACATATAAAGTTAGCTTTTATATACCATTTATATTTTTGACTAATTTCTAAATTTTCATTTAGTACTTTATTTTTTATTCGTCTTATAACAAAATACTAAGTTTTATAAATAAGTACTTTTTAGAGGAATTTTTTTACAGTAATATATTTGGAATACACTTTATATTAAATATTTTTAAGAGTAGAATCTTGTTAATTATTAATAAAAATAGGTAGAAGTAAATTATAAGAATGGTCATATTAATAACTATATTACATAAATATATAGAAGTATTACCTTGTATTGTGACTTTAATAAAATAAATTAGTAAAGTTTAATGATTTATTTCAAATTTTTTGAGTGTTATTAAATATATTGATACCTTTAAAGGATAATGTTGTTAAGTATCGTAAAATAACTTATTCATATCTATTATATTCTTTAAATTAATGTACTTATATAAATAATAATGTAGTACCAAAAAAGAATACTTTTATTTTTTAGTTAAAAATTCTAGTTGAATAAATTATGGGAGTCGCATTAAAATTATTAAGTATCTTGATATATGATGAAACCTAGTCTCAGCAAGTATGAAATCTTGTATATTTCATTAGAAATTGATTATTAAAATATACAAAATATTTGCAGAAAAAAGTTAAAATTTCCCTTAATTTTATATTTATTTAGTCTATAAAAACTAAACCTTTTAAGCTGATTTTGTTAAAGGAAATAATAAAAATGAATTTTTTTGCAAAATAATTTAAATAAAAAAGAAATTTAATAACATATATAAACTCAAATAACACTATAAGTTTGTATTTAAGATCATTTCATTCTAATAATATACTTAATTAGGTGGATACAAACAAGCATATTACAAAAATTTCCTCTGCATTTATAACCAAATTACAATTACTTATTATAGCAAGTTAATAGATGAGTATGATTAAATAGAAATAGATTCCCAATTATCGAGTTTATTAGGGAGATTCAATTAAGGCTTGCAAATATATTTACGAGCTATTCATAATAAAAGTATCTGGCTTGGAATATTATCTTTGCTATAATAAAGTAACAATTTATATCTTCTAAAAACGGCTCACTCTGCACTATCTAAATATTTTTACTTAATGGGTATTCTTTTTTTTTTCTTTTTATATCACTTTAATTTATAGAATATATTTATCTCAGGTGATAATAAAGTTCAATTCACTAAAATTATTCTATTTTGCAGTAGATTAGTGGAAAAAGTTAGTATTCAAAATAAATATAACTTTTGAAATTCCCAAGTATATATTATAACACATTTCCTAAACTTTATACTCAATATTGTCATTTACTAAATAAGTTTAAAATTCAGGTTACTCCGTCAGACCCCGCTATATATATTGTGTGATAAATAGTTCTCCGTTTTGTCTAGTAATAGCTATTAAAACTTCTTTCTTATCATTCTTGTAAAAAGAAAAGAAAATTGGCTCCACTTTAAAAACTTAACTGCGATGAAATAAACAGTGGTAAAGTTTATTTGAGCAAGATAAATTTCTCTATTAACTTTACTCTTTGGTTTTCTGTCAGATATCTTGCAATGGAAGCCAATGAAAGGAACGGAGCTATACAAAAAATTTCTTCCAATAGTAACTCTCCATCTTACTCAGTAGTTTTTGAGGACAATAAACTTAGACATATTGAGGATAAGCAAGAGGTAGTAACCAATAGTGATTCTATAAATAGATCAAAGGCCTATGTATTTTTTTCCTCACTTGCCTGCAAGCTAAAATTTTGGGAGCACTCAAAGAATTGGAAAATGACCATTTTTAGTTTTGTTGGCTACTTTTTCACTTCAATTGGAGTTGTATATTACAATTACTGGTTATTTGAGAACATAGCCCCATTTCCTGTATTTGTAACATGGGTACAGCAAATTGTTGGTGTATGTTGTTTTGGTATTATTGGACTTTATCATTGGAAATCTTCTCCACAGTCAATTAATATAAGATCTTCACCTAATGGAGGTGTTAACTATGACTCAAATACTACTACTAGTACTAGTTGTACATCTAGTGAGACTATTTTAGGTGAGAAAGAAAATAATAAGAAAGATGAAATTAACCTTAAATCTAATAGTTTAAGCCATGATGAAGATGAGAAGACTCATAAAGTTAGAAGTGGAGATGAAAATAAAACTCAGAAATTTTCAAAGAATGGATTTTTTCACATATTAGGAGAGAAAGTTACAAGAAACTTTGGTATGAATGATGGATATAGGAAATTTTTAAAGATACTACCGATGTCAATTTGTTTTGTGGGTCTTGTTGCATTTGCAAATATCTGTTTAAAATATGTACAAGTTTCTACTTACCAAGTTGCTAGGTCAGGTTCTTTAATTTTTACAGTAATCGTTTCATATATAATGCTAGGGCAGCGTCAGACATGGCAATCTATTTGTGCATGTATTGTAGTTTGTATTGGATTCTTGATTGGATCCTTGGATAGGACGACATTAAATTTGCTTGGAATTTCAACTGGTCTTGCTTCTTCATTCTGTCAGGTATTTTACAATGTATTTATGAAAAAATGTATGAACTGTGTAAATGGTGATGCACTAAAACTAGTTAAATATAATCAGTGTATATCATGTATATTACTTATCCCCTGTATATTTGCAGCACAAGAACTCAAACCTATTTCTGAATCAGCAGTATTTAATTTTAACTCTGTTGAATTTTTCCGTACTTGGTTCTTCTTAATAGTATGTGGTTTTATATCTATGTCACTAAATTATTTTTCATTTTTGGTAGTTGGCTATACATCACCTGTTACTTTTAACGTGATTGGTATGTTTAAAAGTTGTGCTCAAACTGCAGGTGGTTTCATATTTTTCAATGATAGTGCTTCTCCTCATGCTATTGCTGGCATTGTATTGACATTTATTGGTTCAGTTTGGTATGGTTTTTCTAAAGCTATTAAATGTAATTTTATCAGCTTAAAAAGTTGTAGAAGATGCAATAATGAAGATGACAACAATATCCAAATGTCAATTTCAAGGGAAATATTTATAATGGAACAACTACATCCTATAAATTATTCAGATAATAATGAAAATACAAAGTCTTGCACAATTAACGATAATATTTCTAATTCTTTAATAGCTAGTAAGGGGAGATTTTATTTTGATGGAATCAGTGATTGTACTCTAAGCAAAGTTGATAATGCTAAATTAGGAAATGGATTATTTTTAAGCTATTATGGGGACAATTGCACTAGAATTCACATTAGTGATGATATAGTGCATACTGAAGACAATGATGATAATTACGACGAAGATAACTTAACTAAAATGTCTAGTTTAGATGATAATGAAAGGCAATATATTAAAGATACTCTCATTGGCAATAGAAATATAGTCGATTCTAAAATCCAATTAAAAGATACATCTAAATTCTCCAAGTTACTACAAAAGTTTCCTCTATATTGTAATGAGAATATATCTTTGGGCGGGTGTGGGGATCAGAGAAAATTTGTAAATTCTCCTAGGATTTCTTCTTCCCTTCCATCTAGTATTTGTACTTCACCTACTAATAGTGAATTCCGTCATATCAATACTCAATATAGAAATAATAGTTTGAGAATTATATCTGATACTTTTCCAAAATACAAGGATGGATGTAATTTGTCAACTTAGGCATGATACTTAATTTGGTGAGTTCCAAGGGTTATTTGAAATAATTTAAAGTAGCCTGAAATCTTATTCTAAATTTAGCGATAATGAATTATTGTAATGGAAAAGTATAAACTTCAGTGATTTCAAGCTCAAAATTAGTTAAAGCTTTTTTTTATGTAGTATCTTTAAGAAGTACTACAAGATATGTTCACTAATTTAATATAACTATCATTATTTTCTTATATTTACTATAACCAAAAATTTGATTACTTTGTTATATATTAAAGATACAGGTTTTGATCATAACTTATTGTCTATTTTCTAGTACATTGTAAAGTTACTAGTTTACAAGGTATTATCTAGTAACCTAATTAGTTTAACCCCCTTCTCACACTAATCCCTGTGGTATCGTGTCAGGATCCTTGTATCCTACAGTTGAGTTATTGGATCCTGTATAGCTCAGCAACAATGGCTTATTGATTTGAAACTTTATATAATTTATTATATTGAAAATTAGTCATTGCTGAAGCTTAGAGTTTGTTATATAAAGTTCCAGATTATATTGAATTAGCCTGCAATACTAATAATTCCATTGCACAATAACATCTTGGATATGTTATTGATTTTTATATATTACAAAGTAAACTCAATAGATATATTTAGATTCCATTTTTTTTTTTATGGAACTTAATTAAGTCCAAACTTATTCCTTTTTTAACTCCTTTGTTCTAGCTTATACGATCTCCATATACACAATGGCGGGTAAAATGTGCACAAGCCTTAATTTTTTTTTGAGTAGAACACTTAACTTCAAATTATAGTTTATTTCAGTATAAAATTTGTTATGTAGTTTTATTAAAAATAGTTAAAATTCACAAAGCAAAAGGATTTTTGCAAAGTCTCCAATGGGTCAAATTTCTACAGTAGCAGCAAAGAGTGCACTGTATGTATATTCAGGATGCCGATCTATTTTTGGTGGTAATAGAGAGAATATAATACCTCAGAGACCTCCTGATTTAGATATTCTAGCTTCTGGAGAACGTGATAGAATATCTGAGGACTGGAGATGGCTTGCACTAAAGTCTGAGAGGAGGCTTAATTGTATGAAGAATCTTAAATCTTCATCTGAACAGTTGAAACAAAGATTAGGGAGTATATTTGATATTAGCCAATTCACTTGCTTTGTTCCTCGAACTGTATTAGAAGCAATAGCAGATAAAAGAATAGGATATACAGATGACTTTGATGTAATTATAGAAAGTTTTAAAGCTGCAGTGATGTTTTGTGATGCATCAGGGTTCACAGCTTTAACAACAGCTCTAGATAAGCAACTTAATGGAGCTGAACGTTTAGGAGATTGTATTAATAACTTTTTTACTCCTTTAATCCAGATAATTCACTATTGGGGTGGAGATGTAATTAAATTTAGTGGAGATGCAATTTGTGTAGTTTGGCCAGTTGATGACGAAGGTGGAAGTACATTGCAACAAGGTATGCATAATATTGCACAAGATAATGGGGCTGATTTAAATAATATTTCTGGAGAATATCTAAAAGTAAACGATAATATAAGTGTACTTTTAGAATGTAATCATAGTAAATCTTCTAAAATAGAAGAAGATCTACATAGTCAGAATACTAATACAGGAGATGCTTATTCAGTGGATATGTTTCATGCATGTAGACTAGCCTGTGAATGTTGTTTAGATATTCATAGAACACTTCATAATTTTCCAACTCCTATTCCAGGTCGTACCTTAACTTTACATATAGGTGTAGGATATGGTAGAGTTACAATTCTACAAGTTGGAGGTGTTATGGATCGTTGGGAATATGTTGTTGGAGGTCCACCTTTTGAAGAAATAGCTATAGCAGAACCTTTAGCAAAAAGTGGAGAAACAGTCATTTCTCCATCTGTTTACTCTATTCTAGAGAAGGTCATTTGTGCAGACCCTTGCAAAGAAAATCCTGATTTTAAGAAGCTTCGCAGCTTACTCTTATCTCGCCCTCCTCCTCCCCCTCCTCTAGCAACAATTCATATTGAAGATGAGGATGTTGGTCTACTACGAAGATATATACCTCCTCCTGTATATAAATGTTTATCAGGGGGTTACAGTGTCTTTTTAAATGAAGTTAGAAGGCTCACATGTATATTTGTATCTGTAAAAGGTTTAGATATATCTACATATTATGGATCAAAGACAGCTCATCAGTTAATGCAACTAGTACAAAAAGCTGCTTACACAATGGAAGGTAGTGTTAATAAATTTTTAGTAGATGATAAAGGAGTTTTACTACTGATCATATTTGGTCTTCCTCCAGTTTATCATTTGGATGATCCTTTGCGAGCTGTATTTTCAGGTTTAAGGATACTGGATAGTATTCGTTTGATGGGATTGAGCTCAAGTATTGGAATAGGGACAGGTCGTGTTTGGATTGGAACTGTAGGGTGTGCGATCCGTAAAGAATACACAGCTTTAGGAGATACTGTGAACCTTTCAGCTAGATTAATGGCTAAAGCTAGTGAAAACGAAATTCTATGTGACGAGAATACTTATAATGCTTGTCATCATGTGATGCAATTCAACGAACATCCACCATTTTACCCAAAGGGAAAGGATGTAGCTATAAAACCATTTTCTCCGACTGGAATTCTAGTTCAAAACTCACAATCAATTCTTCAACAGAGAGTCACTACTTCTAAGTTGGCTTCTGCATCAGCTCGTGGATCTGCAATATCTTTGACTGGTGAGACACAAGTTTTTATGGAATCAAATAGTAGTACTTTAGCAACACAAGAAGTTACTACAACAAATTCTGGTAATAGTTTATGTACACTAAGTTCCTGTACTATGGCTCAAATATATCAAGGGAATTTTGGAAAAAAAAATGTGGGTCCCGAATCAAGTGCAGAGAGCACAGTTAATGAACTGATTCCAACTCTTAATAATATTCAGGCTTGGAAAGATTGGCGACCTCAAAAAAAACTTAGAAAGTTTTTTTTTCCCAAATATCATTATAAATTACCGGATTTATCAGATCCAAATTATTATATTATTCCAGATTATATAATGAGTTTAGATAAAAATGAGAAGATTGCAGGACCTTTTATGCCTTGGGAGTACTATGAACCTTGGGATCCAAACCTACGTTCTACATTAGATTTAGGGGGTGTGATGGTTGTATATGGTAAGGAGAATTGTGGAATACATGATATAGTCCAATATATACAGCAGATGGGGCAGAAATTGGAGCGTAAAGTATTTGTATGTAGTAACATGCCTGATACTCCCTACATTAATATTAGCAATGTACCCCTATTACCCTGGAAGAAATTATGTACAGACATTATAGAAACTTGGAGATTAACTAAATCTCGTGAAAAAAAGGGATTTTCAAATGTTGATAGAGATAATTCAATATATGGATTGGCTAAAGAACTCATTCATCCTTCTTTTCATTGGAATCTCAAACAACTGAAATGTGTCTTACAGGGGTTAGTTTTACCTTCTGAACTACCTGAAAACAAAGCATTTTTTAAAGTTAGAAATAAAAGAAATAAAGCTAAGTCTAAATCCATGAGAGAGATTTTACAAAATCCCTTATTGTTTGTTAGCAGTAAAAGAAAAAACCCTTCAGAGGAAAAGGAAGAAAGCAAAAATGATATATTAAAGGAGCTTACTTTAGATAATACAAGCAAACAAGTTGATCAGACCGATATTAACAAGAATATCCTGAAATTAGACAAAAATGATCATTTAAATAATGATGATGACGATGAATTTGTTGTAGATAGCGAAAACACCGAATTTGAATCCTCTGAAAATGATGATACTGATGGACTAGGTCCAATTATCACCTCCCTTGTGAATGGTTTCTCAATGTATGAAAATAGTATCATATGTCTTCATGTCAGAACAGGGACTAGTTTTTATGCTGGCATGGATGGTGATAGTTGGAAAATTGCAAGAATGATTGCAAGAATTGCTATGATTAGAAGAAAAAGGAAGTTAGAATTTGATTTAAGAGAATTAAAGAAGTGGAGACGCAAGCATTCGCGAGTTTGCCTTTTTTGTAAAGGCTTTAAAAGACCTATCCAGCATATCTCAAAAGATACCTTGTACCTCTACAAAACAACTAAGTGTATTCCACCACCATCTAGATCATCACCCCCACTATTATTTGTCCTAATATGTAGCAATAGTACAGATAAAATAAATGAACAAGCTGAAATAAAACAATGGGCTAAGGAATGTAATGCTTTTATTGAGGTACCAAAATTAACCCTAAATGAAACTTCAAAATTCATCGCTTTCCTACTGGGCACAAATCCTCAAATACCTTTTCAGCTAGTAGAGTATGTACACAGAGCATCTGGAGGAGTCCCTCAACATATATTATTAACTCTAATGCAATTATTTATTCATAAAGCTATTGAGTTAGAAGTCACTGATGCTTCTGCAGAATCTGCGATTGCTAATATATCGTTGCCAAAAAACCATCCTGATACTAAAGATAAGCTTTCATCAAATTCAAATTTTGAAAAGGTAAACCATAATACAGAGCAAACTCAAGATATGTTAGAAGTAAAATTGCATATGAATAATGCACCGCAAAAAATACCAAATACAATAGCAAGTAATGAAAGTGAAGTCTCACAAGAAGCTAATTTAACAAATATTACTGGCACTATTTTCACCACATCTCTCAATGATACTGCAAATATGCTCTTTTCTGATACCAATATGAAATTTTATGACAAAGATTTGATTCATGATTCTGTAGCGTTGTCACCTTCAACAATTTCTTCAAGATCCAACTCATTATCTTCCTCATCTATGGATAGATCTGAAGAATGGTCAAATAACTCTCCAAGACATGTTAGAATTGTTCGTATTCCTCGCTTTAGAACTCCAGGACCACGTGAACTACTAGGAAGCGATGGATTACCTTTAGCTACAAATTATGTTAGTGCACCACACAGCCCAGAAAGGCAAAGGAAAAGAACTGAAAACAAGGGAATATTATCATCTACCACAAAATTTTCTACATTGGACCATCCATCTAAGATCATTCGTGTTAATGCTCAATTGAAGAAGATTCCATTTGCTCCCGAAATAGTAGCTGATTGTATGTCTAAATTGGAACTATTAGAACCAGATGAACAAATGGCTGCTAAAATTGCTAGTGCCTTTAACTTTCCTTTTACTATTTCAGAGTTACATGCAGTCTATCCTCACAAAAAGACTGTAGCAGAATTCCTTACTATGATAAAATCAATGGTATTGAAAGATGTACTAGAGATTTGCGATACAACAAGCTTCAGCAGTGAATTTAGATCTCGTAGAGGATCTATTGGAAGTGACTATATGGCTAAGCAAACCAATACTTTTGAAGGAGAAAGTGAAAAGCAATCACATGTGGATGATGATGACTTAGAAAAGGAAATACCAATTTTTAAGGAAATTTCTGATTCTTTACCTATAACTAATGACTGCAATCTTTATTCTAATGATGATATACTAGAGCCTATAAGAAAATCTAGTAGTGTGATTCCTATTAATATTAACTTAATACCTAGCAATGAACCTGAATCTGGAAATGTAGATACTTTACCTTATTATGTGGAATACTATCGTTTCCAAAGTATTGCCTTTCAAAGAGTTGTCTCTGAATCTCTACTCAGTGATGAAAGGAAGCGTTTGGCTCGTATTTCACGTCGTACTTTATCAAAAAGACGTTCTAGATTAAGTCCATCTGTAAGAAGTTCTTCACCTCCATTACCCCCATCCCCTACGGACTCTAATGCTAATTTACAACAAGATGATGAAGATAAACATGATAAAAAACTTAATACAAAATATTTGATTTCTAATACAGTAACACTACTTCCCCTCCCTGAAGAGAAGATTAGCTAACAACTATTGGACTTTAGATTGAAAACTAGAAATTAAAAGAATATCTGGATCTTTTTATTTTGTCTGACGCTTGAATACTTTTTAAGTTAAATTGGCATATTTACTACATATATAGGCTTATCTAAGTCTTAATAGTTCAGCAGATAATTGAATGTTTTAAAATAAATTTAGATTTTATCGCTTGTAAAGTATCTTGTAACTTGAAGAAATTTATGATTTAGACAGTTAACTTTTGTCTGTGCGTTACATGGTACTGACTATATTTCCAAATATTAACTAAGTCTGCATTCCCAAACAATGGTAGATATTTTTGCATACTACATCTTCAGATAATTTATACTAGCAAATACATTTATTGACCAAATTATAGCAGTCCCAAATGTGCTAAGTATTAAGTGTAAATTCAAAAATTTCGCAAATGTAGCAATTCCTCTAGCTTACTGATTTGATAATTAAACTACTCAATTTGGACTTGTAAATTCCTAATCATTTACAGATACTTCTTTAGATGATGTCAGAAATTCTTTTATTTTTGACTTTAGTCTTATTTACCAGAAATCCCTCTGATTTTAAAATGATTGAAATCCAATATTCTATTATTTTATTGTGGATAAGTTTTTTATCCAAAGGTTTATCTGTCAACTACTTAACTTAGATTAAGCCATATTCAATTTAGTAATGCCCATGAGCAGATCTAGTATTCTTTGTATGTTTTTCATAAACTTTACTTTCACATCGACCGTGATGGAAATGATATCCATCAGGACATGATAATGATATCTTTGTATGTTCGGTCTTTGCACATTGAGTCCCATCCGGAGTAAGAACCATGCCATGAGGACACACAGGTAAGGCTGGAGTAGCTGCCAAAGACACACATTTCCCATGACCATCACTTGTTCCACTGGGACACATGTAACTTGTCTTTGCTACAATTTCTTGTATACATTGACCTCCATCCAAATTGTACCCATGGGGGCATTTCAAAGAATAAGGTTTACCTGTAGAAACTGTGCACATTCCTGTTGGGGGAACTTCACTCCCATCAGGGCAAAATCCTATTAATGGAACTGTCTCAAATGAAACACAACGATGACCCTTCAAAATACCTGTTTGACAATTTTTAGTAGGTGTTTCAGTAATTATCTTGATGCATTGTCCATTCTGTTGTGAGAAACCATGTGGGCAATCAACTGAAGGTGGCTTCATTTTTTCAGAAATACACTCACCAGAACCGGTATCAATATAACCATGAGGGCATTGTTGCAAAGGCTGCTCTGTGACTACTGTATAACATTTATTGTGTCCCTGAGATGTAGTTCCTGGTGGACAAGTTACCTCTGGTTCAACATTCGTCACACTGATGCATTGTCCACTTTCCATCTTGAACCCTTGAGGGCATTCTTGAATGATTGGACGTTCCTCCATTCTAACACAACGACTACTTGTTCCATCCAATTCAAACCCATTTGGACATGTGGGAATAGTTGGTACATTTGTAATTATTACACAACGATGACCTCTTGGAACTGAGCCTGGAGGACATTGAGATGTAGAATCTACATTTACAAGTTTAGTACATACTCCATCTTTGAGTTGGAAACCTTTTTCACATTTCAAATTAGGTCCTGCTAGATCTGTCAAGACACAAATATCACCACGAAGCTCATAACCATGACGGCAAGTTAGTATCACATCTGCACTTTCTGTTCTGGAGCATTGAACTGTTCTGCCATGTTTATCTACTGGATCAAAGCCTGGTGGACAGATTTCAAGTGGATCTGTGGAAATATCACGAACACATTCTTGATGCTTCCTCTGAAAACCTGGAGGACATCGGTAGTCTGCTGCAAATTCTTTCATTGTAACACATTCATCTCCAACAAGTACAAATCCATGTGGACATGTTCTATCTGCTGGAACAACCTGGCGAGTTACACAGTGACCATTAATAAGCTCAAATCCAGGTTCACAAACTGGTACAGCTAGATTATATTCTTTTCTTACGCATTGTCCATCTCTCAAGTCATACTTTTTTGGACAATTTAAAGAGCTAGGAGAAAAAATTGTCCTTGTACACTGTTTTCCACTTATAGTATAGCCTTGAGGACATTGGATCAATGGTGGGATAACATCTGTATTGGACTCATAATAATTAATCTCTGTAGGTTGTACATGGTGATGGTGCTGCCCATGAACTCTGTATAATGCCACTCCTATTAAAAGTACAAAATTTATAGTCTTCATTCTTATCTACAAAAATTAAAATTCAAAATTGCAGAATCCTGAACTTATTTATATAATTTCAGTTGTAACTATATAATAAATATCCTAGATACGATCTATCTTGAATCGCTCACGAACATGCAAACAGCAACTTGATGCTCGGAATTGTGCACCGAATCCGCGTATAGATCTATTTTTCAATATTTTTTGTTAGGTATCACGTCTTACACAAGTTCTATATTTCAAAATATTGTAATATTTCATAACTTCATCACTGCAAAATCCTATAGACTTAATATAATTTATACCAATGACATGTTTCTACCTAGCAGTGTGCAATAGTTTTAAATATATAGTCTTGGAAAATTCTACTAGGTATCTATAGATGTATTAAGTTGATAAAATCTCGAATTACCTCACAAAGTACATTCTATTCTCTTTAAATATAGAATATGTCTTAGTTAAATAAGGAATACTTAAAAAGTATATATCCTACTAAATTAACAATAAAAAGTCTAAGCTATCCTAATTGGCCAAATTATCACCCTTTGTTGGGAAATATGTAAGACTGCAGCGTCCACAGGTTATCCTATTAAAATGCTGAGCCATAAATACCCCTGCACCACATGTCTCAGCTGGGCATTCACGCCTTAGTTTCACAACCTTATTTCCATCGACTTTGTAATATTTCAATACAGCCAACTTCACTTTCTTTTTCTTATGTTTAATCTTCTTTGGTTTTGCGAAATTCTTCTTCTTCTTCTTTGCACCACCAAGTAGTGGCATAGTTACAAAGACTGTAGATAAGTTCGTCAAACCTGACTCCAATATTAGCTCATCATCATTCAGAGATGATATAAAGCCAAAATTCAGTTGTTGAAGATCTGTAGGAATTCCAGTAACTTCATAAATGCGAAGTTTAAGATCAGCTATACTGGTTCTTGAGTCAACACTGACTAATTGAGTGCCACTCAAGCCACAATTCAAGAAAATCTGCATATCAACAAAATATATAAACCAAATACGATACCAACCATAGATGGAGTACGGTAATATACAAGAACTTGAGACGCCTTATTTTTTGTTTTGACCTATAGACATATTACTTACGAACTACTCTAAACAGGTATTATTCGTACCTCTCATAGTATCGAGGAACTATAGTAAATATTACAAAAGACAGGACACTACGTGCCGCCCATTAATATTAAGGTTATGAAATATGTAGAAATGTCAGACAAAATAAACTATTTAAAGCTTTTCTTTTTTGTCCCAATATAATCTAACTAATTAATAAGTTTTGGCTGGATACCAATACTAATAAGAACAGTGTCGAAATGTACTTAGGGTAGTAGGATAAGTGGGGTTATATATAATATATATTACAACTTTTTAGAGGATGACCTAGTCACTCTTTTTTTTGTAACTGGGGCTTCTTCAATAGCATTACTTTTCTTAAGAGATGCGTTTCTTCTAGTTCTAATTGGCTCATCAATTGCATTAGACTTTGTGGGGGTCTTATTCTGACCAATAACTTCTGCCTTGGCGGATCTAGCTCTGGGACGATATGTTGTCAATATTTCTGCTTTCTCTTCATTTGTTTCTGCAGACTTTTGTTTCATAATTTTCTTCTTTATTCTTCTCTTTGGTGTAGTCTCTTCATTTTCGAGGTGGGTAGACATAATCCAAGATACTAAGACAAGCACAATTATGCTTATGACACATAGGGTTGACAAATCCGAAACATCCATAGTTTGATTTCTATTTATCAAAGAAAGTGCGATTTCCCCCAATTCCAGCTTCTTCTATTAATATCTCTGGTTAATCTTTAAAAACACTTTTCAATTGTCCACACATTGTTGCATAGTGAAATATGTGGACAGCACGTCCTACAGAATAACCGCTTTTATATCCATGCTTACACTGCGAAGTGTTCTTAGATAAAGATTTATATTAAATTTCGGCATACTATACTGATATCTCCATCTCTTTCTTTTACTCTTACAGTTTGTCTGAAGTTATATTCTGTGTTTATACTTGCAAGATGTCATATACTAAGAGGTGTGGGCATTGTACTTAGCAATGTAATCCGATTTTTTTGACCATTTACATTATTTTAATATCTAAGTACTTTATAATTATTAGATATTCTTGTCTTCCAAATATTATTAATTTAAATGAGAGAATCACAATTAGGGTGCAATTACTAATTATACATCATCTGTTATTTTATAGGAGGTATCGAAGTTTAGAGCGCTGAACTTGTCCCAAATTTTTTTGGGGTTAACGAATTTGATTAATCGGTAGATATTTCTGTCAGTATATAATTGTGAGTAACTTTCGTTGTTAAGTATCAGATATATGGTAGATATTAAATATTCATTGATTAATCTAAATCATTTCTGGTTTTCACTGTTAATATTAATAATATACGTCCAAAATTATCAATGTTTCAAAATTTCGAAGAATATATATAAAGATATCGCAGTAGAGGATTACAACTACTTAAAGGAGAGATGTAATATTAACCCTGAAGGACTTAGTATATTAGGTCATTTTAAATCTACAAAAAATCCGAAATATACCATATTGTTTCTGCATGCATATGCCAATCCTAGATCTTTATTGGTCAGATTATCTAAAAAATTTTTTGTACGAATGGGAAGACACATAAATCATTATGATTTGGATTTTAGTAATGATATGCAATTTATAGCTATAGATTGGCTTCCTTTATTTTCATCTATTTATAATAAGCTGGGAAATAATGTTATGAATACTTTGATATCAGGAAATGCTCCTATTAATTTATATTTAAAAATAATTATTTCAGTTGCAGCATTTATTAATAATTTATATAGACGTGGTATTATTAATTCTTTAGAATTAACGGGTATCTATGGTAACTGTGTAGGTGGCATCATAGCACTTGGAGTAACTTTTTCTATAATGAAACCTCTTGCAGTAACAGTGGTGAATGGAGCAACATTGTTTTTGCCAAATATCTTGTTTACTAGATTATCTAGGAAATCGAATACATCTACACGTATTTTGCTAATTCATGGCCAAGATGATAAGGTAATCACTCCAATTTATGCTGAGAATACGTATTATACACTATTAAACTGGAATGTAAATGTTGAAATCTTAAAAGTAGAAGGAGATCATATATCAGTTATGATTAAACACTTATATACTGGATTTAGGTATATTGCATCTGTTTTACTAGACCGACCTGAAATATATCGTCCAGATGATACTTATAACGAAGAATTAATGAAACTGACAAAGCAATCAATTAAAAGGGAAGATATTACATTAATTGTACCTCCTAAGAAATTAGATGGAGATACTTTCAATATAAGAAATTAAGTGACAGTTGAAAAGCAAGATCGCTAAACAACTAAAGTAATTATTTAACATAATTTCCTAGATATTTCTATAATAATTTATATTCTTAAACTTTATATACTATAACTAATTTTATTTTAGATATATTAATATTTGATATTTAAAGCTTACTTAGATTTTATTTAAGCAATAAAAGACTTTTGAGTATTACTATATTCTAAAAGCGGTATCTAATCTATTAAGATGTGAGCAAAATAGATGTTAATTATTTCAATTTCTTTACTCATAAATATTTAGTAATGAATATGAAAACATTACCTTTAGGTGTGTCTTTTATCTCTAGACGCTCAAAATACTTAAGATCATTTTCAAGTAAGCTAAAGAGGCAAAGTATACAAAGACCACTTTATTTTGATTATCAAGCTACTACCCCAGTTGATCCACGTGTTTTGGATAAGATGCTTCCTTTATACACCGAGCTGTATGGGAATTCACATTCTAGAACACATGGCTATGGTTGGGAAACGGAAGATTTGATTGAGAATGCAAGAGATGAAGTTGCAAAATTAATAAACTGTCTTTCAAAAGAAGTTATTTTTACTTCTGGAGCTACTGAATCCAACAATACCATTATACGTGGAGTTTGTGAAAACTATGGTAATATAAAGGAAGGTAGGAATCATATAATTACTACTCAGATTGAGCACAAATGTGTGTTATCCACACTTCGTGAATTGGAGTTGAAGGGCTTTAAAGTAACATATCTTGAAGTGGATAGAGATGGTTTATTGTCACTAAAAGATCTAGAAAGTGCAATTGAAAGTGGGAAGACTATTTTAGTATCTGTTATGTTCGTAAATAATGAAATTGGGGTTATACAATCTATGGAGTCTATAGGTGAAGTATGTAGAAAACATGGTGTACTATTTCATAGTGACGTGGCCCAAGGGTTAGGTAAACTACAAATAGATGTAAATAAGTGGAAAGTAGACTTTCTTTCTATGTCAGGTCACAAAATATATGGTCCCAAAGGTATAGGAGCATTCTACATTCGTAGCAAACCTAGAAGAAGGATTAAACCCTTAATTTTTGGAGGAGGGCAAGAACGAGGGTTTCGTTCGGGTACTTTAGCAGTCCCACTTGTAGTTGGTTTTGGGGAGGCATGCCGCATAGCTAATGATGAGATGGTCCGTGATAGTATTCATGTGAAGAAGTTGTACCATAAACTTTATCATGGGATTCAATCACAGGTACCCAATATTAAGCTTAATGGTTCATCAATTCATCGTTGTTTTAACAATCTTAACTTAAGCTTTGCGGGAGTTGAAGGTGAATCTTTGTTAATGAAACTTCAATCTTTAGCACTATCCTCAGGTAGTGCTTGCACCTCAGCATCGCTAGAGCCTTCATATGTACTAAGAGCAATTGGAGTAGATGAAGAAACAGCTCATACATCTATTAGGTTTGGATTAGGTAGGTTTACAACTCCTTCAGAAATTGATTTAGCAGTAGATGAGGTAGTAAAAGCAGTTTCATCGCTTCGAAATATGTCACCAATATGGGATCAGATAAACAGTACAAACTCATCTGATATTTCGGGTCCTATTTGGACATAAAAGAAGTTTATATATATCATTATATTTTGAACTAAATCACTCACTTTCAAAATCTAATTTATAGCATCCCTATATATCACTATGTATTAATAAGGAAAAAAGACATTAAATATTTTAAATAAATTCATACTTAGTAGAAATCCCAATGTTTAATATTATTACCACCTAAAGTTACTATTATAGATTCCACATGAGTATCTGAAATTTTCTAAAGATACCGAGCGGGTCAAACTCTATAGGTTCACATTCTATCGAAATTAACACCAAGTAAACAAATAATGACTTTCTTTTGGATATGGTTTCTTAACTTCTTATGGTTAAGTTTTATATCATGCAATATTCCACTAGCTAATCAGGTAACTATTTCATCACATGACTATAAATATATGTCGAGGATTGGTAATATAAAACCTTTACAATTAGATATATTTGGAAGTTACAGACGAACTGAATATCCTATATATACTGTAATATTTCTACATGGATATGCTACTCCATATTCTATATATCTTGATTTAACGCGAAGGTTCTTCATAAAATTGACCCGTCATTTAGATCATTACGACCAAAGGTTTAGTGATAATGTCCACTTAATATCTCCAGATTGGCTTAGTCCAATTGATAAAGAACTTAGTAATTTAACCACTCACGAAGTTCTATCTTTTAGAGGAGGTCGTCCTAGAAGAGATGTTTATTTAACTGTTGTTGCTAGTATTATAGCTTTTATAAACAGTTTGTATAGGAAAGGAGTTATTACATCTATGGATAAAACTGCAATTTATGGAAACTGCGTAGGAGGAGTTATTGGAGGAGCTGCAGCTTTAGGTGTGAAATATCCCTTAGGAGCTGTAGTATTAAATAGTTCTGGCATCTTTCATCTTGAGTTGATTTATAGAGTTATTTTGAGAACACAGAATCTTAAAGCTCACTTTTTACTCATTAGTGGTGATCGTGATTCACTTATTGACTACAAACTTGCAGAGGCTACAGAAGAAGTATTGAGGACTTGGGGAGCTAAAGATGTTACATTCATAAAACTTAGGACGAACCACTTTGAAACTATGATTAAATATATATATACTGGCTTTAGATTTATAGCTTCAGTACTATTATCTAGACCTGAGATATTCCGCCCGGATGATTCTAACGATACAGAGCTAGTTCTTATGACTATAAAAAAAGTTCCTGATAGAAAGTCTATAGTTCCCATTGTACCAATGACAAATAAAACTACAGATGTTACTGAAGGTATTCAAGTGTACTCTAAGTCACTTTCTTCCGCTCCGTTAAATTCAACTGACTTAAATATTACAGGTATCCCAAGAACATGGGAAAACCTCATAAATACGACTTTTAAATTTAGTGATTCAATAGAATCTCCCGAATAGGTAATTAAAAAGTGGGTTTTTAGTATTAAACTTCATATTTCATTTTTTTAGATACTTAATATATATTACTATTGAGGTGCTTGTTAAACTTCATATTAAGAGATATTAAGTCTTATTAATTGTATAATACTACTAAGTTGACTATTATATTGTAATTATTGCTATATTAGGTAATTGTAGGTATATTCTTAGACTTGATATGTTAGCTATGCTTATATTCATAAAATTCAATCAAAGTTATTATTTATCTTGCAATACAAATTTTGTAGATGGTATATTAAACTATATGGACCACTCTGTAACTTAGTAAATAAGCACTAACTAATTAAACTATTTTTAACACTCCTAGCATGAGGTCTAAATATACTAATAATTTTGTATCCGCGCTATAAAGAACATAATTTGACGGGTAGTCAGTAATAGGATTTTGAAATATAATAACTTTATATTATTATTGAGTCTGAATAGTTTCTTAAATAAAAATGAAACTGTTAATTTTCATTCTATTAGTATTTGGTGTTGATATATGGCAGACTATAATCAATGTAAGCCTTCAAAGTTCATTTGTAACTTATATAACTTCACAACAGTTGGTTAGCAATATACCTAATCAAAGTGTATACTATAGATATCACATACCAACAGATTATAACTATTTGATGAAATCGAAACGATTTGAACCCATAATATTAACATCATGTATTCATTATAAATTAGCTAGTCGTACTCCTAAATATACCTTGATTTTTTTTATGGGAGCCGTTGATAGATGTTACTGTCAGATATTCTCACAAGGTCTATTTGTAAAGTATTTAAATCATATAAGTAGTTATTATGGAACTGAAGTAGCTGAAGATACTCAGATTATTGTCCCAGATTGGTATGGAGCTTATACTAGCAAGATGAGTAACTCAGAGGAGGCTTTACGTTTAGGAGCACTTTGGTTTCTACAGCCAACAAAAGACTATTTATTTACTCCAGTATTGAGTTCTGTAGCCTATATTAACAGATTATATAGAATTGGTGAAATTCCATCTCTTGATAATACGGGCATTTATGGAATTTGTATCGGTGGTACTATAGCTTTAATCACAAGTCTTTCCTTGAAATATCCTGTCAAAGCTGTAGCTATAAATAATTCTCCATTTATGAAATATAATTATATTCGCAAAAATTTCTTGCAAAAATCCGTTATACATCAAACAAAAGTCCTAATTATTCATGGATATAAAAATATAATATTTAATATCATGCACTCTTATAGACTATCCAAATTTCTTACAAAACATGGAATACAAAACTACAGAGTACTTAATAAATTTGGGCACTTAGATAATCTTAGATATTATTGTTTCATTGCTTTTAGATTCCTCATATCAGTAATTTTAAATAAAGATTATAAATATGATTTAGCAGTAACTCCAAAGTATGAATATACTCATTATTTAAATTATACAAAGTGGGTGAATGTATTGGAAGTTATGCAAACCTGATTAAATCCTATGGAAGGTGTCAAATAATTCCTTTTTCTTGCAAATCTCACAAATTTTATTATTATTTGGTTAGCTCACAGAAAATGATCTCAATATTAAAATTCCGTTCTAATACCCTAAAAATATAGTTGATTTTAAGTTGTGAGCATTAAATATCATTAAATTTTTGTTATTTGAGGTTGGTAACAAAGTTTTCTTGGGAAACTTTATATTTATATGAAGTTGTATACCTATGCATTAATAAGAACCCCCACCTTGATATATATATGAATATTTACTATACTTTAGTGTATAATAAAGAAAATTTGTCTTAATAAAATCTTTTCAAAGAAAGGTAATAGTATTAAAAGATAATAAAGTTTGAATTCGCATTCTAGGATTAATTTTGACTTTGATATTTTCTCAAGATATTAAATTTTATTCACTAATCTGGGGTGATAGTTTATACTGCAAATACCACTTTCAATTTTATGTTTGGTTATGCTGTTATTATTGGAGCAATACGGAAACAATGAATTTTATCAATATATTCCAACAAATTTTTAATTTATAGCGCCATATTCAGCATCTAATAATGCAGCAGTCAGATTTTAATAACTTTTTTGATATATTAGTTATAGTAATGGATAGGAGAGATGTAGATGCAACTGTAAAAACTGCTTTTGGAAACAATCAGATGGCTATGGCATTTGCAGCTGCTGTGGAAGCTTCTAGTGAAAATAAGGTTGATAATGAAAACTCAAGCACTGAGCTTAATAAGGTGAAAAAGGAAGTAGAGGAATTAAAACAAACATTGAATGAAATAAAGTCACAATTACATGATATTAAAAATAAGGGTAATGAGCAATTGGGAAGTAGTAAAACTCTAGATCAAGCAGAATGGATAAGTTTACAACAGTATATTTATGAACATTTTAAGAACCAGGCTGAGATTCAAAGAAAATTCAACGAACTGGAAGAGAACCTTTCCACAAATGGTAATAATGTGTCAGAATTACGGATTAAGATCAGAGAATATGAATCTAGTTTAGAAGTAAATACTAATCATATTACTACTCTAGCTTTAGTATTGGATGAGTGGCAGGAAAAAGTTAACAGGCTAGACTCTGTTATAAGTAATTTGAAACAAAGCTTAGATACAAATGCTAAGATAGTAGACAACATTGCAAAATTACCAAATTCTATTCTTGATATATTCTATAGTCAATCTCAGGCATGGAATGGATTTTCTAAAGTGTTGAATCAGCTGAGTAATGATATGGATAAAGAAATAAACAAATCTTCAATTTACCAAGAAGAAAATAACAACTTAGAAGTTGCAATCTCTATTAAGACACTAGTAGAAGCTATGAAGAATCTGCAACCTTTATTATTATTACCAAATATAGTTCATTAGTAGTAGTCATGTCTAGTATTTATATTATAAACAATTTCGTCGAATTCCGTGGTTGCAATTTTTCTTATTCCTTTTCCTTATTAAGATAATTAAATTTCTGTTTTTGTTTTTGTAGATACTTATCTAAAACCATATCACTAGGCATAGAACTGTACAACACATTTGTTGAGATCTTGCCATCTTGATTCATTTTCACTTGTTGGTTCAATATCTGCGCTTCTCTATTTATTTTGTCCCAATTTATGGGGCCACAATTTTCTGTATAAGCTCTGGTCACCTTAAGTCTATCAACTATTGGCTCCGACATATCTTGGCTTAAAATTGTGAACTCTATTTCCGTAGGTCTTCTTAAGTGCTGGCAGATAATTTGTCACAGAACCGGGAATATCAGGATTTGCATTTGGCTCGGCTGCTAACAGCTAATAAATATGAATATATAATATTAATTGAAATAAGTTCAAGGTGATTCTACAAGTATCAAAAATAAACATCCTGTAGTAAGGACTATGTAGCATTTATAATAGATCTCTAATACTTGTGGAATACCCCCAGGATAATAAGATTATCGGGGAGATAAATAATCAATTGAAAAGTAGTGATTTCTAGAGTTTAATATCAGGTAGAATAAAGATATTTATAATTATTTAGTTATATATTCTATAGACTTGAGATTTAGTATATTACATCCTAGCTTAATTGAAATGGAAAGACAGCGGCCTCAGTATCCTCCCCCCTCTTGTCTGCTCACTTTTCTTTTGTTGAAATTTTCTTCGTAATTGTCTTGTTAAGCTCTTAGCTTCTATTTTTCTCTTTTTTTTTCTTTACTGAATGGTTGAAAAGACAACAAATAATCAGGACCAACAGAATTTGGCTAGTAAGAAATGCGGCGCGTATATTCCTCCTCATAGAAGACATTTAGGAATGCAAGATGATTCTAATGCAAACACAGCAAGCCAACCAGCAAGTGGTGTTAATGCTATCCCAATATATAGTAATAGATCTACTGGATCCCGAAGTGGATCTGAGAATAAAAAGTCTGGACAGGTAGTTTCAAACAGTGCAACAGACCGATCTGGAGGAGTAACTACTATGAATAATGTTGATCGTTTTAGTAGCCTGAATGGAAATAGGGACATCTTGGGAGGTAAGGTAACTGCAAATAATGGAGGTGCTGATAGATTCAGTGGTTTAGTTGAAAGAAACGTTGAGAGAGGTACTAACAGATACCACCAGCGAGGCAAGACGAGTACTACTGGTACTGGCTGGGACGTTCGTGATGGTAGGAATTACATTCGAGATGATGAAGAAAAGATCTTTCTAAAGTCTAAAGAGCACAGAGCAGGTATTAATTTTGATGCTTATGATAATATTCCAGTAGAAATGACTGGTACAGAAACTCACAAGATAATCCCAATGCATAATTTTATGGAAATAGAGGGGATTCATGAGATTTTACTGGCAAATATTAGACGTGTTAAATATGAGAGGCCTACTCCTGTACAGAAGTTTTCTATACCAACAGTTTTAAATGGTCGGGATTTGATGGCCTGTGCTCAAACAGGATCAGGGAAAACAGCGGCATTTTTGTTTCCTATAATTATGAGAATGTTAAAGGATGGACCTCCACCTACTCCCCAACAATCATCTCTTCGAATAAAGCGTGTAGCATATCCTGTTGCTTTGGTACTCTCCCCAACTCGTGAATTAGCTATTCAGATTTATGAAGAATCACGCAAATTTTGTTATGGTACTGGTATAAGAACAAATGTTTTATATGGAGGTAGTGAGATACGAAATCAAATTTTAGATCTTGATCGTGGTTCGGATATAGTTGTTGCTACACCTGGCCGATTACGTGACTTGATTGATAGAGGCAAAGTCTATCTTAAATTAATTAAATTTTTGATTCTTGATGAAGCAGATCGGATGTTAGATATGGGATTTGCTCCACAGATTAGAGAAATAATAGAAGACTCAGATATGCCACATAGTCTTGAGGGACGTCAGACAGTTATGTTCAGTGCAACATTTCCAAGAGAAATCCAGCAGTTGGCTAAGGACTTTTTGCATTCTTATATATTTTTGACTGTAGGAAGGGTTGGAGCAACAAGTGGGTCTATTGTTCAACGAGTTGTATATGCTGAGGAAGACCATAAACCAAGATTACTGGTAAAATTATTAATGGAACAGGGTGAAGGTTTAACAGTAGTATTTGTAGAAATGAAAAGGAGAGCAGACCAAATCGAAGATTTCCTTATAGATCAAAATTTTCCAGCAGTATCTATTCATGGTGATAGGTCACAACAGGAAAGAGAGCATGCCTTAAGACTTTTCAGGAGTGGACAGAGACCAATTCTAGTTGCAACAGATGTAGCAGCTAGAGGTTTGGATATACCTAATATAACTCATGTAATTAATTTAGATATGCCTTGTAACATTGATGACTATGTTCATAGGATTGGAAGGACTGGCAGAGCTGGAAATACAGGCCTTGCAACATCGTTTGTTAATGAAAATAACAAACCTATTTTGCGAGATTTACTAGCAGCACTAGAAGAGAGTGGTCAAGATGCACCTGAGTGGTTCCAAGATATGGTAAAATCTTGTACTGCTTCCTTTGGTAGATATGGAAATAGATTTTCAAGGGGTGGTGGTTCTAACTCAGGGACACAGAGAAGTGGAAGAGGGGCATCTCACAACTTTGGCAGTATAGATATAAGGAGTAATTCTAATAATAGTGGTAGTGATAACTGGAGGAACTCTAACAACAGAAGAAGTCCAGTTGGTAACTCCAGTTATAGTGGTGGACCAACTAATAGTACTGGATATAACAGAATAAACAAAGACTCTGATCATGATGATGCATGGTAATTATGTTTCAGCAAACATTGACTTGTCTCTTATATCCAATAATAACGGTACTTCTGTTTTGAGTACTCTTTAAAGATGGGTGATTATAATAATATGGAGATCTAAAGTGTTCAAGGTGTTTGAGCATATATTTGGGATTATTCATCTTGAAGTAATTATACAATATATAGGAGAGCAATATGTATGGGTTGCTCTATCTCAGGTTTTCTATAATTAATGAGACTGTCATTTGTTTTGCTAATATATTATATCTTGTTAGTAATAACTAACAGATCCCCTACTTTTCTCATTTTTTTCTGTAAAAGAAAAAGATGTTACATCTAGTTTCCGAATTGTGAGGAGTAACCAAGTCGGAGAATTTACAAATTTTGCAATATTGGTAAACAACATACATCATATCCATTGCTACTTTTGATTTATATATATATAGATAATATAATGACTTTTCTAAAAGAAAACTTATTAGTATATTGAATTTGTGTTTAATTCGCTTCTACTTTGCTAAGGTTTGGCTAATTAATATCTACATTATTAAAAGTAGCTTGGAAATTCCAAGTATACTACAGGGCATAACGGAACTCAATCATGTTTTGTAGTAAATTCTCCAATATTCACAATTTAATATTGAAGTGAACTGTTTATAATCGCTAAATAATTAAAACTTTTCAGCTAGTAATTAAATGAACTAATTGAAGATAATAACTTTCTACATTATAGATTATTAAATGGCTCAGAAAACTACTTTAGGATTAATGATACATATTGCAAATGTTTGATATTATGCAACATATTTTTGCTATTTAATCTTATAATCAAACTAATTATATTTTGCTGAGTTTTAATTCAAACTGAGTATATAGAAATAAACGCAGTTTACTTTGGTAAATTTTTATCCTATTAGTTTTAAGACATTTAACATCACTTATAACTGTTTATAATCAGTGATTACTCAGTATGAAATTAAATATAAATTTACATCTAACAGCGAAACAAGTTTACGGACTAAATAAGCCTAATTTTGCAGTCTACACTTGTACATTTCTAGACATGTCTCTTGCTTTATAATAGGGAATTCCAATACAATACAAAGTAGACCTTAAATAAGCTTTCAAAGATAAATTATAATGTCTAGATAATATTAAATTCACGTATTCTTAATGTTGATTATTATTTGTCAAGTAGGTAGTTTTGTAGTATACAATATTATGTAGTTAGTTACACCTTCATTTTGTTTACAGCTCTGGCAGAATAAGTAAAATAAAATAATTCTCTTTATATTCTGTTATACAACAAAGTATTCCTTCAACATCTAATTAGATATTAATGATTTGATTCTGCAAATAAGCTGATTTTAGTAAGAAGGAAGTCTTCCTCATTTTCTAGATCATTAGTTGTTACTAAAATGTATAGTGATAGTTTACAGCTAATAAAGTTGCAAACCAAGAAATATAACTACTTTATAAAAATTTAATTATTACATTCAATTTAAGTCTGAAGTAAAAAAATTGCTAGTAAATGTGAGTGACTTATACATGACATTTGGAAATGTCAAATTTGGAATATTTTCAACAAATTCTAGATATTCTCTGCATGCAACATTTAAGATTCCATTTATGAAAAATCAGTCCTAAATATACAGTAAATATAGACTGTTTATTAGAAAACTCCTTTATACTTTAGAGTTATCTATATTTTACATATCTTTTTCCTTGCTATCATTCTGTAACCTAGACGATTTCACGACAAGACGCTTTTGCACCATCATGCAAGAGTATCTTGCTCTGGGGCTCCACCTATAAACCTCACGAACCTTTTGAACTGAGTACAAAAATAATTGAGAGATACTGATACTGACTAGTTGAAAATATGTCACAAAGTTCACAGCTATATATGGACTCAGATGCAGAGACTGATCCAACTATATATGACAAAATAGTCCAATCTGCAAAAAATGAAGTATTTAACAGGTGAGTACAGTATTATGTTAAGAATTTGTATAATTTAACTCTGCAAGTTTCCGAAATATTTCTTGTCATATTTTTTTTTTAGTTATCATGGTACTCGTTTTCTCTACTATTTATGCGAGGATAATCTTGGTCGTCCTGTACTAGTATTGGTAGCATGCTTCTTGCCTACAGATGTTTCAGCATTAGACAAAGCTATGAGATATGCAGTCAGTAGTACTAAGGAATATGTTCAAAAGGACTTTGTACTTATTTATTGCTTAACAAGAACAAACGTTCTTAGTGACAAAAGCGGAGGTTTTCTGCAGGCTTTTTATGGTCTTCTTCCAAAAGATTTCAAGAAGAACCTAAAAAAGGTCATCATGTTTCATTATGGAATTAGTAATAGGGCATTTATGTCTGTAATCAGTTCTTATATGTCTCCAAAATTCATGAAGAAGTTAGAGTATGCTGACACAATAAAGGACCTTTGTCGTTTTTTACCAAATATCCCTACCGAGGAAGTTTGTTCACGGTTACCATATGTGGTTCAACATGATGATGCTGAGCTTAGTGGAGTTGAAGTTCCGAGAGTTTTTTCCCTTCATATTGTCGACTTATGTAACAATTATGGTTTTCTAGTTCCTAATTATGGGCGAGTACCAGAAATTTTAGTTGATCTGACACAACAGCTATCTAAGCCAGATGTCATATGCACTCCAGAATTGTTCACTTTGCAAACATCAGCTTCTAACTTATATTCCCTTGTAGGCGAAATAGATAGTGGTGATCCTTTTAGAAGCACAGATTCTGATATCCCAGCTTTAGTTTCAGCCTTTAGATTACTGTTGGATGCTCTAGAAGAGCCACTGCTTGGAAGGAATATATTTGCATTATTACAAAAGCAAAGCTCAACTGGAGTAAATGAACTGTCGCACACATTTTATATTAACTTGCTCAGAGAAACAATTGCTACATTGACTGTTTCCGCAAGGGTCTCCTTAATGTTTATTGTCCACTTCTTTGCATTTGTTACATCTAAAGCTAGGTTTAACAATATGAGTCCACGAAGGATTGCAGAAATCTTTGCACCAGCTTTTTGTAGACCTACAGTCACTTCAAATACTATGTATCAAACAATACCAATTTGTGTAGAGTGCATTACATCTTTAATTTCTGATCCAGATGCTATTTTTACTACTCAAGATGGAGGTGATAGTGCAAAACAAGTAACAAAAGTTAGACCTAAGATAGAGGAGGATGAGGAAAGTGATGAGTAAATAAGAGTGTTGTATTAATCTAGCTTAAGTATAGACTTACAGTTTCATTTAAAGCAAGTTCTAAAAAAACTCCTAACCTCTTTGTATTCCAATGGCAGAAAAAGTTCTCCCGGCGAGGATCGAACTCGCGACCTTCGGCTCATAAGACCGACGCTCTGACCGAACTGAGCTACGAGAGAAAGTTGAGTGTGCTCTTCGTGATTTCTACACTATTTATATATGGTAAGTTACTCCGAATAAAGAGGTCTTAGTAGCTACCTTTATTTTATTTGGACTTAGATGAGAACAGCCTTATATATATAGACAACTCTATTAAGTAGTATGGAGTACGTTTACTTTGTAGCTTATTCTTTATGCTGCATAGTCACTCCCTATTTATGAAAAAATAGACCTTGACGAAGCAAGTTTTTTAGGAGCTGTGGATACATTGCCACTGGACGTAGTAAATAGGAAATTATGAGGCCTCCAGAAGTAAATAGGTCATCTCAGTAGTTAGTGCGAAATATATTGGGATGTCAATTCTTAAGATGTCTTAATTTCTTGTCTCTTAAATTTTTTTTGGGTGCCCCTTACTAATATATAAACATGCACTGTGAAAGTCGTGGGTATCACAGGGAAGGCCCCCAGTACGGTGGCCTTCGTAGCATAGTGGCAATGCGTTCGCTTCGTAAGCGAGATATCCAGGGTTCGATCCCCTGCGTGGGCTCTTCTTGAAATTCTTTTAGTAGAGCTGTAAGTTAATGGTAGATAGACAATAAATATATGTTGTATTACCAGAAATGTATACTCAATGACCTTATTAAGAATAGACTATGTTTAGTCATTTTCAGTAGAGGATTAGGGTTAAATGACATTATATATTACTTTCTTAAGGAAATAAATCACGAGAAACGATGCAAAAGTGTAATTCTTTTAAACATGACTAATATCGAGGTTGAGTGTCTAAATGAACGTGCAAGAATTTTAGATAAAATGGATAGGTCATATTTACAAGGAAATGGCCTTGGTAAGACAAATCTAGTCGATCCAATTACAGCAGATATTTCCTTATCTAAAAGGCTAAATATCTATGAATCTGGAGGGACTTTTATGATTACATCTAGAATTCTAACAACTGACGCTCTTTCTGGAAAACTAGATTTCACTAAAGTTGAAGGGATTATTGTTATGAATGCAGAGAGTTTAAATAACAAGAACTGGAATGATGCTTTTATTCTACAAGTGTACAAACAAAAGAACCCTAATGGCTTTATCAAGGGACTATCGCAGAGACCTGAACTTCTAAAAATCGGCTACTTTGGCCCTGGTATAGCAATGAAACATATTGGTACAACAATTTTGTGCCTTTACCCTAGGTCGCATGAAGCTGTGGAGAAAAGTCTCGTAGAACATGGATCTGTTGATGTTACTGAAAGAGCTGTAAAACCGACAGACAATTTTACAACAGTTCAGCGCTATATTATATTACTTATTGAAAAGGGATTCAATGAACTAAAGAAAATCAACTCTGATGCAGATATTTCTTTAACTGATACTTTATTTTCCTCTGTAAGAAATTTTCAAAACTGTATAGAAGAAGCAACACAAACAAAGTGGAATCAGATGTCACTACATTTGCGAAATATATCTAGAGATATTGTTACTTTTAGACGTTTATTAAGCTTACTTCATCGTTTAGATGCCGTTACCTTTTTTTATTATACTGAAGTTCTAAGATGCACTCAGAGTCTTGATTTCTCTTGGTACCTCACAGTTGAATTTGAGGCTATGTATAAAGCTTCAAGAGATAGAGTTTTTCAAATAATTAGTAGAAAGGGCATATCTAAAGGTACTACAAATAGTGTTCAGCTTTCTTTAGAAGTGAACCCACTATATATAGAGCTTGTTGATGTATTAGAAAATATTGGAGTAGATCTAACAGAGAAATCTATAAATGAAATGTCTCTAAATATAGAAAAACAAGCAAACTCAGTAAGTTGTGAGGAGAACATAGAGAAAGATTTAGTAACAGATGGACAATTAGAAGAAGATGACCAGTTCTACAATCCAAGAATCATCTCCAGAATAGATTGCGAGCATACAAATCTACCTCTCTACAAGGTCATGATTGTAGTACCAGATGACCAATATGATATTATAAGTGATATCTCCTATCTAGTAAATTATGGACCTCAGCAGCTGGCACTGAATCACTTCCGTGACTTTTGTAATCGTCTAAATAACGATTGTAACTCCTTGCTAACTGATACACTATCGAAAGTAAGAAATAATACTAATTCTTTAAGTAATATACCATGTTCTACTTCTTTAAATAGAAATATAAACCAACTCAGAGCTGCAATTAGTCTTATTCTTGAAAGGCAAAGTCAAAGAGAAGGTCAGCTTTCAAATACAGCCACAATTACAAGTATTCCTTGTGTTGAATATTCTGGAGATTCCGATACAGATTTGTTCAGACAAATTAGAGAAAGATTCAAAATTGAACCAATAATTATAATAACTACTCCATGCTCCTTCATATCAGGTGAGTGTCTTTAAAATAATTTGAATTTAATGATTATAGTATTTGAGTAATCTATATTTTATAGGTAAATTTTCTAATCAACTTCAATCTAAGCAACCACATCACATTATTTTGCTAGATCCTGAAGTTGCCACTTTACGAGAAATTGAGTTTTTTAATGCTTCAGGAAGGCTTAATAAGTCTTCAAGTTTAAAAGTTACAATCTTAACATATCAAGGATCATTTAATCATGTAAGTAATTCTCACTCTTGAAAAATCTTAGGAAATAAAAATACCTAAATATCCTCTTCCATAGGAGCGCTTCATTAATACTATGAAAGTTGAACAAGGGTCATGGGAAATTTTAATCAGGCACAAGAGAACATTAGTCGTTCCTTTAAATGAGATATCCGAAGATGATGTGATAAACCATTTAAATTATTCACTGGGATCCTCAAGACATGCGGGACGACTACAAGTTATGCATGTTCAGAAAGTTGTTGTTGATATTCGGGAGTTCAGATCTTCTTTACCCTATCAGCTTTATTGTAAAGGAATTGAGGTGATTCCAGTTACCTTAGCAGTTGGTGACTATGTTATATCTCGGGACATCTGTATTGAAAGAAAGTCCATCCAAGATCTCATAAATTCTTTGAACAGTGGTAGATTGTATACACAAATGCAGTGGCTAACTACACATTATAGTATTCCTACAATATTAATAGAATTTATACACGGTCTGGGCTATATTAAATGGAAAAATCGGCAGTCAGGTTTTTCTCCATTACCATTTAACCTTGCAGATATATACAACAAACTTATTCTACTAATTCGGCACTTCCCAAATGTCAAAATTATATGGAGTTGTAGCGCTTCATTCTCGGCTTCATCAATTGCATTCCTTAAGCATGGCAGAGAAGAACCAGATGAAAATTCAGCTGTATCTTTAGATACAAATTTATTATATGAAGAAGACAAACAAGTGAAAAAGAGGAAGAGGGCTTCAGATGCTTCAAAATCTAGTTATTATGCAACATCACTATTAAGACAATTACCAGGAGTTAATACAAGAAATATTCATCTTGTTATATCAAACTTTAAATCGCTTAGAGATCTAAGCAATGCAACTCAGAAGAAGCTTATTGACCTGCTAGGAAATTCTAATGGTATATCTCTTTTTAGAGCTCTCCACGCTAGCCATTCAGAAAGCTTACATGTTATATAAAGAATTTATATATTAATTAATTAAATTTGGATCAAATTTGGGTCTTTGATATCCCATCATTGACTCTCTTGATTTAGAGTGGCTAATACCTGATAACTCTGGAGAAGGAAATAAAGATGTTGTATTACGTCTCATTCTAACTCTTGTACTTTTTTGCAAATGACTTTTCTCTGCTCTTTTATATTCCAGAAATTCAATAGCAGCTTTGAGGGCTGTTGCCACCGTCCCGTGTTCCTTCGGGTTAAATGATCTTGTAGCTCTTGTTCCATTGGGAGTAATAAACCACACTCGCCAAGTTTTTCGTCTTACACACCATGAAATACCAGTATGTCCTGTTACTTTCCATGACTGTCTATCAGGGCACCACTCAACACCATCTATATCCTCTAGCCTACCTAATGGTGCTCCTCCAGAAGCAATTAGCATGGAGAGTCCATGGTCTGTATTTTTTAATTTAGCAATGTTGCTTCCTTTAAATTTTGCAGTGGAAGTACGATCCACAGAATCATTAAATCTATGACGAGAAAAGTGGATTCTTCGTCTTTTCTCAGAATAACTCGTATTTATACATGAAGAGAGGTCATCTGATGATAAGTTTTCTATTTTAGGTGTTGGCTTACCTTGTATATCTGTATTGTGTGTTGGCACAACCCAAACTCCACGAAGTGTAGATGCATGTGAAACTGAAGATATGTCAGAGTTTGACCCCTTGAAGTGTCCCATAGATTCATCTACTATTAGGGACTCTGAACTATGCTTTTCAGTAGATATAGAACTAGGTGACATTAATATATAATTTTTCCCTATTTGCTGTGTATTTAAATCTTCTTGCCAGTAGTTAGGTGATATTCCAGTATCTGAATCACATATAATCTGTACTCCTGATATACTATTCTGATGATGACTATCGGGTACTGTATTCCCACTAAATTCTGATAACATCCAAATATCTTCTTCGACACTTCCTGATAAAGGAGTTAGCTCATGAAATTGTGGCATTGTAAAAATAGATCCAATACCATTTGAGTATATCTCATCATATGAATGCCCAGACCCATTAATATCACTTCCAGGCCATCCCATTAGTGAATCAAATTCTGATTTCAGTGAGTTTTCCCTAATATTTGAGGAATCCATTATAATGGAAAGAAAAAATACAAAAGAAAAAGTGACGTTTTGTTGCTTATATTGATCAGTCCATCTCAACTAGTCTAGCTTAGTACATAAATTTACTAAGAGCTTCCAAACTGCACCGAAATTAAGCTACTTTAATAGCTACTCAATAATTCTCAGTTCTTGTACAAATAGAGGTATCAGAATCATATCCACGATACTTTAAGAATGCAGCGAAAAGCATGTATGTATAGGTATCTCATGGTACCTGCATTATGATGAGACGAGACAATATACGACATGACGCTATAGACTAGACGTGTGGATTGTATTAGCTAATAAAACAAGTAGTTCGTTTTCTTTCTTCTCTTTTCTAAAAGGAGGTATCTCGTTAAAATCTCAATATTTGCAAGTACTTCTTTAGTACACTTATCTCTAGTCTATAATAAGCTAACTCAGTCATGCACTGTATTTAGTTTTTTGGCAGAAACTCCATCATCTATACACAATAAGTTAGATATAAATAAGCTTTAGGGCTCTTTTTAGCCTTTAAGTATGACTAATAACTTATCTTCCTTTCCGGGAATTCTTATATTTAAGATTTGAAGATATTGCACTGATAAGTAAATAGTCTTGAACTTTATAATAGCTACTGTATATGTGGTATTTCTACTGTTATCCTACATAATATTCCTGTATCATCTATCAATTCTTCTTTATTACTTACTAAACCAATTAAGCTTCAGTAGTAAACTCGTGTGAATTTATTTATATAAGTGCACCGCCTTGCTTCGATTATGTTTGTTTTGCGAGCTGTAGAAAAAAATTGAGTAGTTTAAAATGACAACTATGTCTCAAAACTTAGATATAGATAGTATACTTGAGTCAGATAAAGAAGATGATATAGGTGATATAAAGCTAGATGAAAGTATCGAGAAAGAGGAGGATTATCCTCCAAACGCAAAGGACCAAGGGAATGAGGTGCGTGAATTAATATCAAGTTTGGCAGTACTCTACTCAGTTTTCTTTACTTTATCTCTTTTAAGGCTTATTCACAAGGGGAATTTAATAAAGCAATAGAATTATGGCTTAGAGCGTATAGATCCTGCTGTTACATACTTGACAAAAAAATATATGAAACTCAACCTGACAAGTTGGAAGATGTTCAATGTATGAAATTGCAAATAGAAAATAACTTAGCAATGGGCTATCTTAAATTAAAAGATTATAAGACTGCAATTAAATATGCAGATTCAGTGTTATCTAGTGAACATAAAAATATAAAGGCTCTATATCGTAAAGCTGAGGCGTTATTCTATACTTTGGAATACAAGTTATGTATTGAAACACTGGAATTTGCTTTGAAAATTGAACCTGAAAATACTGCCTTAAAGAAGTTACATTATCATGCTTTGAAAGAGTTGTCGAAATATCAAAATAAAAGCAGAAAAATGGTAAGTCCGTGACTCCTGTTGTTTTTTTTTCTTGAACTACTCACTAATTTTTGTTAGAGTAAGGTTATAATTAAGAATATCTCCGGAAATAGTGATGAATGCATCATAAGAAAATCGACTAGATTGTTTAATTACCAACTATTCATTTCGATTTATGAGTACATTAAGGTTTTTAATTGCAGGATAATGTCTAAAATATGTCCTACTAGACTTAAACCTAAAAGTAATTGACTAGTAATATTTTAGTTAGATAGTAGTGCTAGGTCTTCTAGAGAATATCTCTACTAAATAATTGTATTTTAAAATGAGACTCTGCCCTTATGAGTGGAAGGTGGTGTAACAAATAATTCTGTAAGGGGGGGGGGAGTAAAGTCACTTGCTAAAAAGTACGGGCTACGAGACTCGAACTCGTGACCTCTCGCGTGTAAAGCGAGCGTCATAACCACCTAGACCAAGCCCGCTAGCACGCCTGATACTCAATTTATATAAACTATATTATTTAATATCCCCAAGGAATGCTTAGTATTCCAACATTAGGAATACAGTTACTAAGTGGCGATTTGAAACTTTATGTTGACAGTAAGATCAAACTATATACTTTAGTGGTATAGTTAGAAATATAATATAAAGTTAATAATATATAACTAAAGTTGTGGGTAAAGACATTTCTGGATATGCTCTAGTATTAAGTCAGGATCTACTTTATATTTATTAATATCTTCATCTTGATCATATTTCGACATGCAATTAAGGAAATTAGAATATCTTGTTGCTAAAGTAGTGCCAAAAAGTCTAATGATTTCTTCTACTGTGCTGAAATTGGAGAAAGATTGAACAATTAAGTGAAATTCATAGTCCAAGTTACTTGCCCAACTTTTGTAGAAATTTTCACGTAAAATTTTTGATTCACATATTGAAATTTCTAAAGTTTCATTTGTAGTGTACCTATTCAGTTGTGGGTAATAATATTGCAAGCGATAATCTATATATTTTTGGCTATATTCTCTAAAAATATGTTGAAAAATATCTAAAAAAGTGCCATCTTGAATAATTGAGAAGATTAGATCGACATTATTTACCACAAAAATACAATTGACTTCTACTTGAGAAAATTCTTCACTTGCAGTTATTATAGAACCAATAGATTTTAACCAAATAGCAATGGCCTGCTGTAGCCTAGATAAGACTCTACTTATAAATTGCTTTTCAATATCTGAACAACATTTGTCAGCTAATTTTGAAGTTAAATAAACTAATTCTGCAACTCTCCTAGGTATGAAATGAGGATAGTACTGCTGAGAACCACTTGTACTTTGCAAAAAGTCTTTGTTTGAAAATGTTGATAAACTGTTTATATGGAATATCATAGCTTTTTCAAACACATTCAAAAATAATGATGACTGTTTATTAAAATACTTTAAGATTATATTCTTGTCACTATCTTTATTAGTGTCATCTATTTTTTCTAAGATATAACTTGTTGCTTTTACACGAATACAATTCGCTAATAATATCCCCATTACATCATTGCAATTTTTGAACAAATTATTTTCAATGAAATATATGAACTTGTCTAGATATTGTGAAAATATTTGTAACAAAATCTCATTTAAAGGTTCTTGAAAAAACCTCTTACAGAACTCGTATTCCTCAAGGAATATATTACATAATACTTTATGAGTCTTGTAGTAAATCTCTTCTACAAAGTATTGATTCCTTAAATTATTTGACTTCAGGTCTTCCTCTTGATAACTATTTTCGTCATTTACGTATGCTGTATATAATATTTCGTCACGTTCAGTTAAAGAACATTTTGTTTTATCGTAGTCTTTGTATGTAATAGGTTCATCCATACCTTTTTTCTTGAGGTTAATGAGTTTTACAAAGTCTTCTAGAACCTTACTCAATACACTATCGCATATATTCTTGCAGTATATTATCTTAATATTACTCATATCAAGTTTACTTTGTCTCAAATATTTATTCATCTTTTCTTTAGCTAGTAATTTATTGTTTAGAACTTTGAGGAATCTGCAACCTTCTATAGGTTTCTTAGTTGATTCCACAAGTATATTGTATAAATTGTTATAGATCCTCTGCCTAGAAATATTTAATGTAGATTTTATAATAGGTAATGCATCTTGTACAGATGGTTCTGATCTAAGCCCTTCATGATTAGCTCTTTCAAATCTTTTTTCAATATCCTCTACTAGCGATATAAAGTATTCATCTATATTTCCCTTTAAGATTTTTTCAATAATATCTGGAGTGATCAATATTTGATTAATATACACCGAAATTAATTCATAAAGTTGTTTCAAATTCTTCACTGTATCCTGTAATTCGTCAAATCTTATCTTAACATCATCAACTTTTACTGTGAATTCGGATATGTTGCTTTTTACTTTTAAAAGAGATGTTTCTACAGATTCTAAGTATTCCATAAGCTGATTACTGCTTTCACAAAGTTGTCTGGCACTTTTCCAATTGCATAATATGTTTTTAATTATATTTCTTACACAATTTAATGATTCTAATTTGTCCACTGTTGCTTGAGTTGTATCCTGGACATTGAGTGTAAAGTTTATAACCTCTTCATCCTTAACTGATTTGTAATTATATAAGAACTCTATGCTATCTGAGCTGAAAAGAATTCTCTCAACCCTTTCCATTTGACCTAGTAGCTTGAAGGCTAGATATCCTATAATAAACTTGGTAAAATTCTGTATTGCGCGTATTCCCAAAAACTCTGGGACATCTTCTTATTGATATACAAGCTATTTAGGATCTACATGCCCCTACTGCTATCTATTTCTGAAAACAAAATTAAACAGTATGAAGAATATATAGAAATATACAATTGTTTGAATAGTTTACAACCAAATCTTTGTATTGTTCTATCTAGGCAAGTGAAATCAAGTTATAAGAAATTACTCTATAGCCCTCTAACTTTCACAAAAAGATCGCTCTATTCGATTCTTTTACTATTGAACAGCTTTAAACCTTGTACTGATCAAGATTTTAATCAACAATCTAATTCAAATAATGTATTTGTCAAAGTTTTGAGGAAACTTTTTGATAAAATAGGAAAACTACAAGATTTATCCAACAATCTTTTGCAGAAACACGAATCTTTACAAAGCACCAAAGTTATTGAAGACCAAGTGTATTTGAAACAATATATAGAGAATGTCCATGAACTTAGAATTAGACTACATACTTTATGTCGTCGATGGATAATCCAGTCAATATTGCGTTTAGATTATCTTTATATTTGTTTGCTAAATTCTATCAAAGTAGACTCGCTAGCTATTGTAAATCAAGCAGCAAATATATTGAAAAGTTATGAGATCCATCAGATGCTAAATATTGTAAAAAGCCTAATTTATGAGGAAAAGAGTGCTGGACTAATGGTTCAGGATAATTTACTAAACGATGCAGTTACATCTCTTAGACTCCAAACTGTATTAAGGAAGATTATTACAGAACATCCTCTTTCTATTCTAAATCCCAAACTAATGACTGAATTTGCAACTTTGATCTGTAGTGGTAAACTAACTCCAGACATTGAGTCTATTATATGTTTGGATAATTCGAACTCAGTGGCATCTTCTAAGCAAGTTAATTACACATCAAAACCTTGGATATCTGAGATGATAGCAGATTCTACTATGGAAACTCATATTAGTAGCGACAGTGATGAATATTACTCAGATACAGAGGAGGAATATCGGAAGTCTATACTTCTAGAGAGTAATGCAAGTAAATTGCAGAGTAATAATAAGCTAGACAGCTTAACTAACAATAGTGCAATATATTTACAAGATAAGAATGACACTCTAAACAACCCCAGGTCACACCAGAAATCCTCCATGAAATCTGATAATATGAGGATTAGAAGAAATCAGAAATCAGCTATTTTAAGGTCTATTAGGAAGACTAAAAGCTCTAGTGTATTTCCGGACTTTAAAGATGGGAGTCTTAACAAATCTTCCGTGAGATTAGATCTAACTCGGAAGCTACTCAAGACTTTAGCTTCCGATAATATAAAATAGTGAATATATTACTACTCTAATGTTAACATAAGACAAGTGACAAATAATGCAATAACAACAGAAAATATCCAAAATAAGCACTTTTGTACTGGATAAAGAGTTGTGTATTGAAGATCTATTTTTTGTCAATGTTTTTGTGGGCTGGGCACGTAGCGTCATGTCTTATAAAGAGGTCAGCTTGGACTACTTAACCTATCAGGTTATAAAGTTATGTAGATTTATTAATGACACACATAGAGATGAGAACTTAAAACAAATTTGCTATGGAAGAATTGGAAATAGCACTATCTGAGGATCAGATTTGGAATAGCTTAGAAGAATATGATGGCGAATCTAGTGATAAGGAATTCCAATCTCCGAAATTTGGAGATTTTGATATTGAAAGAGAGTATGAATTAAATAGTGATGAATATAGCAACATACTAACTGATGACACCTTGTTGAGCTGGTCCACACCTAGAAATATGAGCCATAACCGTGAGGATAAAAATGACTTTTCAGGAATTAAGCTGTTTGGCTTAAGTGAAAAAAAAAATGTCGTAAATTTGAATATTCAATCTGAAGAACTAGGTATTGAGGAGCTTAAGAATCACTTAGTTAATGAGAAAGATTGCGTAAAAACTAATGACTATATACCATTGCCTAACTCAGTTAATACAAAGAATAATTTAAACCCAGAATACATTGAATTACAGATACAGGTTTCAGAACTATTACGTGCATCTGAAAGACACCAAGAAGAAGTCCATTTGGAATTAGATAAAGCATTGGCATCTAATGAAGTACTAAAGAAAGAAATAGATTCTTTAAAAGATAAACTGGGAATCAATTCAACACTGCTTTGCAAGTATAAACTGGAATCTTTGGCACTATCTGCTCAAATACCATATTTAAAGAGTATACCTCTAGAAAGTGCAAAACAAAAAGAAGTATGTATTTTGCAAAATAAAGTAGGGATACTAGAAGAAGAGCTAGAAGAAGCTAATAGGCAACTAGTTAATTATGGAGTTTATAGACAGAAGTGTATTGAACTTGAAAGTGAATTAAATAAAGCTTCAGATAAATTCGCGGAACTTGAGAAATTTCAAACTGAACAACTAAAAATAGCTGAAGATGAAATTAGATCTTTAACTGAAATAAAGGACAAGCTATTTTCAGATTTGCATAATACTCTTAAAGAAAATGATGCGTTGAAACTTACAAACAATGCAATAATGAGAATTGACTCCACCTATAAGAGTGTGCCAGCTGATGAAGACATATCACTTGAGTTACTAAATGCTCATTTAGATTCAGAAATTAATGAATTAAGTACCAAAGAAAACAGTGAGGTTATCTCAGAAGATCAAAAGTTAATAGTCTTTGAGATATGTAGATCCATTATACCAAAACTTTCACACAAAATTGCTGAGGAAATGGTACATGGCTCTGAAGACAATAAAAATGACATTGAATCCAACTCGAGTATCATAAAAAGAATAGATAAGTTTATAAAAAGAAGTATTGGAATTCAGGCAGGCTTTCCACAGTTTTCTAGTACTACTGGATTCAATGATGCCGATCCAATATTTATTAGAAATGAAGTGATAACTCTTAGAAATGAAAACAAAAGGCTTAAGAAGGAGAATCAAAGCTTAAAAAATGATATGAAGAGTCTTAACAAGAGAATAGTACATAGAAATGTAGAGAGCATGAGAGAGGTGAGTTACAGAACTTCTGGCACTAAAAATAGCTTTGCTGCAAGTGGTAATCATGCAGTAAATATCAAGAACCCTTCTGGATGGGCTAGTTCCATAGTTAATGAAGTCAGTGAGTTGGAAGAACGATGCAATAAACTGAAGATGGATAATTTAACTCAAAAACCAGTTATTTTATCAAGGGAGAGTACAAATTATAATTCAACAGTTGCATCATTTGAAGATTTAAAAAAAAACAATGTAGAGGATCTTAAATCACAAAGTGCAAAAAAATCTTCATTGAACGAGCTTAACAGTTTAAGAGAAAAACTTGTAACTGAAGGTATTTTATTATAGAATTATAGTTGACAATAAAATATTATATAAGACATGAAAGTTCACATAAATTAACAATACTACAAACATTACAAATACTAGACATCTGTCTTATCACCAAATTTCTTTATTGATACAAGGTTTGTGGAGTAGGTTTCTTATTTAGTTCTTTAGTTATAGGGGCACATTTAGTAACAAGCCAAGATAAGAACTCTAAGTCATTTTCAATAAGTGGTTCTATATTTTCCAAGACTTTTGAGTGATACCAATTAAGCCATTCGATCTCATCATGAGATAAAATTGAGAGATCAATTAGTTCCTTTTGAATGGGAGCATAAGTTAAAGGTTTAAAACCAAGAAACTGTCCATTTGAGTCATTTTCAGTCTCAATAGCCACAACTTCTACCAAATTTTCAATCCTAATACCAAAATTATCAACTTCATAGTATCCTGGTTCTATAGATAAAACCATCCCAGGCTCTAGAGATAAGGACTTTGTGAAATCTCTTGTTTTATAAATTCCATAGGGGCCTTCATGTACACAAAGAAAAGACCCAACCCCATGCCCAGTACTATGTGAATAGTCTAATCCAACCTCCCATAGACTTAAGCGTGCAATTATATCTAAATCTCCACCAGTTGTACCACTAGGAAATATTGTCTTGTTTAGACGGATAAATCCCACTAGTACACGAGTAAATGAATCTATTTGTTTTGGTGTAGGTCTTGTACTTCCATTATTTTTAAATAAAAACAAAGTTCTAGTAACATCTGTTGTCCCAGTAAGATATTGTCCACCTGAGTCACATAGATACATTGTAGATTGAATTACCTTACTATTTTCTTCACTAGGCCTATAGTGGATTATCGCACCATTGGATCCAATAGAAGATATGGTTGGAAAACTTGGGTACTTATAGAGTGGTTGCTCTTCACGTAATCTGTATAATTTTTCAGATAAATCCCACTCAGTTGTTTTATTGTTAAATATTGAATCATCCATACAAGAACAGTCCAAATAGTAAAGAAATCTGCTCAAGGCTAGACCATCATAGCGATGGCAGCTACGCATTCCATCCAACTCAACTTCATTTTTCTTGCTACGAAAGTACTCTACAATAGACATTTTAGTTAGTAAGTGACTAGATAATTTAGTATCATGAAACAATTCATAGATAGACCCACATGGATATGAAGTACTATCTATATTTTCTTTGATAGTTTCCAATGCTGCATTGTAAACAGCTAAATTGCATTCTGATTGTGGAAGCCAAATTTTAGACATGTTATCATTAGAAAAAGATAAAGTTGCACATTCAACAGTAGATTTTAGTTCTTTTATAAAGTCTTCTATTGAGAATATTTGGATATTTTTGCAAAATTCACAATATAAATAATCCAAAACTTCCTGAGTAACCTTCATCTTATCCACAAAGAATTTAACTTTATATGGAATTTCTGAACTAGGTTTATTCCTCTCATCATTAAACCTTTGAAGGATAAGAAAAGAAGCAAATAGTGGGCTATATTCTACATCAGATCCTCTAAGATTAAGGATCCAAGCAATTTCGCTTATATCACAAATAGTTAGAATTGACGATTTTTCTTGTTGCATTATTTCTAATATCTTCCGAATTTTAGATACCGATGTTTCACCAGTATATTCTATTTCGTGTATAAAAATAGGGTTGCTAGAAACCATGAGACTTTGCTTATCAGTCCAGATTAAATCAACTAAGTTTGTTTCAAGTAGTTTTAAACTAACTTTAAATTCTCCGCTTGAGGTTTCTTCAGCTTCTTTAATATATTTAATAATAGCTTCATATACTCTCCAAGAAGTTACTTGCATATCAATACCTAGATTGCCAATAAACTTACTTGTTTTAAGTAAATCAACTATATGCCAATAAAAACTATTTTTGACCTCATATACTTGGAATTCAGGAGGAGCAACACTACTAGCTTCAACAGTGTACCTTCCATCTACATATAACATAGCACATTTGTCGGTGATTAAGCACACACCTTCCGAGCCACTAAAACCAGTCATGAATTCGCGACGTTTGTACCAAGATGGTGGATACTCAGACATATGTGGATCACTAGAAGGAATAATATAAGCATCAATTTCGAACTGTTTCATTAGAGTTCTGAGCTTCTGTAACTTTTCACATCTACTTAAATTACTCATTTCTGTCAATCAAAATGAGATAGCCAAATTCAGTCTAAAGTTAGTATACTCAAATAAGGTCCTGACAAATGTTTCCTTTCTTGCTAAATAAGAAGAATTGCTACTACTAAAAATAGTGCAAGGCTACTTTTTTGTGTCGATACAATAAGAGTCCATATTAATTATCCCCCTTCAGTATAACAATTTAGTGTTTAGGAGACGGCGCTAATCATGCAACTATGTTAGTATCCTAATCTAATAATACTGGAGTAAGAAGAATCTCTTGGGTTTGATATTACACAGATGTAAATAAACATAATGATAACGATAGCATATTATCCCCTAAACATAAGGTGACTTCTTTTCCCATATGCCTTGGCAGGTTTAAATTTAAGAGGCAGCCTATTGAATATTGAAAAAGGAGGACACTTTGAGTTGACTAAATTATATGTAATGTTATACATATTTCTGAGAGGTATTTAAAGAGTAGTTTTTAGCTATTTTATCACAAATATCTATCTAAATTTTAGCTTTTACATAACTTAGGAACTAGTTTCTTAAAGAAGATAATATGTACTGTAATGCTTGCATGAAATCAAAAATTAGTTTTCTACTTTCTAAGTTAAATTTACTTTCGAATAATATATAGAATAATGTGTTAAATATGTGCAAATTTAGTAGATAAACTGAAGCTTCTAATAGATATAAAATTAAATTACTTACAATGGAGTTTTAAAGATTACAAAATAGCTTGTTATATTTATAGATTGATTATAATACATATTTAAAAAGGTTTTACTATTACAAATGTAATATTTCTTGGAATAATCTGCAGTGTATAATTCCATCTTCTGTTACTTTTTGTCAGAAAATGATTTTACTATTTGAAAGTAGCTTTTTTTTCTTAAAGTAGGTATAAAGAATTTGGTTGTTTACTTGAACAGTTAATCTGTCGAAATCTTAGTTTCTTCTAAATAATTCAGTATATAAAGAGTTGAATAGATGAAATTTGGATGTTGATCTTTAAAATGAGGAAATATTGTTAAATTATACTGGATATTTGATCAACTAAACTGTCAACATAAGGGTTTCTGAGCATAGAGAAGTGATCTCCATCTGAAAGATGTACTATTCTTATATTTGGAATATTTAATACATTTTGAACATTCACAAATGAGTAAATACCAATTGGGGTAAACACATTGCTAAAAATTGCAGAACGTGATAGAACAAAGTATATTTCATCACTAAGTGAGTCAGTATTAGTTTTAAAGTAATGGATACTTGTACGTATAAGATTCTTTAGACGTTCAAACGTCATCAAAATCTCTTTAAGAGATGTATCTTGTAACTGGGACTTTATCGTTTCATAAATACGGATCTTTGGGTTCTTATCTCCTAATACTTCAGCAAAATTCTTTGGAAGTGCATATTTTATTTGTGTTGAGTTCTCAACCAATTTCATGAAAATTGATAATGCAAGTTCATCTATATTTTCTTTACCTCTTCTAGATTCGAGTATACACATTGGATCAAACAAAAGTAATTTTGACTTTATACCTAAAAGTAGCTCATTATCCAACTTTCTAGAAACTTCTATAGCCATAAAACTAGCTATGGACCACCCACTAATAACTAAAGACATATCTTCTACAGAGGTATTTATGCGATCTTTATCAGCCTCGAATATAGTTGATATTATAGTAATGATTGCATCTATTGGATCATTAATTAGATCATCAGGTGGTGATACCAAAATAAACCTAAGTTTTGTAATTTTACACAGCTGATTTGCAAAGTTTATAAGTTCTGCTACAAGGTATTTCTCACCAATAAATATAAATAATCCTTTTTGGGAGCCTGAATTAATCAAGATCTCGGGTGACATGTCAATAAACCAATGATCAGTATTAATTGAGTTAAAAATTGTTCTCCGCTTTATAAAATCAATTGATTTTGACCAATCATTTTCAAGAAGATATTTAAAACAAGTTGTCAAATAGTCTACATTACAATTTCTAATATTCACCTTGCCCTGTGAATCATTGATAATACCTATAGTACGCCTCATATCAAATAGTGGCATTATTGAATCAGAAGGCTTTTTATGTACAAACATATGCTGCAAAGGAGCTAAGGGATGATTTCTATCTTTGCTAATGCTTATATCTAGTAATTTGGACCACTCTTCAAATGGAATAATATTCAATTCTATATTTAGTCTTTTTAGAGCTTCCTGAATATCTTCCATGCATGCCCAATCACTTGAGTCTAAATTATAGTAACTATTTCCATAAATTAAGGGTTTCTGCATAGAATAGGCACATATCTCACAGCAAAAGTCAACAGCTACTAAATGTATTGCCATATTTGTTTCAGGTAAACACTTCATCATAATGCACCCTTTTACAAAGGCATTAGGTAGGTCACTAATATTAGAAACTCCAGTTTTACTATTTCCACCTATTCTACCTGGACGATATACTGATATATTGAATCCACGTTGACGTGCAATTCGGAGAATTCTTTCAGCAGCCCATTTAGATTGAGAATATCCCAACATTAGTGAACGATGGTGAATACCTGCCTTGTCATTTTCTAGAATGGGGTCATCCTCATAAAATATGCGTCTTCCATTATCCAAGTAGTAACGTCTTGATATACTCAAATCTAATGGGTCCAATCCAGCCAAATATGGAGGGAGAGGGGGCTGCTCAATATGATCATAAAAAATACCCAATGTTGAAATATAGTGAATAGGTAATATACATCTCTCACATGATAATGAAGAGCAATTTCCAGAACATAGAGATGGAGACATTGCAAATTTAATTACTTCCTTTATACTTAATACATTAGCATTCTTAATATAAGAATAAGCTGATGTGAAATTTACAACAGCACCAATATGGACTATTGCATCAACACTGTTGGCAATACTCTGGTACAAGTCTAGATTCATACCAAACATAGGTAGACAAATATCCCCAACAACTATCTTGATATTCTCTTTCAGAATCGTTTGTACCTCCTGAATCCCGTATATACCCATCATATATTTCAATTTTTCATAACCACTTTCTTTGTCAGAACATCTCACTAATGCCCAAATTGTTATGCCAGGATTGAACCTTGATAAGGTTTCAATCATGCATGTTCCCATAAAGCCAGTACCTCCCGTTAAAAATACAGAGTTCATACAAGCATTTATTCCAGAGGGTAATTTTATTCCTCTATTTCCTATCTTTCCATCTTTCATTTTCACAGATATTTCTGGATCAAGGGAGATATCATCTTCAATTTCCTTCCATCTTCTCAGTTTTGAATCATTCACTATTTCAAGATTTAATCCAGACAAAGTTTTGATACATACAGTGTAAATATACGATTTTATATCGTCAAAGGAAGGATTATCAAGCATCAGAGATACGGGTAATTTAACTCCAAGTTTTAAGTGGATAGAATTCCGGAATTCCACAGCCATCAGCGAATCAATACTAGAAAGATCATATTGCTCATCATATATTCCAAGTATTTCATAAGCGCAACTTTTAATTGTTGCATCTATGAAACCATTCATTTCTGTCTGTGGAATATTTTTAAAAATTTCATTAATTATATGTCTATCTTCATTATCTTCATTTAACTTCAGTATTGATTCTTCCTCTATACTACATAGCATCTTGGGAATTTTTCCTTCATAAATTCTGAAGAAATCAGGCCACTTTATATCCATAATAGCTAAAATAGGTGGTAGGGATTTCGAGTAAATTTCAGAATTACAAGTAGCCGAATGGTAATGTGAATTAAATATCCATTCAAGGCACTGAATACAATCTTCATTTTTTAATTTTTTAATACCAGGTGTTCCTCTATCTTTTAAGTCTGTAGCCATTCCTTGCTCATCCCATGGTCCCCATTGAATGCTCAAGTCTAGCAAACTAGAAAATTTCCCTTTCTTTCTATAACTCATCAGTGAATCTAAAGCTGCATTAGCTGCAGCATAATTAGACTGACCAATATTACCAAACAATGATGTTATTGAAGAAAATGTTATATAAAATTTAAGCTTGTAAGGCAAGAGTTGTTCAATAGCATTGTGCAAATTAATAGCACCTATAACCTTTGGTTTGTATACTTTTTCTATACTTTCATAAGTTTGATTTTTGATTAAGCAATCACTCAATACACCGGCTGCATGAATTATGCCCACTATGGAACACTTTTTAGATGAATTATCATGACCTAGAGTCAAATCATGGATCAAGTTTAATACAGAAGTATAATCCGATACATCACATTTAACAACTTCTATATTTCCATTTGTAGAGACTTTATTCCAAATATGCTTAACATTTTTTGAACACTTTCCAGATCTTGACAAAAGTATTATTTTACTTTGCTTTTGATAACCTATTAACCATTCAGCAATTAATAGTCCAAGTGCCCCAGTTCCCCCACTTATAATAATAATTTCATCTGTTACAGCCTCAGGTAATGGGTCACTTTGCAAGTGTTTCTCTTGAGTTACAATGGAAGGTAGTTCCTCAATTGATTTTAACTTAGGAGTGAATATTTGCAAACCATTATCAAATCTAACTGCAATATCTAAATATCCATCATTGGTAAGTGGAGCTAGCTTTGAAATAAGATCCACTAACCAATCTAATGAGAGTGTTGAGATTTCAGATAAACCTAGATCTATATATATAGAGTTTATGCGATATTCAAATCTAGCACTTTTGCAAAATCCCCAAGTACCACCATTTAATGGCAACTTAGCCATAGGATTATCAGTTAAGTCAACTATTTGTGCATTATTTGTAATTATCCAAACTGAGCAATCAGTTTTCACTAAACTGTAAAGCTCAGTTAATATATTTAATATCTCAACTTCGCTTGGACAAAATAAGCTAGTGCAGAAAAGTATATTTGTCCAGGACTTCTCTTTGAGAATACAGTATAATTCTGAAATATTTGAGACATTACAGTAATTGAAGATGTTATACTTACTATTATAAAAGAAGTTATTCCAACCAAGAACTAAAGTAGAGGTTGGATCCAGTACCTTAGATACTAAATTTTCTGTACTAGTTAATTTCATTATCTCCCAGTCAGTATACCAACCCAATTCTCTAAATTTAGATTTAATGTTTATATCACTATTTATTTTCAAAGTTTCCAAATATTTGGTATAATCTATTAAAGGAGATTCAATACTGGATGTATTATACAACTCCATTTCGGCAAATACGTTGTTATCAAGGTCGGATAAATTAACAAAATTCGTTGATACAGAAATACATAGAAATTGTAAACATGCAGATGTATCCAAAATCTCATTGATTATAATTTTTCTAATGTTTATTATCGAATTATTAGTTCCAATTCCAATACTAATTTTTGCAATTAAAAACATCAACTCAATAATACATGGGTGGATGCAATATCCACTAAATGATTTTGATATAGATTGAAATGTATCATTAGATTTAATAAAAAATCTTTGGATTTCTGTTTTTATCAGCTCATAAGTAGTAATTTCGAATTTCATGTACTCTTTAATATTTTCTATTTTATTTAAAGTATCATCTAAATTTGGATACTCACTTTTTCTTATATCAACTAGATTTTTTACAGAGTATAAATTTGTAAGCTTCGTATTTTGGGCAAATTTTAGGGGCATGTCGACTGGTATAATCCTACACGTCAAATATTTTGCTTCATCATTTAATTTCACTTCTACTAAACCACTTTTACTTAATAATGTGTTAATATCTGAACATTTTAATCGTAGTATCTCCAAGTTATGTAAATTTGGTAATTGTATATTTTCTATTTGGATGTCACATCTAGAATATCTTCCATTTTCGGTGTAATTTTGAGTTTTGGAATGGCCTAAATATCTTAGACCTCTATTTAAAAATTCTATATAAACCCCAAAAGGAGCTAATTTTAACAAATCTGCAACATTACTTGGTATGAAGTAGGGAGAATCAGATTGGAAATTTATAAATGGATGCCATGTACTAATTGACCAAGGGAATTTCCTAGTAGATGTAAATATGCAGTTTTTCACATTAACTGATGAGACTTCTCGGTTATCTTTTTTTTCTAATTGAAGTTTGAGATTTCTAAGTATTTTCTTGTAGTGATTTACATTGTCAAAGTCTTTTTCTGTACTTTGTATTACATTATACCATGTTAAGTGGACTCTCTCGCTACTCTTTATAGATTGAATTCCCATTTTTGTCAAAGTTGGCTGTGGTCCAATTTCGATTAAAGTATTGGCACCTAATTTTGTCACAGCTGAGTTCAGTGCTTTATAAAATAAAACAGGTTTTGTTATATGTGAAGACCAGTATTTAGGATCCTTAAGCAATTCATGCTCTATCAAATCTCCAGACACTGTTGAAACAAATTTAATGCTACTACTGGCATCTTCACTAAACTTAATATTCTCTTTAATAAACTCTTCTAATTCTGATGCCATACCTGACATTAAAGGTGAATGGAATGCATGGGAAACATTCAAATACTTGCCTTGTTTACCTAGCTTACTTAAAATTGTATTGACAGAATTTGAACTTCCGGATACGATGATACTCCTAGGTCCATTGATGGCAGCAACTGCAATAGATTTCTCTCCACACTCAAGAATTACAGAATTAACTTCTTCTTCAGTCTTTCTTAGTGCCAACATAACACCATTTCTTGGAAGTTCAAACATTAATCTTGATCTCTTAGTTACTAGTATTGCTGCATATTCCAAAGAGATAGCACCAACTACTACTGCTGCTACATATTCTCCCAACGAATGTCCAATAACAATATCAGGCTTTATACCTTTACTTAATAATAGTTGAGTTATTGAGTATTCTAATGCAAAGATTGCCGGTTGTGCATATAACGTATTGTTAATATAATTTGCATCTAGGTCAAAATCGTCAGATCCTGTTTTAGTTTTTGGTGTAGAATCATCTGGGTACATGATAGTTAGCAATGACTCTGGTAAATAAAAGTCCATATACTTTGCACACTCACATAAGGCATCTTTATATACCTGTTCAGTTTTGTATAGATGTAGCCCCATGTCTAGATATTGACTTCCTTGACCTGTATACATGAATAGAACACACTTCTTTACCTTAGCTTCTCCTTTCTTCTCTTTATTATCACTTAGCTCCACATGTCTTACGGGAGTATCCATACAGTATTTACCCAAAATAATGTGTGCATTTGTTCCTCCAAAACCAAAAGAGGAAATCCCCCCGAAGTTGATACCCTTATAAGTGTTTTCGGTGGGTATAGTCGCATTGAAGTTTGATGAGTCGGTAAGAGGATTAAGCTTATTAAAATGTAGATTCTTAGGGATACAAGAGTTTTTGATTATTAAGATAGCTTTTAATAGTCCTGCTATACCAGATGCTCCTTCCAAATGTCCAATATTAGTTTTAACAGCAGTCAAATATAGAGGATTAGCATTCCTATGCCCAAATACATTCTTTAAGGCTCCAAATTCAATAGGATCACCTAGAGAGGTACCTGTACCATGTGTTTCAACAAAGTCTATTGCATTAGAATTTATTTTTGCATCTCTGAGTGCCATAAAAATCACTTGTTGCTGTGAAGGTCCATTAGGAGCAGTAAGTGATGCACTACGTCCATCTTGGTTAATTCCAGACCCTTTAATTAGACAGTGAATTTTCGGATATATCATATTATCCAATGTATTAATTGGAATATCTAACATAGCTTCTTTGTTTGCAGAAGTAGATTTAAGTCTACATAGTACAACTGCACCTAGGCCTTCACCCCTTACATATCCATTGGCATCTTTATCGAATGCTCTGCACTTTCCATCGACAGATAACATTCTTGATTTTGAAAATACAATATAAGCTTGTGGTGCTATTAGTAAATTTACTCCAATTACTAAAGCATAATTACATCTGAAATTTCTAAGGTTGTGTATTGCAGTATCCATTGCAACCAAAGAAGAAGAGCAGGCAGTATCTATAGTCATTGAAGGTCCACACAAGCCTAATGTATATGATATTCTGTTAGAAATTAGAGACATTGCAATACTCGTCCCAGTATATGGCGAAACTAAATCTGCTTCTTCCACATTCTTTCCCTGGATTATAGCCCAGTCACTATTACCACATCCAACAAAAACTCCTACTAAACTCCCATTTATATTCTGTTTCTCCAATTTTGCATCATAGAGAGCCTCATAACCAAGCATTAATGCCAATCTTTGTTGTGGATCCACACTTGATGATTCAGAAGGTGACATTCCAAAGAACTGAGCATCAAACCAATCAATATTGTTTATAAATGAGCCATGTTTAACATAATACGTTGGCCCCGAATCCAAAATATTTTCATTGTAATATTTCTTATGGTTCCATCTTGTCTGTGGAATTTCCGATACACAATCTTCTCCCTTTATTAATGAACTCCAAAATAGTTCTAAAGATTCATTACATCTAGGTAACTTGCAAGATATTCCTATAATAGCTAAATCGCCTGGATTTAGTGTACTTTCCAAAGTGGGAATAATCAAGCTAATATCGCCCTTGGAAGTTGTTTGATTGTTTATTTCGGAAAAAATATATTTACTGATACTCCCTAGTGTTGGATAATCAAATAGTAGTGTATATGGCAAGATTATACCAATTTTCTTTGTTAAAACATTCCTAAATTCAATAGCAGACAGTGAGTCAATACCCAGATCATATAAAGGTTTATCTGCATATGATTCAAAATTAATTGTATCGCTTCCAACTGCCACTACATCTTTAATAATTTCCATAATAATCATCTCTATATGCCTTTTCCGTTCTTTTTCATCTAGTTTCTTAAGGGAATCTAGAATTTTAGAATTCTTATCTTCACTTTTCTTATTAATCGAATCTACTGAGACATTACTCAACATCATATTCTGTATAGGTAAATTTTTAACGAGTCTACTCCAGTCTACACGAATGAACGAAAGATTTGGAGGTAGTAATTTTATATTTGTCGCTAATATATATGATAAAAGCCTAATTGCCATGCAATTTTCAACTCCTGAAATTCCTGAAGAGTTGAATTTTTTTATTAAGCTAGTAGCCATTCCCTGCTCTATCCAGGGACCCCATTGAATACTTATTCCAGATAACCCAATAGCTTTCCTATATTTTATAAATGAATCCATAAATGAATTTGCAGCTGAATAGTTAGCTTGACTATAGTTCCCAATTAGAGCTGAAATCGAAGAATATGCTATAAATATCTTCAGTTGTATTCCTAGGAGTGCACAAACTTTGTGAATATTCCATATTCCATCAACCTTTGGTTTATACACAGTATCAAATTTTTTAGGTGTTTGATCCTTAATTAAGGAATCTGATAAAATACCAGCTGCGTGAATGATACCTACTATTTTGGGAAGAGTTGTATCATTAACTATATTTCCTAGTGCTTCAAAAACTGACTTCATATCCGAAATATCGCAATTTAATATTCGTACATTAGGTGATATATATTTATCTTGTGCACTTCTAGATAATAGTACAATATGAGTTATACCTTCCATAGAAAGCCACTTTGCAGTGAGTTTACCCAGAGCCCCTAATCCACCAGTAATAATTAAAGTTCCATGTGATTGATAGTCTAATAATTCAATTGTTGGTATAGTCACTACAATTTTCCCAATATGGTTTGCCTTCTGCACAAATCTAAATGCATTAACAACTCCTTTATTCTTATGGTATATGTCAGATTTCATCTTAATTTCACTCATTGACTCATCATCATTAATCGGGAACACAGTCATAGGTATTACAGATTCTTCACCTTGTTCTATTCTAACTTTAATTGTATTAAGAATAGAACCAAACCATTTTGGATCGTTGATAATCATGTTATCTAAGGCGACAATATCATATTTAATATCTGGTCTTATAGCACTCATTTCTTGTGAAGATTTTATACTGATCTTGCCAAGTTCAATAAAGTGTCCCGATATCTTCAGCATTTCTAAGCTGGACTCTATATAATTCCCTGCTAGACAATTAAGCACAATATCCAATTTCTCAGATTTAAGCATGGATTTCATTTGAGCTTCAAATTGTATTGGATCCCTACTTGTTGCAATATGAATTACTCCTAAGTGTCTGAGATAATCTTCTTTCTTCTTGTTACCAACAGTAGCATAAATAATGGCTCCCTTAGAATTGCAGTAATTAACAGCAGCTAGTCCAACGCCTCCTGAAGCTGCATGTATTAACACTCTATCTCCTCTACTTATATTTGTGAGTCTTCTTAAACAATAATCAACTGTTGCATATATTGTAGGCATTGTAGAGGATTCATTAAAATTGCAAGTGCTAGGCATTTTGCAGCATGTATCAGCCAGGGTTACAACATAACTTTTGAGGCATCCAGGGATCATTGCATAAACATTATCACCAGGTTTGACATTTTTTACTTTACTTCCTACCGCAACAACCTTACCTGTGCAATCTGAACATGGTGGCCCTGGATCTCCTGGATACAGTCCCATAACATTTAGGATATCGCGAAAGTTTAACCCCACAGCAAAAATTCGGATTAAAACATCATTTTCCATAAGATATCTTTCAGCTGAAGTCAGTTCAAAATTAGGATCTTTATCAGTTAAGATATTTGTAAAGCTAATGATTTGTGTGGATGTATTAGACAGGATATTAAACTGAGGTTGTACTTTTAAATTTGAAATAGATCCTCTATCATTAAGTATTACCTCCAAAGGTCCGTAAGCCTTGATAGAGCTACTAGTGAGTCTTGGTACATAGAGCTTCTCTTGTCTATAAATAAATTCTGTCTCTAAATCTAAACTTTTATTTTTAGTTATAACTTCGATTATTTTAACAATATTTGATACTTTTATATCCTCTGACTGTATCTCAATATCCAAAAGTAAAAGTTTTGCAATTTGAGCAAATTCAATACGAGCTGAGCGAACTAAGCCCCATAAATCAGAACTATATGGGTTGCAATACTCTGAATTTAATGATATAGCTTCATTTGTAATGACCCAAATACATATATCATTTTTCCAATTATCTTTAGTGTAACTCTTCACAAAAAATTGAAGTAAAGAAAGTAGAGTAGAAGCATCAAATATAGATGATTTTGATGCACTATTTAGTGGCAGAAATATTATATTAAACTTTTTATTTTCTGATAAAATGTGTTCAAAACCAATGTTATTAGAAAATGTATCATTATGTATAACCACAGTATTTTCTATGTCAACCTTAATGTTTCTGTTAGTATAAAAAATAGATTTAAAGTTTATTGAATCTACTATAATTGGGATGGGGATTTCCACCCATTCTAATTCCCAGCACAAATCATTTAGTAGTTTGGAATGTGGATTTCTTCTTCCTATTGATAAGTTGCTAGTATTTTTAAAGGATTTTATTTTTTTGAAACGAATTTCTCTCATCTTGTATGCTATTATTCCATCATCTGTATATATGTCAATATTTGCAATGATATCTCCATTTTTAACAGAGTTAATCGAAGAGTGAACCCAATAACTACTACACATCTTGGAAATCATTGAAGTATATACTGATATGCTATTTATTGAAAATGGCACAAGAATAGATTTTAAAGAATCATCAATGGGCTGATTTAGTAGGTATATAGATGGTGTTTGCAATGCACCATCTATTAAAGCTGGATGAATTATAAAATTTTTTTCAAATAAAGGCAAAGTATTTGCAGAATTTGGGTGACTTATATCTTTAAACTGACTATCTGAATATATACAAATTTTACTTAGATATTCATTTATTTTATCTAAGTTCCATGCACTTCTAATAGTTTGAAATCTAGTTCCATAAGATAGTCCAAGTTGATCAAGACTAGTATACAAAGAACTTATATTAACTTCTTCAGTTATCCTTTTACGTAACTCATTTAGAGTAATAGAATTTATATTTTCACTTTTAGATAAATCCTCAAAACTACCAGAAACATGTAGAATATCTTGATCTTCAATATAATCAAAGTCTTCATTTACTTTCAAATATTTATCTTCAGTTATTTTTGATATTATAGAAAATTTATTGCCTTCTAAATCCATATGGCATATCAAGTTCATATATGAACTTTTATCTAAAAATAAAGGTTGTTCAAATGTAATATTATTTAATTTTATCACAAAATTTTCTTTAGATATCATCTCATTATCAACTTGACAAATATATACATGTCTTGTAGCAGCACATGCCATTTCTAAGTATCCAGCTGCAGGCCAAACAATGCTATTAGCTATACAGTGATCCTTAAATAAATCAATAATATCCTCAGATATATTCAATATAAAATTTGCACTTTTAAATGTACTATTATTAATAGGGCGATGTAGGGTTATTCTTAAATTTAATTCGTGATTTATATTAATCTCAGTTTCACATTGTAATTTACTTAAATTTTTTTGATCAATTAGTGGGTGTTTAATATCAGTCCATGGATATCTATTACTATTCCAAATATGTTTTGCTGATGAAAGATGTGCCCTATTTCTGGTTTTATCACTATTTCTACTTTCAATTACTACATGTGTATTTGTTCCTCCAAAGCCAAAAGAGGATAAACCTGCATAAAGTGAGCCATTACTATTTATCTGAGAGTGGTTTTCACCTAATTTAGGAAAAATAATTGGGAAACCTTTTGTATCGATGAGAGGATTCAAATCTTTTAAATGTACAATTGGAGCTGCTATTCCAAAATTTAGCACAAGTATCACTTTTAACAGACCAGCCAAACCAGCAGCTCCTTCTAAATGACCAATATTAGTTTTCACAGCACCAATGAAGAGAGGATTAATTCTCTTTTCATTTGAATTATTATATTGTTTTGAAATTCCAGTGTTAAATACGGATATTAATGCACCAATTTCAATAGGATCACCCAATTTAGTGCCAGTTCCGTGAGTTTCAATATATGATATATTATTTGGAGATACATTAGCTTCACGTAAAGCTTGTAATATCACACTTTGCTGGGAGATTCCATTAGGCGCAGTTATAGTCGCACTTTTCCCATCCTGATTTGTAGACGTTGCTCTGATAATACCTAGTATACTGTAATTTTTTGTTTCAGCATTAACAAGGCTTGTTGTAAATATTGCAACAGATCCTTCTCCTCTACCATATCCATCTGCTAATTTGTCAAATGTTTTGCAGGTTCCATCAATTGAAAGCATTTTTGCAGCACAGCATGCTATAAATGATTGGGGTGAAAGTAATAAATTGACGCCTCCAATTATACAATATTCACATATACCAGCTCTTAACTTTTCAGAAGCAACATCAAGGGCTACAATTGAAGAAGAACAAGCTGAATCTATCGTAAAGGATGGCCCACGAAGTCCTAAGGTGTATGAGATACGATTAGATAGAATTGAGGGAGATATTCCTACACCTGAGTAAGGGCTTGGTGGAGTTGATAGAGTACTATTTAGTACCATCCAATCATTTGATGAGCAACCTATAAATACTCCTGTTGAACTATTATAAAGCTGTTCTTTTGAAATACCAGAGTTGCAAATAGCTTCATAGGATATCTCGAGCATTAAGCGTTGCTGTGGGTCCATGTAAGGGACTTCGCTATTAGGAATCTTAAAAAATTGATTGTCAAATAGTTCAATTCCATCAATAAAACCAGCATTTTTTGTGTAAATTTTGTAATCACCACTTTCCTTATCAAAAATCATCTCGTTATCCCATCTATTATATGGAATGGCTGTAATGCAGTCTTTACCAAAAACAAGTGTATTCCAAAACTTTTCAGGTGTATCAATTGATCCTGGGAGTCTACATGCTGTACCAATTATAGCTACTGGGGAGTTACAAATTGGAACAATAGTTTCTAATTCTTCACCTAAAATAATAGTATTGTCTGATGATACAAGCATTGATTCATAGTATATATATTCTACTAAGTCATTTATTGTGGGGTAGTCGAAAAGAATAGTTTGAGATATTGTGATTCCAAGTTTATCGCATATACTATTCCTTATTTCAATAGATGCAATGGAATCAAGTCCCATTCCATGCAGTGGTTCGTTAAGTTCAATGTTCCCTTCTAATTGAAGCGCATTCATGCATAGTTCATTTATACAATTTCTGATAAATTCTTTTCTTGTATCCAAGGGAATAGATAAAAGTATTGAGTCTTTCCTCACACCTGACTTCACAATTAATGACATGTCTGAGATGGAATTAAAAATTGCATGGTTAGAATTTTGGAAAGACAGGAATATTTCCCAATTTACTGGTTGAACTGCAATGACTGGACTTGAATAACAAGATGGGGATAATAAATATTCTATAAGGTCAAGTGCCATTTGATTTGTTACAAGTCCAAGACCACTATTTTCCAAATCTCTTTGTAGTTTTTTGTTAGCAGTAACCATTCCCTGCTCACTCCAAGGACCCCACTGTATACTATATCCGGGCAAACCTAATAGCCTCCTAAAGCGTATAATTCCATCCATACAAGAATTTGCTGCAGAATAAGCAATTTGGCCGACATTCCCAAGTAGAGCAGCAATTGAAGAAAAACATATCATATATTTACAATTCATTGATAACGATGCATTATGTAGATTTATAAGACCATATACTTTAGGATCATTTATTTTTCTAAACAAATTTTCCGTTATATTTATAGTAGTTGCATCTTCCACTACTCCAGCAGCATGCATTATGCCTATCTTTTTGTATTTTACTTTCAATTTTCCAAGAAGTTTCTGAACATCAGATGCAGAGGACACGTCACACTTTTCAATAATTAATTTCTCCCGTGTTTCATAATCCAACTTGCTCCATATATCTGACTTCTCTTTAGAAATTTCAGGATTTCTGCTAAGCAATATCACATCTTCCGCATATTTTCTGACAAGCCATTCCGCTAATATTAAACCAATTCCACCCATACCACCAGATATCACATGACATACTTCAGATTCAACTGGATTATCTTCAGAATTATCCAATTTAAGCTTATAATCCGTTAATCTAGGAACAAATAATTCTTCATTTCTTATGGCTATTTCTATTTCTTCAACTGGACAATGAGAATGAATAGAATTTAAGCATTTAAAGATTAATATAGTTCTGTTAATAGAATGAACATCGGTTACTAACTGTTCATGTAGTGATAGATCACAGTCAACAACACGTTGGTTAACTTTTGAGTCGATTTCATGTCTTAAAGATCTAGAGAATCCCCATATCCAAGATGAGTAGGGATCTATTATTTTGTCAATTTCATCAACTAAACAACTTTGCGAGGTTACAAAGTAAAGGTTTAAATTTGTTCTATTAAGTGTTCTCCACTTAATGAATTTATGCATAAAATGTATGCAATTAATCTCCATGTGTTCATTATTTGCAAATAATTCAGTTGACAAACTATATTCGGAATTTTTTATGTTTAAGTCATATATGCAATCAATAATGATAGTATCAAAACCCCACTCTAAGATATCCAGATTTTGTGATAAATAGAAGTGACTATAATTTGCCATAGTAATAAAGCAATTATTCTCGGAAAGTCTTAAAGATAATAATTGACAGTTACTTCCAATATATAAAACCTTTGATAAATATTTGGGCTCTATAACTTCTTTCATTACTAAAGGCTGCCATACATAATTCCATAAGTAGTTGAAGTGGTCAGTTTTTATAGTTGGAAAGTTATATAGAACTAGATTTACTTCAAATATGAGGACAATTCTTGTATCCTTAACATTGAAGTCGTCTGATACTTTGATAATAATCACAGCATTACTATCCACAGTTAGTTTGCATTCTAGATGTATAGAATATCTTGAACTACAATAAAGTAGTTCTAGTTCTTCTGAGCTAGAAATTTCAATAACTGAAATTGAGTCAATAGAAAGAGAGCTTTTTCTTATATTTTTCAAATATAGCTCGCTTGCAGAGAAATATGCAAGCAGGAATATGTGGGGATGAATTTTAAAGGAAGTTTCAAATCCATATTCTAAAATAGGTATTTTAAAAACTATATACATCGAATCTTCACATATTTCACCATAAAGTATTGAGTCAGCTAGAGAATTTGGTAAACTCATATTCAAAAACAAATTATTTAGTTGCGTATTACAAGGACGGTATTTAGGTATGATAGTTTCAGTAGAGTCCACATTATTTATATTTCTTATGCTACACATAGATAACCAATCTAATGTGTAAATATTCGTACACAGTTCATTCTGTGTAATATTGAGTAATATTTCTTCACTATTCTGACAAGATAAATTTTCTGACACCTTCACAATACATTCCATTGATTGAATAGTAAACATTTGTTTACTTCCTTCCTTCGATATAAAACTATATAGTATGGCATTAAATAATATACAGATAGTTGTTACTACACTTACTGCTACTGTAGGTACTCTGGAGTTTCCTTTATATCTTTCAAATAAAAATTTCGATTTCGTTAAATCCAGAATATTCACTTGTTTTGTGTTGGTAAATGGATTCTGAATATCAAATAGTCGGAATACCGGTAATATCTGAGATTTATTAGGAGATTTGGAAATAATAGATGAATTTATTAACTCTAGTATCCTTTTTAAAAACAAGTCATATGATTCACCGTTACTAAGAAAAGCATATGGTATCTTTTCTTTGATATCATATACAACTTCATAGTTCGGTTTCATTGGATAAAGGAAGATAATAGTACTATTTTGGTAGTAGTCATCAATGATATCTGCCAACTTATTACTTCTATTCCCAGTTGTAATAGCTATGAAAGTTGAGTTTTCTAGGTATAATTCCTTATTACATAAGTTGCCCTGAGCTATTTCATCTATTGCTTGATAAATCGTCATAGTCCCAAATATGACCTGTACCACATATTCTCCCACATTATGACCAACAATTAAATCTGGGCTTATTTTCTTAAAATTCCACATATTATATATTGAATATTCCACTGAAAATATTAGTAAACGCAATTTAATATCTAAGCTAAAAAAGTTACTACTTTGCTTGGTACCATTTATTCTGGAAGTATTTAATGTATCAAAATCTTCGTAAGGAATAGAATAATACAAAAATTCTGATAGAGAAAGTCCAATTTGCTTATGAATATAACTGAAACACTTATCAATTGACTCTTTAAAATATATCTCCTTTTTATATAGATCAAGAAGCAATTTTACATATTGGTTCCAGAAAATCTCATCTTCCAAATCAGTAGATATGCTGGCAGCAATAAATACTATCTTGATTAGCTTGGAGATAGATTGGGAAATATTTGGAACTTCTATAATTGCATGTGCATTCGTTCCTCCAAATCCAAAAGAAGATACGCCACCAATATATGCTCCAAAAGATGAACACCATAATTTGGTTGGTTTAGAAGGAAATATTGCATTCATATATTCAGTATTAATGTTAGGATTTAACTTTTTTAAGTGGAGATTTGGTGGTGAAATACCGTATTGAAGTGATAGAAGTAATTTCATCAAACCTGCAATCCCTGCAGTAGCTTCTAGATGTCCAATATTACTTTTTAACGCACCTAATACAATTTCTCTACTATGAACACGTCCAAAAATATGTTTAAGTGCATCAAATTCAATAGGATCTCCCAATGGTGTCCCTGTACCATGTGTTTCAATCATCGTAATTTCTTCTGCAGATATCCCAGCAGAAGCTAGTGCATTTTGAATAACTTCAATTTGTGATCTACTGCTTGGAGCAGTAATTGAAACAGTACGTCCATCCTGGTTAACTGATGTTCCTCTTATTATTCCTAGAATTTTATTGCCACTTTTTACTGCATCATCAGTACTTTTCACAATAATGACAACAATTCCCTCACCTCGTCCAAATCCATCTGCACTAGCATCAAAGCTTTTGCAGATACCATCAGGACTTAGCATATTTGCTTTACTAAATACTGAGAATAAATTAGGTGATGTTAGAACTTGTGTGCCACCTACAATAGCAATTTTACACTTATCTTCATTTATTCTTGAGCATGCTATATCAAGAGCAACAAGAGATGAAGAACATGCAGTATCAATTGTTATTGATGGCCCCTTAAGATCAAATGTATAAGATAATCTGTTGGAGACAATTGATGCGGCAGTTCCAGTGCCTGTATATGATGATAGTATCTTATTATTAATTTGTAATAATGACCAATCAATATTACAAAATCCTATAAAGACTCCAGTTAAGGTATTTTGAATAGATTCCTTTGTATAACCTGCATCTTCAAGTGCTTCTAGTGTAGTGTGTAAAAGCTTTCTTTGTTGAGGGTCGATGGTTGAAGCTTCAAGGTTGGAGATTCCGAATTTTGAATTATCAAAACTTTCAATATTCAATATTGTAGAAGCTCTTTTTGTCGTACTATAAAATTTACTATCATCACAATTCCACCTGGAAAAAGGAATAATATTGACACCACATCTACCATATAAAAGTGACTTCCAGAATGATATAGAATCATCTACACCACATGGTAGAGTACAACTAGTACCAACAATTGAGCAGGCAACATGCAGACTTGAGATCTCTATGCTTTTTGTTATAGTCCTTTCATAATATGTCTGACTATTATTAGCTATACTGTCACTTAAATAGTCAGTTAATTTATCCAGAGTAGGATAGTCAAAGAGAGCTGAAATTGGTATATGAAAACCTAAAGTTTTTGAAAGAGAATTCCTTATTGAAACCATAGCCAGTGAGTCCAAGCCTAATTCACGAATAGGAGTATCCATTGGAATAGGTTGTTTTATGCTTATCTTTATATTTTCCGCTACAAGTTTTAAAAGCAACTCTTTTATTTCTAGTCTTAGGTTGTCACTATTATTGTTATATTGGCTTAGATCTAAGTTATTTAATGGTTTAGTTACTTTGTATGACCTCTTTTTTCTAATGAATTCATTTGAAGAAATTAGTAGACGTTTGAGTAGATTATCTATATCTAAGTCACTTTGATTAGCAGCTACTATTACAGGTAAGCCAATATCCCTGTTATGCATAATTAGGTGATTTACACTCTTATCATCATAATGTTCTGGAAGTAGTAAAATAACTTTTCTTGTATCTTTTAAAGTAAAAATTAATATATTGTATAAGATTTCCAGTAATTTCCTATCACAGTACTCTAAGTTGAGTACAATTGTATTAACTGCACAATACTCAGCCTTTAACTTAAGTAATTTAATAAGATTTTGATGTAAGTCTAATTTTCCCAATAAATTGTTCAATTCAGAACAAATGACTTCATATATATTAGAGTCAAAATATTTAATAGAATCTCCAATATAAAGTATCTTATCACATTTACCAATAGCATTATTTTTAAAGACAACTTTTCCAATATGTTGAGCTTTTTGTAAATATCTAAATCCATCAGATATTCCATTTTCATCATGCATATTAAATAATGAGATTGGTACAGGATAAATAGTTCCATCTTCAATATCTTCTGCAATTTTATTACATAAGTTATTGAACCAATTTGGATTCTCCTCAACTACTTTATCGAAAGCAATAGTATGATAATATATATCATCACGAATTTTACATAAATCTTCTTCTATTAATATTTCACGCTTTCCAAGTTCAATAAATTTACCACCAGATTTAAGTAATTTTATTGATAAGCTTATAAAGTCTCCAATCAAACAATTTAAAATGACATCAAAACCAGAACAATTTAATTCATCCAAGAATCTTTGTGAATCATTATAAAATTCCATGTAATTTCTTGAACTTGTAATATATTTTATACCTATTGATCTCAAATATGTAACTTTCTTCTTGTTACCTACTGTTGCAATGACAGTTGCACCAATAGAATTACAATATTGAATTGCTGCTAACCCAACTCCTCCGGAAGCAGCATGAATTAATACACAATCTCCTTTTTTAACATTTGCAATATCATCAAGTGCTAGCTTTACAGTACCAAAAATTGTAGGTAAAGAAGCAGCTTCTTCAAAACTTAAAGATTGTGGTTTTCTAGTAAGGAGGATAGCAGGAGTAGTGTGGTATGTTCTTAAACATCCATTTGATAACCCAAATACATCATCACCTACTTTTAGATTATGTACTTGTGAACCAACTGAAATAACTGTTCCAGAAAAGTCACTGCCTGGATAACCAATATCTCCAGGGTATAGACCCATCACATTTAATAAGTCTCTAAAATTTAAACCAACTGCATGTACTATTACCTCAACTTCATAATCATTAGGTGTGGAATTTACTTCACTTTTAGAAAATGAAATTTGATCAATTCTACCTTTAGAAATATCTAAAATATAATTTTCAGGTATTAAACTTATTCTATCGAATTTGTCTGTTTTAAATTCCATTAGGATCACTGGTTTCCAAAATGGTCTAACCTCAAATATATTATCTATATTTATTATTGGTCTTAAGGACTTAGTGAACAAAGCGAATTTTAAATTAAAGTTCCAACTTTGTTCAATTATTAGCCATTCATCATCCTCGCTAGCTGTGCTTAAGTCTCCAATACTAATGAAGCTTACTTGTGCATTATGATAACCTCTAATTCGTAGAAAAGACTCAATCTCAGCAGAAATTCCAGTCTCTATATTCCTTGACTTCCTTAACTTTATCTTTCTAATTGTTGTAGACCTCTGCTTATCAATTTCTTCATCCTGTAAAAATTTGTTTGACTCAAAGCTATCAATCAATTGCAAAAAGTATCCCATATTTAAGAGAATTTGGTCAGAATAATACACTTCTAATTGATTTATTAGCTGGAATTCACTATTGCACTTACTTATATAAATTTCAGACTCCAACAATTGTTTGTTTGTGATTAGCCACGTTGAGCAAATATACTTTTGACCAGTTTGAATTGGTCTCATGGCTAATATCAGTGCATATTCGCCAGTATCTTCAGGAATAGACTTGTAGTGTTGAAAATTTTCGAAATTTGTTGTCATACTCAGACAATTAAAAATACTTTTTGCAAAAGTAAACAAGAAGGTAAAAAACTCATCTATTTTATACTGCGAAAATTCATAGCATATTGCATGCGACGCCTTAAAATACTGGCCATATGTTTCTTCTATGTATAAATTTGGGAACTTGTATTTATTTATTAGATGATGAGTCATTTTATTCCAGTTAAAGGGTTTTCGTTTAAAATGAGTATAACTATTTAAATGAAGATATGATAAAAGGTCTATGTCTATATTTTTTACTCCTATTACTGCATGAGCATTTGTTCCACCGAAGCCAAATGATGACACACCTCCATAAATAATATTATTCTCTTTTTCTATTGAGACGTGCTCTTTTGGGAAGTTTATCATTTTGTCAACAGGTATATATGGATTCAATTTTCGGATATGAATATTACCGAGTACCTTACACTTGTGTAAAGAGATAATAAGTTTCAGCATTCCTACAATTCCAGAAGCCCCAAAAAGGTGTGATATATTGGCTTTTACAGAACTAACTATTAATGATAACTTTCTTGAAGTATTCTTACAATATACATTATATATGGCATCTGCTTCAACTGAATCACCAATACTTGTACCTGTACCATGAGCTTCAATACATGCAATATTTGAAGGTGAAATATTTCTAAAGCTTGCTAATGCTTGTTTAATACACTCCTGCTGAGATATACTAGATGGAGAAACTAGAGATGCACTAGATCCATTCTGATTTATAGATATTCCACTAACATATGCTATTATTTTAGCTTTAGATTTCACTGCTTCTCTTTTCGGAACTATAATTACTGCTGCAGCTCCTTCACCCCTTCCAAAACCATTTGCCGATGCATCAAAAGATTTACATTTACCATCAGGTGATAGCATCATTGACTTAGAGAAAACTACATATGTGGATTTATTTAAAATCAACTGTACACCTCCAACTATTCCACCAATACAGCGTTTATTTCTAATACTCTGTATAGCAATATCAACAGCAACTAGTGATGAAGAACAAGCAGTATCTATAGTTAAGGATGGACCCTTTAAACCAAAAGTATATGATATTCTGTTTGCAATTATTGATGGTGATGCACCAGTTCCTGTATATGCATTTATATTATCAAAATTAGTTAGTCTTTCAGCCCAATCATTTGAACAACATCCAATAAAAACTCCAAAAGAAGTATTTTTAATAGTTAATTGATCATTATAACCTGCCATATAAAGGGCATCATAGCAGACTTCTAGAGTTATTCTTTGTTGAGGATCCATTTCAAAAGCTTCAGATTCTCCTATGCCAAATAGCTCATTATCAAACATATGTACATCATGCATAAATGCTCCTGTACGACAATAACTCTTCCCAGTCATGCTCTCATCAGGATTATATGTGTCACACCATTCAAATCGTTCCCAGGGAGTATCTGATACGAAGTCATAGTTTTCAATCAAATAGTGCCAAAATAAACCAAGTCCTTTCGCTTTTCCAGGAAAATATCCAGACATACCTATGATACACATCTCAGATGACTCATCAATTTTTGGAACGGAAATGCTGTTAACAGTACTTTTTGGAATCCATGAACCTTCAAAGAATTTTAAAACTTCAACTTTGAAATCTTCTGCATATTCAGAATATCCAAATTCTTGATCGTTTGTTTCTTTGCAGCTTATGCTTTCCTCATACAAGTATTCAACAATGGAATTTATTGTTGGGTAGTCAAAAATAATCATAGGAGATAAATTAAAGTTCAACTTGCTTGACAAAGAATTTTTCAGTTCTATAGCTGAAATTGAGTCGAGACCAATATCAAAAAGTTTTGCATCCAAAGAAATACTTTGTTTGCTTGGAATGAGTGACTCTACACTTCGAGTTATCAAATCAATCAGCCACTCTTTCCTTTTGTTTATTGGAATTCTCGTTAAATTTAATGTTTTTTTTCTCTCCTTATCTTCTATATTTCCAATCAAGTCCTCAAAAAAAGGATCAGTTAATACATAATTATTTTGTTTCACTAATTTTTTAATTGTAGGTTCATCTGTTTGAATCATTGCATAAATTCCATTTATTCTCTTAAATAGAAATTTCAGTAGTAGTTGATATACTTGAGAAATGCCAGATTCGGGTTTTATTGTATCAAGTATAGGTTCTTTCATATTTCTAAAATATTCGTTTTCATTTACTTTAATAAGGGTTGCAGGCAGAGATAATATATTATTTCGAAGGAATATAAGTTCCTCCCATCCCAAATTCTTGATCGAATAGGTACAATGTCCACTAAATCCAAAGAAGTCTGATACTGGTGAAACAAGTAAAAAGAAGTTTTTACATTCATCAAGCATCGTAAATATTTCATGAAAGTACCATGGTAAAATTTCATCAAGATCTTCCAACTTGTTAATGAACTCAGGTTGCTTATCTACTGAATTCTCTTTTATTTCATTTCCACAGTAGATAAAGCCTACAATTTCATTGTAAGAATAGTCACATTTTATTTTATTTATAAAGTTGAATACAGATGATTTATCAACAATATTGAAACTATATGTTTTAACCCTTTTTTCGATCCCAATAAATTTACTCATAGATTCAAAAGATTTATGGTCAAGTAGTAGTGCAATATTTTCATATCCTATTGAAAGAAGACATTTAGCTAGTGCCATACCAAATTCTCTCACATATCCTATAATCAAAATAATACCACTAGTTTTTAAATTTGGAAGTAAATCTTTTTTTTGTTTGTAGGGAGCAATGAAATTTATACTTGTCTGCAAATCAAGTGATGATTCAAGATCTTTACTATTAATAGTTCTTATTTCAAAAGATCTTGGAAGTGTTTTAATATAAAAAACAGAGATATTGTTGCTATCTCCAATATTTTTCATAATTGGATGATCTTCAATATCTATCATTACAATGCAACTATTTAGCATACAAGGAATATTGTTAACATGGCATCCAAGAGATTTCAGGAGTTCATTGAATGAAATGCTGAGTGGTTTTAGTGAAATAACATATACAGGTGACCCCAATATATTTGAGTTTAGCTTGTAAGATATTAATCCAAGATATATTCTTTGAAAAACTTCAAAGTTTTCTGTATCACCTATAATAAGAATTAATTGTTTATACTTTTTCAAGGTTAATCCTTTAGAAATTTTTATGTTGGTAGCAATACTTGCAAGTTCAGAAGAATCTAGACTAGTAAATGTGCTATAGTCCTGCTTAATAATAAAGATTTTGTTTATATCAATTGTCAGAATACTTCCTATGCAAACATTTCTTTCTATTACTTCATTACCGGGTATTAATACCATTGAACCTATTTCAATATTATGCTTACCCGAATGGATTATAGTTCCAAAACAATCAGGCCAGTCAGTTGCAATTGAATGGATAAGTATAGTTACAAGTAAATCAGAATATACACTTTGAATTTCATCATCTAAAGCACCAATTGGCAAAAGGCTCATTTTTTTAAAGAATAACTTGTTATTTCTAATGCAACATTCACTAGCACTTTGATTTTCAAAAGCTAATTTAAATTGCTCAATGTGTTCAAGGTCAGTAGTATAAATTGGCATTAAATTTTTCAAGCTTAATCGTAAATATCTAGTCATTCTTAGAGTATTGGTTGTTCTAGTATAAGGCATATCTGAATTAGTCATTAAAAGTGTCCCCTTAGTAATAATCCACATATCTGCATTGATACTCCTCTCATTTTGAATATCTTTATTGTAAAATTTAGCAATATTTAAAGTAATATTGTATATTTTATCAAAGCTCTCCTGTACTTCGGAACAAAGGAGATTACAAAGAATTAATAATTTTGAGTTAGCTGAATCTATTAAATGGTTAATTTCTGCAATATTTTCTGATTTGACAATATCGATATATCCAAATACATTCCTAATAATATTTATCTCAGTTTCTCCAAAGCTATTTAATAATATGACTTTAGAGTAGTCTCTTTTTCGTTGTGTATAATCTTGAACCCAAATATATTCACAAATGCTCTTTCTTAATTCGGTAGTATTTTTTGTTGGCTGATATTCAGAGTATTGCTCTTCAGTTTGACTAAGTAGTATATCATCTAAGTTAGCTACTTCAGAATATGGTCTCTCAGAGCTAAACAGTTTCAAAGATCCAGTCAATCTATTGTTTTCAATGCAAGTTAGTTTTGCATAAACAAGTATCTTATCACAAAACCTTAACGGTTTTGCAACTAGACTCCTAATTTCGCAAGGAAATGTTGATCTGATTCGGCTAGTATCCAGGTCATTTGCAACTGCAATGAAAATCAATACTTGTATAGCGGCATCCATTAACTTAGGATGTAATCTCATATAACGATCAAGAGTATTAAAAACTCCATTATTTTCTCCGGATGGATCTATATCACCACTTAAACAGCTAAAATTAAAACTTATTTTAGCGCAAGCTTCAAAATCTTTTAATTTGATATTCTCAATACATTGGAAAGAACTTCCAATATCAAATGAATTTTTTGAGAATATACTATAAATGCTAGACTTTTCAAAAAAGTTAAAGTTTGTGAATTCTTCAGGAGTTACTAAATTGTCTTCATACTCAGAAGTATCATCTAAAACAATATTTGCAGTTGCTAGCACTGTTTCTTGGTAAATATTCAAGTTTTCTAAAGTTGTGACTGTACTTTTGTGGCCAAAAATGCTAATATTTTTTTCTTCATCAATTGAAATCTTTAAGCATGGTTTATCATCCCTAATATCCCCATATATATCCATAATCCAAGGTGAATAAGATTTTATATTCCTTAATTTAATAACTGGTACAATATAGTTAATAATTTCATGAGATTCCGAGTTAATTCTAAATTGGTTGTACATATCATCAATAGCTGCTGCCATTGCCTCCAATAGACTAGAAAAGGGAGCGACTCTGCAGCTAGATGTAGTATAATCTCCAAAGTATCCAATAATTTGTTCATTTAAAGGGCTTGAAAATATGAAATCGCTGCTCCTTATTTCACAGGATTCATGAATTGGAGAACCAATTCGTTTTAAAATAAGTGGGTGCTTCAACTCTGGCCATTGATAGTGAACTCTATCTATATCATAATCTAGTCCTGCAATTCTCTCTGGGGTACTTTGGATACCAATTTTATTGGTTATTGCCTCAACAATATTGGATATATCACATACCTCTTTGCTACTAAGAGTATTAAAGTATTCAGCTCTTTTTAATTCATGTTTTGCAATTTTTTTAGTGATAGGTAACAAGATTGGGGAGGGTCCAATTTCAACAACCACAGATACATCTACTTCTTGTTCAGAAAGATATCTATCTATTGCTTCTACTGCAGCTTGATAACGAACTGTCTTCATAGTTTGGTTGATCCAATAATTTTTATCTACTAACTGTTGACTCACTTTACAACCCAACAAAGACGAAAAAAAAGCGACTTCACTTTTTGGAAACTTAAGCGATACATTAGAAAGAATATTTTCAAAGTCATGTACACACTCACTAATCAGCTGAGAGTGGAATGCATGAGAAACTTCTAAGTATTTACAAGAATCAAAACAGCACAAAATCTTAATTACTTCATCTACTGCTTGCCTTTCTCCAGAAATCACACAGTTATTTGAATAATTTACAGCTGCAATTTCAACTGAACCTAAGTTTTCTGAACTTGCTAGACCTTTGTAATTGTTTATCGCATGTTGAACTTCTTCTTCTGATCTTTTAACTGCTACCATTACACCCCCCTTATTATCCAAACCTGCAATCAAATTTGCTCTGCGTGCTACAGTAGTAATACCTGTCTTGAAATCCATCACTCCAGCAATTACCGCAGCAACATATTCACCAAGAGAGTGTCCAAGTACTATATTTGGAACTATGTTGTAGTGTTTTAATGTTGTTGCTAAAGCATATTCAATTGCAAATATTGCAGGCTGTGAGTACCTAGTATTATTTAAAATTGACATATCGTCTATATCAGGATAAATAATTTTAGTAAGAGGCAAGGGTAATATATCACTAACTGACTCAGAGCACAAGTCAATTATTTCTTTAAAAATATCATTAGTTTTGTACAGTTGTTTTCCCATATTTATATATTGAGATCCCTGGCCTGTAAATAAAAATATTATTTTTGGGTTTTTAGGTTTCTGTTTAAATGTTATTGGGCAGCTTTCTAATATTAAATGGCAGTTGGTGCCACCAAATCCAAAAGCTGATACACCCCCGATACGATTGGTCTCATTAATCTTCAACTGTTTTCGTGCAGGAATTTGTACATTAAAGTTTCGAAAATCCAGATGATAGTTGGGGGTACTGAAATTCATTTGTTGAGGAACTATTCCATATCCTAATATTAGTATTGTCCTAATGATCCCTGATATCCCTGCAGCACCTTCCAAATGACCGATTTGTGATTTGAAAGAACCCAGAATTAGCCCAGACTCGCAGCCATTTTCTACTTTAAAGTACTTTTGATAAACATTTCTAATAGCGTCAAATTCAACTGCATCACCAATAAGAGTCCCTGTTCCATGGCATTCGATATATGAAGGTAAGAGATTATTGTTCATGCTTGCCAACCTTGCATCCAGTAATGCAGTGTTTAGTGCTTTTTGTTGCGCCTGTCCATTTGGAGCAGTTAATGATGTTGATCTTCCACAGTGATTTGTAGCAGAGCCTAATATTGCTCCCCAGTACTTTGAATTACTTGGTTTCTTTATAGATAAAACTATAGCACCACATCCCTCTCCTCTAACAAACCCATTTGCATCTTTATCAAAACTCCTGCATTTCCCATCAGGAGATAGCATCTGAGCTTTGCTAAAGACAACAAAGTTGTTAAATGAGACATTTATTTGTGTCCCGATAACTATGGCATTTGAGCATTCTCCCGATTTTATTGATTTAATCGCAAAGTGAGAAGCAGATAGAGAAGATGCACACGCCGTATCTATAGATAAAGATGGGCCTTTTATTGAGAAACAGTAAGATATTCTATTTGACAACATTGATTTTGCACCACCTGTTCCAGAATAAGTATTAGGAAACTTCCTTAAAGAGTTTATAATTACCCAGTCGTCATTGCAAATTCCTGAAAATACTCCCATATTCGAATTTTTTATAGATTCAGGTTGAATACCAGCATCACATAGTGCACAATAGCTAACATCCAAAGCAATTCTTTGGTTTGGATCCATTTGATATGCTTCTTCTATTGAAATATGATATCTTTCACGATGGAAAATATCCACAGATGAAATAAATCCACCTTTTCTAGTATAATAATTCACTTTGTTATTACCAATCTCTCCAAAATACTTATCAACATCCCATCTCTGATAGGGCATCTCACTAATTGTTTCAACCATTTCAATCATATTTTTCCATAGTTTTTCTGTTGAGGTAGCATTGCCAGGTAGTCGTAGTCCAATTCCTAAGATAAAAATAGGTGTATCTGAAAAAGATCTTGTACTGACTTCATATATTATGTCTTTCTTGTGGTCAAAGTTAGATTTGTTGAGTTGCTCAAATAGAAGTTGGCTAATATATAATTTTAAATCTAATATTGTAGGGTAGTCAATAGCTGCAGTTACAGGTATCTCTATTCCTAACTGTGCAGAAATAGTATTACGTAGTTCGATAACAGACAGTGAATCAATTCCGATTTCACTTATCGAATGATCAGAACGGATATTTTTTCTTTCAGTTCCAATTACTTGGGAAATTCCATTTAGAATTACCTCATTTACATAATCTTCTATTTCTTCTTTGGTCATACTAGACCATTTTTTCATTACCTCCGTCGAGACTGAATTCCCTGTTGATAAATTATCAAATAGTGTAGTTTTTATATAATTTCCAACTTTCTTTAAATTAATTGGCTGCACAATATAAATAGGATTGACTTGTATTTGACTATGTGAGTCAATCAAGCATCCCCCAAGTGAAGCAAGACCCAAAGTATTATCGATTGCATATAAACCCATGGATTTTATCCACTTATCATCTAATACTGAAGAAGCCATACCTTGTTCACTCCAGGGTCCCCATTGAATACTAATACCCTTCAATCCAATTGAGTTTCTGTGCTGCACTAAAAAGTCGGCACAGTAGTTCGCTGCGGAGTAATTTGTCTGGCCAATTGTACCAAGCAAAGCAGAGATAGAAGAAAATATTATCATTGATGAAAGGTCTAGGCCAATCATTGTGCTACAATAGTGGATATTCCATGCACCGAAGGCTTTTGGTTGCAATACGCTTCTTAAGGATTCACTTGTCTGATTTACTAATAACATATCTCTTATAATACCAGCAGCATGAATTACTCCAACAATTTTATACTTTCTTGAAAGCTCTAGAAGTTTTGAATATAATTTTTCTTTAGAGGAAACGTCACAAGCAATTACTTCTAAGTTAATATCTTTACTCTTATCCATACTACTGAGGTTGCTAAAAATTTTATTATTCATGTTGAGCGTCCTTCCCAAAAGAATAATATTTTTGACACCCTCCTCAATAATCCATTTTGCTGTTAAAGAACCTAGAGAACCCATACCTCCAGTAATTACATAGGTTTCCTTATAATCAGAAGAAAATACACTACTCAAGTTACTGATTACAACTTTTCCAATATGTTGAGCTTTTTGTAAATATCTAAATCCATCAGATATTCCATTTTCATCATGCATATTAAATAATGAGATTGGTACAGGATAAATAGTTCCATCTTCAATATCTTCTGCAATTTTATTACATAAGTTATTGAACCAATTTGGATTCTCCTCAACTACTTTATCGAAAGCAATAGTATGATAATATATATCATCACGAATTTTACATAAATCTTCTTCTATTAATATTTCACGCTTTCCAAGTTCAATAAATTTACCACCAGATTTAAGTAATTTTATTGATAAGCTTATAAAGTCTCCAATCAAACAATTTAAAATGACATCAAAACCAGAACAATTTAATTCATCCAAGAATCTTTGTGAATCATTATAAAATTCCATGTAATTTCTTGAACTTGTAATATATTTTATACCTATTGATCTCAAATATGTAACTTTCTTCTTGTTACCTACTGTTGCAATGACAGTTGCACCAATAGAATTACAATATTGAATTGCTGCTAACCCAACTCCTCCGGAAGCAGCATGAATTAATACACAATCTCCTTTTTTAACATTTGCAATATCATCAAGTGCTAGCTTTACAGTACCAAAAATTGTAGGTAAAGAAGCAGCTTCTTCAAAACTTAAAGATTGTGGTTTTCTAGTAAGGAGGATAGCAGGAGTAGTGTGGTATGTTCTTAAACATCCATTTGATAACCCAAATACATCATCACCTACTTTTAGATTATGTACTTGTGAACCAACTGAAATAACTGTTCCAGAAAAGTCACTGCCTGGATAACCAATATCTCCAGGGTATAGACCCATCACATTTAATAAGTCTCTAAAATTTAAACCAACTGCACGCACTCTAACTTCAACTTCATAATCATTAGGTTTTTCACGATAAATTTGAGTCAAACGTTGGATATTTGAGATGGCCCCTCTTTGTGATAAATTTATTAAGTAAGAGCTGTTGTAAGGTTTTGCTGCCGGTTCAAGTCTTGGGACCAATACTTTTGTATCCATAAAACTATCTAGAATTCTAAATTCTCTATCAAAATTAATTTTATTAATAACTTGAAGTGTTATATCCTCCATTATTCTAAGTATTGCATGACTTGGTAAAAAATCAAATTTTTTATTGCTAACCAGGTCAAAAGCCAAAAGCTCAATTCCAAATTTACTACTTAATTCGTTTCTTGCGCTTCTCATATATCCAAAAATAGCTGAATGATGCATACTAGATAAGTACTCAGTTTTAGCATATGTAGCTCCTTGTGTCAAGATTGTAATAAACAAAGGGCTTCGGTCACTTTTCTCGCTAGTCAATAGCTGAAGAAAATTTTGCAGATTTTCCAAGTCACTGTACAATTCACTAGATGAATTTGCAATATACAAGGGAACTTCAATATATTCCATAGTATTTCCATTCATCATCTTAAAAATCTCTTCTGTAGAGTTAAGTAAGTTATCTTGAACTCTAAAGTCAAATTTGTAACCAGTAGGTTTCCATTTAATCAATTTGGATGGAGATTCTATACTAGGTTCATTACTCACTTTAGTCGCAAATTTCTGATCTGATAAATTTTCCCATTTCAATTTCCAAGAATATGGACACTTTTTTTGTATATTTATGACACTTGCTAGTCTATTTACTGCTTTAAATGATAACTCCTTAATAGTTAGAAATTGCTTGTATCTGTCTGAATTTGGTACTTCGGGGGCAAATATTTCTAAATCTGCACTTGCTAAATTACTTGTAAAGTCTAAATGTAATTTACTGACTAAAACAACTACACTAGATATTAAACTCCCAAAGTTGGTATTTAAAAAGGAACTATGAGTAAAAGCGATATTTTGCCTATAATTTGTAGGTATTAATTGAATTCTCTCAATATTTACTGGTATATAGAACATTTTAGATCCATCTCCCAGATGTTTGGCAACAATAGATACTGCAACGGCATGGAAGCAACCATCTAATAAGCTAGGATGTATACACAAGGAATAGTTAAATCCTGTCATTTCAGATAGTTCAACAAGCCCATATGTACATTCATCATCTAAATAAATTTTTTTAAGAGTCTTGTATGAGTTTTTATATTCAAAACCTAATTTCGAAATATCTTGATAAAATCCATCTATTGAAAAGTTACTATCCATGTCATTTTCAAGTCTTGACAAATCCAATACTTTCCCAGTAGTCTCATCGGGTTCAAAAGTCTCAATATTTAAAGAAGTGCTGGAGTGTAACAATTCATCATCTTCAAATATGTCGATTCCTACAGTATATATAGAAAGATCAATTGATTGAGTTAAGTTCATTTTGTTATAATTAATATCCAATATCAACTTTGATGAAGTTAGTGTCAAATTAAGGGGTAATATTAAAGGAGAGAAAAATCTTATATTTTTGAAAGTATATGCAATTGTTTTGTTATTAATTCCTTGAGCATTAGAGTAGTTTATTGCCCCCCCAAAAAAAGTCTCAATAAAAGCTGCTGCTGGGAAAACTACTTCTCCATGTATCTGGTGCCCTGATACAATATTGTATACTGTTTCACCAATATACCTTATATAGCGACATATTTCAGAACTTTTTGGCTTGGGTTCTAGGTATATTTCATTTGAGTTGTTCATTATTAGCCCGATAGAGGCTGGATCAACAGGTGGCATGAAGCCTGAAACCCTAGGACCTATAAAAGGATGTGCAGGTACTATCCAAGGTAGTGCTTTGCGCTCAAATTGAATATTTGGTTCATTCCAAAAAATATCATTTGGGCTTGATTCTATTATTACATGTGCATTAGTTCCTCCAAATCCAAAGGAGGAAATTCCGGCAAATAGTTTCTGTCCCTTTAGAATAGTTGGATACAAAGGTATATTGATATTACCTTGAGTACTGTTTGTATCTATATGGGTGTTCATATTTTTAATGAAAGAATTCCCTGGTAAGATCTTTCTACTTAGCACGAGCAAAGCTTTTAAAATTCCTGAGATTCCAGATGCCCCTTCCAAGTGACCTATATTTGGCTTTAGTGTACCAAGGTATAGAGGCTCACCACTCCTCCTTTCCTTACTAAAAACATCCTTTATTGCACCGAACTCAATTGGATCACCCAATGGAGTACCAGTTCCATGTGTCTCAATATAATTTATATCGTTTGGAAGGAGTTCTGCAATTTCTAAAGTTTTTTGAATGACTTTTCTTTGTGAAGGCCCATTGGGTGCTGTTAAAGATGCGCTTTTGCCATCCTGGTTTACACCAGTCCCACGAATAATACCATAAATTTGCTTATTTAATACCGTGTCAGCATCTTCTATAATTAATGCTACACATCCCTCACCCCTTGCAAAACCATCTGCAGTAGTATCAAACGTTTTTGATAATCCCAGTGGACTCAACATATTAGCCTTAGAAAAGACAATATAGTATGAGGGTGCTAATATAAGTTGTACTCCAGCAACTATTGCAGTCTTAATATTCCCAACACTAATATTATTGAAAGCCATATCAACAGCAACTAATGATGAAGAACAGGCAGTATCAATAGTTACTGATGGTCCTTTAATTCCATATACAAAAGATATTCTATTAGCAATTATAGAAGCTGCTGCCCCGGTTGCTGTAAATGATGTTGGGTTTATGTTTAACTTTGTGGACAGATAATTCCAGTCAGTGCAACAGCATCCAATATAAACTCCTATCTCTTCATTTTCAATTTTAAAAGCGTTTAACCCTGAAGTATTTAGTGCACAAGAAGTAGTTTCTAACAAAATTCTTTGTTGAGGATCCATTGTAAAAGCTTCTTGTGCAGTTATACCAAAAGAGAGATAATCAAAAAGTTCAATATCTTTAATAAATGCACCATGTCTGGAATATGTAACATTTTTATTGGCATAAAGAAAATTATTAAAATCTTCAAATGGAATGTAAAATTCGTCAATATCAAAACGATTTAAAGGTATTTCACTTATACAAGAACTAACTGGGGCAAGTACATTATCCCAAAATTTGCTAGGAGTTGTCGAATTACCAGGCAATATGCAACTTATACCAGTTATAGCTAAGCTTTTAGCTCTATAGGTAGTATTTAATTGACTCCCAAATACTACGTTTCTTAAATGAGGTATTCGCCGTGATAGTGCAATAAATTCACTAACTTTGGATTGACAATTGACTATTAAGTTCCTATTATCAGAATTTACCTCATTCATTTCAATTATGTCATCAATATGCTTAGCTAGCTGGGAAAGTGTTGGATAATCAAATAAGATAGTTGCAGAGAGATTTATTCCAGTACGTGATGAGAGAATATTTCTCATTTCCACAGCTGATAAGGAATCGAGCCCCAAATTTGATAAAGGTGCATCTATACTAAAATTCGAAATATCTACTCCAGAAACTTCCCCTAATGCTTGACGTAGAATTTCCAAAGCATTAGTATTTTTGGAGCTAACTGAATTTAAAACAACTAATTTATCTTCATCTGATTTGCACTTTGTCAAGGTCAAAGTTGTCGTGTGTCTCATTATTGCAAAGCGTATTGCACTTTGAATAAAGGATTGATTGACATTTTTAGCCAAATTAGATCCATACCTCCAAATTGCAATTTCACCTACAAGACCTATATTTCTTCTATATCTACATAAACTCTCAATTATCGTCATATTAGAATCTCCATGTGAGCATAGTAAGAAATACTGAAGACTTCTCGATGATATTTTTGTTGATGCAAAGTGCATTTTCCAGAAAAATTTGAAAAGGAAACTACTTTCTTTATTATTAAATGGAAGACATATCATTCCACTAATTTCTCTTATACCTGATTCTTCAAGTCTTTCCAATAGTTGTATATCAAATTGTTCAGCATTTAGTTTAATTATTGTTATATTTGGAATGTTTAAAAAATTGTTGCTTAACACAACAAAAATAAAGTTTTTAGCACCTGCCTCTTTAAGTATTTGAATAGCAGCCATTAGGGATACCTCATCTAAATCTGGACAAATAATAATATGATATCCCCTCTTAAAGGATAATTCAGAAATACTTGAGTTTGTAATCAATTTCGTCTGGGAATGTAATTTACTACTGGCAAACAATCGAATTATTCCCTTTTTATCCTCTGCTATGGCCCTAAAAGTATCATCAACATCTATTAAAATCTCTTCAGTCTTATTTATATCCATGGGAATCCTTATTTTTGCTGAAAATTGCTGGTATAATTGTCTAATAATGCTGCTCAGTTTTCCATTACCAAATGGATTTAAAACAAATAATAATCCATGTGGTTTTAGAAAAGGTATAATATTTCTAATTGTAGCAACATAAGAAAGTTTTCCTAGAAGCATAGAGGCAGTAATTACTGCAATATGTATACTTCCAGTATCAATTCCGTTCAAGTTGGGATAGTAATCAATTTTTATATTATTTTGAATAATAGTTCTGCGCTCGACTCTATCTGTGCAGATAAATATATGCAATTGGTTATTTGTATATCCAATCATATCACATATTTTTTTTGTTATTGACTCAACCAATATTGGAATATCAAAAAGTACTTTAATTGTTATTCCGCTTGATTTATGGCTATTTGCAATTAAATGGATAGTTTCTGCAGGGATCTTTAAACTATCTAAAAATAACTTAACTACTATGGACTCGTATTTCTCAACTATCTTAATAGGGTTGTCTTGACTATCTCTTGATAGTAGATCTTTGATCAAAGGGAAAAGTTCTCCTTTAATTATACTACCTTGTTGATTATCATTGACCCATTGATTAATTTCCATAATATCTAAGGATCCATCAAAATTTTCCACACACTTTCTTCCATGTTTGAGAGCTCTATCAAGAACATCATTATCACCAGCTAAAATCTCAAACATAAGCGTATAGGGAGGAGGCATTGTAACAACAATTTTTCCTATATGTATAGCCCTTTGCATGTATCTAAAAGCATCAAGAGTACATGAATCTATATTAAATGATTTAACTGGCAAAATTGGATTTTGGAAATTCATGAAGTAATTATTATATCTAGATAACAAATCATGGATGTAATTTGGATTATTTGAAACTAAATCATCTATAGCTAAAATGTGATAATTAACTCCCTGTTTAATTTTCTTCATATCCTCCTGTTGTAGAATATGTCGTTTACCAAGCTCAACAAATATCCCATCCTCTTTTATATGGTTTAGAGAATTAATAATAAATTTTTCACCCAAACAATTTAAAACTATATCCAGTTTACTCACTTTGCCAAGTCTGTATCTGTTAGAAGCTAAAGATAGTAGTATTTTTATTTCTTGATCAAATATATCAGGATCTCTAGAACTAGTGATATATTGTACACCCAATCCTCTCAGCCACTCTCTCTTATTAGCTGAAGAGCAAGTAGCAAATATGATGGCACCAACATTAAGGCAATATTGAATTGCAGCAATACCAACTCCGCCAGTTGAAGCATGGATTAGGACGAAATCTCCGCTCTTCACTTTTGCTAAATCTCTAAATGCTGCCTCAACTGTACAATATATAGCTGGTAATGCAGCTGCTTCCTCAAATGTTAATGAAGCAGGTTTTATAGATACTAAATTTTGAACTGTAACTATGTGAGACTTAAAACAACCCTTTGCAAATCCCCATACCTGATCTCCTACAGAATATAAATGTACATCACTGCCCTTTTCTGTTATTATTCCAGAAAAGTCACTTCCTGGCTCGCCAGGATCCCCAGGATATAGATTCATTACATTAAGGACATCTCGGAAATTAAGTCCAACTGCTTTAATTTGTACTCTAATTTCATTTGGTGATAATACAATTTGATTTTTAATTTCATCAACATAATGACGCTCAAAATTACTTAGCTTACCCCTTGCCTTTAGTTTATACTCTATATGTTTCTGTCCAAAGTTATCAAAAACTTTCAAATATTCTGAAATATAACCAATAAAGATAGTTTCTGAGTGAGAAGTATATGTGTTATTACCTTCCCTTACAACTACGTGCGGAAGTATAAATGGATCAGATTTTATCATTTGCGCATCCAGTTTTTCAAGAGTAATTATACCAAACAAGATTTGATCAATAGGTTCTTCAAAAGAATAAATATCAATGAATGACAATGAAGTATACAAGTTGGAGTGCTTGTCCTGAATAAAGTCCCAAGTAATGCTATTTATTGGTATTTCAATCGAAGATTGAGCTGCTGTTTTAATAGGAATAGCATTTTTTGTTACTACTGACACCTTTATACTGGATCCTATTAAAATCAATATTCGAGAGATAGTCTCTATATCATTTTCAAGAATTATAGCACGCGAAAATAATTTTAAGTCATGTTTGAGCAGTTCATCTTCATTTACTATTTTTATGAAATGACTAAATTGTGACTTTTCCTGTAATGGAGTTAACAAAGAAGTAATAAAAATTAAATTTTTGACTTTAGAATTTGATAGACTCTCTATATCTGAAACCAACAAAGGAATCCAATCCATTTTTCGATAGTCCAGAGTAAAATCGACTGGACAATTATCCAATACGTCATTCCTTAAGATATTTACATCTGATTCCAAGCCAGATATTGGTGAATTTGGGTAAAGTTCTTCTTTATTAGATACATACTTTACAAATGTAATACCACTTAATAGTACAACAGGTTTTCCAAATTTGTCGACAAGTGATATATCACATCTCGCAGATGACTCATCATACCGAAGAATATTTACTAGTGAGTATAATGAGTGACACTCTTCTGGTACAGAATATATATATACCTCTTCAAAATAAGCAGGAATATATGGAAGGGATAAATTTCTATCGAGTAATAAGATACCACCTGCAACATGGAAGGCAGAATCAAGTATCCAAGGAGCAATAGTAAATGTTTTAGTTGAGTAATTTTCAGTCAAAATTTTTCCAAATCCCATACTTTCTCCAATATATATATATTCAACTCCTCTATAAGTACCTCTATAATCAAGCCCTATTTTTCTTAGTAGCAAATATAGTCTTTCTTTTTCGATCTTATTAACGCAATTTTTTTTAAAGTTAGTGAGCATTAACTCGCTCTTTTCAATAATTTCTGTTGTTACTATCTCATCCAAGAGTAATTTTACATTTCCAGTTAGGTGGATTACATTGTTTGAACTTATTCTCAAATCTCCAAGTGACATATCAATTGAAGTTTTGAGGACATGTTGATTATATTTCGGGTCTATTAGTATTGGTTTAAGGATTTCAATATTTCGAATTATAATAGGTGCTGTGAGGACTAATGAAATTATTGTTTGATTAGTAAACTTATTTGTTTCAGAGCTATTTAAGTCTTCAATTAAAGTATTTCTATTATTTATTAAACTTGAAGTAACAACGCAAATATCTTCCTTAAATATTTTATCTATACAGGCAAGTTTTGCAACTGCCACTGTTAGTTCAATAAGCCCTGAAGCTGGAAAAATTATTTGATTTTGAATTACATGTTCTTTAACATAGCCTAATATTGCACACATATCTGTTGAGTAAATCCACAATTTCTCTATTTCTTCCTTGGATGTGATAAATGGGTGAAACCTTGCTGTCCATGGCATGTAACTGTCACTTTGCACATTTTCTTTTATTTCTAGTTCATAGTTCCATATATTGTCAATATCTATTCCTTCAGAAAGTATTACATGAGCATTAGTCCCACCGAATCCAAAAGAGGATATTCCGCAATTTAACAACTCCCCTCTTTCATAACCTAGTTCCTCAAATGTTATTCCATTATTAGTTTTGTTAAATAAAAACCCAAGTTTTTTAGAATCTTCATTATTAGCAAGAAGTGTATTGATATGTTGATTCAGATAATTAAAATTCGTAATACCTGGACAGTATCTTTTTGACATCAAAAGAATTGTTTTTAGTACCCCTGCCATTCCAGCTGCACCTTCTAAGTGTCCAATATTAGCTTTGACTGCTCCAATTACTAATGGAACTTCTCTATCATGGAATATCCTCCTTTTTCCATCTTCTTTAAGAAATACTTTGGATAATGCACTAATTTCAATAGGATCTCCCAAAGGAGTACCAGTACCATGGGACTCTACATAGTGAATATGTTGCGGATGTAAGTTTGCATTCAAAAGGCAAGTTTGTATAGTAATTTGCTGAGATATACCCTTTGGAGCAGTTAGTGTTGTACTTTTCCCATCTTGTTTAACAGAAGATGCAGTAATTGTTGCAATTTTTCTAGTAGCTAAATTCGAACTTTCTATTGCAATTGCAATACAACCTTCACCTCTCACAAATCCATCTGCGCTGCCATCAAAGGGTTTACATACTCCACTTATAGAAAGCATTCTTGATTTACAGAAAGATGCATAAACAGCTGGGTTAAGGATTGTATTGACCCCTACAACTATTGCACAAGAACACGAATTTGAGTTTAAGTGATGAAGTGCTACATCTATTGCAACTAAACTTGAAGAGCAAGCACTATCAACTGTAATTGAAGGGCCTGTGAAATTATTAATGAATGATATGCGATTAGCCAATATTGAAGGTGAACTTCCTGTACTTGTGTATGCTGATGGTTCTGTACCCGAGGATGATAATATTTGGCTCCAATCATTGGAACAACTAGCAATATACACTCCAATCAGATTATTTTGATAATTCCCAATATTCTTGGTTATGTTATATACATTACTTACTACTAAGCGTTGCTGTGGGTCCATTAATAGAGCTTCCTTTTCAGATATTTTGAATTTCCCATAGCTGAAGTACTCGACACCATTTAAGAAGCCTCCAATATCAGTATAGTAGCTTTGCTTATTTGTCAAATCAAAAGTATATGCTTTGCCATTATGATAACGCAAAGTATCCCATCTCCCATAAGGTACAGATCGAGTTGCAGTTTTTCCAGAACATAGAAGTTCCCAAAATTCTGAGTATGAGTTACGGTACCAAGAGCCTGGTAAATGAGTAGATATAGCAGATATTACAAATTGTTTATTACTAGGATCATTCTTGTAATTACTTGATAGGATAATTGAAGAATGATTCCCTTGTCTAATGCGTTCAATGTATTCAATTATTAATCTTAAAGTAGGATAATCAAAAACAAGAGTTGCAGGTAAATCCAAATTAAACTCATGTGATAGCGCAGTACTGACCTCAACAGCTTTCATTGATTCAAATCCGAGTTCTAGCAGAGAATCATCTAAATTTGGAGCATAGTTATCACCAAGTATAGTTTTCACAATACTCATAACAGCTTCTACTAAGTCTTCACGTAAAGGTATCTCGCTGCATACAGAATGATAGTCCTCATATGCGTCTTCTTTAATTAAGTTTGTTTCTCCCACATGTGGGTTAATTACTGTATTTAATACGGATTTCTCAAGGTTACACTCGTCAAGAAGTATTGAATTTCCTAATTCACCATTTAATATTATCTTTTTAGTTTTCCTACGTTGAACCTTCCCACTTGATGTTTTAGGCAGTGACTTCTGCATAATGATAACAATTCTGTAGATATCAAGTCCAGTATTTCTACGTACTGCCCTAATGATTTGATCACGAACTTCATATATTTTGTCATTACTTTTAGTATTTGTGAAATAGTTCAAAAATTTTGATGCAATACCACTACTATGGCTTGAAACAATGTCTTTTCTCACTTCAGCAACAACAACAATTTTTTCCTCCCCATCTACATCTACTGAAAATGCAACATTACAGCCAGGACGAATACTATCGTGCGCAGAATCAACTGCTTGTTCAATGTCTTGTGGATAGTAGTTCTTTCCTCTAATAATAATAACATCTTTCTCACGACCAACAATAAATACTTCGGAATCGTAAATAAATCCCAAGTCACCTGTTCTCAAAAATTTTTTACTTTGGTATTTCAAATTAGATCTTATTTCTGCGAAAAATGTATCTCTAGAGAGCTCATCTAAATTTACATACCCAGCACCTTTACTTTTAGATGATATCCAGATTTCTCCAATGTAACCGGGAGGTAACTCATTCTTTGTTTGTGGATCAACTACTACTATACAATCATTAGGAACTGCTGCAAGTCCACAGCCAATTATATGTTTGAATTCTGATTTTACCAAACTACTGAACTGTAACTTAGCCAAATCTTCTCTTTTCTTACAGCTAGGACAAGAGCAAAGTAATCTAAAGTCCTTTACAACGATTACAGGATCATTTATAGATAATTCACTTGATTTCACCGTAAGGATTCTTGGACCTAATAATGGGAATCTTCTAAGTCCACTAATGAGTAGAGTATTTTCAGCCATGCCATACGCAGGAATAAGTGATGAAGCGCAAAACCCAACTTCTGAAAACATTATACTAAACCTCTCAATTGTAGCTAATCGAATCGGTTCGGACCCATTAAGGATCCCACCATATTTTAATGAAGCTAAGCCTCCATGTTCTTTTATCTCTAATATATCTTTCTCGGTTATCTTCTTGCATACATAATCAAAGGCAAAGTTAGGCGCAGCAGATGCCACTACTTTATACTTTGCTATAAGCTTCAACCATATAGATGGGTTTTTGATAAATGAAAGTGGTGATAAAAGGTATGATTCAACTCCAAATAATGGTGGTGCTACAATAAATCCTATTAGACCCATATCATGATACATCGGCAACCACGATAAAGATTTTACAGGATATCCAAATTTAGAAACAAATCTTAAGTTAAATTCGATCAATTTATCAAGATATTCATATACTGGTATATCATCCATTTTTCCTTTGTAAGAAATATCAATCTCACCTGTTTCTGCATCAAATGGAAGTTGATATGATCTCAAGCAAGCAATACAATTATGCAATAATGAACCATGAGTAATGGCTACTCCTTTAGGAGAACCAGTTGAACCAGAAGTAAATTGAAGAAATGCTATGGAATCTGGTGTACATTTTGGGTATTCATAATTTATGATTTTATTTTTCTTTTTTCGATAAAACATACTCTCTTTGGAAATAGATTGTTGAGATGAATCAGCATTCCCACATTTATTCTCCTTGTTACTATCACTTTTTCTCAATAAAGAAAGGCAGTCAATGTAATCACTTATTATCTTGTCAGATGAATGCCATGATAAAGAGTTCCATACTGGTTCACTGAAATATCTTATTTTAGCAAGTGAGATAATCCTATTGTAATTTTGATCAGTAAGGCATACTTTCGCTGAACTTGAATCAACAATATTTCGTAGTCTATTTACTTGAGCAGGGTTACTAGGATCTGCAGGGTAAACTGGAACAGCAACTATTCCACTTGCAAGGCATCCATAAAATGAACGAATAAAACTAATCCCAGGGGCAAAACATAATAATACTCGCTCACCCCTCTTTAAACCAAGTTCATTAAGTAAAAAGTGGGATATTATCTGAGCAGATTTTATGAGACCATCATATGATAGTGTTTCTTCTTCATTTCCATGTTCACTAATCCAAGTAAATATCTTATTGTTTGGGAACTTGTTCTTCAAAAGTTCAAGTCGCCTAATAATTGCATCATAGTCAGAATTGTCACAAAACATTGTGCAGCTATTCATGAGATATATATATTGCAGATTTCTATAAAAATATGCTACAGTTAGTAATAATAAGAATTCCCCACAGAATATTTATTCTAGAAAGTAGCTGTACTTAAATTATTTATTGCAACAATGCAGCGAAATTTAAATGCGGCATGGCATTGATGATCACTCGATATAATATGTGCTAAAGTGCATTGTAATTTGAAAATTTCTCAGATATTAGATTCTTTTAACTAGAATTCTTAATAAGTAAGTGAAAAATAAATATGTTATCATTTAAGCTAAGTATATAACTCAAAAGAAATATAGAGCAACTTTTTTTTTCTAAATTGTATATTAAGCTATAATCAAGGTAGTAAACTTCCTATTTTCAACTAATAAATAAGCACACAGCTGTACCTGTTACTGAAATTACACTCTATTAAGAATAGTTTTTTCTACCTTTTGCCTAGATACATTTACTCTAGCAATAGTAAATTCTGCAAGTAACGATCTAATAGTTAGAACTACTATTTCTGTTGGAAATTTGCAATGGGAGTTATAGTGTTAGTATAATAAAGTAGTTGATGTAAATAGTAAGTTTTCTCTTGGCTCAGTAATATTTTACTTCTTTCATCACTGGGGGATTCAGAAATGCACTACATGCATACAAAAATTTTAGAAATCAAATATTGAAAATTCTAGATTATGAATATAATTCAAATACAAAAAAATTTATTGTTATATCAATTATCTAGTTAAAAATTATAAGAACTATTGTCTGCAGGCGTATAAATGAGCAAAGAAATATCTGTAATAGCTAATAAGTATATTAGAAAATATTGTCTAAAACAAAAGATAATAAACTAGGGAAATCAATATATTTGATGTATTTACTAAGTGTATATATTCATATATGGCCTATTCAAAATAGGTCGTTTTTCTATACTGCCGCAATAAGTCCCATTTCTATAACTAATGCAGCATAAAGAATATAATTAGGAAAGTCGAATTTAGCAAAAGAACTATGAATTATGTAAATAACGATATATCAAGGTCAGGAAGAAATATTAGTTCAAATGTGTCAGACGAGTCAAGGATTTTCTATTTAGTTTGTTTTGCAAGCGTGAAGCCATTACTACTATGGAGTTCTCTGCACTCTTTGGCAATACTAGTTGTGTTGGTAAATAATAAACAAGTAACACTTCTGAGTCTATTTCAGAAATTATTTATACTGTTCATTTCTTCTTTTTTTGGTATTGCCACCTTCCTTATGGTGATTTTAAGCAGAACTATGTGTATAACGAGTGAGCTTTATTTAACGGCCTCTTTTCCTTTATTTCATGACATTAGTATTATTATTCCGAGATATATTTTGTGGGAACTTATATTTACTTCTAGATGGGTATGGCTTTCAATTCATCTTATTGCTGCTTCTACATCTTGCACAAAAGTTTGGAATATTTTAACATTTTATAGCTCTGCTCCATCTCCATATATAGCATCACTATTTTTAACTACTGGTGTACTTTCATTTCTTAGATTCTTTGGGAAAAACCAAAATACATTTTCATGGTTACTACAGCTCTCTAATATAAATATTAGACACGTACCGTGCCATTATAATTATATTCCTAAATCCCTTGTTTCTTCAATACACTACTTTTTACAAAATGGTAAAAGTGGTAATTTTCATGTAGCACTTGCCCTATCATTTTTCTCATTTTTGGTCTCAGTTCCAATATGTATTATAGGGTTTAGCATTCCTGGGCTGACTCAATTATTCAAATTTATGCAATCAATGCCTTTAAATATATTGTTAGATTGGTTTTTTGATAGTGGAAGTTCTAAATCTGAATATTATTCTTTAACTATTGCTGCTGTTACTGTCACTTGCTTTTGGTATTGTATAGAACTACACTACAATAATATTCAGAATTGCTTATCTCTTAATTTGGGAATTAATAAATATAACTTAATGCAAAAATTGGATGAATACTCCTTATTGGTAGACCAATTTTCATCTGCATTGATATGTGCCCAATCTGTTAAGCTAATAAGAAACCAACCCTATAAATTATTTACTAGATGCTCCCAATCTACAGAAATTCTCATTCTAAAATATTTAAATACGGTCATACTAACAATATTACTAATTCCTCTTTATTTACCTCTTTGGGTAGTCCCAAAAATTAGGTATTATACTGGATTAGTAATTTCCAATTACTTTTGCTCTACATATGATACTCCTATTTCAGTATCAGCCTCACCAAAATTGTGGTCATCCTATGAAAGAAAGTCTCTATTTGTAATAAACCACCTTAGAAGGCAAATAGATTATATCTTTTCTATTCTTATTTTACTGGATCCTTGTATTCCTACAAAGATAGCCAGTAGCAACAACGAAATTAATATTATTATACAGACATATCTTGGTATCGATAGTACACATCTATTAAAGAAATTTGATGCAAATACGTGGTTTATGCAGTTCTTAGATCCCAGAATCAAAAAACACTTTGTTGCAAGCAGTTTTATACCAAGTAAAATTAGTGAATGGTGGCACAACAATATTCTGCTAACTGAAGATTCTCACACACCAACATCAGAATCTAAATCTCTCATCATATCTTCTATAATGAAGGAATATGACACTTCTATATCGCTAAAACTTCATAGGAATGACATATTTCTGAATATTCTGAAGAAATTTTATGCATTGTACAGTACAGAATTTGCAAATGTATCTGAGGATTTCTATACAAGCAAGTTGGATTCAAACATAGTGAAGGACAGAAATGGTTCATGTAGAAATTCAATGTCTCAATTAATATTTTTAATGCAGGAGATGACACTAAATACTATTAATTTGTGTATTATCCACTTATACGGTTACCATCGTTGGCTAATAAGGCTTAAGTTAACTAATTCATTTAACGAGAATGTTTCAGCTCATACTCTAAAGCTATTTTTATCTGAGGTTATTCACTTAAAGAATTATATAACCGTTATTCAGGAAATTGGTGTTTTGAAATCTCAATATTTACATCCTATGTTTATAAACTCTATATTACGTATTTATAAGGAGTGTGATGATACAATTCATTTGGTTAAAAAGTATTATTCTGAGGAGATTTCTAACTTACAATTACCCTTTAACTTCTTTAATTTTTGAAATTGTAACTTAAGATTCAGAATATTGAGTATTTGAAAGTGAGTATAATACTTCCACTTTTACTTGTAATACAGGTTTATGTGGAACAATTGGAATACTTTAACCTTCAATGATTAGCACTAGCCGCCATATCGACATGACTGCAGCAAGATGCAAATTACTGCATCAGTCATGCATAGATCATTTGGAGAATAAGTTGTAAATAAGTTAGTGAAGATATGCTGGATAATAAAGAGAATGTGCGTGTAGACTTTGAAAAGGTGTATAGTTTATATATGCCTGCTTCGCTAAATGACAAACTTTTTGAACTCACTGAGCAGGCATCAAATGTACGGTCACTACTCGAAAAAAAACAAATAGAAAATAGCATATCTGCTAGAATAGCTATTTCAAACAATAAAGATACGCTAGTGAATGAGACAAAGACAAGTTTCTTAGAGTGTACAAAATATGTAACAGAAGAAATCTTAAAGTCATTTAAAACAAAATTTGACGAGTTTAAGCAAGAAATTGAAGTTATTAACAATATGAATATATTAAGAAGTACTGAAGCTAACAAAGCAATATTAGCTGATATCTCAGCAATTATTGTCGATCAGGTAAGATCTATACTTTTAGAAGAGGATACATTGAAGATTTTGAAGAGTAAACTGACGGACAAAATTGAGCAGCAGAGTGACCAATTTATTGAACAACTAAATGAAATAAGAAATACTTGGAATAATGAAGATAAATTAGTTGATACTATTAAGAATATTGCAAATAAATTTGAGGAAAAGGAAAGACATATTCATGTAAATCATATTCAAGGAATCCAGCGTCAGTATGAAGCAGTTGTAAGAGATTTAAGGAGGCGTTGCTTTTTTTTGGAGCAAAGTGTGCAAGAAAAAGAACTTTGTGAAATAAGTTTAAGGTCTGAAATAAATGAATTAAGTAAAGACCTATCTGATGTCAGATATGAGCTAGAGCTTAGGAAAGATGAACTCATTAACTATATCTCACAAAAAAGGCAGATTCAAGATGATTTGGATACTCTCTATAAAAGATATGCAGAACTAGAAATTAATAGTGAAAATCTAATTAAACTACAATTATCTGATTTTGAGAAACAGAAAACTAGGTATCTTAGATATGGAGTTGCTATTGATTCTATTCAGCACTTGTTCTATAACATATCAATTTCAAGGATGGGCTGGTGCTTCTCCAAATTGAAAATATTCCATACTCTCCCTGATCACAGATCTGAGAATTTATTAAGTAGGGATATAGAAACCTCAGGAAATTTGGAAACAGCATCTTCCCCGAATTTCCTATCTAAACTAAAAAGTGAAGATACACTGGCCAGCTTATTAGTTGTAGAAAAGAGAATAGAAGATGAGGAAAAGGAGCAGAACTTAATAGCATTACTTCTAAATATGTTAAATGGGGGTATTTATAGCCAAATTACACAATTATCTAGGTTATTCAACATAAAAAGGAGAAGATATATCAAATGGTCGTTTAATAAATTAAGAAGTAATTAACCTATGAAACTTCAGGATAAAGAAGTGTAACTACACTAGATTATATAGACAAGTATACATTATTAAACCGATATTCTAACCTAGCAGTATCTCAATTTGCTCAAGTTTATCTCGTGTGAACTGTTTGACTAACAATTTGGGATCTTGGAAATTTATTATAGAATATGAAGCAAGAACGAGAAATGATAATGATGTAAATATAAGCATTGAAAGAAATAGAGGTAATAACTCAACAATAATGATTGATATTGTAGCCGAAATCCAATAAAATATACTCAGGATAGGAAGAATTTTATGTTGAAGTTGCATAGGTATACAATACTTGATGAATATTGAACAAACAGGTGAAACTCCAAAACCAGAACTAGAAACAAGAGCAATTGCGCAAACAACAACGAGGTTTGGAAACTTGTATTTCCCTGCAGAAAAAAATGGCAATAAACTAACTGGTAATAATGACAACAGTATTGAGGCAAGTCCAATAAATAAAAGGCGTCTTTTAGCAATATAGTTGGCAAAGAATGTACCAGTAAGAGTAGATATAATCAAGAAACAATCCACAAGTGTAACACATCTAGGAATCAAAGTACTTGGTAGTTGTGCTTGCGTAAAGATAATTCCACTATAAATTATAAAAGAAAAGAATCCAGTTAGAACTTCGGAACAAGCAACAATAGGTAGCAGTAGTATAATTCTACGTATTGGAAAGAAAAATAATATAGTGTAAATGTTAATATGCTGATCTTTTTTATACTCGTTTAGCTGTTTCCTTAAATTGTCTATAATGATGGTGGTGTTCTCAACACCATGTATATTGCGAGCAGCTGTCTCTGCTGATCGTAAATCATCTCTTTCTATGTAAAATTCGGGAGTTTCCTCTAAGAAATTATAGGACCAAATGAGAACCATAATAAATGAAACAATAAATGGGACTCCAAATAAAAGTTTCACAGATAGGAAGGATTGTTGAATATATTGAAGAATAGGTAATAACTTCATGGTTATTTGTTTATCAGTTATTTTAGTCTCAAACTTCAAAATTTCCAAAATATTGTATAAATGAGGAAGATCAACAATAGCATCTTCAAAGCTATCACTACTTTTAAAAGAAAATGTTAAACTTAAATTAATTAAAAATACAGATATAGTTGGAACAATCCAACTTATAATATTTCCCATCAGAATTCCACAACAGAACATTGTATTATGAAGAGTTGAATAGAGATTTTGATTTTGTCTACCTGTCACTGCTTTGATATACCTTGGAATAATGAGAAATGCAATTCCAATCCCTACTCCACATAAGAATCTACCAATAAGACACATTGATATTGATAAAAACATACAAAATAATGAACCCAATATAAATAACGTGTATACCAGTACAATACTCCTAACAAAACCTAGAACTTCAAAAATAAATACCCAAAGAAGTGAGCCTACTACTGCTCCAATACATATGCTTAAGTTTAAGACTAAAAATATATTGGTTTCAACTTTGTTATTTTGAATTTCTAAAGTCCATTCGTGAATATCATTGGAATTTAGCTTATAATACTTAAGTCCAAGGACTTGAGACATAACTCCACGAGGAATATTGGTAACACTAAGCATATAACCAACCAATAAAGAAATAACTGTTGCTGATAAGAGTCGCTTCTGACTATAGTTAAATAGTGTAAAATCCATTATAGATTTTATCTTTTACATCCTTAAAATAATATATATTGTAGCATCTCAGAAAGTATAATATCTGGCGGGATCAAAGATCCTTTATATTGTTAAATGAAGAAAATACTAGCTTAATAATTTGAAATAAGTTGTTAATAAATAATTTGGGAAGAAATCACTTAAATAAGGAAAGAAGTTCTAAGTTTCTAATCTCTAATCTAGGGTGATCTATCTATCTGAGCTTCAAAAATCAGCATCATAATGTCCTTCTTCGTCATCACCATCGGCAATCTCAATGCCCACTTCTTCATAGTCCTTCTCTAGTGCAGCTAGATCCTCCCTGGCCTCACTAAATTCACCTTCCTCCATACCTTCACCAACATACCAATGAACAAATGCTCTCTTTGAATACATCAAGTCAAATTTATGATCCATTCTATTAAAAACCTCAGCGATTGCAGTAGAATTAGATATCATACAACAGGCACGCATAACTTTAGCTAAGTCCCCACCTGGAACTACTGTTGGAGGTTGATAATTTATTCCACACTTAAAACCTGTTGGGCACCAATCAACAAATTGAATCGTTCTCTTTGTTTTTATTGTAGCAACAGCAGCATTAGTATCCTTTGGCACTACATCACCACGATACATTAAACAACAGGCCATGTACTTCCCATGTCTCGGATCACACTTCGCCATCTGGTTCTGGGGTTCAAACACTGCATTTGTGATCTCAGCAACACTTAGTTGCTCATGAAATGCCTTCTCCGCAGAAATGATGGGAGCATAAGAAGAAAGCATAAAGTGGATTCTAGGATAAGGTACCAAATTTGTCTGAAACTCAGTTATATCCACATTTAATGCACCATCAAAACGCAGTGAGGCAGTTAAAGATGATATTACTTGTGCAATTAGTCGATTTAAATTCGTGTACGTAGGTTGTTCAATATTTAAATTCCTTTTGCATATGTCATAGATCGCCTCATTATCCAGCATAACAGCAACATCAGCATGTTCAAGAAGTGAGTGAGTTGAAAGAACAGCATTATATGGTTCAACCACAGCTGTACTCAGTTGTGGTGAAGGCCATGTACAGAAGTTCAGTTTAGACTTTTTACCATAATCCACTGACAACCTCTCAAGAAGTAGTGTCCCCAAACCTGCTCCTGTTCCACCTCCGACAGCATTAAACATCAAAAAACCTTGAAGCCCTGTACAATTATCAGCTAATTTACGGATTCTATCTAAACAAAGTTCTAGAATCTCTTTTCCTACAGTATAGTGACCACGTGCAAAGTTATTGGCCGCATCTTCTTTCCCACTTATAAGTTGTTCAGGATGAAATAGTTGACGGTAAGTTCCACTGCGAATTTCATCAACCACAGTAGGTTCTAGATCAACAAATACTGCTCTTGGTACATGTTTCCCAGCACCAGTTTCGCTAAAGAAAGTATTGAAGGCATCGTCAGAAATCCCCATATTCTGCTCAGATGCAGGCATTGTACCATCAGGATTGATACCATGCTCAAGACAAAACAACTCCCAGCAAGCATTACCAACTTGTATGCCTGCTTGACCAACATGTATCGAAATAACTTCACGCATTATTAAGTATTAACAGTTTAAGTGATAGTCAAATATTAAGAAAAAAAGTGAAACTTCAGCTCTAAATTATTCAATATTATTCTGAGAAGGAACCAATGAGGAGGTCAAACTTCAAAGAATTTCTGGTTTGCAAAAATTAGACTTGCAGTTACAAAGATTGCTTAAGAATAAGTAGTAGCCGCACAAGATTTTGCTGAAGAGAATCTACCCAACCTGTGGGCTGTCCACTTAATCGTATGCGGTAAACCCCAACGTTGGAAAAGGCGGGTATACATAATTTTTCAAAAGGGGAATTCAGTAGTAGGAATTATACTGTAGTTCTGCAAGTGATATAAAAAGTGATTATACACGACTTTAACATCAAAACTTCACATAATTTTAGATTTAATATTGTTCAAACTCATATATATTAAAGCCACTGATTATTCTCCTACACAGCTAGTGACAGATCTCCATTGTAATTACACTCTTGTAGATGTGTACAATTCGGAATTACGGATCTTTTAATATTGGATATTCATGATTATACCTTATTTGTATACCTATATTTGTCGAGGTACGACCTTATATTAGTACTAATAGGGAAACTAACAGCCACTTGAACAAACTGCTAGTGATTTATTACTACTACCACTTTAAATTGGAAAATAAATAGGGTAGAGAAAAGTACTTGAATTTCATCATAATTGTAGCTCTTGTAAATATACTTTAGTCTTATTTGTAAAAGTTAAACAAAGTGAATAAAAGATAGACTCTCTAGATGAGTTCTTCATGCTATCACTATGGTTACCAGTTGTATTCGCACCTTTAAATTCAAAAAATAATGACATTAACTTTTGACAATTTTGGACTAGGAGATCAGCTATAATTTCATTGCTCTTGACTTCCTTATTAGGTAAGATTAATTCCTCTATAATTGAGATATCTGATTGATCCAATGATTTCTTAGATAAAAGTAAACCACCCTGATATGCCTGAAAAACTAGGATTCTCCATAATTCCGCAGAACTAATAACTGATTGTAAGATTGCTGGAGTGGTAGGTAGATTAGTAAAATTATTTGTACCAGTATGCTTTGTCGAAATATCTTTAAAGTAATGCTCATTGTAGTTAACATTCATCAAAAGTAAATTTAAAGTAATCAAATCTATAGTTTTCTCAGACTTAGTTAAGATTGGATCAGGAGTAACAATATCATTTTCAAAAGTATGGATCGTAAAGGTTTTACTTAGAAGTCCGCATTCTTCGTCGCAACTATTTATATCGGGAAAAGTGAATTGCTGAGAGTCACTTACTTGTGGAAAATAACCAAACATAGATTCACTATTAGAATTATGACTGGACTCCTCAGTACTAGAGGATTCTGAAGCTGAATACAGTGAATGACCTAATAGACTATTTTCAGAATCCCATTTCAATTCGTCTTCATATATTATATTAAGTCCATATGAGCTACAAAGTCTTTTAAAATTAAAAATTAGACAAAGTGCAACATATATAATATTCATTGCAGACTAGTAAGAAGAAAGTACTAATTCAGAACCCTACAAAAGTATCTGTGGCACTTTTTTATAGGTAACCTGACTATTCAACTCTTGAAGCGGGAGGTTCTGGTTTTTAGCTCTTTTGAGATACCGTAAAGAAGTTGGTGTACTCAGGTTACGTGCAATTATTTGATAAGATAGCTGGTTATGACAAAATGGTAGATACTGGGTAATCTAGTTTTCTTCTAAATTTTTAATATCTTTAACGAAATAACAAACTTGTTAGTTACTAGTATAAAGTATATTTATCTTTTATTTATCACTTAATCTTGTAATAATATTATTAAATCGAACTATCTCGCCTTATCAACTATTTTTAGTAAGATTGGTATCTGTGTACATATCAGTTATCTTATTCACTTATATATATGAAAAGTATAAACTTAAGTGAGAACGGGAATAGATTCCATACTAAGATTATCTTGGACAAGAAATGTAACATCTTTTATAACTGGAATTCACTAATAAATATATAAAAAGCGAGATAACCTAAATATAAATTGTATTTAGATAAGTATCTATCAAATATATTGAGATTTTGTTGTTTGATCTATATTATAATATAGCTTTGTTAATCTGGTTACCCTATCCTTTTTGCCAAGTCGGATATTATTTATATGTTGAATCATTTGACTTAATTTAGTTAGTAACATGCGACAGAATTCATCGAATATACTGTATTTAATGCGACTAGAGATCCAACTATCTTTTTCATATTTACTATATGGAAAGTATTTGCCACTATATAGATTAGCTTCAATTTCTGCGACTAGAAACTGCTCTTCATCATCAAAATACTTCTGTTGCCTCTCTACACTTGGGTTAAAATACAAGGTATTATTCTCTATCAACTTCTTAAGCATACTATGGCAAGCTGCTATATTCTTTCTAGTATTGAAATATTTATCTAGTGAAGTAGTATTCTTCTGAAAACAATATTTATTTATTGGCAAATACATAGTAACAAAATCTAAAAAAAGAGGACTTGGCACTAAAAGTATCTTTGATTTTATTGATGATGGGGGTAAGTAAAATAACCAAGGTTTTAAAAGTTTCGTTAACCATTCTCTCTTATCTAACTTCAATTCAATAGGAGGGTTTGATAGACACAATTCACAACCTGTCTTGGATGATAGGCTTATAAATAGATGCCATGCAGCAGTAGTTGGTATTAATAAGCCAGTTAAAACAATATTCTTTTCAAGAGGATTCCCCAGTTCTCTTTTTGAATTATGTAGCAGATCATCTGTATCTTGTGCTGCTATCACTCCAATTAGTAGTAAATATAGTACTAAGTAAGTTAAGAAATCTAATACTATCATTATTTGCTCCCATTGCGCGAATTTATATAGGTCATAATATGGGGATTCCCGGCTGCGACCTACTTTACCTGTGCTTTAGATCTATTAAAAAAAAAAGTGTACGCCAATTATTGACACAATAAAATAGCAATATTATTATTTAATATTATGGTAATTATTCTTGATTATTTTAAAGTATTAGAACTTGTATATTAGCTACTTTAGCCATATAAATCACTTATTTTCTTCGAAGTTATACTTATAAGAATTCTCCATAACATTGAATAATATCTCAAGAAGATCAGCTTTTTTCTGCGTATTGTGAACAAGATGACACAATACATCAGCCCCATACATAATTTGTATATGCTTGTTCATACTACCCCATGTTCTGCGATAAGATTCCAAATGAGTCCTCAATTTTTGCTTTGAAAACCCCTTAGAAAATTCAGTTTTCGGAGGAACTTTAAAACTAACAGAATTCCAGAAAATATCTGTGTTGTCATTGTGAATCTGAATACCGACAAAATAAGTTAACTCCGTAATTCCAGGGTAACCTATCAAAATTACATCGGGAACAATACAATGGATGTAATCTTTGTATAATATCCCCTTTACTGAGTCCTTAGTGTCGTTTTCATCGAAATAAACATTTAAAGAACGAAATATACGATCTTTGAGTAGCAATGGTCGGATTGATTTACACTTACCAATAAATGGAAATGCTATGTAAAGCCTTATTTCAGGTATTTTGGTCACTCCATCCTTCAAGTATATTTTAACTTCAAGATTAAGTGGTAAGGAAATTTCCCCATTGAGAGTAATACAGTATATGTCAATCACTTTAAAAAATAAATCAAAAGAATTTTCCTTAATATCATCCCTATTTATTTTAGCTCCAAATGAAAATGGTGAGTTTGGGCCTTTTGAGTACTTTGCAGAAACTTCTAGATAATTGTTGCTAAACATATTAAGAATTGAGTCTACAGCAGATTTAACTAATATGGAGGCTTCATTTGCTAAATCCTTCAAGTTACTGTCTAACACCTTATCTGGGTGAACTAGTAGTAGTAGTTGTTTTCGTATATTTTTTATACCACTTAATGTCGTTGTCCTAGGATCTACACCTAAAATCCAAAATGGATTGTAATTTTCAGTAGACTGTTTAGAGTGCATATTTAAGATAAAAGAAATGGTGTCATACTGTAGCTGGATTCTTTTTTTCATCAACTCATTATATCTCTCCTCTTTTAATTGCTTACTCCTCTCTTCATCTTCTTGTTTCTTTCGTTCTTCATTCTTAATGTTTATCCAATCTAACTTAGCTGAAGAGAGTCTTTTACAAGCAGTATAAATTAATTGGGTTTCATTACTGCTACAATGGTAGTCTGTAAGAGTATTTGCATATGAAATGAAATCAAGCCAAGAATTGCATTTAGCTTGGACTTCATAATCAGCTGCATCTAGTGATATTTTAAGAATACTTTTAAGCCCATCATTGACTCCACTATTTACAATGATCTTTGAAAGTATTATCCTGTAATCTAGACGATTTTTGCACCACTCTTCTAGTTCATTAATAATTTGAGGGGCATTTCCATTAAATATATCAAAATCACAGAAAATATGCTTTATTGATTCGGTTGCTTTCTCAACATCCTGTTTAGTGCAATATGTATATCTAAGCCCAATTAGTTCATAAAACTCCTTCTCAAGTTCATTATTCCCATAAAGTTGACTATTGTTGCTATTTTCTTTCTGCCACTCGCTGTGAAGTGCTTGAACCTTTTTAAGCTTTTGAGTAAAGTATGTGAAAAACAAAGTCTTAGGTATACTCTCCGGCTTTACATCATCTGCACTACTACAAAACCTTATCTTCTTACAATTATAGTCTTCAGTTTGCGTCTTATCACTAATAATTTCATGATGCCTTTTCCTGCAGCAGCGCTCTCTTTTGTAATAGTGATCTAAGCACGGTTTCTCTATTAAACTACAACTTTTTATTATTGGTAATAGCAATCCAGTATGTGTAGTGCCATTATGTTTCTTCTTAGCATAGACAAAAGCTTTTAATATCTCTTTATCTAAAAAAATACAAAGTACTTTAAAGTATGTCAGCCACATTCTATCAACTATATTTTGCTTTAGTAAAAATTCAAAAAGTTTAGTGAATGGAACCACTGATATACTTTCTGTACTAAACATGGAATGAACTATTTTGAATGCTTTCCGTTCATCAACATCTAATGAATTCAAAGGTGGTATATTTCCAAAGCCAGCACTCAACTTTAGTTCAATAGGCCCGAATATTACAGATGCGCGATCTTCATTACTATTTGGGTCAGAATTCTCGCTACTTTCATCTGTAATCATCTGTACAAGTTACTGTAAGCCTTATTATAAATAAATTTGAAGATACCATGAAATATTACCCCCACATCGACGAAGGTGGAATCTTGATACCGCTATCTAATTTGCGTATAAAGTAGTGTAAATATAACCATATAAAACAAGCTTTAAGTAGTTCCAAGATTACCAGACTAGCAATAAGATGTACACTAGCAACTAAAATAATTAAATATTTCATTTAAGGAGGAGTTTGTATTAGTAAAAAGAACTATGGATAGCTTTACACAAGTACTTAGACCCCAAAGTTCTCGTGTAACTTGTACTTTGAAACTAAAAGTTTGTTACCATTAATGAAGAATCACTAAATTATCTGTGTTTATATCTTCATATTTGCAAAGAGATAAGCACTGCAAATACTCAAAGACTAGTATATTTTGTCTATAATTACTGGTAAAGTGTGCTAGTAGATGATTTTGCCACTGCTCTATATTATTAATAATAATGCATTTAAATATTTGTTAAAAAGAAATTTAGTATTCAAACTATTGGAAATATTAGAATGTATCTCTTCTATTGCACAGATAGATTTCTTATGAGATCTTCCATATATATTCAAATTCAGCACAAAGTTTTGCACAGCATAAAGCAGCTGATAAAGGATAAGAACTAATACTTATAATACTCTCAACCAAGGAACTCTTTAATGTAGGATCTCCATATGCTACTGCACCAACTAAAAATGTAATTGGTTTGGAATAAGATGATGAATCATCAACTTTTTTTTCAGTATATATCCTTCTCAATAATTTTCTTAGTGAAGTCGAATTACCTTTTATTGAAAGGCCAAATTTTAAGCCACCTGGTGGAAGAACTTTATTAATATCATTCTTAATTATTCGCATTAAAACTGAATTTTCTTCACAAGCCTTTACTTTGCGTTTAACAAGCAAGTTAATCATTAGATTTGCAAATTCATCATAGTATCTTGGAACGGTTAGCTGTGGATTAACTTCAATTAGTACGTTTCCTGTTGTTCTAATATATATCATTAATTTACCTTTTTTATTTAATGGACTGTCTAGAAGAGCAAGCAGGCACTGGTGCAGTATATCGGGACGAATATTTAGCATCATCTCCTCTTCCGAGAAGATGTTACTTGGGTGAGATAATAAATACTCATCAATATGCTTCTTTGAATGAACCAATCCGTTTAGTAATTGTAATGCCTTGTTTTTAGTCTCCACTAGTTCTAGACAACTAGGAAAAAGGAAAATTAATCAAAGCAAAAGAAGAAAAAGTATAGGGACTTACGCCTGGTCTAATAATATGACGAGTTTCTGTTCAACAAGCCAGTTATTCAAATCTTTTGGGACTTTTATAATATTAGTATTCATTTATTATGAGAAAAGAGTGTGAATATAGAAGAAGTCCTACAACTACACTCAAGTGGAATACCGCACTTCTCCTTCAAACAAGAATTAAGAAATTTACTTTAAAAAAATCAGAGATCTGGTGCTCCAAAATACTATGGAAACTTCTATAGATACTAGATCACTTGTTAAAGATAACAAAGATAGAAAAGTAATTTCTAAGACATCTGAACTAACAGGTTGCCAAATTAGTATTGTCTTAATTGAATCGTAAGTTTATATTTTATCCAATACCAATAAAATACTTTAATATTCCCCTCAGGTCACTTTGTATACATAAAAATAGCAGTGGAAAGATGGAACTACTAACAGAAGACAAAAAAATTGGATGGAAAGAAGTCAAGAATCAACCTACAGAAGCAAGACCTGACATTGTTCATAACTGTCTATTAATGATATTAGATAGTCCTCTATGTAAGTCAGGATATTTAAGTGAAATTATCATATTAAATTACGATGGGAAGATAATTAGTGTAAATCCCATATTTCGTGTACCAAGATCTTTTAAAATATTTGAGAAGGTATTTGTAAACTTTCTTTCTTCAAATACAGGTGTACTTACACTACCTGACAACTCACAAATAACATTGTTGAAATTATTAAACCCACCTCTACATTCATATATAAAAAAAAGTAATCTTATTATTGGATTCTCTAGAAGTGCGGATATAAGACACTTCCCTCAATTTGTAGAGGATGTTGTCACTCCTCTACTTTCTCAACCATCTCTATGCAAAATATGTTGTGTTGTGGGTGCAATATCTAATGGTAATCCTGTTGAAAAATTCCAAAAGGATGAAAAATTACTTACTCACTACATATCAATTAGTAATTATAGTATGCCTGCATCTATATGCTGTTCAAGAATATGCAGTGAAATTGAAGAAGCTCTAGGGATCTTTTAAAAGTTATACTTCATAGTTAACTAGCATCATAGTAATTATAATTGCCTTGGATATAGATTTTTTAAAAAAAAGATCAAAGTGATATCTCGTATCTAATCTTATTGAGAAATATTTGAATTGATATTTGACTGTGCCTGAATCATTTGAGCATGTAGCTCGAACATTTGGCACTCTTTCTCATAGTGAAATAGGACAGGGACAGCTAGAGTTAAGATACTCGTAACTCCTATCCATAGGAGTTGACTGCCAAGCCAAATTCCATCTGAGCATATATTAATTAATCTATTCTGAACATTTTTATTAGTTAAACAGAAAATATAGAAAAAGCTTATTATTTAATTATATGTATACACAGATAGTTTAGAATCATTTACTTACCCTTGCTACAGGGATCTTCTCAATAAATTTTCTATAGGACATTTTTAGAAGTAGAAACTTTTAACTACGTACTGGAAAGTTTACAACTTTAAAACCGCGAAGTGGAGAAATCTAGAAGTGAATTATTTCCCATACAGTTAACTGCTGAGTAAACATTTTTATTTTATAGCTATCTTACTTGTAATGTAGAATTTCCTGTATTATTAAGTAAATTCCTTAAAGTAGTGAATGTCATATATTGCTATGTAGGACAAAATATCTATATATATAAGATATGACTATCACTTGGTGCTACCCAAAAAATCAACAAATTGACACTTAAAACTTATGATATATACTATCCCTTAAAAAAAAAAGTCTTTGTTAACTGCCCCGATTTTCTCACACTACTTACCTATAGTATCCATGATTAAGGAGGTTTATTAGCCATTGTACCTAGTGTAGCTGACGTTATAGCCTAAAGGTTGTACGATACTACTGGAAGTAGGGAATGAAACATTAGAAATAAAGTGCATTTATATAAGAGAGTATAACATTAATATTGAAGACTTCTAGTAGAAAAAAAGTAATAGAGACAAGGTTTACTGTAGTCACTGCAAAATTAACTTTTTTCAAATACTAAAAGTGTCCTTTCCTCTAGTTGGCGAGTTTTAAAATTAAATTGCTCATCTGCACTTTTTATTACTTGTGCAACCAGCAATGTATTAGGTGGATATCATAGAGATTATCTTCTTAAAATAATATATTTTGTATAAAGTACTTCTCAACTATGTACAAAGTTATATTTAGAAGTAGCTACATTCTCGATATTTCATATGTTGAAATTTACAAATGTTTCACTTAAAAAAAGTATACAAAAAATAGGATACAGCAGAACGAAAATATATATTAAATTTATTATTGGAGGATAATCTTGGAAAGAGGTTTTGTGTTATCAAGTTAGATGAAATAAGTTATACTAAAAAAAATAGTGAGCTTGTTATGTGCACTTGTAATGAGATAAATAGTTTATACTATTCTAATTTATTAGTTATTCTTGCCAATCAGTTGCTCTCAACAAGTTTAGTGACTTTCACTACCATTTCAATGATGACTTCTGTAAGAAGCCCTATAAGTATTAAAATCAAAAACTGTGACAATAATCAAAGTAATTATACCATTAAAAACTTGTATGTTGTATTAATTATCTAGTATTATATCATGTATACTATCTTTTTGTACTTTTCATAAAATCATAGTTTAGAAAAACTTCAGAGGAACTATTTAGGAAGCTATATTATAAAAAATTAACTAAATTGGTCCTATTTTCAATAGTTGCATCTGTTAAGCACTCTAACTCCTTCTTTAAAGTTTCTAAATTGATATTAGATGTCTGTTCAAACCACCCCATTGTTTTTGCAATGATATCTTTAACTGAATTTTCTGTCTCTCTATTTTCTGTTATATTCTTCAAGGAATTATTGATATTAGATTTATTAGCAAAACGTTTAGAAAGAAACCAAAGGTCCATGTTGTCATCATAACTTTGTGGCTTAAAACACCCAATAAGGTTTATATTAGCTTTATTGCTACTCTGCACACTTTTCTTAGACACACTTTTCTTAGATATACTCTTCTTTGAAAAATCTATTATTGGCATACTTGTATCACTTTGCTTGCCTGTTTCTAATTGAGTTTCACAGCTATCAGTTTTTTTAAGAGACTCTCTTAGTTCTAACTGTTCACTACTAGATTTTGCTTCATAATAGACTGTATTATTTGAGTATTTAGTCTTCAGCAAATTTAGTATAGACATACATGTGATATCTGTCTGTTCACCACTTCCAGTATTATTACTTGTTGAAGAATTTCGATATCTTATATATGGAACTATGCAGAACCTACAGCAATATATACTTTTTATATTTTTTTTATTTTTGAAGCTCAGCATTTCCTTTCTATATAGATTATAATATTCATGCTAAAGTAGTCAACACTTAAACACACAGCCTTGCCGCACTAAATGTGTATTATAGTTGGATGTTTGTGTTTAATTGAACAATCCCATCAATTATACTTCTTAAATACTGTTGAAACTAGATATATATAGAAATCGAAACAAATACTTGTATTTGTGTGTTTCAATATATCATTAGCTTTAGTTATAATTATCTCTATAGCAAGAAGTTGTTATAACTGAACTAAAAGTAGTATTAAATTAATTATTCAATTTACTCAGATATATATACTAGAAAGTACTGGAATAAAATATGCAACTATTTTAAAGTGTTAAGAAGGAATCCTGTTATATAGATTATTACTTCTTAGATTAACATAATTTGAAATGGCTACTTCATACAGTGATTAAACCAGAATAAATAACCTATACTCCTGAAAATGTTGACATATATTTATTATTAAGGTGCAAAATTTCAAATATTATAATACTGAAGATCACCATTATTACTGGGACTTCTTTTGCTAAAGTACTTAATGTACTAGTACTCTTTCAACAAGACCTTATGACAGCATATGTAAAAACAATTAAAAGTGTTTATTTAATATTTCAAAAATACTTATATATAAAATACTAAAATTACTGTAAAACTAAAACTATAATTGAGTATTTTTACTAGTATTCTTAATATAGGAATAATCAAATCTTATGAACTTTTTGAGATTATAAGCAAAGCGATGTTTATATTTTTACAAGCTGGATTTTACTTGTTTATTTTATAAGATATAGTACCAAAAAATTTGCATCCATTTGTAAATTTACGTATTATAGAGACTCTGTCGTAAATTTAATGAACACAAAATAGATTTTGTCTACTATTAAAATTGTAGTGACAAAGGAACACTATTAGGTGTAGTATCCTCCAGCACCATCGTTACAATAAGATATATCACACTTTCTGAAAGCTAAAACAAATAATAAGTTAGGTATAAATACAATTAATATTGTAAACTTCAATATATTATTCATATATAATATTATTTTAAGTGAAAATATTTCAAAACTCTCAATGATAAGAATGCTGATCAAATTAAGACACTATCAATCCTTGGATTCATCTAGGTAAAATCTTTTATATGCTCTAACAGGAATAATTTAGAGAATTCCAACAATGTTTCGTGAAAATTTGTTGGAGTAATCTAGCTTACGTTTGATACAGTTAGTTATCCCGAAGTTGTTCACTTAAGTTCCTTTTTTTTATATAATCATATATATGGCTAGTAGGACACTTATATTTTACTTTTAAGTACCAAATATAAGATAAAAAACATTATGAGCGATAAATCGATTATTTGCTACAGTCCTAATATGTAGAAACTAGTTTCTCCTCTTTTGCATGTAAGTCTTGGAGAAACCTTCATGTCAACAGGGTACCCGCTCACTGTCTAACTGGCTTGTATCAACATCTCAAAGTATTATGGCCACCAGGAAAAGATTTTAAACTTATGCTGAAGCATGTGTACTTTTATATTTATATTTCAATTAGTATATACACACTATGTAGTGTCATGGATATACAAGCTACAGACATAAACTATAATGTGACAAATTACAATAATGGTTCGAAAATTGAATACTTTAATATACAAATATCTAAACAAGAGGAGATAGGTTCATTGGAAGATATAAAAATGCACTTGGATATTTTAAAAAATTATTATAAAGATGATGAGTCAGTTATAGCTATAGAGTCAAATAATTACACTAGTAAAGAGAAAGAGAAATATGTGAAGAATTTGTCCTTTACAAAATCTCTTATTGGTACTTATTCACATAATATTGGTAGTAAAAAGTTATATCCATACTTTAAAATAAGCTCAAGAAATATTTTCTCTGAAAATATAAAATGTCCTACATATGATCTATTCAAAATCAACTTTAATGAAACTGTACAGAGCGCATTGAAAAACAATATACTTACAAATATAATACAAGCAAGCCAAAATCTAAATCGCACACTTAATATGATACCATGGTCTCTCATTCAGAACAGTGATAAGTACACAATTGCAAATGTACAAATTGCTGCTCTTAAGGTTGCTTTATTATCGACTATCGTTAGCTCCAACAATAGACTTATAAAATTTTACTCGGGTAATAAAGAAAGTGCACAGAGTCAACAAGAAGCACTGAAAATGGGAACTTTAGCAAGAAGCTTGGCTAGATATGCTTTGGATACATGTTATACTATCCAGATTTTAATTAATACTTCACCTGAATCAAGCGAAAGCCTGATGACAATTCCTGGACTAAACCTCTTGTCTTCAAATAAGCTGGGATTTTCATTTTTAAAGAATTTAAGTAATAATACTAAGCAATCAATATATTATAACTGTTCTGAATTTTTTTTAGTCAAAAAAAAGGCACGAAGTATATTTTGTTCAACATTGTACTTATCACTTGTGCTGCAACTAAAGTGCAAAGTAGCAAGTGTCGGTATATTAAATGAGTCACTATTAGGAATTATGTGGCTTAAGCGATTAAACTCTACATTATTTGAGACTTTAAAGCTTTTGGAAATGATATGGTATGGCTACTTTAACCAATTACCTTTAATGAATGAACAATATATTCCACCAAAACCTTTTATCTCATGGAGTTCTGTAATGAAAAGAATTCATATTCAATTTAAAGATTTGATTATTTTTCATAATGCTATTAATAAATTAATTGGAGTGAAGGCATTTATTCCGTTGCTTAGTTTTATGAGTAGCATGACATCTGATGACATGCAAATAAAAGGCCTTCTTGAAAATCAATTACTAAAGGATTCACTCTTCCCACATCTTACAACCCAAAGTACTAATTCAGAATTTGAACATTTATTTGAACTATACAGAGTATCTGTAAAAGCAACTAATATACCTCATTATTTTAAAGACACACATTCAGGATCTCTTTTAAAGTTGAACAGCTCTTTAATTTCACTTCTTACGATAATTGGAAGCTACACTGATCATTTTTATATGGAAGCTGCCATTTCTAGTCTCAATAGATCTACTTATGAAAACAGTACTTTACCTGAATATCTTTGCAAAGACCTAACAAGTCACTTGTCTTTAAAAAGTATGAATACTCAATCAAAATTCACTAATGCGTTTCTAAAGTTAATAAATTGCTCTTATTTTTTACAGAGAAATATTACATATCAAATTGGGAAATTACGTGGGTATGAGATTTCTAGGAGAATGTTGAGAAAATTTATTTTAAATGCAAGAAATAAACTCCATGAGAAGTCTAGAGAACTTGTACTATCTGGAGGAAATCTTGCAAATATGTCACATAAAACGATTAAAGTAATGTCCTCTATATTTGAAATTATTTCTGGAACTGCCAAGATTATTAGAAGTGATGCAAAAGCTGCATCATTAAGAGTTGAAAAATTACAATTTACCCTTGATTCTCTGGGTCTTACCTTGGAGAAAATGAGTGTTAAAGTGGCAGTAATTTTGTTTAGTTCTGGAAAACTAAATAGTACTAATAACTCACTACTGATTCCATTTCAAATAATTCCATTAAGAGTTTCTATTAATGATGCTCTATATATGTCACAGCCAAAGAAGTTAAAAGTGATTACCAAGAGACTATACAGTAAAATAGCACACTTAAGTAAAGTCCTATCCCATCTGAGATCTTTTAATTTAAACAAAAAATTCAAAGATTTAGGGGAAAATGATGTTTTAAACAGAGATATACAATCTAGAGCTTTGTACATATTCAGCTATAAAAATGATTTAGTTAAAATTTATGAGCTAGTAAAGATACTCTCAAATTCACTACAGAACGTTGTATCAATAGTATCAGAGCCATTTCCTCATGATTTGTTGAACTCCCACCCAGTTCCTGAAATATACCTAGGCCGTGATGGTTATTGTGGAATTCAACGAGATAAATGGCTAATGCACAATTCTACTCTCTACTGGTGTCAAATTTACATTAGATCAAGGCAGTTTCTAAGAATTGATGAACTTTATCAACTCTTCTTGCAACAGTCCATTGCCTTAGAGAATTTAGAGAAAAGTGTATTAATTGATCTCTCCATACTTCTTTCAGAGATATGGCCTACAATGTTATTAAAAATAGGATACAAAAGCTTCCACCATTTACTTAAAAAAATATATTTGTTGAATTCAATACAGGATAATCTAATAATAATTTATGGTTTATCTCAAAACTCACTTGTCTCTTACGCAGGATGTCCAATTAATGCAGCATCATTACTTGACCTACTATTAAATATGTGCAGTCGAGCAGAACTAGCCATAAAGGATTCATCTATATTCCAGAAAAAAAGAACTATTAAAACAATTTTTAGGGGAGTACTTAAGTGGTTAAAAAAATTATTTAGTAAAAAAGCAAGGAAATGCAAACAAGAGAAAAATATTTTAAGGGATCACTTCAAAAAATATAGTCAGCTTTTGTTTGGACTTCAAGGAATTGTCACTGAACTTGATCTATACTTCGGTGTAAATCTGCAGAAAATTAAATTGACCAGATTTAAATCTGAGCCTAGCATCTTAAATTTGCTTGGCAAAATCGTTGTTACTTTTTACAAGACAACTAAAATTGGAAGAACTGAATCTAAATTGACAAAACATATTTATAGTAATATTCTTACAGAATGGATACATATAGCTAAAGATGTCAAAGAATTTGAGCAATATCTAATTCACGAATTTAAAATGTTGATGGTAAGTCTCAAATTATGCTAAAAAAAAAGAGGGTATCCTATTGCTATTTAACTTTTTATTTCTTTAGCCTCTATTTATCCAAAACATTGAAATAAGAGAACGTTCCAATATAATTGTCCATGAATTACTTAAGAACGATGTAAGTTAAGTACTTCAATCCACTTTAAAATTGATGTTTTACTTAGACTTTTTTAGGAGATCTTGACAAATTTAGTTTCAGAATACAATATAAGGTGGGGGAAATCAAATAAGTAGCAATAGTTAGCATTTTATCATGGTCTACATTGCTTCTAATACAAAAAAGATACTGTATTATCACTATGTAACAGATATTTTGCTGAAAACAGAATAAAACTAATAAAATAGCACAGGTTTTCAGAAAGAAACGAGTAAGCTTCAACACAATAATTATTTAAATCTATCACTTTAAATTGACATACTTATTGGATATTTAATCCTGTATTTTAAAAGCAGTTAGTTTCTTATAGCTTTGGACTTCCCTTTGAGCTTTTAGGGTGGCAGTGATCAATCTCTTCTTTATCCTCCATACTGCGCAATAGTTACTTTATATTGTCAATTCTCATTAAATTGTACTTGTAAAAACAATGTAGTTTGTCAAAGTGAGTAGAAGTGGTAGAGCAAACTACCAATACTTAAACCATTCAGAATTCTCCTTTGTAATTCAGTCATGGAAATTCACTTAATTTTTGTAACACTTGTATCCACTCAAAATAAGTCAACTTTTGCTGTAAACCTCCTAGAAATATACGATAGAAAGCATTAATTTCAATATTTACAAGTGTTGAAACTCCGCCTGTTGTTTATTAGTCAAATGTAGCATTTTCTATATAAAAAACGCGTTGCAATATCCTACTCAAGCGCATACTGCACCGTGGTCTTTAGATACATTTCACTACAGTAAATAGGCACAGAATTTCAGGACAAAAATCATTTACTTGGTTTATTTAATTTATTCTATTCAATAAGCTAATTCTTTGGTTCTCAGAAGTTACAAATTCTTGTAATCAACACTTCTCCACTAGAATTGTATTTCTGTTCTATTATTGCAAAAAAAATGTATTTCCAAAAATATTCTCTTCTACTAATTACTGTTACGCAAGTTTAATATTTCTTAACAGTAAGATTTTCAGGTGTGACTTTTTTTTTTATCTGTTGCTATATTGATGATAAGGGAGTATTTATCTACATAATTACATATAAAAAATGAATTATTCTGTATTCTAATAATCTGATAAACATGAGAACGCTTAGTAAGTAGTAAAAAACACTGTAGGGCACTCATAATAATTCAGATCCATTATAAACTCTTCAGCGCCACTTTTAGTTTATGAGCAATCCTGTTAATTAAAACAGATAAAGTAGTTGGTCTTATGAAACCTGCAGGAAAATTCATTCACTTTGAAGTTGAACCAGTAAAGCATGAAGATATAGAAGATTTAAATGCAGAAGTAAAGTTTGAGGATAGCCCAGTCGAGTGTACATGCCCTTTTTGCAAAGAAGAAGTTGTTACTCAAGTACAGCTGGAGAGCTCCTGGTTCACATACCTAATGGCTTTTACTTTGTTCTTAGTATTGGGGTGGATAAGTTGTCCTGTATTACCCTTATTTTGGTCATTACTACAAGACTCTGTTCATACCTGTCCTCGGTGCTTAAACAAAATTTGCAGAAATGGACGAATAAAGTGTCCCTCTATTAAGTCTGAAGTTATGACAGTTAGATGTGGGAGTTGTGCTGTAGTTTTAAGTAGAAAATATGTTTTTGTGATTTTGCTTATACTCATTACAGTACTTGGTTTTACGTTGCTACGTACACTTTTGAGATTATATGGTTTACCTGATGTTGAACGTGGATTACCTACAGAAAAAACCTGGTTATCATTTTTAGAAAACTGTGGCACGAGATCATATCTCGGAAATCCCATAAGGGCAATAAAAGAATTTGAAGATCATTACCAGTATAGAACAGTATCTTGGAGCGGAAGAATCATTAAAGTTCAAGAAGGATTTTGGAAGAAGCACTTTATATATATAGGTATGGACCCTCCTCAAATTACAACAACATCTGGGGGTCCTGTTCCTGACTTAGCATTAGCATTTAATGAAATATTACTTCCACAGGTAGCGCAAATAAAAGTTGGCGATCTAATTGAATTTGAGGCAACTCTTGTGGAATTTGGGAAACGTGGTCATCCACATTTTGGACAAATGTGGAACTTTACAAAAGTTGATGATTTCACGGCACTAAATATTTTCCCAAGACACAAAAACATGCTACTTATGATCCCATTATTTGAAATGATGAACCAGATAACTGATCAGCTATCTAAGTCACTTCGAAACAGCACAGAGTTTTACCTCTCTGATACTGATGAAGGGAATGGAATCTTCCACACGCAGTACAATGAGAATTTTGGTGCATTTAATGAGCCTACTCAGCTGGAAAATAGAAAAGGAGACGTTTATTATAAGCTTCCAGGAACACAACAAGATAGTAAAAGTCAAAGTGAGAATTATGAACATGACTCTTCATCTAATTAGTTATCTAACCTATTATTTTGGTAACATTGCGAATAAACTGCATTAGCAAGTGTGGTATTTGTATGACATATCTTCTCAATATTTTAGAACACATTGGAATATATAGTTTCAAAATTCTGTCTTTTAATTTTGGATGTAAATTTAACTTCATAAATATTGTACTCACCTTCCTAATATAATTTAATAAATTATCTGCAAAATATATAAGATTGACTCTATCGAATATCTTAGTATCTAGAGGTCCCATTTGATACTGAAATAATTCAGCAGGTGAATCAAGGTCGAGTTGCTGCTTCTCAAGATCATTCAAATTGTATTCATAAAAGCTATATGTGGATTTTCCATTAGGTAGCAGTTCTTCAATAAGAATTCCTTTAATCCACTTATTATCTCTCTTAAGTATATAAGCGTTTTCTCTTCTAGTTGTATTCATATTAGAGACATTATAATTTCCTCCACTTTTCAATGCATATTGCATTTTCAAGAAGATATCTTCGAGCTCAGTAAACATTTCATTAAAAATATCAGACTCCAATTTCGATGTAGTACTACTGTTATTGTTAATATTATGGTTTAACTCACTATTTAAAGAATGATCATACATGTATTGCGAATTGTATGTGTTATAATAGTCATATTTCCTACGTCTTTCTTCATTTGAAAGTGTTTCGTAAGCTTCTGATATCTCCTGAAACTTTTTCTCCGCTACCACCTTATTTTCAATATTGCGATCAGGGTGCCATTTTAGTGCCAATCTTCTATATGATGTTTTTATATCTTCAGGAGTAGCCATTTTATCTACACCAAGTATTTCATAATAGTTCAAATTTCTCTTTGTACTCAAAAATCTCTGCAGGTATGCAGGTTTCCTCTTTTGAAACAACCTCAAGTCCGCATACTTAAGTAGAGTACCTTTAAGGCTGAAAAGATTGGTTAACATAAAAGAAGCCAAGCAGTAAATATAATTGTACACATAGTAGAGTTAATTAACCTGAAATAATACTTTTTTCCTATAAAAAATATGAAGACCGCCAAAACACAATATCATTTAATAATGTATTATTCAGATAGGGACTTTCTATTTAAAACAATATATAATATTTTTTTTTTTCAACAAATAATAACGCATAACTTTAAAGTCTTACATGTGAATAGTTTTTTAAGTATAACTTATATTTAAAGTGAATCTTACCAAAGTATTGCTTCTTTTATGAATCACACATTTTTGTTAAAATAGAGAAATTTGATAGTACCTAAAATTAATATATAAATGATAGATTTAAAACACTATAAGCTAGGATTCATAAGGAAATAACTTTTTTCCTTTGTAAGAAACCTATATACTAGACAATATAATTAGGAAATATGCTGTAACTAAGTGAGTTGCCAAAAAGTTGGTAACTTAGCAATACCTAGCTTGTATAATGGTGCGTACTTTATATCATTGATGCTTTTAAGTACATATATTAAATTTTGGAAATAGAAGCACCTCAGCATTAATAAGTGATCAAACTTTACCATTATAAAACAGGAGTACTTATCATAATAGTTATTGAATTACAACTTCTATTAATTTAAAGGTTTGAATTAGAAACACTAGAAATAATGTAAGTATATGTTAGTAGACTGCAGTTAAATTAAATATTCTGTATATTACCATTAGATCGACAATATCTAATCAATAGTGCCAAGTGCATGGACAGGTTAATGGTAGGAGTTTAATTAGTCAATTAATTTCCTAAATTGGATTAAAATTTATTTCAGTACATCCACAAAAGACTATAGGTAAATTTAATCTGAAAGTTTATCTACAGTATCTATATTCAATAAAGTAAATCGAAAAAAATTCAGTAGTAAGTCACTACTATTTATACTTGAAATTTTGTATCAATAATTTAATTGAAGACGCTTTATTTCAAGTAAGAACATTACTTCCTATTATGTAGTTTTGGTCTTGCAGACCTTGATATAGAATATGCTCTAGATGGGATTTCATCTTGTATATACCCCTTTTTTGTCATTAGTTTAAGTTTACTTATATCAAACTCACTGTCCTCATTACTGCTTTGTGAATATATATTTGAGATAGTTATATCTTTACTCTGCACAAAATCATTTTTTCTTTTATTTACAGAGTTCACATTTGAAGTCTGGAACATACTAATTCCAAGATGAGTGCATATGTCAGATATTGTAGTAACTGAGAAATCAATAGTGTACAAACTATTCCAGATAGCTATCAAGCACAACACTGACTTTGGTGAACTTGCTGTCATATCAAAAATAACTGGTCCGAAAAACAGTAGTATAGATCCTATATAAAAGGGTAGCACTGGCCAGTGTAAATATGGAAGTTGATCCTTAGAAAAAGCAGAAACATTCATTCTTAATGCTATTATTGAACTACTTGTAACAAATACATAAAATGAGGAGATAGGTAAAATATTAAAGACTCCTGATGCAAAAAAAAGGATTTGGAATGCAATATGTGACAGAGCTCCACATACTTCCAAGGATGCAGCTTTCTTACTTTGTTGATCTTGACATACCCTTATGCCCAAAAGAATATCATATGCAATTGTAAATATTCCAAATATTCCTATTGAAAATAGCATTATATCAGAAATAGTAACTTTATATAATATTATCATATGTAAAGTATTATAGTTGTCAAAGACGGTAAATAGCAAAAGTAGCATTACAAAAAATTGACTTTCAGTTACTCCTAAGAACTTAGAAGCAGAGCACCGGTATACATGACAGTGATACTCAAGCCACATATATATCATCATCTTTAATTGAGCTATAGAAATTAATGCGAAAGTTGCAAAGTTCCATCCACAGCAACAAGTACCACATACAATAGTCGTAAGGAAAATTGTAGAATAAGAATCAAGTCCATGATCTAATAATTGTCCTAGAGGAGAACTTAGTTTTAGCCTACGAGCTTGTTTACCATCAGCTGCGTCTAATGTCTGGTATAAAAACAAAAGGAGAACGATGGCAAGGGTAGAAGGTAGTAATAGTCTTTGATCCAAAGACGGGCTATAAACTAGTAATATTAGTATTGATAAGAATGAGCATATAAATCCAAGGATTGTTAGCCCGTTAGGTGGCAAAGTTTCTGGTAGACTCTTTACAAAGTAATCCCAAAAGATATTCATGAACTCATCACAGTAAGTTGCTCCACCACCATTATAATTGTACGACTCTATCCTCCTTAAGCCATCAGTAGTTACATATCTTCCAAAAAGACCAATTTTTGGTAAATCAGTTCTATCCTCATTCATATTAAAAGTTTAACTTAAAAAAAATGAAGTGACCCGCATTAACTTGCAAAATTTTCAGTTTTAAGCGGGGAGGGATTGGACTAATGTTTTCTTTTAAGTGCTTGATGTAAACTGCAAAGGCTTACAACACCTTCTTTTCAATATCTTAATCCCGTTTACTATGGAACAAGTAACTTCGCAGAGAAGCAGTATATATAGATCCATATAGATGTGTACATTTCTAGTCCCTTTCTAACGTAAATATTATCTGTCTTTTAATGTTTTTCAATGAAATATTATGAAGGAACTTCAGATAGCATAGATTGATACCTAGTATATTCTTAGTTGTGCTAATATATTCTTGGTTTCTGCAGCCTATATATAAGGCTTAGTAATTAAATTAGCTGCAAAATGTAATAAAGAGGGAAATAAGGGAGTCTCAGTAGCGCAATGTAACTAGTACAAGGTGGATGAGGGGACAGAAGTTAGTGACTCCAGTTTGAAATTTGTAGACCAGTAATACGATAACATTACAATATAAATGATCTTTGTGAATATCTTTCTCTTATATGTATTTTTTTTTATTATAACAGCTTATGGAAAAAGCTATTATGAAGTATTGGGCATAAAGAAGAATGCTAGTGCAACAGAGATCAAGAAGGCGTACCGACAAATGAGTCTGAAATATCATCCTGATAGGAACACATCACCAAATGCATCTGAAATGTTTAAAGAAATAGCGACGGCTTACGAAGTATTGAGTGATGAAGGGAAAAGAAGTATTTATGATCAATTTGGAGAAGAGGGTCTAAAGCAACATACAGATGGGTTTCAACGAAATGATCCTTTTGATTTGTTTTCTATGGGTTTTGGCGATATATTTGGTATGGGACGTGGAAAAGATAGCAGTGATACTCCTAGAATTGCAGATACTATTTTGAAGCTTCACGTTTCACTAGAACAACTTTACTTTGGCGAGGTGATATCAGTTTCATACAATAGACCAGTTGTTTGTATCAATGCTGAAGATTGTTTTAAGAATCGAAATGATTGTGCTGGACCAGGGACAAGATTATTTACTCAACAAATGGGTCCAGGTTTCATGGTCCAGCACCAGATCAATGATCCCTCATGCGTTGCGCGACGAAAGGGATGGGATAAGAACTGTAAGTCATGTCCAAACGGTCCAACAGAGCTTGAAAGTGCTATATTGACTGTCTACATAGAGGCTGGTATGCACACAGGTGATACAATTCGCTTTGAGGGTTCTGGAGAACAGAAATTAGGTCATGAACCTGGAGACTTGATACTAGTAATCCAAGAAGTTGAGCACCATCAGTTTAAAAGAGTAGGAAATGATCTACACACAAATATGGTGATTGATTTGGTGGATGCATTACTTGGATTCTCAATACCTCTGAGTTTTATTGATGGTAGTTATGTGAATATTAAAAAAGATACGATAACCTCTAATGGTGATGTACTCCGAATTGCTGGAAAAGGCGTCCCTATATCTAATTCGAAGAGTAGTGGAGATCTGGTCATAACATTTACCTTGCAAATGCCTACAAAGCTAAGTAGTACACAGAAACAGCTTTTGCAACAGGCTCTTAATAAAGTGTAAACAATAAACTTGGATTATGACTTCAAGAATCTAGCTAATTAAAAGAATTCAAATAGTACTTATGTTTAGAATCAAAAGAATACATTAACTATTGCTGAAATTGATGCTACGAAGCAACCAGAAGTGCATAGCATTATCATTATTGTTAGTGGGTACTTAAAATAAGGTGCACCCCAATAAGTTCGGAACACCTTCAAATACGCAACAAATGGTAAAATGAGACATATCAAGGTTTCAAAAAAGCCAGTAGCAATCTCAACTAAAAGTAAGAGGTCCCCCATATTTGCAGCTAGTGCTATTGAAAATGACAAAAAAAGTACAACTACTATAAAACGACCTGAAGTATTGATAGAAGTATGTTTATCTCCAAATAAATCCTTTTGTATACTGACCATCTCACTTGCTTTATTTTTATTGAACCAATACAACTCACCAAAGCCCCTCAGTGATATAGAAGATAACTTATTTACCTCGCTGTTTTGGGGTATAAATGTTGTAGAAATAGTAGAATTTAATAGAATTTGAGAGGTATGATCTTGCTGCTTCGAAATAGTAGTTGGGGTGTTTTTTCTATAATTTTGATAATCTAGAGTACTTAATAGAGCTGATTTGTTAGTAGCACAGTCTTCATTTTCATTATTTGGATGTGACTCAATCTCATCTTCAGTTTGGAACACTTCAAGGATATTAACAGATGCAACTGAGGATCCCCGCCAGGGATTAGGTTGTAAAGTAGTTGACTGTTTCCCTATATGTATAATATTAATCTGTTCAAGTGGTACTGTCAGTGCTACTATAATATTTGAGAGAGATGATACTGTCGCATGTAATGATAAAGTACATGCTACCAAATTGGAAATGCTTAAGCAGATCTTTGATAGTAAAACTAAGAAGCTTTTACTATTATTATAATTTGAAGCAACACTTGGTAAGGTTGCATTTCCAAAAGTGAGGTATGAAATAATGGTTATAGTTACAAATAGTATGAAACATGAGATAGAAACTGTACCAGAAAGTATTAATAATCTACCTGTTGTTGGATTGATTAATTCATGCGCTGTTGTTGGGGAATTTTCATGATTAGAAAATGCAAAACATGATATAGTCAACATCTTCAAACACTGTGAAAATGTTATATTGGGATTCCACCACAAAGTAACTCCACGATTTTCATCTGCTCCAACCGTAAAGAAGTACTGGATCACTGTTATTGCAAAAAGTATTCCTGAGATTAAGGAGAGCCAACTAATAAAACGAGATGCTTGTAATTCCTTGTAGAGACAAAAAGGTAACATAATAAGTGAGCAAATACCCATCATTATAACTGGTCTATTAAAGAAATATTTCGGAAAGATATTTATAGTTATCTGTCCTGTGAGTTGTTCGACACACGAGCACCATATAAGTAAGAAACATGGTAACATAATGGCCATACCAAAGAAAATTGGTATATTAACTGCAAGGGAAATTAATCTTGTTTGTAAACTACTATATGTCCTTTGTCCTCTATAGTTATTATTTTCATGTTTATCTGTAGAATCACTGTAAATAATTGACTTGAGTAATGTATTTCCAAAGTTATCTGCATCCAAATGAACAGCAGCCTTCATTAAAATCAATTGTGTAAAGAATAGGGTAGTACATGCAAAGCTCATTATTATAACTCCCAGAAAAATACCAGTTTCCCTCATACATGCTGGTAAAAGCAGTACAGCTGAAGGAGATATCGACGCCCATAATACAACAATGTTCTGAATTAAAGAACCTTTACAAAAATATCCACTTCTAACGTTTTCAACAAGAGATAATCTCTGTTGTTGCATTTAATACTTCTTAAAAGGAGTTCTTAATTTTTTAACGACGAACAGTCAAAATTTGGCCAGAAATTGGTACATTTATTCACCGCCTCTCGCCGTACTTATGTTATTTGCTGTGTATCGATAGTAAATATATCCAAAATATACCGCCAAATATTCCGTGCATTGGCGCTACACAATATACTGTTAGAAATGATCTCTAAATTTGTGAAAACAACTCCTTTGTAGATACAATATTATCCTACTTAATACAACAAAAACAATATATATAAATCCTAACTTCAGTATTGAAGTCTCTATATCAATTGAAATAAGCTCTCAGAAGTAATTGATAATGACGGTTTCTATAAAGCTAGTTCATAGTAAAGAACTGTTATCCTAACTAAAAAATTATAACTCTAATTATTCACTACATTTTCGTTTGAGTACAGTACAATGTCTTTCCTAATTTCTTGGATTACTTCGGATAACGTCTCAGGACTTACACCTAAGCTGCATAAACGAATTAAAAGCACTAAGCTTTCCTTGTCTAACCCAGCTTCCAATAAATTAGAAATATCAGATAAAATATCAACTATTTCATTACCTTTGTCAGTTTCCATATTTGCGTCTTTGTCCTAACTAATTTTCACCAAATAAAATATCAATTACTAGAACTTGTTACGTATCCAAGTCTAATATCAGTAAAAAAAAAAATGGGACTTTTAAAAATAAAATAGGATATTGAGGCTTATTTTGTTGTCTTTACTTTTCAAGCAACTACCAGTTCCCACATAGAGATTAGTAACTCCAGAATATTGGCGCCATATTGCGTGATTGTGTGCTGTATGGTGTGTAGTAGAAGCTAGGACCGTTCGGACCATCTAGGGTCAAAATATCTATTAGGTAATGAAGTGAATTTGGATAACTACTTACAAAGAGATTTCTACCGAAAAGATAGTATTATCCCTTACAATTAAAGTAATTTAATTAGCTTTGTAATAAAAAAACTAATATCTTTCAGCATTATTTTAAACTAAAGTATTACAATGCATATCGCATAAACTTAATGGATTCTCTGAAATCTCATTGAAGTTGAACTCTGTAGAAATACGAGTGACAAAGTAATTACTGTGACATCAAAAAAAAAATTCTTCGCAAGAATATGCCAACTTTAGATTCTTCAAGTTCAACTACCTTGAGATGGCCTATTGGTGTTTCTATAGCATTGATTGGCTCTCTTTTGGGTGCTTTAGGTGACAATTTTGTAAGAAAAAGCTTTCTTTCCACTCAGAAAAGATATAAAATCGCTGAAATTTCGGATGTATCTGCTATTTCTAAGGAAGATATTAATGGATGCAGCCTTCACTCAAGCCCAGATAATTCTGCTCATATGAAAAGTAAATCTCCTAAGTTCTGGGAAATGCTCAAGAACCCTATGTGGCTTATTGGAATAATATTAGCAGCTGGAGCTGACACAATAGCTACATTAGCTGCATTAGTATTCGCACCTGCAACTCTAATTACTCCTTTTGCTGGGATGCACATATTTTGGAGTATGCTCATTGCCTGTTTGTGGCTTAAAGAGAGGATTGGTTTTATTGAGTGGATTGGTGCAATTTGTATTGTTGGGGGTATAATTTGTGTAGTTGTTTTTGCAGGCAAAATAGATGGATTCACTACAGTATATCAATTTGCACCATTATTGAAGAGACCTGCAGCAATATGTTATATAGTTATTAATCTTACACTACTGATTATTTTCCCACTATTAACTATGAACTCAGCAGCTGTATTTTTTGCAAAGTGTATTTATAAAGTGAAGGTTTATATGAAGAGAGTATCTCTTGACTTTTGCAATTTCAAGAGAAAATTGGTAGACTACTTTAAGAAAAAAAAAGATGAACATAAAAAGGACTTAAAAAACATAAATATCGAGATAAACTTGAGTCCAATTTCAACAGTAGCTACATCACATCAGAAGCAATCCAAACTAATTGACAATATATCAAGTATGGATTTAAATCCCAGTTCCCCAATAGAATCTGACGGATTTTCCGAAGTTTCATCACCTACTATATGCTCTGAATTTATTAAATCATCTGAATCAGTTGCAACAGACTTTGTAGATATAAAGGATATGAGGAGAATTATAATAATTTTGGAGGCATTTGGTGTAAGTGCCAGCTCAGGTATTTTCGGTGCAAATACCAATCTCTCAGCAAAAGTATTCACGCTATATATAAGTCAACTATTTTCAGGGAAATTCTCTTTTTTCTCAACGTGGGAATTTTATGTTGTAACTATAGTGACTTTAACTTGTGCTATATTTCAGTTGTACTTCCTAAACAAAGCTCTAAGTAAATTTGAAGCAATATATGTTGTACCAATAACAAATTCAATACTCATTGCCGCCAGTGAGGTCGGAGGAATATGTGCTTTTAATGAAATACCTGAGAGTGATGTTGGTTTCTCTCTTGGTGTCGTTATAATTATTATCGGAGTGTTATTACTAAGCATATTTAAAGCTAAAAGGACTTCTATAGAGACTCCGAAAGTCCGTAGTTTTGAAATAAATAGACTAAATGTAATAGAGGAAGGAAATACCCATCTCTCATTTGTAAAAGATGAGGTTATACTGCAACATGTAGAAGGTGGGAATAAATAAGTACGTAAGGTTATAATAAATGATATATATGTCTACGTAAATATTTGTGGAACTTATATTAATTAAAATGTTCTTATATTAAATACTCCCTAGATATAGTCATTCTAAACTGAAACCAAATGTAGTCGCAATCAATTCTTCCTGTCCTATGTTCCATAAAGCAACTGACTCACCACCAAATGCTACCAGAGCAGATTCATCTGGGCAGCTTTTGCAAGTAAACAATCCTCCATTCTTCAGCTGTTTCTCTGCAACACAATTAGTCATATCTGTGAGATTCCATATCTTTGCTATTCCACTAATGTCACAACTAACTAACATATTTCTGATATTAGTTGTACATATGCCAGTTATTGGTTTGTTATTTATAGATCCTTGTGAACAAAAAATGCGGCCTTTGTTAGCACAATTTAGAATCATCCTAGTGTCAAATCCAATTATAAATCCATTTTCAGTAGAAATAATTACAATATATTCACTTCCAGAATAATTAGGTATAGTCATTGATTCAGGTTCCCCATATTGCTCATCATAATGCAGTAATACACTATCTCTTTCAGCACTTCGTACATCCCATATATGTAAAGCCCTGTCAAAATCAGCAGAAAACAAGATATTTCTTTCCTTTGGGTGCCACTCTATGCATTGAACTTTATTTTTACACTTTTTATAGCATTCAATGGACTTATTTTCTACTATATCCCAGACTCTGACTGTCTTATCAGCTGAGCCTGAACCAAGAATCGTTGAGTTTTGTGGATGAGCATGGAGACACATAACAGCACCCTTATGACCACTACTATTTCCTCTCTCTCCAGGTATTTTGCCTAAAATTCTAACTGGATCTAAAGAGTCTATAGAATCTAAGTCCCATAATTTAATTGCACTTTCGAACGATCCAACAGCTACTATATTCTTACTTTCATCACACTTCATAGGATCATAAAGCCAGTCCATACAGAGTGGGTATCCTCCAATTAAGACATCATGATGCACATAAAAGCTTCCATCATCAATAGAATACAGATATACTTGTAAGCTAGCAGTGTCATCTTCAATAACAGTTGATGCTATCAAAGAATCGTCTGGTCTAACTACTATGGCATCCTCATTATCAGAGTCATTTAAGACTTTGTCATGTAAGATGTATGGGTCTTTCTCAGACATACTAAGTTCATTTTCAATAATATGAAAGAAATTACTACCATAAGGTGTGCTCCTATTTTGCCTAATATCATCATTGAGAAGAGAATCAATTCCCATCTTGTTTATATATTCCTGAATTTCATCATCAGTCATTGAGAAATGTGCACGACATTTAGGGTTACTGGCTGGATAGCCCCTTGGAATCCATATTAGTGAGCTCACAGCAGTAGACTCCATATACTTCGGAGCTGTTAATTATAGCTAAGAAAGTTAGATCCTCTCCTCCAAAATGTCACCAATAAACTGTTTGCTTGTTCCCGGGCTGTCTCTAATTTGAGACATAACGTTGGCACATGGCTAGAAGTTACTTCTCGTAGTTCTAAATAATAGATATTTGACTTTTTTTCTAAACTATATTTGATTAGTGGAATATTACTGTTCAAAAAGCCATAGAAACTTGAAAATCTATTAAGTCTATAATGATAAGGAGGGGTATACGTTTAAGGAAAGAATACTTATTTCAAAAAAGCCTAGAGGAGAAGGAGAAGCAGATACTTGACAACAAAAAGAGAATCAGAGAAGCTATTGAAGAAGGTAAAGCTATACCTACAGAATTAGTAAATATCTCAACTAATTTACGTTCTTCTATAGACTTAGAAGACAATTCAGCAAAGGCAGCTTCAACTCTAGACAATGAGTATGGATTGTCAAGCTTAAAAGATCCCAAAATATTAATAACTACTTCAAGAAGTCCTAGTAGTCGCCTAGTACAATTTGTTAAGGAATTGAGTTTGATTATACCTAATAGTAGTCGTATAAATAGGGGTGGATATATACTAAAGGATTTATGCCATTTATGCCGAACAAACGAAGCATCTGATCTAATTATTGTGCACGAGCACAGAGGAGAACCTGATAGTATGATTATATCTCATTTTCCACATGGCCCTACGGCATACTTTGGACTGAGTAAAATTACTTTAAGACATGATCTTAATGTAAAGCCAAAGAACTTATCTCAAGTTAGGCCACATCTAATTTTCCAGAATTTCGGTTCTAAGCTGGGGATGAGGATTTCAAATATCCTCAAATTTTTATTTCCACAGGCAGCTCCATTTTCTAAAAGAGTACATGTTTTCTTAAATAACAATGACTTAATAATTTTTAGACACTATACATGGGAAAAGAAAGATGATGTAAAAGATATAGAATTAGAGGAAATTGGCCCAAGGTTTATTTTGAAGCCATATAGAATTGAATTAGGAACTATAGAGATGAAAAGTCTGACTGCTGAATGGACACTGAAACCTTATTTCAATAAGCAGAAATCTATCCTAAACTGAGAAGTACCGGCACAATTTGTGTACTGTATACTTCTTTCTACTAAAATATAATAACCATGAAACTTTTATATAGCGGTAATTGAATCCCTGTTCTCAATCCAATTAATACGTCTTCTAGCTGCAGCATCGCGACTTTGATGAGCGTTTTCTAAAATCCACCTAGCTGCTTCAGCTTCATATGCCCAGTCTTTGCTGATTTTTTCTAATTCTAATACAAATTTATCACTACTAGTGAAATTACTCTGAGTAATATCTGGAATTTCAGCGGAAATTCCTAGCTTTTCAAGCCCATTTTGAAAATCCTCCAATGATTGAATAGGATCCTTATCAATAGCCTTAATTGACTCCTCAAGCTGTCCTAATTTAGATTTCAAGATTTTGAATCTTTGAGTTTGTGCCAAAATATCTATATAAGCCATTTCACATTGTGCTGATAGTGATGCCTCAACTTCAAAGTAATTACTACTATGCAGTAGCTCACTTTTATCTGTAAAGAATTCCGATAAATCTTTTTTTTCATCCAAATATATGTTATTGCTAGAGAGAGTGGTGGCAGTAGTAGTACTTGTAATCAAATGTTGAAGTTTCAGATGAGGGATATCCTGTTCCTTTATATCACTGTTTATATTGACATTACCTTCAGAATTTAATTTGGTAATTTGGTCACCAGTTCCTTCATGAAAAAGAGTAAAAATTGGTGTATTAACACCAATCTTCTGTATCATGTCAATCTCCTGCTGCAAAAGTTTTAATGTACAATTGAACTCGATTTTTTCTTTTTGATTAACATCCTTTAGAGCAATTATTTCATTTTGAAGTTTGATCTTATCACATATCATATCCTGAATTAGCACTTTTTGGCTTGAAATTTCTTCTAAAAGAGATTTATTTTCATTTACTAAACACTGCTGAGAATTTTGTAGAGATATGAACTTATCTTCATAATTTTTTGCAATTTCTCCTCTTGCAATTTCATGCAAAGCATGGTAATCTGCAGAGCTTCGGGATTTAGTTAATTCTAATTCTTTTTTAAGAGCTTCATTTTCACTGTTTAGTTTCTCAAACTTGCACTTTAATGCCACATTTTCCTCAAGTTGTCTTTTACACACTTCATTTATTTCAAGTTCTCTTTTATTTTTTTGGTTAATTTCCTTATGCAGCTCGAGCTTTTGATTTTCTAAAATACCTAATTTATTTTCTAGTATATCTACTTTCTCATTATAATCACTTAAGGATTTTTTTAGATTCTCCATTTCTTTAAAAGAGAGGTCTTTGTCTATTAAAATAGTCTCCACTTCATCTTCCTTTTTTCTACAATATTGCAACTGTTTTGAAAGTGCTTCACTTAATTCTTGGTTCTCCCTGCTTAAAGAACTCAGTTTACATGACAACTTCCCACTATTTTCTTCAACTTCCTTCATAGACTGTTTAATATTGTTAATCTCAACATATGCTTGACCAAGGCGATTTAATGCCTTGTTAAGTTCTGAAGATTTTATTTCTGCTTCATTTCGATAAATATCTATTTCTAATTTTAGTTGCTCAATCGTGAGATTTGCTTCATTAATTGCCTTAACTCTGACATTATTTGTTCCTTCATATGCTACTTTGTCACCTTCCAATGCGCTATTTTGTTCCTCTAGCTTATATATCATTATCTTATAATTTTCTATAATGGAATTTAGCAAATTTTTTTCCTTTTCTCTCTTTTTTAGTACATCATCTAGCTCTTGTACTTTTTTGTTAAGACAGTTTCTCTCTTCCTTTAAAATTAACATTTCTTTGTGGTATTGAGCCTCTTGATCTCTTTTATCTTTTAATATATCACGAACAAATGTAATTTCATCGGTAAGTATGCGAATTTCAGAATTACTATCCTTCATACTGGCAATAGTTGACTTATATTGAAGTTTTTCATTCTCTAGTTGGTTAATCTTACTATTCAGATCTTCATTTATCTTGAGTATTCTCTCAAGTTCCTTCTCAGAATAGGATAAGTTACTCTTCAGGCACTCAAGCTTGCCATTCAAGTTACCTAATTCTTGCTCATGATCACTTAGAATTTTTTTTTTTTCATCTTCAAGAATAGTAGTAGATCTATATTCCTCTTGATATTTTAGAATTAAAGAGTTCAGCTCTTGACTCTTTAGTTCTAATGACTTGCTCAATGAAGAAATTGTCTGTTTCTCAGTATACAATGCAATCTCAAATTTTTGTTCTTGTTTCCTCAATATCTGCTTATTATATGAAGATATTGTTAGAATACTTGTATTCAAAAAGTTGTAAAGCTCTAATATCATGCACTTTACATCCTGTAATGATACTCTTAATCTATTCTGAATAGTAGTAACTTTTTTCACTTTTCTGCTTATATTACCCAAAATCATTTTATGATTAGAAGAGAAAAATAATGAATTAATATTATTTAAAGAAAATAGGAGTGACAGTAGCTGTGAAATTTGATTATTGCTGATCGTATGTACAGATTTTGGTACTTCTGCACATAGTGGGTAGCTATTAGTTAAATCAGGATTAGTTAAATCAGGTACTGCATTGCATATCTGAGTATTATGGTCATCACAACTAGGTGATATTCGTCCATTATGCTTAGAGTTAGGATTATAAAAGTTGTGGGTTAGTGAACTGGATTTAGAAGACTCATCCATCTGTATTATTTCTAGAGAAGTTAACTTCTGTGCGACAGATAACTCATTAGTCTTGCTTGTATGCTGATCAAAAACAACCCTTTTCAATAATTCTACATCTTTTTGAAGAGATTGTCCTTCACGAACTGTCTTCGCAAGCTCTTCTAATAATTCACTTGTTGTTTTTTCATTCTTCTTTTCTGTGCTAAATATTGACTTTTCACCCAAGTCATCTTGAATTACCACATCATCCATTTGCTCTTCACAAAACTCCATACTAGAATCGCTTGAAAAATCTATTGGGGGCGTTTTTTCAGATACTCTACAGGGATATTTCGCTTGCTGATTATCATCAGCACGCTGTTCCTCATTTAAGAAATACAACTTTGGATCCTTAAAATGGGATTTAAGCAGATAATCAAAAAAATCGCCATGTGCTGATCTGTACATCACTATAGTAAGTAGATGTTCATTACAGCTCTGGTGTTCTTGATTTCATAAATGTTAAAAGAAAAAGCTTATACATGCACGTGGAGTCAGACCCACAAACAAAACCTAAGGCGGCCATGATACAAGCCGCCTAGTTATTTTGAATATATATAGTTCTGGAAGTCTGGAGTATTTGCCATTAAACCGTCATATTTCCAAAGTTATTGCTTTGCTTAGTAGACAGTACAGTCGTAGCAATTACTGTTACTAAATAATTTCCTTAATATTTCACTGATACTACTTTACCACTGAGATATGTCAAAATTTGCAAAAAGAGTAATTATAGTATAGCTCTATTAATATCAAACAGAAATTGGTCTATAAGTTACATTGTAATATATTGGTAGAAGTGTTAGCTTAGATAGATAGTTTCACATTTGCTATATGTAGAACTGAAATAATTGACCTATTTACCTTATAGGTCTTAATACATAATATATAGTTGTTTTGCTAATCTTAAGAAGAATAATTTAATATATGTAATGCTCACTATTACTATCCCTCATAATGAAAGCTGCTTTAGTATGAACACCCTTCTTTTGTGCCTAAGATTTAAAAAAAAAAAATACCTAAACTTAAAGCGCCTATGATTGAGTTCAAAAGACACCTTGAAAGATCAAGTTATACTCAATTGCAGAGATTTTAACAATTCACAAAACAAAGATATTAGAACTGATAATATTCTTAATGAGATATATAATTTTATATATTGCACTAAACTTGATAACTTTAATTGTATCTAGTTATACCAGCAGCTTTAATGAAATTTTGTTAGAAATATTGAAATTCAAGGATGAAATAGTGACAAATAGAAGGCATCTACATAGCTTCCCTGAATTGGCATTTCAAGAATTCATTACATCATCTTATATTCAGAAATGTTTGAAGAGTTTAAATATAAAATTTGCAGTTGGATTTGCTGGCACAGGCATTGTAGCAGAAATAGGTAGTGGTTTACCGTGTGTTGGGTTGAGAGCTGATATAGATGGTCTACCAATACAAGAAAGTACTGATGTAAGTTACAAGTCACAAATAGTTGGACAAATGCATGCATGTGGACATGACGGTCATACTGCAATGTTACTAGGTGCTGCAAAGTATCTGAAACAAAATGAACATAATATAAAGGGTACTGTTCGTCTTTTATTTCAGCCTGCGGAAGAGGGTTTTGGAGGAGCTATTAATATGACTGCAGATGGAGCACTACATTGCAATGTATTTAAGGCAGGAGATATCAATGACTCAACTGGAATTGTCGAATCTATATTTGGTTTACACTTAAACCCTTTTTATCCCTCAGGTTATATATTAAGTAAACCAGGTATCCTTTTAAGTGCTTGTATTTCATTTCATATAGTGATCAAAGGGATCGGTGGTCATGCCTCTTTACCTGCAATATCAAGGGATCCGATTACAGCTGCAATTGCAATGATTCAAGCGATTAATATGATCTCTGCGAAGGAAACTCAACTCCCATCTCTAAATAAAGAAGTGGATGTTGGTGTGATATCGATAACTAAAATTAACTCAGGAACAGCTTGCAATGTTATTCCAGAAATTGCAGAATTCGGAGGGACAATTAGATCCTACAGTTGGGATACTCTAAATAAATTTGAGGAAAGGATTAAAACAATAACTTCGTCTCTTGCAATTGCATACAGATGTGAGGCTGAGTACTCAAGAACTGAGCCGCCTTTTGCTCCAACAATTAATGATGAAGATCTGTTTAACTGGGCTAATAACATTAATGGTATTAAAATTCGCGAAGTTGAATCTACCTTTGGATCTGAGGATTTTGGTTATTATTCATTTAATACAAAAACTTTATTTCTATATCTTGGACAGGGTGACTTTAATAATACAAGGTTTGGATTGCACAATCCTATGTTCAATATTGACGAAAATGTACTTCCAATTGGTGCTGCTCTCCATTCGTTCTTTGCAATGGAGCGTTTGAAATACCTTCATTCTAATAACTATCAATCTAAGAATGAAGAATTATGAATTATACATTATACTTGGAAAGAAATTATTTGCACATCTTTTAATATGAAACTATTATGTAAGAAAATTTTAACTTTGAGACAGCTAAATAGAGATAAGCAATTGTACCTGAACTGCAAGATGTTCAGATTAAGGTAAAGCTAAAAAGAATTTTATTTATTAGATAATAAGATAACAGAATTTGTCACATGAATATTTGAGGATTTATTTATCAATCTTAAGTGTTAGTTAAGTATTATGTGCGGTCTTTTAACTTAGTAGTATGAAATAAGTCAATTAGACCAATGTACTTATCCCCTGTGTTAAACGTAATGGAACCGTATATTTGATTTATTGGTCGTAAATTAATAGAAAAAAAGTCTGGATAGAGTACTTGTTTATAAGTTAAAACTAGGGATCTAATGTGCAGAAACTACTGAACTGTCACTGACACTGAAGTAATATGTTTTGAATGAAACTAATACGAAACTTTTTCTAATATTTTATTAGGTAATATAAGTAGATACCTGAATTATTTATATATTATATAATATTTATATAGATTATTTGTAGAGATATTTGCGGAGTTAACTATGAATACTTGATTAGAGATTTAAAGTTTAAATCAGTTGGAAAGTTCATGTAAAGTAATTTTACAAGATTATCTAAAATTACCTAATGGTCAAAAAAAAATTACTGAGTGCACTTTTCAAATAAACCTATAACTAGATAGATGTGTATCTAAATTAAGAAATATACTGTCCTCCAGACTATATCAATAATATGGATGATGTAAGTAGTTATTACCGTTAAGTTAAAGTTTACTAGGAATATTGAACTATTTTAATGTATACAATTTTGCAGAAACTATGCTTATTGCTATTTCTAAACTTAAATATATTATTTATGGACCAAGAAAGTTATTTAGAACTTTCGTACCAAGAAGTACTTAAATTTGCTAATAATTTCCTTAATTCAGTTTGAATATTAGTAGAAACATAAATTCTGAGAAAAATCTATAGAACTAATCAAATAACTTTAATATTATATAGTAGTATCTTAAATAATAAATATATAGTTATTTTTGTTTATTTATTTAATTTTTAAGTCAGATGATTGTAGCCAACCAGAAGTACTTGTAAAGTTATTTTTAAAGATAACTTGAAGGCTTGAATAAGACTTATTTTTAGGTAACATGAAGTTCAGGAAGTTAACAGAGTATTAAAGGTTGTCAATGATTTCTAAATAAAGATGCTATATTATTTGACATATATGATAGTTAAAATGAATATCTATAGTAATTGGTATCTATTAAGATAAAAAGCTATAACAAGTCTAACAATTAAAGTGTACTAACTCGTGAAAGCACAAATGAAGAGTTTATTTTATAGTAGATTTAAAAAAAAATCCTGAAATTTTGCAAAAAATTAAAACATATATTTATTAAACCAAAAGAGCTACTTATTTCAAATAGTAAATATCTCAATTTTACTTGTTGAGTATGGACAAAAAATTCTGTGAGTATACTTGTGGTATTTGAACATCTTTCTGAGCTAGCATCTTGGCTCTGGTTCTCCTTCTCTTAACCAATCTCCGATACAGAGGTTTTGGAACTAGTTCATCAAAAAACATATTTAGAAAACCCATCCCAATTGCAAGTATATATTGCCACCAATATATTGTAAATGTTCCAAAGATATGTTGCAAACCAGGAGTAAATGTGACTATTAATGTACTACTTGCACTTAAACTACATGCAAAATGCAACCATGGATTATTAAATAGAGCATATATAAACCAATCCCATGTCCTGACAGTATAAGCTCTCAGCATCTCACAAAATACGGCAGTAATAAATGATGCAGTTCTACCACGAATTGTTCCAAATGCAACTAAATCTAGGTATTCATCAGATAACTTTGTTGGAGGTATGCACCAACCATTAACTCCTCTTTTACATTGAATGCCGAGATTTTCTGCTTCATTATAAGCTTGCCATACATAGGGAATTTCATTTGGTGATAGCATGACTTCACTCTTCCCCATAGTAGCACCAAAAATTTGTTCCATTTGATTTGTCAAAGGATTAAAAAAGTCTATATTCGTTACCCAACCAATAGAATTGGAATTATATGCACCAAATCTCCATTCATGAGTCTGGCAATAATATCTTTCTCCATCACCATGGTGACATAGTGACTCAATAGCACCTCGACGGAAAACACCTAGTGATGTGTACATAGCTATTACTAAAACGACAAGTACACATGCAGCCTCAAAAATTGCATGGGGTATATTACCGAAGAGCCACCAGTCTCTAGTCATAATGGGACTTTTTTTAGGCCTTGGTGGTACCTTCATCATATCTGGGTCTGGAGGATCTACACTAAGAGCGACTGCAGGGCTACCATCCGACATCAGGTTAAGAAAAAGGATTTGTAAGGCTGCTATAGGGATAGGAAGTTGAGCAGCAATAGCTACTGATAAATACACAATTTCACCTATATTTGTACCAAGTAAGAAAGCAACAAATTTTTGTACATTAGAATAAATTTTTCTTCCTTCTTCTATAGCATTAACAATTGTGACAAAATTATCATCTAATAGGACCATTTCAGAAGCTCCTTTTGCCACCTCAGTACCACTTATTCCCATTGCTACACCGATATCTGCAGCTTTTAAAGCAGGAGCATCATTTACTCCATCTCCAGTCATTGCAACTACTTCTCCTTGCCTTTGTAAAGAACGAACTATTGCAATTTTATCTTCGGGTTGTGCACGACAAAAAACATTTACTGAAGATACAATTTCATCAAACAAATCATCACTTAAGTGGGGCTTACTAGAATCACCTTCTTCGTGTAGTTGACTGCATACAATTGATCCAGATACACTGGTCACCGTATGATTGGCAATAGCATCTACCGTTACACTTGATGCAGTGGATAAATTTTCATCAGCTAGTAGGCCAATGGATTTTGCTATAGCACATGCAGTTGGCTGCTGATCTCCAGTTATCATGATAACTCTGACACCAGCTTCACAGCACTTTGTTATTGCCTTTTCAACTCCAGGTCGTGGAGGATCCAGAAATCCAACCAATCCAAGTAAAATAAGCTCACGCTTTTCCAAGATATTTTGCAGTCTTTTGTCACTAGATTCTTCCATAACCAATTCTAGATAATCTTTACTTGTTAAAGGCAGGATAGCTATAGCAAGTACACGTAATGCTTCATTACTTAAATTTTTATTTGTAGCCTCTACTTCTGCTTTCTCACTAGATTTAATTTTATCTGAACGATCAAAGTAGACAAAACTTGATTTTTCGTATTTGAATGTTTTAAGAGTATATCCAGTATATTCAACGAGTTTATCAGGAGCTCCTTTAATAATCACAATGTGTGTATAAGACTCCGAATCAAAATGATCCACTGTTCTGGATACATGTTTATTGTTGTTATAGTCAATATTTTCATTACTAATCAAACAGCATACATCTCTTTCATTTACATTGCCTAAGTATATATCCCCAAATCTATTTTCTGTTGGAAGAGCATGTACTGTCATCATCATTTTTCTAGTAGAGGTAAATGGTACTTCTGCTACTGATATTCTCTCATATCTACTTTCACTAGGAATATGATTACTACTTGAAAATTTAGTCGGAGTATATATCTCCCCAAAAATACTGAAGTTATTCATGACCTCAGGTGTAGTATATTCTTCTACGTTAAATGTTCCTGGAGAATTCCCTGAAGCTGTTGATTCAACTAAAATAGATTGATTCAAATTAGCCATGTTCTTGTGTACTTTACCAGTCATTTCTATACAATTGACCGGATTTTTAACTTTTAGTACCTCTACATTTGAGTTCATTTCTACTTTATACTTAGGATTTTCAACAATTTTCGGTGACTCTTTGTATTTCCTTCTATAAAGTCCAAGCGATGCCTTTGCTGCAGCAACTACAAGTGCCCCTTCACTCATATTTCCTCTTGTACTCCATGTATTATTTTCACTATCAAAATTTAAAACTGTTCCATAACTATTTAAGTAACCTGCTAATAACGTAGTTCGGACGCACTTACTAGTTGCAATATGGCTATTGATAGGGCTACCATAATCAGTGCATATATTATTGTAATTCATTTGCTGTAGCAATAAAGTCGTTTCAGTGTAATCAGATCCATTAGGTTCTAGATTTTTATATTTGGGATGTATTGAAGGATTTATGTTCTTAGAGGCTAAATTCAGTAAGTCTTCTTTTACTTTCTGAGTTAAACTGGAAGCTTCGAAAACTCCACCATTTGGATCGAATCCTCTTGTAGGATAAAATGAGAATACTGACGTCATAAAATCTTGATTTGGTATGTTAGATCCAGTTTCTATATTATTGCATTGCTTATCTGTAGTAGATAATTTTCTTTCTTCTCTTGTAAATGTTGCCAGTTTGACTGCTGTCATTTTCCCCTCGGTTAGTGTCCCTGTCTTGTCACTGCATATCACTGAGCAACATCCAAGTGTCTCAACAGCAGGAAGTTTCCTAATGTTTGCCTTTCTTCGGCACATTTCAGAGCATCCTATTGATAAACAAATAGTAACAACCATGGGAAGGCCTTCCGGTATAGATGATACTGCGAAACCAACAGCAACTAAAATGATACTAAAGACTGGGTTACTATTTGGATGAGTGGGATCACTATAATTTGTTAAGAGTGCAATTATAACAATTATGATCAGAACAAGAAGTGACATGAACCCTATAAAACCTCCAAGTCTATTAAGACCAATTTGAAGTGGTGTACTATTGTTAGAAGTGTTTTGTGCAAGCTTCAACTGTTGAGCTATTCTTCCAATTTGAGTATTCATACCTGTCAACACTACAACGGCTTTTCCAGTTCCATTAGTGACTGCTGTTGATGCAAAGCATAAATTAGTAGGGAATGGATTAAGAAGATCAACATTTTTTAAACCTTTCGATACATCTTCTGACTCCCCAGTTAGTAATGCTTCATTACACTTGACTTCCATTGCCTCAATAAGTCTTACATCTGCAGGTACACTATCTCCTGTACGGAGCAAAACAACATCCCCAGGTATGAGAAGGTGTGCAGGTATAATACTAATCTCCCCCTCACGAACAACTGTGCACTTTGGCGTTGATAAGTCTGCAAGTTTTGCTAGTGCAGTAGAAGCACTATTTTCCATATATGTGGCAAGTGTTGCATTTATTAGTACTATGAGTAAAATACCTGCACCCTCTACCCACTCTTGGAAAGCTAGTGAAACTATACCAGCTATTAGTAGAAGAATTATAACCAAAGAAGTGAACTGGTTAAGAAAGATTTTTAGTACTGAATCATGTTTCTCCTTTTGCAAAGTATTTGGACCATACTTATTTTCAAGAAGATTTTGTGCTTTTTGTTCTTCAAGCCCATTGCACAAATCTGTAGAAAGCTCTCTTTCAATTTCCTTCAGCTCTATTTGGCTCCAATACTGAACTGACTTTTGTTTACTATTTTCCTCTAGAGTTTGAACTAGAGCTCTTGATACTACTTCAGGATCTCTTTTCCTGACCTCTTCAATAGTATCTGGAAGTAGCTGGGTAGACATACTGAGCTTGCTAATAACCATATCTTGAACTGCAGTTTCATTATATTGAAGATCAGGAATGTTAGAAACTATGTCTGCAGTCGATAGTTTCATAAATGATTGATGTTCACTACTAGGATGACCATGTAAATGTAACAAGTTTCTACTAGCAAGGAGATTCAATCTATTTCTAATATAGGAGCTTGGATTTGGTGAAACAGTTTCAGGATTAGGTTCTTCATCAGCTATATCAGTGTATTGAGGATTTTTACCATTGGGAGTAATATCAACAACAATGCTAGTACTTGAATTTGGAGTGGAAATGTGCGAAGCTGAGTAATGGTTCATACAATGACACAATGCAATACTATTTGAGGATGATATTCGATTGTTATGTAATTGACTACCATTTATTGTTCTGTTATCGCTCTTTCTGTTAAAAAGTGGACATAAATTGCTTGGTACAGGTTTCTCCATTCTTAGTTCCTGTTCCTGATTACTTTGACATTTAGAGTCGTGATATTCATTTTCTCTCCACATTAATATTTACAAGATACTTTATATTTAAATCTAAAAAGAAGTGAAAGGTGCATACTTAGGAATTTAGACAATTACAGATTTAATACATTTCCTCGCAATCGCGACTAACGCGTGGAATCAAAAATTCAAATTTACAAAGTGTTAACTTTCCATTTACAGCGCTAGTATTTGCTAAATATGATCACATCTAAGTTATTTCTTACTAAATAAAGGGAATAATATATATTAACACAAAGATTTCCAATGTTAGCTTGTCCATTTACCCTTGCCTCTACAGCCTCGTTCACTACGGCCTCTACTCCTCATAGATGACCTTACTGTGTCTCTCTGTATCATTTCATCTTTAACAGTACCAATAATATTATCATTCATTCTTATATACTTAATATTATTTCCACGCAAATAACACTCTGACATTCTAAAAAATCTTTGACCATCTTTTGATGTGGATATTACATTGTTTAATACTAAATTCATAAAACCATCGACTCCAATTAGCATTCCCGAATAAGTCTCTCCATTCTTTAATTCTACCATCTAGAAGGAATAAATATTGAAAAAAAATTGCATTTTAAAGCAATGAGTGGAACTATAAGAAAAACTTACAATCGAGTGTTTATTTGCGCTTCTAATAACAGATAGTGGTAACTACATAGTAGAAATATAAAATTTGAGAGACCTAAATAAAAGAGAACATAATAACCTACCACCATTGTCTCAAATCCTAGTATTAATAAATAAATGAGTAAGTAAATAAATTATAAGAAAATTACTAAATAAAATGAAGGTCAATTTATAGCCGCCAAAAACTAGTAGAGAGCTGTTCGCTGGTTATTTGTGAGAAAAGGAAGCTGGAATTTAGTATTTAATTCCAAGTTTCAGTATAAATTCTCTTCTCCCTAGATAATTTCTCTACAACATCATGATCAATTTCATTTTTCTTTCCAATCCAAGACAAAGTCTTCTTAATATTTACAGTAAATGTTGGACTCCCACATATATAAATATGTGTTTCAATATTCTTTAGAAAGTCAGTAACTTCTTGCTCTTTTTCTATTAATATATCTTGAACATGCACTTTGCAACTTTTTGAAAAGGCAAAAAATGTTCTTTCAAGAACTCCACTTTCCTTAAAATAAATAAGTTCATTGTTATATAAAATGTCTTCAGCTGTTCTACATCCATAAAAAAGATAAATTGGGCCTAGTTTAACTGACCTATTATTCATCTTTATGTATCCAATTTCATTAAGTAATGCACGGATTGGTGCAATGCCAGTGCCATGGGTTATAAGAATGAGTGGCACTTTTAACATAAATGAGCTTATATCAAGTGATGATTTCCTAATTTGCCCATATATATACGAACTATTCTCTTTTAGTGTGAAGAGAAAATTTGAACATGTGCCATTATAATACTGCACTCTGAGATCTCTAAAATATAAATATTTAGGATTAATCACGAATGGCGCATACAGTAATGATGCATATGGACCTTCAGTATATGTTGAAACAGTTATATTGATGTCATTTTTACTTATACTGGAAGATGAAGATATTGAATAAGTCCTAAATCTCTGTCTCATTCCAAAAAATGTCAGAAACTTCTCAATAGGAATATATTTTAAGCTGGGTAAAAATATATAAATATAGTCTAATAAAGACAATTTATAGAACTTGGTAAGCAACTGGTGAAAATAATCATCTTCAATAATTCTTTTTTCATTTTGTTCAGTAACAAATGGAGTAAATTGAAGTAGAACTTCTTTAGGGGGAATAGTTACTATATCAAAGTAGTATTTCAAAGCATAAGTCAAAGAACAAGGAGTAGGGAAGGGCACCTTGTAAGTTGAACAAGATTGATCATTAGGAGTAAGGGATATAGTAATGTTGTTGAGTTTGTCAATATTATCTATATTAAAGATCCTCTTAGAAAACTTTACTATTATATCTTCTGTGTTTGATGGCAGTATATCTAACAAGTCAAGTGTTTTGTAAGTGCAAGAGTAGGTAGGGAGTAATGTTAACTGAAAAGTCTTGCGGAAACTTTGAGGACCAATTTTAAATGGTTTACATAGCAAAGTTTTCTCCTTCACTGCAAATGCTGATAATGCAAAATACTTTCTTGATATGTAGCACTCCCCTTCTTGAATACTATTATTATTTAAAATCAAATTATCACCTGGCACTCCGAAGTAAATTTTGCAAGTAAAGCTCTTCGGTTCAAAGTTAATTTGTAGATAATTTAGACAATGTTGATATTTATCCAAAGTGTAGTTTCTTTTTATAAATGGAAAAAAGACTTCATCCCACCACAACAAGCACTCACTTACGTTATTTTTAACTTCATCTATCTCTCCACATTTACAAAACTTTTTAGCACCCAGTCCTCTGAAGTACTTGTCTAATTTCTTTGCAGCTAAATTAAATGAATCTTCATATAATGAGCTACCAAGACCTATTATAGTATATGACATATCTCTTAAAACTTTATTTCCTTGTTTTATATGTTTTTTTAACCATCTAATAAGTTTTTGTATAGAATAAGGGAAGCATCCTTGGCCACACGTTGAGACAACAAATATAGTATAAGAAATTTCCCTTTTAAGCTCTATCAAATCAGATGGATTCAGATAATAAATGTCATGAACACTATTAGTAACATTAAGTGATCTAAGCTTGTTAGCTAGAGTATTTGCGATTTGTTCCGAGTTACCTGTTTCTGTTGCAAAGTATATTTGAATATTTTGCATACCCGCTCCTACAGTACAGCCTTTTTTTCCTCAACTTCTTAATACTTCATACTCCCAATAATTCACTAAATAATAATATTTTGAATAATAATACTCTCAATACAAAAGCCTTAAAAATCATAGATAGCACCACTATTAAAGTGGTTAAATGGCGGTTGCAATCTCGTTGCATCACATCGTATGATTTTAAAGAGTAGCTTCGTGTTCTACTAGAATATAAACTGTTATATATTAATGAATGTATAAAAGACACTTAATATATTTCATACTATATACTGTCAGCATACTTAATAGATATAATTATTATTTATGTAGTACTTTAGAAACTACTTATTGTAAACTTATCATAGGTTTGCAATAGAGCATGTATTAAGAAATTAGCTTCAACTAGTATTTCCCTTAAATTATTATAATACTCCAGGTAATCCTTTAATTAAGCATAATTTAGAAGCTGTTAGTTTACTTCCTGTCTTAAGCTTAATTTTTTATAGTGGATCAAACGCCACTGCCTCTGTAGTACAATCGCAGCTCTTTCTCTTATATTCATAATTCCCCAAACCAAAACATTGAAAATCTGATGCCAATAGGCACGCCAACGTCTATATGCTTTCTGTAAAATTAAAACTGCCTTTCGTCTCTTGATTTCATAGTTACTCATCCACTCCAAGGTTTCAGCTTAGAAGCTTATCAAGAAGAAAAATGAAGTGTGTTGCCTTGACTACTAGGCGCATTTTTCCGAGCTTTTCTACACTCGTAGATTGAGCATATCTTTTAATTTTACAAGCAGGTATTCATAAATATACTATTGCAGATTTTAAGTTTAAAAGTTTGTATATATATTTTAAGTGATCTACTAATATTTCAATATGGGTTGTAGTTCATTAACGAGAGCTTAAACTTACTTTAGAAATACTTTAATTTATGTAACTTGAATATATTCTATTACTTTAAATTTTTTTAAATTTGATTCTCAGCAATAGTTCCCAATCTAGTATAACTATAACCTAGTAGTTTATATTATCAAGTGCTGATCACTGTATCTTTTAGAGAAATAAGTATTATTACCTCTTATAATAATTCACAAATAATTATAAATAATATCTTAATAGAGATTCTACTGTTGAATGATAAATAAGCAAACATAGACTGTTCTAACCAATAACAGGTATCTCATACAGATATCCTTTTTTTGCAATATAATAGTATGTGAATCACTTTATATTACAGTATAACTAAGATATAATGATAACATTTACTATTTATACGCTTAAAATTGCGATTTAATGTATTGGGCTGAACTGAAGATATTAAAAAGTTATTTTGTTGCAGTAATCAAAGAATAAAAATGAAGTTGTCTTTTAGTAATAAAATAGAGCTTAAATAATCATTATTTCAAGAATAATTTTGAAAAACAGCTTGGTTGTGCTGTTTAATGCAAACTTATTGCCTATATTAATAAGGAATACTCATAGTTCAGACGAAAGTAGCATTATTTCTAAACAATAAAACACGAAGAGCATCCATATGCATTACAGAAGATTTTCAAACTATAATATAAAGTGAACTAATATATTATTAAGATCCTCTTATTAACGAATAAAGTTTCTTGAAATTAGTTCCAAAATCACTCAATATCCTGATTCATGTCAGCAAAGTTCCTCCAAGTTTTATTGTAGTATTAGATTATCATGTTCATAAAGAAGTAGTAATGACTAGACATCTTAAGGATGCTATATTATTGGGAACATAGCAAGTGAAGTTAGTAGAATTGGTATACAAAGTGATCCTATAGAACAAGCAACAAGGTCACTAAGCTTTCTAGTAACTATAACTAAATTATACTCTTTGTAATTTAATATTAAAAAGTATGACCTTAAACTTAAAATCCCTTTTCCAAAGAAAAGTTAATTTTAAAGTGAAATTAACCCCTTAATTAACTTACAGAATGAGCGGACTTTTTCTAAGAGTGCTTAAATTAGAAACCTGTCTTGCACCTTGCCTGGATGGTCCACCACAAGAGCAATATTTTATTAATCTGAAGGTGGCACCAAGAATAAAGTCCAGTATTATTATGTATGGAGGAATCCGAGTCTATACCGAACTTTACTAGGTGTGATGGAGAGAAACTTATACAATGCGATGCAAACAGCAACTTGGCCAAACTGAGATGTATTAAGGATGAAATACATAAAATATTAGTATTGCTCAGACTTCCAAAGCATCACACGATTAGATCGAGATTTAATGTAGAGCTTGTAGAAGCTACTGAAAATCCACTAATTCATAAATTCCGACTCTTATCTGAATCACTATTATATACTGATATTATATATTTAGATGGTGACAAACTAGAGCCATTTTTAGACGCTGTACAGTCTGCAGATATTGGTAGTACTGCTACTGCATGTGCAATTGATGCACTGAACAAGTTTTTGTTGCAAGGTTTAGTAGATACATCGAATACAAACTCTCATATTACTAATTCAATCGTAACGGGCTTACTAAATTGTAGATTTACTGCCTCTGGGAGTGATAGTGATGAATCTACTCTATTGAAACTCATAAATACTTTAGTTGACATTATTAAATCTCCTTTGGCTAACTTGATTGACAATGACTTAGAATATCAAGCTGTCATAAAGTGTTTTCAGATATCAAGACATCCTAGAGCATCTCACTTGTTAAAATCTACTGGGGAAAATTCGATGTTCCAGCTTGTTATTATTATTTTTAAAAGATTTGGTGAAAAGATTAACTCTGACAAAATCAATAATTTTGAGGGGATTTGTCGCTTACTAAAGTTTTTATCAGTATTATCTTCATATAATAATACATTCCGCACTAAGACAAGTAATATGGACGAATTTGACTTAAAGATGACAACAATTGAGGATGAAATAACAAAGTTGTTACAAAGAATGATTCCCATAGATTCAACTGACTCTTTGAATATAATAGAAATTAGAGTAATGGGCCTTTCACTTTTGAATGCTGCTCTAGAAAGTGGTGGTAGCGCACTAGGATCTTTGAAGCTTTTAAGTAATCTTATTCAGTACGATGTTTGTGGCCATATCATGATTAATATGCTGAACAGTTCACAGCAAATTTTTGATCTAACGCTACGCTGCATATTCAACATTTTCTTTTATTTTAAAGCTTATACTAAAAAGCAATTTGAACTGTACTTCAGCTTAATTATGTCGTATATTGTTAGAGATGATATCAATAACTCGATCCTAAGTATAGCACCAACTGCAGAAAACTTCACAATTTTAGAGCAGCGTGAGTTAGCTTTAGAATTCATTCTTGAAATTTGCGGTGAGACAAATCTAGCAATTGAATTGTATCAAAACTATGATTGTGATTTACTATGTGGAGATCTATTCCAATCTTTAATAAAGTGCCTAGTAAGTCAATTCAATTTGGAAACTCCTGATTCAGTCACTAAAAATACTGATATTAAGAATACCTTCACTATATTTCAACGAATTAGCTTAAAGGGACTTACCTTTATTATTAAAGGCCTATTAAGAACTTTACTAGAGAACTTATACCAATGGGAATTTGTCAGCATATCAGAGCAAGGCAATATACAGCCAAATGAAAAATACTCTGCAACTTTGAGCCTAATATCACATATATCTACAAATCCTATTGGCTCACTCTCTGCTCTAAAGGAACAGAAAGAATTAAAAATACGTTTGGAGAAAGGTTCGCAATTTTTCAACAATAATTCATCTAGATGCATCGAAGATCTGCAAGGTTTAGATTTACTTCCTGTTACTGGTATGACGGCAAAAGATATGGCACTTTTTTGCAGGAGTACACCAGGAATAGATCCACAAATCTTGGGTGAATATATTTCAAAAAATAAGGATTGGAATGGACAAGTAAGAGCTGCTTATATGTCAACCTTTTCATTTTGTGGTGAAACTTTAGTCGACAGTTTGCGTGCAGTACTATTGACATTTCGATTACCTGGTGAAGCTCAGCAAATTGAGAGGATAATGGAATCATTTGCAGTGGAATTCTTTATTCAGCAAGAGAAATGTGATATTGCAACTGAGTCTAGCGATAAAGATAAATTTGACTCAAATACAGTTAAATCAGAGCTAGAAACTCCCCGTATTATGAGATTATTAAAGTCAGAAACTACTTTTGAAAATTCAGACTGGTTTACTATTGAAAATAGTGATACTATTTTTATTTTGAGCTATTCAATTATAATGTTAAATACAGATCTTCATAATAGTCAAGTTAAAAATAAGATGAGTATTGAGGAATTTATTAAAAATAATCGTGGAATAAATAATAAAAAAGATCTTCCACCCGAATTTCTTATCTCAATTTTTAATTCAATAAAGTCAAATAAGATAGAGCTATCAGAATATTCCCAAAACTCTCTCCCATTCTCTGGTACATTAGACTTTTGCGTTAACTACGATTCATGGAGAAAACAATTACGAAAGCCATTGGGGTTACAAAATTATGCAAGGGCGTTGAACAACCAGAAAAAGGAAAAAGATGAGTCTAATAATTTTTCATTCTATATTTACAAAGATATTTTTCATTTGATTATTGATGAGCATGCTTTGGACTGTATATTGAAGAGTTTTAATCTCACAACAGATATAAGCATTATGGCTAATTGTATGGAGGCAGTACTTGACTTGGTAACACTTGCATGTATTTTTGAAAATACTACCTTTTTATATAAAATTATTCAACAGCTTTCGCTTTATATTAATGTTGCAATTACGGCTCGATGCCAGTTTATCCTCCCAATTTTCTTCCATATTATTCGTTTTACAGCTTCATTTTGGAGTGAAGTGTTTCCATGGGATATATTAATTGAGGTCATTTTAAAGCTACACTCACTAAGACTACTACCATCAAAGTGGGCAGAATGGGATGAATTTATAGATCATAGTAGCAAGTGTATGAGTACACACTTACAATATCCTATTGTACACTTATCATCAAGATCAAAGACATTTGGTATTACTTATGGTTATGAATCGATAAATAGGCTTACAAAGAATTTGCATAGCTCAGATAATTTAGCTAATAATACTGATAATAGAAGCTCGAGTATTAGTAATAGAAAAAAAGCACTTAGAATTGTCAGGGGATCTCTTGTACCATTTTTAAAAACAATGAAATCGAAGGTTTCTTCAAGTTCAAACAACTGGTTAATTGATTTGACTAGTCTAATATTTCGTTCTACTGAAGAAGAAGAAGAAGAAACTACATTTAACTTTTTACCAGAGCCCCAGTCTATTGCAGATGGAGCTTTACTATATATTGGTGAGCAGGATGAGAGGCTTCCAAAACAAATGTATGACAATCTCAGTTTCACTCCTTCAGAGATGATTTTATCATGGATCTTAAATGGAAGTTCACCTTTTCTTGCAATTTCTGTATACATAATATTGAGAGATACTATAAGATGGAATGTACAGACTAAATTTCTTTTTTCAAGATTATTTCAAGATAGAATAATTTTTGAAGATATGGATATTGATTTACTTCCTTCTATATCCGGAAATGCATGGGAATTGTTCGAATATTTCTGTACTTCTTGCCTACCGATTGATAGGATTTTGTACAAAAATCTAAGAAGTACTAGTCTGGCCTATTACTTACCTTTTGTTGATTGCTTAATTAATAAAGTGAATTCCTTTCCATTTCCAGAAGGTAACTTGAACACAGAAAGTATTCTAAACTATGAAGACTTACATGGACCTATAAATAGTAATTCATCTGAATTTCATGAAAGTAAAAATTCAGAGTACTTAGGACTATCAAGGTCTATACCGTCAGACTGGGGTCCACTAGTTTGTACCCATAAAATGAAGCTGAATAGTTTTAGGAAAGTGGCTGATTCTCTTCTTTGTATAGATTTATTGATGGCAATTGCTTCATTAACTCTTTCACTGAAAAGTTATAGGAATAGTAACTCATTGAAGCAAGATAACTTAAATTCGACAGATGATGCTAAACTATGGAAATTAGTCGCCGATTTATTTACTTCTCATATAAAGAGATATTCAATCTTTAACTCACAAAAAGGAAATATAAATAGTGAAGAGTTGGAAGATAGTACAAAGGCTTCTCGAGAAATATTGGAAAACATAGATAATTCAAAATCCGAATCTAACAATAATAGATCTTTGACTCGTCCTGAGCTCATGTTTATTGAACGAATAGTTGTCAACTCTTTGCAATTATTAATGCAATTTGTTTGGGTTTCTAAAGAAATTACGATACCTTTATTCACCGGTTTATTAGAAGCATTTGTTCAGCTTCATCCTATTGTATTTAGTCTTCATGCGGAACGCATTGTAGCCGCTCTTCAATTTATAATGCAACCAAGTAAGGAGAATAGTGAAGTTACAAGTTTTGAAAGAAATGAGGAGTACATATCCTTCATATTCCATAGTGACTATCCAGTTTTGCTTATATTGGGTATTTTACAACGTATGGTATATATTCCTTCTTTGGCAGTTTCTTCGAGCTCGGTTTCCGTACCTGAATTCTACCCAGGCCGTTTATCTGATCCCCAAGCTTTGGTTTTAACATCACTGGAATGTCTTGGAATATGGCTTTATAATAGCAATTACACAGCTTTTCTGCATAGTAAAATTTCACTAATAATTCAAACTTTGGTAACTTTTGCTATATATACTCCTACTATACATGATGGATGTGCAGTAATCCTAAATCCTGATGATGATAGTGCTGAAAATAATTATGATGCTAATTTGCAAGCTGTATCTTTAATATGCTCTTTATTATCTCTTTATTCAGCTAGTGACCATTCATCAATGCTACCTCCAGTTGTACACACTTTATGTCTCGTAGCATCTTATGGACCAAATGTCGTTCGTCGTCATGCAATAACTCGTCTACAACAAACTTTAGGGTCACTACCAGTTGAGAGTGCTTGGTTTGTTGAGAGCCCCTGGGTATGGTGGAATATAATTCAAACTTGCTTTTTACCCTTAATTACCTACGAATTTTCCTTTCCATACCATAATATTTATAAATCTGGTAATAAGTGCAACGACATAAGCTCCGCACTCCTTGCGCAAAGATTTACTCTGGCTGGTGCTCAAATTGTACTAGGAAATGAGGCTGTTCTTAGGAGACAAGCTGAAGCAGTAACTACTATATCTCGAATAATTCTTACAAGAATTGATTTACTTCTAAAACCACTGTTAATACCTGAGGAGATTATCGTATCTGATTATTTGTTACTTTATATAAATAACGAGAGAGTAGATTCAGTCAAATCATTTATATTACTTATTCCTGTCTTGATTTCTCTCATTGATACATTAATATCCCAGGCAGCTGGATCACTAACAATTTTTTTTGCAGAAACCTTGAAAAACATAATTCTAGTAGTAGCAAGTTCAGCAGTATCAACTATATTTGATGAGTTGGTAATTTTTCCACTTTGTTACTTTGAAGTGTGTAAATCGAAGTCGGTTATTATTGAGTGCTTGAGATTTATTTTGAATGAATGTAAAGAAAAAGATATATTGAGTGTAATGAATATGACCATAAGATATCTTGTTCATCCAAAGTTTCCAGACCTTGCTGTAGAGTTAAATGAAGTTCTAGACTTATTGAAATCTTGTAGAGGAAAATCATCTGAAATAAATAATGAACTACAAGCAGAGATATAAGTGCATTGTTTAAATAAGGATGTGGAATAAGGTTATTTTCGTAGCAAAGGAGCTCTGGTACAGTCCAGATAGTTTCGCTAGATTGCTAGTTAAATATTTTACTGTCCTGGAAAATACTTAGTGCACTATTGGAAATCTTAAATATTATATATTTAATTTACTATGATCTCGGAAGTAGTTTTATATTAGCTACATGTTATATTTAATACTATAAAGAACATTTGTATTAGATACTCAGGTAATTAATAAACAAATAATCTAAATTAAATTGCAAAGTACTAATTAGCTTTACTTTCTTAGTAAGCAATACGAATTTAATTCTGCTTTAGCAGTTATCTTTATTAGGATTTTGATGGAGTTTGGTAATTTTTAGTAATTTTTGAAGCAAGGTAGTCATAAGCACATCTGTAACCTATGAAAAGTCAATCTTAGTATTAAGCAGTATATAAATGTCATATTAGTATTTTAGTTTCGTATAAGGTAGTTTTTATAATATAAAGTATGTGGTTAATATTCCTTTAGAAAAAGCAACAAGTTATATAATGAAGCTTAATTCGATTACTTGCAGCTGTTAGCTTCCAATATAATATATATAAGTCACTGAAAATCCAGTATCTTTGTATTTACTAGTAAATATACTTAAAATTTTGGGTTTTCTTCCAATCACGTCAAGTAGAATATCATCTAACAAAATATTGAGATAAGTAGTGCTAAGAAACACAAGCCCAAATATGCGCGCCAGTTATTATAACTAAACCACTTGTTGAGTATCTCTAGAAAAAAAAGTAGTTCTTAAAGAAATTGAATAATTATGGAAATTTTAGATAATAAACGGGACTTTCCACACAATGATAATAATCAAAGTGCTTCTTGTTTTAATATACATACCTCACACATAAATCAAAAGAATTTATACTCAAATGAGCAGAATATAGACTTTATACTTACGAACCAAACAAATCCTAGTGAAGTAAGAAGTACCAGTGAAAATACTGAAAAGCATTATCTAACTGACTCATTAGACTTAAAAATTCGACATGGCTTTATTAGAAGAGTATACATCCTTTTGTCCATCCTTGCATGCATATCTTTCAGTATCATCTTATTTTTTACTTACTATAAACCTGCCTTTTGGTGGATAAGTACTCATTACTGGATTTCTATTGTCTGCACTATATCAGCTGTGATACTTGTTATATTCCTTGCACTTTTCCCTTCAATTGCTCAGAACCATAAGGTTGGAATGACAGTACTATTTTCACTTTCAGTCCTTTATGCAGTTGGTATATCTGGATTAGCTGTTCAAATTAATCAGAACTCTGTTATAATAGCATTTACTTCATCTATTGGGATCTTCTTAATGCTTAGTTTGTTTGCTGCTCAAGTTAAATATGACTTTACTGGATATGGCCCTTATTTAGTTATTGGCCTCTTTGTAATGCTTATTTATGGCTTTGCACTATTTATCCTGAATTTTAAGAGCTTTGCTATGATCATTTATGGTGCATTAGGTGTAGTTATTTCTTCTTTATATATTGTCTATGATACCCAACTAATTATAGGGGGGAAACACAGAAAGTACAAATTCTCAATAGATGACTATATTTTTGCTACTCTATCACTCTATTTGGATATAGTGAACATATTTGCATACTTGCTTACAATATTCAGTACATTTGAGTGATTATCTTTCAAGAAACTTATTCTCCAACAAATTGGTTATCTTCACTTCAATATTAATTTATTGAAATTGATAATTCCGTAAATTACATACATCTATAACTGGGGCATCCACCCTGCATACATTACAGCTAAATTATGTTTACACTTCGCTGAATTAATCAGCTCAATAACCTGACTTTCTACTGATAGTCCTAACCCTCTTTCTTGTACGCTTCTTCTAGAATGTTCGGGACTGGAGTTTTTACTAGTTGAACCAATCTTCACATATTCTGCTACACAATTAACCATACCATGTAATTTTCTGTGTATAGTTCTAAGATGAGAGTGTCCCTTTGCTATTGCTGCGAATGATGCCGGATCTATGTTAATACCTTCTGAGTTTAGAATTTGTGATGTTTTCCCAGGTCTCATCCATTCAATTAGAGGGTCATGTACAAAAGCCTCTAGATATGTCATAATCAATGTTTTATTAAAGGGATTTCTAAATACATTCATCACAGAGATACATGATCCTGTGAATGTCCCCTCAACACCACATGTACCCATTGCAATTACTATGTTCGGTGTCAATCGAAAAGGCACTATTTCTGGAATTTCAAGTAAGAAGCCTTTGCCAAATAAGCAGTCAAAATCTACATGGATAATTTCGCCATTACAGGTATCTATCAAGATATTTTCAGCATGTCTATCGCCTAAACCTACGATATATCCAAACATTGACCATGCTGCAGTACTTTTTGTATAAAGTTGCTTTGCCTGCAACCAATTATAGCTTGATGTAACACTAAATTGTTTGAAAAACCAATTGTGCAAGACTGGTGGATATCTAGGTAAGATATCTTCGCAGAAAATTTTATATAACTTTTCAGGGTTTGTGGAGTTTTGTCTTAATATATCTTGAGTTTCTAGTAGTTGACGATGGAATTTGGTAGGACCAATGATCTCTTTCCATTCATTTGTTACTAAACTTCTTAAAGTAACAACATTTGGTACCCATTCGATAATACCTGCAACTTCAGAGAGAGGAATTACACAGAATGTCCTTAGATGCAATTCCGCATCTTTTCTAGTCATTCTTTGGTTTGCAATACGTGCAAGTTCCATTAAACGCATATCTTTTCTCAAGTCTCCACGTTTTTCACTTTTCACTAAGTAATAGTAAATATGCCCATCATTTCCAATAATACCTATTCTCTTGGGTTTTTGTTTACTAGATAAAACAGTTATTATATCTTCCATTCCAGTAATAGTTATCAACTCATTAGAGCTGTAATGAAATATCTTCCATTTATCATTAGGTGCGCTATTTATTCTTTGGGTTGAAATAAATTGTTTAACGTTAGGTAGAAATGAGGCGAATTGCATCGATGTATTCTGACTTAGACTTGAGTCAAAAAAGTAGAGCTGCTTTTGAATTGGAATGATTACATTTGTTTTGTTGATATTACTTATCGAATGGTATAGACTTTGAAAATCAACACGTAAACTAAGGCTTCTATTTGATATTCTACTAGATGAGCTTCGATTATTCCTCTTGTTTAATTGCGTTGGAACACTATTCCCACTGCTCATGTCCATTGCCAGGATTGTTAAACCTTCAAATATACTAATATAGTCCTCTATAATTGATATGTATACGTCATTGTTACAAAATTCTTTAGAGGTTAACTCTATAGAGAGTAACTTCGAAAAATTAAGAATGTTTATAGCAGTATTCTTGCGATCGGAACAATTGCTTTTAAGCATTGCAACAAAGTACCATGCAGCTTGGTGAGGTAGTTGTCGAAGTATTCTTGCTATTAATGGTTGAATAATACATGTTCCTAGGCTAGAATGCTGACATCTACTCAGTAACTGAGGAAGCACTGTGAACCACAGTACTGATGGAACTTGGGATATTTCATTCTTTATTTTTGTAAGCGAGTCTATATTTCCAGTATTATTAACTAATAAAAGATCCTTTGATTGATTGGTAGGCTGTTGGGAACTATTTCTGTTGGAATATGTGACCCTTTTTATTAAAAGTGGTGAGTGATTAAACATCAAAAATAAAATCCTTGAAAGAGAAGAGTATGTGAATGAGTTCCCATATTTTAAGGTGTTCAAATACATTAGAATACATTGATAAATAATTACATCACATTGTAATACTGATCCAAGACCACAATATATAGAAGCTGGTGTATCTAGATATAAAGATGTCGTACTATTTGTACAATCAGAATCTCTGTTGGAAATAATGAGATGGAAGTAGTGATCCAAGTATGTAGCAAACTGAAAATAGGTTCTTTCACAGCTTGGTCTGAACTTTATAGTATTCGAAAATGCCGATATGATACTTTCTGATGATATCATTGAAGATTGTATGGCCCATCTTAGATATATTAAATCTAATTCAGCTAAGGCAGAGTTATTTAGAATATGTTTATTCAAGTTGGCATTATGACATAATTTGTAGACATACAAAGCTGTATTAACTTGGTTCCTGTTAAATAATTCATTTAAGTATGAAATTAATAAGTTTCTATTTAAATTTACTAAAAAAGGACATTTATCACAAGATGATTCCCACAGGCTTATTAAGTTCATTTCAGTATATGTCCACGTAGTTTTTTTGGAGTTCTGTTTCTCAATAAGTAAAAATTCTATATATTTTGGAGTTATACAATTGTGTATCTGAATTGCTCCAGGAATAAAGTTGTTACTATTATCTGAAATACATAATTGACTAATGTTTGAATTCAAATAACTTACATTTGCAGTATCACAAGTATTTGAATTTATAGAATTGACATTATAACGATATTCAGGCTCATGTATATCTATAGACTCTAAAAAATTTGAGTATGTCTGTGAATAGTTAAAGTGTGACATTTTACTCATAGTTAGAACGAGTAAAGTTGCAAGTGCTTCAATACTGTAACCTGCCATTTCCAAGGTAAGTTTTGCATTAGCTAGTAAACGATACTTGGTTTCAAATTTCCCTTGTATGTTGTCAACACGATCAACAAAAAATTTAGCTATTCTAAACCATTTTGGGGTGTTGATATTTGTTAGCTTCTCATCCTCGCTCTCTTTTGAACTCAATTTCTCGGTTGAAGAATTCAATTTAGAATTAAAATTTGTAGAATTAGTTAAAAAAATAAATATAAATTCAATATCCATAAGAATATGCAATTTCTCAAGAAAAGGGAATGATCTAAAATAAGAATCCTTCCATGCTGTACTAAGTTGTGTATAGACTAAATTTCTTGCCTTCTCCAAATTTGAGTGAAACGACTTTTCTATCTTTATCCTCTTTATTTCAGGAATTAACTTATTAGTTATCTCCTCTCTTTGAAGATAGTGTAGATGTAGAAGTAACTTCCCTCTATATACATCAAATTTCTGAAATATTCTATCTAAATTGGTTGGTATAAAGAGATCCATAAATAGTTGATCTGATTGTGCATCTCTTTCAAAAGGCATTAAGTAAAAATCACTTTCTGGTGTATTTGATAAGAAATATTCTAATCTACTCCAATCCCCAAGCATGTAACATGCCTCTAGGGCCTCAGATATATATATATTCAAGCTGCTATTATTAATGACTGTAGTCATACTGGAATGGAATTCGCTGTTTGATTCGGATATATGCGTTACTTGATTTTCTAAGGATCTTTCAGTTTCTATTGAATTTGTTGTGGTAAGAGCTTCTATATTCTTTAATTTTTTGCTGAAAAGAACACTATTTAAAACAATTTGAGGTAACCCAGCATTTAGTAGACATCGGAAGTAGCTCTTGTAAATGAAGATATGATTAAATTTTGGTGTCCTATTTTCCGTCAAAATATGCTCATAAATTGTAGATCCCCTTAGATAATCTTTTTTAAGAAGAGCTTGCACTAAATCTTTCCCCATGGAGCTTGAAAGTCCATTATGTATATCTTCATTAAGTTTCATAATACCTAGTAGATTATCAATATCATTCACACCAAAATAACATCTAAATAACAAATACAGTATATGATTAGAAGCGCTATTTTGATAATCAGGAGTGAGTGAATCTAACTCATTGAAGTAGTTAAAGCAAGCAGAGTAAAAGCCCAGTGGATTCAAAGGATCAAACTGTATATTTGGAAAATTATGGGTCCCTAAATAATCGATAGCATTACCTGCATATTCCATATTTAGACCAAATTGGTTCATCAAGCGAGAGCCTTTAGAGTTGTTGATTCTACGACTCTTTCTCCTATAAATAGTCTCTGATATTGTCTGTCCCATAAGTAGAGAACGTTCTATGAGTAGTAGTGCTCTTGTATATGCACCGCAGCTCAGTGCTGCTTGAGCCAGTATACTTATTGGGACATCTATTAAAAACTGTAAATTCGCTAATAAAGGGATAATTGGACGGTTAGACAGAGAAGACAAGAATCTATCACCTATATTAGATGCAGGACGTCTTCTAATATTTTTTATTTCAGAATTTGCACTATTAGTTATTCGCTCATCAAAGTTCTCCTTATCTTTCACCTCTTCAAATATATATCTACTTATTTCACATTCATTATACTCAGGTTCAGATATATCTTGGCCAGGCAATTGTTTATTTGCACTATTTGTTATTTCATCTGTATGTTTCTGACCTTTAAAATTTGTAGCTTCTGCTAATAATGATAGCGTGATATTGCTTGGTATTGATACTCCCTTCATTTGTTCACTAGTTTCGTTACTTTTCCTAAATTTTTCATTATCCTTAGATAAAGAAGATTTTTTGGGGTAGTGATGTCTTTTATCTAATTCACTATTGTATAAATTTTGTAAGTATGGCTCTAGTAAAGATTCACTAAACCATGATAAAGTATTAGGTACTTTTCTTTGTAATAAGTATTCATACAATTCCATAAGATTCGTTATAACAATAAATATTGACTCATATGTCACACTGTGTATAAGTGGACAAGAGATATTTCGACTTTTTTGTGTGGTAGATTTCTTGTCAAAAGTTTGTATTTCCTTTACATTGTACTGTAGCCCCGAAATAACTAATGAGCAAAGCTTTTCTTTTAACATACGTATATCACTATGAGGGCATAGTAGTATGATACATTCTATAACAATTGGTAGGATATAGTTAAACACAGAAGGTATACCTAATGCAGCCAGTCTACAACCCTCAAGTAATATACTTATAGATTTAATAGATTTTGGTACTTCTGTGTTATTTATTACATAGTTTTCATTTCTATAGCTAGTTGCTTCATTAATTTTATCAATACACCAAAAATAAAACTCATATACATTCTCAATTTTATTGCTATTTATAGAACGAAGTTGAGAAAGAATGTGGTCCTTAGTACCCTCTAAAATCCTATACTCAGTAGTCCTATAAGGTTCAAGAAGTTCTTGTATTTCAGGCCTAAATTTATTCCAAGTGTCAGTATTTGGGGAATCAGTTTTATTAGATTTATAGTGGCAGCCTATATATTTTAATGATTCTTGAATAGCATATGCTGCCACATTCCAATGAGCATATGTAATAAGATAGTCCTGTAGTAGGGATATTGTTAACTTATATATATCATGTACAAAAATTGAAGTTTTTAGCATAATAGGTATATTATTATATTCATTTGGTTCTGTTGCAGAATTTAATAGAGTTTGTGATACTGTTTTATCTTGGAATGTGTTATTGATATAATTTTGTAAATGGAACTCCCCACCAATAGCTCCGATAGTCCCTATTAATATTGCAGCTATATTTCTTAAAAACATCATACTCTTCTCTATACTATATGATATTTTTCTTGGTAAAGTGCTATATACAAATGTTAGATTCTCCTTTTGACTGGACATTTGGAATATATTGTATCTATTTAATTCGTCAGTATTAATTACTTCTTTTATAGATTGGCCATTGTTAAAACCTTCACGTTGAAGTATACTCAAAGAATCACTACCTGTAGTAGATATAATCCTTAGAGAATGTTCATAGAGTTTGTGTAATCTTAATAAAACATAGTTATCTATATTGCTATACAATACCCAGTATGAATCAATTGGATGCAAAAACAAAAGATCTTTAATTGATCCTAGAAGTTTTTCATATGTAATATGTGGTGCATTAGGAGTTAAAAAAAGTAGCACCATATCTATTCTTCTTGCAAATGTATCAATAAGATACTGTTCATAAGCTATGTCAATTTGTTCATCACTTTGGTTTATAACTGAAGTAGAGTCTAGAGCTAGATACTTCATAATTAATCTACGTATACAGCATAATTCTTTAGCTGAAATAATTGGTACCAGTAAAAGAAAATTCTTGTCTATTTTGTTTATAGTTTCAAGTATATAAGAAAATAAATCTTTAATACAGGATTTTGTGTATGTTATTGTATGTGTTTTACCATAATCTTCTAGTTTATTAAAGTGTAACAGCATCTTCAGTAGTATATCTATAATTGCTGGTACTAATTGAAGAAATATATTAGAACTATTGCTTATTGTAGATCCTGTTAATGATAGTGTATCTGTTATACTATTAATATAGATATACCAAGATTCTAGGCATGTTGGATGCAAATTTGTTAGTTGGGTAGCTTTCATTAAAAATTCAAATAAGCGCATTGCATATTTCTTAATATGCCCCTTTGATATAAATAATAGGAGGGATATTGATCTTAATACCCGATACCAATATATAGGATTTTTGCTGTCAAGTGGAAGAGAGGTTACAATGAAGGACACTGGAAGAAATGCTAAATGAATGGAGGAATTTGTAGAGTGAAATGATTTGTCATTGAAGATACTTTTGCTATAATATTCTAAAATCCACATGAAATTTTCGTACAAAAATTTGTCTACTTTAAAAGTAGAATGATTATTAGTTGAATAACCAGATATAACACTGCTGTCACATTTATCTAATTTTTTTTTTTTTAAACTTGGGCTTTCACAAGTTTTACTAGTAAATTTATTGCAGATTAATAACTCTATCTTTTCAGTTAACCACAAATATTGTTTATTAAAGATGAAGTTATCTTCAATCCTAAAAGCTATACCTTCGTCTTCAATAAAAAATTTAAGGATTTGGTTAAACCCCGTCGAATTTTCCTCTGTATCATATAAAATCCAGAAATAATGGTGTGGGCATGTAATACCCCAAAGTAATGCAATTGTACATATACAGATAAGTGACTGGGGGAAAAATAGAATTTCATCACTACTTTTTTGAAGGACTTGTGAATAGTAAGTACTTATTAAGTATTCAAAAAAGTTTATATTGTTTGCAGATAGGTTACAAAGTATAGTGTATGGTACGTTATATGTATTCAGATGTGATATTATAAAAGGTGCCAATTGAGCTATTAGCTTATCATAAGAAAAAATATTTGGCATGAAATGACACCATTCTATTATGGAAGGTAGCAATGGTTTCTGCACAAATAAAGGTAACGCTGTATATAATAGATGAGGTAACAAATAATCATATGATGAACCTAGGAGTAGCAAGGACCAATACTTGTTATAACCTTCAGTACAGAAGATATCCATAAAAGTGGCTGCTAGGCATGAATTAAATCCTGGAGAAATAGCTAAACTTGAAATTGTTGTTTTGTTATTCATTAATATACTGGATAGGTATGAAAGTAGTACGAAAGCTTGATATGAATAATTGGTAGATTTCTTGGAATCTTGTATATTTTTACCATTAATCGGAAGAAAACCTATTGAATATTCTTTATAAGACTTCAAAATCCATGTTTCCATCCAAAGTATTTTGATATTTTGCAAATTATTTAAATAAATTGCAACTAAGTTACTAATATGTAACTGAGCAAATGAATCACTGATATTAGTGATCAACTCCTTATAAATCCATTGAGGTACTACATATTTGGAGTTCTTGGTTAAATGAGTGATTTTTGAACTAAAAGGTGGATCAATCTGTATTTGAGACAATAAATTTGGATATATCATACTTCTGGATAAATTCATAAACTTCATATATACTTTTTGGCTATTTATATTATTAGAGGATATATATATAATTAATTCATCTAAAGCAAAAATTGGACCAAATATAGGATGTATTATCACCTCCAAATCATTGATTTCGTGTTTAGTTGTATATAAGCCAATTGTAGGTCCGAAAATAATTGATAATTTAAACTTTTCAAAAATAATACGATAGAAGAGGGTAATTGGATCTCTTAATTCATCTATAGCAGCTATAATTGTAATCGGTGGTGGCATTTTAGTGTAACTAGCTAAAAACCTGTTGTTAAATGTTTCACTCTCATTAGTCAAGAAATTTAGTACAAACGTGGGGCTATTCAGTAGACGTAAAAGCTGAATTTGATAAAGCTTAGGTATCTTTAAGTTGTGACTTAGTGAGGCTTGTATTAAGAGAGCCACCTTTATTTTCATTGATATGTTACAATTTACGGAGCTTAATGAGAGAATGGAAGCAATAGATGAAAAGAACCACTCCGAACTTGTATATGGCACATTATCTATCAATTCTAATATTTTTGTTAATAAAAAACTGGAATGTTCGTTATTAGTGGAACCAGTTTTTTTGTAATATAGGGCTAACTTCTGTATTGTCCAGTAGTTGTCAAGATTGTTGGAATCGTCTACTTGTCCAATATCTATGGAAGTTGGTAAGGGAGACAAGCATTTGGAACAATAATAAATTTCATCTTTATTTAAAATAGTATCCATCATATCAATCTGTTCTTTGCAATTCCAACAATTCGGTTCAACAGGAAAATAGTTTGTGTTTGGATAATCAGACTCTGCCTCCTGATAATGAAATACAGATAATGAATCATAATTACTACCAAAGGGGTATTCAGCTTCAAAAGTATTTTTAACAGATGTAGTTCTAGTCATGTTTAACTCTTGAATAATCATATCCTTAGTGTTATGGTTTAGATCTGCTAAAAGTAATATTGAGAGGGGCTTAAGAACGTTGAAAAGAGCTGCCTGAGAAAGCCTTTCATCAGCAGAAAGATGACCAATTTTCAGAAGTAATTTATCAGTTACATCGTTGTCAAGTTCTTCAGATTCAATGCAGTACAAATAAAGAACATTTGAAATATAGTTCCATATAATAAATGAGGTAAATGTGCACTTGATGCTAACAATATCAATGAATGATAACAGCATTTGTTTCGAAACTTTCTGTGGCACAGTTATTAGTCTAATAGATATTTCTACCAAGCTAATTAATTGTGATAAAGTCCAATTAGAAAGGTTGTTTAAATTTATAACTGTTTCAGACAATCTGCAAAAATGGTTCATAAGATATAACCCTAACTCAAAAGAGTTTTTAGTTCCTTTTTTTATTAATAAGCGAGCCATTTCTAATGTTAGATGTATGATAAGGTACTTAGTATATATTACAGGGGGTGTTACTAGCAAGGCTTCGCAGTCAAAATATTTAGAAAGTACAATTTGGATATGAGCAATAAAGAAATAGATTCTATGGTTACTTATATTGGAAGTATACATTTCATGCAAACCACAGACTGTAGTTCCTAGTGTCTGCACAAGAGTATCTGCCTCACAAAACTCAAAGTCCATAGTTAACTTTGGTATATCTAGCTTTATTAGGAAATTCTCTAAAGCTCTTATCTTTAGTCGTGATGGTAAGTATTTATTATTTATATTGGAATTGTCAAGTACTGGCAGTAAGTCCTTTCGAATCTTTGTAAAAATAATATTGGAAATTTCATCTGATAACTCAGTGCTAATAGTGGAATAGAGACGAGAAGTAAGTAATGCAACATATCCATCAAGGAGTGAGAATTCTGACCATAAAAATAATGTTTGCCACTTTTCTATAATCTTTAAAAGTACCTTTACTACTTTTAGACTTGGTGTTTTATTATATTCAGAGTTAATTATTAGTGAAATATCCAACTTTAATGGAAATTGCCATTTGAGGGTGTTAAGAGCCCAAACAGTAAATTCACCTATTAAATGTAAAAATGGTACTAAAGTCTTCTTTTCAAAGGAAGGGAGCCACATATTATTTATACTTAGTGAGTCAAAAATACTACTTGCATAAAGTTCCTCTATTAGCTTGATATCTAGGTTAAGTAACATAATATTGCCTGTATATGGCCATAACTTATAATTAAGTGTAAGATTTTCTAGAATATGCATAGAAACAGCTATCAACTCGTAATTTGAGTATAAAACCATGACATTTTTAAGAATACATATCCATGCTTCAATAAAGCAATATCGTGTATGTGATTCGGCTTCTTCAGTATATAATATTGATAAAATTTGGATTGATAAAGAGCCAAGTAATACTAAAACTTTTAAAGTATCATTAGGTACCCGAATAGCAATAGGACTTTGCAATCCAGTAGGCCAACCTATGTAACTACGAAGATGGTTTAGTAAATGGGAATACAAGTCCTGGATCTGACTACAATCATATGTTTTCTGTGTTGAACAGTTAGACTCATTTATTAATTTGGCTAGTTTATATATATTTTGGATAGTTTCATTAGTAAATAGCTCAAATATTTTGCCATCTTCACTTGAAATAAGTTTGATTATAATGCATAAAGATGAAGACCACTTTTTTAAAAGAACAAGTTCTTGTAATACTAAACTAGTATAGTTTTTATTCAGCATCATTTCATTTATAAAATATTCGCTAGTATAATCTTGCCCTATAAATTCACAATCTGAAAAGTACACAAGCTTAAATTGGACTCTAAATGCAAAAAAGTGTGAAAGTAGCCTATAAAATAATTGTCCAAGCCCATTTATAGGAAATATAACATGACCATATGAACAACAAATGCCCCTAAGTGCTGATTGCATTGCACTAAATGTAATAATACTCTTCTCTACATCTTGGTCTCCAAAAATATATTGTTTTATACCCTCTAGTAAATATTTCCTTAGTGTGCCAATACATTCACAATGTAGATCAACAAATTCATCCAGCTTCCTTGGATCTTCTTCAGCAATACTTAGCGTACTGATGACTTCAGTTAACTCATTAGAATTCTTCAAGTTCATTGCTATTTCAATGGTTTTATTATATATATTATTTCGCTCCACAAAAGACTAACAGGACGCGCTAACTCAAGAAGTGACTCAAAAGAACTTGTATTATGAGCTCTTCCTCTGATTTCATTACTTTGGGCTATATAGGGAAGAAAGATGAATCCTTTGATACACCAGAAGCTCAGAGTATTAAAAGCAAAATAGGCGGACTTCCAGTAAGTAAACTTATAAAAATACTTCTGAATATACACAGATTTTTTTTTATCTCTAGGAGTGGCCTAAAGGTAGCCAAGAGACGACGATAAATTGTAGCGAATGTCATCAAGAGATGATTTTAGTTGTCCAGCTGTAAGTTTATTGGCAAATTTGTGAATTTCTAACTATAAAAGTTGTTTAGATTTACTCCATATACTAAACAAAGAGATAGATGCATTTACTTGCATCTTTGCTGCAACAATGAGTGTAGATTTATATGGAAAGTTGTAAGACTTTCAATAGCAAAAGAATATGGTATTTCTGACAATATTACAAAATTAGAAAAGTCTACTATATCTAACAACTGGCTAGAGTGTGCTGGTTTGTTAAGTGATACCCAAATAGATTACAGTAGTGACATAGACTTAAATAAAGTTAATAGTCAACATAATGGGAAGTACAGAAACAAATACTTAGGATTAAGAACTGACACCAGATGTTTGCCATGCTATTTGATCGAGTGCGATTCTGAAAGTATGTATATTGATGATATGCAAAAACGTGCAGAAAGTTTGCTTTCAGACTATCTTTTAAAGGAAGGTGAAGAAGACTTATTTAACTATAGTGATTTAGATGTTAGTGATAGTGAATCAAATGAGAGTACCACTGAAGACCCCCTTAAAGCCGATGAGAGCACCTATGCTGGTGAAATAAATAAATACAATCGAATATTTTCTGAAACAATTTCTAGAAATCCAGGTCAAATAATCCGCTATAGCTTTGGTGGAAAGCCATTATGGAGTGAATCTCCCAAAAATATTGTAGTAAACAATTGCGAAAACTGCAATGCACCTAGAGTTTTTGAATTTCAGCTCCTCTCAACATTAATATATGAGCTTAGTAGAAGGAACTTAGAAGAAAAATTTGTATTTATGCAAAGTGAAGATTGGGCAACAGTAGTTGTGTTTACATGTAGTGAAGATTGTGTTTCAAATAACCCATTAGAAGAGTATTGCATAGTTCAATATATCTAAACAAAAGTAGTCAATCATCTGAAATTTGATCTTCTGATACAGCATAACTCTCAACAATAATAAATGTTAATTTTGGCGATTTGGGTGCATCATTATTTCCCTCCTTAATATTATTGCAGCATGACACACATATATTATGGAAGTGCCCTTTAGGTAACTTCATATTTGCTGCAGATATACCTTTTACAATCTGTATTATATGGTTACGAAAATTCACCTCACTCCTCAACAGAAAGTTTCTAGGAGTTACCCCCTCAAAAAGCATGCCTACCTCATCTTTATATTCTGCCTCTAAGTAACCACTAGAATCGCTGATCTTAACATTGAAACTGTACGAAAAAGTTGACTCAGAGTGACCACACTTTAAACTTTTAAAGTTATTTGTATGAGCTTCAGAAGCTGCATTCATTAGTGAGCATTCATAGTTGCATATTTTGCACTTCAGAGTAACAAATGTCTCTGGTTTAAATGGATCTACGTCTTTGGAATTCCCAGAAAAACTTACATTTACATTTTCCATGTAATATATATTATTTGGCACTGAGTTCAATCTTACATGCATTACAGAAAGAGCCTGTATATCTCTATTTCTTGAGCGAATATAATACAATGGCTGACAATCAATATCAGTAAATAAATATTGGTGACTATTCCGACTATCTGTGTACAATGGGTTCAGTATATGGTTTGTATAGTTTGCTAAATGTTGTTCTCCAGCATGTGTAGCTGATATAGCTGGAAGTAAATTTGTTTTACTAAAGTTTGCCACTTTTTTCTCACAATCACCAGTCATTCTAACAATTTCAGTTTCAGTTTGATTAAATACACTATCCACACTACACAAACTTTCTTTGCATGTCCCACTAGAATATTTTAATTGTAAATCTGCACTGTCCTTCACAATTCCTTCAGTTATATTTAAATTTGCAAAGTGAACTTTGTCTACAACTTCACTACAGTTAGAAGCTGGTTGATCCATATTATAGTTCAATACTTCCACATCTTTAGTGAAGTTTTTAAAGCTGTTCATCTGTTCATAAGTGGACTTCGAAATAACTTCACTATTCAAAAGTTCATGTTCGAAAGAAGTATGAGCTCTCTCTGATTTTAAATTCAAAGGTAAAGTCCTTAAGGACATTAGTTTAACATCTCCAGACCAACATGGTAGCCTCGTAATTCTTGATTTGTGTGTATCTATTACAGTGAATGGCCCAATTACTTTGTCATCTATATACGTAAAATTCATCGATGGATTCACAGAAACATTCCTAATACGTACCCAATCGCCACACTTAAGTGGTTTCTTGTTGCGCTGTAAGTGATCCTTCAATCCAGTATTGTATCTATCTAAACCTATTACAAAATATAAATCATCAAAGTTTGTCTTATCTTTCAATTTAGTAATATTTCTTTCACTTTTCAATTCAGAAACGACAATACAAAGCATATTATGCTCAATTTTACTTTTGTAACTTGAAAATGAAGGTTTATTTAAGCTGTTAAAACAAAGTTGTGATGGATGAATAAGTTCAGGTATCAGTAATATATCATATATGCAAACAATAATATCACCGTAAGTTTTAGTAAATGTCTCCTTATTAGAATTTTTGAGATGTGATAATGACTTTGTATACTGAGAGGAGCAAAAATATGGAAAACTATGAAACATTTCATACGCCCATCTTTGTAATTTCAGAAGTCTAAGTGAATCATTTTCAGTAAATGTAGTATTTTGTTGTGAATTCCCTACTTTGTATGCATTTTCTACATTTACATAACAGTAAGGACTATTTAGGATATCTTCATCTGTTTTATACTTGGAGTATAGTTCATCTAAATTGCAGTCATAAAGGGACCAAATTCTTATGGAAGTATGCTTGTTGTGAGGTAAATCTATAAAACGCTGCTTTGAAAATAAAGGTTCAACACGATGAACACGAACAATATCTCCAAGACTAATAACAGGTAAAGATGTTGCATCACCTTCAGTAGAGAGCTCCAAAGACACTGTGGGTAAAGAAGATATCAAAGAAGGACGATCACTATATGAATACGGTCCACCAAGAAGTGTCTCAATGGTACGATTAGTATAACCATCCACAGGTATCAGTTTCAATACTGATGGGTCAACCAGTGTTATATTCATAAATATGTGATTACTATTTCCTCCATAACGTTTCATAGGATTATTTCCAACCTCTAAAACAACACCGTACAAATTGGTTACCACTCCAGGATGGAGATCTGATAACTGAGCTAGATATTCATAAGCAATAGATGAGTATTGAGATTGTTTCTCACAAGTTTTCTTTTTCTTTTTAGGCTGATTTATTATCCCTGAAAGAGATACATTGTCATCGTCCTTGCAATCCGCACTACTTATTTGATTATATTCATCTATTATGTCATCTACAACCTCATCATGTAAAGCTGCTGTTGTTGTTCTACTAGTTAATAAAGGTAGTGAGGGATGTTTGCATTCTTCCAAACAATCCAATTTACAAGTAGTATATATTCTAGCCCATGCTGGTAAGTATACATTGCCTTTACTACATAGCACTGCAGCATGAGTAAGCATAGCAGGTACATGTTCAAACCCTGACCTCCACACAGTCATTGCAGAGTCACTCTTATTTGTATCATAAACACATATAATTGATTCGTCAGAAAATGATATTGAGCCCCCAATCAACTCTATAATGTCATCTTTATTGATGAATGAACAAGCAACAGCCCATTCATTGTAGCACAGAATTGTTATATGTTCATTTGAATCACTTATATTAGTTAATGTCTTAGTTTTAGGTGATATCTTATATACTCTAGAGCTATTCGTTAATTTTGCAGCCATTTTTGCGCGATTATAAGTTAGTTTCCTTCTATTCAGATTATCTCTTGCAGCTTCTGTAAAAAACTCAGCCCTCTCTATGCATACTAAATAACCATAGAATGAACTCCTACTGTGAAAAGAGGCCTTCCTACTACAGAGAGTATTCCTTGTCATGCACTAGTAAAAAAGCATATGCAGTGCCATCAATAACTGCAACATAATTAGCCCCTCTGCCCCCACTACTAATTGAGTAACGAAGGCGGTAGAAATGCACAAAAATAAACTAGGCTGCTTCATGAAAGCGATAATACCTTTTAGCCGGCTTTCGTGACAATCTCTTTTTACGTAGAATCTTAATTAATCTTCTTCCATATCGGGCATTTTGCACGGAAGGTAATTCAACTAGCCCTTTTTTGTATATATTTGAAACAATATTATTTGATAATGTACCTTTGATATGTACTTTACGTAATGAACCTTCACTTTTTTGAACGTCTTCAGTTAAATATACATTCATAGTAGGTTCAACATAACGGTTCTTCCCTATCCGTAGCTTATTTATAATACCTCTACTTTGTGCAAATCGAATCTCATTCCTTAACATATCTCGATATTCTCGCTTTTGTTCAAGTCTCTTATTTAAAGCTTCTAACTCACCTATAATTGAAACTATTAAAAGGAAAATGATATATCTAAAGACAAATAAATAGTTTAATCAGTATAAAATAAACTTACCTATTTTATCCACATCCCTATTTAGAGTCTTTTTTAATATACGCTCTTCAGTAACCCTCTTTTGATTACGATTTCTTATAAGTCTGTTGCGATCTGCTTGTGTTTTTCTTTTGCTCTTTTTGCATACTCTAGCAGTTTCATGCTTGTTTGAAAATTTATAATCAACTAATGGTTTTTCTTCTGTAGCTTTTTTCCAGTGCTCAATCTCAAGCAGATCTGGAATTCTACCATTGTTTATTTGAAGCAACAATCTTACCTTCAGTTCATCAGATAAATTATTCAGTAAATCTTCTTCATAATAGTTCAATAATATAGATCTTAATGAAACCTTCCCCAGCCTAAAATCGTTAGTAATTGCGTAATCTTCAAATATAGGAGTTGCTGCTAGTATTACAGCCTTTTGCCTTTCAGTTTCTAATGGGTTAATAGATTGACCAGAATGAGGAATATGTACTACTTGGTACTTCTTTTTGTGTACCTCCAATGATTTATTATGAGATGCATTCAATTTTGAAGTATTATCTAAAGAGTCCTTCCATATATCAAGGTCAGGTTTCAAACTACACGTAGTTCCGTTGCAAATATCTAAGCTATGATTTTTCTTAGCTAAGGCAGTAACATGAGCTACATGTGACTTAGACCATCCATAAGGGAAATTATTGGCTCTATTTTCAAGGTTATTTGATTCTATACTACTTTGTAGCTTATCATTTTTCTTTCTATTAGCCTTTATGATACCCAATTCATCTAAAGAGAATAATAGTCCCTTTGATAGTAATTCATCATATTTTAACAACTCATAAAAGCCACTATTTAACTCTTCAGTTACAGAATTACTTATCTTCTTAAAACTCTTCTTTGATTTTCCCATTTATCAATTAAAAAAAGTTTAGTATAGAAGCGCAACCAATGATGTCATATTTAGACTCGGTAATGTTGGCGGTATCTCTTAAAATATTGTATAGAGCATATATTTCACAACCTCTATATATTTCTAAATTAAATGATTTACTTTCTAGTACTTAAACCTGCCAAATAAAATGATCTTCTAAGTTGCCAGCTTATTACTAGTTAATGGTGATATATTTAATAAGAAGAATATGATACTTTACAAAACTTCTCTGTACTGTGTCAATTAAACTTCCAATATAAACCTTTAAATCTATTTATATAGGCCAAATACAAATATATTTATTTATATGTAAATATTAAACATACTGAAAGTCCCGTTAGGCTAGTCTGAATAGACTTCAATGTATGTTACTATTTTAAGTTAAATCTTTGTGCAAATAATAGATAATACTAATTATATATATATATATATATATATATATACTTCTTAAAGTTTAAATTTGAAAGAGCAGTAATATTCTAGAACTTTTATTCTATACATCTCAAATAAAAGAAAAATTAATTTTAGTTAGTATTTGCATGAATATAAGACTTATATTGCCGTATTTTAAATCTTTATATTAACTATAAAAAGCTGTATAAATAGTAATTTGTGAATAAGATGCTCAACTGTAAAATACGAGCTAGAGTCATTTGCCCGGGCGCATATCAGCTTTTGAAAAGCGGAAGTAGTTTGAGTAGCGATGCTTTTTTTCTTTATCTAAAGCCAAATATTAAAAGATTGGCTTTGATATGAAAGAGTACTTCGAGATTTCAAACGAGAACTCAAAGTTATCTCGTGCTTATAGAACTTGGATCTCAATCCTTAAAAATTGGAAGTATAGAATTGGTGCTACATCAGCAACGAAATTTCGTTTCACATCATGCAACAAGCCTAAGATATGTTCAGCTTCTGAGGATGCTACTGAGATATTGGTGATATCACCAGTTGTAACTAATAATCCTTTGAAAAGTATAAATTCACATAGCCAAGACAGTGAACAACCCTCAAGAAATCTTTTTAGCTGTTTATATAACGCACTCAGACCTCTAAATATATTTGATAATAAAAAATCTGATAGAACTTGTAACGAGTCAGATCTTACTAGATCTGCAACATTTAAGTGCCCAACTATTCCACGCAGAATGCTTCGTCTACTTAGACGAAAAAGGAAATATAATAAAGGTTCATCGAAAGTAAAGCTAATTACAGTATCAAACTTTTATGAAAATATTGAAGGAGCTCGCAGAATGAGCGATGAAAGACTTCAACGTGCTTACAAGTTCTATGAGCATATGTTGCAAAAAGTCCAACAAAGTGCATACAGTGACATTATATCCTTTTTGGTTGAAAACTTTGAAGATAGAGACATTCTCATATTGACGAAATATATATCTAGTTCTGCTCATACCAAAAGTATAGAAAATGAAACTCTTGATAAGCTATATAATATAGCTTTTAGCACTAATGAGAACCAGCAGAAAAGTTTGAGTACATTATCTATACTAAATGATAATACTACAACTGACTGTCACTCTCCTTATCACACTCTAACTTCTGAATTACTAGATGAAAATATTGATGATGGGTATTGTATATTTAAGAAATACAATGACTATTTTGATGAAAGTGACAAAGTTTCAGCAACATTATTAGTTTTGGCTAATACAACATACGACAATGTAGAAGCAGCAGCATCTAACCTAGTTGCGAGAGTGAGTTTCACATCGCTGGAACTGAGTGATACCATAAAGGATTGCATAAAAAAAGGTATAATTGACGCAACCAGTGGAAAATACAAGGGAGCAGGTAGTTTAAAATAATTTGTTTATTATCTTGGCTAAAATACTAATTTAATATCTTTGATTTTTTTTTTAATTATGCTTGTTCTGGCTTTGAATCCGCCGCTGCAAGTAGTGAAGTAATACTGGATTTCTAATGCTAAGCAAATTGGATATCTCTATAAATCTCGCTTCCATTATGGCAACTTTGCTTCTCAAAAAGTTATATCTATAGGTTATAGAATTCCGGACTGCATCTTCTGACTGTTGCAAAAATTCGAGATTTACTAACTCCAAGAGTTTATAGTCCATATTTTGTAGAAATTTCAGACAACCTGTGCCGTCACTTTTCATTAAGAACCTAACTGAGTAAATTAATGGATCATCAATAATATTATTGATCATTTTCCCTAGCATATCAGTGAATCTAGGATATTCACATGTTAAATTTTGAGTCAACTTTAACTTGTGGAAGTCAAGCTCTGTTAGATCTAGCACGTAATAAAAGAAAAGGTCATTGTCACTTGTAAGCTCTAGCCTAACTACATCAGGGAACGATTTAGGCCCATTAGTCATTATTCTGAAGTTGATATTTTCAGAAGATCCAATTTCCTGATTATTTTCATCATCAACTAAGAGTAGGTCCAATCTACATGTCTTCTTTAGCAGCACTGAAAAACCACCGTTAAGAATGGGATCTACATTTTCTAAATCTGTATAGCTAAAACAACCCAAACAGAACTGATCAAAGTTAGAAAAATCAGTTTTATTTCTCATTATTTCAAACTAATTTAGAAAACTAAAGAAATCTGCACTTGTGTGTGCATACTGTCACCCTTCACACCAATGCCCACGATACACCTATGGGGGGTTAGCCCTCTCCTAGCAGCTATATAAGTATGATTAATATATTACCAAACAAATCAAGTTGGTTAATACCATTTATTTTTAAAAGGAACAAACAGAGAATACGTTTACTTAGTAGAGAGCAGAAAGTTCAGAAAGAACTAGAGATACCAACGTCATCTATTGAATTACTCTACAGGAACAGCAACTTATCTAAAGGAGGATTATACTGCAGTGTTAAGTCGAGGTATTTTGAAAGAATGAAGTAAGTCTCAGTACAATTTTAAGTGATTTGACCAATGCAATTGTTTTTCTTTTTAGGAGGAGCTCTTACTACTTAATGGAGACCAATTCTGCATGTCATAGAGGAGTCTCTTTATATAATTTAGACTGGTTCATTTACCTATCTATATTATTCCAAGCTGGAATTCACATAAGTGAAATGGACCCCTATAGTTTAGTAGAATATAATGGTTTGCAAGACTCTAAAATGCAAGTAAAATACCCGATTTCATTAATAAATAGCACTTTTTGATAAGCAATAGATAAAGCGGTATTTTCTCTTCGAATGATAGAGAAAACAAACTTAGACCTCTGCTCGATTTTTTAATACTTTGTGCGGTAATTGATCCGATAATTAGTTTTCACAATAAAATTTTAGCACAATATCTTGATGAAAACAAAAATGAAAATACTTTGTACAGGAGGTGCCGGGTATATTGGAAGCCACACTGTAGTTGCACTTGTAGAGGCTGGATACATACCACATATACTAGATAATTTATCGAATTCTGACATAGAGGTTGTTAAAAGAATTGGACAGATTACTGGTACTACTATACCATTTTTTAAGATTGATATACGTGATAAGGATGCCTTATTTGATTTATTTAAGAAAGAGAAATATGATGCTGTAATTCACTTTGCAGGGTTAAAGGCTGTTGGAGTGTCAGTATTACAACCACTTGAATACTATGAAAATAATGTCGTTGGAACTATTAGATTATTAGAAGTTATGAAGGAAGTGAATTGCAGAACTCTTGTATTCTCATCCAGTGCAACTGTATATCAGCCTAAATCAACTAGTCTAGTTGAGGATGATCCACTAGGTGCCTCTAACCCATATGGACAAACAAAGCTATTTATCGAGACAATTATGAAAGATCTTTACTTCTCATCAATGAACCTCAAATTCTCAATCCTTCGATACTTCAACCCTGTTGGCTGCCATCCATCTTGTATCATAGGAGAAAGCCCAGAAGAGCCTAATAATCTCCTGCCATATATCCAGCTCGTCTCAATAGGCAGAAAACCCCATTTGAATATATTTGGGAGTGATTGGCCAACTCCAGATGGTACAGGAATAAGAGACTACATACATGTAATGGATCTTGCTGAAGGCCACGTTAAAGCATTGGAGAAACTTTTTAAAGCTCCTTCAAATGAAAAAGTCCTTGATATTTATAACTTGGGTTGTGGCTCTGGTGTCTCAGTTCTTCAAATGATTAAATACTTTGAAGAAGCAAGTGGAGTAGAAATACCTTATTACTTTACAGATAGACGCCCAGGTGACTTGGCTAGTGTAGTTGCAAATCCTCACAAAGCAGAATGCGAACTAAACTGGAAAGCAACAAGAAGCATCTTTGATGCCTGCAAATCATCATATAAATGGCAGAGTAATAACCCACTAGGGTATTCTAAAGTGAAAAGTGATATTTGATAATTCTATTGTGCCTTGGTGTACTGGCTCTGTGAGAGAAATTAGAATATAACACGAATATCTATATAGAAATGGTACTTGGGCTTATAAATTATTTAGTACTTAGTCACATTTCCGGTCATTATTATTGATAAATTCTCCTTATTAATTACTATGTAGTAGTCATACGCAAGTGATACTTAGCTCGAGTTTGATATTGTAACTATCAATTGTATCTAATAATATTTATATATTTAAAGTACATCATTAACTAGAGATCTGTAAAGTACAAGCACTTTAGGGAAAGAAATTACATATACTTAATGTACAACTACTCAATAAGCACTAGATGAGAGTATTTACATCTTGAAATAAACTCAATGCTGGTTTACAGGAGTCTAGTAAAATAACAAATACAAATATTGGATTTCTTAAGGATTCATAATATTACTTAAGATACAATTAACGTCTATAGTATATCCTCTTAAAATTCATAAATTTGACGAACTTGTAACCAAAAGATAAGTACCTATGATTAGCAGTCATTTAAATCCATTTTATACTATGAATAGCCACAGAATTATATAATTATTAGAGGTAGATCATACTCAGTGATAACATTAAAGTATTTAAAAGTCCCAATGGAGAATTGTTTTTGTTTGAGCGCCACAGAACATCTGCCATATATAAGTCTGCTATATTTACCATTAATAACATGATATTATCATTGATTTCCACCTTATTTGGAATAAGAATTATTCAGGGTACAACAATGAAAGGAAATACTTTCCATTCAATTGCTCATAGAGGTGCTTCTTTACTTCAGCCTGAAGAAAGTTCTGCTGCATACTTACTGGCAATAAAACAAGGTATTAAATTTATTGAATGTGACATAGTTTCTACAAAAGATGGAGTATTAATATTGAGACATAGCCCCAACTTATCGGAGTCTACAGATGTTGATGAATTAGAGGAGTTCAGAAAATATGAAAGCAAGGTTTTAATGTATGATAATGACGATGCAGTCGTAAAAAAGGGCATTTTTTCCTGGGATTTGACATATGATCAAATTAAGAAATTAAAGTGCATTCATGAGAAAAGATACGAGAATCGCAATCAGTCCTTAAATGGTTTGTATCCTATACTAACCTTGGATGACTTCTTGAACTTAAGCTTTGGAAATAGTACAGCTACTGGTGGCGATCTTCTTCGTATTGGAATATACATTGAGATAAAGTATCCATACTACCATGCTGTTAGAGGCCTAGGTGATATAACCGATAAACTTTTAGAATCACTAGCAAAACGTGGATTAACTAAAAGATCAGACCCTGTATTTATTCAAAGCTTCGAGCCTAGCAACCTAAAATATATTAGGAGTAAAAGTGATCTTAGTTTAGTGCAACTAATCTCAAATACTGATAAAATACACTTTGCATGTCCCGAAGTAGATAATTCAACTGAAAGTGGTATGAAATATCATGTATATAAACTTGAGGAAATATCTAAATATGCTGACGTTGTATCACCTAGTAAGGAGGGGATTATTCAATCTCTAGGAATTCCGGCATTATCTATAAATGACTTAGTAAATGAGCTCCAAGCTCATCCAGTTTGCAAATTTATAGAAGATGCTCACAAATTCGGTCTACTTGTAGTTCCATATACTTTTAGACCAGAGTCAATTTTAAAATGTTTCAACAGTGTTAAAGATGAATATTTATACTTCATCAATACTTTGCGTGTTGATGGAGTATTTACTGATGATCCACAAGGAATAGTTGAATTTCTTAATGAGAAGTACTTAAATTTTTAACTTGTATTCTTTCTAGTTAAGTGTCACAATAACTCACTTTTAAAGAGATAGAATTTACTACAAAAAAATAACTTTCAGCATTAAAATATATCTGGTATATCTGTGAATTCAATTAAGTTATCCTTATGATGCCAATATTTCTTATTAAAATTCCATGTACTTTCACCTGTGACGGGATCAAAATCCTTATAAAACCATTTCGGGATATAATCGCTTTCTCCACTTTTTCTCATCTTGGCAGCTATTCTTTGTTTCTCCTCTAATCTACGTTTTTCCTTAATAGCCCAGTCGATATTTCCATTTTCATATGCTCTTTGATCTGGTCTGAAACGTGAGTCAGTGTTAGGAATTAAAACCCCAGGATAACTTTTGTCATACTGAGGTGATATTTCATTCAATTCAAATGAAATATCACTAAAACCAAAATACCTTTCACTAGAATTAGATTTGATCTTTGGAGACCAAATTAATGATCTGCTATTCTCCTTTGTCTTTAGCTTTTCCCAATTGTTGAGCAAGCAGTACGATGTTGAAGGTGGTTTAAATGGAATCTTCCTATTATGTTCAGAACTCATATCACCTTTTTCTATATATGAATCTAGACCTAGAGTTAAAGGCTTATGTACACTATTAAACTCTAAATGAGCTCCTACATGTGAAGAGTCATCTGTAAATTGAGACTGTGGTAGTTGGCAAACCTCAAACCATATTTGTCCATCCCATCTCCCGCCAATCTTGTAAATTGGTATATGTTTATTATTGAAGATAATACCACGAATACTATTCAAATCACTTCCAAACCAGCCACTTTTCTTATATTCAATAATTGAGTATTCGCATGTAGAGTGATTGATTATTGTGCTGATTCCAATGAATTCTATCCAAAGTCGACCTAACAATATGTTGTGTACAAGTAATCGCGGACGATTATATGTATAATAGTCGTTCCTCCCAGAAAAAGTGATGTTTACATTACCCAATACAGATATCTCCAAACTTTGACCAGTAAATCTACTCTTATCACTAATATGTCCCCATACACGATAAAGTGGTGTATTTGGATGGCTTGCTGCAGAACAAGTGCCTTCAGCTACATCTAAAGTATGATGGTGTTCAACATAATAAGCAGTCACAGGTGGATGATGTCCAACTTGTTCAGCAAAATATCTAAAACCTCTGTGGGAAAATTCGTAGGTCTCACCAAGCAAGGGATTAAAAGGTTTGTATAGTCTTCCTACTGACGATGCATACGGAGTCAAAGAAAAAATTGTTACATCAAGCAGTCTCTCAATACCTGTCAGCTTCCTAGAAGCACCTTCTAGTATATTACTATATTCAAAATTCTCAGCTAGCCTTTGGAGTAATGAAGTCGGCTCATTAAATTGTATAGGAATAGTAATTCTAGATATATCTTTAGTGATGGAATCTTTTATTGATGCCCATAAATTGAACCTTGGAATAATTTGTTGGCATGGTAAAGACTTCCTATATTTAAATGGATTAATGTACCAATAACAAGTATGGCAAATATGAATACTAGGTATAGATGTTAATTTGAAACTCTGGGTAATATATACATCAAGATTACTGATGTCAGAAAGAGCATCATAAAAAGTATCCGTCTCTTCAGAAGTTTCATTAACGGGGGATGATTCAACAAGTGCGTTGAGATTATGAGCTGTTTTAAAAGATTGAAGGAGAGCATCATATAGATCATTTTCACGACTCTTGTGAAAGCGTAACTTTTGGTATATCATATCAAAAACCAATCCAATAAAACGATCAAAAGTTGAAGAAATACACTCATGTAGGTTTTTATTTCTCTCTTTGTTATTAGTTACATCATCTAATAATTTGTTTCTAGCTTTCATAAGTTCATAAAGTAGATTGGATAAAAGAGGCTCACAATCGTATGAAGCTGAGGGTAGTATGCAGCTCGAACTAAGGGGAGAGTCTATTGTGCGCTGCGGTGGGTTTGGTATATTCGGATTCATGCAATAGAGAAGGGCATTCAACCATATCAATTTAGATTCTAGAGAGAAAGCACGCATATGTAAAGGATTTAATGGATTTTGAAAAAATTTTATAGTTATTCTTAGTGAATCCTTTGTAGATATTTCCAAGTGGCACAAATTAAAGGACAACAGAAATCTCTTCTTCTTCTTTTTCTTAGTTCCCTTGTCGTAGCAAATATATCCAGGATACAGTTGGAAATATCTAGGTTTCCATGTATTTAGCATGTTTGTCCATTTATTTACCCAACCCTCCATAATTGCATTTTCGCCATCTAAACAAGTGACTGAACTAACTGAAGATGGAGTTCCCGTGTTGTTAAGTTCAGCTATAAGACGTTGACTCTTTCTCCTGGTAGCTAAACGACGAATATGCCTTACTACTGACAACTTGGGACCTCGCAATTTATGTTTATTTTCTGCATGATTTGCCCATGAACACAATGATTCTGATGACCTTGGTGTATCTGATATAAGTGAAGAAGATGAAATCACATTGGAGTATGCATCATCTGCAATACTGCTTTCCCTATACTTTTTATTTTTTACCATTTTCCCATGGAATTTTGGCTCCTCTTAGCATAATACTGATGCTTTAATAACACTCCCCCCACTTAAATAAAGCTAGAAAGCCCGGTTTGAATTTTCATGCTAATTATGGTCATTTAGAAATGTGAACACGATATCTGTTACAACTTAATACAATTCTAAAGTAGGTGCACTTTGTATCTCTACTAAAGCTAACTGAATAACATTTATTTAGGTGCAAGTAATAGTATTGGGAGAATTGATTCTGTCAGGGGTTCGTTCATCAGGTTAAGAGCCTCTTAAGCTGCACAATATGTTAGAAGTAATTCTAAATAGTTCCGTAAGTACAAACTAACTTCAATATTACTAAGATGTAAGCCGTCGGAAAAGTAAATAGTTTCATAGATTTTAGAAGAAATCTCTAAAGGGAGAAGAATTTATAAAGGAGCTAGTTCCCGCCTTACTGGGCTTAATGAAAAAAGACAAACGCTCCCGGACGGAATCGAACCGTCGACCCTTCGGTTAACAGCCGAATGCTATAACCGACTAAGCCACGGAAGCTTGTTGTCTACCTCCCTTTCGAAGAATATGCTTATATTTTATTGAATTAATCCACCCCCTAGACAATCTATAACAAGACATAACAATAACCTTTGACAAGTTTCTTAATTTCCCCCTGTTTTTCTGCACTTTCGTGATATCTTTTTTTTTTATTGAGGTCTTTTTATCCACTTGTAACTGTCCTACATGCTTAGTATTTACTTTTTGAGTTTGATTTAACATATTGTAGGGGTGTATTTTATTTTCAAACAAACCTGTCCCTACACTGTTCATTGCTATATCTATACTTTTACTTTTTATCATTTCTATATCTATATGTCTCTGTAGTATTGATTGTATCAGTATTCTTGGAACATTCCTTAACTTATTTGTAGTTCCTCTGCCTGTACTTCGATCTAAATCTAAGTTGTCAGTAAGCTTTCTTCTTATCATAGCAACAGTTGCATAATAATAAGAATGGAAATCACGATTTATTAGACTGTCGTTGATATTCCTTATTAAATTGAGCTTTCTTGATTTCAATGTTATATTTACTTCATTCATACACTCAATATTTGTCAAAATCTTTTGAAATGGCCTGAAATATAGAGTGTAGTTTTCATTGTCTTTGTATTGCAAAGAAGAATTTATAATTGAGATAATTGAAGCTCCAAATTGTGGTAGATGTAAGAGACTTGTTTGAGAAGTAATATCCCAGATTCTAATACCATCATTGGCAGATGATACCAAACGATTACTCGCAAGTCGACAAGCCTTAACAGTGCCTGTATGACCAATCAACTTCAAAGTAGCTGATGAATCAGAATTTTTAATGTTTTCAGTTTCAATAATATTTATTTCTCCATTATTGGTTCCAATTATAACATAGTTATCGCAGTAACTAATTTCACAACAACTAGGTAAATAAGGTAAAACCACCGTTGCAAGAGGTCGATTTTTTTGAAAACTCAATACATTAATAGTTCTGTCACTCCCTATACTTATAAGAAAGAAGTCAAACAAATTACTAGCTAAGTTTCTTGGAACGAAGTCCCTAACAGGCAAGCAATGTATTGGCCATCTCGCAAGGGGACTTGGAATATTCTTATTACTAAAAATGTCGGATAAGTAATAAGCCTGTATGTATCCATCATCAGCAGAAGTAACGAGTAATGAATCATTTCTTATTAATATTATTTTGTTGATTGACTTAAAATGACTTAGCCAGCATTTAGCAAGGTGCCCAGTACTCATTACCCAGACATAGAGTGTTCCTGTTGTACCACCAGCATATAGTACTCCTCCATCTTTTTGGAATGTACAGCTTGTAATTACTTCTGGCATAGCAGCCTTATATATTGGCTCGCTTTTTGTTGTATTCCATATGTGTAAAACAGCTTTGTTTTGCTGAAAAGCTGCTATATAGCTGTAAGACTCCCCAAAATACGAGACCCCAGCTCTTGAAGTCGTACTATCTTTGTAGCCTTTACATAAGTGTCCATTATTAACATCTAAAGAGTACAGACCATGTTGAGTAGATACAAGCGTCACTATATCCATACTTATTTGTAAATGTCACAAATGACAAAAACTAGTAGCTAACGGCACATAACCCGCCTATACCCATCAAAAGTTGGGTATTCTATATTTGGCTACTGTATAGAGAAATATTCACTACTGAGGCCTATATAAATTAGTGTCTAATAGTAATAAAATTAGTAAAATACTTAAAGCAATATAAACTAAATTCATGGCAAAATTTGCCTTCTAGATGTATTTATACTAAAATTCACCTGTGAGTACTTTCATAAATAATGTCGATAGTCCTCAGCCTCCAATGATATGTACTATCACAAAGGAGTTCCTAAATAACCATCTTATAATATATGCACTTATCTGGACGGTAATCAATATATTAGTAAATGATTCCTGTGGCATAGTGCAAAAAAATTAGTATTAGTATCAATGGATATAACTGATCCACATAACTCATGTAGTGATGTAATCAGACTATTGCTATTTCACTTCACTATATTATTGATATAGAATCAATAAATTCTGCTGAAACACGGAATATAGCATGTCATCATTAATTCGAATATTTCTCAAGGAACCTCTGAAGCTCAAAAGAATTTGCACCTTTATAGGCAATACTAAGTATAATGACCATAAAGTAAACTAGCCCTCATCTCTAACTAATTTTGGTTTATCAGTTCTATAACGAAGAGTGCTTAAAGTACAAAAGAGAAGAGAGAGATTACCGTAAGAAAATGAAACTTATTATAGCGGGCTTTTACCTAACCAGCTGTCTAAACAATTCCCGCCATTGAAAAAACTACCCGACATGTCAAGAATGATGCAAATTTAGATTACATGCCGAATAGAATGATTGAAGGTATTTGAATCTGAAAGAAAACGATGCTTCAGTCAATAGTAGATCAGAACGGTGAAATAAGTTTAAGTAAATTAGTTGGTAGTCAAGACTTATCGGAATATGTAGTAACTATCAGAACATTTAGAGAGATTGTTTCTAAGCTAAATATTATGGTAAGTGAAAGATTAGTGGAAGTATTAGGTAGTGTAGATGTAGATTTAGCTTTGGAAACATGTAAAAAGGGTGCTTATCTTCATAAGTATCCAAGATCTCCGTTTTGCAAAAAAAGCTTTAGAAGATATTTCTTCAAAATAGACCTTGATTCAGGTAGTTTAATATGGTTACAAGAGAGTAATATTACCTTATGTTTACCTAAAAAGGGCAAACAAGAAAAGTTGTATCTGACTGATGTTAGTCACATCCTTCCAGGTTCTGACTGTGATTTTTGGCGTGCAAGAAATACAAATAGCAACGATAATATAAATGCAAATCTTGGAATAGAACTCGTGGTGACTAGCCGAAGAGGTTCTTCACTAAGGTTATTTTGCTCTAATACTGAAGAGTGGAAACTGTGGATTACAGGAATGTTAGTAGGACATGCTTTATCTAGAAAAGAAAAGACGATCTCAAGACGAAAAGGAAAAAAAATAACTGATTCAAGACATTTCATTACGCATGATTATATTCGACGCCAGTGGGAACTTTCAGATTTGGATAACTCAGGTTCTATCAGTTTTGTTGAGTTCATGCGTTTAATAAAAAGATTGCAGATGCCAGTTTCAAAAACTTATGCTAATACACTATTTTCAGAGTATGACAAAGATAACAATGCTGCATTAGATTACACTGAATTTCGTAGCTTATTAAGTCAACTATTGATCTTACCAGAGTTACATGATCTGTTTGAAGAATATAAAGATGAAACAACTAATGTTGTAACAGCTGAAAGATTTAGAAATTTTCTAATTGATGTACAAGGAATGGATCCGTCAAAAACGTTAGAATCGTTAGTAAATACTGTATTAACCTTAAAAGAGCCATTTGTTGAACGTGGTGGGCTTACTGAAGTAGGATTCAATATATTAATGTCTTCAGAATTCAACTCTGCTTTTGATCCTCTTAAAAAAGAAGTTTACCAGTCATTAGATGAACCAATCTCTCACTATTGGATTGCATCAAGTCATAATACATACTTAACAGGTGACCAATTAACATCAAAATCTGAAATTGGACAATATATAAATGTGCTTCTACAGGGTTGTCGTTGTGTCGAATTGGATGTTTGGGATGGGCCAGACAATACACCAGTAATTTACCATGGTCATACTTTTACTTCAAAAGTATACTTTGAGGATGTAATTAGAGCCTGTAAAGACTATGCATTTCAAAATTCACCATATCCCGTAATTTTGTCACTAGAAATGCATGCTTCGGAAGTCCAGAGAGAAAGAGTTGCTGAAATTATAATGTCTGTACTAGGAGATTCTCTTTATAAATCATCAGATAGTCCACCTAATTACATGCCATCTCCAAATGAACTAAAGTACAAATTTCTTGTTAAAGCAAAGATCCCAAAAGAAAAGAATAATGAAGAAGATGGCGATGGAGATGATGAAGATGATCCAGATGATACTGAAGCAGATGTGCTTGAAAGTGACACAAAATATATTCCCCGAAGAAATAAACTTGATCAGCCTGGAATACTATCAAGTACTTCTAATACAAGACCTAGATTATACTCAACTTTGATATCATTGCCTGGTAAAGCAATAAAGTTGTTAGATATAGAAACACGTAATCGTATGAGTATTGGATCATTAGTTGAAACTAAGTTCTTACGCTTTGCTAGAGAGAATAGTAGTGAATTTGCAAGATTTCATCAAGATCATTTGTGTAGAGTATACCCTTCAGGTACGAGAATTTCAAGTTCAAACTACAATCCTATGATTCCATGGGCTTACGGGGCTCAAATAGTTGCTCTAAACTATCAAGCTACTGGTACAGCATTGTTATTAAATGAAGGACGTTTTCGTCAAAATGGTGGATCAAAATGTGGGTATGTTTTAAAGCCTCAAATGATGCTAAAAGTAACTGAAGAAAATAAGGTTATGGACCCTATGGATCCACTTGCTACATTGGAATTGTTCGATGTTCCACCAGTTAGAGTCAGCATTCAAATTTTATCAGCTCATCAGTTACCTGATAATGGATCTCAAAGTAATAGGGGAATTGTAAGCTTGATTGGTGGAAGTAATTTATCTCCTTATATAACAGTGTCAGTATTTGGTGGTCCTAGAGACGAGTATAAAACATGTAGAACTCCAGTAGTATCTAATAATGGGTTTAATCCTCAATGGAAAGATCTTATGCCATTTACATTTCATGTGTTATGCCCAGAGATTGCCATTATAAACTTCGAAGTTAGATCAGCTGATTCTATACAATCAGACTTTATTGCAGCTGCTTCAATACCTATTTCGTGTCTACGTCCAGGTATAAGATGGGTTCAATTATTTGATAAAAATCTTATGGATATACAGTGCTGTGGTATTCTTGCAAATATATCGGTAACAATTGAACTACCTAAGGCATTAATGATATCATCTATTACATCTGGAGGTAGAGCAACATCAACATCATTGCAGGAAGCTCTCCAACAATTTAAAGATGTGAAATTCTAATTGACATCTCTAAATAGTATTTGACTTTGACTTCTATTACTACAATACATCGAAGTAAACTTTACTCCTTTAAAGGCTATAATTTTTAATTTCTATAAAAAGAAATTTTTGAGTTGATACGTTGAACCTAAATATCTAGATATACAAATGAAATACAAAGGAATATTAAATAAAATTATTCAGAAATAATAGTATATATTTGAAAGTTAAATTAGCTAAAGTAGTGAGCAAAAGTCTGCAATCATACTTATGCTTAACAAAGTGTAATTGGTATTTGTTTATAGTACTGTATACATTTACATAATATTGCAATTTTTAATAGATTTAGCTGTATTCAGTATTTGTGGTTTTATATGCTGAATATCACAAAATTTTAGAAATACTCAAGCGTATAGAGAATATGATAATCAAAATTTACGATAGCTTCTTTTTTTTTTTTTTCTACTTTATTAAGTTGAGCTGTTACTATTTTAATTCTTAAGAATACTTATAAAGAAGATGTTAAGGAATAGAAGATAAATTAAGTACTTGACACAATGTTGTAATAGTAATAGCAATCAACCAACTATATTCCTTACAAGATTTCCTCTCAATACTTGAGAATTAAAACTGATTAAAATATTAATGAGATTATCTTTGACGAACTGTATGGATTTGTTACTTTTGTGGAGATTTTTACTAGGTAGGTAGCTTTCAAAAATAATGGGCAAATAAGTAATTTCCTGTTTGCAATAATCACAATTCTAAAATGCTATCTATCCAATATTAAACTATTTACAGAATTATAGGTCTGGTTTCCTATTACCTCTAAATTCTGGGTTAGCACCACCAGTGATTATCATGTGATATACAGTAATTCCGATTAAGGAGAAGGCAAGACCGGCAACGAAAAACCAGATAGTAGATACTGTGATGAATACCTAAAATCCTGGTATTTGTGAAAGAATTTAATGAATTAATGTATTATACTTACCGTCCACCATAGTGCAGGTGCAGTGCTCTGACATACTAGAGAAGTATTAACCTGTATTTATATTTAACTTCATTAAAGGAAGTAACTTAAAGCATATTTGCAAATGTACTTACCCATACAGTACCAAGTGTAAACCATAGAAAACTAGCAACAAATAATGAGATCTCTCCAATCAGTGCAAAACTACAAGATAATATTAGTATATTTAGAATTCAAAAATTAGAATCCAATTATCCCCATCTTACCCATGTCCAAAAGTTGATTCAATCACACTAATCACTTTTGTAGCTGGAATTGACTTTTTTTCGATAAATTTTAAAGGTTTACTTATTTAAAAATATAAGGGAAACTTACTAATAGAATTGCACCAATTAGCCATGATTTTAAAGGTGCATCGCATACACTTCGATAAGAATATATAAGCACACCACAATATACTAAGTCAAATAAAGCAAAGATGACCAGAGATAATTTCTTAAGGTCACTTGTATGCTGTTTGAAATTTGAATCTGTATCATATACCATTAAATCAAAAATAAAGAACAATACACTTTTTTATAAATAATAGTACAATCTTTTTTAAAGGAAATATAGCTGGCTACATGTAGGTTGCATGCATTTACCGGTATTTATGAGTTATTATCTTCAGAAATGATCACTCAAAATGAGATAGTAAAGTCCAAATAATTCTATTTATTAACTTCATAAAAGTAGGAATTTCAATGTGACATAGAATAAGTATTAAAAATAGCACAATAAAAATGACAAAAGTAGATTTCATTAATCTCGGGTTACCCTTTTTTGAGGGTTTTTGCAGTTTGTAAAAATATCCTATATTAGGATCCTGTTAAAAAAAGCAATTATAATAGTACTTTAGAGTATTAAATATAATAGCCGATTCAAACATACATAGTGTCCATCTTTCAAAAATTCTGGAAATAGTTCAAGAAATACCTGTAAAGATTGGAAATTAAATGTTGAAGGTACTAGTTCTCATAAAACAAACCTTGTTTGATAAGTTGAATTTGTATGATAAAATAGCTAAATGTTTTCTTTCTTTGGGCCCTCTAATTTCTCTACCAATCATGGGTTGTTCTATAGAGTCAGTCATAACACTTAGTATGGCTTGCAGTATAGTTTCTATTCGCCAAGATGGGTTCCATGACTCTGGATGATGGTCTGACATAGAAAAGCATAGTCTAGTATTTGTGGTAAATCGGCCATTTGGTGTCAAAAAATATATTGAAGGTGCTTTGTATGGATACTCTTTAGGAAATATTAGTTTACCATGATATATACCACCGAAATAAGGGGTTTCAGCTGGAAAATCATATCTATAGAAGGGGTTAGTTAATAAGTTTCAAGCAAAGATGGATAAATAAAATATTAACTTACAATACAAAATGCCAAATAAGCAAATTTCTAGTTTCTGGCCTAGCAATAATATTGCTAGGAAATTTCCCCTCCAAGTTTTTATATTCTCTAGATAATCTATTAGCAGCCATATTAAGCTATTTCATACGACCTCTTACGCAGATTACCGGCAAAAAAAAAGTTGATAAATTATATCATGACTTTAGCAAGATACAATAGTTAATTATGCAACAAATAAGATTAGGAGAAACCCCTTCAAAGAAAAGACATTGGACTTCTGAAAATAAGTAGGTTGTTACTATTTTGAAATAAAAATCTATATTAGCAATAGAAATGATATTATTCTGAACTTGCTTGGTTTTTTATTTATTTTTTTCGTTAGTTCCCAAGTTTCCCCATTATCAGTTACTCAAAATTCCTACACCCCGATTCAAAAATACGGAACTAATCAAAAAAGACTTAGCTACTCTATGAATAACAGAAAAGAAGGACATTTGAAACATCTTATTTCTGAAAGAATGGCTAGTGAGAAACTCGATATTTTGGCTAAGCTTGGAGGTCAAGCAAAAGCAACAGCAATTGAGAGTCAAATAGTGTGCCTTTCAAGAGGTACGTAATTTCATAAACAAAACTATACTTTTTTTTTTATTTCCCTAGGTAAATTTTTGAAATTCTGTACATTATTTTAATTTTCAGATGATCTTGTAGATCTTGTCCTTACAGCTTGTGCAGAACAACCTAATTTTTATCAAAAGGTATGCCCTATTATGTGATTTACTCAAAGTGTTCATAAATTTTACATATTCATAGGTCAATCGCAAATACCTTGATTCATTGACATATAATGTAAAAAAGAGTACTTTCACAGATATACATAAATAAGTTGAACTTTTTTTTATTTAAATGTACTGCCTTCTCTTTCTTTTTCAAAAAAGAAGACAAAAAGTCTTGTAGCGGCTCTATTTAGTTACCTTTGCTATTAAATAAAAAAACTTTACATTCTTGTTAGATATGGATTTTATCATTGAAAAGTTCTTAGGTTTTTATCCTAATATTAGCAAGTATGCTCTAAAACTTTTCGATGAACTACCTATAAGTGAATTTTATCGTAGAAAAATAGTAAACTATTATATGAAGTGCCTCAATTACAATATTGAGGGTGGAAAGTATATGCGTGGGATCACTCTTGTAGAAGTAGCATATAAATGCTGGAATAATGGGGATAAAATACTGTGGGATGAAGTTTTAACGGCTGGCTGGTGTATTGAAATACTACAAGCTTTTTTTCTAGTTGGAGATGACATAATGGATGGCGGAGAAATGAGGAGAGGGAAAGTATGTTGGTACATCTCACAAGGTCTGTCAATGGGACTAAATGACTCATTTTGTTTATATATAATGTCAGAATTACTAATGAAAGGTGCACTAAAATCTTATAGTATGGATACACTAGCAAGAATAATGGATTTACTACATAGATGCATCTTTTACACAATCTTAGGTCAACATTTAGATACAAGCCCACTTTGTTTAAAATCAACGGAAAATTTAGATGAGAGGTATTTTGCAATGATTCAAATGAAGACATCTTACTATTCAATTTATTTACCTATTTGTATTGGGTTGTTATTGGCTAACTCTACTAGTGGCATACCTCTTGAAGTAGAACACTTTAGCAGGATAATTGGTGAATATCTCCAAATAGAAAATGACTTCCTTGACTACTTTGGCAACAATGAGAAGACTGGGAATGATATCGAGCAAGGAAAACTAACTTGGCTCCTTTGCAAAGCTATGCAGGATCCATTACTTAAAGATGATATAGTGGAGAATTACGGTAAAGATGCAGAACTTATAAAAGAAATTTATCAAAAGCTTAATATGGAGAGTATTTTTGAGGAATACAAATTGGAGACTAAAAACAAAGTTTCATCTATTTTAGAGAAGTTAGAAAATGAAAATTTACGGAGAGCTCTTAGATGTATTGCCATAAGGATCTTCTCATATCATGATCAGAAGTGTACCTCTTTATAAAGTTATTCCCAATGGAACAATAATTTATGACTTATACACTATAGAATTCAAAGTCACGTTCATTTCTTTTAATATGAGTTTTCCAGCCATTTTCAAAATCCTTGGGAAGTATAACATACCTATTCTTCCTCACTGCCTGCATACCAGCTTCTTGGCATATCGCAGCAATATCAGCAGCTGAAATCTTTTCAGGTCTAGATATAAAATCTTCAAGATCAACTTCATCACTAAGGTTCATTTTAACAGTAATAGTTTGAAAAATTAAACGTCGTTGTCTCCTATCAGGTAGTGGGAATTCTATTTTTCTGTCTAATCTCCCAGGTCTCAATAGTGCTGGGTCTAGTGTATCAGCTCTATTAGTAGCCATTATAACCTTAACATTTGTTGTCTGATCAAATCCATCCATTTGATTGAGTAATTCTAATAATATACGTTGTACTTCGCGATCTGCCCCTGTTTGAGCATCAAAACGCTTAGTTGCTATAGAATCAACTTCATCAATAAAAACTATAGCAGGGGAGTTCTCTCTTGCCAATCTAAATACATCACGAACCATCCTAGGACCCTCTCCTAGATATTTTTGAACGAATTCAGATCCTACTACTCTGATGAATGTTGCAGTAGTATGATTTGCAACAGCCTTTGCTAACATTGTCTTCCCTGTTCCTGGAGGGCCATACAAAAGAACACCTGTTGGTGGATCAATACCAATTTGCTGATATAATTCTGGACAAACTAAAGGTAACTCTACAGCTTCACGTACCTCTTGTTTCTGTATATCCATTCCCCCAATATCTGCATATGTGACATCTGGTTTCTCCTGCATTTGAAGCATCTGTATACTCGAATCAGCCTCAGGGGGCAAGATATCAACAACTGCATGGCTGTGTCTATGAAGAGCAACAGATGCAGGAGGTTTCAAATGTTCCCTATTAATTGTGCTCAAGACTCTAACATAATAGTTTGATCCAGCTGTAGAAGATACAATTCCATAATGCGAATCAATCATTTCTAGAAATTGACCAATGACTAGAGGAACAGACTGAATACGTCTAATTTCCTCCTTTGCACGAATTAACTCACGTTTCAAACTTTTTTGTTCATCTTTTATGTAATCTTCTTGAACATTTAGGAACTCAAGTTCTTGTTCTAGCTGTTTGAGTTGTGTATACAAGGACTCATCCTTTGTATTAGAACTGAGGTTATTATATTTAATACTTGTCATTAAAACTATTATTACTGTTGTCGAGATCCTTTTTTCTTGAGCCTACTTTTAAAGTAAGAATAAGCGCTTTAGTACGTGGGTTGTGATCAGCGCTTTATATGTAAATCAGTTGATAAGTTTGAATCAAAAGAAAGCCCCCAAAGCAGTTTCATGTTTTAATTTCTTCAAAACATATAAGGATTCACTTTTATGAAATAATATTTAATTAAATGTGTGATCTAAATCTACATTATAAGCATACACAGATTTTTAATAAACATACTGAAGATACCTGTTAACTAGTATTTCCTATTCTCTTCATAAACTGTGCAGAGGTAATCATTTAGATTTATTTAGTTAACTAATTTTATATTTAGAATCTTAGCTTATATTCTACTCCTTGAATAATGAATTATCTACGGGAATTTCTGGATTAAAAAAAGACAGTAGATTGATACCCTATCTTATGCGCTATTTTAGTGGATGCTCCATGGTTATTTCATTAATGGAATGTGACATTACTAGAGCTATGCTTATTAGAAGAAATGACAAGAGTAGCATTAACTATTACAGATTCTTGGGTATTTAAAGAAAGAAACTCAAATTTAAACTGTGGCATTGATAAGCATTGCGATGTTTATGCTTTAGAAAACTACGAACCAGAGGTAGAAACAAAAAAAGAAAACAGTGAAGAAAAATATTCAGGTTGTAATTATCCATACACTAAGGATCAACTTTCTGACTGTTCTACAATAGTGTATTCAACTTCATCCTCTCAAACTAACACTACATCTTGTGAAGGTTTTAATATTTCTAATGATAATATATTTGATAACAATGAATATATATGGCAAAAAATAATAGGTATTAGGAAGAAATTCACATCTATTTTTTGGTCAATTGTATCTTTAGATGATGATATACCTCTTTATGATTACAGCATGCCAATAATAAATGAAATATATAGCGAATAATATACAGTACAAAGAAAATAATTTATATTTACTATACTTGACTATACATCTCAACAAGTCTTTTTATGTTGAAGTGTTGCAACGCAAATATTCTTTGAGATTCACGCAATTTCTTTATGGAAAATATACGCCTCCTTACCAAATACCCTCTATAATTCTTTTGTATTATTATGGCGTACTTTACTTGTTTATTAATATCTACCATCCGAAATATCAGCTAAACTTCAATATCTGATTAATGCTACTTGCTAAATATTCTAAGAAAATAGTGTGGCAAACTAAGCTATTCTAGCTAGCTAACTACACAAGTACACTTCTAGATTAAAATAGTCCACATATATATAGTTAAGTATTTGAAGTAGTCTATTAATATAATTTTTTTTTAATGTAAAAAGCACTAGGAATTGATTATTGTTGTAAAGGAAAGAAAGGTTTGATAAAAAACTATACCCAAATATTCACTTAGCTTAAGTACATCAGGCGGCGAGATGTGCTGGTTCTTTATTAAGGGTAATCAGTGGAGTGCTGTATACAATATCAGAATTAGTAATTATTCTAATATTTAAGGGTGTATTCTACCTGGTCAATTTTCTAATATAGTTGTACTGTTATAAATAACTATATACATCAAGTCCATAGCTTTGGAGAAGCTAGAATACATGGACAAAGTAAATAATATATCTTCTTATGAGAATTACTAGCTGAATTTTCTTACTGAGGGTTTCCAGTTAGTGAGTGCATACCTATGTCTATTATTCTACTATATACTCTTGTCTCTATATGTTACGTGAGAAATGAGATCTTAACATATACTCCTTATAGTTGGAAGTAAAAAACCTTCTATCTTAAAAATATCTTGTGTAGTGACATATTCAATATATTAAATTATGATATACAATCGGCTAATCAGCAAATATTGTGAAAAAGACATTAGACATAAAGTACCCTCGCAGAAATTATTTGGTCCGCACAAGTGCGGCATATTAATAAATCTAGTATATATAACCAGTTCAAGACAATTCCCAGTTCAATAAAAGTTAGATTTATGAAAATAAAAAGTCGTGAATTGTACTACTCAAGATCTATAGATATATCTGCAGAATACTATTACAATATTAAAGTGGAGGGGATCAAGTAATACAAATAGTCTTGTGAGTTCATCGAGCACTTATGTCGGTTTCAGAGCTCTTCTGAATTATGTCATTCTAAAAGGCTTTATATGTAGTTTAAATTGAATTATTTATGTTCCCTATATAAAATGGAAATACAGAACTGCAAATCAAGCATTTCAAAATACCTCCAATAAATACTTCACTACAAGTACTAATTAAGTTTTATAATGGCTAATTTCTGATATATCTACTGTGAAGTATATATAAGTTGTTGACTACTTCCTTAGTTTAAAAGATTAAGGTCATTGCTATACCACTAGTTATATAAGCCAGCAAGAAGTCGCTGTGTTGCTAGTATATTATTAATAAGTCTATATCGCAATAATGCAGTGTAATGTTATATTAAGTTGATGCTTTGTAGTATTTCTAGAGAAAAGTAAGAATTACATAAAGTTTTGATGTCCTTTATTCTTATCTTATACCTTTAATAAAAGCGGCTGATTCAAAATAAATAGATAGAGAGACGTGACAGTTGGGTACCTGTTGACTATTAATTCGGCGAAAAGAGTAGTACAGTTATGCAGTTTTTGGTCAAACTGTGTTAAGCCAAGATGAGGCTAAGTTTCATATTTTTTTATGTTTCATTATTTATTTTTTTTTCTCAGTATGGAAATGGGGAGGTAACAAAACTTAAGATGACTCCAAATGAAATACTTGCTACTATTGATGACAATTTGCAGCAACTTATGCAATTTGTGAGAGTTTTGTCAGTCAGAAGTAGTCATAGAGCTACTACTAAGTGTATGACTGTGATAAAAAATTTGAAAATACTAAGTTCTGTTTGTAGTAAGCATAATATTTCTATTCGTCCTTTGACCGTTCTTTGTCTTAATGGTATTCTTTGGTTACCTGAGGCTTGTTCTGAGCCACGTTTGTTACTTAATCATCTAATTACTTATGAATTATTGTTTAATAGTAACTCACAAAATTTACAACCAAAAGCTATAATGGAAAAAGAAATTCCAGAGAATAGTACTAATTATCTTCTGAATAATGGACCTACACAATCAAATCAGCTACATAATGTAAAGCAATTATTTAGAAACCAGAATAATGACTCAATTGAATATAACAACTCTAAATCTACTTCAAATGATGAAAGTATACAAAGTTTTATACCAGAGCCAGTTTCTCTTCCTACTGAAGAATCTCACTTACCCTTACAAGTTCAGCAAGTCACTGAATATGATAATGAAAGATCTGTTATACTTAAATACTCGGAAGATCAAGAAATAGCTGATAGAAAGAAAGAACTAGAGGAAATAGCTAATATGAGAAAAGGTAGAAGGCAAGAATTCGAAGGTTTTAAGAAGACACTAGAGAAGGTACTAAGTAATAGTTAACCTACATCTGTTATAACTATTGAAGAAAAAGGCTCCTGATCCTTAGATCTTTATCATTTTATTTAAAGATCAATAACTATTTTGATATAATACTGATAATAATTTCAGTCATTCTCATTCTACAACCGGTTCAACTACAAAATCTAAGATAATCTTTGTATATTTCTCTAATACTAGCTTCTAAAGTGGTTTCTAGACTTTAAACCTAATTATATTAACAAATTATGTTTACCAAGACTATTCCTTATCACATATAATAGTGAAGTTGATTTGGAAGTTCAATAAATTGTTCATATATCTCCCTTATTTTGTCAATGCACGTGAATACTTTGGAATCTAGTGCAGTTGCACTTCCTTATACCTTATTTGAATATAAGAACTTATTAAAGCACTAGCAGTCAATAGGTAAGTCCATGTATTTTGAACTTTATTCACTACTTACACTGGGTTGTGTAAAATATATGTATAGGAGCTGCTAAAGTAAATACTTCAATGTCTATTGGAACTTTCTCGTTGTAGATGGGTTCTTAATGTTAGTTACAGCTTAAGGCGCGCATTTAGCAGAAAGGTCTCATGCTAGAATCTCAATATTTTTAAATATACTATTACTGTTGTGCTATGAATAAAAATACATTCATTACTTTGGGGCTATGGAGATATAAATCTATCTTTCTACTTACTATCTTGATAAGCTTCTCAAAAAGGATTCAATGCTATATAAATAAGAGAAGTAGATCTCAAAAAGAACTTTTGCCGCAGGTTGGAAAGTATGATGAAGTTGGGTTAAACAGCTTAAATGTTATGGAAAAGGGACCATTATTATTTAATATATCAAGTATATCTGATACTAAAGAATACAAATCTGTGTTATTTTCTGAAGAGGACTTAGTCAGTAAATTGAAAAATATAATAAAGTTCCAAAAACTTAAAGATGAGGAATTTTCAGATTTAATGGTACTAATGAGATCTTCCACAGTAAATAAACAGCAAGGAAATGTGGTATTAGAAAAAAGTGATGCTTCAGGAAGCTATAATAGTGTCTGTAAGCTCTCACCGATGGAATACCAAAAGTTGTCCAGATATTCCAAACTTCAGACTACAATGGGAACTAGATTGCATCGCCAATATAAAACCTTTGTACCTAGAAGTCCAGAAAAAACGATTAGAAAAGTTAACAAGCTAGAAACTAAAGGGGATACTGCATATAAAACTACTGTGAAAACTCTTCAAGATGTTATTTATGAGTCCATGAATGAAGCACGAGCCTCAAGCCTTCTAACAGATAGAAAACTACATGAAGCTCAAGCTGAAAGTATAAAAGCAAGAACTGAAGGAGGATATGAATCTTTGAAAGAAGATATAAGAGCTGCCAAAGTTATAGCAAGAAGAAAGCTTGTGGAGTCTGGAGAATTAGATCTGGTAGACGAGATTTTAAACAGTATACAATTAGAAAGAGATCATCATGATAAGAATAAAGAGTTTGGAATACAAAAAAGTAACCAGATAGATTTGTTAGTTCCTATTCCACCAAATTATACTGAAGACTTATCTTTAGTTGAGAAAGATAGTGAAGAAATTGATACTAAACCAATTAAAGATATCAACTCAGTACTTGAAGTTCAGGTCCCAGATCTTCCTGAAGAAGTCACCTCTATAGAGAGTAATTCAAAAATGCTACTCAAAAGGAAAGGGATGCTACCACCTGGTGCTAGTAGAGAGCTGGAAGAATTCAAAAAAAGAGGTATAAGAGGCCATATGATTGGTACTAATCTGGATTCAAAAGCATCAGGTAAACTTAATCCTAGGGATCATATCTGGAAAGGAACTTCCAGTAAATTAGATAGTAATTTTGTTAAACCCGAAGGATTTTTACCCCCATCAGCTAAGCAGCATGTTTCCAGTAAGGATGTACAACTGAATACCCATGCATCACATTCTATACTAACTCCTAAGATAGTAACACCGAAACAGCCTTTAGGTAATGATTTATTGGACGAATTTGAGCAATATCTACAATCAAAGCCAATATATAACGTAAAAGATCTATCCGAAGCACCAAAACAATTGTCAAATTAGTCAATTCCTTTCTGAATTAGTATACCAGCCAGTACCATCGTTACTACTGTAGAGGTAATAAGGTAATTCTTTGAATAAGGATACTACAACAAATTATTAAATATTAGAAATTCTATATAGAGAATTACTAGGAAATAATACTTAAATTTTTTATATGTATTCTGAGTTGTATTACAATAATTCGGATTTCTAAAATATTATTGAATAATCATGATTTCATTATACTACATGAGTCTAACTTTTCTTAAAATTCCTGCAGCTAACACCTATAACTGATGTATTATGAACTAGAAAATGTTTATTTTGAAGGAATATTGTTCAGTAACACTGTATAATTTTTAACATTATCTGTGTAATCGAGTTGGTATCATAAATTTGGAAATACTTGGAAATAACTAAAATACACAAGTTTATGATATTCTCAGTAACAACCTTTTAATAATATCTTTGATTATATAACTACTGATATCAGCAAAATATTGGATATACTTCCTAAAATATCCTTATGGTTAGATATTGACTACATTGAATTTAAATAAAAGTATACCTAATTAAAAAAAATTCAGATAAATTGAATGTTTTCTGGGATCTTAAATAATTACAATTTAAGATTACTTTTAAAGATGCTTTATGGCTAAGAAATACTAAAAAAAAAAAAATTCTTTTAGAGAGTACTTTAATAACAAAATGAAAAGTAGCTGTAACATTTGAAGTAATATAAGTGACCTTTTCATCATATTTAAGTTTTTTAAAGAAATTTTGGGAATTATCTTACATTAATCCTATAAAATATATTTACTTAAAACTTGATTTATAGTGAGTTAAAATAGATAATAAGGATATATAAAATTTTATAATCTGTTAACTATAGATTCATGAATTTAACCATTAATTTAAAACTGAGAGATAATCTTTAGGTAAATAAACAAAAATTTGTGTATCTTATTATGCTAAATTTCATTTTATTGTTTGAGAAATCTCTAGAATAACCCGATAGAGATGTTTGCAAGAGTATAGGCAGAAATTTGTAGATTAATCAATTAAAAGTTTTATATAATCACTATTTCATCAATATACTAAAAAACCTACAGATAATTGAGATATTGCAATTACTTAATTTACAAGCTTTTCTACTTAAAATTTGTGAAGTTCTAATGCTAGACAGTTATAAAAAGCTAATGAAAGTGTAGTATTCAAAATTTATGACTACTTAATAGTTGATGTAAATCCATTCAAGTTTGTATGTTTATAATATACTGTACATTAACAGATTTTAATTAATTGTAGAGCCCATAGTAATAATGAGATTTAAACTGAGTATAGGAATGAGTATTTTTGTGTTTCTCCTTTGAATTTGAATATTTTCAAGAAAATACCTTACAATATTAGAGTTAAAACTAATAAAGATTATTCTATAGATATTTTTAAAGTTTTAATGCTAAGGTAACTTTTTTACTCTGCAGATAAAGGTTTCAGGAGAACCTTCTTATAATATTATATTGTATACTTCTTAGCACAGTAGTATATAATTTTGCATAAGTAGTCCATTGTTCATTTTTTTTTTTATAAATCTCAGTATTTCCTATTCTATATCAGGAAATAAAATTATTGGTAATTGATACTTAAATATCGTACTTTATTGATAATATACCTAGACCTAGAGCTAATTCTATCATTAAAATATATAAACCTTGGGTAACTAATTTATAATTGACTTTATATAACATAGAAATAATTAATGTTAAGTTTATTATGGAGCTTGCTATGGTAGTAAGATATAATGTATAAATTAACTAGAAATTATCACAAATCAATTGAAAATAGCTTAAATTACATTATAAGTTTTAATTCGTGTACTTTATTGTTACAATAGATGATCTACATAAAAAAAAAGATAATATAAAGTTCACCTAGTACTGTATACTAAATTAAAAAAATAAACGTAAGTTTAAACTACACTCAGGTAATTGTGTCTTTATATACGAGTGCTATACATTATATATCTTGACTCTCATACAGTTTTAGAGAAATATTTCTGCACACTTAAAGTAGTTTTTCAAATATGTGAGTAAAATAGTTTTTTTTTTATTCTACTTATTAGAAGTATCAAGTCTGAATAAAGTACTTAATATACCTCAGTACTTGATATTGAAAATCCAAAACAGATTATGTACTAATTCTAAAATATTATTCACTGGTAGTAAAGATCTTGTGAACATTCCAATTAAGTTGGTCTTATTGAACTAATGCTTGTCAATTCAATAATAATAAATTTGTGAAGTTATCAGGTTTAAATACTTTGCAAAGGATCTTGAGTGTATATCTCTAGAAGTAGTGTAAGAACCTAATTATTTTATTTATATTGTAAATTCATAAATATTCAATAATAAAGTACTTTTTGGTGTGCCAGCCATTCTGATATCTAATACTATTTGGAACAGCTTGCTAGCTGAAGATAAAACTACCATAAAATTCGCCGTACTAAATGAATAGTAATTAATTGTAGCTCAGTATATTTAATATTAGGATATTACTGAATAATTCAAGACCATAATATAAAATCTGATTTAGGTATTAATAATTAAGTACTCTTAAAATTAGTTTAAGTTATAAATTTTAGCTTATAATATCCATTAACTCTATCAGGTACATTTCGATATTAATCTATCAGAATTATATTATAGATATATAAGACAATAAGGCTTAATTTATTATTTCATAATATTTTAATATTATAGTAGATTTATGGTAGCTATATAAGTTAATATTCAGCAAAGGTAGTTTTAAATTGTTATTATTTTGACCTAAGTAGTAACTTGTCATTATCTTTAAATTTACAAAGTTCTAGAGCATATACTTTCTTTTAATATAAGTGAGCTGTAAACAAATCTAGGTTTTTAAATCATTCTGAGTTACTTAGCAACAATGAACTGTCTAGGAATAAGTGGATATGTATAAATTAGGTCAAGAGTTTGATATAAATTACATAAACACTGTTTAGGTGTTATCAAACCTAAATACAACTTTGTGTATCTTGTATTCAAGATATTCACCATAAAGTGTAATTAAACAAGAGTATTTTTATGGTGATTAATAAAAGCTAATATATATTTGTAAATAGAAAGTATTTGTTAGAGCTACAATATTTGAATATAAGCCACATATTTAGCTAGTGAAAATCAGAAAAGTAAATTCAATGAGTAACAGTATTGTACTTAATAGTTGAGTATACAAGTACTTTCTCCAAACAGTCCTGATATCTCAATATTGGCAAACAATTAAGCTAGATATATGTATTTATTTTTAGAAAGGATTGATATATAATTATATTTTTGGAATATGCAGGTGTTGCATTGGAGGAATTTCACTTTCTGGTAAAGGTATTTGTATTAAATTGGAAATATCAGAGGCTTTTATTATATTATCACTCATATCTAATTCAGAGCTTCTTGCTTTAATTTGCTTATCTCCTCTTATTTTATTTCTTTTAATAACAACTTTATTTATACGATAAGCCTGGTTAGGGGGGGAAATTGTTATATTTTTTTTTTCTTCTGTAGAGTTAGGGCTATTAAGGTTAATTTCACGAAAAACGAAGTGACTACTCGTATTATCGATTTTGGAGAAATCCTCTGCATGTTGTGTATTAGTTTGGTTAGTGTAACCTTCAGTTAAGGCTTCTTGAGTACTTTCTTGAGTACCTTCATAACTCTCCAGATCTTCTGGTAAAATTAGTAACTTCTTTTTAACATATCTCTTTTTTTTTCGATATTTCATTTCATTTATTATCTCTGCATCAGTTCCGTATTGTAGGTGTCTATATTCAGGATGAACTAAAGAGTCATATCTTGAAGATACCTTCGTATCAGTACGTACACTTGAAATCGTCCTTGTCACTTGAGCAAGTGGGAGGATTAGATTAGCCAGTGTAAATATACTGGCAATAGAAGCCTCAGTACTGGAACACCCAATTACTTGAGAACTAAATAAAATTAAAAAAAGTTTTAAAGCTACCAATAGCATAACAGTTTCGATGAACCTTCACTTAACTCTCGGTAGTTTTTGCTTTTAAATAAGAGAAGCGCCTCACTTGTCATGATCGTGGTATTATCTCTCTCAGTAGAATTAGTATTGTTAAAAGTAATATTAAGCATATAAATAGTATAAAATAGTATATTAATATTGTTTATTCACTCTAAATTTCGTACGTCTTCTTCTGTTCATCATTCTATTAAGGCCAGGCTTGTTATCCAAACTACGTTTAACTTTACTTGCTGTACTTACAATACCTACTATATCTTTTTTACCTGGCAGATTACTCTCTTCTAAAATTACTTCTGTGATATTACCTATAGACTGACTTTTAAGCTTTGAAATGAGTTGATTACTAATATCTTCCTTTTGTTTCATATAATTTCGACGGTAAGCAGCTCCTCCCCCTACAACTCCACCTATAGCTAAAAGTAAAGAACTACCAACGCTACTTGCAATCTTCGCAATATCCTCTGGGCTCAATGCTGCAGTATTTGATGAGGTATGTGAGCTATCAGGTGGTGTTGTTTGTGTATTTGATTGTGAACTTGCTTTTGTATCTACAGGTAACTCGGAAGATAGCCCTAATGGTACGCTATTAGTATAGGAGCTTGAATCTTTTGTGTCTAAATTCCTTGTAGATAATAGGTCCATATACTGTTTTAAATAAGAATTCGAATCCAAATTAGGAGAGATATCTGTATAGGGTATCACATGGTCATCTGTAGGAAGCCCTACAGAATGTCCTAATGAGGAATCTGATAAGGCTGAACTCAATTTACTAGATTGAACTATTGGTAAATCTGAGTGTACATTAGAGCTATGTGAGAGAAGTTTATTAGTGGGAGCTGAGGATAAAACCATGAGGTTTTCTGCTCCTTCATAGCAAGGTTGATTTATATCTATATTAGAGTGTACTCCAATATTGGAGCTACGAAAATCACTTAACTGAATTGGGGGTACATTGTTAGAACCTTTAAATCCTACTTCCGCTGGATTAGTATCTGAAATCACTTTATTAACGCTTGAAAGATTAATTTTACCACTCACAGCAAAGTGACCTTCTAAAGAAGGGTCAGCTTTCACTTTATGGTTACTATATATATTTAAGATCTCCTTATCGGTATCGGATAATCTCTCATTACAAGATATTTCAGTTATTGGTGTGACATGTTTATCTTTGGTACCTAGACTGCATGCTTGTAAAGATAAGTCTAAGTCTGACCTTATATTAGAATCAACCACTTCCAATTTTTTATTTGTATGATCATATGAATTATGAATATCAGTAAGAATATTTTTAATAGGTATATCTGTTGAAATTCCAGTTGCACCAGAGTGTAACTGTATTATATGAGAATAGTCATCAATGTAAAGGGGAGATATGTCCAAATAGTTTTCAATATGACAGCTGGCATATTTAACTATTAAAAATATAATATTAATAAAGTAGATCTTTTTAAGCATTAATTTAGTCAATATAGTACTTTCACCACAAATTCCATGCAGTATTACCACCTTTTTACCACCACTATTTACTACATTCTCCCGCCTTTTTTCTTTTTTTAGTTAAGGTATAGCAATTTCAATGAGTATTTAGGTAGTTCTATAGCAAAGCAACAACAGGAAAATATATATTCGAAGGCAGTTTCTACTTAGCTATTGTATGAAGTAATTAATTAATTATCATATATAAGTTACATAGGATAAATACACCAAAATGATTACTTTCAGCAATAGTATATCAAGAAATTTATAGTTCAATTGATTCAAGAGACTCCATTGTAAAGTTTCTTGTACTTATTGTACGAATATCACCACCTATAATTAAAGGATCTTTCATTTCAGCTCTATATCTTAAATATTCTGTAACTTCGAATATGAATAATGAAACTAAAAAGAGGCTGAATAATGTTAAGAAGGCTATAGAGCTCCATTGGGCTATAGTAAAAGTTGAAATAGAACAGTTAACTATTCCATATGGTATAAATTCCTCGTTAATATATAATTTGTTACTATTTGTGACATTAACAGAAAAAAAAGAACTCGAACTTGTATAAACCACAGCATTTGCAGAAAATAACGAGAGATCTGTTATAGAAGTATTTGATACACATATTGACTGGCATAGGCTTACATTGAATAATGGCGTTATTCTTCGTTTATATCCAACATTAGGATAAAGGGGTATTTGTATTGTTTCTCCAAATATATATATATAATTATCACCAGCTATCTCAGGCCTACTAATTGGGCTTGTTGTTACATATGGTGTGGTAGCATAGGGATCATTAATATAAGTTGTATAGTGACCTGGTACTGATGAATTATACATAGAGGTGACGACAATGTTGTTTCCCATACCATATACATCTATTACTACATATTGATCTTCACTTGTTTTAACATAGGCTAGAAATGTACTCAAAAACAAAGTAATAACCGTTAAAGTTGTAACTGGTGAAATTCTTAAATAAATTACGAGCATTTACGACATTGAGTTCGGAAATTTTAGCTTATAAAGAGTTCTAATGAACTTAGAAAATACTATAAATTTCAATCAAGTTACTAATTTCTATTGCTAGTGATGGTTTTATTTGCAACACACAACTCACACTATTAACACACGAAATATTAAACCTATAGAATAATCTAAGTCAGAGCAAAAGTTACAAAATAGTAGTAATGTAATTAGCTTGGATAATAATATTACGAAGTAGTTTTAGTATAGTTAATATTAACGAATTTTCTTATCTTCTTTCTAAAATAGTGCAACTACTTAAAGATATAGATATAGTTTAACACTTAACAGTTCAAAAAGCTATAGAAATTAATTAGCAAAGCTAATACAAGGTCCCCTTGTACTTAAAAAAAAATATTAAACTTAATTCTCAGTAAATTACTTTAGATTTTAGCCAGTTCAGATCTATTTCGCGCTCTTCACGTGTAGTAGGAATACAACGGGAAATAACGTCGTGTGGATGCACACGGATTAAAAGATGTAAGTATACCTAGGTATAATAGTATATAGGCTATATAATTTATCCATATCAATCTATAAATTACTAGATATCTATTATACAGCTAAATAAAGATCAGAGTTGTAATAGTCTCACTTCTAAAACACTTTATTGTTTATCATAGTTACCAATTAATAGTAAAAATTTATTTTTAAAAGTGATATAAGAATATGGTTTATTTAAAATTGATATGTATCTCATTTTGTGTATTATCTTCAATGAGTTCATCACGTGCAGGGACTTTTCGTTCACTTGCAACAGAATTCATAAGTGAATCCCCAACAATAACAACGACAGTACAATCGTATTCAGTAGAACTGGCAACTACTAATACAATTAAGAAATCAAAGGACATAGAGCTATTATCTGAGGCTTATAGTCATCAGATCTTTAATAGTACCAATAATGAACGCACTTTATTAACAAGTTCACTTAGCTTTTGGGATCATGTAAAGGCTGATATTAACAGTATATTAGAAAAATTAAGATCAGATATTCACAATAGTACTAAAGATTTTGGAGGATTTAGGAACAATACAGGGCACTTCTTTGAGGAAGCTGGTAGTAATATTGGGCATATTATTTCCAAGGCAAGTTATTTTATAAGTCGTTTGGGACATAATATGGATAATTTTGTTAATTATACTTTCCCTGAAGTGCTAAATCATACAAAAAAGCTTGTGCATGAAGGTGTAAGTTTATTTGGAGAAGGAGTGGAAGATGTTTCTAAAGTTGTACATGAAACTGTCCCGGTAATTGAGACTATCACCAAAGAAATTAGAGGTACAGTAAACGGGACAAAATCTGACTTATCGATATAAAGAGCCAAACAGAAGAAATTGCTTATTATTGATATACCTAAATGAGAAAATATCTACGCAACCTTTCCATTATACTAATCGGTTATTTTAATATTTATTCCATCTTTAATTCTAGTTGTAAACTTGGTTGATTACTCCATGTTGGATTGTATACTTTTAAAATCCAACTCTTAAAATTTTTATTAAATATAAGAGGGGAATGTGTGCATGCGTATTTACGTGTCAGTGGATGATATTGTGTACATGTCTAATTGGAGTGTCACTTCAATTCATAACAGGTTTAACCTAATTAGTTGGTTATTTGTTTCCTTTTAATTTAAGAGATTACTTAGAATATTTAGTTGCCCTGATTTGGAGAGAACTAATGAAGTCAGTCCTATTAATGTTATACATGCTAGTGCATTGTATTAGCGGTCTCAACAGTGAAGTGTTAGATACTGTTTCTTTTAGAGGTAGGCAAGGTGAAGTGGACGAGAAATCTCCAAATCAGATGAGCCAGAATCTTAATAATACTAAGATCAACACGGAAAGATTGGTACAACCTTTTTCTCTTGAAATTATTCAGAACTGGTTACACAATAATTTACTAACAAGTAAGGTCAAAGATACATTCGATCATTTAACAAATGCTGTGAGTTCTTGGAAAAATATATTACATTTAAGTAACAATAGTAGCGAAGTAGTTGGAAAACAAGAGATTACTTCAGATAATATACTTAATAGTAATAAAGAAGTAATTTTGGATATTCAGACCCCAAACACTATAAGTAAGATGAAAGGTGTAAATACAACAAACACAACTCTAGGGATGATAATTGACCAAGCTTTTCAAGATGTCCTGTATCACGATGTAGATCGTTCTAATTTAATTGGTATCATCAAGAGTGATAATACATCAACTATGAACGTAAATTCTTTAGCTTGGGAAATGGCAAATACCCAAAATATTGTAGGAGCTAATTCTGCAGTGATAATACTGGAAAATTATCCAACAAACCATGTTGCAGCAAAAAACCTCTTGCTAAAGGCTTTAAGGCCAAATATTGATATTTTCAGTATAATTATTTCAGCAAACAAAGTTATGCGTAATCTTCTGCAACAAGGTGAGTTAAGTGATAAGAGGCATGATAAGTCACTAGACGAATTGGAAAAAAAGATAAATTCTGGAGAAATAGAGATGAGATCAAAGTCAGGATTACCAAATTCATCAAAAACACAAAAGAAACCCTGGTATGAGCCATTAAAGGAATTGGGTATTTGTCTTTTGAATAACAAAAAAACGATTTTTGATGCAGTTATATATATTATTGAAATGTCTTTAGGATCAACACCTATTGGTTTAGTAGTTGTAACTGTTGTACGTGTAATATCGGCAATTATATCATTGATATATGATATGGTTCAGAAAAGAAGAGGAAATTCCAATTTGATAAGAGTGCTTAGAAATTTAGATAATGTAAAGGCAACATATTCAGCTAAAGCTTCTTTAGGATCAAAATTAATTGAGACTGTAGCATCTAATATGCAGTCCATCAGTGATTCTCAATTCCGTTTAGCATTGATGTTTGATTCTATAACTGAATTGGCAGAGCAAGTTCAACAATCGGAGATGAAAACTGAAACTCAAGTCATTCAACGAAAGCTTGAGAGTGTGATAAATTCGACATATTCAGTCATTGATAATAATACCAATCATACAATATTAAATGAAAGTTTCTTAAGAAGGTTGAATTCAATAGACAATATGGAAGCCTATGTAGGAGTGAGCATTAAGGATCATTCATTTTACTCAAAAGCTGCTGATAAACTGGAAAACTTGGCAAAGGAGATATATAAATTACATTGGGATAACCCTTATAAAGTGAGAATACTTAGTAATTCTTCAGAAAAATCAAGTTTAGCCAATAAGAACCAGGAAGTCTCATATTCAAAAGAAAGTAATCCCCCATTGACAACAGGAAGCAAGGAAAAGTGGTATGATGGTTTAATTGCATTTGCTAATTCAGCAACAGTAACTGATGGTGTTCCTGCTGTATTAGATATGCTAATAGATTTATTTGGCACAATCTTTAAAGGTAGTTCAATTGGACCTCCAGTATTAGCAGTAATAAAAGTTGTTGGATATCTAGTTGAGACTCTCATCAAAGTATTCGCTCAAACTTCTGCTAAAAGACAATTAATTCAAGTATCAAGAACCATTCCAGAGAAGATAATTGGGAATAATAATTACATTGATCATGTACTGCAATCAATTACAAATTTGAATGACCAAATAAAAGTCGAGTTACTTCGTATAAATAAGTATATTCGACAATTAAAAATAGAGGATGATAATATTGATCTACATTTGGGAAATGAAGATTGGGACTTAGAAGATGTATTAAATTTCCAAGGTTCACTTGATATGGCTATCTTAAACAATAAAGAACTGGCTTCTATGGAATACAGGCAAAATTCTGTCACAGAAAATCATTTTTCAAATTCAAGGTCATTAAGTGAGTCATCACTATACTTATTAAACCAGAGTGAATTTGAATTTCATGACTTCTTATCTAAAATTGGTAACTTTTTTGAAGGTACATTTGATAAAATACGTGATATTGTAAGAAATATATTCACAAAATTATTTCATGGGGAGAAGTTACTAAACTTTATTGAAGAATTCATTCACTTAACTATTGAATTAGTCAAAGCAATATACAATGTTATTCGAAATAAAAGTACACAAAGGCTCCTCTTACATTCAATAGAGCTTTCTGATGACCCTACTTTGCACAGCATATTAGAGTCAGAACTCTACAAGACTGTCACAGTAGGACAGGATATGTCAGCATTTAATTTCATAATGTAGTGAGACAAATTGAAAAATCACTTTTTTGAGAAACCATATATTTGTTTTAAAGTAATGACTACACTATTTAAGTACTTATTTGTAGGCTAAATATTACTAGTGTATCCGATAAATTAGATTTTTTTAACTTTGCGCCATTATAAGGTCTCTTGTAACTATCTTAATATCCGCACGAGTATTTATATTTGAAATACTAAGCAGAAACATTTGAATTGATATATTATTTTGGGCTATATACTTTATTATCTTAACATTATATTGGGACTTAATTAAGCAGTAAGATAGTTCCTACTTACTTTATAAAATATAAAGAATAATGTATGCAATTCATCTTCTACTCCTTTTCTTTCTATGCTTTGTTTTTGTGGATTCTTTTGAAAATTTAAAAGCATATGGTTGCTATGTTCTTAAAGGGGGGATTGACAATGCATTAACACTACCACGTACAATAACTCCTATTAGTAGTGATAATTTATCCTCAACTGATGTGCACATAGTATGTGTTTCAATGGTTAAAGGTGGTGCCTTTCGGCATGGAAACTTGAAAGTTGGGGACAAATTTGACTTGACAAATATAGAGCATGAAGCTAATATTTTTATACCAAAGCCTTTAGTAGAAACTGGAATATATGGAAGTGATTCTGGATATTTAATTATCCCAACTTGTAAATTAGCCTTAATTAAAGTTATGGCGCCTACAACCTTACGTTTACAAATAGGAAGCCCCTTCTTTATTGCACAATGCATTAATATAGAACCTCCACAGAGTAAGCATACTAAAGATCCTGAGGACTCATTTATTTTGGGTGCAAATATTTCATTTAGAGATAAACCATTTGAATGTAGATTTGACAATTCATTTGATGGTCATAAACATCCAATTGTGTTTTGGACATGCTATTCACGTGTAAATGAATTGGTAGTTACTGAAATGACAGATAAAGTTACTGTAACTGAAAGAGAAGTTATTGCAATGGCAAAAGACAATGGAAGTATGCAAGGTAAAATAGCAATAGAGGCTCTGTGTAGTGGTACAATAACATTGAGAAGTCATGGGAAAATAAGTAAGAATAAAGAATTCCTTCAAATTCGATGCAGTGATGAAACACATATAAGGGGTGCTTTAATTAAGGATCTTACTAAGAAACAAAGTAACTGACGGGAAATTTAATATATTAAGTTTCAAACAGTGTTTAGATGAAGTACTTAATGTGCCAATGTATATGTTATACTTGAGTTAAATATACCCGGTAATAAGAGTTGAACTATTTGTAAACTACAATGTTATTTTCCACATTGACATCTGTGACATAATAACTGTACCCTGCTCAACTGTCTTTTCATTGTTACTAGCTATTTTGATTGAGTACGGCTTGGACTTTATTGTTGAAAGCTTCCAGAATGGGGAAGGGATTGCCTTTAGCCAGTTAAAGTCTGATACTGAGAACGTCTCATATGTCAAAAAGTGTGCACTTTGTAAATTTGAATATGTTAAGTGTTCACTATATAAGTTGTAATAGTTAGGATCTTTCGATGAAATATCAAAAGTAATGTGCTCACTATCTTCCATAAGTGGAGAGGTTGTTACTGATAGCCATATTTTTAGATTAGTGCAGCAATGAATCCTTATCTGTTGACACGTTACACCAAATACTGTACTGGCACAATCTATAATAGTTACGGATCTCTTAGCTGGACCCAGCCAAATGTAACTTTTTGTAATATTCTTTAAAGTTAAGCTCTCAAGTGGAACTAAAACATAGAGGATTGTATCTTTTATATTTTCAATATTTAGAGTTTTGGAGACTTCTCCTGGTCCAAAAAATGAAGTACACCCATTCAGATCCTTTATTAAGTTCATTTAATATGAAGAATTCATTGCCAAAAAATAGCTTAGATTCACTTTTTCCCGGGGTCAAAACAATATCACTCTCCAATAAAGCGCCGAAGGTACTTCTTAAAGGAAGTAAAAGATATTCTCTTTTTTTTTTTTCACTTTCTAACAATTCAGCTCCCTTATACTTTTTAATTAAATGACAAGTTAATTAATATGAATGTGCTCCTGTTCACTTCATGTTTACTTTTAATCTATATGCAGGTAACTGTTGTATGTGAAGGTACCAATATTATAGTGGATCCATTTCCAACTCACCATAACTCCGATTTTAGTCAACTACAGGGGGATTTAGTAGAAAATGTGCCTAATGTGGACACCTCTGCCCAAGATCAAACGTCAAATGATATACTTTGGATGGTGAGAATTGTATCCGCATCTCAGTTCATATTGATACCAGCAATAAATATTGGGATTTTTTCAAAAATGGGTTCTCAGGCAAGAGAAAGAGCTGCTATATTTGGTGAAAATATTGCGAAGTCAGTAGTTAGTACTAAGAAAAGTAAGCTTAAAAACTGCGTTTCCGGAGCGGAACCTAATTTAATGGCGGCGGCAAGACGCCCAGGTGTACTGTTAAATCCTTGTAAACTGAATAATAAAGACTGTCACGAGGAAAGTAACAAAGTGAGACCTCAAAACATAAATAATATAAATGTATATATGGCTAAGGAATATAATACAAGTAGTATTATAGATAAAGGATTACAAGTGAGGAAGGTACCGAATGTACCATCTATACTTATTTCAACCCAAAAAACACTTAATGAAGAAAAAACGCAAGATTTTCCAATTCACTTAAGAAATCATCTTGGTGCTGGGAAAAGTTCTTTACATAAGATTAAATTACACCCAGATGAGGGGAAATTAATTAAACTTGCACCTCAGTAATTCACTTTCAGGAATATATAGTGAATACATGTTCTTATTAGTAATGATCTATTACTTCTTTTTAAAATGAAATTACTAACTTCAACTTCAAAGAAGTATATCTGGGTCAATTAATATTACTTATAGTTCTTATAATATTATTAGGAAATCTTTGAAGACTTGTCAGATACTCTAAAAAGAGTATATTTGTTTATTAAGATACAAAACTACTATTCATATTTATTGTATATTGTTGATTATTTTGAATAGCTTTAAAACGAAAGTAGAACCACTATATTAACCTCTTTACTATGATAAATGACTATGGCAAACCTAGTATTATATTTAATAAGCCTCAATATAACTTAATATTCTAGCAGCACATTCTATTGATAGACCCTACAAATTGTTGCCACTATTTTGTAACTACGAGATCATTCACAAATTCCTGATACAAGATGTGTTATTTTACTGCACTTTAAAAGGTGTTGGGAAGTTTAATACAGACATCTTCATTTCAAGAGACTACTCTCCATATATATTAGAGATTATCGAGATTGGAGAATATATACTGGATAGTTCTTTAGAGGTTGAAGGTATAATCTTGAGGAAGGCTACTAAATTAAGAAGTGATTGTTGAGTACATATTGTTAATATTGCTACAAGTACAGTTTCTACTGATGAGGAGTTTCTCACTATTTTTTTACGGGTACCTCTGATATAAATATTGGATCATTTATGATCAAATCTCTCAGGGAGAAAGATATTTATGAGAAAAATATAAATGATTATATACTAGGTTAATATGAAGAAAGTTCATTAACAAACTCAGGCAATTTTGAAATACACAAGAAACTGAGGAAAGTGATCCATACATACCATATATATGTACTCAAGAAATATTTATTGTTAATAATACTTCTAAGATAGTTTTTATTGCACTTCTTGGACAGACTCTGCAACATTTATGACTAATTTGTCTTTAACATCAAGTTTCTCTCCGATTATTGGAAAATCCCATATTGTGGGAGTATTAAGACAAAACTAACAAAAAGCATCATTCTTTACCTTGTAAACTGAATGTAAAGAAAGAATTATTCACCTTTTATCTGATAAGCTGCAAAAAGGAGTAGGCTTTATTATGTATTATTGTACAGATATTAGAGATCAAGGTTTAGAAGGTTTGGTAGTGAACTAAATTTCAAATAATAAGATTGCAAGTACTATATATAGTTGTATAAGAACATCAAGTTTGCATAACAATATTAAAGCAAAAATCTCCAACTAATGTGAGATATGAACAGAAAGATAATTGTGGTTTTTATTAGTATTCAATTCACGAATGTAGTTATTATATTCATACAAGAAATTATCTTCAGACAATATTTTTTTGTATCACAACGAACTTCCCTAGTACATTTATGAGTAATTGATCTAATACAGCTTTCTGAGTAACTAAATTAATTGTATTTGATCAATATAAATAACCTAAGGTGCCATCTAGAAATTACACTATTTACTCTGGGTGTGATGGCTTAATTATTCATATTGTCAAACAGTGATACTATGGAAAAGTTTATAATAGTCCTATGTCTCTAATATAGAACTAAACATCTCTTCTTCAGCTGTGGAGAAATCAATACAAACCGAAAAATTTTTCAGAGTTCCGGGAATTATTCACAAGAAAAACGATAATACATCTATAAAAACTAATCGAAATACTTCAAAATACAGAAAATTACTATGTAAGTGCACATATCAAGTCTTATTAATAGGAATATGTCTAGAAAAACTTCATTTTTGCAAATTTTTGGCTTATAAAGGTCAATTTAATTCGGAACTTATTATCAGTGATACCCTTGTACCATTAATCTCTAATGACGAATTAATTGGTCTGTTTATGCACGAAGTCAATCTAGAAGGAATATAAATAAAGTCTACTTGTTATGGCCGTGTAATATACTCACTAATGGATCAATTAAGAAAAGATGAAGAGTTTTTGGTAATATATTACCTTGATACCACTAACTCAATTTCTGTAGGGAATATTATGGAGAAATTAATTTTGGACTTCACTGGATTTGAATTTTTTGTAAAGCACAAGCCAGTAAATTTATTCAGAATTTTATCATATAAATGTTTATACGATATTATTTATAATTAGAGGAACTGATCTTATTTACTACTGTACTTCTCTAATTCCTGGTCAGGATTTTCAAGCGAATAAAGTTAAATCTTCCCAATTTTCCGAAGTTTTTGAATACGAACTTATAGGGGTTTTTCATTCTATAATATTTTGGTTGGTTGTTCAAGTCGCATTATTAACTTATTAAATGGGGAGATTTCTGCTGGAGAAGAGTTTTTCCTGATCCTATATACTGATACTCACGAGGATAGTTTATCAATACTCTTTGCAAACACAATCTCAAATGTTAAATTACATGAGGGTAGAGATTTTACATGTTCATCACCTTTCATGCATCTATTAAAGAAAATAAATAACCAAAGTAATATAACAGAGTGGTGAAATAATAAGAACATCATTACCTAAGGACCAAATTAAATCAAGTAACTTATCTTCTAATTTCCAGTCAGAAGATTAACTACAAATAAATAGATTCCCTTTGATATGAACTATTTGAGAAATAATGAAACATCTATTTCAAGCTTACATTACACAAAAGTATAATATTTGGAAAAAAGGGAAGATCGGAGATTTTATGAGGCTAAATGGGAGCCAAACTTTAAATCATTCACGAAAAATATCTATAATTAGGAACAGGATAAGATGAAATTATCTAGATAGAGGAAATTAGCTCAAAAATATATTAGCTATGATCAAGATTTGTCCTGAAGGGGCGCGAAATAAAACTTCAAAAAGTTATTGTACAAGTGTGTGTTGCATGAATCTTATACACACTAATTTAACTTTTATTGACCTAAATCCTCGATGATACATATCTTATATCTTATAATAAGTGAAGTTGTATATGAGATATGTCACATAGGTATAAAAAGCCTGAATCTTGTATCTGCTTATTTGAGAAAAGCAGAAACTTAATTCTCTAATTCTTAAATACATGGCATATAGTATAAAATCACTTCTATATATCAATACTTACCAAATCTAATTTCTAAACTAAATAGTGTAATATATATGTTTTATACTACTTTAGCTATAATAATGCACTTCAATCGAAACAAAAAGCGCACTTGTCAGAATGCAAACTTGCACTTTGCCTTGAATGTTACAAATAAGTATTACATCATTTAAGATTTTTTAACATGAATTCTGAATATATAGTAAAGTTTAAAATTAATACTGGACTTTTCCAATCCTTAACTAGGATATCCATAACCTTACTTTTACTACTACTTGTACTCTTAGCTTGTAAAATTAATGGTAAGTACATCCAATCATATGAGTACAGCAACATTTTGACAAAAATTAACAATGAAAATATATCTGATAATTTAAGTGGATTTGGATATACATTGAACAAGTGGATTTTTGAAACTATAACAAATATGAATAAAGTAGATGAGCGAAAAAAATACCAGAATATATTTAATATTATTAGTGAATATAAAGATTGGAATACCAATGTAGATAGAAGCCAAATACTAGATATTATATCGATATATGCAAATAGTACAGAAGACAATTCTTTTGGGGGTAAAGAATGTAATGTTATTTTGGATTTAGCAAAAAAGGACTTAGCATCATCACTTAAATTAGATTACAACCAGTTTGAGATTTATGAAGCTAACAAAATTTCTGAACTTTCCAATATATTAAACAGTAGTCATTCTAATGTTTTTATAAAGGAAAAAGTCCAGGAAAAAAGAAGTAAATACAGTAATCATACAAGAAGACTGCAGCTACTTAATACAGGGGGAACATATCCAGTAAATAATCAACTTTCTCACTCAAATTTATTGAATAACATGGGAACAATGTACCCAAATACTGGTGTTTCGATTAATGGAATAGGTAGTTTTCTTAGTACAGCTCACCCAGCATTACGACTAGTTGTGAGTACAGTACTTATGGTACTTGGAGGTACACCTCATGGTGCTGTAGCTGTTCTCGTAATAGTTACTGTTTATTCAATTATAGAAATTGCAACTAAATTTATTCAGAACAAGGCAAAAAATCAAAATCTTGCTGGTACAATAGGTAATATGGCATCCATTATGAAAACAAATCAGTCCGCCGGAGTAGCTAATATAAATACAGAAAGTAGATCTGTCAATGGAACTCAAAACAATTTCCAAGATAATACTAGAAACATTTTTCAAAAACAGTTCAGACAATTAAATATAGAGGCAATGAATAAAATCCCTAGGATGTTAATTGAGCAGATATATAGGAACCTTCAAGTAGATGAAATATATGAACTTCAAATGGAGCTACTAGTTGATACTCTGGAGTCTGCAATGCAGGATTATATGTGCACTGGCTGTCAACCATACAAGCTATATAGTGAAGAAAGCAAATCATTAGAGTTACTCCCTAAATTAACTGAACTAGCAATAGTAGAACTACTATACTCAGCTGAGAGTCCTCGCCGACTTTCACAGAGTAAAGACTTACTAAATTCAAAATTAATGAAATACAAACTTTATCAGAAGCTTCATAGTGGAGATCTCTTGTCGATATCTAAAAGTATAAAAGAACAGTTGCTATCTAATCCTTTGCCTAATTGGTATAGAAAACTTTGTCTAACTGCAGCTTCCACTCAGAAAAATGATATAAATATAGAGACACCTGGAATGCAATGGCCACATTTTATTGTACTTCGAAGCACTTCTAAAGTGCAAAGCGATGATAAAAATGATAGCTGGCTGCCAGTAGTTTTAAATAATTCGCAAGGTTATGAAGTTATTAACACTGAATTAGAGCATGACACACACTTAACTGAACAAAGCAAGATATATACAAGAAAGACTCACCCAAATAGACTCGATATACCAAGCCAGCCTACTCCAAACAATATAAATGAGTTTTTTTACTCTTTACATAACATATCTGATATAAACTATGGACTCAATGGTACTCTGTTGAATTATGAGCCTTCAAGAATAAACCAAAATGGGCAAAATGAATCTAAGGTCAATACTGAGAGTACAAAGTGGTATGACGGTATGATAAAATATTCTATTCAGAATTATAGACAAAAAGGAGTTCGTGGTGTAATAACAATGATTCTTGATATATTTACAGCTATATTTAGTGCAACCCCCATTGGATTCCTCATTGTAACTCTAGTTAGATTAATTGCGTTTATGACCGACAAATTGATTCTTTTGGCCAGACGCAGATCAAACCAAGAGCAGTTGATAAGATTACTTTTAGAAATCCCTCATATACTTGATGATAAGATAAAGTTAAACCTTACTTTTAATGAAACAAACCAAATCATAGATGAATGTAAGAGTATTGAAGGTATTATTATTAGAACTTTTAGAAAAGTTGTGATGGATCTATATGTATTCTCTTATGAAGAAATCCCATCTGCCAAAGTTCTAAATGCTGCTGAATATGGAATGGCTAGAATACTTCAGGCTAGCTCAGGAACTAAGTATAGCTCAAATCAGTATAATAATGTTGTACACAATAAAGAAAGACCAAAGCATATACCAGTATATAATGAAGATGAATGGACTATAGTTGGAATTAAGGAAAAACAAGATCAACCAATGAGTCAGGATACAGAGGACTTATCTGATTTCAATCAAAAAGCCATACAAACTTCAGTAAAGGAGGACTCAGGAGCGAAAGTATCTGGCAATAGTTATACAAATAAAAGTGAATCAATTGCTTCAAAGGCTAAGCATGCTTTTCAAGGAATGGTTAGTGGACTAAAGAATTTCTTATTGCAGCTTTTTAAAAGCATTCTCGGTGGTGCGACTGAGATATGGCATTATGTGAAAGGTCTCATACTACGAATAATTGAATTTGTAAAGGAACTTTGGAAAGCCATTAGATCTAAAGATGTACAGAGGCAGTTAATAGAGACTCTACAGGATTCCCCACAGCATTCAGTTGTGCATTCTGTCCTATTAAAAGATATATATGATCGTTTGTTACAAACAAATCCATAAACAATCATACATAGAACGGCCTGTAGTGTCAGAAACTGACGGCGCTAATAATTTCAAATGAGAGATAAGCGCTGTTTTATTGCCATTAGAGTCTGGTAAGATCTTTTTCAATAGTTAATGACTTAAATTTCCACTTTTCGATATTGCTACATATGGAACGTAGTACAATTACTTTGTATTTCTTGTATTTTGCAGTGCTGCTATATATGAAGATTGAACCAAGCCTAACTGATAGTTTAAGTTGGCAAGTCACTAATAGAACTTTGTACCATCCATTTTCCTGCTTTCAACTTCTGGATAATTCTCTAATGTTCGCTTTAACTTCAAAGAACAAACTCCTTCTGCAAAAAGGCAGTAATACTACAATATTATGTGTAACTTTAGTTAAAAACAGTAAATATAATATTTCGAAGAATATAGTTACCAACACTGTAATTGATTTAAAATTCCCCATTGGTTCGCTTCAACTCCCTCATACCCCTGTTACAGGTAGATTTTTTGGTAAAATGAATTTTGAGATACATTTGTCTCACTGCTCACGTGGTTTAGTTTCATTTTATTTAGCTGATACTAAACTGAGCTTATTGGAACCATTTATAATACTTAAGTGTATGGACACAACATTATTGCAGGACTCTCAAAACAGTGATGTACAAAAGAAATCTACATGGTCATTTAAAGAAAGACCTTATTCTTGTACATATATCTCTTTGGAAAATGTACTTCAGTGGTCATGTATTTCTAAAGTTGAAGGAGCTGAATTTCAAATAAATAAAGAAATTCAGAATATCTTGATACCAGAAAGTCATGTATTACAAGATACAATATTAGGGAACTTTGTGATTATAGGAGAGTCTTTCATACTAAAATCTGGTTGTGAAGGAGAGATTTTAAGTATAAAGCATTCAAGCAAATTGGCTATATCTGAGGAATTAATTCGAATTAGATGTGATGATGGTGGAAAAAAGAGAATGGCAGAGAAAGTGGCATATGCAGTTATGTTGGCAAATAGTGGGAAAGATGAAAATAAGGGATATTCGGAAACTCGACAAAATTTCTCTGCGAGTGTGTAAATGTGCATAAGGCCCATATTTGTGTGCAATAAGAATTGTGCTTACTTTAAATGACACTGTTTACTGAAATTAATATATTTATATACTTTTTTGCTTTAGTATATTATCCTAACTATGTAGGCAGTTTAAGTGATACTAGTCTGGCAACTTTCGATAACCCAAACAGTACTATGAGTTTAAACCAAATGGTGAGAACTAAGCAGGAATATAATATAGAACTTCATAATATATATGACGGGACTGACTTACAAAGAATTAGAGAGGATCTCGGTAATATAGTTGTGAATTGCTCTGACTTGTTTGAGTCCATATACAAAGATCCAGATGTTTTACTACTTGTCGGGTTGCTTGCAAGTGCTGGAGAATCTAGACTTTATGAGTTAAATCCTGAAACAGTCAAGAAGTATAGAGACCATATGGGTTCAAACACTATAACTATGGATAAGTTATATACTAACGATGAAGGATCCTTAATTAACAATTGCAGAGTTAAGAATACGCAAATTCCTATATATAACATTGGTGACACTTTGCTGCATGCAGCTGTACTTTCAGGAAGGCCTGAAGTAGTTGACTTATTGATAAGGCTAGGCATGAATGTAAATTCAAAAGTTAAAGTTAATTCACTTGTATATGGTTATGTAAACAGTTATTTTGGAGATGTCAGTGAAATGACGGCGCTCCATTATTCTTCTTTGATACAAGACTTAGATTCTGTAGAGATATGCAAACTCCTGTTAGAAGCTGGAGCAGATCCTAATATGGAGGATGTATTTGGTCGTACTCCTTTGCATACTGTTGGGCTACTTCAAAATCTACATTCTAAGAAAGTAGCTAAGCTCCTTTTAAAGTATGGGGCTAAAACAAGGAAAAGAGACAATTACACCTTAACTCCTTTACATACAGCTGCTTCACGTAATAATTTACCAGTGGTTTCAGTACTTATAAACTATGAAGGTATCCACCAAATCCATGAAATGTCACTAGAATATGAGCTAGACAGTTTAGGTAATACTCCATTACATATCGCTGCATTATTTAATGCAGGAGATGTAATTCCATCCTTAATATCTAGTTCAGATGATATATTTCAAAATAACTTTGAGGGTAAAAGTCCAATTGAAGTGTCCACAGTCCCAATTGGTTGTAGAATATTTGATCCAGAGAAAATCCCTGCATTCTCCCTGACTACATTGCAGCGATATTTAAGCCCACATAATTCACATAAATATAGCACAATCATCTCTAAGGGATTTCTGGATGCTGTTGAAAAGGGGTTTTTACAGAGTGTTCAGCGACTCCTATTCTTTCAAACAAGAGGTGACTTGTCGTCACAAGTGCAAGCTAATTATGATTTGCCATCTGCAATAGAATTAGCAAGACAAAACAAACATAAAGAAGTGCAGTTTTATCTTGAATCATTTGGAGTAGATATTGTATGTCCAAAGCCACCCAGTGTTAGTTATGCAAGCTTCAGGTTAAGTGATACTGTATTAAGTGATTACATACGAGTGGGTGATACTGTAACATATGAATGTTATCATGGATATCAGTTAGTAGGGAGTCCAATCTTATCATGTAGTTATAGTGAAGGCAAAGCCTTCTTTGTTCCCTCTGAACCTATATGCTCAAAAATTGTTTCTGAAGAAGATTCTGCAGTTTATTCTGATTCAGATTTCTGGGGGCTGTTCATATTATTTGGAGCTGTATCTTGTATAGTTCTACTGCTAATAATAGTTGTTGTTATAGTTCACAAAAGAGGTAAGAACTCATCAAAGAAAATATACCATTCTTTACCTCAGTCATAATATTTCAACTACTTTGGAACTTTTTAAGTAAAATCTACTTACAATTTTGGAGTTTCTCTTAATAACTCTGTAATTTAGCTTAATTATATTCAATAACACTTCTTGAACTTAAGAAAAGTTTATTTTTTATATAGAGGAATTTAGAGTTCACACTTCTTCATTGACTACTGAAAGGTATATGTGGAGTATCATCAAAATCTACATCTATTAAATCTCTTAATATAGGCCACTTAGGTTTACCATCATTATTTAAAGGTGCCTCAGGAAATCCACATAATGATCCTGTAGGAATATATTTGTTTAAAAGTGATAGGGTGTTGTTTATTGAGAATCTAGCTGTCTTATCAACATGTTCAGTAATTTCGCTACTCTTTGTAGTTTTATATACCTTTCTTGTATTAGTTTGATTAACGAGGAAATCTGCAAATGAATCATCAAGTATTTCTTTTAGTGTAATTTGTAAGCATCCAGCTAGGATCCAAGCAAACATCCTTGCATCTGTAGTCGTCCTAACTCGATTTAACTGATCTAAAACAGCAATTTTGTGAGGATTTATATCCACAGGTAAAGATGTTTCATACTTATACGCGAAGTATTTAACTGGATAAAAATTGCAACGACAACAGATCCAGTTAGTTTCAGTATTGTTAAAGCTAATTCCTGGGCGTAAATCATAATTCCATAATAAAATATAGCATGGCTTACAAAATGTCAGTATAGACTTCTCAGCTTCACTTAGCTGAAATGAGCATTGAAAGCGTGGAATCAATAGACATATATAAGAATGATCCACATTTAGTGCCTTTGTTGTATTGTTAGCTTTCGAGTCCAAAAGAACATCACAGTCGCCAATTTCAGTTATAACCTTCCCACCTGGTTCATTGATTTCTTTACAAGTTATTTGCTCTGAAAAAAGAATATGGTTTGAAGGTGATTCGGTTGTTGATATTGTATGTAAGCTATTTTCAGCAGACACACTTGGTTGATTATTTGAGCCCTTGCTTGAAGGCATCTCTAAACTAACAAACCCACAAAATACTGCTCTATTTGATCTGGTATCTGAACTAGATGCTGTTTTAAAGCACTCTTTTGATAGTTGACAATAATTTCCACTTTTGTAGTTGTAAATATCACTATCCAAAATATTTTCGGTGTCCAAATCTTTGTCAATATAATAAGATGGATCATGCCCTGTTTCATCATGTAATAGTACTGCACCTCTATAAAATACTTCTCTTGAATGATTTAAAGAATTGCAGAGAAGTAAATGAGATGATTCAACTGTTAGGAAACTTTTGAAGGAGAAGTTAGCTGATACCAAATCTTGTGGCAAGCTTTGCAGAAATCCATTCTTTCTTTTTAATCTGCCACCTCTACCAATACAAATTGGAGGTATTAACCATGCAATTTTAGCATGGAAACCCGGTATAAAACATCTAGAACAAGAGGGGATCCATCCAGATAGTGTAGAAATTGCAGCCTTATTATTTGGTGGTTCCTCAAGTTTATTATTATAATTTGAGTATCTGTACAAGTAAGAAGTAAGATCCTGATTCTCATTGGGTATTGTATTCTTGCAAGGCCAATAAATATTTGATCTTAAAATAAAATTTGATAGATACCGGAGCAGTGTCAATGGAGATTGAAGCACTAATTGAATAGGTTGAGGAGGAAACATCTTTATTAAATACCCAGATTTCCTTACACAGGGATTAGAACTAATAATTTTCTTTGAGGTATCTAAAATCGTCAAATTTCGATACATTACTTGGTTAGCTTGATTAGTTGCCTGAATATTTGAATAATTCCTGAGATTTTGGGTACAATTTGTATCTTTAACTACATAGTGCCTTATTGTGGTTGGGTACTGGTCTCTTAAGTTATCACAAAGTACAACATGTTGTTGAATATGCCTTGAAGATAAAGTTTTAAGCAAAATCGTTGATATCCCCTGAGTCTTACTTTGAATGGTAGCTATTGTAGCTACAGCAGTTTCATCACTATTTATGTTAATATTCTCTCCTTTATTAGTATCTGATTTGTGTAGCTTTTTATTCTCATGTCCAAGATTAACCTCAGAATTTGATGTACCTACACTGCAATGACTACGCTTCCTGTATAAACATGTAATAATAGAATCTTGGGTCATATAAGGATTGCTAGCAAAGGCAAAGAAATTACAATAAAAAAGTGGTGTACAGTTTAATAAGTACCTTTGTTATTTGACACCTTAGCCTCTTCTTAAACCAGTTCGTAATAAGCTCTAAAAGCCATAAATACCAAATGAAGGGAAAAAAGAAGAAGACCTGAAGAGAACTACGAGGACACCCAACAGCCAATAAACTATAAATAATATATTAAATAAAAAAAAGTATTCAATGAAGTCTACCCAAACTAAAATTGTAACGCCACTTTAGGACTTCTCACAAATTCCCTTACAAATAGTGCTTGCTTTGTCAGCAGAGGCAATAATATTGCTAAGCGCGAAGATACATAGTTTCGAGATCCAGTATTGAGAATTTGGCCTCGCAGAGGCGTAATATTAAATAGCCCAGTGACTTAAGCTAAATCTATGGTGTGCACTCTACAGTGAATCAATGTGATCAATTGTATCTTGAATAATACTTTCAAATCTATTAACAAAGGAAGGTTGGTAGTTAAACAGAAAGCTCCCTGGAGAAATATCCCAATAAACTACATTAAATTTCTAATTGCTAATATTACCAAGACACTTAATTAGCGGACATAATAGATCATATTTATCAATTAACTGAAGTTACTAGCCAACTTAAATAGTAAGATCACTAGTTGTATATGAGAACTAGTATCTACTAATAAAGTAAGAAATAAAGTGTTTATTAAATCCTTAGTCCTGAACTTTCTCTGTCTGAAGGCCAGCAAATGATGCAACAGGTATATATTGAACAAGTGTAAATACATTCTCCTTTGCATCTTCCGTCTCACTAAGTTTCCTTGAAATACGAACACGTACACGTGGTGGCAAGTTCCTAATACCTTTACTAAAGATAAACTTATTTAATTTAATATCAATCCTGACATCAGATGTCTTCATTATGCGTCCTGCAAATTTTCGGATACCTTCAATTGCTCTAGGTGCTCTCTTTTTGAAAGTTACCTTATGGACCATCTTGCTTAAATTTATTGTGTAGTCTCTTGTACAAGGAGCTAGTAAATTCTTATTACCTATAAAGAATGTTCAATAGTAGAGTGTCTTCATATAAAAATAAAACTACAATTGTATCCGTAGCGTATATTTCCAGGAAACAGTAATATCTACTACTTATATATTGCAGTACCAGATTAGAACTTACTTTGAGTCATCTAACCTCTAGTTGAAATATAAGAACAATTTTTGTATATTAAGGAAGAAGTGAACTTTTCTTAATAAAACTACTACTTAGCGGTATTATATTCAAGTCTGTCTACAAATTCACAAGGACTAATCTATTTAAGGCGGTACATAACTAGAACTATAACCATTATCTCCGATACCTTACTTTACCAGTATACTAATTGCCAATATAATCTAAAAAAAATAATAAGCAAGTATTTGCGAGACGAGACATGACGTTACCACTAAAGTAATAATAATATTTTTATGAGTGAAGAAGTTCTACTCTTTAAATTTGTATAAACTATTGGTTACTTTCTATATTAGTCACTGTTGCTTAATATATTTAAACAAGTACCATATTCGTGGTTCAGAAAGTCCTTAAGCACCACATATACTAAATTAAGTAAGTAGAGAGTGTTTTTAGGTTTTATAGCAGCTCTTTTAAACTTGTTGAGGTTTTGAATGAACACTTTATAAGGTCCAACTCTGATATTTTAGTCTATAACATTGCTACTTTGATACTTAAACAACACTTTCATACATGAAGTAGATTATTAGACTCACCCTTACATTGAAATTGTGATGGGTATATTATAGGAAGTGACGAACTTACTGCAAACACTTTTGCTCATTTCATTGTATTTCCTTGAGCATTGATATTGTAGCAAGTGTGAATTTGTGGAACATGTAACTGCATAACTGTAGATATCTTGCTCAATCTGTTTTACCGTGATATATGAGGACTCATACTTTAAGAGGAAGTATCAATAAATACTTGACTTTAGTACATAAAGTTAACTAACTAAAGTATATAGCAGTTAGAGAAAATTAAACTCAACAAGCACATGTATTTACTTATGCAAAAACTTAATAGTACTATTTATTACTACTTCTACATTATGTAAAAGGATATTGTATTTAGAGAAACTGGATATAGTATATATCACCCAATAAGCTAACTATTACATTAATGAAAATTCTAATTTTTGACACTTATTAAGATGGAACTAATTTTCATGAGCTAACCCCTTAGCTATACTATATTTCCATAAATATCCTGATCTAGAACTTCAGTCTCTGCTTCTCTACTGAAACAACTTTTTTCTTTTAAATAATAAATGGATATTGGTTTGTCTACAGCTCTAATTCTAATAATAATTAATATCTATCAAGAAGACCGGTCACTTTTAAATAATGTCAAATGTCGTAAACTTCTAATTGCACCTTGAAAAAAACAAAGAACATCTTTGTATAAAGTACCAAGATAACTAAGATAGTTTCAATATTGTTAGGAGAAATAATTGACCATATTTACTAGTAAATATGATATATTAAAATACTTCACTTTCCAATAACTGAGAGATTGCTTTGCCACTTTTACTAGGAAACCACTAATTTGGGAGGGAACTATTCAGTTGACAAGTAAATTTATTTCTTAATCAATACTTATATTTCTGAAATATAATTCAAAGTAGTATCTCTTTCTATAAGCTAGAAATAATTGAATCCTCAATTTTAAAGTTTTTGTAAATACTTTTATTTTCATTAATATGTAGAGATAAATTTCTAAGAAGTATTTTTGGTCCTTCGGGTATCTCATTACCTGCAAATTGAATATGTTCAAAACAAAGTGTAACTAAATTCGATATAAAGTCAGTAGTAATGCTTGAATTTCCTTGTTCTAGATAGTACATGTACTTCTCTAAAATGTCAATAAAAAGTGCAGAATTTCCAGGAGCCATTTGAACAGAAGCATCTGCAATTTTGAGACACTTTTGCAGACATTCCAAAACTCTATCAGGATCTCTTGTTTTGTCATTATTCCAGAAAAGATTAGAGCACATTAATATTGCTCTACATTGATCAGGTTTCCTCAGTAACTTTGCAGAATATTGTGTCAATTTTGCAGCTAATAATTCGTAGTTGTTACTTTCCAAGCAAGATACATGGTTGATTAAAGTTCCAATAATTGCCATAAGACTTTGGAATTGCTTTTTAGATTCAGCTAACTCTTCTTCAAAGCATACTAAGCTTTGTGTAATAAATTCACAACAAATTGCTTCATAGCTATCAGGTTCATTAACTCGACTAGCCATTACGGCTCCTTGTAAAAACAAGCTCAGAGCAATTTCTGCTGAACAAGAGACTAATTCAGTGGCAATTTGGTGAATAAATTGCAAAATCTTCTTTATTGAAGGTCTTGTTAAGTCATTATTAGTCATATTCGATTCAACACCACGTTTGTCTATCAAGGAACTTATTATTTTTAGTGAACAATAGCCTAATGTAGGTAAAGTATATTTGTAACGTTTGCTTGTGCTGTGATAAAACAGTTCCCGTAAAATTCCATACATAATAAATATTTGATTAAGATCTTCATGTTGAATCTGATGTACTAGCTTTGCGACAAGCATCTGCTCGTTCACAAATTCCGCATTATCTTGTTCTAGATCATCAGTTTTGTTTGCTATATTATGAGCTAAATGGTCATTTTCATCCTCTAATAGTGGTGAGATAAATCCACAGTATCGTCGTAGTGCTTCAGCATTATCTAGTGGAGTGTTATTCTCCACTACCGTTCTAACCATTGAGATGGCTACCTTCTTTCCTGTCTGATAGTTGAGAAAATACAAAAGATTAGGGAAGTGATTCATCTCAACTAATATTGACAGTGGTAAGGATTGGAAAGGTAGTGATAAAATTTCTACGACACTATCAATACATTTCGGCTCTAAAGTAGTTCCACAAGTTCCATCAGATTTAATACCAAGTGCATTTGTTAACAACGTAACAGTTGATCCCAAGATAATATCTACATAATAGGCATTATTTGGATATAGAGTTAAGGTAAAAGATAAGAAAGCTAAATGTAAATCTAATAAGCTTGATAAATCCCTTTCTAGAGAGTTACCAACTTGTTTTCTGCTGCTTGGCTGTGCCCTTTCATGAAGCTCTGCAAGATGCTTTCTAAATAGCTCAAATATATCAATATTATCCAACAAATCATTATCCTTGCTTTGATGCAAAAAATTTGATAAACGATTCATTAAATTAGTTAGTATAGGCTTAAGATCAACACCCGGTAATGTTTTCATACAAGCTGCTAGTAGTGTTTCCAAAGTTTTTAAATGTAATTCATCTGAAAATACTTGTATTATGCAATCTAATAAGTATTGTTGTGCTAATGTATCATCACAGCTTAATACTACATCCAATAGCTTTGGTAATACTTCTTGGGTATATATTGACTGAGTAATACCGTCCAAGTGAGAAACGCGAAGTAAGTTAGCACCAACAAGTATCCTCAAGTCATGTCTTTCACGTTCTTGCCTACTTCTATCCTTTGGACTACCATGATTCTGTAGTCTGATCCATAATCTAGTTGATTCACAAAAATTTGAATATAGAAACTCCCAAGAATCTAATGTACTTCCGCCTCCGTTCTTCTCATATTCACTGCCAGTGTCTGGTAGTACATCTTTACACATTTGAATTAAAAAATACCTTAAGAATAGACCACGTATTGGATGCTGCACACCTCTACATAGTTCCGACATATCAAATAATATTTCCTTAGCAGGGACTTCTAAAGATCTTATATAGCAAGCTCCGGCTGTAACAAGTAAAAAGAGACGTGGTATTATATTTCCAGCATGTTGCACAGATTCATACAATTCACTCATCTTCCTACCATGTCTGATTTTATCATCAAAAAAATTTGATAAATCGTGCATTTCTTGAAATATCTGCATATATAACTCATAGTAGTGCTTTGGTGATAAGGATGATGTACGCAACTCACAGAGCATATTTGATGCGTGCTTCAAAGAATCCCGCAGAGAATCTTGATCTATAGCTCTTTTCATGTAATATGCTTGCTCTTTTACATTGGAACTGATGATAACTAGCAGAGAATCCTGATCTTGATTCCCACCATATTTAGACCTTTCCATTGTAAATTGAGAATTCCAATCAAAGTTCAAAGTTGATCGTCTAATATCACGCAAAAAGACACTTCTATATATATATTTGAATTGGTTTTTTAAAGAAGTAATCAGTGTCACTTGTTTCTTGCCTTCATTTGAGGTTTGAGAGCTGATCAAAACTGGCGGTTATATTGGCGCCTATAACATGTAAGCTTTAGTAGTCGCCGATATAATGGATTATAACTTTGCAATATATTAAATGCTTACTTCTTTTAAAAATTACTTATCCTACTTTTGATTATATATAAATTTATTATACTTAGATATAATGTATATGGAGAATAATACTACAGAATGCTTTATTATTAAAGCGGCACGGTTAGCTGCACAGGATATCAAAGAGTGTGATTTGAAAACATGTATTAAACCTACCAAGTACACTGACAGTGCTCTCACTTACTTGAGAAAACTGGACATGCAGTGGCAAGTACTTAAGGAAGTAAATAATATACAGAAAGAGGCTAACAAACTGAAAAAAAACTTACTTGCGCAGCATTACACCCCTATGAGTAGATAATGTACCGGATTTATTTAAAAAAGCTCATAAAAGGCAATAGGACTTGAATTGGTTATAATGTAAAGCTTTCTGTTTAATGTTTTTAGGAGATTCACTCTATCTTTCATAATGAAAAACAAAATTTTGGAATAAAATACTGTTCTTAGTAATGTATACTATTTCTTTCTTGCTAATAGAATTTATCTCCTAAGCAGGAGAAAGGAGCAACAAAGTGTAACCGGGCGTAGCTCAGAGGTAGAGCGGTTGACTGTAGAGCCAGGCAGACATCAATTGGTCCCGTGTTCGATTCACGGTGCCCGGACCTTTTTTTCTTTGTACGCAGCTTCTCTCAAAAGAGAGGAATGACTCTCCAATCCACCCATAAGAAGCTTTCTGAAGAGTTAATTAATTAGAGTTAATTCTACCGATAACAATCTACTTCCGATGTATTTATCTACTTATGTCTATTTTAAATTGTAATAGAGAGAATTTATTTGCGTACTAACATTAGTTAAGTGTACTTCATCTCAAAAGTATAAATCTTTCAAGGCGCTTCAAATTTTTAATTGTAGCATTAATTATTTGCTGGTTTATTAAAGATCTACCTGAGAAAGTAGCAAATAGATGAAACTCAGATGTAATAAGGAGAAGGAAATTCTCACTAATAGTTCTAATTATTATCATACACGAGCTTGTTCTTTTCCGTGATAATTGGGAATTAGCCAATTCAGCACATTTGAAGTATTTCTGATAAATATATACAGACTTTTTGGTGTCATATATATCTGGATGAATTTCACTAGAAATATAGCAGCTTTGGCTAACCACAGCATACATAAAGTGATAAATTTCAACATTAAATAGATCTGGATCGGAGTATAGCAAACTTAAGGAAATTCGAGATGAAACTATAGTAGATGTAGGGTGTAATAGTGTATCACTTTTTAATATTTTATTTTTGCAGTTATTTGAATGGGCAGAAAATAACTCAAATATAGATATGTCACTGTCAGATGACAATATTACAAAGCAGATATTTCGATCCAGATTACTAGTATTATCTTGTTTCCAATAATGCATATAGCAGTATATGTAAGATGATGAACTAATACAAGGTAAACAAATAGGAATCCATAGCTCATCAGAAGTAGATGACTTGCTTTTAGTAAAAGAAACAATAATATTATTTAGTAGCACGAAATCTGTACTAGGGAAGACAGGAATATATTTTGATCCAAACCATGTAATAATGCGATTATATACAAACAGAGCACCACCTAAAAGATTCTTGTGGCTAAATCTTAATAAATCATGCACCTTATTTCTATATGAAACATCTAGTAGTTGGGTTTCTATATAAATAGCTGGTGGATCAAAAGGATATTTATCAGCATTATTGAAATACTTAGCTGCACTTTTTTTCTTTGACAAGTTCCTACCAAACCTTTGTAGTGGATAAGTCCAGTACATTGCATCAAAATTTTCTTGTATAGCGCTGATACAGTTGTCCAATATACCAATATCTGTGAAACTTAACATTTGAGAGACATCAAAGTTAGGCCTAGCTTTTAGTGTATTATGAATAGATCCTGTTATAAGTACAATAAATTGATAATACATGTAATCTAGAACTCCCCTCATATATCCTATAGGATCTTGTGGATATGAAGAGATACATACTAAGTATATTCCTTGCCTTTCTAAAAACACGATCCGATGTGACTCTGAACACATCCATTTCAAAGAATCTATCTCTGTAAGTTTATCTGATTCTATTAAATTTGAATTGGTGACTTCATTATTTGATAATACATATGACGCTTTGTACAGTAAAGCTGTCAAAGAGCTTGTTATAACGTTTAGTTCATCCTGATCCTCGAACCCATACGAATAAATAGGTTTGCCAGCAGTACTAAAAAACAGAACACATCGTTTATTCCCAGTCATGTGTTTTAATAATATTGGTTTACTATGCTATCCTAGCTAAGTGAACTTTAGCGGCAATAAAATGATTTAACTGCTTAATCTGTTGAGTATCAAATATAATAATAAATATATTTATTTGATTATTATATGATAGAGTTTCCATATAGTTTAATATGTCAATAGTGAAGAGCACTCAGAATGTTGATGCTAATAGCATTATTGAATTCTATAAGTCGGAGATTGAGTCAGAAAATAGTATCTACTGTTTGGAAGCGATTAGACGCTATGGAGTTGTGAGTCAAGTAATTGGAAGCGAAAAAAGTCGTAAACATTTAGTTCCAATAATACTAAAGCTCGTAGAAACTGCCTCTGACGAAGTATGTCATGCAATTGCTGAAGAACTTATCAAAATAGTTGAGAATATTGGTGATGACAAACATTGGCATTTACTTCAACCCTTGTGCGACAAATTACTTTTCCATGATGAGACAAGTATAAGATCAGAAGCTATAAGAACATTTGAGTATATATTTAGTAAGGTGGATGAAAAGCAAAAAATCAAGAACTTCGTTCAAGGTACATTACTCCCAATAGTAAAAATGCGTATAGTTATTGATAATGATTGTTACTCAGTAGATGATTCATCTTTAAGTACAAAGCTATCCCTTTGCTACATGTTACCGTCTCTTATTTTACCTTATTGTGAAAATGATGAAAAGAGTCGTATTTTAATAATGTATTTATCATTATGTGAAGATGAGGTTCCCTCCCTACGTATTGGAGCATCTCAAAATTTAGTTTTGCTGCTAAGACACCTATTCCCAGTAAAATATGGTCTTTCAGCAGCTGAATATGATAGTGAAAAGTTACATAATCAAGATATAATAACTGAAAAACTTTTAAACCTCATTGTAAGTCTATATAGAGATGAAACATCAAGTGATATGCTACGTTCTACTTCAATTGGGATTGCAGTTCAACTTTTTATCAATCCTGTATATTTCAATGAATATATTAGCAATGCAGACAGGCAAAATTTGCTATATTTAATAGGTAATGCATTGGAAGATCGTTGCTGTTACAACTTAAGACAAACAGTCACTAATGCAATGAATCATATTTGCTTAGCCTTGAAAGGTTACTATGATACCATACCAACAGTTAGCAATAGAGAGTTTGCAGGATATAAAAACACTGAATCAAATAATATTTTGGATAATATTATTGGCATTCCACATAATATTGATATTATACAATCTGCATCGTATATTTTAATGAATGATTCCGATATTGAAATACGTAGAAGCATTCTAGACTCTATTGAACAACTGCTATATATGAGGATTGATATGAATAGCAGAGCAACTGAAGCATTAGACAATACTATCAACTCTATAATAAAACATTTTAAAATGGCACTACCTCTTCCTTTATACAATGACCCCAATGTATCCATCCGTTGTGCTATTTGCAGGATTACAGTAGCTGCTATCAAATATCTAGAGCTGTATTATTATAAAGATATACCAAAAGATGAATTTGAAAGAGAAAAACTCAACTTAACTAAGAATTATATTCATTTGCTTAAAGATTCAAATAATGAAGTAATTATAACTGCTGTTGAAAGACTACAAGCTATTATTGTATTTATTAGCAAGGATGTTATTGTAAAAGATATACTACCACAAATTAAATTGATCTTTTTCAATTCAAATATAAATACATCGGTAGTTCCTGATAAGGGGAACATTGAAGAGACTGTCACACTTTTACCATGGAGGGTGAAAAGAGCTATAATTAAACAACTTCCATTTTGGTTCAGAAGTCTAAAAACTAGAATTACTCCTTTTTTTGATGCAATGATTATTTGTGGTATTCTTGATCCGACTCACACTTTGAATGTTTGTGCGATGCAAGCATTTACCCTTATTATTGATGCATTAACTGACTTCTCAGATGCTGTTAGTTGGATAGAAACATTTATATTGCAATGTGTAATATATCCATATCTGAGAAGAGCAAGAAATTCCATTCAAATAAATTATGATATATTTAGTGGAAGTTTAGAATTTGATAACTATAAGAACCCTAGACAATCAAAGGACTCATGTGAGAGATGTGAATCTTTTGAATATGAATTCTCACAAAATAACTACTTGCATCGTATCCTCATTTTACAACTTATATATTTAGTATATCGTGGTTTAATTTTCAAGATGGTTAAGCAATACAAATTAAATGAGATATATCTTAGTGAAGTGAAAGAAGAGCTGAAATTTAGTATGGAGTTATGTGAGAAATTCAATAATGAGCATATATATGAACGTATATCAAATGAATTTGTCCCAATAATATTGCAGGGTCTTGAGGATCAAATTATCAATGTACAAATTACATCTGCTAAAGTGACTGCTCAAATTTTAGATCTGTTCTCTATAGATCAATATAAAACACAATCCTTTGGTCTTGAAACTTGCAAACCCTCTTCAATATCCTCAAATGATGAGACATTACGACAACATCTTTATAATCAACATGAGTTTGACACAATATGGCACTTAAGAGCAATACAGATGCCAAATAACTCATTACCTAATCCAGATAAGGTCCCAAACTACATTAATTCTATATTTACTCCTATATTCCGGAAATGTTCTCAACTTGCAGATTCATGTGATTCACTTGAGTATGACCTTTATTATTCACTATATATCATTAGATCTTATTATATATCGTTAAGTAGCTCTACTCTGCATTAGTTAAATAATTACTTATATTAATAAATTCTACACTTTATAATATAACTTACTAAAAGTGCAATAAATAGATTATTGTCTTTAATTAAACTTAGTGCAGCATGACGCAATATAAAGCGCCATGATTGAGACGAAGTACTTAGGACTGTTTCACAAATATTTAGAATTTAGATTTTCCTATATTTTGCTCTTTTAAAATGACATATGGTGATTCAGATAGAAATGTGACTATTCCAAATATTGAGGAGTGTACTTCTTATAAAGATACTGAGAAGTGCTCTAAAAGTAGTGACAATGCTGACTCAGTTCAATACACATCAAACAGATTCAAAATGATTGACACTATGCGCAGTGAAGGTCGTCCATTTTATCCACATAAGTTTCACGTTACAATGTCAATCCCAAAATATTGTGAAGAGTATGTCAACTTGGAGAATGGGGAAGTTGAAAAAGACAAGGTCATTTCACTGGCAGGACGGATAACATCAATAAGAAGTGCAAGTTCGAAATTAATTTTTTATGATATAGTTGGTGATGATAAGAAGGTTCAGATAATAGCTAATTTGTTGGGACATGATAATACTACTGGTAACTTTAATCAGGTTCATTCTGAAATTCGTAGAGGTGATGTTGTTGGAGTAATTGGGAATCCTGGTAAATCTAGGCGTGGAGAATTATCCTTATTTATAAAAAGCATTTTATTACTGTCACCATGTTATCATATGCTACCTACTGCTATTTCTGGCTTAAAAGATCAAGAAATAAGGTATAGACAACGATATCTTGACTTAATACTTAATGAGGATAGTAGGAGAGTTTTTAAATTGAGAAGCAGAGCACTTAAGTTTATTCGCAATTTCTTTGATAATTTAGGTTGTTTAGAAGTGGAGACTCCAATGATGAATCTAATTTATAGTGGAGCTTCAGCTCGTCCATTTATTACATATCATAATGAATTAAATACTCAATTATACATGAGGATTGCTCCAGAAATATATCTTAAACAGTTAGTTATAGGAGGTTTTGATAGAGTCTATGAAATTGGGAAGAACTTTAGAAATGAAGGTATAGATCTTACTCATAATCCGGAATTTACAGCTGTGGAAGTTTATATAGCTTATGCTGACTATTACGATTTAATGGATATGACTGAGGAGTTAATTAGCGGCTTAATCATGGAAATTCATGGAAAGCTACAAATTGAATATAATCCCGATGGACCTGATAGCGAGCCTGTTACAATTAACTTTACAAGGCCATGGAAAAGATATTCATTTGTCGAGGAGATTGAGGCAGCAATAGGTAAATCTCTATTAAGACCACTAAATGGTCAGGAAAATATTAAGTTCATGTTAGATATATGTAAGGAATATAGTATTGAAGTTCCACAACCTCAAACAGCTGCAAAATTGTTAGATAAACTTGCAGGTCATTTTATAGAAATAAAGTGTCACAACCCATCATTTATTATTGATCATCCTCAGACAATGTCTCCCTTGGCAAAATGGCATAGAAGCAAAGCTGAAGTTACGGAACGTTTTGAACTATTTGTTTTAGGAAAAGAATTATGTAATGCCTATACAGAATTGAATGAACCCCGCCAACAGAGAACTTGCTTTGAAGAGCAAGTAAAGGCTAAAGAGTTAGGTGATACTGAAGCATGTCCAATAGATGAAACATTTTGTTTGGCACTAGAGCATGGCTTACCACCTACAGGTGGTTGGGGTTTAGGGGTAGATAGGCTTATTATGTTATTAGCTAACAAAAACAATATAAAGGAAGTCGTTTTATTCCCAGCAATGAAACCAATAAAACAAAACAACCAAGGACATCATGATGACTTGTCTGTAGAAGCAGAGAATCTAAAATAACATATTCTTTTGGAACTGTCATAGTTGCTTTTTTGTTATTTATAAGTAGTAAATAGCAGTTAGTATATACATAAATTTCATGCTAAATAGTTTTAATGAATACTATTTATAGCCTAAGCCTAAACTACATGCTCTGAATAGATGATATATGTCGCAACAAAGCTTAGTCTCTATTGACCGACTCCTCTTTCTAGTAGTCTGTTAATTGCTGCATTAATATCACCCCCAGTCTCCTGAAGTGCTGCAATGTTTGCATCAGTATCAATAAACCCCATATCTCTCAACTGTGTTAGTTGAGATGAATATAACTCACTTGGTGGACGACCTGAGCTGATGTTCAATGCACCACCCGAAAGAATAGACGACATAGCAGGATCTCTAAGTAAACTACTCAATTGAGAAATATCTGGTACTCCACCCTGTCCTAATCCTGTAAACTGATTTTGGGCCGAATTTATGGTACCTGGAATTGATTGTCCAGAATTTGCATTGGTTGTGTTACCTTGAAATATGCTCTGAATAAGTTGAGGATTTAACATCATCCTCAGCATTTCTGGATTATCTAGCATCTGATTTAGCATTGGATTATTCATAGTCAACTGATTAAACATAGGGTTAGATCGCAAAAGATTTCGAACAAGCTCTGGATTATTAGCCAATTCATTCATAGATTGTTGAAATACTGGAGAATTCATTAAAGATGCGAAGTCAGGTATTCCAGTTGCATTTGCAGCTCCTCCACCTAGTGGATAAGATGCATTAGAACCGAATCCATTGCCACTTAATAAGTTGTTCATCATCGCAGCAAATGGATCACCTCCAGGTATAGTTGAGTTACTGAAGTTCTGACCAAAATTTGTACCAGTAGTACCTGCAAGTGATGCAAAATCCATATTACTACTCATTTGAGGAGTGGTTGAAGGATTGGTGGTAGATATATTAGAGTTATTTATGTTAGATATGGGGGTAGTCGTCTGTGGTTGTGGTGCTGTTGAGACTCCACTTTGTGCATTGACAGCTGATGAACCTCCAGATCTTACTAAATGCATTGTATGTCCATTCTCAGCGTTCAAATCTTCTAGTCTATCATCATCCTTTAAGATACGACCTTTGTATATCAACCTTTGTTGGGTACTAGGTATTTTTGAAGGTTCTGATACCTTTTCCTTCATTTCCTTAATAGACAATCTTTTTGGAACACTCAAGGTGAATTGGCTACCACCTGAAACCTTAAATATTAGTGACAGCTCATCAGAAGATGACATTATTAATAAGAACACAGAAATATGAAGTAAGTGAAACCTCAAATTATAAATGGGGAGAGCAAAAATAAGGTAAATACCGCCTAATTTTGGCGGTATATTGCAGGTTGCTAAATATAATACTTTCATTTTAGTAAAAGTAGCTACTTTACCAAAAACTCAACTTTAAGTTACCTCACTAGTTGCTTATATTCTTATATATATTTTTAGAAATTAGTTTGGAACTTTGTAGGATTTGAAATAATTCGAAAAAATAGCAATATATGTAATATCAAGTTACATTTTAAATTACGTTACTTTGCAAACTGTAGTCAACTGTCTGTAAAGCGCTTGCAAACTAATTAATGAAATGGATTTAGAATGTCTATGAATAGAAATACTAGGAAATTACTATTTTGTTTACCTAAACATTTCAAGTTATGTAGATCATGGCAGATCAATAATGTATTATATTTAAGTACCGCAAATGAGAAGATAATTAAGACTAGGATGAAGTCTATTGAATCAATTCAAAAGGTTAGCTACTACTTAGTGAAATCCCTTTAAAAATATTAATTTAGTTAGATGGTGTAAATTTTAACTTAGATGACTAACGCGATGAAGGTAGTTGCTAGATCTAAACTTAAAAGTGACCAAAGGCGTTTTGAACCCTCACTGCACTTTACAACTACCCTTAAGAGTCTATTCAAAGACATATTCCCAGCTATAGAACTCAACAATAAAGGTGGAGAAGATGGCATAGTATATATATTGCTGCCATTAACTTCAGATAAAGGCCTTTGCGGTGGGTGTAACAGTGCCCTCGCTAATTTGACCAAACTTAAAATCAATGAATTAGAGTCACAGGGTTACAAAGTTCTCATTTGTGGTGTAGGTGAAAAAATTGGTAATATTTTACAACGAAACTATAGTAGCAGGTAAGTATGGCTTAAATACTACAAGTTAGTAATATGTTCTATAATTGTGAATTTTTTAAAATCACCTTTACAGATTTATCCACATGTTTTCTGGGATAGGCAAAGACTCTTTAAACTATTCCATGGCAACAGTAATATCCCAGAAGATTCTTAATGAAATGCTGAAGTACTCTAATTGTAAACTAGCTTTATTATACAACCAGGTCAGATCAGCTATTGCATTTGATATAGTTTTCGAACCATTAATAACTCCTAAGGATATACAAGAATCGATAAACTCGTCATGGGATTTAGATAAGAACTACGAGTTGGAGCCACAAAAGAGTGAGCTATTACCAGACTTCTATGAAATATACTTAGTGGCATCAATATTTGGTGCTATGCTCAATGGAAATATTGCTGAGAAATCATCAAGAGTATTTGCTATGGACAATGCCTGTAAAAATGCAGAGGAGATGATATCTTCTTTGACTATTTTGCATAATAAGTCACGGCAGTCAAGAATTACAATGGAGCTTATAGAAATTATTTCAGGTACAAACACATGATTAATGATGGATATAATAACTATTTACAAGGGATTAAATAGCATTAATAAATGTACTAAAGTGAAGACTAGGTATTCTCAGAATTTAAAGTTTCGGAGTCATCTTAAATAGCTTAATACTTGATTTTAGTTATTAATTAATTCTGACATACATCATTCGTGCCATAGGAAAATTTGCTTAAGAAGACTTTACATCTTACCGTCGTGTACCTGGCAAAGAGTTTGCAACAGAATTCCCCATTGTACTTGGCCTTCTCATACCAGGTGGAGGACCCATACCAGGTGGAAGACCCATACCAGGTGGAGGACCCATACCAGGTGGAGGACCCATACCAGGTGGAGGACCCATACCAGGTGGAGGACCCATACCAGGTGGAGGACCCATACCAGGTGGAGGACCCATACCAGGTGGAAGATTCATACCAGATGGAGGACCCATACCAGGCTGGAGACCAATACCAGGTGAAAGACCCATACCAGGGATCCAAGATTCTCCGACATTTTGTATCATTTCTGCTTGCCGCGCCTCACGAGTAGCTCTAGCCTCGAGATAATGAACAACAAGAACACCAATAGCACAAACTAAGAAGCATGCTGTAGCGCACATTGCTAAATATGAAGCATAGCCTAATGCAGGATAGGGATACTGCTGTGTTGAAACAATACCACTTATAGCTTCATATGTTGAATAACACCAATATACAATTCCAGCAATTGATAATATAGTTGATGTACTCCAAGCAAATAATAAAAAGTTCTTACTTTTCCCAAAGACGAATAACCAAACTATGCCAACTATCCCGATAATCACTGATATGGTTAATGCAGACATACATAAATATCCACCGTTTGCAAATTTGACATAGGAGGAGCATCGTGTCCTTAAAGCAGTCTGGCAGTCACTTGAACAATTACTACCCCATAATGTTTCTTGAACCTGTGAATAACTTACATATGTGCCAATCCAACTGCAAATATACTGCTCTACTGATGACCAGGGTCTTACTGATGATCCACCATTGTACCTGAATAAGTACAATCCAAACTCGGACTCTGAAACCTGCCATGTTTTAATATTACCCTTTTGTGTATACTGATATGTTATTGCTGGAGCAACTCTCCACCCATTTAATATTAGGGAAGCTATTTCTAGTATTACTGCTGTAGCTGCAACTGCAGATAAAACTTTCCATCCAATCCCAAGATCTTCCGATTGGTTCCTTGATGATGAACGTCCAACTATTCTGTTAAGAGTGTCCATTTCGTTGAACTCGGGAAGTATAATAGATATATAACTAACAAAGGGATTTTCTCCTTTGAAGTGTGTATATATGCTGAATTAACTTCCACTCTTAAGATATTAGACTTGTTAATCACCTATTGTATGCGATCACAAAGAGACCTATCGTCCTGTCTCTAATGCATGCAATAAAGGGTGCATTTTGAAACTTGATTTCTTTTATGGTCAACTTTGAGAGATTTTATTTTGAATATCAAGGACATCCTATATATTTCATCTTTATATTGTATAAAAGCTTGTGTTAATAGGTATAAGTTAGAAAATTGCCTTTTATAATAGGTCAGTCAAACTTAGATCACCTTCAACATAATAGCTAGCTAATAGAATTTTCTACTTTTCTAATCTAATACTAAGTGTACTATCTTTAGGATCAAGTATTTAGCCATTTATTTTATAGATTTTCTTTATATATCTAATCTATAAATATGCAAATTAAAGCTAGAGAAGTTGCTGCTATCAAATAGCGACAAGGACATGTTGGAGGGAAGTTCAGAAAAATTCAATAAAAATTGTTTAAATTTTAAAATGAACAGATTAGAACTGGCAATTACTCGTACTCTATTTGTCCTATTAACAGCTACTCTTGGTTTTCTTGCGATATTTTACTTTCCCTGGGTTCAAGATGATACTTCTCAAAGCTCACTCTATTATCTGAATGGGATCAAATTCAATTCAACAGCTACCTTTCTAGATTTCCAATATGCAAAGAATATGGCCTGTAACTATTCAGAATCTTATCAAGTAAATCCTCAATATTCAGAAAAGAATATTGAATTCGCAAATTTTTTTGAAAATCGAAATCCTGCACTTAATCCAATAGCTTATTGTAATTCAATCCAATTATTACCTTCTTTTTGTATAGCTACTGAGATCATCATTATAATTTCGCAAATTACATTGATTATTGTAGTTGTTGTTGCAAGCTCAAGAATTGTTCAATCTATTAATGATGCCTCAGTTCTTGTTCAAAGGTACGTTTGTTATTCACTTTGTAGATACTAAAGTGTAACCCCATTAAAAATTATTTTTTTTTAGGTTACATTATATTCAAATATCTTGTATAATATGTTCTCTTTTACCAACTATAGCAATTATCGTATTTTCACTGAGATTTAAGGACTCCTTTATATCACTACCAATTAAGTGGAGATTTGTTAGTGGTTTCTATATCACTCTATTTACAATATTCACACCTCTCTTAATAGCAGTTACTTATTGGTATGAAACCAAATTGTGGAGTGATGCATTTTATCAAGATCAATTACGATGGAGCAGAGGAGATGAGCAACAAAGAGTGCAACAATACATAGAGCAAATGCAGTACCCCCGTCAACCTAGTGATTTTCAGTCATTAATGGGAGGACTAAAAACTCCGGCAGATATGACTAGGGAAATGGATAAAAAGGAAGGATATAAAAATCACAAGCAGCAACTTCAAGGTCCATTGCTACCGATGTAGAGAGTTTAATAAATGATTCATTTTATATAAAGAATGTTCAAACTCATCCTGAGACCTATAGTTCTAATAATCTGCTTACCATCTTTACTAACGCTAAAGGTTGGCCCTTCATATCTGATTGACCCAGTAATTTAACTAGAAACCCATTTTCTACTAACATCTTTTTACATATAGCATTTGGGGATGAATCACTACAAATATTTCCAATAGTAATCAATGTAGTAGTCAATAATTCATTAGGTACTCGCGTATATTCTGATGTCTCCTCTAAATATAGTGGTATTAGCTTTAAGATAATCTTGATGCAAAATTCTTTACCTTTTGAGTTATTATACTCAAAAAATCCAATAGAATAATTTAGTAATAAACTTAAAAGTGAGCTTATGACATTGAAGTTGATTGACTGGTTTCTAGAAATGTGAAAGGACTTCTTAATAATGAGATCGACTGAATAGCTGATAGATGAAAGAACATCCTCGCAATGTTGGAGTAATACTTGCCTATTTGTATTATTGAAAAATGTATTACATAAGTATTTCAGACAAACCTGTATAAGTGGACCATAATAACTTGGATAAGTAGAAATCTCTTTTGTATTAACATTTTGGGCTACTGATGAAATTAACTTTAAGGCACAGGCTATTAACCACCATCCTTTGTCACTCCTCTTATGAATATCACTACTTTGTGGATATAGAGCAAGAATTCTCCACAGATCCAAAACAGGTACACATATTTCGGGGTTTGTAGTCCAGTATGACATCTTTCTATAGATAATATCAATTTCAACTGCTCTAAAAGAATTCTTAAAAGAAAAATTATTATTTTTTAAATCCTCCCTTATTTTTCGCAAAGCTTCTTCTAAGTACTTTTCTTCAACGTCATAAAGTCCAATTTCTGTAGAAGAGTCCATTGGTGTGCTATTTCTTATAGCTGCTCTTGGAGCTTCACGTAGTAGTTTCTCTACCAAGCCATCTATATTTGCTGATTTAAATACAATATAATTCAACATTGGGGTATATTTTTGTATATTAGAGTCTAAATTACCTCCAATTTGTTCGTTATCTCTTATCTGTACTATCTCCATTTGTTTTGTATTCTGCTTTATAAATTTACATATTGCCTCACAGTGGGTAATACTTATTTTCTCCCTAGCACAAAACTTTTGAGCAATCTCTAATATATTGTCACCATTATTATAAGGTAATTTCTTAAAAATTCCACTTCCATGTAGCTCTACATCAAATAAATAGTCATAATTCCCTTTAGGGAAATAAAAATCACCATCATAATAATTCTGTTTGTCAACTCCTATAACTTCACCAATCTTCTCCCAACTCTCTCCCTGCCATATATAAGAAACTATTAAATCTCCATCTCTAAACAGCTTTGTTTCACCTAATCTCTTTCCTTTATAAGCTTGTAACATATTTACATGTGGTAAATCACCTAGTGATTCAATATCATTTAAACCTAACTGTTGACTAGTAGTTCCTATTTTTAAGTTATTTGCTTCTTTCCTTTGCCTCTCACGTATTTCTAATGGCAGAGCTTTGTTAATATCTGTTGTCCACATTCTACATACCGAATCTTCAGATACAGATAAAATGGTATCTTCCATGTGCATTTCCACTACTTGCCAAACAGTAGCAGACATAGGAATTGACTGAACTGGTAAAATCTTATTAAGAGAATTATAATCCCAAATAACTATTGTACAGTCATCTGAAGCAGTAAAAAATCTATTTGGATGTTTCTTAGAAGTGCATACACTAAAAACAAAGGATGTATGAGCTGAGAGAGTTGCCAAGTGTTTGAGTTCTACAGATAACGAACTAAAGAAGTTGATATCCCATATCTTTATTTTTGTGTCATTTGAAGCAGAAAGGACTCTGAAACATGACTTTTCATAACTTTCGCAATTAACTAGCAGCTCTATTGAACGTATAATGTCATCATGAGCATCGTCATAATTATAAATGCATTGACCAGAGCTTGAATTCCATACGCGTAGTTTCTTATCTTGACTTCCAGTTATTATATAAACAACATTGTCAAATAAAATGGGTGTCACTGCTGTAGTCACAGCATGCGAATGACCATTTAACACGAATATACATATTCCGGTCAAAATATTCCATACTCTTGCGGTCCCATCCCAACTACCTGATACCAATAGTTGTGCAGATGGTATTTCTGATAGACTGCACACTGCAGATGTGTGACCCTCAAATGTAAGTATTATAGAGCCATCATCTGCTGAAACCCTATGTATGATCTGATCTAAACCTGAAGAGTAAAATGACATGGCTTCTTCACTATTTCCAACTCCAATAGATGAAGCTTCAAGAGTTAAAGTATATCTCTTATGATACATTAGTGACATATCTACAACCCATTCAGTACTTAAGTTATCATCTCCAGTAATAGTCCTTTTTCTCCAAATGATAATTTTGTTGTCTTGGCCACCAGTTACTATACGATCATCTTTCAATATGCAAATACATCGGATAGATTTTGTATGACCATGCAATTCAGATGACAAGTAATAAATTTCATTAACCAAATTATTTTCGAACATTGTTAGTATATTTAAAATTTTCCAAGCTAATCAACCAGGATCCCTAATATAAGCTTGACAAACGCGCTAACAGACAAGCAATAGTGTGTATGAAAGTAACTTTTTAAGTTTAGAGGATATAGTTTTAATCAAGAATCAATACATAGATATTTACTTACAAAACCTTTAAGATAATATCTGGGCCTTTGCCAATATTCTTTTATATTTAAATGTGAATATAGAATGTAACTTTTAAGCTTGAAAGCAACCTATAGCTTTATAAGAAATAAGTTGCAATTTATATAATTTCACTTATAATAGTTATTAGAATAAATACTACTGAAATTTATTACTTTCCTAGATATATCTTTTTTCTAATATTATGGTAATGTTAAGATTGAGAATTAAGCTAAAATACAATTATTCCCATTAATAAATAGTTGCAAAGACAACTTTTCATACCTAAAAGCCTTATCCAATATGTACAAATAATCTTGTTCGAACTTATATTCAGATATATCCAAAAGTAGAATTTTAATTTGTATTCATATACAAATAAATATGATATCTAAGTTAAGAGATTTTTTAAATATTAAGTGAAAAAATTAGTTCGGCTTTAATTAATAATAAAGTCAGTAGGAGATAAAATAATTAGGAATTACTAAGTTTAGCTGCTAAATAAAAGCTTGTTTTTTTGTTCTATAGCAATTAATTTTTTTTAAAGATGTAATTATCATCTTTTTGTACTACCAACTCTTAAAATCTGATTGCATGAAAGTTGTAAAGAATTGTTTATATACACTTCACATCATAAAACAAAAAGATTATTACTGTAAAATAAACTAACACTTACTTCAATCCATTTAAGTCATTAAAAAGAATAATAAGTTCATTAGAAACTAAACGAATTTGGGTTATAATTAGAGGTGAAAATTCTTACAGAAGAAGTGAAACAAAGAAATCACAAATAAGTCAAGTTGAATATTAACTGGAAGAACTAAGACTGAAATTTAAAATCGAACCAATAAATAAAACAATACAACAGTGCGCTAAATTGTAATTAATTTAGTGAATTTGTGATAAAAATAGCTTGTTAAACAGCGTTAGTAAAAAAAAAAAAAAGTTTCCCCGAAGATATTAACGTAAATTAATGAATTCAATTATCACAATAAGTAGCGCCAAAAGTACTTTGTATGGGCTTCATGGTAGTACCCATAATACAACAGAAGTAATGAACCAATAATCCCACCCTTTATTAGATATAAATAATGAGTTTTTGTTAATAAAGGGACTCACATAAATTTAGGTTCATTAGAAAGGTCTAATAAAGATAATATAGACTAAAATTTTATATTATGGAGATAGGGTAATCAAAAGTAGCTTTACAAGAGTAATATTACCAACAATGAAAAAAAATGATTTTGTATAGCGCTGAAGACTATAAAAAGTATTTTGATGAAATTAGTAAATATTATGTAAGCAAAAAAAAAATTAATTATTAAGTGTGATTAATTCAATTATATTTCATGTTAAATTGAAAATTAATATAAATGTAGCTTGAACTCTATTAAAATCTATTACAGGTATAATGGAAATTTAGAGATGAAGAATAATCAAAGTAGCAATACTCTGAGTTGTAATATGAGTAGTTGTTGTACTCTTTTATATATGACTAGAGTTTTTTAAAGTAAGAAATCTACTCTTAGTTTCACTAGGGTTTAGATATCAAAGTTTTAATTGCAAACTCCTGTAGGACTTAAAGGTGTACTAAAAAAAAGTACCGAAGATGAATATATATATCTAGTAACAAAAAGTGATATTTAATAGATTGATCAGTGTAATGCTATTAATAATTTGCGAAACTCGCAGGATCAAAATATTTTAGAGTTTATTTGTTGAGTTTGATAAATAAGAAGTATAGACTGAGTATTAAACATATATAAGAAATTTGAGGGAAATATGAACTAAGGGTTGTGTTCTTGCATTAAAATATTAATTTACTTGTGAATAATATATTAAAATTGACTTTTACTTTTAATTACATTGATTTTACATTATTAAGTGTACTACTTCTACTTATATTAATTCAGGCATAGTGATAATACTTTGTAATTAATTCTTAGGATAATAAATCAGAGACTGAAAATATATCCAAATGTTAAATGATTCTATAGCTTGTAATATTCATGTAGTTATATCTTTATAGTAGTCGTATGTTTTATTTACTATAAATTCTAGCCCCGTAGATATTGCAAATATCATACTATATATATATATATTGTATTAAATAGTAGTCAATATTTATTTATGTAATACCTTCACTTTCTAGCTATAGATATTTAAGATAAGTCTAAAGCTAGCTGAATTGATACTTTTTATTTTGCATGCAAATTTTCTACCAGTCACTTCCTATAATAAATTAAACATTACATTAAAAAAATAAAGTAATATATGATTTAGCTAGCAGATATAAGTTAAGTGGCAAGCATAGTAATAGATTTAGTGAAGAAAATTAGCAAGTTTCTATATTTAAATGTTTACAATTAAAGATCTAAAGTTAAATTTTTGTTAGTTTGAAATTAGCTATTTTCTGACATGTAGTATAACATTTCTACTAAATACTTAAGGATTTAAGCACTTAATTGATGAGATCTGTAAATTCCCGAATATTTCAACAGATACTTCTACAAGTTAATGTAATTTATTCATATTACACTCATTTAAAAGTAAATTTAATAGTGGGGATAATAACATCAGTTCCATCTTCAGTATCACAGCAGCTTGCTTCTAGTGCCAAGTAATTCCTGTTAATTGGCAAAGACTTCTTTGTAAGTTGCTCAGCCAAAGAACTAATAGGAACAGTTTTGCGGTTACTGTGAGATGGTATATATGCATTATATAAGCATACATTCCCCAACGAGAGTATTTGAACTTCTAGTTGCATAGTTTTGCGCAAATAGTTGATAATATCTTCTATTGTCCCATTAGGATAAGAAATCACTATCTTATCCCAAGCTGTAAAACCCTCAGGTTTAGCTTTAACGGGGCCTCCAACAATAGGATCATAATCCTTAGATTTTGTTTGTGGAGGAGGTAGTGGTTCTGTTATAACAAACAAGGGTAGGGATAGATTTATAAATGAATTCTTGAAGTCTTCAATTTTACGACTTGTTCTAGAAGCAACTTTCAAAATTTCAAAAGATACCAAACCTGTGATCATTGCCGTTGTAGTTGCCATTGCTGGTATGATACGACCAGCAATCATCTTGCACTTGTGATGGTCACACTCTGGAATTGAGTAATTTCGAGCTCGAAGATTTGCTGAAGCATTTATAAATGCAATGTGAAAATTAGTATCATCATCTTTCTCAAACTCAATAGGCTGTATTATCTGTAGACACTTCATAATGGCATCTTTTGAAAGAGTTGATAGAAATTTCATATTTACTTCAATCCTAATAGATTCACTTTGAGCATTGTTTGCATTATTGTCGATATTATTTGACTTCTTATGTTCTGCTCTATCTGAGTCATCAACTTCTATAAATATATTTTTTGGCACAAATTCCGGTAATACCATATTTTGAGAAACTTTGTAAATAATGTCATAATCTGTAATATAAGGAAGCTTTAGTATAAAAGCAAAGAGGTTTGCTGTTGCTAATACAAAACTAAAGTGTAAAGGATCTTTTATATCAAATTGTTGAGGTATTGGACATCTTTTTGGACCTGACCAAAATGGCGAACCATCTGAGTTCAGATGATTAGGTGGAAAGTTCGTTAGAAGTTGTCTTATTTGTAAGTAGAAGTAGTCATTAAATAGTAGAATAGCCCTTTTGATACAATCTTCATGAGTAGGGCTATCTGTTTGTAGGACACATCTTATTAATTCGCAAATTTTCTCAGTTTTTTCAAATAAAACATTAGGATTAACTTCACTTTTTAAACGTGAAAAGTAATTTTCTGGATCCTGTAAAAATGTTATAGTCTCTTTAGGGTTGTCAGTAAAAATTCCTTGGAATGCATCTCTACTCCATTCAATTGTATGTTCAATTGCATGGGGAAAGTGCTTCAGTGTGCAAAGAGGAATACTCTCTTCAGCAGGGTCACGGTTATCTGCATATGACTGAGTTCTATGTGGTAAATATGTCTCACTATTAGCTTTTGTTCCTAATGTCCCACTTTCTAGAAGTGGTTTTTCAAACCACAGACACCGATCATTAATATACATCCTTGATGGGACATTATCTAGTGCATTGACAATAAAATTCAACTTATACCAAAAGTTATCATCAAATGCATCTTCAGTTTCAGTACCTACGCGTGTTTGCATAGATTCAATATTAAAATTTGCATTTATTTCTTTAATTACTTGTCCTGCTACTAAACTCTTCGATGAGCCAACATGATACTGTCTGAATAAAAATTGGCGATTTAAATTTGACACCTCAATATTATCCATATCTGTTATAGTGACTAGACCATTTCCACAACCTACTCCCATCAAAGCCATACTTTTTAAATATTCACATCCCAATGCACCAGCTCCTACTAAAAAGACATGCAAGGAACCTAAAATAGATTGAAATGAACGACCAAATATGGCTATTTGATCGTCATATCGACTGTTCGATAATGTAAAGTCACTTGTTTGACAAATAGATGTTTCTAATTCACAATTATGCATATTCAATATTTCAAATGCATCGAATAAGAAATATTGTCGTAATGGCATATATTTACCAACGGACTTTACAATTTCCTGGGCTGTAATCCCTCCAAGAAAAGCTGCCATAGGAGAAATACAGCTACGTGAGTATTTACAGACGCTAGTTACAATCTGAGTATCAATACTATCAACAGTAATAATATTACACTTAACAGAAGTATCATGAGCTGCTGCTCTTTTTTTAGCATCATTATTCAAGTTATTGGCAATTTTTATACATTCTTGTATCGCATTTATATCTTCATGAGAAGGTCTATGGCCATGAATATCACAATATTGCATTACAGCATAAATAGCAAAGAACAATTGCTCTGATCTACCAAATTTAGTCAAATCAGGAACTATCAGCATATCTTGGTCATCACATAAAGGGTTTTGCATAGACTCAGCTAATGAACGAAATTTAAGTATAGTTGGGACTTTTACTTGAGTAACAATACCTTCTCTCAAATATGGTGATAAATCATTGGTATCAATATCAATTGTGAACTGATGCTTACCAGTAACTGTAATCTTGTAAGGTCCTGATTCATTGAGTTCTGACATTCCTTGAATTTCCCTAAATGTAACATAATCTCCATCTTGGAATGGTAAGATTTTCTCTGCAAGGCAAGTTACTGTTGTAGGACTAGAACCTTTAGATATATTAGCAATTATGGCACTTTTCGGTTCCTCACCCGTACTATCAAAGACACAGAATTCAGGTCCAAAATCCACAAAAATGGAACCACACAGTCCTAAAGAATTAGCAGAAATGAATTTAACTGAGGGAGTCCGTAATCTACAATACGAATTATATAGTAATTGTTGTCGTAGTGGGATATCAGAGCATACAACTACATCATGCTCTAAGATAATCTCTTCAGTAATAGTCCCATTATATACAGAGATTGAAACATAATCATTTAGGCATTCTAACTTTTTTATGCAGGCACCAGATCTTGTATCTCCCTTGCTTACATTGCTTTCTGATATATAAAAGTTTGCCCCCATATCAGAAAATGTGCAAATTTGATCATCTACAATAGTTACAGATTTGGGACCCGCTAAAACAATATTTTTGGCAACCTCTATTCCTAATCCACGGAGGCCAATAATAAGAACTCTTAATTGTATTAGCTTCCCCATTGCTTCTAAACCCAGTGTCCCAATCTGCCGACTATATAGGTTAGTATCTATATTGCTATCTCCAGCTGAGTTTGCCATATAATGGGATTTAGAACCAAAGCCCTTCATACTTTCTTCAGTCACTTTTTTTTCCTAAAATATCCAATAATTGGAATGAGTAATCTCGTTATATAAATTTATAATATTAAAAATAACTCAAATGGGGCGGGTCAATTTTTTTCTATTGGCGAAGATCTATATATGTGATAGTTGTGAACTCTAAACTTGTAACACAGCGAGAAAAAAAGGTAGTACTAGATATGATAAGCAAGGAAAAAGTAACACTTGTATAAACTACTGTAAAAGTATTGATATCTTATTGTGTGTTCTGTTTACACTATACCTAATTAGAGAGACGTTACATCTCTTACAACTAATTATTACAACAAAAAGAATGAGGCCTTGATTCTGTGAATCTAGTTTTTCTAATATCACTAGGATATTCTCAATGATCATACTTAGAATATAAATTACTAGCCTAGTCATTTAAAATAACTGAACTTAATATATATTTATTGGAGTTAGGGAACAGATTCCTTAATATTGTTAATTTCAACCTTTTCTTATATTCCAAGTCTAGAAGTTAAGTTAAATAATTGAAGTCAGTCGAAGTAAAAAGTGGTTACTTTAGACTATCTCTGTTTCTAATGAGGTGGTATAAAATGTAATAGTAATCTATTTTAAATATACTTGTTGAATTTGGGTCTTATTGTAAATATCTTTATTAGTTATATTTTGTTATACATTTTTGATATATTAATATCAAATGAATACTTTCTAACATTAGAATACTATTATTTAATGAGTTAGAGGTATTTCTAATATGTATCAGTACTTGTAACTCAAAATTGGAGCTATTTTGATTCTTTCTAAGAAGCTAGTAATTTAGATAAAATATTACTAATGTAAGACAGTAAAATCAGTATTTATCAATCAAAAAAATTTTTTTCTATAATAAAGTTTTTATAAATAAGGGGGAAATATAGCAAGAATTAATTCAGTAAAACTTAAATTAAGAAAATTATGGGTATAGAAGAAAAGGAAATGATCTCTCTTTAGCAGAGCTGATATGAATACATTTTGAAATGTAAGTAATTTTAAATGTAAATATTACTTTAATGTTATTAATTTAAACTTGAGAAGCACTTTAATTTAGCAAAACCAAAATTAATGAAGGAGTAAAACAAGTTTTTAGCAAGAAATAAATAATAAATTGGGATCAATTCAAATAAAGTCAACTACTTAATATTTTGACAGCTGGTGTAGAATACTTATTGGCAAATTAGTTAAAATATTGAATTGTAGTCAATTCCTTAGTGGAGTAATAAAATTACCTCTATATATTAGAAGAGTACACACAGAATATTATATCAATATAAAAGTATATAAACTAGGATAGTTCTGAGTTTTAAAGATCTCTTGATAGTAATGTGGTAATATTTAATTTAAAGCACACTACCTAAATAACATTTAGAAACACCTAAAGGTAATGATTCATTATCAATCTTATTTAGAAAGGTATAAAATAAAATACAAAAGCTTTTAAATATTGTACACATTTTATCTCTATTCCTTAAAGTATAAATACACTATTTTAAAACCTCTCAGATTATCCTTTATATCAAATAATGATCTGAATCTTAAGCTCTTTAAAAAACTATCGATAAATTAGCAACTTTTTTGCTTCTGGATTCTCTCTTGAAACTTTTCAATTACTCTACGTATTCTTTCTAGAGCTCTCTGGTCTGTTCCAATACAATTCTCCGGTAAATATGGAGGAGCAACAGTAATACCCATAACTTCAATATTGCTGCCATTCCAACGACAATTGGGATGAGTTTTGTGAATGAAGTTGAATGTAGCTTGTCCCATTGGTGTTACATTTGTGCCCCAGCAATGCAGATTTGATTTTATCTTATTGATTGCTACTTCTTCTCTATCATTTATAATAGAAATATAATTAGAAGGTAACTCTGTTTTTAGTGGCTCTACTTTTGAGTTCTCGCATGGTGCTATTTTCTTAATTACATCGTTCCGTATCATTTGGAAAGTGCTGAAACCTGGTCTAATATCCTCCTCTACAATTACAAAATAAGGTGACATCAATAGTCTATATTTCATCTTAGTTTGAATAATTCAGGGCTCTATAAACTTACTTAGCACAGTAAATTCTCCATTAGGAGCAATGCAACAAACACATCCATGGTACTCTTCATTACTTAGTGTTGTTAAAGTAACTGAATCTATGCAAACAATCAGTTTATAATAAAAGTTATATCAAGGAAACTTATTTTAGTCCGGTGGTACTTACCTGAAATTGTCAACGATTTCATTTTAAGTACCCAATAAAGAGCTGCTGCTCCAGTTCACTATAACATCCTAGCGGTAGTCAAATCCCTATAAAGCGCCAGAAGATAAATAAGATAAAACTTTACAAAGTGAAGAAATAGCTACGATATACGGGTATCAAAATATGCAAATAAAAAGTCAATAATTAGTACAATTTCTAATAACTATGAAATAACCAAGCTTGAGTAGTATTCTACTTATTTTGCCCATTTTAAATTACCACAGGAAAGCGCCAAAAAACCACTTTTTAGGATTGTGTGTTAGCTAACGCCCTGTCGTGAGAGATAAGTGCGGGATTCCTGTAGAGAAATTGCTTGTATGTAGAAAAAGTTCTAACTGGGAACTTATGTATGAGTTGAAGGAAAGATAAACTAGAGTACAGATGGATAGCTTTTTAGGGAAGTACCTTGGATGGTGTACTTTTGGTGTAAATCTGAATCTTGAAAACTGTGAATTGTGTACCGAGGGTTCAAAACACGAGCTTGGTGAAAAGGCATTGAACAAATTAGTTAAAAGTAAAGCATTTGTAGACTATAGCGACTGCATTGATGAGGCAGTTATAAAGATGGAAGCTAGGAGACTGAGCCATAATTCAACCATTATGCAGTATATGGCTGAGGTCCCAGAAAGTATAAAGCATGAGAAAATAGAAAGATTCAAAGAAGAAGCAACTTCATTTGCTAGTGAGATGATAAATGGAATAAATGTAGAGATTATATTAGGAGATAGTAAGGCACATCCAGTACAGTTATCATTAAATAGAGAATTTAATTCCCTTGCATTACGAAGACGAGGGAAGAAACTCACTTTGCCATTGGCTACCATAAGGTGTATTGAAAAAACTTCCCAAAAGCTAATTGATGATGCACCTGAATTAGCATCAGTTGAAAAGGCAGAATTTGAACGAATTGTTGCAGTTTCTACAATAACAGATGATTGGTATATTTTTGTTATGAAAAATAGTGAAATGAGAGATAAATTTTACCATCAAATGAGAATAATAGTTGCTTCTGTGAAGATATCTCTTGCAGGAGACGAAAAGTATTGGGGAAACATATATAAGGATCAACACAATGAAGCTGTAAAAATAGAGGATGATTCTGAAGCAGCTTACTTGTTTCAAGATGAGAGAGAAGAACATAGACATTAGATATTTTGATATGAAGTTATCTTAAAAAAGATGCTTTCTTGTATGTTATGTAGATTGCAATTTTGAGATTATTTGTAACTAGAATTATACTATTTTCTTGCAAAGTGAATCACTGATATCCCATAATTCTTCCGACACATGCATATCTAGGGATATTGGGCTAGAAACTGAAACATTGCACTCAGAGTAGTAGGCTCCAGGAGCCAAATTATATAGAGGTGTAGTGCAACAGTATAATGTAGTTTGAGCTCCGCTTTTGGCTGTTTTAAAGAATAACTTAATTATATATATAAATAGACTCCAGGGTATAGAATAGTATTCATCAATATGACGTGATAAACATGTAAAGACACACCCAGGATGAACGGAAAATGCGTTAACTCCTAGTTTACCATATCGCTTCTGCAATTCCCTTGTAAAGTAGATATTGCAAATCTTACTAATACTATAAGAGTATGAAGGTGAATAATCCTCACATTTGATATTTTGCACTTTTTCAATATTAAAGCCACTCCAAGCAGCTAAATGAGCAATACTAGATAAGTTGATAATTCTGGCTTTAGAACTTAATATGAGTGGTAATAATTTTTGTGTCAGATAAAAGTGCCCTAAATAGTTTGTCATAAATTGCAACTCCAAATTGTTACATAGTTTATAGGGACAACTCATTATCCCTGCATTATTTATTAATATATCTACTTTTTGGACTTCTCCCATAATTACCTGTGCAGCCTTATCTATACTATGTAAATCAGATAAATCACACTCAATAACTACAATTTTACTTTCCATTATGCCAGAAAACTTAACAATTAAATCTTTTGCTTTTACTGCTTTCTCCATGTCTCTACAACACATAATTAATTTAGAAACTCCCCATATAGCTAACTGTTTTGCAGTTTCATAGCCAATCCCACAGTTACTACCTGTAATAATCACTATTTTGTTGTCCATAATGTCGTTTCTAGAAAGTATATCTTGTGGTAAATTTTTACCTTGTGCAATTTTACGACATATAACCAGAATAAATACACTGTATCCAATATATACCAAGATAGTTATTTTAGTCGTTAAATATGGAAAGGTATAAATATCAAGATAATATATAATAAATGGCACTTTTAAGCTTGCTAACAAAAAACAAAAGCTGCGTACAGCTGGTTCAGAGAACAGAGATCGCAAAAGTACATATACCAATATTAAAAAAGACATATTCCTCTTTTAAGGTTAGCTATATAAAAGATCTTAATTTGTATTAAGTTAAGTACAACTATACATTTCTATAATTTTTCTTGGGATCTTTACGGGTGTACCCCCTCTCAATATCGATAATTACCAAGTAACACTGAGGTTATGACTACCAATTTGTGAATCTACTAGCACCTATATACCAAAACAAAGACTTCACTTGTAGAAGCTCTAGTTATAATAGTTTTTAAAGTATTATATGGAGGAGTTCCAAACTAAATTAGAGAAATCGAATGTATAATTCACGATTCTAGAAAAAAGTACATAAGTATTACTACTGGAGTGTAAGCAACAATTCAAATAGTGGCATAAACTCAAGATCTACCAAATTAAATCCCCAATATCTACCTACTAAACTAAGTATAAATTACTTCCAGCTTACAAATTCCTTCAGAAGTTACCTTTAGTATAACATTATCCAATAATACCGCCGTCTCATACTAATAGCGCAATTTCGTAGTAATAATAGGTATAAAACGGTAATCTGTCTTCAGTAGACGTCTTAGTGTGGTTCAAAGCTAACTATATCACTGTGAAAATTTTGAAATAATTACTGCAATATTCTTGTGGTTAAATTGATTGGACAGGCATCAGCACTGACAGTCTCCACAAGTACTGAATATAATTACGGGATTTGAATAACTACTTGGAACAAGCAAAAGATGCCATCTCCAGAGAAAGCAGCCAAAAAGAAGATTTACTTTGAGCGTCTTGCTGAATATGCTACCTCTTATCCAAGAATCTTAGTGGCTAATGCTGACCATGTAGGGTCGAAGCAAATGGCTGATATACGCCTGGCCTTGAGAGGGAAGGCAGCAATTTTGATGGGCAAGAATACAATGATTCGCACTGCGCTGAAGCAGATGCTAACATCCCATCCTGAAATTGAGAAGTTAATTGATTTAATTCGTCTCAATATTGGCCTAATATTTTGCATAGATGAGCCATCAGAAGTCCGCAAGGTAATTAGTGAGTACCAAGTGCCAGCTCCTGCTCGTCAAGGTGTCATAGCACCTTGTGATGTAACTGTACCTGCAGGTGCTACGGGACTTGATCCATCTCAAACATCTTTTTTCCAAGCTTTAGGTATTGCAACTAAGATTGTGAAGGGTCAAGTAGAGATTCAGTCAGATGTGCACTTAATTGAAGAGGGAAAAAAAGTCACAGCTTCTCAGGCTGTCTTGCTTCAGAAACTTAATATTAAACCTTTTTCATATGGGCTGAAAATCAATAGTATTTATGATCATGGAAGTGTCTATAGTTCAAGTGTATTAGATATCACCCCAGAAGACTTAATATCTAGAGTTACAGAAGCTACAAAGTATATTGCTGCACTGTCAAAAGAGACAGGTGTCCCAACATTACCATCTGCTCGTGATGGGATTATTTCTGCATTTAGACACTGCGTGGCTCTTGGTATTGAGGCTGGGTTTGATTTTCCCCAGTTGCAAACAATTAAGGATGCTCTAGCAAATCCACAGCAACATAATGTAGCTGTTACATCAAATGCTTCTGTCCCATCTGCAGCTACTGTAGTAGAGGAAGAAGAGGAAGAAGAGGAAGATCTAGGTTTTTCACTTTTTGACTAAAACTTCTAAGTATTTCTATTGCAATATATTCTTTTCTAATTACTTTATTTTTCACAGTTCATCCACTAGAAAATGGAGCAAGGTTCGGGAGTTTCAGTCCTCTGGCGCTCAGATCCCCAACACTTTAATTCACCTATTGTTTAGTCCATGAATACATCTCAAAATGGATGAAAGCTTTAATTTCCCAAATTTAGAAGGAATTAAGGAAATAAAGAGGTTTGGGGGAAAAATATATTAGTAACTTAAATGGGATTTTGAAATTTCCGGAGATTATAGTAGTGAAGAAATTCCTAGCTTGCACGAACTAAAAGAGTGATGACAAATAGAAAGTTTTGATTATAAAGATAACAATTCTAAAGAGGAAATTTATGGGCGTAGATCTTTAGTTTTTAAAAAGAAAGATGAGCTGAGAAGGAAAGGAAGTTGAGGGGATGAGGTCAACTCAAGTGATTCATCAAATGATGAGTAGTTAAAATCAACTGAATATATTACCAATAATAAATAACTAGGGCAAACCAAAAGAATATAATAAAATACAAGAGCATGTTATTTGTAAGCAAGCTGACACTGTAGATAAATACATAAAAGACTTAGTGATTTGTTTGGAAATAAATGAAATAGTTCCTCAAGTACTAAGGAAACTAACCTTAGGAGAAGAAGCATTAATGGAGGATAATTTATCAACTAAATTTCACAAAAAGAAAAAACAAAAACATTTGTCTTTATTAGAAATAAGTGCTATTTCAAATCAAAGTTACAGTAAATAATGTGGATCTAAATTTAGAAAAAATGATTGCAAGAGAACAAATGTATAACTAATATATGCGGCAAACTAGCTTTATCTAGGTATATTGATATATATAATATGAGTATCGAAGAATTAAATTATAAGATCTAAACAACATGCTAAAGTTATATTTCAGCTGAATTTCCTGTATGAAATCTAATACGGCAAGAGACATGACGGTTGCATGTATTTAGCTCTTAATTCCTCATTTCATCTCACTTTCTTTCATTTTAAAACCATATATTAAATTGGAATATAAAAGCTACTTTATAAAGTTACTTATATTCTGTTCAAAATCATAATGTTCAATGAGTTGGGGAAAAAGTTCTGCTGACTGGTTACATGTATGTATTCAATATGTTGAATCGGCTAGGGATATTTGTAATTTAGCTTTAGTAGTAAGTATATATAATTAACAAACCTTCCTATTTATATTCATAACAGTTTTATAAAATTCAAAGTACAATATTAAACTACTTTTAAATTTACTTTGTTCTTTGTAGTGTCATGACTGGTACATAACAATACAGTGTTCTTTGCAATCACAAGATTTCATCCAGGGACGAGAATCTTTATCAATAGAACATACCAGTGAATTTATAAAAAACATTGTAAGTGATATGAATATTGACAAGTTAATGCTAGACGTGAGTATATTTTAAATTAACTATAGAAACAAAGTCATGGAACTTGGTATTCAAGTATTCATTATCAGATAACTTTTAGTAGGGAGTATTGCAGGAAACCTGCTATTCGTAATCTATCACTTTTGTTACAGTGTAATTGTTTTCCACACTTAATATCGCTGAAAATTGTTACTTCTAATTTGGCCTCTGAAGTAGTTGACTACATTATTCAAAATGCCCAGAATTTAGAATCTTTGCAATTATGCTTAAATTACCCTTGCCCGAGTTATTTTATACAAAGACTTTGCTCCAAATTGTTAAATCTCAAAAATATTTCTATAATTATAATGAAGTATCAGTATAATAAAAATGGTGATATGGCAGTTTCGGTAGTCAAGAAGCGTCATATGGTTGTAAAAAGACCACGTATATACTCTGAAGATGCTCAGCTTTTAAAGGGCAATAGTATTTGGAGATATTTAGAGTTTTATACTCAAGACATCTTCGTTTAAAACCAAATAAAATAGAATTAATCTATACAATCCATAAAATTTGCAAATAATTGATCAATATAATTAATTAGTTTACTTTCAATTGGGTTGTCACTATTTTTATCCACCTGTATAACTGTTCTGCCATTGGATGTCAATGCAATGATCTTTTCACGCCTTGTATGTAGCATATTTGCACAAACAATATTTACTCTATATTTCTCTAGCAAATTGCTTGCTTTTTTAATAAGTTGATCTTCAGAATCTGTCTCTAGCTTAAATAAAACAATGAAGCTTTCTCTGCAAGTATTAATGAGTAAATCCAAAAACTTAGGAATTAGGTACAAATTTAAGACATATGCAGGTTCCATTATTTCATTCCCATTATTGTTTTCCCTAGTTGAAATTTTGTTTTCTGGTAGATACTTATCAGGTATATAGTAGTCAGACACAGCTGCACACAAAAAAAATACTGTCGAAGATTGAATTGGTACACAATATTCAGAAATACACTTCAGCCCAACATAATATTCAGCAACTGTCTCAAATTCCAAGAATAGAGTCTGTAATGAATAGGTTTGCAAATACTTTGCTGCCAATTTTATATTTTCAAAATTGGTATTTTCTAAACAGTTAATATTAATTGTATCGTTTTGTATAGAGCATGAGCGCAAAATTTTAAACAATGATGGGCATCTATTAACAAAAGGTAAAGCACTCCCTTTTCTATGAAAAAAAATAACTGCATATCCTTTTCTTAAAAAGTATTCAGTAGATAAAGCTCCACGTACTCCAGTGCTGAAGTTTTCAATAAATCGTACTGTATTTCTTTCCAAAGGAACAGAAGTACCACCACTGGTAACTACTACAATTCTACGTTTATTCACTTTATGTTGTTGGTGTAAAAAAGAGGATATTTGTTTAAATCGACAATAATATTCTTCATTTACAGGAAACTGTAGCTCCATTATGTAAACAATTGTGTTATACTTTTATTTTATTTGGTAGCGGTTGGATTCAACAAAGTATAGCTCAGAATACTGTACTAGTCCGTCTTAATTTAGCGCTCAAATGTACTTAAACCAATGTATATTAGAAATAGCTACAGAAAGTGTGCATAAAAGTAGCTTTATGAATATAGAAGGACAGCAGTACTGCTCAAATAGGTATTCTGCAATCCTTAGTGGTAGTTGTAATTTAGGAAATGAACAAGATTTGATTTTAAAACCTACAGGAATGGCATATTCTTTCTCACCTTGGCAAATGGATCGAAAAGTACTACAAAGGACTTATGAAGATATATCATTAATAGATTACAGTTTGAATATGTCTGGAATTTCAAGGCCAATTTCTATGGGAATTACATGTAGAGAAACACAGACCCCAAACACTATTAGTAGTAGTTCACAAAATCGTAGAGCTTTGAAAGACTACTTAGAAAGTTTTCTCATTTCTGGAAGTACAAATGTAACAGTTCCTTCACCGTATTTAAATATATCACGTACTTTATCTATATGGCAGAAAACTCAAGGGTTGCAGAGTAGGTTTGTAGCTGATTTGATTGACTTTGCTAAATTATGTGGCGTGCCAAGACACCATACATACAAAGACTTGTTTCATATGTTAATTGGACTATTTAAAACTAAATTAAAGTCAAAGGAAATGGATTGCAGATCATATCCTCAATTTGAATCTTTGGTTTTGAACTCAATTAGAGATATCCAAACTCCACAATTAGTGGAGCCAATCATATCAATGTTATTACAATTCCCTATATTACCACCAAAAATTATCAATGAAATATTATCACTAGATACGTGTCTATCTCCAACCTTTGCAACTTTCTATAAATTAGCCCCATTAAAGTTAAAACAACAAATATGGTTGGAAAGACCAAGATGGTTCATTGCTGAGATAACTCCCTTTATTATGAAATGTATAAACCTACTATCAAATGTAGATTCATTTTCAAAGAATACTTCTTCAAACTTTGGTAGTAGCCAATGTCAGAATATAAATGCCGAAATAAACAAATTATTTGAATTTGTTACGTTGAAAAGGAATATAAACAGGGAATCTTCAAAGCTTGGGGAAACAAATGACGAATTTACAGAGTTTTATAGAGAAATTGAGGAGTCTATATTTAATAATTCAAAACATTCTAGCAAAGATTCGGATATACTTGAAGACCAAATTTTAGGTTCAATCTGTTCTTCAACTTCTAACACTGTAGAACAGTCAAACTTCTGTGAATCTCTTTCTATGTTTGCTTTAAGATCTCAGGCTTTATATATTGCATCAGTAGAAACTGAATATGATGACTTAGAGAAAATGAGAGACCTGATAAAGATTTTTCCATTTTCAACACCAAATACAAAAAAAGGTCTTACTAGTTTTATTAAACTTGAAAAGGAGCAATATGGCACTAGCCAGAATATTTCTTGTTTAGTACTCAACTCTTCATTGAATCAGAATTCGACTTCATTATCTTTATCATCTAATTTTGTGCTATGTGGAAATATCTTGGAGATTGGTCGTATCATTGCTTATATTGCATATTGTATTGGAGATTACGCAGATTTGTACATTTGTTTTGCTTCTATTATTAGACAGATTTTTAGTGAGTCACTATCTTGTAACATTAATATGTTACAAACATTTCCATCTATATTGAACTCTTCTACACCAATAAAACGTCCTGTCACAAGCAACAGCTCAAATTTTGATGTCTATATTCCCAATTTACCACCTTCAGTAACTACAAATAGTATTTTGAATTCTTTAGCCAATCCAGTTTACTTAGCTAATAACATGAATGTTCCTCAATTAGATCACAACTCTACCTCAAATAATGTAACTCATACACAAAATACTCGTTTGACATCAAATCAGCTAAAAGGTGGACTTGGTGAACCATATTTAGTAACAGTGAGGGTTTTAGTAGCTTTACGTTTGTTTAACAAGAATAATAAGTGCAATAGAAACCAAGAAAGCAATCATTCATCAATAATGTATTCATCTTCTATAGCATCTAATACTAGTGCTAGTTATGGAGTTGGAAATATAGGGACTTCTAATATTTCGGCTAATTCTGGGAATAATATTGGTTTTAGAACAAACAATGAAGAGACTTGTAATAATCTAAATTTTCTAGTATTATCCGAGTGTGATCCTATAATATGGCCTTGCATTAGCATAGTAGGAAGTACACTACGTGATGGATTTGCTTGCAATCGAACCCAAGAATCTTTAATGAATGTATCTTATACGCTAATAATAAAATCAGAGGCAGACTTATCAGATGTTGCTTTTGCTTTTTCTGAGCCACACTTCTTAATGGCATGTTCGGAGTTCATTGTTGAAACAGCCATAGCAACAATGTCTCAACCTTCAGTTGATGCTTTATTAGTATTAGATCCTCAAAGGAGAAAAATTCCACTAGCATTATTAGTTCTTGGAATGAACTCACCATATACTTTTATTAACAGCAATAATAACATAAACAAACGCCTTTATGGAAATTATGGTAATATTGATGGATATCCTACAGTATCTGGTTTAAATCAAGCAAAAGTAAGTAGACTAGCTGCATACCAGATAAATAATACTTCTTCTGTGGTACCTTCTTTAAATATGAGGAAAAGGCTGAAGATATCTGATATAGGTCATGGAACCAGTTCTGCTATGAGACTAGATTCAGTATTTAATTATCTCGTAACTACAAATACAACGATTTTACCAAGGGAAGCTGCATCAGTTAATCTTAGTACTCAAAATCAGTGCCCCAGTAAAAATCTAATAATTCATAAAGCTGCGAGACTTAGTCAAACTGTTTTATCTACATTTTTACCATTGCTAGATCGTTATTTAGAAGTTTCTCTTATTAGTGCTAATAGCTCAAGTAGTAGTGATATGTCAAATAAGACAAAGAGAAATGAAACTTTAAAAATAATCAGAAATGAATTAAAGTCAGTAGTAAGAAATATGGAAATAAGCTCTGCAAATTATGAAACTTTGAATATGGGAGTTTCTACGGCTCATGAGAGTTCTACCAATTGTAGAGAACTAACAATGATAGTTAGTTTACAGGTAGTACGCCTCATATCTTTAGCATTATTCTTTGTTGGATTAAAGCCACATTCCCCTATAAAAAACAAATATAATACCACAAATACTTTAAATATTTCATCTAACTGTAATAATGAACTAAATAACACTCAAGGATTTATTTATGGTCACGTACATTTAGAAAATTCTGAAATGAGTTCTTATTCCACTTGTTGTACTACTTCTATGACTCCTACATGTATTGATTTATCTATAAGATTAATGGAGATATCCTTAGCTTCAGACTGGATTACTCACTTTTTTCTAAAATCAATTGTATGTCTTTTATGTACCTATCCAAGAATTCTACCAAACTTAACGAACATTTCAAATTCCAGATCAACAAATAATGATTTATTTTCTATTCAGGACTCTAATTATACTACCAAGTCGTTGATTGGCTATATTCCTTCAGATATTGTACAGGCCTTAATTTGCAGAATTGTTATTCCATCAATTAGAGATCCTCTAATTGGAAGCTCAGAATTAAATCTTGCTTTCGAAATAATAACTAACAATGAAGTTTGTAAGATATTAGACTCTAAGACAAAACGAGCATGTATAGAAAGAATTTGGAATAGGAATCCTTTTGCATTTAATATACATACTAATGAAGTTGATGGAAATGACTTTGAAGTAATTATTCAAGATATACATTTAAAGGATTTGGTTGAAAAGATTAAGAGCGTTGATATTACGAGGCTTATTGTTAGTGTTTACATCCCTTATAAATTAAAATTTTGGAAGTACCATTTTATCGGGTTAAGTGATACCCTTTATTTGTGGAAACGTTGGCTAGTCTACCTTGGCTTATGTATTTCAAAATTAGATCCATCATTTTCTGAAATCCACCTTCTATATGATACAATAAACAAAAATTAGTTTCATATATATATTTGATTTAACGCTAATTTCTAAATATTCTAAATATTCTAAATAAAATAATATAATTGAGTCATAAGGACAATCATGTAGCACTAATTACTCCAGATAAATCTTATTCAGGGATTGCACCACCTTTTGTGATATATAGAACTATTGTGTCATCTATCCGAATTTGAAGTGGGCTATATCTATCGTGCTGCAGACCAATGCGCTTCAGAGGGCATATTATAGCATAGTCTCGTGGTAGTACTACAATGTCGATCCCAAATATCTTCTCTGCATTACTTAATTCTCCACATTTAACTGCCTTGTAGTGTACTCTGCAAGTAACTAAATCTGTCCCAGCATATTCAGTATCTGTTATTATAAGATTTGGAGAGAAGTCTGGAATATGGAAACTTTCTACAACTTCATTTTGATTGTCAATTGAACTCCAATCAGAAGTATTTGGGTAGAGATCTTCTACTTCACAATTTTCAGACTTTATAGTTTCAAATGAAATGGGCTGAAACTCGATTGATTTGATATTGACCACACCAAAGGAATTGCTTAGATTAACTGCAATTTCTATACGATCTCCAACATTAACACTTGGAATCATTGTTGTTTGAGCAACACACACCTCTTCACTGTGGCAACGAGATATATCTTTATGGGCCCATTGTTTTCTGCGAGTACCCGTATAGAGGGCCTCAAATTTATAAATTGATAAATATGCTTCATTTATATCTGATGATTTTACTGGACTGATAATCAAACCAAATAGTGACTGTCTCTTTTTATTTGACAGAGACCTGTCATTCACTTTAGAATATTTATTTAACGCTGAATCTGAGTTTTTATCATATTTAAAGTTGTAAGCTATTGTTACACACTTCTTAGCACAAGATTTAAGTACTTTTGCATACAAAACACGATCAATCCGAACACTTCCACATACTGTTAAAACAGGTTGCATTGTAACTGTTGCATGTTCAAGTTCTAAATATCCTTTATAATTTTCCTTAAATTGATCATCAATTAGATGACTATATACTTGGTTCATGTGACATACCAATGTTAGAAACCAGTGAGGACATACTGTAAAACAAGTTAGTAATGTCTCATCTAAAATAAAAGGTAAAAATGTATCGATAATCCCTGGAGATAAAAATGGTTTATGATTATTTAAGTGACCATATACTACATATAATTTACTATCTTCATATAAGCTGTGGCCTTTAAACTGGCAAGTAGATCCTAAACAGTGTTGCTTAGAGCTGGGATTTAGTGCTCCAGTTTCATTCCCAGTATCTAATATTTCAGAATTTTTGTCTCCAGTCTGTAAATCATATCCACTATATCTTAAATTGTGTGAAAATAAATTTAACCACTTAAACTTCTCATCTTTTTTAACATAAGTATTTTCTTCATAGGTATTCTGTTTGTTCAAATAATAGTCCTTAGGGCATGCTAAGGCCAAATATTTCACGATTCTATAGTTCTTATTTAGTCTAGATGAAATTCTATCAATCAGATCTGAAACAGAGTCCACTATTAATGGAGCAGATAATGTTTGAATTGATTGAGATCGTGATACAGGAGTTACACTTGGTAGTTCAACATTTGAATATGAACGGCTCAAAGGTTCTATAGAGTTATTGTTCTTCGGATAGACATGTTTATCATGACTAGGTGCACTTGTTACACTTCCCATAATTAAACTCTTTTAAACCCTTAAAGTGCAGTTAAAGCTAATGTCACATAGTATTGATAGCATGAAAAAAGGCCATATAGCGCCATTAGTGGGGTTTAGTAATTCTTACGTTAGGCAACTTTGGGAAAAGATTCATTGAATCACTTAGGTTGTATATTAAGTTACTAACTAAAATCTGAGTTATCAACCATACTTGTGTCTAATAAGTATCGTATTTAGCTATTCACAAATCTAGGTAGACTTTGGAAGACAAATATTAAGAAATCTATTTAGATAATATTAAAGAGAATACTGTAATTATTCAATATAGAAACTTAAAATATATAATTTATCTTAGCTTCACTTAAAAATATATTTGTGAAGAACAAGTTAAGGAGTAAAAAAGAAAAGTAAGCAATTGGGGGCAGACTGTACGCGGGTCAAATATATACTTTTTTTCTTAAATTGGAAATTTTGACAATGGAAACTAATTTGAAAGACTTAAAGGCTAATAGTTTTATTAAGACTCGAGGTGATGAAATTAGTACGAATGAACAGAAGGAAGAGCACAGGAGGCAATTAGAAGAACAGAGAAGGACAGCACTACGAGCTTTATTAGAACCTAGTGCTATAGAAAGATGTTAGTTGTTAAATAATAATTATATTAAAAACTTTAAATTGAAGCTTAATGCTTTTTAGTACAACGAGTTGCCCTTGTTAGACCTGAAAAGGCTCAGTTAATTGAGGAACATATACTTAAATCAGCACATATGAGTGGATTCTCTCCAGCAAATAGAATGAGTGAAGATGAACTCATAAATATTCTCTCAAGGGTAAGTTTAAATTTAAAATTACTAAATACTTTTCTTATAGATTTCTCTGATTGTCTAGATGAGTAACTCTTCGAATTCCATACCTAAAGTCACGGTAGGTTCAATAACTAAGTTAAGTGGAGCAAGTGATATAATTTTTTGTTACTATAGATTCATAGGCGTGAATTCTTTGATGATGATGAAGATTTTTAGAACAAATTAGATAGTACTAGTTCAAATGTAATTTTGACTATATTTGTGATGGGATTTGCCAGAGTTCTGGATATATGAAGAACATATTTGAACTATTGACTTAGCTATTGGCATTTCATTAGATCTTCCTGTCACAATAAACTTAGGAGTTGAAATATTGCAGTAAAAAATTCTCAGAAGGGCAGTCTGTCCTGCAGAAGGAGATGTTGTTGCAGCACACATGATTTCACTATCTTCATTATATATAAACGCAAAGCAAGTATTTGATTCTAGTTCACTAATAATTTGTTGAAAGTCTTTATCATACAATAACACATCTTGTGAAAACTCAAACTCTAAGGATGACCACATATTTGCTATATCAATAATTGAAATATTTAAAGGGAAGAATAGTGGAAAGTTATATTTAGATGTGTGAGTTTTAGCTTCGTATTCACTTTTAATACTAGGTTGTATGATCCCAATATTTTGAGTAGGTGTAGATTTTATATCTAGTAAATTGCATGTTTCACATATACTTCGGGAGTTCTCAAGTCCTTTAAAGTTATTTTCTACGTTAGTAGACATATTTATATCAGGATTGCTTATGGTTGAAGCTGATGAATTTTTGTTCGTAGGTTTTTCATCAATATTTCTTTTATTAGGACTGTTCTGATCTCTTGAGATTATACCACTAAATAGTGCCATGGCTTCTTTCTGTTTTTGCAGCTCAATTGCTGAATCTACATGAGTTATACGTTTATCTAGACTATCAATTTTCAACATAAAACCTAATTTTTCGTTTGAACTACTTTGTGGCTTGAGAGAGTTTGATTTCTCTGGTTTATTATTTATAACTGATTTGTTCTTTTCTCTTATTGCTAATTCATTTATAGGCTTGTATCCATCAGGACCCCATCGTTTCATACCTTCAGTTTTTATTGAAGTCTCAGAGTAGGGATTTTCTTGCACTTCATCAGGGAGTTCTGAAATATTTGTATCGTTATGTATTGATCCAAATAATGGATCAGTTTGTAATGAGTTGTGAGACAACATATTCAACTCATCTTTGCTCTCTTTTTGAAGTTGTTGGTTAGTTGTGTTCAAGTTTAGAGATATGCCTTTGTATTTAGTTAGATTCTTAGCAGGTATGATCTTAGAATTAATACGAGCTGACTTACTAAAGTTCACCATATACTCTTGTTTATATCCATCAGTTACAGAATCTAAGAATAAGAGTTTTTTATCAACTTGGATATCTTCACAAGAAGCATCAAAAGGTAAAATAGAGTTAAAAAGTTTCAAGATTTTGTTTTTTTCCAAATTTTCCAGTGGAATATCCTTTTCAATTTTAGTGTCTAGTTGTTCGTAATTGATTAATACTCTGAACTCATTTGCTCTCTGACGTATTAATTGATTGGGTGAGTGTTCACAAGCTTCTATCATTGGCATACATGTATTTATTATATATTTTATAGTTATTTCCGGATTTTCTACATCATCTTTTATAATATCTAAAACTAGGTTTTTATTCCGTAGTACTAGTAAAAGTGCTATTGAGAAGCATTTCATTGCTGCCTTGATTATTAATCCATATGTTTCCCAAGAGTTTGTCTTTTTTTGCAACCGATTAAATATACTTGTTAACAGATTTATAGTTTTGTGTGCTGATTCAAGTGAATTTATATATTTGTCGTTAATTTTGGCAATACATCCATATTCTCCAACAACCCAAATAGCAAGATTACACAAAATTTCCGGTAGCTTTTCTACTTTATCTTCTAACACATTAATAAAAAGATTTGTGGCTTCAAATCTAAATTCTATATCAATAGTTTCGTCACCTGTAGGTCCTTCTGCAATAATTTGTGCAATATTATATGCTTTTTCAACTGAAACAAGTTTACCAGCAATTTCCAATAGGTTAACAGTTGTTGTCAAATACCAGTTGTAGTTTGGAGCAAATCTTTCACTTAGTGAAACTATATTATTTGATAGCTCTGATCTAAAATAAATATCTGTTGATATTCGTAAATGACTCATTAGTTTTGCAACGACAGTTTCAACATTCTTAGGGTTTGTCATTTGGCAAAGAAGATCTAAAGTTTTACGCCTAAGTGTTTCGTCTGAGTCCTCAAGGCAGTTGACAACGACCATTTGGTGGGGTATTGCGTGGATGGGATTAACAGAGACAATTCTTGAGAGGCAACTTATACCCACTGATCGAAGGTGATTATGATCAGATTGTAAAAATTTCGAAATGGTGTTTGCTGCTAATTCGATCAAATAAAGTGAAGGATGAATAAGTGTTATTGTTCTGATACATGATTGAAGAATTGCGTACGAAATATTTCCTCCATTAGGACTAGCTGAAGTGTTTGGGTTAATAACTGGCATGACAACTGACCCATTGAACATTGGAGTTGCAATTGATAATTCTGCTCTCTTCAATGTTGCTTGAATTATCTCGTATACTTGCTCTGCACAAGATTTCTCTCTAGATGCTACAGAGGCAAATATATCCAAGATATGTACCTGAACCCAAGGTGCTGGGATCCAATGGTAGTCATATTCTCTAGGTATATTGTGATCCAATATTTGCTTTAATGTTGCAACCATAAATGGGATAAGAGGAGTACAAAGCTCTGGATGATTGTGGCTCGCATACTTTACTAAGTGAAGAGCTGCGTTGACAACCGAAATATCTACATCACATACACCTCTTTCTAGTATATCTGGATTATCCGTAATAATTTCTGGCCTTAAAAACAAGAGTTTATAAGTTACCAAGTAAGCTTTTCGCCTTATAGCTGCTATTTGGTGGCCCAGTAATTTAATTACACTAGATTCAATAGACGGTAACATCTCCAAATTAACAAGTCGCGAGAGTGAAGATAGTGCTGCAGACACATCCAACTGATTACGGCTTATTAAGTCACGTTGTAATGTATTTACCAATAAAACAAGAAGTTCATGATTACTATTGAGAAATATACAGCATGCTAAGTAGCCAACACGTTTTGTTAGAGAATTCTTATCATGAGTCATTTTAATTGCATGTATATAAGCAAAAGATGCATCATGACCTAGCATTTCAACATAAATAGCCCTTATTAGGTATTCTCGAAGTTTACTAGAAGATATACCACTTTCTAGAAATTTTGACTGCAAACATTCAGCCTCATTCAATATAATTCTATCTTCCTCTTGTTTTGATCTACATTCTCCAATAGATTTGACAAGCTCAAACAGTTCACGTGATGAATGAGAGCCAACATATTGCATCTTATAATAAGATAAATAATTTTCTCTAGTAAGATACCCTAAACTAAGTTGGTCGAGTATTTGCGGTTCTTTGTGATGGATTAACAACGGCTAATACTGAATTTAAATAGATTACCTAAAATTTTAAACTACACACAAAATAGTAAAGTTACAAAGAGATAATTAGTACTAGTGTAGTAATAAGGTTGTAGTTAAGTTCTTTTGAAAAGAAAATTTAGAATGCAGATAAACATAAGAGATTATTCTGACTTGCAATGTATTTTTGGCGCTAAAATAGCTCATCCCCACATTTTGTGCAATATGAAAGGGGAAATCAAGGGTTCATGCAATGAAAAGCTAAATAATTTAACATAACTTGAAATTTTAGCTGCATAGTTATAATCTATCACAGTGTCATTCTATTTGATAGAGCTCTTTGACTTAGAAGTCAGGCTGTCTCTAGAATTTACCGATACGTGAGTCTTAAAAGTTGCTAAACAAAAAACAAACTCTTTTTGTTCCTAATAATTATGTATATTGAAGAGATTATATTAGATGGTTTTAAGTCCTATCAGAGAAGGACTGTAGTTGGGAAGTTTCATCCTTGCTTCAATGCAATAACAGGTCTTAATGGAAGTGGAAAGTCCAATATCCTAGATTCTATTTGTTTCGTGCTAGGAATAACAAATCTATCTCAGATACGTATTAATAAACTTGAAGAACTTGTATATAAGGCTGGTCAGGCTGGAATCAACAAGGCATCTGTCTCAATTGTATTTAACAATAATAACAAAAGTAACTCTTCACCTCTTTATAAGGACTATGAAAAAATAACTGTTACAAGACAAATTGCTACAGGAGGAAGAAATAGGTATCTTATTAATGGATTAGTTGTAAAGCCATCTGATGTTACTAATTTTTTCCATTCAGTTCAATTAAATGTAAATAGTTCACACTTTCTCATAATGCAAGGACGGATTACGAAGGTTATTAATATGAAACCTAAGGAGTTACTTTCAATGATTGAAGAGGCTGCTGGTACAAGAATGTATGAAGCAAAGCGACTGCAAAGCTTGAAATTAATTGAGAAAAAAGATAGTAAACTAGCAGAAATAAGTCACTTACTGGAAGATGATATAATACCAAAACTGGAGAGGTTAAAAAAGGAAAAGGCTGATTATTTAAAATGGACAAATATAAATGAAGAAATAGAAATGTATGAGCGTATATTAAAGTTACATAAATACCTTCAAATATGTAAGGAAGTTGAGGAAAGTGAAGTTAAGGTTATTGAGATACGGGTACAAAAGGAGAGTTGTGAACAAGAAATAAACATGCTGATTGATAGAATAAACCAATTAGAAAAGGTTGTGCATGAAGAAGAAAATAAAATTGCTTTGGAGTGGTCAAAGCCACTAAAGGAATGTAGGGATAAGATATCTGAAGCCGAATCTAATGTTAGTAAGACCCAACTACAACTTAACGAGATAATGACTGATTTAGGTGAAGAAGAAGCAAATTTAAAGGATATGTTGGTCCAAAAAGCAGAACTTGAAAATAAAGTGCAGAGTTCTGCACAACAATGTGGTAGGTCTCAGTCTGGCAGTTTTGAAGATGTTGACAATGAATTAAATAATTTAAAGGTGAAGTTATCAAATGCAAAACGCAAGCTGCAAGCTTTACAGACTGGCTGTGACATGAGTTTAGATTATAAAGAACAAAAATCATTAAGGCAAGCTCTATTCGATGTTCAAAAGGAACTTTCTGATATAAAAGTAAAGGAAAATAAATTTACACTACTTATTATAGAGAATGAAAAGTCCTTGTCATCACTCAAACTGAAGATTGCAAAAAGGACTAATAATGGTAAGTCTTCGGTAGATAAACTTCGAGATGAATACAAGGAATTACAAAATTCAATTTATAAGTTTGAAGGTGATTTATTGGAATTAAAAAAAGATGCAGAATTGTATGAGAAGTTGAGTCTAGATAAAAAAAAACTTGAAATTGAAAATGACTCCCTTGAACAGCAATTACAACCTTTGGAGATGTTTATTAGGTCATTTCAGTGTATTTACAACGCCGAAAGTAATCCCAAACTAGCAGTTCAAGCACATGCTAATAGTATAGAGTCCTTATTAGATCCATCTATAAAACCTACAAAAACGAGTGTGAAGGGGTGTGTATTTGAATTATTAAAGCTAAGAGATCAAAAGTATGCTACTGCTTTAGAAGTAGCAGCTGGGGGAAGGCTATATAATATGATTGTTGAAACAAGTGAAGATGGAAAACAACTATTGAATAGTGGTTTTCTTAAAAAAAGAACAACATTGATACCTTTAGACAAGATCATTGATCCATCAATATCTAAGAAAACCATAGATGAAGCAAGGAAACTGGCGCAGTGTACTGATGACAACGATCTTAGAGTTATAAGTTCTTTAGATATTCTGGAGTATGACGCAGAATATTCAGCAGCAATTAAATACTGCTTTGGGCATACTTTGATATGTGAAGATGAACAACTTGCAAAATTAATTACGTTTCACCCAAATATAAGTGTCAGAACAGTTACTATGAAAGGTGATATATATGATCCAAGTGGTACTCTATCAGGGGGAACAGTGTCACAATCTCAAAGAAGCATCTTGATATCATTTCAGAAGTATATTGAATTAAAGATACAACTAGTCAAGAATAATTTTTCAATAAATGATATTAAGAAAAAGTTGAGTACAAATTTAGGTAAATCTGCAGATTCATACAGACACTGTCAGAGACAGCTGGATATTAATAAACACCAATTGGCACTATTAGAGGAGAAGCTGTCGAAATATAAGGAAGAGTCTTTTGAAGAAATGATTGATGAGTTAATAAGGCAGAAAGATGATTATCATAAAGAAATAGCGAAGTTAAAGGAGAATCAGAGTACCTTACAAAAAGATGCAGAGCGACTAGAGAATGAGATAAATGTGTTTGAAACAACTAGGGAAGTACGCGAAAATAGTCTGGAAAAGGATATTGAGAAATACAAAGAAGATATCAAGTCATTATCAGCTGTTCATGAAAAATTGAAGAATGAAACATCATCATCACGTATAGAACTTGAAGCAGCTAAGGCAGAAATAAAGCTTATCAATTCTACAGTTGAAATGAAAGAAATTAGTGTAGCTAAATTAAAAGAAAAGACTTTAGAATATGAAAAAATATTGGAGTCTTACAAAGTAGATCTTAAAGAAAAAGAAAAGGTTTTGAAGTCTTTACAAAATGAAATGGAGTCGAGTAGTAGTTGTATAAGGGATACTAAGAATGAGATTAAAAGAGTAAATAAGTTGATATTAAGGAAGGAAGTGGATCTGAAGAAGATTAGCCATGATTTTATGTCAATTAATGATAAATATTCTCATAAATTGAAAGTTAAGGATTCCTTAATTAAGAAGCATGAGTGGCTCCGAAATGGAGTAGAAGACTTATACAATCTTGAGAAGTATCCCTATAATTTGTGTATTCAGAAATTAGAAGAACTAGATAAACTCCAAAATACTTTATCACAAAATATTAATAGGCGTATTTTAAACTTGTATGAAAGAGCTAATTCAGAATGTACAGAATTAATTAATAAGAGAGATATTGTAATGAAGGACAAGGAGAAGATTGCAGATGTAATCAGTGATCTTGATCTTAAGAAAAGACAGGCTATGGAAAATACATGGAGAACTGTGAATACTTCTTTTGGATCGATATTTTCAACATTGTTACCAAATGCAAATGCCGAACTAATTGCAGTAATAAACCCAGAGACAAATAAAGAAGACTTTTATGAGGGACTTGAATTTAGAGTTAGCCTTGGTGGGATCTGGAAAAAAAGTTTGAGTGAATTAAGTGGTGGTCAGAGGTCATTACTAGCATTATCATTAATATTAGCCATGTTAAGATTTAAACCAGCACCTGTTTATATTCTTGATGAAATTGATTCTGCACTAGATTTAGGACATACGCAAAATATTGGTTATATGATTAAAGAACACTTCCCTAATTCTCAATTCATTATTGTATCTCTTAAAGAGGGAATGTTCAATAAGGCAAATGTCTTATTCAGGACTGAATTAGTTCATGGAGTGTCCTCAATACATAGATTCGAGAATTGGGATGGAAATGAAGATGAGAATCAGCCCCCCGAAAAGTTGCATAAAAGAACTACTAAGGAGAAAGAGCTTAGAAATTAGTGAAATTGTTGAACAATCAACTATGGAATCTTATTATATATTGCTATTCTTTACTTAAGATATATTAATAATTTAGACAAATAAGTGCTACTTTGATACCTGCAGGACTATAGGCATTCTAGGCGTATTTAGGTGTAGATGTACTATTCGTTAATATTCAATAGTGGCTACGTTGCTCTTAATCTAGAATTAGGCTGTAACTAAGATTAATAGTTCAAGCAATTTATCTTGTTTCTGATCTTCTACGATTTACATGATTTTACTTGTTTCGGCGCTGATGCTGTAGTAAAAAGTGATATTGCATGCACTTTAATAAATAAAACCTCTTGAATTAATCTAATGATCCCGAATTATCAAAGCAAAGCATTCATAGTAATATAGTAGATGAAAAAAGATAGCTTATACTTTATATTGTAGTGAGAGGATTGTATAATGCCCGAAATATGTTATTTCACATTTTGGAAACTCCACTGGCTATTTTCTACACTTTTTATAGTAAACTTTAATATTATTTTAGGGAAAGTGATCATAACTCAGTTATATGGAGATATTAGTTCATATGGTTATTATTATGCGAAGGCTAAAGTGGGGCACCCAACCTCTCAAACCCAATCATTAATCGTAGATACTGGGAGTTCCTTGCTAGCATTTGCATGTACAAGCTGTTACCAGTGTGGTCGTCATATGCAACCACCATTTAATATATCTAATTCAGGCACTGCAAAGTGGATAAACTGTGAAATTAAACATAAAAATAATTATTATTTCAGCAACAATCCCTTATTAAGATATTGTGAATGCGATAAAGAAAATGGGAAATGTTCATATAAAATTCAATATGAGGAAGGGAGCAGTATATTTGGTCATTATTTTGAAGATTTCATACAATTTGAGCCTCCACTTAGTGAATCTAGTATTCCTATATATAGTAACCCAAATAATAGACTTATAATGGGATGCCATCACAAAGAAGAATCTCTATTTTTATATCAAGCTGCATCAGGAATAATGGGGTTAGCGAATATTCCGCTTCATAAGGGAAATCCCGCCACAATATCAATGATACTTCAAAGTGTAAAGAACCAAAGCATTCAAGTTGAAAAGGTAGTATCTATCTGCCTAGCAAATAAAAAAGGGTTCTTGACGTTTGGTTCTACATATAGCGATATTATAAGGGGTATAAACAATATAAACTATAGAAATAATAATAATAAATATTCTATAGGTAGATGCAAGTATGATCTAAGATACTGTACATATATTGGGAATGTAATAGTAGATGGAATTTCTCTTAATGATACAATCCCATTTGGGAATGGAATAAAAGCAATGCTAGATAGTGGAACTACTGCATCTTTATTCCCAGAGTCAATATATAAATTACTGCATAATGCAATTGCAACAAAAGTTGCCCGCGTACATCCATATATTAAGCCTATGGAAAGAGATGATGGCTTGATATGTTGGTACTTGCAAACAAGTGTAGCACTCAACCACTTTCCAGTAATAAAATTGTCATTTGCAAAAAGTGGAGATACCTTTATTTCCGATGTAGATAAGCATGAATACTTAGAAATTGAATGGTATCCACAATCATATCTCTACTTAAATAAAGAGGAAACGAAGAAGATATACCTTAAAGATGCAGAAAGCAATGGTATTTACTGTCTAGGTATAATGAGGATCTCAGAAAATACTCATGGTTGGAGATCACTTGGAACATTTGTCAATTATCCTGTGGAAAGTACGTCAAATGAGTACAGTAGTGTTGATGTAATGCATCGATCTATAGTTCTAGGAAGCACATTCTTTATTGGTAAAGATATCTCATTTTATTTAGATGAACCAAAAGTAACAATAGAACGATCAGATTGCAATGCAAGCTATGCTGAAGTTCAGAGACTGGCTAGCTATCTAGAAGGAGTGTTATATAGTAATAAAGATGCACCCATGACAATCATATACCCAAGTAAAGAATTGGAAGACGATGGGTCCGATAATATTCAATTTATTAGAAAGACATTCGGAATGACTAAAAAGACACCTAGAGATATATTTCTAATAGTATCATCGACAATTCTTTTATTAATTGGTATAGTTTGTGCATCAATGGCATACTGCTCATTTATTACTTCACTAAGGGCAATTAGGGGGGATGCAACAGCTGCATTATTAGGGAGTGCAAGTGAAGTTACTATTCCTATTCCACCTAGAGCTTCATCATCTAACATAGAAATCGAAGATCCAAATATACAATACAAGAACCAAATTATGAAGATATCACAGCAATATGCCAGTGAAATTAGTAACTCAAGATCACCAGAACTATTAGTACCAGTTTTCCCTATATCAAGTTTCAAAACCAAAGACTTTATATTGGAGCTGTCAATTCGCAATTCAAGTGATTCAGAGGGTAAAAATTATTCAGAATGAAATACTAATCTAACTTATTGAGTGCTTTTTCCGACGTTTAGTTAATTTCGACTTTTCCTCGTGATCACTAGTCGTATTATATGGCTGTTCATTCTCACTAGTTGCTTCATCATCACTTCTAACGTCACCCATATCATTGACATTTTGTACTTTTGTTCTAAAAACCATTCTCATGATCATTATAAACCAGATAATATGTATAAATTGCAGGAATAAAAGTAGACAAGAACAAATAACACTACCGGGTATTATCCAGAGATGGTAACCAGCAGCATTAGTATAAGTTCTAATAATTGGTATAGAGTAAATACAGAAATATGGATATATCATTAATCTAGATATAAACATAATAAGAGTTAGTGAATATAGCATAAAATTGCAGAATGTTGGGAATCTCTCTGCATATTTCGAATATAAGAAACACTTCATTATATGCAAAAATATATCAAGTATATCGTGTATCCAAAGTACAATAATTCCAATTCGGAAGAAGGAAAGAGAGCAACTAATTATTAGCAGTGATAGTGTAGTAATGTGATGGAGTAATAGAATGATGTAGTCTTTCCTAATTGTTTCAAAATTCAGTATTATTAAACAAGACAACCAATATCCGATTTCAATAAAATAATAATGTCTCATCTGGTCACCCATTGGAAATAGTGGCCATCCTGGATTTAGACTAACTGGTTCGCTTGGAGTCGGAACAATGTAATAAATGAATTCGTTTGTCCTAAATATATATTGTACCCAACCTGGCTTATGAGCTGTACCAAATTCAAATTCTGATAAGAGTACATATGTACCAAAAAGAAAGCTGAAAAAGTGCCAGGCAAAGTACCAAAGCATCTCGGCCATTTTTATTTCACTACCTGGTCTTTTTCCAAATGGTCTGCATAACCTTTTAATTGGCGTCATTACATTAAATAGAAGTTTATTATTAGCCCCACAGATAAGAATACGAAGCGATAATAACAAAATACATGATACTATAGAAAGTACAAAGTCACTTTTTCCTATATTTCTATTCACAATATACGCCCGGATTCCTTGATATTCTGGAGTCTCCAACAAATCGAATCTATGCCTAATAGTCATAAGGATATATAACTACTTGTCTGTAAAAATACTTGATTATAAAAGAAATGCTTAGATATAGCTGTTCTCTGCAAGACACAACTATACGGAACTTTTTTAAGATCATCACACACCATTGTTTATGGGCAAAGCATATCTAAAGGCGGTTATGTTTTCTCTATATCCTTTTTAGCGCTATATATTTTTTTATATTAGGCATTACACAACTTAAAGTTATAAAGCAACTAATTTAAATAGGAACCTTGACAGTTTATGTATTATGTTTTGTGATTTAGGAGTTTAAATCTATATACCTCGTGTAATATTTAGATGTTGCTAAGATTGGTTGATTATATGTCAGGAAGTGTCGTCTCAAGAAGGGATGGAGATAAGAGAATTAAGGCTATTATTGTAGCCATTATATCTTCTATAATATTTACAATATTTCTGATACTTAGGCATAAAATGGTTCTGAGGAGGTCATATGAGGAACAGAAGCTAACTTTATTTAGTGAAAGTGCATTTTACTACTCATTTTATGAGGATATAATAAATTCACCAACAATATATGATGGAATATACAGACTTTTAAAAGATAATAGGAGTGAATACCCAGATATTATAAATGCATTGTCTAGATTCAATATATCTCAGGAACTACTTTTAGGGATTATCTATCGTTTATTATATGGAGACTCAGGTGTTGCTAAGCATTGGTCCTATAAACCACTCTCGCCATTTAACTTCTACTATTATGTAGTCCATATTTTAATGGGGCTAGGAATTGGGATCTTATGTGGTTTTTGTACATATATTACTAATTCTTATTTGGCTGGTTTTTCTTCCTTGGGTTTCCTCTTTGCGAATTTTCAAGAGCGTTTGCTAATGAGGTTATCAAGTATTCCTTTACGTGAAAATTTTGGCTTACCTTTTGTCTGGGGAACTGTATGTGTTTGGTCTTATATCCTAGATCGCAATATATATGAAAGAAATTACAATGGTAGAAAGTCATGGATATTAATGTGGCTTTGCAGTGTTTTGCTAATACAAACATGGCAATTTTCAGTATTTATACTATCAACTCAACTCGCTTCCACATTTGCTACATATATCTTAGGATATCCGATATATAATTTACTTATACGCCTAATAATATGTCATTTACTATCACTTTTTACCGGCATTGCACTACAGTTCGGTTCGTACTATCTTTTAATGTCTCCTTTACTGCAAGTTGGACTAGCTATACTTGCTAGTGTTTTAGTTCCAATGATGATTAGGAAAAGGTTTGGGAGTATTCCACATAATTTTATTAGAAGTGAGAGTTTTTCGGCAAAGTGGTCATTTGTTAAATTAATTGTAGCAATATTTGTATTTACTGGGGTTAGATTGGCCATTGTCCCATTTGCAGTTCATGATAGTCATGTTTCTGATATACTTAAATCTACTTTTTCTAATAATCAACATACTTTTGATTCAATGATATATAGAATGGGTGGATCTGAATTTTCTTGGGTAACAATACAACAGTTAAAGATGATACACAGGTCCGGATTATTTTATATATTCTTTGCATCACTTTTGACTATTATAATTACTATTTTCTCTGATATATATAAAATTTACTTACTTCAGAAGTACTTTGTTGAAACCTCAAAAATGAACCAAGTTGAAGTATTAGCATTGTCATCTGATCCTGACAAAATAACATCCATATCTATCTCTAACACATCTGAAATACCCATGAAATCTTCAGATACGGAGAAATCCGATGTTAATACAATTATGGATAGCTTACCTTCTCCATCTTCTATTTTATCTGACTGGAAAAGTTGCGATGATATAGATGAGAATATAGAAAATGAAAGTGAGAAGGAAAGAGAAGATGAAGTTTTATTGAAAAATATAGAACCAATTAAGCAAGTTGAATTAAGCGAAGACAAAAAAACTGAACTAAATATAAGTAAAGATCTAAGTTTTGTACTTAACTCATGTTTGGCTTATCATCTTTTTCAGGTCTGTTGTTTTTGTTTCCTTGGAATGATAATATCTAGATTGCGTGTTTTGGCATTACCATATATGTCTGTAATAGCAGGATTTCTAGCATCAAAGCAGTATATTGAGTATTTTTGTAGCATAATTGGAAATTTTGGAAATATTTACTGCAATATACCTAAAAACATAGAATATATTGAAACTGTTACAAATACTCAGGAAGAATCTAAGGACAAATTTCAATATGGTCAACAATATAAATCACTTTTTAAGAAGTTTATTTTACTTTTATCAACTACTTTTATACTATCATATTCATGGAAGCGTTGGCCAATCGAAGAATTGAGAGCAATACTTCATAGTGAAGATAATGCCACATCTTCTAAAAGTAGACTTGTTTCATGGCTTAATACAAATATTCCTTCTAATTCATCTATTGCGTCTGATATGACTATAGGTGCTTCTATAAGACTTATGACGGATTTTAATATTGTATTACACCCTCAATATGAGGATCCAAAGATTAGAAAGAGAACACAGTTTATGTATTGGCTGACAGGTTGTGCACCAATTAAAGATATTTATGATATATTGTGGGAAGAGTACAAGACAAATTACATAGTAACTCAAATTTACCGTTGTTCTTCTCCTTCAAACGCACCTCATATAATTAATGCATTTGATGTCGCAAGTTACCTGGATAATAATGAATATAGATGCAAAGGAAATATTGTGCCCTTTCAACGTGGGTGTTGGAGGATACAATTAGATAACTATCAAAAGTACTTTAAAATGATTTATAGGAACAGCGACTATACAGTATTTGAAAGAAGAAATGAGGCAGATCCATTTGTGTTAATGTCTAGAAGAAGCAATATATTAACACCTCCTCATTTGTTCCCTTACAAAAGAAAACTTTTGGACTGGGAAGAAAGCTGGAAACCTTGGATAAAAAATTACTGCCAAGCTAATGATAATTATTGTGCAATGAATATTGTAGACTATGCAAGGAATATCTTGGATATATATGGTATTAAGGAAGTAACCGATTTACTCTATAAAAATGCAATTGAATTATACCCAGAAAATCCATATGTGCTCCATCACTATGCAGAGTATATGGACTTTGATCTAGGAAAAAGTCCTCAAGAAGTTATAATCTATTATATGAAAGCTTTAGAGCTTAGTAAACCTAATGACTTAAAAATATTAATGGATGTTGTACTCTTTATTGATCAGTCATTTGGAAGGAGCAAATCACTTGAAAAGATTCTAAAGCTTATATTGGAGAATAACTCAATAAAATCTCTTGTATCTTTAGATATTAGTGAAATTGATTCATATTTATCACGAAATAAGATTATTGATCTTTCAAGAAATAAATCTTTTCAAGAATTTGTATATTCGGTATGTATGGTTGCATCTTTTCTTAAAGCATTAATTATAAGTAGTGAACTAGAAATGTATCAAACTAGCCATAATATTTGGCAAGCTATTGTTACATGTAATGTTCTATGGGACTTGTCTTTATCCTTAGATCCCAATAACAGATGTGTTCTTCAGTATTGGGAATTATTCAACAACAAAAAGAGATCTACAATGGATGATATTTACTACTTCTTATTTGGCTAATAAACTTAAGGGAACTAGGATTATAGATTCATTAACTTCTCAATGTCATTTACAAGAAATAATATAATAGATACTTGATTTAATTGTGAATTTCTACTAGAATAAGGGGAAACTTCATCTGAATCTAATTTTTGTTCCAAAATATTCAAATATTTTACAGTTAAATCCAGTTTCTTAGATATCTTGATTTCATCTTCAAGGCAACGTACAATTTCTATTATTACGGCACTTTTATTAGTTCCTTCAACCCTGAGATTTTTCTTTAGTAAAAGAATAAGTTTTATCAAGTTTAAAACAATAAGAGCACAATCTATTGAATCAACAAAGTCATGGTACTCTGTTATACTAGACTTGAATAAAAAATCAAAAAATAGAGCTAAGTATTTTTTAAGTAATGAAACTTGTTCTGCTAATTTATCTGATGTTAAGAGCAGCTTTTCTTCAGAATCTAATATATTAGTTAACTGTTTCCACCACAATAATTTCAACTTTGACAATATTCCAACTATTAGAGCTGATGATAAAGGCGAAGAAATCTTGTATTCACTCATAATATCAAAGTAAAGTTTAAAGACAATATTCCATGGATATGAATGAGTCAAAGTATTTGTAAATATATCAAAAATATAAGAATATAAATTTTCATTCATAGTAAATTTTGCATCTAGACTTCTATTAAAATCTTGATTAATACAATACTTTGTTTGGATATCCTTTATATTTGGTAAATTATATCTTGATCTTGTCAAAGAGAGTAATATTTGCTTAATAACAATATTTGGATGCCAATCACAGCCATTAATTGTTGTAAACATATCCGGATATTGTACAGAGCATTCAATGAGAATGGGTGCACTATCAATAATCCAATAATATGCTCTTTCTTGAAGTCTTTCATATATTTCTGAAAGTACTAGATTTGTACACTGAATAAGTTTTTCTCTTTGTATATACATAGAAAAATATGATAGTATAGGATCATTTATATTTAAATGAAAATCTTCAGGTTTTCTACTTTTTATTTGAATGTCATTTATTTTATTACCTGGGTCACTATATGTTAAGAAAATTGATATACTTCTATAAATGATATTCAATCTCAAAGGTAGAGAAATAAGAATAACAGGGCATATATTTTGGAGAAGCTTAGGCTTTGATTTAGTTAAAATCACAAATATGGAATATGCCAAACAAGCTAGTGTCATTGGGGTCACATCCAAATCTCCTGGCTGTGTTTTAGTGTCAAATATACAAATAGGCATATTCCTTAATGTTACCAATATTGTAACTGGTGCTATTTGACTTATATTTAGGCACAATTGGTAAATATCATCCATCCAATCATGTTTTATTTGGCACTTACATCTAAATTTGTTCTTAGCAAAATTGGCATTTGGATACTCGCAGTCTTGCAAGTCAAAAACAGACTTTAAGGAGTTTTTACTTAAAGGGTCAGACAAAATATTTAAATGATGCATAGATTTACTCAAATATGACTCAATTAATTCATCTTCTGCCATTTGTTTGTAATCACTAACTCCAATACTGATATCCTTAATATCAAGTAAAATTACAACTTCCAAAATACGACAAAGGAATGCATAAATTGTACTTTGCGTTACACTCTGACTGCTAACATTGATGCAAGATCCAGTATCATGTTGTCCTTTATATTCGGCATCATATTCAGAGTTTTCCAAACAACTATTGAGAATTTTTATTACGTGACTAACTATGTAATGGATGCATGTCATTCTCATAGTCACACAACTCTTAAAACTATTCAAATCATCATTATTTAAACATACACATTTTGATATTGTGCATTCTGTATCACAAATTAATCTTCTCAAAGCTAAAGAACAAACTGTAGTTACAAACTGTGCTCTATTTCTTTTCATTCTTGCAATACAGTGTAATGCGCATGATAAACCTAGAAATCGATAAAATTTTTGCAATCTATCTCGATCACTTGTTAGAAAAAGACTTTCATTGTCTCTGAACTCTTTAGGATGCTTATCTGCCTCAATTGATGCTGGTAAACTTACAGTACCTAGAATTACTTCTACAAATATTATATACCCTTCCTTTGGAGAGCATTTCCTAGCTATATTTGTCGCTAAGTCAGTCAAATTTCTCCAAAATAAGCCCCTAAATAAATATATGTCATCTTTTAATCCCAGAAAAGGGTCTTCAATAGGTACATTGCATTCATTCGGAAATTCTATGACTTTAAAGCTTTTTGAAATGATAATGGATAAAATGTCTGGGTAAACATGAGACATGTGGCTAGAAATCACGTCTTCAGAAGATATAACTTTCAATAGATACTCGCAAAGTTTATTAATTTTAATCAGGATATCTTTTGATGTTTCATACTCTTTTATTAAAAGCCATTCTAAAATAGATTTGTACAAGTCATCAGGACAAATTTTCGTCCTTTTCCCCTCACTTATGAAGCACTCCAAGATATCAGGTACATATAAATGATCCATTAAAGATGATCGTACTTGATTTCAGCAAGTCCAATTACTTTATATTTCAAAAGCTATCCAGTTGTTGATTTAAAGGGATCTCCAAGGTTTGTCACAATTCCAGGCGCTGACATATTTAATGTCCTCCAATGCAGTTCTACGCATAGATCCTCTTAAGTCTAAAGCTTGGTTTTATGGAAACTTAGCATATTTATATAAGTAATATATTAAACTATTTGCCTAAAATCTAAAAATATTTTATGAAATATTAATTCTCTTTTTCACTAAATTTCTATATTGAAGCTTTCTCAGATTGACCTATCAGTTTGACATACCAACATTATTTGTTAGGTACCTTTCATTATTATAATAGATAGCTATAAAAAGTGCAATATATTTTTAATTTAAAAACTGTATATTAAATAATAGAGTAAAGCATATTTGATTATAATCAAAGATATTTTATCAAATTTATATATATTAAAAAGTATTTCGTACTTTAAACTATAATAGTACAAATACTACATATCTTCAATAATTATTGAATTTATTAGGTTACTTTTAAATATTTTGAAAATCAGATAGTTTGTGGTTTTCTTTATATTATTAACAGGAAAAATGATGATGATGAAAAGTTAGAATAGAAAGTTCAAGGTTCAGAAAATATCCACTCCAGCTAGAAGATTATCTTGAACAGATCTTTATACTTTGATCATAAAATACTTTAAAGGTATCTTGAATACCTGAATCCTTTCCCGAAGTTAGACTCTTATTTATTCAAGTATTTAAAATACTTATTTCAATAAACTCGTAAGTTTTTAGGTAAAACTACTATTAGTAACTCAATGAGTTGTTATTTTGTTTGTCCTAGAAGTTCATATATCCCAAATTCTATATTTTCACTAGTCCTTTCCTCTTAACTTGTTTAATAGTATGTTGCATAATTTGAGTTCCTTTTTCCAGTAGTAAAAATCCTATATTACCTTGTTTAAGTCCATAACAATTTTATGTACTTAATTTAAGATACTTTAGAAAAAAGGTATGATGCTAATACAATTATTTAAAGTATTTAATTTTTTAATAATTTTTGGGATTTAAAGTTTATTATTATTATTAAGAAGTCAGTATAATCGCTTGTATATATCAGTTTATTGTTAAAATATACTGATTCAGCTACTTTTACTGATAAGGTGGATACAGAGTTATATGAATGAGTTATTTTTAGATTTAATAATAGTATTAGTAGTTTGTTGAACAAGAAAAGTTCCGATATTTTTGTGATAAATATGCATTATTTGAAACTCATATAATACAATATACTTTTCCCGGTTTAAGGTATTGTACTAATATAATAAAAAGATAGTGTTATTTTGCTCTATAATAGTGTAAATCTGTAAAAAATTATGCTTTATTGGTAGTTCTTTTGTAAAATATACATATTATATTTTTCAAGTTATTTATATTCTCAAGGTTAGCCTTGCTTCCAATATAATAATATTTAGCCATTTAAAAAAACTAAATATATGTCTTTTAAATATTATGAACCATATATTAACTAAACAGTTCAACTTCTGAGTTGGAAATTTCAGTGTTATGTAGGTATTTCTTACTTAACCCTGGTAGTGGAGGAAATTCAATCCGGGGTTAACCCCCCCCCCCCCCCCCTCCCACTAAGTGATTATTAGATGTATTATATTACCTTTAAAATATACTTTAATAAATGGTTTATCAAGAACGTATTTATAAAGAAAATATTTGCTTGTTTAATAAAAGGCCAGTTATATTAGGTATTGATGAAGCAGGACGAGGACCTGTCCTTGGGCCTATGGTCTTTGCTTGCTTCTACTATCCAACTGAAAATGAAAAGCTTCTCAAGTTAATGAATATTGATGGTATGTAATTCAATAATATCTCTTTATAGTTTTTAGTAAGAACTATTTAGCTCACTTTTAACTATATGTGTTATAAAGATTCTAAAAAGCTAACTGAAAACAGCCGTGAAAAAATTAACAAGGATATACGAAATAATAAAAACCAATTTGGATGGGGAATATATATATTATTACCACAATATCTAAGCTGCCAAATGTTGAAAAAGTCAGTTTCTTTAAAGAAATATTATTAGTTGAAGTATTTATGTATTCTCCCGTTATTTCAGACAAAAGTACAACTTAAATGAAATATCTCATACAGCTGCAATAAGTAAGTTCATTATTATCTGAATACTAAGATCGTTTATACTTACTCAATTTTCTTTCTAAAGATTTAATAAAATCGGTTTTGCAGCATGGAGTTAATGTAACACACATATATATAGATACAGTTGGACCACCAGAGAGTTATAAGAAAAAACTAAAACTCTTGTTTCCTTCAATAAATATTACGGTGAGTTATTATCTACATTTCAGTAGTAATACAACTATTAAGTTATGAATTAGAGTTCTATTTCCGATAATATCGCTCAACTAATTTCCTTTAAATAGGTCATAATAAAATTATAGTAATGTTTTTGCTAAATTGGAATTTTTTACAATTAGTTTATATACTATAAATAGAAACAATTATTATCGTCATTTGTAGGTAACTCCAAAAGCTGATTCTTTGTATCCTTGTGTTAGTGGAGCATCTATACTTGCCAAAGTTGAAAGGGATCACTTTTTATCTAACTGGTGGTCATTTCCAGGACACGATAGATATGATCATAATGGAAATAACCTAAGTATATATGAACAAGGAAGTGGATATCCAGGGGATCCAAAAACTAAGCAATTTCTTAAACAAATTTTTCATAAAGTATTCGGTTTCCCAAATATTGTACGATTCTCTTGGTCTACTGCTGATCAAATAATTGAGAAAGAGGGGGTTAGGGTAAAGTGGACCCTAGATGAGGATAATTCAGAACAATCAAAAATATCTTTTTCAACTAATAAAGGTAAGCTCTTCTCTCAGTATGAAATTTTTAATAATAAGGCTTAATTTTTTTTTTTTTTTTTAAGAAAAAGAAACGATAGACTTAACAAGAAAGAAAAGGAGAATAGATTGTACTGGATCCAATTCTAAACTATTGCAAATGCACAGTATAAGGCCTGCTCCACTCATATTTTAATATAAACTCTTTAATGTCGCTATTTTATCATATAGAGAAAACTTTTGTTTTAAATCCACTATTCAGCTATGAACAGTGCAACTAGTGAGAAATTCTGTGGTGCCATGTGTTATCATTTATGTTTTATAATATTATAAATGGTTACTATCCAAACATCTTTTCTAGATCTCATTAGTTTTAGTGGAATTTAACATATTGTCTAGAAGGTTGATAAAATAGTTTCAGTATAAAATAGGCTTTTTTCTTCAAAGTAATAATATATAATAGTATATATGAGCGGTAATAATTGTATGTGGCTAGTTATCTAAAATCACAGCACCTGAGGAGGTATAAAAAGTACGGACTCATAATATACTTATAAAGGTATATCTCACGGAAAAATTACAAATTTGGTGTGTGCATAGCATATTTTGCTGGATAGATTAACTCTATTAATAATATCACTAGATTTAATTTTGTCTTTATGATGAGACGGCGTACAACCTCAAAGTCTCAGACTTTACCGAAAAACTCTATATTAGATGAACAACAAACTTTAGAGAAGTCCTATGGAATACCATCTAATGTTGCACTCCCAAATAATTTAAATACTCTGAAGAGCTCAAAGGACGTTAGGTCTAGTTTGACAAATGCTAAAATAATACAGACACACTCAAGTAAAACTAGTAACTCAGAAAATAAAGTCATAATAAATGAAGATAATGAAACTGGGATTTTCTCACCAACTAAGAGGCCTAGAACTCGCAGATTAGTTAAGAGTCTTGAGAAAACAAGGAAGCAAATTGGAACTCTAATAGATAATAGCAAAGGAGAATCAAGTATTAGTCAGTCTAAATCACTACTCTTAGAGACTGATACAGAATCTGAAAAACCTACACCACATATATCTCAGTTTAGTAATACAAAAATATTGGTAAAAGAAGGAGATACAAATACAGCAGGTGAAGTTTCTAAATATATTGAATCATCAGTATTAAATTTTCAAAATACAGACTCTTTACCATCAACAGCTCCTGAATCAACTGTATCATCTCCTATTAAGACTTGTAAATTTAAAGAACAGCAACTCTCAATCTTAAATCAGAGAACTAAGATCTCCGATTTAGTAAAGTTTGGGTACAATCAAATTACCATACCTGATCACTTATTACAAGATCCATTATTTCTCAATAAGATGCAAAACTTCTTTTTACCTACGGAATACGAACGTCTGATAATGATATTTCATGGATTAGAGGTAATTATGCGTTTATTGGAGAGACGCCAAAGGCCATTTCTATATCCATGTTTTATTAAAGATCAGGCTGAGAGAGTAATTCATAAATCTATTGGAATGAAGGATCTTCGTCAAATATCATGGATTGCACCTTGTATGATGTCATTAAGATGGTATAGGATAAATGAGAATTCTCGCATAATTTCTGATGATTCATCACAGAGTTGTTACCAAATAGAATTAGTTCCCTGTAATGGTATTAATAATCCAATATCCCGATTATCTCAAGTTACGATTAATGAAAGGGTAAACAAATTTCGATTAACTTTGATACAGTGGGTTCTTTATCAACATGATGAATACTTATATAATAATAAAGCAATTAAAGTTCCTATTTTTCCCTTGGAAAAGCTAGACCACTGGAGTTTTGAATTTGATAATAAAACTTGTATTCCAATACCAGAAATTAAGATGCCAGAAAAACCTGAAATGTCCTGTAAGAATTCTAATGGAATTAGTACTATTAAATTTTCTCAAAGTTTGACACCTAGTACTAGGAGTCTTTATAGACTTAGATTTATGAGCAACTTGTCTCCTATTGGTGAAACAACACCCACTTCAGATAAATTAACTCAGAGAAGATCTATATCTTTAGATCCGACAATTAACTCAAATATACTCAAATCTGATAATGAATCAAAAGAGGAAACATCAAATAATAAAGAAGATATATATTCAACCCCAATAAGAAGAAGAAATTCATTAAATGATTCTGAAGAGCTAAATATAACTCAAAAGTTGCAAGACTCACAAAACTTATATGAAAGACCTAATTATACTTTTAGATCTATACCACGAACTGCACCATCAACTCCAATACGTTTTAGCTCTGCATCCTCATATCTCGAACGCTCTATATCCCCATCTATAAATTCCCAAAGCTCAGCCCACTCAAGATTATCATCATCTAGTTTGAACCAAGTAAAAGATCGAAACTTAATGACACCTTCTAGAAGAGCATTATATGATTGTGTTAAATTAAGAGAACAAGCTCGTGAAGTCTGTAAACTGGTGTCAAATGAAGATCAACAATTTAATGATAAAATAAGAAATTTAGAGTCACAATTATGGACTATACAGCAACTATCATATTTGTATAGTCACAACAAAACGATCATGCCAATTTTGCAAATGCCTTTACTAATCCGTAAATTAACAAGTTCTGCTAGAAATACTCCCTCTATTAAGGATGTTGAAGAAGCTTTATTTGTTATATCAAATAGATGGCCAGAAGTTGTACACTTAGGAAACTCTTTGGTAGATGAAGGTGTAAAATTAGTGAAATTTCAGCGAGATGATATATCTGTCAAATCAATCATTAAAGTTTTAACTCAAGAACGTGAAAATATAATTAAGGAACGTGAAGATTTTCGTTTGAGAACACTCAATGCATATACAAAATAATAACTTAAAAATTAAATTTTTTAACTAAATAATTAGAGTTTTAAATAAAAAAAATATTATGTATTTGGCATTCCTAATGAAGGATGAGATATGATTCTTAACATATTCGGTTTAGCATGAGCTTGCAAAACTTTTATCTTAGATTTTATAACTTCAATGCGCTTTGCATTAATAGCTGATCTATTATATAGGTCACGATAGAGTGTATAAATATAACAGGCTACAGGATCATTAGCCTTATAGTTATTAATTAATCTTCTCGAATTACTTATTGGAGGAACAAAACTAGCTGTCTTTGGATTGTCTTGAAGTATAGACAAGCTATCTTCTACATTATTAAGCCTATTTTGAACATCCTGACAACTTTTTGAGATACAATCAAGCATCTCACCCATTTGATTAAATGGTAAACGTCCTTTGTGAATATTATTAACTGTCGCTAAATCTTTTAAATCGAGACCTATTAAGTTTTCCTTAATATTGAAGTTACCATCTAGTATTCCTGCACTTTTCTCACCTTTATTGATTGAAGACGTCTCTATTCGTAATTTTTGCATATTTGGAGTTTGGGCTAGCCCATGGAAATCAAGGAAATCTTCTTTATCAACTGGTGTTAAACCTGGTTTTGGACGTCCCATTTTATCCCTATTTGAAAAGACTGTTGGTGGTATTGGATCTGAAGGACCTGGTAGATCATCCAATAGTGGAGCCTCTCTTGGCCGATGGAAAATATCAAGTCCTCTACTATCTGTAGTTACCGTTATATTTGAAAGTATATTTTTGTGATACTTATTAGTTGAAATATACTCTTTAGATTGTCTATAACTTCTTAAGGCTTCAATCTTCGACTCAATGCTACTCTCTGCAGGAATATATAAAGTCCTATAGTATTTTAATAGATTTGTCTTAAGATCTGTAATTGTATTCCCAATATCTGAGATATTTTTGATATGAGGCCATTGTTCTTCTGCAGAACTATAGTTAGGTAGTGGGGGTTCATCACCATCTTGAAATGTCCTATACATTGAAGGTTGTTTGGGTAGTACTTTCTGATCTAAAACTTTTGGGGATACAGGCGATGCCTGTTTCATCGTTTTTATATCTTTAACTATAGCTATATCACTTATAGGATATTCTGACTGTTTTTTTACTGCAAGTTTAACCTTCTCCATTCCAATGACTTATGCATAGTTTTTCGGATTAACCAAACCCAATAATATCAGATCTGAAGGGTGCATGGGTGAAATGGCGGGATATTGGGTATCGGGACCTTTTGTGAGTAATGATAGTTAACTAACTACTATAGGAAGTGGTTACACATACTACTTATCAATAATATAAAACATTATTCTCAACTATGCAACAGTTTACTAAAATAAATGTCATGAGTAATTTTTTTTTTCTATGGAAATATATACTATTCTGCTAAATATTCTTCACTAACTCTTAAAATATCACTTCAAGGCACAATCTTTAGGAGGCTTAATTATATGTATAGATACTAGGACTCTTTTTGAATTAGTCATAAAATGTTTCCCGCTGTTTCTGGAATGTTTGAAGTATTCTTCTAGACTCATATATATTACTGTGGGAATTCAAGATAGTATCATCATGTATATAAATATATAAGAAGATAGTGTTTATATATCCTAAACAAATGATCTTTCTTTAATTCTTATTCCTTATAAGTATATATACTAATATTAGCAATAATTTTTAGGCTCACAATAAATTAGGTAATACAATAACATTGAATGCGCCAATGTTAGATAATATGCGCTAACAATATATGAACCGCCTTATTGTAATTATTAGACAGCAAGAAGAATTAGAACTAGCCTAAATAGTATTAGCTAATCTGTTAGTAGACTATACATTACTGTCTTTTGGTCTACTTTGACATTGTGGTGTTAATACTTCTTAAATATTTCCCTATAAATACATAGCTAGAATTTAGACCTATTTATATTTAATATATTAATTTATATATTTGCCAATGAGTAGCAACGAGGCAAATGAAGAACCGTGTTTTAATCCAAAGGCATACCCCTTGGCTAGCCCAGATTTAAACAATCGTATTATTAATATTGTACAACAGGCCTGTAATTATAAACAATTACGAAAAGGTGCTAATGAAGCTACAAAGGCCTTAAATAGAGGGGTAGCAGAGATCATAGTGTTGGCAGCAGATGCAGAGCCATTGGAAATATTGCTTCACTTACCTTTAGTTTGTGAAGATAAAAATACACCATATGTTTTTGTACGCTCAAAAGTAGCTTTAGGTCGTGCATGTGGTGTTTCAAGACCAGTTATAGCTGCTGCCATCACATCTAAAGAAGCATCTGGTTTAACATCTCAAATTGCAGAGCTGAAGAGTCAAATAGAACAGATTTTAGTTTAAAAAGATAAAGTAGTTAAGACAATGAAGTTACTAAAATTTGAATTTTATCTCTCCATCTATAATTATCCTAATTCTTATATTTGATTAATACCCTACCTTATATAATATTAAGCCTACTTCAAATATATAAGGATAGCAAATTTAGGTTTGCCCACTTTCAAATTTGTCTTGCCCTAATTCTTTGTATTGATAAATTTATTAAATCTATTTGAGTTCTACAGTATAATAAAACTCTATTCCCCCAATCAGAAAACCAAAATGGGGGTATGACTATACCAGATTTGTATTTATTCAATTCATCTAAACGCACTTTATAAGGTTCTAGTATATCACCTAAAATATCCTCTATAGTAGTATAACATTCATCAATATTATTCGCTCCTTTTTTTTTACACCTTAAACTAAAATATTTCTGTTTATCCCACTTTTTTAAATCAGTAATTGGATCACTAGAAGTTATAATATTTACGCATTTTATCAATAGCTCAATGTTTGTTAATTTTGGATAGGCAAAGCTTGCAAATATATGATCTGTAGGAATATTGCAATGATTTAGTACAAGCATTTTTATTTTGTACAAAGGATCGTCTTGATCAGGTTCCAAATTTAATGTTAAAGTATCGAAAAATCCTAAATATGGAGTATCCGATACAAAACCATAACCGTACAAAGACTCTGCACTTGACAAAACTCCATAAGATATATAGATCTGAGAACTTTTTGGAATATCTATTTCATTTTTTATTACAAGTACTCCAGACTCACGATCTATGACTGGAAATGAACATGGAGCTAAATGATGATGGTTAAACATATCTGCTATTGGAATAATGCAACGAATATGACCTGTAGGTATTGGCAAGGCAAATCTACTATACTTTTTATTCTCATTAAATCCAAAGTCACCTATTCTCATATATATAACTTTAGTTGGAATTTGTTTATTTTCATTGTCATAGTTTAGACTTATCTCCAATTCACTAGACTCTTCAAATTCATAATAATTATTGTTCAGCGGATACCACTGAATACTGAATGAACGTGTATCTAGAATATATTTAGCATAGATCAAGTTAGACCAACTAAATATATTGATATAATTTAAACTTGAAAATAAACTAATTATATTATGCTTTGGGAAATTTACTTGTTCTTTTTTACCTAAATTATCTGATAGTTTCCTTAGCCCTATATTTTCTATAAATCTACAACTTTTATTTATAATATTCATTAAAAAGTGGGTATGTTTCAATAAACTATATAGTTTATCAATATTATCTTGAATTCTACTTTCAAAATTATTGCTATTTTGAGATATAAACTTTATAACTTCCTTAGGTGCCATAAAGAGGTTCTGATTTCTAGCTTGTTTAGGGTCTGGCCAGTTGTTAATAATAAATTTCCAAGGTGATTTATTACCAATATAAATTTGGTACGCAACAAACAATAATAGTACTGAATCAGGTTCTATAGGCTCGTATAAAATATCATTTCTTAAAATATCAATTTCTTCAAAGATACATTGTAATTGCTTTAAATACCCACTAGGATTGGACAAAAAACGTGCTATAGGACCAAAATCAGTAGAATATAGAGCTGTATAAAATGAAAGAATAAGTGGTAGTGATATTTTAACAAGTTCACTGTTGGCATTGATATAATCAGTAGAAATTATACTCTTCCCATATTTTGGATGTACACTAATTCCAATGTTATTGGTTACAATACATTGGTTTAAAGTGTCATCTCTTGTAGAAAAACTCAATTTCATTTCATCAATTATATTTGAATCAATAAAAAATTCATCCTGAATAGTTTCAATTGACTGTCGGCATAAAAATTCTAGTGAAGTAGTAACTACCTTGAGACAAGTATTTACTAATAGTCTGTAATTCTCAAAAGCTAATTCCAAAGTATCTCCTGTAGCTACATTATTTAATTCATTTCTTAAAATATGACTTAACTGAATTAATATACGTCTCATTATTACCGGATTCATCAATGGTAAATTTAATGATTGTTCACTATAATATTTTAATGAATGTACATCCTGTGGAATATCATCTTTCAAGTTCATTTCATTTACTTCATCAATATCAAATGCCATTGCTAAATATATATCCTGTTCGGTTAAAGATGCTACATAGAATGATTTTATCAAATTAGCTGTACGGTGAAAATAAATACAAGTACTATTTAATATGTTATCTCGAGAAAAAACTTCATCCTTTATACACAAAATTACTCTTGGACCTTGCAAATTCCATCTCTGCAATAGCCTTCTTCTATTTTCAACTAAAGATTCCGATGCATCAATTTCTATTGGAATATCTATAATTAAGTCCATCGATAAAGAGTTAGTTATCCAGAAAACCAATGAAAATAAAAGTATTGAGGACGCGCTCTTTATATTATCCAAGTGTCATCCAGAAATAAAGAATAGAGATTAGTAGGAAACCTTCATACTAAAACTTACAATAAAAGCTCAAGACAACTCAATCATTTTACATGCTTGATATACTCATTAATAACTCATTATTGTTATCTTCCACAGCAAGTAGATAATATACTAGAAAATGTACTATTGTCATTTGTTTCACAGAGTTGTATATTTTGATGAGCTATTCTTGGGACTGCTCCACTTTGACTCTTTTTTTCTAACAATCTTTTAGCTATTCTGATGAAGCAATCTTCAACATTTGTAGAATTTTTAGCACTAGCTTCAATAAAGTCAATACCCAATTCACTTGACTTCTTCTCACCTTGACTTTGTTCTATAGCTCTCTGTGCTACTAGATCACATTTGTTACCAACCAATATTTTACTTGAATCAGTGGTATATCTATCAACCTCACTAATCCAATCATCTATATGATCAAAGGAGCTTTGCAATGTAGTATCATATACTAGTACAACACCATCTGCACCACGATAATATGCAGAAGTTATAGTCCGAAAACGTTCTTGGCCAGCTGTATCCCATATTTGTAACTTAATGATTTTGTCATCAATTTTAACAGTTCTAAATCGGAAATCTACACCAATTGTAGTAATATAGCTATCAGTAAAAGAGTCATCCTAAAGAAAAAAGAAAATTCATAAATTGGGTTATTAAAGAAAAAGATTAAAGTATTATTTTAGTTTTATATAAGTAAATAGGTATAATTTAATCCCAAAGAGTTAGATTAAATATAATCTCCAAGTTAGCTGCCTAATACTTGCACTTTATTTGAAACCAAATAAGTAAAATCAACTTACCGCAAATCTTAGTAATAAACAAGATTTGCCAACTCCACTATCACCAATTAATACCAATTTAAAGAGATAGTCACTAAAGAAAAGAATCAAAATCGAAATTTAAAAGCCTACATGCTTCAGATTTCCAAAAATGAGAAGTGTACCAGTATTAACTCACTATTCCTTTTGATGCATAGATACCATTATTACTTTAGAACTTTATTTCCACAATAAATATACGAAGTTCTCTCACTTAATAACAATAAAACAAATTTAAAACTTTTTTTTGATCATAAATTCATATTTTAGGGGGGGGGGGGGTAAGCGGCCTCTTTTATCATTTGACTAGTAGTCTAACTTAATATTGCCTACGTGGGACGTTAGATGTATACCGTTGTTGCATGCGCCATCAATCAAAGAATTAGTGACGGTCAAAGAAAGATAAAAAAGACTACATTTAGAAATAAAAAGGTACAAGATATGAACAGATATAATACAAGCAGAGTTATAATAGCTCTGTTCACATTTTATTGGTCCTTCATACCCTGTGATGGATTGACAAACAAGGTAAAAAGTGAAATTTCCGCTAAAGTAGCCCTTGAAGCAGCTTTAAATAATAATTTATTTTATTCAAATGCCCCGAAAGTTGAATTACATATTAATGATACTTTATATAATAGTGGGAAACACTTCGATACTGGAATAATATCTCGTTGGCTAACACACAATAAGTATTTTAAAGATGGTGATACGCAGACATTAGAAAACTTTCAAAATAGTCAATACTTTGGTAAAATACAGATTGGAACACCTCCTAAAGAATTTGTAGTAATATTTGATACAGGAAGCTCAAGTTTATGGATTCCTAGTGTAGAATGCCGGAATGCAGGATGCAACCCGCATAGTAAATTTGATCCAGCCAGGAGTAGTACATTTAGTAAATTAGGTGATGATCCAATTGAAACTTTTATTCAATATGGAACAGGATCTTGTATAATAAGATATGGTAAGGAAACTATTCGTGTAGGACATTTAACAGTTAATGACCAACCTTTTGGGATGGCAATAGAGGAAAGTATAGAACCATTTGCAGATTTACCCTTTGATGGATTAGTTGGTCTTGGATTCCCTGATAATAGTAAGATAATATCATTTTCGTCTATTGTAGATAATATTAAACATCAAGGAATCCTTAATAGAAATATATTTAGTGTCTATATACCTCGAGATAAAAATTCACCTGGATCAATATCATTTGGGGGAGCAGATCCAAAATTTATAGACTCGGAGGATAAAATAACTTGGCACAAGGTTTTAACAACAGATTATTGGGAGATAGAAATCGTTGATATAAAGATAGGTAGAAAAAGTGTTGGAAATTGTAAGCCAAATGGTTGTAAGGCAGTTATTGATACAGGTTCATCTGTATCCACGGTTCCAAGTAACTTCATGAATATATTAGCAAGTGAAATACCTATGCAATCCAGCTGTAATAATTACTATAATAGTCCTAGCATCACATTTTTGATGCGAGATATAAATGACCAACTAATAGAAATGAAAATGGAACCTCAGGATTATGTTATAGATGAGGGAATTAAACAAGTTGAGTCTATAGGTGAATTTTTGTCGAGTTTACAAGAACACATTTGTAGTGTCGGATTTATAACATTGGATATTCCACCACCACGTGGGCCCCTTTTTGTTCTTGGAAATAATTTTATTAGGAAATATTACTCAATATTTGATAGAGATAATTTATATATTGGGTTTGCCCGTGCTAAACACAGTAGTAGTGGGCCTCTATTCCTGTCACTTTCATCAAGTCCGGCAATAAATTCCCATTCTTATCATATAAATAATTTCATTATGGTATTAGCATTGATTTTAGTAATTATATATACATAAATAAACCTATTCAAATATAAAAGATCAACTCGAATGTTAAATTGAATTCTGAATAAGAAATAAAATTTTGAGTACACATTAATTAGACCTAGAATTTCTGAAATCCAAATGGTCAACTTTATTTCAGTAAATTAAGTCAAATTCCCAGTTTCTACTTTAAATTATATTATTACAGATAATTTAATATTAAGAATCAGATTGAACCATTGGCTGAATTTGAAACCTTGATATAAGTTGGGGAATACCACCACATGCTATACCAAATATATTAGGATCAAGATCAAATAAAGGTAAACTTTTTAATACATGATATTTAGGTAATTTAAATAGAACCTTAGGTGGCAATAAAACCTGGTAAATGCGAATAAGCTCCTTTGGACGAGTAGAATGGGGTGGTAAATATGGTAAAGGAGAATAATTAAATTCCGTTCTCCACCAAGATCCCAAATATTCTCCAACTTCAGCAGTGTTGTTTTCAGTTGAATTTGAATCAGTAAAAAACAAAGACTTCAAAAATGATACTAATACAGTTCTTGGATTTTCCCAAGCTCTATATAAACAATTTGGTAGCATCCATTCACTCGTCAAATCACTTTGTAATAGCACTACATGTGGACATAAATATCTATGAGTTAAAATTAAAGCTGCAACACTACGCCCAATACCATCTCTTAAAAAGCTGTCTACCTTTTTATTAAACCCATTCATATTTGCTATAGAATCCTCCATCAAATTCTCTGAGGGATTATCATCAACTCTAATTCCATAGTTTTCTAAAGGATAGATTAGCCATGTAGGCTCATGATCAATATTTTGCGGACATTCTTCTACTTCATTTGTGGTCTCATTTACTAAGTTGGAATCTTCAAATTCGTTTAACATTAAACAATCCTAAATTTGCCTACTTTCAATTGATCTACTAAATATCTTCAATTTTTAAAAAGATTATCCTCGTAGATAATATTGGGAATTTATCCCTTACTGTATTTGCTACTTTGGAAAATTACCGGTACTGACAGATTAAATTAGGCGGTATTATAATTTGTTATGAGTTAAAATCTCCAAATATTAGATGTTTGTAATTTTTTCTACTTAATTAAATAGCAATTCTTATAAATCTTCATTATGATTTCTAAAATATTAATTATTATCCTATATCAATATTTTGGGTACATAAGCCCATATAAGTACATAATGAAACCTACATATCTTTTTACAACTAAAAAAGAAAAAAGTCGTAATATCTAGTATATACATTTTTTTTAAAAATTTATATTAGAACCAGATAATAAGTTTTAGAAGTTGAAAAATATATCTGCTACTTGTTAATAATTCTCAAATTAGAATATATAAGATATTACAGAAAAGCTGTAAATCTTAAAGTACTAAAGAAAGGGAAATTACTTAATAAGACATCTTCATTACCTCAATTAATAATATAATTTAAATAATTACCATTTTAAAAATTTATATATTTTGATATAGCAAGTTTAATTTAAAAAATTCTAATATTTAACCCTTTATATTATTGCATATCTAAAATAACTGATTAAATTTATTAAGTATAAAGTCTTTTTTTAAGTATTTTAAAATATCCTAAAATTAAGAAATATAAAAATGACTTATTTACTTATTTAATTCATTAGAATAAGGATTACAACAATATATTCTTAATACTAAATATATGAAATGTAGTTTACACACTATGGCTGTATTATTCTAACATGAATTTAATGATATATTACTGTATTAATGTAATTTATCAAGTAAAAAATATATACTATTTAGTTATATTTAATGAAGTAGATAAAGTAGGTTCTTGCTTTACATTAGTAATTGCATTGCAACATTTCATTGAAAAGTATAAAGAAATAAAATATATAACTTTAGTTCATATAAAACTACATTATCAATCTTTAACTTAACTTTTGTATTGAAGTTTAAATTTAATATAATAATAAGTAGTACTTGCAATTTTATTTCTAAGATTTCACTATTAGTTATTTATATATTTTTAATACAAATATTAAATTCGCAATAAAAAGCTATAAATTAGATTAATAATCATAGATAATCCAAGGTACTAAAAATAATATTAATAAATAACTAAATTTTGTAAATGTAATAATGATTTTAATCTAATCCATTGTAGCAGCTAAAATAGCTGCTCCTTTTCCAGATCCATCATCAGCTTCATAAAATTGAATAAATTGTGAAACTTGTTCTCCAAGTATTAAATTCAAATTTTCCTTTGTGTAATTTTGAAACTTTGGTACTCTTGTCCATACAGAACCATCAACTGCCACAGTTATCCCATTTTGAAAGTTTTCTATTTTTTTTATAAGAGCAGCAATTACAGTAGCTACAAGTCCTGCAGCACGTTTTAATACAAATATTGCCATCGTCTTAATTGTATTACATGAAGAAGTATCTAATATTACATTATATTTACTCTTAATAAATCTTTGTATCTTATCAATATTTATTGAAGTATTATCCTCATCAAAAGATGCTATATTAGCAATATCCTCAGTAGTTATAATTTTACTTTGAAAAAATATACTTGGAGCTTTATCCTGTAAAACTCTAATAAATAATAAACGACATAATTCCCCTAGATATGTACCACTAATCATTTTTTCAAATTGTTGATCTCCACGATTATCACTAAACCAATCTAACACTAGATCACAATCAGTTATTGGTAAGTTGGAACAAGTAAAATCACCACATTCTGTATTTATAATAACACCCTTATAGCCATAAAAAAGTGACATTGGTTCTATATAACAAGCATTTATCCCAGTTCCTATAACAATCCCAATTACTGGATTACTAGTTAATTGTCTCGGTGTACTATTATTGCTATAACTTGACATATTATTACCAACCATATTACTATTTAAGTCATACATAGCTGATAATAAAGTACCTACAGTATCATTTATAATACATTTACAATGAGCTGGTATTTTATTTCTATTAAATGCAGAATTTAGTAAATTCCCAACATCATATCCTTCAACTGGCTCTAAAGTTGCCCTGCCTGTTTCTATTCCTTTAGTCCATGATATTAAGTGAGCATTTGCTATACTTAATTGTGTTGTTGGAAATGAAAATGTGAAGGCTACAGAGAAATAATTAGATTGATATTTTAAATCCTTTTCATGATATTTTTGGAGTTGATTTTCATTATTCTTATTTAGATTAGTGGAAAGTGGTTTCGTTATTATTTTACTATTAAAAGTTGTATATGCTTCATTATTATCTCTAAATTCTAAAATTCTTTCATTTATATCTCCACAAGATACTAAGAAATCATAAAAAAAATTTGAAATTGCATCGAACATATCAGTTGCACTTGCTAATTTGTCTAAAATACTAAATGACTGTATATCTGAATTAAAAAATAAATTATCACCAGTCTCAATATTTATATTGTTCTCTATTGCCTTATGCTTACTTATTCTTAAATCATTTAATGCCATTTTTTTATATGTAACAAAACTTTCTCCATTTCCTCTTAGCTCAACACGAACACATCTTAAGTTTGTTCCACCCATATCAATAGCATAGTGAATTCCTTGTTCCTTTCCACTAGGTAAATTAAAAATACAAGAATCAAGAACTTTTAATGGCTTTTGGATACAAATATTAGCTGATGTTATTCCATTATGGCTCTCAAGTCCACATATAAGTGAATTTAAAAAATCCTCTACAAGATCTTGTAACTTAGCCTTAGATAAACAAAAGTAAGGTCTATATAATTCAATCCACTCATCACTACTCCTATACTTTCTGACTTCCATATTTATTTTAAGATATAGAATTTTATAAAAAGTCTACTCATTTCTTTACGTCCTAAGATGCATAACACCAATGGGACTACCTAGTACCTCGGTGGCGGCAAACTCAGATAACATATCCAAGAATTAAATAAAATACTAAAAATTAGATCATTCTAGGGAAATCTAGTCACACTCTACTTTTCATAATAAATATTAAATATTTCATTGACATTCTAAAGTAGTCAAGTAAATAATTACTATACCTAAGTTATGATTATAATTATTAGATTATAATTATTATGGAACTATCCATAATCCCCATAAATGATACACTTAGAAATGTCAAATACAATTAAAAACAATTCAACAAACCACTTACTACAATCTCAACTATCTTGAAATAACTCAATGTGATTTAGAATGTATAAAAACTGCTAGATCAACAAGTCTATGTGCATACCCAGATTCATTATCATACCATGAAATTAGTTTTACAAATTTATCATTCAGGCTGATACAAGCTAACTTATCGAAAATTGAAGAGAATTTTGAACCAATAAAGTCAGTTGACACTACCTCTTCTTCAGTATAACCCATAATACCCTTCATATAACCATTAGAAGCATCCTTAACAGCTCGGAAAATATCATCTATTGTAGCAGATTTAGATAATCTACATGTAAGATCAACAACAGATACATCTGGAGTTGGTACACGGATAGACATACCCGTCAGTTTACCATTTAAAGTTGGAATAACTTTACCAACAGCTTTAGCAGCCCCAGTAGTAGCAGGAATTATATTATTTCCAGAACATCTGCCAGCTCGCCAATCTTTTCCTCCTTTACTAGGACCATCTACAGTTAATTGATTAGCTGTAAGTGAATGTACAGTTGTCATTAAGCCCTCCTCAATTCCAAAGTTATCATTAACAATTTTAGCTAATGGAGCTAGACAATTTGTAGTACATGAAGCATTAGATATGATATGATGAGTTGATGGATCATAACTATCGTGATTTACACCCATAACAAACATTGGGATATTATCTTTTGGAGGAGCTGAAATAATAACTTTCTTTGCACCACCATTTAGATGACTCTCTGATTTCTCATGAGTTGTAAATACACCAGTAGATTCACATACTATATGGACTCCAACTTTACCCCATGGAATTTGGGATGGGTCCTTTTCATGAAAAACACTAATCTTACATCCATTCACAATTAAATGTGAATCAGTTGCTTCGACTGAACCCTTAAAATTACCATGTACTGAGTCATATCGTAATAAATAAGCCATATATGTACAGTCCATAAAAGGATCATTTATTGCTAAAACTTTAATATCACTCCTCTCACAACAAGCACGTAATACTAAACGTCCAATACGACCAAAACCATTAATACCTAATGTTGCAGTCATTATATACAATATAATATATTATTATTAAAATACTTCGTAAAAAAAAAAAAAAGTGAAAAAAGTAACTAGTACTTACAGAAATTGCAAATTAAATTGTTTGATAATGTGGACAAATTATATTTGATACATGATTAGATACGTATTATTATAGTACATGATAAAACAGTAATACCCGTAAAAGAGATTCATTTCTCCCCCCCCTTTTTATGGGCGCTAGATTTTGCTACATATTCTAATATTTAATAATCTAAAAAATATAGCTATATTAATATCAAAAACGCGCCATACATGAAAACTCTATTAATGGTAAGTTTCTGAAATAAACATTATACTAGGTAGAGTATACAATTCTTTTATTTCTACTTTTATACTTTTGTCTATTCCCTTTCCACTACTTCCCAACTAATCAGTTATTATCTTTAATAGCAACTGATAATATTACTGATTACTCTTCAATAATATAATATCTCCTGATCCTTTTTAGTATCTAGAGGAAAATGAGATTTGGAATTATTCATAATTTGCTACTAAATATAGGTATCCAATGATCTAATATATCATACTATAAAATTATTTATTTGCAAGTGCAGAGAAAAGTAGGAATAGTATGAACTTGTAGATATCTACAATATTGTATCTACAGTCTACTAGTTCTTATATTATTGAATTGCTTATAACTAAGGTAACACTGTATATAGGATTATTAAGTTGAATATTTTCAACAACTTTTCTTATACTATATCCTATAATCATACAACCTAATTTCCATCTTTCAAATAATAATATTATCTTATTAGTAATAATCCATCTCTGTATATTAGAATTCTGCTTATTAGGTGGATAATTATCTTTCAATAATATTTCATATTCACTTTCTTCTAATACAAATATATTGGGATTTTCATCATGAAACCAGACATATTTACTAGTACTCCCATATATTGGATTGTTTAATTCATTGTAGTGCTGGAATATACCTAAAGATGTTAAATTACTATCTTGTGAGAAATCCTGAAACCATATAAGAAATTCTTTAGTAGCTAAACATAATAAAATTTCATAATAAATTATAAGCCAAATAATATTATTGGGAAGATATTTCATTCAGTCTGATAATAAAACTTGTAAAAATATATTATATCGTCTATTATTGCATATATATTAACTATAATAAGTTCTTATGAGCCGTTAATATAAGGAAATGTGGAAGAAGTTTTTTCAATAATATAAAGTATTATATCTAGATTCTTATTGATGAAATCATATTTAGCGGCGTCATTTAACTTTAATACAATGAGTGGCCAAACTAAATTTAGGTTTACTACTATTATATGAAATGATGTCAAAAAAAAGAAAATAAGAAAAAAGAAAAAGTACTTTCATTTATTTTAAAATAGTTTAAGTAAATAGTTACTTAGTAATCAACTTGATTAGTCAATATTACAATTCAAATCTTATGAATATGATAAGAAGGGACTTTTCCTTATGATACTATTACTCAATAGTATATCCAACATACTAATTAAGCTGATCTCCTCTTTTAAGTCACGCCTGTCTTGATTGAATTCTACTAAAATCTTCAGTAATATATAGTGAATGTAATTGCCTTATATATGTTGATGCCTGTTTTGATAAATAAAAATAATAGAGTAGAAATAATGTTGATAAAAGCATATTTAATGTTAATCCAGTATAAAATATTACACTCCAAAAACCATGAGTAAAATATAAACAAAAACTATCGCATATAGCCCAACCAAATGTAATAACTGCCATAAATAAAGGGAAATATATTGTTGTTGTTGTAGCTTCATAAAGTGAAGGTGAATCTACAGGTGGTTCTCTGGAGAACATTAAACTTAATGTACCGATTAATGGGTATGATATTCCCATACGAATAGTTGTAGTAAATATCATACATGAACTCCATGTTATCATAAATACAGCATAAAAGTCATTACCATAATTTGAGAGGAATAATGATGACGCAAATAATTGAGGTATATCTTCTAATATATGCATAATCAAAGTATATGTTAAATTAACCCTTTCAAGCATGTACAATTTTTCTGGTCTCTCTTCTCCTACAATACGGATCTGGCTATAAACATGAAAAGGAGAAAATAGATATTTTTTATCTAAACCATCTATTCGATGATAAAATATATATGCACGAGCTAAATACGCTGACCAACTTGTAAAATATGTAGCTAATAAACACATAAATGATATCCATCCCATGTCTTGACTCGTTTTATGAATTTTATTAGTTGTAAGTATTGTTTTTAGTACTTTAATTATAAAAAATAAATTGTTAATTAAATGGAATTGTTTCATTAATTCCCATAATGTTAATTGTGCCTGTTTCCCACGTATTGTATCCCTTTCTCTAATACTATATATCAAATTAAACATATAACAGCATAAAGTTGTACATATTTCATCATTTTTAACATTTTCTTCTATGACTGTTGATAAAGAAATATTGTTATTCAAATTTTGTTCATTTCCTTCATCCTCAATATATTTTTCAGTATATTTTTGACTAATCAAAGATTCCAAACGAGGTATGAAAGGTCTTTGCTGATTATTCCTATAAATATAAAAAGAATAGTTTTATGTTCATCATGAAGAATAGTAAAATTATAAATTGCACTATTTTTATATCTTGTATAATAATTATTGCTATATGATTATACTTACCATTCTTCTTCAGTCATCTCTCCAATTTCCGAGAATCTCATAGAATTCAAACCTTCAGATAGTCTTGGAGAAAATTTATCTTCAAGTCCTATATGAATTAAGTTATGAGTGTTTTCATCACTTAAATTTTCATACAAGAAACAAGCCTGGTCTATTGAATCCTGGCGCATCCAGTCATTGGAATTTAATATATGCTCATTTGGTTTCATATATTCGCAAATATACTAAATTATTACAATCTATTAGTTATCCAATCTTTAAGGGAAATCTTGACTCTTCCTTTGAAATATTGAATCCTATTAAGGATATACTTAGCACACTGTGTGTACATATACCGCCTTTATGTCAATTTTGAAGTGTCTAGCACCACATACCAAGAATTTCCCTTTCAATAGTGTTTACTAAAGTAATTAAGAAATTTTTTCTTACTAAATAGAGCTACGAAATTATTAATATAATTTACATGAGTAGTGGTATATAAATGTAATTATTTACCATGTATTAACATTAATATAAATTTAATGTTGTGTGGTCTCTCAGAATATATATATATATATATATTATTAAGAATATGAATATTCCAATTTTTGTAATACTAAATAGTAGCTATAATAATTAATCTAGATCAAAATTAAGATTTCTATGTTTATCAGAACGTATTCCAAAAGCAAGTAAGGATGGATCAATTTTCTGGCCTTGTTTCTTTTTACCTTGTTTTTTCCGATTGTTATTATTATTAACAGGCTGTGTTTGAGATGTGTCCTGATTTTTTACTTGGGGAGTTTCTATCAATGAAACTTCATGAGATCTTTGACTGGATTGATTTAAGTTCCAACCAGTCTTTTGTTTAAGTTTAATATCAGTAGAATTATTGAGTTGATATATATGTGTCTCATTTTGATCATGGAAATCCCAAAATCCCGGTTGTTTTTGTTTATTTTGTTGTAATGGTTGAAATTCTAAATTTTGTGTATTAATTTTAGCACCCCATCCTTGCCAATTACTTTTTCGTCCTACAACTAGTCCAGTATTTGTAATACCGCTATTTAGATTATCACCAACATTAATTTCTAATTTAAGTTGAATTGGCCTATTGGAAATTTTCCAATGTCTACCCGTTTTTTCTACATTTAATGTGGATTTAGATTTTTTTTCATTAAGAATTTCTGTTTCTAGTGCTGTTTTCTCCTCTTCCTCTTTTAAAATTTGTTTGAAAGAAGTACAACTAATTTCTTTTTCATTAAGTGTATTCGACTTTTTCCATGCATGTTTAGATTCTGATTCAGTTTGTTCAAGTAATTTCAGTACTTGACTTTTTAATTTCAAAGGTTCATGATGTGGTGATTTTATTAATTTTGATGATTGTTCATTATCTGATTGATGCGAAATTTCACATGACTTTATTTGTGTATCAGACAATTTATTGTTACTATTATCATTTAAAATATCTACTATATAATTTTGATCTCCACTATCATTACAATTATGATGAGTTACTTCATGTACATCTCTAATTTTTAAAGGTTGTTCATATATATCTTCAGTTTTTTTTAAATTGAAATCACCTGCTGTAGTGTTTCTAGATAAATAAGAATTTGAAACATCTGCACTAGCTAAGCCCAAAGTTTTATTTGTACATTGGTTATAGAAATCTTTTGTTTTATCAATTTCGATAATACTTTTTGGTGGTGCTGTAAAAGGTATAATACCTAAAGAAAAGAATTCGGAGAATGAACGCCATACTTGTTCATTAGTAGTGCACATCTTTAATTCATCAGTGAAAAAATTATCTTTCCACAAATTATGCATTTGATTAGAAGTAAATGGACCATGAATAATATTATTTAGGTCCTTATATAACCAAATAGGAATGTTTAAAAAGTCAGAATTATTCGGAAGTAAATTCAAAGTTTCAGAACAATTCATATATTGCAAATCATTGTTTAATATTAAAGATGAGTAAGATTGTGACAATACATTCAGCATATTTTGTTCTTTAAGACTTGGTTCTTTTGAGTACTGTATAGGTGATGAATGAGTACTACTCAAATAATCTCCACTTTGACAAATATATTCAATTTTATTAATACTTTTAAATTTATCATATGATGGTTTTATATCAATATTATGTATAATTTTATCGTGAGAAAGGTTTTGGCGTGTATATATGCTGGATTTATCAGATTTTTCAACACTCAATGTTTCAAATTTTTGAATATCACTTTTCATTATATGTATATCTGGTTTTATTATAGTGTTTTTGTGTACATCATTTCGCTCTTTTTCAAGTGTAACTTTACCTGACTCTTGCAAATTCATATTTAAACCATTATATTCACTTCTTTCTAAATTTAATAACTTAAAATCACTGGAATTTCTAATATTATCACTTAAAGAAATGTCCTTTATCAAATAATTTACTTCACCTTCAACATCGTGTTCGGACTGGATTTGTGAAATAATCTTTTTGTGGTGTTCAAGATTCACTTCACATATACCTTGCTTTCTTCTCCATGAAAGTGAATAATGAGGCCTTATCTGTCCATTGAGGTTGTTCTTGTATGGTAATTTATTTGGCTCGTTTAATTTCTCAATATCTGTTCCCATATTTCTAATGTAAATTTTGGGACTAGTTGAGGCAAGATACTGAGATTTTCCAGAGTTACAATGAAGGTATTTATGTTTATTTACACTTTTTAGTAAGAATAGAGTCCTTGGTGTTTTTAGTGGCTTGTAATACCTCAATAAAGTCTCTATAGAATAAATTCTATTAGTTGATTTCTCAAAACCATATGAGTAATTTAATATTTCCTTATTTATTTCCGAGATATCCTCAAGACTAAATGACATAGTATGCAGTAATTTGTTGCTAAATTTAATTTTCCTTATTTAGTTTGGATTTGGTATTTTTGCAACTAGTATTAGGGAAAAAGGTACTGGTTTCCCGGTACCGGAATTTCTATATTGTCCAAAATAACCGCTTTAATCAATTTTATTACAAATAAGCAGTATATTATGAGCATGGGAACTTTTAAAGATCTAAGGAAATATTAGAAGTAGCTTCACAGTATATTAAGTGCTAATATAATCTAAACTATACGCATGCATGTAATTGAGTACCGGTAATAAGACTCTTTGTAAACTTATCAGCATCCAAATGTTTACAAACCCTTCTAAATTCTGTTATAAAAATTGGAAGAATATATCTATCAGTTAATTATAGATTTACAAGTCTTATAAACTATTTCAAATATGTGGAATATTATAGAAAAAGATCAGTTACCTGAGAGCATAGTAACAGGACCTAGAAATTTAGGCTCTACATACTACTACGAAGACCAAATTTGTGTGTTTAGACTATGGGGTGAGCATATAAAAAAGTGTTGGGTTTCTAATGACATTGGTAAATTATATGAAATGGAGCCTGATTTAGAGAAGAATATATATGTTGTTTTTATTACTGGCGTAAAAGAAGGAGAAAGTTACCACTATATTATAGAATCCACAAATGGTGAGCAAGTACATAGAAGAGATCCATATGCAAGATTTGCAGATTATAATAGTGATAAGTGTTTTATAATAAATAGTACGAAATATAGAGAAGATATCGCTAAAAATAGAAATTATAACTTTGATAAGAGCTCATTAATAATCTATGAACTACATGTAGAAAGTTTTATTGCAAGATATTCTGAAGATATGAAAGACAAAGAAATAACTAACAAAAGTTACTTTCATCAAATCGCAGATTATGGATTACCCTATATATCTCAATTGGGATTCAACTGTATAGAATTAATGCCAATAATGGAATACTGTGGTGAATGGGGATACAATCCGCGATTACTGATGTGCATACACAGCATGCTTGGATCAATTGATGATTTCTGTTATTTAGTAGAAAAATGTCATAAAAATAATGTCACAATAATAATTGATATAGTATTGCATCATGGTGCCTCAAAAATGAATTCACTTTGGAATTACGATGGTTACTCCCATAAAGGTGGGATATACTTTGAAAATGGAGGTGATACTGGATGGGGTGCAAAGTTTTCTTTTAATAAAAAGGAGGTCAGAGATATGCTATATGAAGCATGTAATGTGTTGCTAGGAGAATATGGTGTTGATGGTTTGCGATTTGATAGTGTACACAACCTTCCATATAATATACTTAAAGAACTTATCAGTAAGTTACGACAAAAATATCCATATGCATATTTAATTGCAGAAGTAGTTCCTGAGAATCCCCAATATGTGCACAATTGTGGGTTTGATTCATGTTGGATACATTCTTCATACTATGATATACTAGATTTAAAACGAGGTTTTAAGACTCAGCAAGAGTGGAACAAAGGGCTTTGTAAATCTATCATACAAGGACATAGTAGTTTCAATAAATCTTCTCAAAGTATTTTAACCATGCTTGGCAATCATGATCAAATAGGTAATAGAGTAAATGGACATATCCCACATGGGGATGATAGAATTGGGAGATATCTAATTGATCAATTTGGGGGGAGACTGAATTGGGATGCTAGAGCGTATTGTAGGATGTTATACTCTATACAATGTATTTCATTTGGAATACCAATGATATTTATGGGTACTGAAAATAATCAATGCGAATGGTGGGCACCCAAAGAAAAAAATCACTGTTTTAACTGGTCAGTTATAAAATTACAAGATCAAATATCTAAGGAAATGAGAGATATGATTCAATCAATTAATAAAATTAAAATTGATATGAAAGACATATTTTGTTCAGAAACTCATAATTTTCTCGATTTCAAGGTTAATCCTAGTTTCTTGGTAACATCATTCGTTAGATATGGAAATAAACGAGCATGTTTATGTATAATAAACATGGATAGTAAGGAGTGGCTAAATAAAGAATATGTTATCAAAATCTCCAAACAAAATACTGCTAATTTTTATGGAGATAAATTAATGCAAATATACAATTCCCAGGATTCAAGATTTGGTGGATGGGATACTAGTTATACACAACCTATCAATACAATTATATATTGCAATAACAGTCACTCAGAATCTACAATTGAATTTCTACTTAATATTCCAAAATATTCTGTCACAATATATGAACTTATTAAATAAATTCAATTCACAAATTACTCTATAAAGCCAATTAGTGTAATCGAAATTGTTCAAGATCAAAATAAGAAAGTGTAACAAGCAAACAAAATTGTACACCAATACGAAGTATATTGGAAAAACTAAAATTTATACACCTAACTTTTTCTTGGAAATTAGAATTACATTGACTGAATTGTTTTGTCTCTATTTATTACAAGAGGGTCAAATTTTATAAGTATAGTGGTGCTATAGTTGTTTGGAGAATCTTCTGTTGTGTGTGCACTGACGTTTGCAGGAAATTCAGCACTTTCTAATATTCCTTGAACAACTCCTGCTGCATAGGCACCACAATTAATATGTTCAAGGTCCTAATAATAAAAAAAAAGATTTTTGTAAGATCCAAAATGAAGTATGAGAAATTATGTACTAACCCTTGGTACAGAGATGAACTTATTGAGTAGCAAATTTTTATCATTAATCATATCTAAAGAACTAATAGTATATAAAATTACAACTTAAAATATTCCAACTTACATTCATCATCTGATTCTTGACCCTTGAGAAGATCGCTAGTATGGCCAAAAAGATATTTCCAACACTTTTGTGATATAAAAGATAAAATTTGAAGTATCTTGGTTTCACGCTTTTGATTAGCCTTTTCTCTAATGGCTACTAGCTCAATGACTTTATATCCAACTGACATACCCATTTCATGTAATCTAAAGACATTTTAATAGTAAAATAATAAGGTGAGTATCTACTTGGTTATAAATAAAAGACAATTAATATTATACAAGACAAAGTTTACCTATCCTCAAGTCTTATTCCAGGTTTTAAGTATATTAGGGAGTATTGCACTATTTCAGAAAATAGAAATGCAAAAGAACTAATATTGACCTAAAAGTATAAAATTAAGAAGATTGCCACCATTCAATTAAATAGAAGAAATATTTCAATATTGTACCTCAGAAGCAGATTTCATAATATTTCTGTCCAATGGCTGACTTAATCCTTTTTTATTGGACTTCTCTATTCGTAACATTTCTATTTACTTTTAATTGTTTATAAATAGTTGTTAGAAGAACTCACTGAAGGAAAAAAGGAAAATATACTTTGTAACTAGCTAGCTTTGTCAGGGACTGGTAATGAGGTACAAACCGGCAAATTTACAACTCAGTTTAGTAGTAATTGAAGAGTACATATTATATACCTTAAACTTTCTTAATCTGTGAATAATAGAAGATATTATTTTATGGAAATGAGTTCCAATATATCTTCATTATACTTTAAGGTTTATATTTAAAAATCTAACTTTTATTTCAAAATGTAATAACAAAATCTACTTTAAAATATATTGACTATTATTAGAATCAGTAATCAGATATTTATTCTTTACCATTTACATCTTTATTCATTCTCAGAAATTTAGAAATAAATATTAAAAATTTATATGGAGTAGTAAACTATTATACCATATTGCTTTTAGCCTGCTACAATAAATAGGATTAGTATTGTTATTAAATATAAAAATATGCCAAACCTGCCATATTTTGACGAATAATTGCTTTGGGAACTTGATGATTTCTCTTTATTAGGATTTTTTGTAAATGACCACCTTTTCTTCTGTAGTGAAGATGTAAATGTATAAAAGTCATCTTCATTACCTACATTACTGTTATATGGTATTTCTATGATTACCTGCTTCATTTCAAATTCAGGGTAGTTCCCCATTATATCAGGTTGGTATTTGTCCAATAACAATGGAATATCATCATCATTATCATCATAATTCTCATTTTGTAAAACCTTTTTAAAGTCTTCTTCTAATGTATAATTTTCCTCATTTATATTCTTAGTACTTTCAGATAATCCTTCAGTTTTATTAACTTCATTATTATCATTAAAGTTTGGGACAATTTCAACCTTTCCAAGGTATTGGAAATTTGTGTCTTCATCAACAAATATTTCCTCCACATTTGTACTCTGTGGTATATCCTCTATATTAATTACTTTTGCAGCAAAATTGCGTTTCGTTTGATTGTTATAGTATTGTACTAAAGTTATATTTGATTCCTCACCAGCTTGGGGAAAATATACTCTAATATATTTATTTTCAACATTTGTTGAGTCTGTTAAATTAACATCTTCGGGGGGTATATACGGAATATAATTTGTTGATACTAAATTGAACTTATCTGTACTATTTAAAAGTTTATCATTATCTTGAGCCATAGTGGATGATCTTAAATTTTCTTCTCTTTGTTTTTTATTGAAGCCCAAATTCTTAGTATTACAATAATGGCTAAGTGTTGCAAGTGAGCAGTTTATCAGTTTGAACTGACATGCAATCCTAAATTTTGCATTATCTATAAATCTCATTGGTCTGAAGCTGAAACTAAGTAGCCCTGAATCTACATCATTCACTTTAAATCCAACCTCTCTCATTGGGCAACCATTTTCCAAGATTGTTATTGGGATACATCTGGGATTTTTATAACTGTATGTTAAGTTATCTTCACATATTGATTTCCAAACTTGACACTTTTCCGGCCAACTTGTTAAGCACTTTAGTGTCTCAGACTGTTTATTTTTAATATTTAAAATAGATGACAAAATTGGATATGAATCATTTGAAATGTTAAATGGCAAATAAGATACTACTAACTTTCTTAATGATGATCCATATTGGCTAATAGGTAACAATCCCCCATTATTTGGGGATGGTGTATGTGCGCTATTGTAAGTATTTGGATAATTACTTTGATATGAATGCTGGTACTGTTGATATTGTTGATTTTGCAACATGTTAGCAACGGCATTTTGGCTAATGGCTGGTATTTGTGTTATTAGTTCTATATCGGATCCAGGTCTCTGAGCTACCTGTGAAATCAATTCACCTAACCCATTAACAGTTGGATTAGGATCATTTCCAACTGCTTCAACCCATGCAAGTGCCTGTGCAACACCAGTAGATAGTTGTTCACCTTCTACCTTATGATTTAATGCTGTTTGTACTGCTTGCACAGAGTACTCCCATGTTCCTGAACCATGGATACTCTTATCTCTTTTATTTAATTTACATTCACACAAAGCATTATTCATTTCTTTTGAGGGCATTCTGAGTGTATTTTGAAAAATTAAATGTTCACTTGTTTCGATAATAACCATGCCACAATTTCCAGATGATCCTGACAAACTATTGTCATATAGTGAAGTGGTAGCACAAAACATGTCAGTTTTAGATACGTAAATTGCCTCGCAAGATGGATCATTAACACGAATAAAACTTGGTGCTTTTTTACGCCATCCTTTTGCCGATTTTTGTGGTACACAACATTGCATACCTTCCGAAGTGCAGATTACATGTGGTAGTCCCACTCCAGGTGGAGGTAATACACTTTGCTTTTCAATGGCACTACTAGGTCTTAGTGCACCTTTTTGATCAAGAAATCCAGAGTTATATAGAGATATGCTAGTTTGTATTAAGTCATTTAGTGGAAAACGCGATAAGAATCCACCCATGCTTCTTACTGCGGATGCAGATAAGGTCAGTACTCCTGGCCACTCTTCATTTCGCAAGCTATTACTACCTTTTTCATATTGTATATTTTTGTTTATATTATTAATACCATTAATTAGCCGTTCTTCCATTGCCTCTGCATATGCAATACTTGCCGATACAGGACAACCAATTGTACCTGACTGGAAATTATGTAAACTAACTGAACCTTGCTTATCTGGCATTAAGATACATGTCCCAGTGATTTTAGTTGGAGTTTTTAAAAATGCACCATATGAGTAAAATCTACATTCAGAGTATTACTACATGCTAAAATACATTGTTCAATATTATCTACTGGAAGAACCATTTCCATTGGACTGTAATATCTTGTTTCCTCTTCGTAACACAGTGACTTTGGAGGAATTTTATTTATATAGTCAAATTCACTATCATTGTAGCTGATTTCATGGTCTGCAACTTTATTACTCATCTCTATGAATTTTGAAACTTCTGCAGCGTTAGGAGGATCCAGTACAACTCCAAGTATCTCAGGGCCATAATTACGTGATTCATATAGAATATCATCTTCGGAGTAATTCATTTTCAAATTATACTTATCTATAGATTTTTTTGAGTTATCATCACTATAGCTAATTGAATTATAATCACTTGAGTTATATTTATTAAAATGATCAATAATTGATGAATTATCTTTTTCATACATGCCTGCATCAGGTTCGCTTCTTAAGTTTTTATTATTCTCTGATGATTTTTTTACATCATTAATTTCAAGGATAGTGTTATTTATAGGATTATCTATTCTAATTTCATTGTTTAATTTTTTAGTGATACTATTAGGTTCAAAAGTATTAGCTTGTTTTGTAGCATTATCTCCAAAAATATCAATTATACTAAAACTTGAGTTATTTAATTCAATACCCTCTTCTTTAACAGTATTATTTCTATCTTCATTACTTTCATTTAAAAATCCTGTAAAAATATCCGATTTATTGTATTGATTATCTGCTAAACTATTCTGTGATTTACTTTGAAAACTTGAAGAAGAGCTATTATTTAATACTTCAGGTTGTGATTGTTTAACTTGTCTCACTGGAGCTGGTTCAGAGTTAGTAATAAGCTGGTTTAGAAAACTTCTGGAAGGTAATTTTTTGGGTGTACTGTGTAGAATTGCCAGTTGATCAAATATACTGACTTTATTCTTTGTTATTCCTTGAATAATATTTATGGTACCTATAGATTGTGCCAATGCCATTCCAGTACCAGAGAATAGCTGCTTTTGTTGATTTAGTGCAAATGATTCTACATTTTCACCATTAGCAAAAATAGTTGCAATATATGGGATATTCGTAAAGTCTGAAGGTAGACCAGTTGTTGCATTAATAGAACCAACACAAAAAGCATACATCCCAGTTATATCATCACATGGAAAGTCAACATGATCTTCAACACTCTGCATACCATCATTTCCTGTTGGTAGTGCAAATAATATATTGTAATCTTTTGAAGTTCTTCTCATTATATGACGTAGTACTCTTGGTGCAGCACGATTCCTTTCTATAGTATCTTGACTAAATCGCAGTGGAAATACAATATTTTGTGCTTTTGCTACAACTGCTGAATCTATTGCAGATACTATATCACTTAAAGGAGCACCTTTTTGAGCTGAATCCCACACTTTGTATCCAATACATTCTATACTTACATCTCCTGATAAAACTAGTGGGCAAACAACACCATCTGGAAATCTGTTACAATCGCAACCTGCAACATAAGCCATTGCTGTATCTTGCCCTTGATTTGTATCAATATTTCGTAGCAAAGATTCAAAATTTCGTACAGACATATCACTCTGATGCAACTTTCTAAATGAAAATATCCCACTTCCAGTTTTCCCATCTGAGTTTTTCGTTGAACCACTTTTATTGTTACTATTCGTCCTAGCAACTCCATTCATTTGTAGCAAGACATCAAATCCTGTACCTATAAAAGCGTTGATTAAGTTAACTTTATCTTTTTGTTGCTGAGTCATATTGCTGAGCACCTCTTCAGGTAATTTCTCTAAAAATGATTCTGGGTGAAAAGATGTTATATCATTAGGATCATCAAAAACACTCCCATTCATCCGCACAAATGTTACTCCTTGTTTAGATCCACGATTGGCTGGATCAAAATAGCCGAATTGGGTACTAGATAACCGAGATGCACGTATTAAAGGAGATGAAGAATTCTGATTAGTAGTTCCTGTATTTCCTGATGAAAATAGTCGCCCGTTATCATTTTGTCTAGATACTGTCCTTCTCATCCACTCGGCAGTTGATGGAGATGAAGATGGAGATTTAAATTCTGGGAAGGGTCCACCTTGTGTAAGCTGCAAGCCTATTGGTGGTGTTTGTGAATCAACTTTAGACCATTTATCAATGTTTTCAAAAGCACTGGGTGATAGTCCTGAACCACTTGTTATCATTGGAGATGAAGCAGTATTTGAAGTTAAAGGAGAATCAAAACTTGAAATACTTAAGTTAGGTTTAGAATTTTGATTTTGATTATTATTATTTGTTTTAATTCCTTGAGGAATAGGCTTATAACTCCAGTTTGTCAATGTAGGAAAATGTTCTTTCGAAATATTATTACTTATCTCAGTACCCTTAATTTGATTAACAGCATCGGATCCAGAAGTAGGATTTCCAAATGGTGGTGGTAATTGAGAAGATGAATCTGCCATACCTTGGAAAATTGCAGTAGCGACTACTGTACCAATATCACCAGAATAATCGATTGAATTGCTTTTTATATCAGAAGTCATTAATGGAGTTGTTTTATTCAATACTTTATGGGCAACATCTGTATAGTTCGTGTTTTCCAAATTGAGATTATAAAAAGGAGACATTCCCCATCTTAATTCTTGATCATCTTGAGTAATACTTGAGTTATTCTGTTGCATTACTAAATTATTCTTTGGACTTTGATTAAATATCTTGAGGAAATCAAGTGCATTGAAAATTGATGAATTTTGCAATATATCTATATTCACTGGTGATGTCTGTAGAATGTGAGAAATTCTTGAAAATCTATCTAATATATAATAATCCAACTCTTTATATAATGATAATTCACCATTCTTATTATCAGAACTTTTAAGTAAACTTTCAGTTTCTTTATGGGAAATACTATCACTGTACAAAATTCTCTCTTCGTACTTACCAAAAGTGGGGTTATTCCAGAATCCTTGAAACTTTTGTCCACTAGTATGTATCTTTTCATTACCCCTTCCAGCAAAAACTGAAAGATCAGTCAGTATAGATTCCTTAGTACAGTCTGACTTATTTAAAAAGTTGCTTTTGCTTATCTTTTTAAGTCCGTTTATTAGAGGATATAGATCTCTATTTTCATTAGTTGATTCCTGTAACTTTATTTCGAAGACAAAGGTTCCCAAATTTTCATAATATTCGACAAAAGTAAATGGTAGATTACTACTATCTGGAAAACTTTGTAAATTACTAAATATACTCTTTGCATCTTTTTCTCGCACCACTTTACTGTCTGATAATAACACACAAATATATCTTACTATATGTGGAGATCTATATGTAGAATTGCTATAAAGGAAATTTCCAATACTAGGGCATCCATCAGAATCTCCGTTTAGGAGGCACCAATTAGATGAAGATGCTTCTATACAATACAAAAATTCAGTTACAATATTCAGAATTATAAATAGTGCAAGCGCATTAATTATGTTCCTTTTTTGCATTTAATTATAGCTGAAAATGTTATTTATCTTTCTAACTTATTTTGTAATTTAAACTTAATGTTAATTTTCTTACTTAAGTATTGATCCATTTTTTCCTACATTGCATAAATCTCGTTTTGCTGTAAAATTTTTTGCATGCAATGAGACACGTAATACATGTAGCTTTCTATTGCATGCAATAGCTGCTTGTGGGTTATGGTAATTACATTTTAATATAGATGCAATTCCTAGAAGGAAAAATGAACTTGTATTGAAAAGACACATAATACATGTATTGTTGGCTACTGGAGGGAAAATTGGATATGAGTATCTAAAACTTTTCCACAACAAATTTTAGAAGATTCTGGAAATTGAAAAGTACATATATTTTTTGTACATAATAGAATTACATATTAGTGAAGAAATAATGGCAACTAATATAAATAAAAAGATTGGTAAGCCCTAATCAAAATGAGCATATTCGCACAGTTTTATTACATTATCTAAATATCTTATTGTAGGTTTTATCGGTTCTGGACATATTGCAAGAGCAATAATATCTGGAATGATTTCTTCTGGGATACTAGATTGTAGTAAGGTTTATGCAGCAGACCTCCTTCACGAAGCCTCACTCTTGTTGAAAGAGGAGATGGGGATAAATGCTGTCACAAATAATTACCAAGTGGTTGAAAACTCAGATATAGTTTTTTTATGTGTTAGACCAGATGTAGCCCGATCAGTTTTAAAATCTATTGCACAGTGTCCATTGAATCAAGATTTTTTTACAGGTAATAAAATTATCATATCTGTTTGTGCTGGAATAACAATTGACGATATTATTGAGACATTTGTAAGTTTATTTTTAACTTTGATTCAATACAATGACGAATTAGGAACGTTGAAATATACTAGACATTGTCTTGTAATCATTGAAATTCTTAAATTATATATTGAATTTTAGGGAGGTAATAAGAATTTATATTGTGTCAGAGTTATGCCTAATATGGCAATATCTGTACGTGCAGGTACTTGGCTCTTCTGTGAAAATCCAGATGCTAATTTCAAAAGCAATAATAGGATAACAATTGATGAAATTATTCATATTCTAAGTTCATGTGGAACAGTTCACAAATTGAGTGAAAGTTTATTCTCAATTGGCACAGCTATCAGTGGTTGTGGCCCAGGTCTTTGTGCAAATATACTAAATCATCTTGCAGAGGCAGCTTCAAAAAATGGAATTCCCACACAACTAGCCACGCAATTAGCGATCGAAGTAATGTATGGTACATCCAAGATGTTGATGGAATCGAAAGAATCTCCAATTGACTACCAAAATAAAGTGTCTACAAAAGGTGGTGCTACACAAGCTGGAATAGACATATTAGAGCAGTATGGGATTGGAGAAGTATTTTTGAAGTGCCTTACTGGAGCAGCTAATCGTTGTGATGTATTACAAAGGGAAGCTAGAAATTAAGGTATAATACTTTAATGTTACTAGTATTTATTTCTTCCAGAAGACACCATGGTATTGGGTCATTGGTCTAGTGGTAGGATTCGCGTTTCGGGTACACGAGGTCCCGGGTTCAATCCCCGGATGACCCCCTATACTTTATAGGTAGCACCTGTTTCTAGTTCGATCACTTTTTAGAGAGGACTCTACACTTCCGATTAACACTATTTAGTTAGTACTACATATCCTTAAGCTTTTGTATCTGTGAGTGAAGTCATAAAAGAAGATCATAAAGTAATATTTATTGTCACCTAATCATACCTCGGATTCATCTACTTTATTACTTGAAGCTACTCATAATCATGGATATTTGATTTATTAACTCCTCTCTAGTTCACCTAAAATATAGGTATATTTATGCCTTTTGAAATTAAAATGAAACCAATAGATCTACTTAGTAGCTAACGGCGGTATATATTGTTACAGAAAATTGTATATATGAGGGAATTAAAGACTTCTTCATGATAGTGACAAGTTTATTAAGAAACAGTTCATTTATGATTGAGGATTGCACTTTTTCCTACCACCAACAGTATTCACAAAACGTCTGTTGTATTGGTGTCTTTTCTTAGCTCTACCCGTTGAAGCCTTCTTCTTCTGTTGCTTTTCAACACGAGGAGTTTGATTTTTTACCTTACCAGCACGAGCAAGAGAACCATGAGCTTTGGCCATATTCAAAAATGAGTTAAGATTAAATTAGAAACTTAAACGATATTCAACTCCTAAATTCTCCAAATTACTAGAGTTTATATATTCTTTAGCTCGTCTCATGACAGTAAACAAGACGACATAAGACCGCCTTACCTATTCAGATGTGTTACATTTTGGTTAACTACTGCAATATTAGAACAAAAGGAACGGGAATTTTAAGAATTATATATATAGTAACTTACAGGACTAGCTTAAATATATATATATATCAAGATTGCATAAATTTTATTTTTAGTTCAACGTAGTGCAGATATTTAATATCTAGAGATTTTCAATGTAATATTTTTAGCGAATACTCTGCTATTTTTTATGATAACAAAAATTCATTAGCCTTTATATGGTGTTAATTATCTGATAAATATTTTAGACATTAATTTCTCTAAATATATTCTGAGCGGTCTCCATGTGCTTCTAGGAACATACTAAATTCTATATAATACAAATGAGTACTGTAGAGGAATTCTTAATATCTGTAGGAAAGGAACTAGGGAAGAGCCCTGATGATATGAAAGATTTGGTAGATGTCATTGTGAAGAAAAATTGGTATGATAAAGTGGAGTCATTGAAACATATAAATGATGATGAATGGAAGTCCATGGGAGTTCCACTTCGTTTAGTAAATGCAATAAAGCTTAGATTAGATGAATCAAACAAAGAATATTTATCTCATACAACTATTAATAGTAAAAATAGAGTTAAGGAGGAAGAGAAGTGGCTTGTAGAGTATTCATTCCCAAGTACTGTGACTATAACCCCTTCTATAATGGAATCAGTAAATAACTTGACTCAGATACCCAATGAAGCTATTGAGAAGACTACTTCAATACTATTTAGGGTAATTGATGGAATTCTAGATTCACCAGAAGATGGTAAGAAACGCCGTATTCGTATAAATAATCCATTATTTCACTCTAGTATTGCAAAATATTCACAAGCACTTGATGTACTAAAATCAGTTGGATTTATTTATGTTGATTACTATTCTGAGGAATCTGATAAGATGGAGTTTTATGTAGAACTTCCAATAGCTTATATATCACTTCTAACTGATTGTCATAACTTTCTAGTAGCTCTTTGCAAAAAGCTTGGAATTTCTTACCCAAAGATTATTCCTGGGAATTTTAATCCATATGTAGCTTATTTTTCATCTACTAATACTCAGAATATGACTAGACCATTGAAAGATGAATTTGGAAAGCTACAGACTCAAGTTAAAGAGATTGAAGCTCTTATTGAAAAAGGTTATGACGACTCTGAACCATGTTTAAAGCCATGTATAATACATTCATCAGCTTTGGGAGATTTTGAAGAGGCCATTCAAATTCTAAAACAGACACCTGAATATGACGACTCAGATACAGCTCTTATGACTAGAAGTGAAGTAGATAGACTCAAAGAGTTCTTTTCTGAAGGTCCGACTTTTAAAAGTCGTGCAAAGGAATACTTGAAGATTTTAAAAAAAAGATCTATTTATAATCACATTAGCATTCGAGTGATATGTCCAGATAAATACATTATACAGCTCCAATTTAAGCTTAACAGCACTACAGAAGATCTAGTTAATGCTGTGAAATGCTGTTTAAACCAAAACATATTAAAATATAACTGGTATATTTATGAAACACCCCCTGTCGTTAAAATATTACCCAAGAATTCTGTTACCTTATATCAATGTGGCTATGCACCTAGAACTGTGCTTTACTTAAAGGTAGAACTCCCTAAAGATATGAAAAATAAAGTTAATTATTTGAGAGATGACCTGATGGGATCAATTATCACTAACACTGCAATGTAATTGGGAACAATTTTTACAAATAGTGTATAGACAGAATCTTATATTTTTAACATCTACTTACAAGAAAAGTGCGATAAATTTTATAGCTTTCAACACTACGTCCACTAAGATAAATTTCTACTCACAGGAAAGTGGAAAAATGTCCACTTTATTAACTAATAGATAAGTCCTTAAATTTCAACTGTTTTTGAGAACTTCTAGTAATTTAAATTTAATTCGGAATAACTTAAGTATATCGGAATATTACAATCTCGGTTTAAATTGCTTTCTTCTTTTTTTTTCTTTTAGTAAATAGTAATTAATAGAAATTGAAGAAGTCTTGAAGATTGTTTTTCATGAGTTTATATTTTTTTGGAGTGCAAACTGTAGAAGTGCATTCATTTCCATTATTAGAATTTTCTCCAAAAGAGTTACAATTATTATCTTCGGAAGTAGTATAGTTAGTTGTTACCGTATTGCCATCTTTCTCATTGTCTATTTGCAGAAATTGCTTACCATCACAAATAGGTAATTCCACAGAAGATGAAGTTACTATACTTGAACTTATATGATTATAATCGGTATCAATAGTGTTATTAGTTGTTGGTCGACTATTATTCGAATCATTAAAGTTCAAGTCATTAAAAAAACACGAATCCAAGCGACTTGAGTGTGAAGCTGCGGGAGCCTGAGTAGATGGAGTCTCTGGCAATAAATAGTAGGAAATATTTGGATCTCTTTTCTCCTTTATTTCATTAAAATAATTGGAACTAGTGACAGCTTCATTTTGCTTATACTGTTCTTTGAGTTTAATTTGAGAAATTTTAGAATCATATGGTGTATTAGGTAGGCTGTTAACTTTACTTTGAATAGCACTTTTTTTATATTCATTGTGAATAGAACCACTGGTACTCCTTGCAGAAGATAGTGCAATAAGATGAGTTGAAATTTTTTCTTGTAAACTATTTACACTCTCAGCTAGTTTAGCTATGTTGTGTACACATTGGTTCACCAGCTCCTCTTGTCGAATTTTGTTATTAGAATCTTTCTGACCAATACGAATACTATGAATCTGAAGTCTTAGCTGTTCTGCTTGATTAACTAATTGTGAGATTAGATTGCGATCTTGTTTTTTCTCTTCATTTATGATGCGAACTTGATCAGACAATTCACCAACAGATTCCTTTAATTCATTTGTTGCTTGAATTGTCTTATTAATCTTGCGTTGTATTTCACTCTTTAACTGAGGAATATCCTGGTGGATAACATTCTGAATCATCCCAACTTCTTCTCTTAATTTATGTAGACTAAAAGTTTGTTCATCATATCTCTTAGTAGTCAATGATAACTTTTCAACTTCTCTCCTTAAAGCTTCAATATCTACCTTATTTCGTTCACTTGTATGTATTTGAGATTTAAACTTGATATATTCTGTTTGTAGACTTTCTATTTTTGTCGTAATATCTGGTATAATTCTCGATGTCATATCGTGACCACTTACTGTTTCTGTTAATGTTAATAAGTCATTTTTTAATTTCCTTATCTCTAGTCTTAATTCACGTTCCTCTTGTGTATGTTGATGATCTTTACTCTTTAATTCATCTATTTCAGAATGATATTTTCTTAGTTCTGCAATTAATAATGTGTGAAGCTGTAACTGTTGCTTGAGTTTTTCAAACTGAGTCTCCAAATTTTGAGCTGAAACAATATCTAACTTTCCTTGTTCCATATCTGAAAATCGTAAATGAAGTGTATGCACTTCATCTTTTATGCGATTCATATCTTTTAGTACTTCAGAAATTGTTTCTCTTTTATTTTCCCTTGGTATTGCACTATCAAAGGAAGAAATATGCATCCAGTTATTTCTTATAGCCTCGCTTATTGTTGTCATATTTGGAATATGGCTGGTGGTATTAAAACAATTCTTAGTATATTTATACTTAATATATATATTCCAAAAGCTCTATTTACTTTATTTAATACCTCCTTCATCTAGTAGATTTCAAGATCTTAAATATTTTTGTATCCTGTACAAGACGGATTGTGTGCATACGGGTGTGTATAGTTGATGCACACGTCCAATAGCTATTAAAATATAGGCGGGTTCTATATTTTTGAATCATTTACCTTTAGTGGCTATAACTTAGGAACTGAGTACCCTGATCCAAATAAAATCTTAGTCAGATTTAAATTTAATATCAAATATTGTTTATGTGAAATTAAACAGCAATATGAAAGAGACCTGCTTTGAATGGGCTATTCAAATTGCAGAGTCATGGGATGAGTTGTGTGACATTATTAATAGGTCATTAACTGCAATGACTAACCTCCTTCATTCTCTAGATTTGGCTATATCTCCTCACATAGTTGGGAATTATATTGCTGAAGAAATGGTTCCAAATAGTGTCTTTTTATTAATATCATCATATAGTACAAGAATAAGCAATCTAGCAATTGAACTAATGCAGTTTATTGATAAATTCCGTGATTCTCACCTTAAAAGTATAGAAAATATAATAAAATGGTGTGATGAAGAATATACATCAATAAATTCATGTAATATCAATAAAAGTATCAATGCAAATATTATACGTGTACAAGCTCTATATACGACAAACCAATTATGCCTTATTATAAAAAGTCAACACAAGATAATTAGTGATATTTTGAATTCTGCAATAAATAAAGTTGATTTATATATTTTATATAAGTCAACTAAAAAATTTGGGGTGATCCAAACACATATAGAGCATTTTCATCAGTTAAAAAACTTTAAATGTAATAATGCATTTAAAGAACGCCAATTCCTAACAAGTTATTGTACAAAATAATCATGTCATTGTCATATATTAATAAAGACACACTATCTATAAGTATTATAAAAATCTAAACAACACATATTTATTGCTTTACATTAAACTACTTCCTGTTCTTACTTCTCCCAAAGTATCAATGTATAGACTTGACACCTACGTAATATTTCCGCCTTTATTATATTAAGAGATTTACTCAAAGTTGCACTACGGTGAGGAATTCACCTAACTCTTATATATTACTGGCTCTATTAATAATATTATTAAGCTTTATAGCTAATTAGTTGATAATTATAATGAATATTAAGTGTTTTGAGTTCTTCTCCCAGGCAACTCAGAAGGTCTTTTCAACATGGTATGTTTACTAGATATCCTAGAATAAAGAGTAAAGGTTTTTATTATAATGCAAATAAAGTTATATCTCTTGATTATTGAATAGTACATATATGTAAAATTTCGGTTATGGATTTTCAGGACTGCACTAAGGCTTTCAGTAGAAAATGGGTGGGCTGGAAGATTTGGATTTAAAAAACAAGGAGAACTAGTCAATGAAGTACTTCTTATGTTTAAATCAGGTAAGTTATAGTTTGAAAAGAGACTGTAAATAAGTTAGATGTATCTTTAGAGCAATTGGACTTTATAATTACACTTCATACTTATTTAGGTAGAAATGTGGACCCAACTCAATTAGCTAATTATTTAGTAGATGCTTTGGAGCAACATTTTTCAACAGTAATAGATGATGAAAGTAATGTAGAAGTTGCCAATTTACTGTGCGAGTTATATAGACAGTGTTCTATAGATGATTATACTTTATATGAAAAGGTAAGCTGATAAGCCACTATGATTTGTATTGTTATATACGAAGTTTAGTTTAATCACTTTTTTTTTTATATAGATTATGAATATACAGGGGGCCTCTATTGAGTCATGTAAGATGCAATCATATATTTTAGCTGAAGATGGATCTAAATTAAGTGATATAGATACAGATGAGCAAGTTGAAAGTGAAGAATTTGATTATTGATATCATTTACTCTAGTTCATTCTAAACTATGCTTTAATTCTTGTTATATAAACACATACTTGAGAATATAAATAAGGTAATAGGATATGTTATAAATTATATTGAAATACTAATATGAAGTGTTCACAAGTTTATCATGATAGGAGTCATTCTAATTGTGTGAGACGTCCATGTCTTGAAACTACTTAAAGATTTTATAGAAAAGTGGCTAATAAATAGTAATAAGATCTATAAGTGTATATTAAGTAACTATAATGGCCCAAAAATTAGACTTTAAAGTTCAATGGGATTCTGATGAAAATAACGATGACAATGAAACTAAGTTACGGTATATGCAATCTTTGTCTTCTAATGACTATGAGGCGTTAAACTGGGGACTTGATGATGAAAAATGTTCACAGGAAAGTGAAGTATATGATAGTAGTGAGGAGTATAAAGATCAGAATATTGAAGAATTTAGTGAGATTATAAATAATGATAAGGAGACATCAGGAAAAATAACTGAAGAAACTGATAAAGTTAAGGAGATTGAAGGGTCTTCTTTAGAGAAGAACTTTCAACGAACTGATTCAGAATCTACACTAGAAGAAGAGTTAGAAGATAAACCTAAAGTAGAAACTAAAGGAGTAAGAAACTCAGTTACATCTAGTACCCCAAATATAGGAATTTTAGAGATGCTTTTAAATTTGGATCTACAAGCTAAAGAAATTTTTTTAAATTTTATTGAAGATGAGCAGTTATTAGAGTTGAGACTTGTGTGTAAACAATTTAATGTATATGTGGATTCATATATTCGTCACTCATTAACAACCTGTCACTTTTTTACGGTACAGTCAATGCGATTACCTATGGACTTCTGGTTTGCCGCTATAAGATTTTTTTATTTAGAAGCGGGGAGGGTATACCCGCTGAACAGAATACGGTATCATCCAATTGTTGCTGCACTAAAGCATAACCATAAAATATTACCTGTATCTTCGGAACAAATGAGAGCTCATGTTGTGGTAACATTAGATAAATTACGTCCCGAACACATTGTATTTTGTAACCATGTGCATCCACAACCACACACTTGTGATGTTAATCTTGAGATAAAAGGGCCATCTAAAGTATTTTTTGATGATATTTCAATAATACAATTTGTTCAACACTATTTTGACCAGCTTCAAATTGTAGATGATGAGATTATTCGTGGTAATAGACCTTTTACAAAACATAGGTTGGCTTGTTATTTCTATCATCTCCTCAAATCGATAAAAATGTTGTGTGACAAAGACAAGGGAACATTTAAGACATCAAGAATTGAGTATTTAGTCAATACTGGAACTATTATGAGACATCGTATTTGGTATCAATTATATGCTTCATGGGGAAGTATGAAAAAGACGAAGATATCTGATAAAAATACTGTAAAAAGTAAAAGTGGTACAGTAACTAAAGAATTAAACAGCAGATCAGTTACTAACCTCAAGATAAATAAAGTAGAAGGATTAATGGCAAATAAGAATACATATAGACCATCATATAATGTGAAATCAAGAAGTAATGTTGTTATGGGAGCAGGAAATACAAGAAGTGGTATTGATGATTCTGACCATGGATCTCGGGATGAATTGAAAGTTGAAATTTTCCTCACAGTTGCAGATCACTTTCAATGGGATAGCTGATAAATCATAATTTTAAGGAAGTAGTTTGTTTTAGATTTATAGTAACTACTTTGAATAAGAGTCAGTGTGCAGGAACCTAACTATATATATTTCTTCTAGAGAGTACCTTAGGTGCATACTATGGCTCGCTGTATTTCTTCTTACTAAACACTAATTTATATAAGATCACCTATAAATGCCTTCACAAGGAGTAAGTATATATTTTTATTTATGTTATTTTCACTTTTACAATGATTAGACAATAGTATATTTGGCGCTTCTCACATGTACTTGTCGGAAGAGGTACCCGGTATCCCACATACATACCGGCCTTTAGATACCAGTAAATTTACTCCTTTAGTATTTTAAATTAATTAGCTGTAGATAGACATACTTCTAAATATAACAAATGTATGCAAATAACTTTAGTTATGATGTTAACTTTCATTTTAAAATATATATGGGTTTATAATTTCTTATTTTTGCTACTGTGCAGTACTACGAGTTGTAAATATATACAAGTTACTGACAAATTTCCGCATGAATGCCCCTTTAAATAATTATGGGCATATAAAGCTTAAAATAAGCAACAATAACAGTAAAATAAGTTGTGTAGAGGAAGCTCGGGAAGAATTGGGAAATATGGAGGACAACCATAAACCTGTAATCGAATCTTGTACAACAATTTTAGAGGATCTACATGAAAAGATAAAATTACATGATATTGAATCACTAAATAAACTGATAAAAGAAATTCCTGTCCATATTCTGAATTCAATACTCCCATCTACTGGACTAACAGCTTTGACCTTAGCTGCTAGCTATCAGGGCTATGTATCCTATTATATCTCAGCTATATTAATAAGAAATGGTGCAGATACGAATTTATCTTTAAATGATGGATCTACAGCCTTAATATATGCAGTTAAAAAGAGCAATTTGCCCCTAATAACTTTATTATTACTGTCTGGGGCAGATATAGAGAAGGCAGATAACTTGGATCATACTCCTCTGCTACATAGTATACATGCAGGAGATTTGGAAATAACGAAATTCTTACTGCAATGTGGTGCAGATCCTAATATAAAGAGTAGATTTGGGTTAACTCCATTGTATTATTTATTACAAGAACCTTCTAATAATTTGACTGGCAGCTTCACCTCACTACTACTCGATTATAATGCTTCAATTACTGAAGTAACCTTAGATGGCAAAGATGCAATATCTTTTATAATAAATATTGCAGATTCATCTTTGCTACGTTTGGTTATAACACACCCTGCTTTTAAGAACTATTCTGAAATTCATAGCATAGAAACCTCTACCCTTGTGAAAAGTTCTTATTTTAATATTAAAATAGCAACAGATACCATTAGTAGAATAATAACTGCATTACGTCTTAAAATGGATCAAGATTTAATCATCTCATTGTTAACCCCAGAAATTAAGTCAAAAAATCGTGAAATTTGTACTTCAAAGGATGAAGATGATAGAACACTTGTTTGGTGGGCAGCTCATTATGGTAACCATCGCATAATAAAGGCTTTAATGGACTTTTACTATTCTCAAAGGCAAACTAACTCATTTGAGTATGAACAATGTAGTATTCACAACCCAGACATATATGGACATTATCCAATAGGGCATATTATATTTAGTGGTACCTTTAGTATGTACCGTGATAAGCAGCTACTTGAGGATATACTATTGTACCAGAGTCCTAGTACAAATGCAACTTTGTGGTATATTTTATCTGTTTATGGAGGTTCTGTAGGTGAACAAAGATTGACTGAATATCTCTCTACGTTTGTGGATTTTAAAATGCTATCATTTTTAACTAGATATTTCTGTAAACCTTTAAAGAAATCAGAAATTCCAGCTCCAAGATGGATTCCCTACATTGGAACAGATGAGTATGATAAGATAGTAACAATCCTATCAACACTATTAATATTAAGAAAAAATTACACAGCAAAAGTTGTTTTGCAATCTATACTTAGAGAAGCAATGCTGCAGAGTTTTTGGTGCATTCAAGTGTTACAGCATGGGCTTATTACAGCAGCTATACTAGGTAAATATGATGTGATCAAGAGTATTTTATTAGCACGTGCTCAAACATTATCAGAGGTATTAACAAGTTTAAACTACTCATCCCCAAGAAGTGTGAATATTGCACTATGCTTAATAGGATCAATTCCTCCAAAGTTTCCTAATTTTGAATACTTAATGATGGCCCCTATTACACTAATAGTTAGACATATCTTTCACTCTAATTCTAGTAAGATACAAAGTACAAAACTACATGAATCAAGCATTTTCTAAAATAACTTTAAACAATCCATCTTTGCTTAATGATCAGAAAACGCCTTTACATGATGAAGATTCCTCAAATATAAAATATTCAGGTATAAAGCAAAATTCTCAACTTTATGTAGATTCTTCAAATCAAGAATTTACATTTCGTTTTGTTAACAATCGACATTTATTAGATGGTCCTTTTAGTGTACTTCAAAGACTTCTTTCACCTGAAACTGGCCGCTTTGTAAGATCTTCATCCTTAAATCTTACACTTGAACTATTACAAGAAGTTACTTGTATGTCAAATAACCGTCCATATATCCATTCATTTTTCGAGAATTCAAAATATATTAATGATAGTGAATATGAAGAAGATTTTGGCGAAAGTTTAGACAATTCACAAAGAATAACTAAGAGAGTAATGGATGAATACAATTTTATCAATGTTTATTCCACGCAAGCTCCAACTCAAGCTTATCACTCAGCAGCAACTCTAGGTGTAAATAAAGGTGATACAGCTGATAGCTGTTTTATTAAAACAAAATCTCTTTGTAAATTTATGCTAGAAACAAATTTAATATGGACACCAATGATGCTAGATACAGGATTTCATCCACTATCAACAATTTTGTCTGATTACCAATCAAAAAGTCCATTTTTGAGTCTTCCAACACTCACTAGTAAATATCAACAAATTCATTTAGGATATTTACCTCCTATACCATTGAAGACAAATATAACAGATTTAGGTCCTTTGATTCCAGTTGACATATTATTTGAATATATTGAAGAACATAGTGCATGTCAAAATATAATGACATATACATCTTTTGATGATTTATTGGCAAAGAAGATACAAATTATAACATTAATAAGTGAGAGCATTCATTTTCATATAATTCCATCAATAGCTAATGTTTCTATGTCTATCATTTTAGTTGTCTTGCTATACTTTATTCTCTGGGCTTCTCTTGGTTGGATAAAAGTCTTACTTGTAGAAAAGACTAAATACAATATAAATAGTACAATTTTTACAGATGCAACAGATTCAAGTGAAATTCAAGACTACAGTGAAACTAGGATATCAGAGCCTATTTTAAACAATGAATTTATTAATACTAACAGTTTGGAATATACTATTGATTCTATAGACCAAGAGATTACATTTGATAAGAAGCAGAAACCTGAAGTTCCAGTTAATGTAAATCTATACAGGAAAGAGAACAAGCTTTCAAATTTACAAAGTGCTAATACTCATCAATTAAATAAAAAACTCTCACATTCTTTAGATAATGAATTTAACATATGTACAAGTCATGAAATAAAGGCTGATGAAGAAAATCCTTCATCTCTAGAATCTTCTGATACTACCAACTTAAAAACTTCACTTCTATATAAAACAAGTAAATTTTCTATTAATGGTCAATTTAACAAAGATTGTGTCAAATCCTCTATTTCCCCATCTTCATCTTCCTCATCTTTACATGTACCAAAGTCTGCTAGTTTAAAAGATTTGGATATACAGTATTTACCGGCATCTACTCTGCTTCTAAAAGAGTCAAATAAAAGGAAATTTGAACTCAACAATACTTTTGTGCACAAGCATCCAAATACGATATTACGAACTGGAACAATACATAGAAATGATATAGTCTACAAATGGAATAATTTTAAAATTATGCTACTTAACTTAATTCCCAAAATTTTACTTAATCTTGAAGACTATGCACTAGTGTTTCCTTTACCTGGAAAACGAGACTTTATTGATTCACTTATTGGCAGTATAACTATAACTTTCACTTCTCCTTGGTATATTTATCAAACAAAATTCCAAAGTTCTAATCATATTAGAAATTCCAATATATACAATATTCACTATAATATATGGATAAATTTCTTGTGTAATAGTAATATTAACAAGAATATTCTATTGAGTAAAAATAATTATAGTACCTATATTCAATGTGGACTTCAGATTTTTTGTTTGATTTGCCAACTTGCAAGTTTGAGCTACATCTGCATATTTCTATTATTAAATCATGGATTTGACTACTTTTGGTTTTTTCTCGGAACAGCTCTAGTTGCTATATTAAATTTAACTATTAGATGTTATTATACTTCAGATTTTGTTAATGAATATTTTGAAGAATATTTTTGTGGACTCTATAAAGGCTTCAAGAAGAGTTCTGATAACTATTTTATCAAAGCAGACTCTTTAGACAATATAAATAATACTAGCCACAGTGAAAAGATGATGATAAATCAGGATGATATTTATACTGACCATCTAAATAAACAGATATTGGAGAACTACTATGATTGTCTGTCTGAACAAGAACGAAGTTATCATAAATTAGATATAGCTGAAACCCATAATCAATTAAATACTAAATTGCTTATCTCCCAGAATGATTGCAATGCAAACCTAGAATCTAACAGTGAAAAATCTGCAGAACCCTCTAATGCAGCTATAGATAGCGAATATAAATATCTAGACAGACCAATAGAAAATAATGATACTCTACAAACTAGTTGCAAGATATCTAAAATCACAAGAAATCTTGCTATTTATATAAAACACAATGAAAAGTTTGTTAGTGGGACCAACAAACTCCATACTTCAACTTATCCTAATTCCCCAACCATGAGAGAAGATTCTATGAAAAGATCTAATAATATAGATAAAATTACCCCACATGGGCTGACTAATTCTATGGATGATATTAATGGAATAGAACACCTAGAGATTGACAATACCAGTATTACCTCACCAAGTAGCCAAGTATATTGCAACAAAGTATTTACAACACGAGATAATGAACATTATAAAGATATCAGACAAGAAGAAATACAGAATTTAACAAATACTATAAAGAGTAAAATCAATAATTTTCATACTCCTTTATATAACTTGGCAGATAATGTTAGTTACAATACAGCAAGAGATTACTTCATTGTGGTTTCCGTATGTAAACTCATTAGTATTCTTATAGCAATGTCATCAGATATATCAATTGTATTATTTGGGAATAACTCTTTCTTATTTCGAGATTTTGCATTGTACTTCTTATACACTGAATCTCCAACTATAGCCTTTATAACTGGTTGCATCTTTACTCTTTGGCTTTCATCTTTTATTTTTGAGATAATAAAAGGAATGATTCTACTAGTTTTCTTCGTAAAACAAAGGAAACGCCTTTGTAATATACTAGTACAGCATATTCCAATACAATTTAGATATTCAAATGCTCAAGAATTTATTCAAGTTCTGAGCTACTGGAGAAGTGTAATGCAACACGTCTTGTATAAAAATACAAAGCTGTGGACTCAATTTTTTGATATTTCTGTATCAATAAATACATTGTTATTATTTATATTAGGAAAACTAATACTAATTTTCATTTATATAAAAAAAATAAACTTTTTGGCCTACAAAATCATTCAAATTATATAAATAACCTTTCCAATTACTCAAGATTATATTCTGGAGGTATGTATAATACTTTAATAAATGAGTATAATTCAATGGATCCATACAATTTAGACAAGTACAACCTCTCAAATTCAATAATGGGGTCTAATATTTATATTTACTCTAATTGGGAGATCATTTTTATTAGTTTATCTATTACAATTGTTGTGTTCATTTCCTACATCATCCGATTGTTATATCAAGTCAACAAGTCAGCAATCAGAACTTACTCTTGGCTTCAAAATATTCTTCATAGAACTCCTCCAGGAGCTGGAATTTACATTGTAATTGAAAAGGTTGTTTTAGTAATTAACTCTACCCCCCCTATAATTAAATTATGTGGTATTGATGTTACTGAACGGTTTGCAGGATTAAACCTATATATATTTACCCCTATAATAATTCTATGTATTATAAAACTTATTATTTACTAGTAAATAAATTAATAAAGTGGTAGAGTCCAAGCAAAAATTAATATTTAAATTACTAAATTACTAAACTCTAACTAATCACAAGTTAGTTAATAATATGGGAAAATAAGTGTTATAATACACTGAACTTGGTCTATATCTAGCATTACCCGGGAATCTGGAAGTTTCAGACATACTCATGAAACAAATCTTTAAAGATCACCTTTATTGTATTGATACTTATCCCAGCTGGGAAGGATCAATCCCAAATTGTAGAAATTATAGAATACCCTGTATAACTTCTTAGACCATCTAAATACTTAAGTTTGTAGGTTCATTCATGTTTATTTGATCACAACTCATCTCTAACATGAGACTTCTCTTTACTACGTATATTGTCCAAATAATCCTCATATTGATCCTGTACATATTCCATTAACCCTTCAATTTCTCTAGACCCCTCATACTTGCTTTTATTCATAATCTTATCACTCCCAAATGGGAAGAAAAATAAAGTAGGAATTCCTTGGACATCAATACCATGCAGTAAGTCATTTTTTGTTATATCATACAAAGCGATTGTAACCCTTGATTTATCCTTATCAGTAAACATTTTATGAACTTTCTGAGCTAACTTAAGCCATATTGGCTTGAGAGATTTACAATGTCCACACCAAGGGGCATAAAACATTATGAACAAAGCTTCATGATCTAAGGCAGACTTAACATACTTATCGAATGTATTTGCTACAATCTCTAGTGGTAAGAATGGAGAAGAGTGTGCAACTTCTATGTCAGTAGCCATACTTGTTTCCTCAAGATTCATAGACTTATAGAATCTAGGATAGTTATCTTCCCGAATTTTATCCATAACTTCATACATTTTAGAGCTTGTGACTGGGCCTGGGATTAGATACTTCTCAGCAATTAGACGCTTAGACTGAGCTTCAAATGACCCAGAACGAAGTTTTAATAAAAATGAGTTTTCCTTAACCATAGGATGATTCAAAGAATAACCTACTGACTCTTCAAGTTCTAAAGAATCCCGTGGTATAAAACCTACTGCAATATCTAAATGAGGATCATGTGGATTGAAATATTTTTCGGCATATTCCAAAAGTCCTTCTCTCAATTTTTTTGCCTCAGATACATCTTCGGGAAGATAAGCAATTAAAGAATTAGAACTTTCATGGATATACATAGGAGATACTCCATTGAAAGAAATAAGTGGACGAGATGCTGTCTCAATAAATAACTTGAGAATTTGATTATTCCATTCAGATCTACCTAATATTATAGATGGGGCCTTAATATGTCTCTTTGGGTTAAAAGTTTGAGAGTTATCTGGCTCCTCTTTATCAGGTAATGCATATATATGTAATCCAATATCTGCCTTCTTGTTTACATATACCAAATATGACATTATCTCAAACCCTTCATTACGTAGAGTTTCTAAGGCACCAATTACTGCCTTTGTTCTGACTGTATTGGGCTTACCATAATATACTAATACGGTACTCTTAGATTCCTCAACTTTTTCATTTAGTTTCAATTCTAATTTTGCAGCTTCGAAACTTGAATATGATCTTGTATCTAATAATGAATATAGATCTTTATCACGGGATAATAATAGTTTAACCATTACATCTTTACTTCTAGAATCTGTTGATTCAGGATATGCAGATGGACTTGTAGGATCACCAGAAAAGAATAATAGAGTTGGATATCCTTTTATATCAAACCTCTGAGCTAATTCCACTTCTACAGTTGCATCTATAACTGCAATCTTCCCCTTTCCACCAGACTCTTCAACCTCAGCTACTACAGGATCCAAAATAGGTACTAAACCTTTGCAGTGACCACACCAAGGTGCATAGAATATAACTAAAACATTTGGATTATTAGTTACAAAGTCGTCAAAAGTTGAGCTCTTTAGATGAATCACATTTTCAAGGCTCTTATATGGATTAGCATCTATAAGTGTACTTCCGAAACAAACAAGAGCTAAAATTAGAAATAAATTCAATCCAACTTTATTTAAAGGCATTCTATTTATTTATTTGTGAGATATCAAAAAGTGTATAGTACAGACTAAATAGTATCCTTAAACATCAGATTAAGAGCGTGGGGTAACCGCTATTCCGTATTTCTGTGGCTTAATTTTAGCATATATGAATGAGATGCAAAACTAATAGAAAACTCTTTAAATTAAAAATATCTCAATTTTTTATCTAGTGGTTTCTTCCATTAGAATCTATACCTAATAGTTTGTGTGTTTGGGTGTACACACACACAAGTTGTACATGCAGTATGTAAATTATTACCTGCTACTGACAAAATTTATGTGATTTAGAATAAAACAAGGTAATCAATTAGGGGGAAAATGAAGATCTTAGCATATGTGTTCTGGGCTCTACTGATTCTGAAGTGCTGGATAATTGTAGATAGTGTGAATGCTATAGAAACAGCTCCTGAAGAAGTTAGCTTAGGATCAAATGCAAATGTAAACCTTGTTCAAAAACTTGGATTACAAAATAAATCTGAAGGCTTTACATCTATATTAGATGAAAAACATGAAGAAGAATTTCCAAGTACTTATGCAGAAGAAGATGAGGAAATAGATGAATTGGGAAGCTCATCCGAAGTTTCTGATTATAAAGGAAACAATCAAGAAATAGAAAAACAAATTAAAAATTCTAATAATGGAGTGGAATTAAAATCAGCTCAAAATTTAAATAATGAAAAACAATTCCGAGAAAAATTAGACGTAAATAAAAATAATGAAACAAGTGAATTGAAAAACGAAGCTTTACAAACAGAAGAATCTAGTTCTCAATCAGAAGATATTCAAGATGAGAACTTAGAGCATCAAAAAGATTTTAAAAAATCATTTCCTGAAAATCAAGTAGATGAATCTGAGCAGGAAGTCTCAATAATTCCAGATATAAAGACAACACCAAAAGAACATCCTGAAGAACAGGGTGAATTTAAAAAAGCTTCAACATCAATAAATACAGGTATAAGAGGAGATTCAATTGGTCATATAACACCAACTACTCTTGATACACTTCTAGGTGTAGTGAGACCAATTGAAGCTTTTCCTCATAAACCATCACAAAGACCTCTAACTACTCACTTCGGTAGAAAAGAACATGAACCAATTGCTACTATAGAAGGAGAGATGTCATCAAACTATATACCAACACCGTCTTGTGCAGAAGTTATTGATAAATTTAACTGGAATTCAGAAGCTCTTAATACTGCTTCACAGGGTGCATTTAAGGTTATCTTTAGTGAAATTACAACCCTGAGAGATATGTCGAATATACAAGCTGAAAAATCAATTACAGCTGCTCTAGATATGTTAAAAGATCCTGCAGCTGAAGGTATAAGCCCGCAGGAATCTTTAGCTTTGTATGTTTGTGAAGCTGATAGGTTAAATGGTCGCTCGGTATATCAAAAGCTTATTGAATTTGGATATCTTGGATCTCTTTTACATCCAATAGCGAATAGAATGTGGGGATGTGTTAAATATGGTCATTATTATGATAAATTTGGTAATAATCCACTACATTTAGCAGCTATGTCAAGTAGTTTACAGATAGTAGATTTTGTATTGAGATTGATTAAAGATCCAATAGAAATAAAAATGGCTCTTGAAGAAATTAATATAACTGGTCAAACACCATTAGATGTTGCTGTTGAAGAAAGAAGACCAAGTGTAATAAGGAGATTAAAAAGTACATACAGAACTATGTCTAATTACGTAAAGAAATTGGATCCAAAAGTTGTTATTGAAAAGAAGAAAAGACAAAAAGTAATGACAGAAAATGCAGCTCTATTCTGTAGACCTATAATACCAATTACTTATAGTGAACAAGAAGCAGTTGAAGCCATTAAAATAGCAGAAGATAATGCTGGGATTATTGCAAACCAATATGCAGTCTCTGAACTTTCCAAACCAAATGCACAATCTAATATTAGAATGCAAAAACAAAGATATCAACAAAAAATGGCTGATCTTAAATTAAAAAATGAATTATTAAAGTCAGAACTTGAAACATCAACTACCAAGTCTGAATCTATAAAATTACCCAACAAATTAAGAGTACTTGAAGATAACCAGAAAGAATCTAGTGCTAATGATGAAATACAAAAAGAAAGAGATGTTATTGAGTCTGCAGAAGATGAAGGAAGTCAAGGTTTAGAATCTATTCAGTTTGTTGATATTAATGAAGCTAATAATGAAGATACAACTCCATCTAATAATAAAGAACCTTCAGTGAAAGCTACTAATGACAATATTAAACAAACTAAACCCTCTAGTATTTTGGAGAAAGTTTTATTTTGGTCAATTATTGCATTTTGTATTGTATTTACAATTATACTTTTACTTATTTGGTTTGCAACTAAAGCATAAAACTTTTTAGGTTCAGATGTGTTAAGTTCAAATTCGTCAGCTTAACTATTTAATTATCCAGCTAGATATCTTACTAGATGTTATTTATATAATTATCTAAATATTTCTTTTTATAGAATAAATTATATTGAACTTAAACTAGCCATTCACCCATTTATATTACAGAATAGAAAATAAATTAGCAATATTATAAACATTAATTGTTATATAACTAGTAAAACATAGAATTTCAATTATAATGAGAATAGTTCGCCTATTTTTCTTTCTTAGATATTTTAGTGGAACTTCTACTCCTTTAGAATATCAAGTTTTTTTAGTCTTGAATTGAAATCTGCAATGTGTGTAATGTGTGTAATGTGTGAATGTTTAAAGTTATTAAATATTATAAGATTTTGATATATAGCTTAAAGAGATGAAGTATGCAGATCATCTTTTATATTCCTATTAATATTAGTAAAATATCTACCCAATGTATATACTTTACCATTGCCTTACTCTACTATTTTAGTATTACTAAAGCTATTGCATCTTCAATTGAACTAGAAACTTTTGATTCTATAAGTTCTAATAAAAGAAATTCTTGTAAGTGGATTATAGAACTAAATTAAATTATCTATTGAAATATATTACTAATATATCTGGCATCCTATGTTATTTACTTCAAAAATAATTTAAGCATTTAGTTAAAGCTTGCTCTGAAATTTTGTATATGCAAATTAATCTCTATTTTCAATATTTTTAGGTTATAATGTAGCTAATTATCTCAGTCAAGTAATGCAAGAAACTCCTCCATCTTTAGTAGGATATTTTGAGTTAATAAATGCTTTAGAAAATCCAGACTATGCTGAAGATATAGAAACCAAAACGAAAATGGCTCTAGAGGGAATGGATAGTATAATGCAAGAAATTCCTACGCAATTTATTGGGGTATTATTTTATTCTTGTACAGTGAAGGTAAGAACTATTACTAAGTGACTGCTTCTTGGTACTTTGAACACTTTAGATCACTTATTTGATGATATTTATTACATATAGGATATAGATACTCTACTTACTGCAGTAGTACGAAATGGCTTATTTCAGGCTACTAGAGAGCTAATATCACGAAAAATATATAGTACACAGCATATTTTATATGCAAGAGATAAATACAAGGATAATGTTATTCATTTATCTGTTCGTGCAGAGTCTGTAGCAATGATAGATATTATATGGAAGACAATAGCAAGTGAAATCCGATACCTCCTAGATGAAAAAAATAGTATTGGGCAACGACCAATAGATCTGTCAGAGGAATTGCGTTGTACTACTTGCACAACAAGATTAAAGGAAATATATAGACTAACATCACATGCTCATTTATCGGTAAGACAATCCTTATTTTTTAATTTTATAAACATTAATATTGAATATTTTGTAGGCATTACCCCCCCCTCCCCCTATTCCTGATGTTCCTGAACTAGAAGTTTTAAAAGATGTAAGGCAAAATGAATCTCAAAAATTTAAAGAAAAAAAACTTTATTAAAGCCACAAATAAAAAATAGACAAACTAATTTAAACAATTATACTCATCAAACTTATAAAGAAGGATATGTAGACCTAAATAGTTTTAATATGAAGACAACTATTAAAAATACTCCAATAATTGTCATAATTATTGGTGTTATTTCATTAGTAATGATTTTGCTTCTATGTATGTGTTGCTTTAAAATAAAATAAAAGTTGAAATATTAGGAAGTTCTATTTAAAGTCGTATACATAAGAATACCAAATAGTTAATATATGGAATAAATTAAAATATTTAGATTATTTTATTTATATTTGTCAACTTCAAATTTCTAGTGTGAACATAAAAATAATATTTTGTGAGCACTTGAATACTATATTTCAATAATCTTAATAATAGTACAATGCTAGTATCTCAATATAATTCAATGATATTTTTATTGAACTGATAAATTTTCGAATTACCAAAGATATATATTCAGGAAAATAACGAATAAGTTTTTCTTAAATAAATTTGAGATACTAGTAAAATATATTAAATATTATATAACAGACTGATACATTTATATAATTTCATTGTAAACAATATAATTGGTAAAATTGTCTTTAATAAATTTTACCAGATTTAGATATTTATAAACAATTTTGTTGAAAAATAAAGATTTTAGTATTTTCATTTTACAAGAGTTTTGAACTACTCCCTAGTAAAAATAGTAAACTAATTTCAAAAAACTTATGTTAGAATTAAGATAATTCATTCATACACCAATATATCAATAACATTATAGATTCAAAAGATATCTTATTAAATATAAATAATGTAGGTTATTAGTACTTAAAATTTTAATATAGTATAAGATTGTAAAGTGATACAAAAAAGTAAATATTGAAAGAACCAAGTGATTCAAATATAAATCATTAATCTTTATCTTTAATCTATTTTAAACCTTGATATCCCTAATTCCCACTATAATTAATTTAAAGAATAATTTAAATGAATTAACAGACTGTGTAAAAAGAGAATATAATTTTATAATGTTTGATAAATATATCTAAATAACCAATTTTGTTTAATATAAAGTATATTTACAATAAGTTTAAATAAATTAGTGAGAATATCTTTTCAAAAGTTATGGATGAGTCGAATTTTCAATATTTCCTAATCTCAGTAAATTGTATCAAATTATTACTTGTAACTTTGTCCATATTTTGATTTTTGAAACTACTTTATAAAAATATGTCTACTAAACTTATGTATCTTATTTCTGCTTCATACCATACATATTCTAATAATATTTTATTATATAAAACTCAATATAACTTTGTTAAATCAATTATTACTAATATTATAGAGCTAATATTATGAATTTAGCTTAGAAATTAAAATTAAGTTTATAAACTCCTAACAGAAAAGGATAGTAATATTACCAACAAAGATATTCCATATAAAGAATATACTATAAAGAAATATTAAAAGGAATTAGCATAAAATAATGATTATACTGCACCTAATTTACAGCTAAAAACTCTATTCTTATAAAGTAATTAATAAATTACTAAAGTAACTATTATAAATAAATCACCAACATAATTTTATTATTATTTTCTGAGGAATTTCACTTGTTAAACAAAAACAAAAGATCATCATGACTTTCTTTAGAATTATCCTCAGTGTTTTATGTTTCATTAATAATTTTTTTCTATTAAATGAAAATAGTCTTATATACTATAATTTCCTTAAAGTTATTTATCATTCTTATACTATATATTCAAAAATATGAGTATTCAAAGTATCTACTACTATTAAGAAGTTACAATAGTTTTTAATTAAAATTATTAACAAAGATATATAATTTTCATAAATATTTTCACTGTAGTAGTTGAAACAAAAAAAATCCAAATTTCCCAAAAAAAGATTTCTTTTTAAAAAATAATCTAAGTTTAAATTATAGATATCTATTAGTAACTTTGTATTTAACTAAATATAGAATTAGAAAAAGACATTGAATCTAAATATTATTGGAGATTACGAAAGTTATTCACGAAGTTCTTTATGATAAAGATTTTCTGTTAATCATTTAAGCTACATATAAAATGTTGGTCAAAATATTCTTTTACTTTAAAATACTTTCGTCCTTTATTAGTGTTTTAAATATATATAAGATAATATTTCACTAACTTATTTGAATAAATATATAAATTCTTTATTATTTCTTTGGTAGGAACAGAAATTCCTCTAATTTCTAAGCATTTGTATGATTTTAAATACAAAATAAAGTGCATAAGTTTATTATAAATTAAACAATATTTTTCAAAAATAAAATCCGTATAGATAACCTAAATAATGAGAATTCAGCCTTTTTTATACTATTTCAAATTCATTATCTTAGTCAAAACTGTACTATGCAATAATCAACAATTTCTATTTTTAATAGTAAAAGTAACTTTCTCAAAAGTTTGCCATTATAAAAAAAAACTAGATTCTTATTATTACTTTCAATCAAATAAATTATCTAGACTAATTTGTTAAAGAAACTTTGTTAAAATCCTTATCTATTATATTACATGACCATTATACATATATTCTATAAAATAATATAGTCAATTTTAGATTTACTGATATAAGTTGGACAAAATATCAATATCTTAAAATTACTAAATATTAATTATATTTATTCTACTTTGCATCACATTTTTATCATGTTGAATTTAGTTCATATTATTATACTTGTTTAATTTGTTAGATCTATTATAAACCCTATTTTCTTTAAACTTTTATATATGGATATAATATTTAATATATTATATTATATTTCAAATAAGTATTGTAAATGAGATCAATATATTCCAAATATCTGTTTTAAAAAGATTAATAAGTAATGTAAATTCAACATTTAAGCTTGGAAAAAAATAAAGTTAGGCACAGATTACCAATGATATTAAATTATATTTTCAATATATCTAACCATTCAAACTATTAACATGTAAAATATAGAAATTAATTTATAATTAAAAATTTTCATATATTAAAGAACTTTAGACATTCTTATTTGTCAAGATATCGAAGGAAAATTGTCAAAAAAATCCATTTTTTTTTTTTTTGTATTAAAGCGAAATATAACACTTTTATTATCAATAATTAATTTATTGAAAAAAACTAGTATAAATGAACTATATTCAGACTCAATACTATTACATTCGAATAATATTTTGAAATAAGAGCTGAAGGAATTACATTTTCTAAAGTATCAAGGTTTTATTAAGATTATTACAGGAATTATTAAGAGCTTAGTCTATTAAAATTCCTTAAGATATAGGGCCAAACTTGAATATACGGGTCTAACCATTAGGATTGCAAATACTATATACATTTTCATCCAAGTCTTCTATAATCAGTAAATGAAGTAAAAAAAAAACATAAAGCAATGTTACATTTTAGGTGATAGCTTTTTCTATTATTAATACAACATATTAGAAGCAATATACATAAAATTCAAATATAATTAATCATAGCATAGATCAAACTATTGGCAATAGCTTCCACTATTTTAGTTCAATTTGCAAAGAACTTTTCTCTTTAATTTAATTGAATGAAAATATCTGAATTATGTGAGATAATAAAGTGTACAACCAACTAATAACTTCTATATAATTTCACATTTATATCAACAACTATAACTTTATTATAGATACCCCCTGCATTCTTTCAACACTATAATTTACTTAAAGGTAGCTATACCTTAGCTATTTCCTATATACAGAACTTCTCATTACATAATACAACTACTATATATTAGTACATTTGTTTGGATATCCTATTTCATGTATTCCAAGGTAAGGTATCTACAGACTCTATATAGGAAAACTAAAAAAAATATTGAAATATTCAGATATAAAAGTGATCATATAATATAATCAATATTAACTCTAGATAATATTCCGATATGGTTGATATTCAACAATAAAGTACAATTTTGACCTTACTCTATGTATACCTAAGCAAGCCATCCACAATATTAGCGCCTCATTTGGTGGTCAATACGTGTCGCAAACTTTAATAGACTTTTGCTATAGCTAAATAAGCTACTGTATAGGCGGTATGTAATGCAGTACTTAAAAGTAATAGACAATGATGCGATATTTGTTATTTATTATAGGATGCGCAGGTATCTATTAGAGTAGGTGGCTCAAAGAGGAATTTTAGCCGCTTCATATAAAGTAATATTTACAGCTGAAGTGTAGTTCATGCATGTTGTTAGCTGCTTAAAGGTGAGTTATGGTTACAAATGAGTCAGGAAAATTCATCAGAACAGCTAAATTGCAGCAAATTGATAGTACCATTATCTCAGAGACCATTGGAATTGTCTATGGGTCTACGAAATGAAAATTTGGATACTAGTATAAATAGTGGAACGAAGGCTGAAGATGAACATGACTTATTAGGAAATAGAATGGGATCACTAGAATCTTGTACTCATATACCAAATTTTAGTAATGTGCATAATTTTCAACTGTCATTATCTAATAGTTCTCTTAAGAATGTAAATCCAACACAAACAATGTTATCTTCATCTTATACACCAGATAATATTTCATCAAGTTTATCTGTATCTTCTACATCCTTTATATCAAATTCTTCGTCATTACCTTTATCAACTAAGCAGAAATTAAGTCAAATCCAAGGTCAGCTACTAGGCTTAGAAAAACAGCTAAGAAATGATACCAGACAAAAAAGAGAATATGAGGAAACGAGATTTCAGAATCTTAAGGAAAATACACTGAAATTAAGGAAGTCCCTAGATATGGAAATTCAACAAAGAAATGAGATCCATAATACTCTTAAAAAATCTTTTGAACAGCAGATATCTTCAGTACAAGAAAAATTAGAGAACATATTTCTTGGTAAATTAGATCAACTTTCTATTGCTTGTCAGAGTCTTCAAGATAGACTTCAAGTTATAGAAAAGGATATTGGAGAAGACAAAACTCAGATTTTCCAAGATTATGAGAATAGATACCAAGCACTTAAGAATGAGGTGATTAATGCTAAGTCAATAGCAGAACGAGAATATCATATAGCTGAAGATAAGGAAAAACAAATAAGACGTTTTCTTAAAGATTTAGAGGTACATGTAAAAAAAGAGGTTGAAAGAGAGCATACACAAAGAGAAACTATTATACAAACTATGCAAGATGATTTCTACCAATTAAGAGACAAGATAGAGAAGAATCAAGATAAATTCCAGAATTTTGTCTTAGAGGAAGTAGCTCACTTAAAGAATGGATTAGCAAAAGAAACTCAAAACAGGGAATCTGCAGATGATGACATTGTTCAAGCTTTAAATCAGTATACAAAAGCTCTGCAGGACGTATTGAAGATTATCTGTTAGAGGCTGAGTTATCATTAGATTTATTCATAAATTATTAGACACCCTCTCTAATGTATTTTTAACTTATAGTTTTGTATTTCACTTTCTGATGTCCCATAGTAAACATTGTCCATCATCACCTGTGGAAATTATTCTCAGTCCAAAGTTTTCAAATGAGTCATTGTTTCTAGCTATATCCAAATTCAGAATTCCACTTCTATGACCTCTCAGTACTTTGACACAAGATGCAAGTCGGTAATCCCAAATGCGAATTGTACCATCTATACAACCTGTTATAACTGAGAATATATCGTTTGGATTCCAAATTACTCTCACAATTCCCGGTAGAACATTAATTGAATGGTCATATTTCTCATGTTTCATTATAACTTTATCCCTAGATTGATTATAATCCCAAATAATTAAGTTTCCATTCATATCTCCTGAAGCTAATAAGGGTTGATCAGCAGAATAACAAAATTGAAGACTTTCTACAGATTCTGAATGTCCAGTGAGCTTAGTTAGTATCTTACCAGTATCTGGCTGTATAAGGCTAACTATACCATTCAAGGATCCTGCTACTACTATGCTATTTGTATGATGACTTTGTAGAGAAACAATTCCATCATCAGCTAGAGTTGTCCTTTGAAATTTAAAGATGCTTCTACCTGTTTTTGCATCCCACGTTATTATAGATCCATCCAGTGAACCTGTATATATTGTTCTTCCATCAATACTAAAATCTCCACAAGTAATACTTTCACCATGACCCGAAAGTACTGAAACTACATTTCCATTTGGAACTGTCCATAGCCAACCTGTAGAGTCATAGCTTCCACCAAGGATAGCAGGGCCCTTGGGATGCCAACTTATAAATTCCAACTCATCTGTTGGACCTTCTAATACACATAATAGTTCAGTTAACTGAGTTTCTGTGTTACTTGTATATACACGAACAGTGCCGTCACATCCTGCAGTTGCAAAGTATGAACCATCACAAGAGAATGAAATGTCTGATACACTATCTTGGTGACCAGATAAAACTTCACTATATAGAATTTCTACAGGACCAGAATTAGATGGTTCAATATATTTTCTTGGTAATTTTGTTATATAAGCCATATTGTTGCATCCTCCAAAAACTGCTTTAGTCCCATTAAAAGGGTGAAATTTTACACTACATATTGATTCAGATATACTCAAAAGAATAGCAGAAGATTCATTGGAAACATCAAAAAATGGTACATCGTCAATATCTCTGAAAGTAAGATAAAATAGATCTTTTAAGCTTTTTATTCTAGACAGGTTAATAGGAACTTACGATTCCGAAAGGTCTCCTTCCAAAACCACTATATCATCATCATCAGTTATAGGGTCATCTTCATCATCAAATTGCTCTTTTACAGTATGTTCACTAAAATCCTCCATCTGTAATTTACGACAATAGTACCGGGCTATGTTTATACCTAGTTTGTCCCTGTACCATAAACCGGTACCACTATTAAGCAAGCTTAAAATATCTACAGGTAATAATAAGCAACTTGAATATATTGGCAATATTCTGTCTTAAAGTTTCACTGACAGTTAATCGTAATTCTAAGAAGTGAATATATAGTAATTTATAAAAAAAATCCAAATAAAAGAGAAAAATAAAAAAAAATTATTTAATTAAGAGCTGTAGAGGCTTATAAAGACCTGATTAAGATGTTTAGACCATTAATAAATAATTTCTAGGTCCACTCCACATAAAAATAGCTCCTAGTACTAAATATAAGAAAACTAACTCCAAAATCGTATAATTTTAGCGGTTAACAACTTATAGTAATATAGGAGAGTATATTAACACTTGTTAGAGTTATTTAGAATGATTCCATACCTAATTTTTATCAAGTTTAAAATACAAATGTGGTCAATTTTTACCTCTTGATATCTGGACAATTTACATAGTAAAAAAGTAGGTAAACCCAAAACCATCTACTAGTCCCATTTTATGTTTATTGAGACACTAATTAATATTCATTTCCACGTTACCCTACACCTCCAACCCAGATTACATTGAATCAGTTAATTCCGACCCTGGGCAAGCAACACTACATTCAACCAAATCTTTAACGAAATTATCCATGAGTTGCTGAGTATATCCTGCTCTTGCAGTAACTCTAAATCTAGGAAACCTTAATGGACATGCAGGGAATGCAACACATGATAATAGCCATCCTCTTTTAAGCATTTCGTGTGCGACATCAATGACTCTGAGTATGTCATCCTTAAATACAACAGCAATAACAGATGTACAATCATCGCCCTCAACAGTATACTTCTTATCTTCTGGATAATCAGCTGGCCAATATCCACCACCAGATTTTATGAGATTACGCAAATAAAGAGAATTCCTACGGCACTTCTCAACTCTCTCAGGTTCACTAGATATGATTCTTAATGATTCCAATACACCACCAGCACAATATGCTGGTAATGCTGCTGAAAATGTATTACCTGGTGTATGGAAATCCAAAAAATCAACAAAAAGCTTGTTTGAAGTAATATAACCACCAACACCTGCTGCTGATTTAGAAAAAGTCCCAACAATTACATCAGCTGCTCCTGGCATATTAAAGTGTTCTTCTAGGCCGCGTCCCATTTTACCTAATACACCCATTCCATGAGCTTCATCAATGCAGATCTTCATATCATATTTATCAGCAATACTGCGTACATCTGGAAGTGGAGCAATATCACCATCCATACTATAGACTGATTCAATAAATATCCAAGCATCTCGATATTTGCGACGGTATTGCTTAACAAGTTGTTCTAAGTGCGCCATATTATTATGTTTAAAGAAATACACTTTAGCACCAGATACCTTAAAACCAGCTCTAATACTGGCATGGAGCCGATCATCACCAAAAAATACATCACCTTTCTTGTAAATGGCACATACAGCGCCCATACATGCCATATAACCAGTTGCTACAATTAAAGAATCCTCCCTACCAAAGAACTCACCAACTGCCTTCTCTAATTCTCGTAAAAGTGGTGTATTTCCACCCAACATACGTGGGCCATGTGAACCAGTACTATATTGCTGAGCTGCTTCTATAGCTTTCTTCTGTACACGTTCATCATAAACTAAATCTAAATAGCTATAAGAGCTCATAGGAGTTGCCTCATAACCTTCACAAAGTACTTTATCAGATCTTGGTTGTGATACCTCTTGCATATATGGCCATACTCCCTTGCGTTGTAAGTGCTTCTTAATATCAACATAACTCTCTTTCTCAGTTTCACCCTTACGTATTTCTAATTTTAAAAACTTCTTCTCCAATAAATAGAAGTAATGACGTCTACTTTGCGATATTGCTTCAAGTAAGTAGCATGTTATTGCTAAACGAACAATCTTTACACATGACTCTGTCCAACGACTTAATAAAGAAACTAAAGTTCCCTCGACATAAGCATCTCTGATTTGTTTAATAATACTGGATAACCAACCAAATGCAGATTTACTTGTCTTTCCAGAAGACCCACTATCACATTTTGTCCCTGGAAGTAATCCATATAAAGCCTTTGCACTTTCGCCATTTACTGCCAAGTATATCCCAACACCTACAACAATAACCAATAGAGTATCCACCAGATTCAAAACACGCAAACCATGAGCAATATCGCCAAAAAATCCTATAGAAATATGAAAATAAACATATATATCCAAGATTCTAAAATATTTAAAAAACCACGCAATCACACACACACTTACCTGAAGCAAAATCCATCGTAATAACTGTAAACTGATAACTGTTCTCAAAGTCTTCACCTTCTATTTATGGGCTATCGAAGGGAATTCCTGATTTTCAAGTAGTCTCGGTTAATTTCTTATAAAGAAAAAAGTGTATATATATATACGATTGAGCTGTTAGGAAAGAAAACAATTTGAGAATAGAATCTTGTGAAAGAAGGGGGGGCTAAACGCGGTAAATATGCGGGAAAGACGTGGCCTAACGTATCCAATTGAAAAAGTTAGTATAAACCTGCGTAAGTAGATATAGCATTAAAATCTTATCTCCCAAGCGCGTAGGACACCTACTGACGTATTTATAGCATTCGACTGCACACGTATATCTTCAAATAAAATCAGATCTTAACAATGTACCACTAATTTTCCAATATTATATCAATATTTAATTAATATTGAAATTTACTTTTTTAATGTATCTTCGTAAAACATATTACCCCCTCTCATTATTTCCAATATACATGTACACCGGTATTTACATGTAATGACTTGACTGCTCATCCCACATAATCACTATTTCTAATTTTAGAGAGAAAAAAAAAGTTAAATATAACTTCAAATTATTTCTATCACGAAACCCTGGGGATTTCATAATTTAAATAAGATTTTATTATATAACAAGATATCTTATTTTGAAATATGTTTAGTACTTGAGAGGACATGTGTCAGTCTACAGATAAAAAGAAGCCTGGATAAATATATTACAGCCTTGGGAGTATTTACTATTTTTGGATTAATTAGTATCAGGGTAGCTTTAATTAATTCGCAACCAAATTCACTCGATATTATCTTCTCAATCCTTCTCCATCTATATAGAATGAAAAGAGAGTGATTTAAATGATAATAAGTTGAGATTTGTAGAAAATTTCTATATTATTTTTATTCATGTCAGTATACTTACCTTGCACCAGAAATTATAATTTTAGCATTACAAGAGTCATCTACATACAATAAATCTTTCATATCATTTGAAACTCTTCCATAAAGAATTACAGAGGATTGATTCTCTATTTTATTCTCTATAAAGAAAAAAGAGAGATCAAGAGATACCAAGGTGTGAATACTATTATTATTTGTCCCTCCTTTTAGTAAGTTATAAATAATTAACAGTAAAATAAGCTCTTGTAGTGATAGTAACTGTAATGGGTATAATGGAGTATATATAAGCGGTAAAAATTCATTTTTTGTATTTGATATTTGATTCGATCGTATTGTATCAGCTCGTAATTTATTAATATAATATAAGTGCATAGATTCCTGTTCATTTTGAAGTTGTTCCAAGTGATCCAAATAACTTGCTAAGAGTGAAATTTTTCCTTTCTTAGATTTTGGATATGATGGGGATTTTATATTTTTTTCATAGGAATTTAGAGTGCTGGAATATATATCAGAATCATATATACTAGAGCGCAATTGGTTTGCAACACGAGAAACATTGTTATGCCTTGTAGAGTCAAGATCCAAACTGTTTCTAATGCCACTAATTTCATTATTTCTTTTAATAATCTTTTTTTTAAATATTTGAGATCTTAATGAATTTGTAACGTTGCATATACAAGAGGTATTATTTTTCGAGTATTCCATTGCCAACCTCATCCTGTCCATTTTTGTAATTTCGTAATTCATAGATTAGTTTATTATCCATATATACATTAATAGAATGTATATAATTAGTTAATATTAATTCATAATAAATAAAAGAAATAAAAGATAAGAATTGTACAAATCAACTTAGTATTTAGAAATATCAGTGGGGTGCACTATTAGCGCCATAGTCTATAATGCTAAATACTACTAGGTGAAGGGTATATAAAGGAAAAAAAAGAAACGCTACTACGTAGAAGCGAGCATACTGAGCTCAAATTTTTTTTCAAGAGATTAGATTTGATGAATATTTCACTAGCAGATAAATTTGAACAGGCGAAGTCCTTGGATAATAATGAGTATAAAGCAGCGGAAATTATCTTGTTAGAAATTATAAACTCAGATAATTCTGCTGAAGATACTGCTAAACTTCAAGAATTAGCAATCTATAGATTGGGTGAGATCTATGTAGATCAGGGAGAAGCAGAGAAGTTGAGACATCTTTTTGTATTAATAAGACCAGTATTACAAAATTTACCTAAAGCTCGTACAGCAAAGGTTGTTAGGAGTTTAATGGACCTATTATCAAAGATACCAAATTCTGAAAAGTTACTTGAAGAATTATGCCTAGAATGTATACAATGGTGTAATGAAGAGAAGAGAACATTTTTAAGGCATCGTATAACAACTAGATTGGCAATGGTATATTTGAATGCTAGATTATTTTCCAAAGGCCTAGAATGTATAACAGAACTTGTTAAAGAAGTAAAAAAAGTAGATGATAAAGTTCTATTAGTTGAGATATATTTGATAGAGAGTAAACTACAGTATAGAATTAAAGATTTACCAAAAACAAAAGCAGCTTTAACAGCAGCAAGAACAAATGCAAATGCAATCCATTGTCCACCATTACTCCAAGCTGACATAGATTTACAATCAGGGATAGTCTTGGCAGATGAAAAAGATTATGCAACATCATTTTCATACTTTTATGAAGCATTTGAAGCATTTAATATTGGTGGCGATTCTAGAGCACCTCAAGCTTTGAAATATATGATGTTGGCAAAAATAATGTCAGATCAGCCTGATAATATTTCGGTCATAATAACTGCGAAGAATACTATTAAATTCCAAGGACGTGATATTGAAGCACTAAAAATGGTAGCAAGATGTAGACAACAACGTTCACTGAAGATGTTTGAAGATGTCCTCTTGACATATGACAAGGAGTTATCTGAAGATTTAATTATCAAGAAACATATTGATGAACTATATGAAAGCCTATTAGAGCAAAATATACAAAGAATATTGGAAGCATATTCTCAAATAGAAATATCACAATTGGCACAATTTTTAGAATTACCGATAGATAGAATTCATAATAAATTAACTGAAATGATACTGGACAAAACTATATACGGAAATATTGATCAAAGAAAGGGTATATTGAGATTAGTAGATAGATCTTCTTCTAAACCATTGTTTGACGATATATTGATGACACTTACTAATTTGTCAGATGTTGTGGATGCACTGTATGAAAAAGCAGCTAAAGTATTATGATTAAAGTTATTTTAAATATATCTAACTTGACCTCTGAACTTTGCATAAAATTTTGGAGAATTAATAGATAATATTCTTCATTATTACTAAGATAACTTAAGATAGCAATGACTCAATAGAAGGAAAAAAAGTTAAATATTATATTTATTTTGTTTTCTATTCCCTATAGGTGTACACCTAACTATTTCCTAATCTGAATCCTTGTCCGGAGAAAGCCTGGGGTTGGGCATTTCCTCTATTATTTGAATGAGAACTCCTATCTAGACTATTTGTAGCTCCCATAGTATTTGGATGTATAACATTAGGATGTGAACTTATATCTGAGAAATCGTATATATATTTGCTCATTATGTTAGAAGCATATATCACAAAATTATCAAGAGACTTTGGAGGATAGTGTAGTATATTTGATCTATCTGCTCCTGGTAAAATATCCCTCACATAGTGAAGAGAGTGACCTGCTAAAAGTCCAAGGACATCATCAAAAATGGAATTTCCTGTTAATATATCAAGTAATAATAGAGCAAAAGGTAACTGATATGCTTGTAATATAAAACCCCAAATTGATACAGGAGATGATGGAAATCTTCTGCTCCAATAGTATATTATGGCAAAAATTAGACAAGAACCATTAACTCTTTTACCTACTGGGAAATTAAATGCTATTGCAATAAAATCTATAATCACCATTAGAACCATAATGAAATATAAGTAGGATCCCTCTGAAACCCCTAGAACACCACTTTTCTCTAGTTTTGAAGAGAAGGATATAAACATCCACTGACTCATAATCCATCCTAGGCTAAAATGACCAACATAAAAGAAGTTAGAAATTAAACGCCATATCTGAACCTTCTTGACTACAAGAGGCCAATCTAAAATAATATACCATGGGTTAAGTAATCCAAAAGAGCACAGAACTGTCACAACAAAAGTGGTACAGAGCATAAATCTTGAGATTGGGGGTAAATTAGCAAACCATGACTGTGGAGTGGAGTCTTCAAACATCCTAATAAATATGTTTAAATAAAAAAAAAGTCAAGGAGTACAAATATATAACTATATATATTGGACACACGAAGGGTATGCGGTGATTATTAATAAGCCCCAGTGTTGTAATTACAGGGGGAAGCTACAAATGCAAAGATAGGCGCTAATATTTATCTTAGGTCTACCGGTTCTGCAGTATTTTTTAAAGAATTAAAATACGAATCTTGGCCAAAGCTGATGAATCTAAAGGAATATTTCAAAATATCAAACTGATGTTGTCGAGAATTATGTTTTGAGATGGATCTACAGAAGAATTCAGAAACAACTAGATCTATGGATCCAGCAAAATTAGACCCTATATTGTCATCTGTAAATAGCAAGAATATGAATCTTGCCAGTAGCATAACTCTACAATCAGTTGAAATAGGACATGATCCTTTGACATTATCTAGATCTAAAAATACGGAGAATATACCTTCAAGAAAACACAGAGTATTTGATATGGAGGATTCTATAAATTTTTCACGACCTCATATACCTAATCAAGATTTAGTGTCTTCAAGTACTTATTCGCAAATAGAAACTCCAGCTGTAGGCAATTTCAGTGACAAACCTAGTAGTGAGATACATTTAGGGGCACTAGATTGTTTGATAACTAACAAATCTCAAGGAAATGACTTTAGAGTTTCGATGAATAATAAGAAAAACCTTTTAGATTCAAAAGTACACTTAAATGATAATTCAAGTGTTGACTTGAATACAAATAAATCAGAATCTGGAATGATTCGTTCATCTTGTAAATCAGTTAGTTTATCATCCTCAAGTGTAACAGGTCTATTTTCATCGATTGCAAGTACAGTCACTCAAAATATAAGTACCCAAATTCAAAATGCACTCCGTGACTCTACTTCTAAATCCCAAATTATGTCTGGGAAATTACGAGATATTGGTATATGGAATAAAATACTAGATTCCAAACTTTTACAAGAAAACTCTAAGAATATAAGTGCAAAACCGGATAAAGAAGATATCAATTTTATATTACAGCAAGTACTATTATTTCCTGGAGAAGACATCATATTATACTCAAAGTACTGTGGAATCTTACCAAATGGTATAAGTGAACCATTAACAGGAAGTATGATTATTTCAAATTATCGCTTGATTTTAATACCGAGATTTTCTGATAACAATATAACTAGTAGCACACTAAATATGGATCCTTTTCTATCTTGGCTATTAGATTCAGGTTTTTTAACTATTCCTATTTATGTAATAACTCAATTTTCTACAACACAATTATCCTGTACAAAAAGTGGCTTTAATTTAACAAAAAGCCAAATTAGTACCCTCTCTTCAACTGACTCCAATTTTGGGACTTCTTATGGTAGTACAGTTGATGGAATAAACAATCCTAATTTACCATTTACTTTCCATGTAGCAACAAAAGATTTAAGAAGTCTTCAGATTCTTCTAGTAAATTCTGACAATGACCGAAGACTGTTGCTAAATACTATAAGCTCAACAATATTAGAACCTTGTCTAAAAAATCTTTTCTGCTTTAAACTCAATAATAGCTTAAAGAAAACTTGTCAAATTACACAGAATCAAAATTCTGATATACCTACTTCAATATTATGCCATCAATTTACCTTTAAAATTGAAGATGAATGGGCTAGACTTGGTATTAGTGAGATAAATTCCAAAGATATCATATATACTAACCAAACTTCAAAAGATCACGATGTATATGTTTCAAATAAAGATGATAGTTTATTATATCAAAACCCCCAACTTATGCTGCGAATATCTAGAGTTAACATATGTTATGACATATGTCCCTCATATCCTGATCTTTTAGTTGTTCCTAAACAGATTACTGATACCCAGTTAATTAAAATTTCATCATTTAGATCAAAAGGTAGAATTCCAATACTTAGCTGGTACTGCTCTAATTTAAGATCTAGTTTGTGGAGATCTAGCCAACCGAAGTCAGCTTTTAAGCGTTGTATTGAGGATGAATTATTTATTAGCACTATTTCTCAGTTTTACAAAAATATATCTACTAATGAACTTAAGTTACTAAAAACCCAAAGTTCAAAAGATTTTACAATATCAAAGACCAAATTTCTTATTCTAGACGCACGCCCTAAACTTAATGCATATGCTAATAAAGCAACTGGAGCTGGCTTTGAAAACATAGATTACTACCCAAACTGTGATCTAGAATTTCTTAACATTGAAAATATCCATAGAGTCCGTGATGCTTGGGTTAAAATGACGACAGTTGTTTCAAATATTGCCAACGGAGTAACAATTAGCAACGAGTCATGGAATATAAACCGAGCTTCTACTCAAAAAGTATGTTATACAAGTGATTGCATTGGTTTAAGATTATTAGGGGAAATTGACTCCACAGGATGGTATGATCTAATTAGTTTAATACTTATTTCAGTAAATAAAATTGTAGAGAAACTTAGCAATGGGAATGGAGTACTAGTCCACTGTAGTGATGGATGGGACAGAACTTCTCAGTTGACATCTTTATCTATGCTATGTTTAGATCCATTTTATCGCACTATTGAAGGATTTTTTACACTTATAGAAAAAGAATTTATTACTGTAGGACACAAGTTTCACTCTAGATGTGGCCTACCTGGACCTAAGCATTCAAGTGAGGGTGAAAATGAAAGATCTCCAATATTCATCCAGTGGCTGGATTGTGTATACCAATGTTGGATACAAAATCCAACAGAATTTGAATTTCATCCAAATTTATTGCTTTTTGTTGCTGAGAATGTGCATAACTGTTTGTATGGGAATTTTTTATGTGATAATGAACAACAACGTAGTAATTTCCAAGTTAGAGATCATACAATATCACTTTGGGATATTATTCTTGCCCAAATACATAATTCCACTTCAAAAAGTAGCTATAGCAGTGACTATCCTTTCCTTGGTGTGGATCCAAATATTTTACCTCACATGGAATTTGTAAATCCCTTCTATAGATCAAAAGATTCAAAAATAAGTGATAAAGCATCAAGTACTATTATTTGTGATGTAACATCAATAAATCTATCCCCTTGGATGGCATACTGGCTACGATACACTCCCTTAAGCTCTAAAGTATCACCTATTGGACCATTGGCTGCAGTAGTAGGACTTTTAAGTTAATAGGGCAAAGATTATATAAATTTTAGTTTAGAGAAAATATTTTGTAATAACTTTTATATACCTAATCAAAACCGAAAATTCAACATCTAGAGAACTCCAAGTATCAAAAAACTAAAAAAATTCATTATATTAAATAAAAAGTGGAACCTTGCAGATGTAAGGAACTATAGTCTAGCGGTAGGACCCCGGATTTTGATTCCGGTAACCTGGGTTCGATTCCCAGTAGTTCCTCACTTTTTTAGACATTTGAATTCATTAGAAAACACAGTATCAAGGTAAATACAAATTATGAATTATCAAGCACATCTAAAACATCAAGCTGTAAGATACAAACATCAATTCGGACATTACCCCCTTTTGAGTCGTTATTAATAACTTTCTGTATTATATCCCCTAAATTTGGTACTGTCCTTCCAAAATCTCCATGAACAAATTCTTTAATATACATTCCTGCCTCAGTAATCAAATCTAACTTAAAAGAGTTTTCATTTATCTCCTTAATGTTAATATTAAAGATGTTTCGGATTCTATCAGTATTCTTCCTTCTATGCAAAACCCTGATTGGTGTTCTTTGCTTTATACTTATTGGTAGTGTGTATAAAAAGAACTGGTTTCTTAATTCCTTATAATTTTGAGGAGTCAAATTATATGTAGTATAGCATATACAAGAGTATGCCTTTAATTTCTCACTAACTTGTAGGTTCATTTCTTTAATTAAACTAGTATTAGAGAATGAAACTTGAGATATTAATACATGACCTCCCGATAATAATTTGACATTAGAGATCAATTCAGCTATAAATTCATTTCTAAGTTGAATATTATCATTTATAGAGGGATTAACAATATTGGAATAAAATAGGTGGTGTTTGCTTGAAATTCCAGATATCTCTAAGGCAAATGGTCTACCCCCATTTGAAACTCCAAGCATACGAACATCAACATCTTCACGCCCAGATGCACTAAAAGTGCATTTCTTGTAGGATATCAGCTTGTTTAATGAATAATTCAGTATATCTTCAATAGATGTTTTAATAGGAAATGGAGGACCACATAAATTATCATTTTGACTATCATTTACATTACTAGAGGAGTTATAATGCCATATAGATTGAGATATTCTTCTTGATAACTTTTTATATCTACCACTAATATATATTGGCTTCCATTCATAACTTATCGATACACAAAATATATAATTCACATTATTTTCAATTAATGGTATATCAGACGATATTGTAAAATTTAAATAAAGATCACTTCCTTGGTTCTGTTCTAAATTCACAGATTTTAATAAAAGGTGTCTTAAACATGCCTTTAAACTAAAATATGATTCGTTACCACCTTCATTTTTTAAATTGCTGGATAAAAATTCAATACTCACTCCAAAACTAGCTACTTTAGTTCCATCACCCCCAGATACTGCTAATTTTAAGATTTCATTAATTATCATAGAGATATCCACTTTATTGTTGGATGGAGATTTCAATTTACATACTAGAAATGTACGAGTATTTTGTTCATTATCTTTTATTAATTTCTTATGAAGTTTTCGTCTCAAATTCCTTTGAGGGCGAGGGTTTGGAATCTCAACAAAGTGATATACATCAGTATTATCTAATAGTAATAAATCATTACAATAATTGCAAATATTCCCTCTCTCTTCGGAGACATTATCAAAGTTGTGCAAGAAAAATTTAAACTCCTCAGTATGGCAAGATTTAGATCTTAGATCACATCTCCAACATTTATAAGCTATACTCATTAATTTTACATAGTAATAAGATCAGATAATATAAGATACCAATATACAAATTTGCAACAATAATTTAAGCTTACTACTAATCGCGCTTTCTGATACTTGTCCTGATATTGAAGAAACACAACTTATCAATAAAAATCGAAATTAAATAGTTCTTAGTTTTTTATAGTTATCTCGTTGTATAAACTCCAATGTTTCAATATTTATACTTATTCTCTCCATAGAATATCTACTTGATCAGTTCTAAATTTTTGTGAAACTCCTGAATCTTCTAATCTAGTCCGAATTCCACATTTGTAAACTAACAGACCAGTATGAGCAATCATAGCACCATTATCAATACAGTACATATCATCCATACTGCATACATGCGCATTTCTTTCAGATGCCATCAATTCCATCATTTCAATTAGTCTTTGGTTACAACCTACTCCACCTACTAGTAGGATCGAGTCTGAACTTAGCAAACTGATAGCTCTCTCAGTAACTTCAACTAACATTGCAAAAATTGTTTCTTGTAATGAGAAACAAAAATCTTGATAAAATATTTCTAATTCTTCTTGTTTTTCCTGAAGTTCCTGTTGTTTACTGATAATGAGCTCTTCGCCAAAAGTTAAAATCCCAGAAAATGACAAATCCATGCCCTTCAAAACATAAGGTAACTGATAAAAATGTTTCCCCTTCTTAGCTAATTTTTCAACATGATAACCAGCAGCAGGATAATTATCAAGTTTCATCAATCTAGCAAATCTGTCAATACAATTCCCAATAGCAATATCGAGAGTTTCCCCAATTATTTTGTATTGGTGATTACTATATCCAATTATTTGTGTATTTCCACCAGATGCATATAAGACGACTGGATTATCTACTTTAGTTACTAGTCGTCCCATTTCAATATGGGCAACACAGTGGTTGACTCCAACAAGTGGTATACCCCATAACTGGCTTAAAACACGAGCTACTACCGCTCCTACAGATAATGGAGCACCCATTCCTGGTCCCTGTGTATAAGATATAATACTGATACTTGAGTGTTCAACATTTGCCGATTTGAGTGCCTTCTTAACTAATTCAATAATATGAGAACGGTGAAATGAAGCAGTTTCCTTTGGTAAAAACCCAGATCCCTTTATATTTATTTAAAAAATTAAAGAACAAGAATCAAGGAATTAATTTTTAAAACACAATGTTAAATAAATCAAATAAATAATTAAACAAACAATTTTAATTATTACGTACTGTTTAACAACTTACAGGTGGACCAACATAAGTCATTTTCTCATTTGCCAATATTTGTCCACTTGAACTTACTATTCCAACTCCAATCTTGTTTGCACTTGACTCAATTCCTAAAGACAAAAATTTGGCACATTTACTGCCTTCATTAGTCTTCATTACTAAAAGTATAAGTGATATAGAATATTTTAGAAGCTAATAATAATATTTACAGTTTTGGGTATCTAATTTTGCGGTAGCCAAGATACATTTCTAATTTCAAACATCCTAAGAAATATTAACTTAAGAAACATAGAATATGTTCATATATCCGAAATTTCCACTCAATAACTGTTTTATTCCTTTTTATTTACTACTATTATCTGTTATATTTAATATTATTTGGAAACTAAATACTTAAAATACGTCAATAGTCTCTTAAATATGAATTATTAACAACTATAATTTATATCAATTTTAAATTCTGAGAATTCCAAAAGAGAATTTACCAAATTTTTGTTTAATTACCATAAATAAATAAATCTACTGAAAGGCTGATACTTAGCATAAAGAGGGACTTTTTAATGAAAATGTTCTCTTTTTGAACCTTTAGAATATACTATGGGTAATAAAAAAAAAATTACAGTGCAATCCTTTTAAAAATTAAGAAGTATTTTTTCCAATATATTCAAAATTTACTATGATAATGAATATAAATAAGCACATTTCATCCGATTTTAACTTTAGCTTTAACTTCAACTACTAGCCATACTACTAATCTTCTATTAATTAAATGAATTTTATAGTCCAAAGAATAATTGATATCATTGAAATTAAATTATTTGTCTTATAAAATTTCAGAGAATTACAGTAATTCCACAATAATTCAGCCACTTTCAAAGAACATAAATTGATAATACTGAATATATTTACTTTTGATAATAAGCAGTTGTAGAAAATATTTTTGAGTTCTTATATCAGAAAAAAATTTTACAATATATCTTCTTTATCTTTACAACCTAAATTTAATATATTATAGTATTACCCATATGAGACTAGCTTCTCTTGTTTTTCTTTTTTTAATGCACCATATTAGTTAACAAAATATTTTATTTTATTATCTAGTAATATTGTCTTATTAAGTTATTATTAGCCCAGTCACCGTTCATATATTCTTTGAGATATGTGAGATATACTTGTATAAGTTATTTAATATAAATCCTTGAGTATGATAATACTAACTTATTATCTTATATAATATATATAGGTTCTAGAGTTCTCTAAATTGAAATTAGAATAAATAATAAAAAAAAATAAATTCAGTTTATATTCTTCACAATAAAATATGCACCGGTATCCCATGCATGTAAAGTTATGTGGCTCCATTACAAAATTTTTCAGTTTCATAGTTAAGAAAAATTAATTATTCTAATTCTAAAGTATTAATTCACTTTTTTAAATATAATTACGATCATATATATAAATTTATGAAAACAACTCTTCTTAATTCATTAAGTGCCAAAAATTCTGAGTATAAGGAATAAATTTTTTGGAATTACTAAAATGAGTAAAGATGAATAATATATTGATGAGACACTCAAAAAATTAAATTCAAATGTATGTAAATTTTTAAAGACTAGTTATCCAAATATAATGCACTAGATTTCTATATCTTACTACCAATTACTAAAGATATGTTTAAAATTAATGGTGAAACAATTGGAGTTCGTTACAAAATAAAGCTAATAATATGAATACAAGATTTTTTCTTTAAAATATTATTTAATTCTATATACAGGGTTAATGAAATTTATCAATTAAAGTAGAAACTGAAACTTTTATATTAAATATTCAAAAACTTCGAAGTATAAATATCTATGGAATGGTAATATGTACATTTTTTTAGCCAATATATTATTTATTGTTAGACTATACTCATAAAATCCTGTATGGAATATTATTCAATGAAGTTTATTATTTCTAGAAACAAAGGAATTGATCTTGTATAATAATTCAACAATAGTTATATTTGGTATTATTACAATGTTTAAATATAATAGACCAGGATTCGAGCAGTTTCTTAGTTAAGTTTTAGGATAAAAATAAATCTAGAGATATTAAGAAGACTAAGAAAGAAGATTTTGAAGAGTTTGAAAAGGAATAAATATTTAATTATTGATTGATAAATAATAAGAATGAGCTCAAAAATAATTTCTAGGTGGAAATAAAAGTTATATAAATATCGATTAGTTAAACAATATACGAAAGCAGAGCAACAATATATTGTAGAAAAAACCACTTAGAAAATACTATTTTATATAAAGATTGCAACTATTCAGCTAAGTTTGATATCATCTGTAAAACCTTAATCATATTGCTTTATCTTTTCTTCAGAAATAAGGTGTTCTTTCATTTCGTTCGTAATTGCAGTACAAGCTGCTTCTGCTAAGGAAAACATTAATTTTGATGTCTGGATATCCCCAAAGGCAGAACCTTTTGCTGATAAATGTACTACTTGATTACGCAAAGTACATAGTCCAATACTTAATTCGGAAATGTTAGAATTTTCAAGATTGATCTCATCATATGTTGGATCAAGTATACATATGTATTTACAGTCAGATTTGACTTCAGAATTATTAGGAATTGCGATCACAGTAACTGATGAAAATAATCCTATAATTTCAATTTTAGCATCACATAAAGCTAAAGATAAACATGATATAGCAGCTGACAATGCACAACCATCATCCTCAATAATGTATATATAACAGTCTATACTCATCCTTGTATATTTTTCACGGCAAATAATTGACTGAATAACTTTCTCCAGAGTTAAAGATTGGTATTTTTCCTCAGCTTTATAATCTGTATTTAAATTACTTTTGTTTATATTTCCATACTGTCTCATTTTTTTACAAAAGGGACTTAAACGATAATCAACTGTAACTGATAAACCAATTTCATTTAAAGAAGATTTAGTTAATTTCGGGCCATTAATAGTACATAATACACGCGTTCTACCAATTGAAAAATAAGCAGAGCCATCACAAGTAGCAACAGTACCTGTTTTTATGTTTATTGGTCTGACTTCATTTGGAATACGTGAATCATTACGTATATAATTTGATGAACTATGTAACATGTCTTTTGAATTATTGGAATGGACTACATCATGTTCGGAAGAGTTATTTTTATTAAATCTTTCCTTAGTAAACACTGGTAATGGCATAAATGCCTCAACATCTTTCATTTCCTTTTAAGGACTATAAGAAAGTATTAAAAATCTATACGATATACAAGTAGCGATGAACCGCCTGAAATTTTAATATTAGAAAAATAGCACTCATTAGTCAATAGAAATTGAACTATCAGCCCCAGTATAATTTTATGTTAAGTCAGTATTTTCATAGCATTTCATATGGAAAATTCGGAAATAGTTTGGTGCTCAAGTAACTATGTGAGATATGATCTTAAAAGTAAAGATAGTGAAAAAAGTAACCAGGCACATAAATCAGAATCTTTACTAGAGGTTGAATATAATATTGCGACTGCATCGGATTTAAAAACAGTACCAATATCAGGAACTCAACAAAATTTTATAGAACAACACTTATGGCAAATATCCTCTACAGATGAACTGAATCCAACATACTCTGAATCTACTGAGGGAATTAAGTTCTTGACCCAAGATGTCACGGAGAATACTACTATATTTTGTAACAATTGGGGAAAGTTGGGTCGCACCTTTTGGATCATATATATTATGTGTCTATCTATGATTCAGGATATTTCTGGCGTAATAATACCTAATCCTATTTATAAGCAGGAATTGACAGGTTCAAAAATAAATGTAGTTACAAACATTCCCTGCATCTCTATACTATACCCATTCTACTGGAAATATATTCTGACACCTATACGTCTTTTCTTCGCAATAATTTTAAAATATTTGTGGAATTCACACTTATCAATTACTGATGTAAAGCCAATCAATAAATTCTTTTCACCAATGACATGGTTTCCTAGAAGTTTATATTTTATTGATGCAGCTCATCTGAATATTGGAACAGGAATTAATATTTATATATCTCCATTCAGACGTTTAATATCTAAAACTACTGATTTAAGATATTGCCCTGAAATATGGAGAATAATTAACAAGGGATCTAATCGTAAAATAATGTATATATCAACCAGACCTATTGGATATATTATTGCCTTGGGTTACTCTGATGGATTTTCAATATGGGAACATAAACCACCTTTTACAGGGAGCTCTCATGATGGATCATTTATTTCTAATGGATCCTGGAAATGTATATTTTCTATAACTCTTTATTCTCTCAAATGTTTATTATGGTCAAACGATGGTCGTACACTTTACGTAGGGGATGGATCTTGTATTAGGGCATTTTCTTACATATATATGGCGACAATTAATTCTATAGAGCAGGAAATGAGTATTGATAACTTCAGTTTATATGGTAATGGTCAAATTATATTTAGGGCTCCAACATTTGTACATGATTGTCTGGCTATTGCAACATCTGATATATTTTCTATTTTGGGGGTTGTTTGGGATGATGGTTACATTAATTTTGTAGACACTAATACTTGCAACTATTTGGTAGTTAAACATATATCTAAATTTAAATTAAAAAGAGTGTTTCTTCCAATTATAACATGTGTAGATGACTTATCTAACAATCAATCTTGCACATTTTTATTTTCAGATTCAAATAATATGTATGAATTTTTAATTAGACAAGATATATCTCAATTACAATCTAATTCAAATGAAAATATGAAAGATATTTCAAATAATTCATTAGAATTTACTAGATTACGTGCTCTACCAATACATTCAAGTAACCGTGAGAAAAAAATATTGAGTTTCACTTCTTCATATCAACGTGTTGCAATAATTTATGAAAATTCAAACTTAGTTTGGTTATACAGTTATACCATTAAGTATAATACTAATAGCCATCTTCTACTGATTGGTACAATTGAAGGTTATGGCATACCAAGGCAGATAAATATGCAGATAATTCCACATAGTGTAAAATCTATAAAAGGCTCAATGCTTATTATAAAGTGGATATCTCATGATTATAGCGAGGATAATACTGCATATAATTACAAGATCAAATCATACCCATTATTCTATAGTATATAGACTCAAATTAGCTTGGACATCTTCTTACCTTATATTTTCTTGGGGTTTATATCTAGAAATTCAGACATCTCCACGGTACCTATAAATCCCCGCTTTTTTCTAGAATAAAGGATTCTGCTACAGAACTTTACCTATATTAATTTGTTATAATTAGCTTGAATTTATGAATATTTGTAGTTTAGAAATACTTAGAATTTGTGAATATTTGATATAGATATGCAATTCACCAGTAAATTGGTGTCTTCAAAAGTTTTGCAATTATGGGGAAGTAACGATTTCTTAGCTAGATCTGAAGCTAATAGATATTTGATGGAATTTCAGGGATCCCCTTTGGCATGGGATGTATCTCGAGAACTTTTAGAAAATAGCAGAGAACTAGAAGTTCAATATACAGCAGCTCAAATATTATGTTATAAGGTTTCTCACAATTTAAATGAATTTGAAGCATGTGGAGGATCTATCAGTACTATTAAAGAATCGTACTTTAAGTTCATTTGCAAATATCTACAATCAAATACTGGAGATAACACTATAATATTATTAAGTAAGATATCTGAAGGTTTCTCATATTTAATAGCATATGATTTAACTAAGGGGAACTGTTCTGAAGATTTTGAGAAATGTTTACGAATATCTGAACCATTTTTCTTAAATAAAGGGACTGGTATTGAACTATGGATTACGTTGAATATTATGAGATATATGCCTGATGCCTGTAAGAAATTTGAGACACAAGAACAACTAATATTTCAATTATTATCTAGGATATTATCATTTCTATCTGAATCACTTATATGCTGTATATCATCCCAAAATTCTTTAAATAATCATAATATGAAATACAAATTATTAGATCTGTTAATTGACATTTTAATTGAATATTTTGAAAAGTTAGAAGCCCCATTATTTCGTCATTTAACCTTATCACAATCTATATTCCAATTAATGCAAGTAGATATATGTATAGCCCCTTATAGAATGGCTGAATTATTTGTAAGAGGATTACCTCGTTGCTCCTATTATATGCAGAAGATAATCCCCTTAGGAAATCCAGGAAGTATATGCAAAACTTATGAAGACAATCAAACTCTAAGTTTTGATGTGGAATTTCCATACGAAGGTGAGACATTAATTATAAAGTCTCTTTTAATATACTTGAGATCTTTATTTGATAAACTAAGGAATATTCCATTAGCTAGTGAAAAGACATTATCTATGGCTTCTATTGATGAATCTCATGAGATGATCAGAATGAAAACCTGGAGTAGATTGAAAATGGAAATACCTCAGATCCAATTAGATAATGAGACTGAACGTTCTATTTTAAGCTGGTCTGGTGTGATGTTTAATTTATTAGAAGGATATTCTCAATTATTTATTTTAGATGAGACATCTACTCAGAATAGTGGATTGAATATTAATAACCCTTTAACTTTTTTACCTAAGATGCTATCCTTACTTTTGTCTCTTCATATAAGAATTCCTGGAATATTAGCAAATATTTGGTGTACATTAAGAGATCTAGTTAATGAGAATATTTTATCTCATAACCAAGGAGTACAACTTGCATCCTCTTTAGTAACTCCAGCTATTCACAGTATTACGATTCAATGCCGGGATGACTATTATTATTGGCAACAGCTAGGAATTACCCAAGATTCAATAATATTATATAAACAGAGAAATATAGGACATGATGAACTAAAGTTTACTGAACAAGATGATTCTGCAATTGATGAATACTGTGACTTTTTAGATACTGCAAATATTCATATTGGTGATATTTATTTTTTCTTATCATCTTTAGGATCTAATTATGCCTCCGAATTTATCACATTTATCTATCATTCATTAATGGAATGTTGTAGAGAAGATGACTCTACGGGATGTATTGTATTTTTGAGATTTGCTGATTCTCTTATTGAGTCAACAAATTCTCTACAAGGTCCCATGTCAAATATAATTGAATTTTCTTGTATATCTACCCCAAAAACTCAATCTTGCATATATCAGGTAGTTTTACTTCTTCAAAAAGCAGCATTTTTACTATCTGACAAATCACTTCAGAATATCTGGTTTACTTCTCTGAAGTATTTATTAGATATTTCCGAATATTGCAATCTAACATTAATTTCATCAACTTTTGAAGAGATTTGCCAATTTGGGGCCGATCATATATTGAATAGTCTACATAGTGATCAAATACTCCTTGAACTAAGTGAAAGAGTCATATTAATTATCCAACATAAGATAAGATTTTGTTCAAATGAATCTATTTATAATAATATTAGTAAAATTGATGAGAATATTGGATTAGTTGGTGGTATTGTCCATTGTATTTGTTATACAATGATAAATAGTAATAAATCTATTGAAGATATAGCTAAAATACTTCAAACGTTTCTATTTCATCTTGTGAAAAAAACTCTTTGCTATCCTGATACTATTCCTATATCTACACAATTAACTTCATCTAATATACCAAATAGTTATAATCTTAATACAGAAGAATCTATACTTAATGGAATATGGAGCCTTTATGTTCTTTATAAAATCTTGAAAATTTTTACATTACTATTTTGTAGCTCAAAAACAGATACTAATTTAGCTTCAATATCACAAAAAGTACTAAGAACACCGAGCCAACAATTAGTATTATTTTTGCAAGGAATATTTTCTAACTCTGAACAATTCGGTAATTTTGAAAATAATATTGGACATCTAATTTTAAATTCTATATCACTTCCAAGCAAGTCTCAAGGTTATGGAGTTATCACATTTGCTTCATTACTCCAGCAACATTCAAGAAATATACCTTTGCGGCAGTTAATGTTTACAAATAAAAGAAACCTTTTAAAGGAAAGTCCAAATTGTCTTCTTTGCCCTAATGATATTATTATTGCAATAAGCTGCTTAATATTAAGAATAATCTCTGACTCATGGTCGGTTGAACAAGATCAAGATCCATCTAATATTAGTGTTGAAAAATCATGGTTTCATTGGAATTCAGTATATTATAAATTTGTCAAACAGCATTTAGTTGATATAAAAGAAATGGAACAGAATCCAATCATACTCATCAAAAAACATGGAGCATGTACAATGATAGTTTGTAGTATATTAAAGAAACTACCACAAATCAAACGAGAAGAATTTATTAATAGTATGAAGAATGATTATACAGAAATTATGCTTTATGAGTTTTGGATTAGAAAATCTCAGACCATTAAGAATATAGAAATATATAGAATAATAGAACCTCTATTTCAGTGGCAAATTACATATATTGGAAATAGTCATATATTATCTAATTCAGCACAAAGTGTTATCTTCTCTCCATATTTAAATTCATGTTTGAGTATTGCATTGCAAGCTTTAGAATCTAAAGATAAATTTCTTATAAATACTGTCTTAACATACCTTTCAAGACTCTGTACTATAATACATATATCAGGAAAGTATCCAGATGCATGGAAAGTGCACTTTAGTAGTATTATTGTGGTTTTATTTTCAAATTATCCATACTTTCATAAAAATCTTATAATGCAAACATGTCGCCTTGTATCATCTCTTTTAGAGTGTTTTCCAGATGATTTTTTAAAAATAATAAATAGAATAATATTTCCTGATATTAACAATAATCAGGTGGATAATAGAACTAATCCCTTTAGATATACTTCACGAGAGCAAAATAAAATCATTATTAGATGTTTCCAGAATCTCCGTGGTGCTAAATTACGTCAATTATTGATAGATATTTCAAATATAGTCAATGGGATAATAGATGCAAAAGATTGTTTATTACCATATGAACTCTACCTACAAAATATAAATCAAGGTAATACATCAATAATCAGTATCATATAACTACAAAAAAATTATACTACTACTTCCAATAGACTTTTTAGGTATCTTAAATAACAAAATATGATGGAATTAGATATATTAATAATTTTATTCTAATTCTTGATCTCCTTATTTAAGCTATCCTTTAATAGTTGTTGAAAGTATTCTTTATTTTTAGTTTTATTATCTTAGATATAAATTTTATTCCGTACACTCTTCGTTTTCTGTCTTTATCCTAGAGGGTGCACCAACCATTTCACTAACATATGGGTGAGATAAATCAGCTAAATTAAATATAGACATGTTATTATTTAATAAATGGACTCTTAATTGCCATCTTTGATTAATACTATGAACTAGATTTGGATGTATTATACGACTTTGAGTTGTACAAAGATTAGGATGGGGTATTAATTCAATATTCTCAACTTGTTTGCGATCTTTACTTGCAGAAACAGCAGGACTTACTAATGGAGTTGATTTGTCATCTACTGAATAAGTATGAGCGGAGATAGCCCTATTATTTAACAATACAGGGTGTATACGATAAAAGAAATGTAAAGCATCTCCTACAGATCTCATATGATTAGTATGATACTTAAGTTCTTCTTCAGAAAGCCCTTGATTCTCTCCAAAATAAGGATTAGTAAATCCGCAGACATTTTCAAAAGGTAGATACTTTAATGATAACATTGGAATTGTTTGACATTCTTTAGTAGAATTTGTTATTTTATTCTCAAGCCCTATAGGATATTCTTTCTCTAAACTGGACATAGTTACTTATATATCTAATTTCTAATTTTTATTTGATAGTACAACCAAACCTAAAGCTAAAAAGGTAGTATAACAAAAAAATCTTCTTAGAGAAGGCATGCACACGATACTGTCGACGTTACCAGGTCTCTATCATGAGTAGCGGTAAAAAAAAATTAAAATATTATATAATTGAATTTTTATTTTAATTATATAAGGAAGATGTATCCATAATATTCTCTGGAATTTTAGAAGATTTCAATTACTATATTTATTATATTAAAAGAGATGGATGCAAAAGATGCTGATATTTTAAAATTCTTAGAAGACTATAAAGCTTCGGAATCACTAAATATATTTATGGCTTTAAGGGAAGAATGCCAAATTAATTTTGACCCTCCAATTGTCTTAGAACACCAAATATTAATAGATGATGGAAGAAAATCTTCGTTACAAGGTGAGGTATTTTAGAATTTAAAGTTTTCTGACACTCTTAATCATGGTAAATGTCTTTGTAATAATATCTTGCATCATTTTTTAGATTTGGAGATGTTAATTAAAGATGGAGCTCTTAAAAAACTTAAAATACCTCAAATAGATATTTTAACTAATATGACGACTTATGGCTATGTTCTAACTAGTGATATAATAAGAGTAACTCATTCAAAGTTAATTCATATTGTAAGAGATGATGAAACTTGTACGGGAATTAAAATATGCTTGGATAAAGATAGTTGTGCTATGGGGAAATTAGATATTATATTTATACCAGAATTAATTAATTGGATGAAAATAAAAATCTTTCCAATTTTTACAGGCCTTAAGATTAGTAATGCTGATATGATGAATTGTTTAAATAAATTCCTTGCAACCTTTAATATAGATAAAGGAAATCTTCAACTATGTAAAGAGCATATTAGATTATTAAATACTGATAAATTACTTACATATTTAATGAGAAGTGGAATTTTAAGAAGAGATGAGGAATTACCAAATAAATTTTTAGCTTTTTCAATACCAACTATGGGTGGTTTTATTCAACAACTTGAGAGTGGTAATAAGGCAATCATTACAGCTCTTAAAAGATTTAAGTATAATGAAACCACTCTTGACAAGTTGGAATGTATTAATTTAGGAAAGTCCAATTTTACATTAGATTTTCATTTACGTGATTTACAAGGTAGAGGGATTTTAAAAAAAGAGTAAGTTAAATTTATTTTGAAATTTTGTAAATTTTCTAATTTATTTTTCTTATATTTGTTATAGATTACAAAGTGGATCTGTCTTTATATATAAATTATCCAATAAATTTTCAACTTTCTCACGTAAAAGGTACCGATTTAACTATTAGTTTCAAAGAATTAAGTGAAGAAATTCACATTATTATACAATCTATAAAGTGATTAAGATATATTTTAGTGAAAAGTTTGTAACTAAACTTAATATATTATTGTGTATATATTTATTTTATATATAAAATCTTTATATTATAATGATTATGTATTTGCAATGTATTATCTAGATATTTCAAGTTACAAAAGTTTGGTGATTTAAACTTTTATATGAATTGGAAGTTGAGAAATTTGAAATAGTTAAATCTATATTAATAGGAATATTGGAAAAAGTAATTATTTATCAAGTCATATGCCTTTGATATTATTTTTGTATTCTTAAATATGAAAGTATATAATCAAGATCATAAATTGTATTAATATAAAAAGAAAATAATCTATATATTTGTAAATAATTAGTTATAAAATGAATTTTTTAATTTTCTTATATCAATATTTGCAATGTAATAGTGTAATAATAAATTTCTTTTTTATTTTGTTATGAAAATATATCGAAAATATCTATCAAAATCTTATTATAGACTCCATTTGATTCCTAGTATCCATAACTAAATATATTAAATTACTAGATATATTTAGAATAATAAATATATATAAGTGATCAAAATATAGAAAAAAAAACTTACAGTTAAATAATTCATTCAATAATTTAAAGATTCATAGATTTAATAACATGGAGATGTACTTCTTGATCTACTTAGTGATCTTGTTTTATGATTTATACTTCTATAATATCTAGATCTTTCTATACTATTTTTATTACTAAGAAGAGATGTCAAGTAGTTATCTTTACTTTGATGATTATATATAATTGATCCATTACGGTTATTTAGTTTATTTAATTCCTTTTCAAACAATAGTCTCACATCTTTAGTAATTCCATAAATTCCTATTCCACCTCCTTCTGCACCAGAAGGTGTATAAGAATCACTCTTAACCTTGTAATTTGAAACGTGATCTACTTTTAATTTATTACCTAGTAGTATCATATCGTTGGCATTATCAACTGCTAAAATTGTGCTCTGTTGGTCTTCATATGCTAAAAAACAAAACCCTTTAGATTTCCCAGTTTTAGGATCTCTAATTAAATTGACATCTATTGGTTCACCCCATTGAGAAAAGACAATAACAATATCCCCTTCTGTTAGCCCATAATTCAATCCTCCAATATAGATATATGCAGAGTTCCTATACTATAGAGGTAATAACATATATAATAATTAAAATATATTTAATAGTATAACTATAGTTAGGAGATATATTTAGCAAGAGAATGTAGACAAATTCTTAATAAAGAAAGTAAATCTTATCTTTTTTTTTTCTTTTATTCATTATACTTAGCTGAATAAATTTCCTTAATCTTATAATGAACTTACCGTTGAATGCCATGAACCCTCAGTATTATAACATTTATTATATTCAAAATCACTTAAGGATTTCACAGAGCTTTGAAAAATGTCGGGTTTTTTCATATAAGTATAAATAGAGATAATTTTATCAAAGAGATAAAAAAAGTGGCGCCAATAGCTGCCTAATCTATAACTACACTTTTAATAAAAATAAAGAAATATAGTTCCTGAGTATATCTGGTATAATATATTACCTATATATATATTATAAAATGATACTGATAATATTAACGATAATATGGAATTTGTGTATTTTAATTTATACGATAGTTTTTAAGATTTTATATTTTATAATGGTAAGTAATTTTAAAATTGGGATATGATCAATAAATTTATCTATTAAGAAAAAAAATAATACTTAGAAAAATAAAGTTTTAGTATTATTAAGGATATAGTATGGATTAGGTTTTAATACTTATTTATGACTCTTTATAGAATTTATTTGGGATAGATATATCTCAAAATAGTGAGGAAGATAAAGTAAATATTAAGAACTTAAAGAAAGTTCCAAAACATTTTGTAATTACCTTTAGAGATAGGGAAGCAAGTGAAAAAGGAGTTCTAGTCCTATTATACAAGAGTTTATGTTTATTGAAGACTGTTAATGTTGAATATGTTACTATTTTTGAGCCTACAGGGATTGTACAGTCTAAGTTGACACCTCATTTAAGAGATGATAATGAAGTTCCTACTAATATACGCTTTTTAACAAAAAAAGATTCTATTGATGATTTCTTTGAGAAAATTGTCCAGATAACAAATATTTCTAGAAGTGAACAGGATGATAATGAAAATAAACTTACTTTCAAAAATTTATATGAATCCTTAAATTGTGGTGGAACTTGGCCACCTGCAGAATGTATATTAATACTAAGAAATTTACCTTTAGATGTTCCTTTGAATGGAGTTGAAGATATTATAAAATTTCTGAGGAGATTACGTGAATACTTAGCAACATTTACAATAAAACCAATACAAATTGTAAGCATGGGAGCATTTGGAAATATGCCGCCTATATTACCATTGAGTGCAGAGCTATAGTAAGTTACCCGCACAATATTGCATGCTTATTTTCTAACTCTGTATTTTCTTTTTCTAGTGAATTTTGGGGATATGATATCTCAAATATAAAAAAGGTTTTAATAAGATATTCTAAAACAAAACAGCGCAATGGAAGATAAGATCCTTGATAACTTCTAGAAATATATATTTACCTATTTCTTTGGAATATTAAAAATTAATGGTTACTTTCTTTTTTCTATTTATTTGTTTATAAAAAAGTATAACAATAGCAGTAATTAGATTTAAACAACTTTTTAGTTTTTTTCTAATTTCTTATATGCATACTAAATCAATATATATATCTCTAGTCTGCTTAATAAATAATCACTTTTAATTTTTGATCTAAATCCTTAGCTATTTTTTCTATTATACATTTAGACGTATATTCTAGTACTCTATACGTAAGGCGCTATAGTCTGTTTTTCTTCGTATCTTTAAATGCAATGGAAGACATTTATCATACGTCTCGACTTGTATTATTTGTTTTATTGAAGCCGTGTGGTTGTGTGGAATATAGCAGAAATATTGTAATTTGAGTTAGCGACTCAGCGCTTGTAAATAAAAGAAAAAAAAAAGGAATCTAACATAACTGGTGCTTTAAGGGTAATTAACAAAAATACCAAGGGTACTATATCCAATACTCTGTTATATATCCATTGATAATCCAGCTAGGTTAATATAATATAATGGGCAGTAAACAGTCCATTCCAACTACAAAGGATGGCTATCTTTTAAGAATACCAAAGTTTCAGAATTTTCCTGAAGATGTAAAAGCTAATGTAGAATTAGAAGAAGGTGTAATTGTATTGATGATAGCAAAATCTGGTAGTACAAGTTTTATGGAAATTAACACTGATGATGGGCGTTTTGCAATAGCAAAGGCAGAAGCAGATCGTATTGCAGAGGAAGAGGCTCTTCGTTTATCTACTGAACAATCAATTAGGGTAAATGAGGGGGATGGAGTTTATTCAGTCCCAACATCAAGAGTAATAACAAATGTAACATCATTTATATCACATTCATCTTCACAGTTAGAATCAGAAGTAACTTCTGCTCATTCGGATACTATTAATAATACTACTGATGATGTATTAGATATTGAAGATAACAAGTCAACAACTAATGGAGGTTTTATTGAGAATTTAGCAAATCAATGTGGAGCTGTATTCTCTGAATGTCATCAATATCCTAAATTTCGTATCGTTGCAAATGGAAATGAAGTGCAACGGCGTATTGATAATGTTCTACATTCATCTGGATGTGATACAGAATTTGTTATTGATAAGACAACTGCTACATGTGGCTGTTTAGGACCAAAACATGATAGATTAACGTGTAAAGTTTGTAGAGGGATGCACTTGGAGGACGCTCCACTGTTATATTGATCTTCTCTCCTTTCTTCTTGGATAGTTAAGAAGTTGTCAAAATAGGTTTTTTGGAATACTAATTTATAACACTTGGGAAATAAATAAGTAATAAGCTTTATATTAGAAGATACAATGACTACATATTTTATTTGTACAAGTAATATTTATAAGCCTATATTTAAATAGAAAGCATGTCCACAGGTTTTTTTTTTTTTACGAGATTAGTTTTTCAGAAACATTAATGTTTGACTAGATGTATATATAGGTTTATATATGTGCATGCAATATTCAATTCTAAGATTCTTGATATTATTTTATATTGGATTTTGCATGCATGTATGCAGATTTCCATGTATTGAGGATCATATCTCGAGATATTAATACATGTATACATGCATATGTATATAGCCCAATAGTGGACTATATTTAGGTTATATCAAGGTTCATTACTGACTATTTTACAATAAATAAGACAAAGTTTTTCTTTTCTTTATAATTGGTGTGGATTTTAGTAATAGAGGAATAATGGAACTAGAAAATGCATCCCCAAATCAAGCTACAAAGACAAGCTTAAGTCAATCTGAAGATCAAGCTTTATTAAAAAAACGACCATCAGATGCTTCTACATCTGGAGATGATCAAAGTAAAAAGGTTTGTTCTGGAGTATCTGAAAAACAAAAAAATAGAAGGGAAAGTTCTGATTATGTCGATTATTCTAATGTTGATACTTCTAATTATAGTAATTGTAAGAATTCTTTCACTAAGCATTCAATACAAAGTCACAATACAAAGGAATCTTCTAAATCGCATAATTCTAACTCTGTAAATTCTTCATATGGAGATAGTCTAGAAAGTGGATCAGGATCATCTACTAGAAATAATGATAAATGTTGCTATGATAAAAGTTCAAGTAATATTAGTAAATCTGAAAATTCAACTAAAATTGCGGAATTTTCATCAAATTGTAAAGATTCACAGAAAAGCAGAAAGGACACAATGTTTGATGGATACAATGGGACTTCTTGTAATATTAGTAAAATTACTACCAGTAAATTAAATACTAGCTCAAAATCAACATCAAAATCTGATAGTTGTCAAAATAAATTAACTAATAGTGGATCTACAGATTGTATTGATGGTTCAGAAAATAGTCCCACTAATAGGGATGAAACATATTCAAGTACTGATAGAGATTCTTGCAATATTGATAAGAATTCAATTACTAGTAAGAAGTCATCTTTAAGTGATCAAAAAGGAGTAAAAGGAATGGAATCTACAACTTCAAAGTCATACTCTAATAGAACCCAAAATTCATAATAAGCATCTATTTCCCTTATAATATACTTAATATTATATATTTGATGCTAATGTGGACAAATTTCTGAAAAGTATGCACCTATTTAATGATAAGGAAAGCCAATCAAGTAAATATTATACTTGAAAAGGATATATTAAAAAAAAAAAAAAAGACAAAAAGAAGATATTGTAGAATAGATTCTTTTAATATTGCATATTTATGATTAAAGTCTATTTGATCTAAATTTTTATAGTTCTTAGATTTTAATTAGAATACTTTATTATTTCCTTATAAAGGGGATCTTAATAGTTACATCTTCATAGTGTAATTTAGAGCGGGAAGATGGAGGTTGATAGTTCTCCTTAAAAAAGGTATTAGCTTCCCTTTTAATATTAAAGTTAACTTTTTTCGTTTTTTTTTTTTTAAATGGACTCAGATAGTGATATTGAAACTCATATAGTTGAAGATATAGTTGAATCAAATAGTTTAACTGGTAAGTGGTGATGTTTGTATATTTTTTTTTATTTTAAATATATTGCCACAATTTATTTATTTAATAATCAGGACCTAAATTAATTTTAAACTCTGAGAGAATTCTTTACAGAGCTGAAGAGATTAAATATAAACCATTCAATGGGATAAAAGAGATTCCATTTATTGAAACTTTGGCTATTACTGCTCCTATAAATAAATGCAATTTAGATATTGACTACAAGGACAGTTTAGCAAGAGAAATAAGTTTTTATAATACTGCTTTAAATAATGTAAAAGAGGCTTGTAATAAACTAAGTGATTTAGGAATTAAATGGAATCGTCCAAATGATATGTTAGCTGAGATGTTAAAAAGTGATGCTCAAATGAGGTCAATCAAAGCAGATTTACTTAAACAAGAAGAAAAAATTAAGGTAGTTCAGAATAGAAAAAAGAGAACTATAGAGAAGAAATTTACTAAGAAGATTCAGGTTGAAAAGAAGAAACTAAGAGCTCAAGAAAAGAAAAATAATATTAAAGAAATAGAACGGTGGAAGGCAAACAGAGATAAAAGTATACCAGTAGAAGAGTCATTTGATAAATTCTTTACTAATAAGAAGGTAGTAAAAAGTTCAAAAAATAAGCAAGGAAAGGATAAATCAGAAATATCTAAGAAGATAGGTACAAATTCAAAATTAAAGAAATTAAAAAGAAATAAAAGTTCTAAAAGATAAATTGTGTTCTAAATTGGCATAATTAATATTTCTACTAAGTCTAAATAATAAATAATATATTATTTATATATATAACTTATTAATTTTGTATCTATTTAATATTATATTATTATTTATATATTATTAATATAATAGCTATTTATTATACAAATTAATTATTGTATAGATCAGTAATTTTTTATCATAAAAAAAAGAATTCTGAAATTAATGTTAGAGTTAAATTATTAAATGTTTCCTTGTTGATTTCAATTTTGGATCTTTTTTTCGGGTCTTTTCTAGTTAATTCTCACTAGTAACTGAATCTAAATTCTTTAGAGAATTTTCCATAACATTCTGAGATATTTTAATCATACCCTTTAATTTGAAAAATAAAGAGTTTTCATCATTTTCATCTAGCATATCAATATTCAAATCTTTACATATTTCGTGAATGCTAGTAGTATTTCTGTATCTTGTAGCCAAATACCAAAGGCATTCATTCAACCAGATATTCCTATTCGATGATTCCTGACTAATATTACTAATTCCAAGTGGTGGAATATCTTCCATAAGTTTTAATAATTTTGTTATTGTAATTTCTTCTAGATCTTCCAGACATAATCTAATTATTTTTCTTTGACCCATTGAATACAATACAATAATCGATTCAAAAATTAAAATATCGTACTGTTCGGAAGATATTGCTTGTTTAATATGTTTTTTTAAAAATTGTAAATCACATATTACAGATTGTGAAGAATTTGATATTTTCTTTATTTCAGATTTTAAAGATTGTAATTTTTCCATATTTTTTCTATTATATTTTATTTTTATATCTTAAAAAAAGTTGATAAAATCTTCAAAAAATAGATTTCTAGGCTTAATTCTCATGGACTTTTTTTTTCCTAAATCTGAAAACTTGATACCTATTGACAACTCCTATTACCGGTAAAAAATTATGCAGTATACCGGTATTGACACTATCCGTAAGGATAAAAAGGAAAAAACTTCTACATAGTACAATTTTCCCACTTATATTAATAATATATCTTTTAACTTAAGTATTTATCCAATTTGTTTTTTTTTGAAGTGAGACCTTTCCTTTGATATAATTATTTTTTTTTTTTTGTTAACTAGGTAATGGCCAGCGAGGCCCTTGGTCTTGCAAACAGTATCTTCATCAAAAATATATCACCTTTGGCTACAGAAGAATCAGTATGTAAAGCATTTGAAGATTTAAAGAATGAGATTTTAGGTGTTAGCTTTCATGTTTACCCAGGTACAAGTCAAAGATTCTGTCAGGTAGACTTCAAGACTTCAAGTGGAGTTACTAATGCTATGGGTTTAAATGGATCTACACTTTTAGGAGTACCAATGTCAATAACTGTTATTGCACCAGTACCAATTAAACTAAATATGAAATATCCCAAGATATCTCCAAAATCAACTACACAGAGAAGTGCTAATATACTTGAAGAACGATTATCACGTACTATACTTGTAGAGAACATACCAGAGAAATTTACCCAAAATGAATTGAAAATTTTCTTTTCAAATTTTGGGTCTATTTTAGATATAAGCTTTGAACAACGTCAAATTGGTGATGAAAGTCTTCGTTGTACTATTGAATTTGAGAACAAAGAAGAAGCGAATAAAGTTAGAAGACAAAATAAAGATATAGTACTTGGAGATAGAGTATTAAGGATATCAACTCCTAAGTCTATGATAAGAAATCTAAGTCAAACCTCTGATATTCAATATACAATGTCTAATGTGATGTTATCTTCAGTTCCAGTAGCATATCAACAAATTAAGAAGTTACAATGGGAAAGTAAATTAGCAAAGGTAGATGAAGTAGTTAAAGAGTTAATAGACAAGAAATTGTTAACAAAGGATGAAGATATATTACCTAAAAAAAAGTTAAGTAGAAGTGGGGATTCTCATGAGAAAATAAGACCTGAAAGAAGAGATGGCATTGAAGTAGTTAATGAAGATATTGAATATAGATATAGAAGAAATCGTTCATTTTCACGATCTCCACCTACATAATGCTAAAAAAAAATATAAGTAGTATTATTAAGAAATATATTCATAGAAATACTAATTTTAGTATTATTAAATTTAATTTAATTGATTATCAATCATCTCCGGAATTATCATCCTCACGAATCCACTTTATATACCGACATACAAAGTCAGATTTTAAAATATCTAAGGCTTCCTGCTTTTGATTATCCTCATTTATCTTTAAAGAAAAGTCATACCAATTAGGTATCAAGTCTTGATTAATAAATCCACACTTTTCAAATGCAACTAATAAAGAACCGAAATTTAAAGTTTCATTGTTGGAACAAAAGTTCAAGATAGCATCGCAGACAGAATAAGTAAAATTCAATTCATCCGGTCTACAAAATGCTGAGAACAGATCATAAATTCCACAGTGCTTGACAAAACTAAGGAAATCTTCAAAGTTTATTCTTTTTCTATCCAGTAAGAACTCATGGGAATTGTCAGCTAGATACATGAGAACAACTGGTAACAAGCAATCTAATACATCTAAATCATCCTTAAAAAAGGCAAATCTAAGACCTTTAAGTTCCAATATTTTATTTGGTATATGTATGGGAGTTAAAAGGCCTGATTTGACAAGGCTTATAACCTCATGTCTAAATTCTTTAAGATCCTGTTCTATATCTTGTTCTGCCACTTGAGTATGAAGAGAATCTTCACTGTCACCTTCACTATCAGTATTCAAATTAATTTCTCTATTAATATCCCTACATACATTACTTTCAAATAATATAATACTACTAAGTGCATCTCCTCCTAAAGCATATTGTTGTTGATGGATCATATTGTGATCACAAGGCCACAAAATCCCAAGACAGTTAGGTCCAATTCCTAACTTCTCTAATTCATCTTTAGATGCTAGATGGTATCCCTTAATTACTGGACTATTAATTTCAGATATTACTTTACCTGAAGTAAATGTGGAAATCTTGCTGAAAGATTCAATAACCTTTGAGGAACCAATTGAGACATTAGATCCTAAGACGCAACATGGCATAATTAAAACATTACTGTGAATCGTCACATTATTTGATATAAAGGTTGATTGAACACTTGAATAATCTCCAATAGTTACATTACTTAAAAGTATACAACCTTTTATAGTACAATGGTCTCCAATTTTACAATTTGGGCCTATAAAGGAATTTTCTATTACAACATGGCTACCAATAGTTGTATTTTCTCCAATAGATACCATAGGACCCAAATCAGAATTCGGATTAATAACAACTGCATTACCTAAAAATACGCTTTTATTCTCACAACGTTGGATTGTTTGACCTGCTATACTACAGTAGTCAGGTACAACTGGGAAAGCCCAACCTTCACAAACATGCTGGAGAGCTGCATGATAGGTTCTAAAATCACGAATTCGTACTGCATATTGACTAAGAATTGCAATATGTACTTCTTCTTGTTTAATATCAGATGTCAGTACATTTCTAACATAGTCATGTTGAATATTATTATAGTCAAATGTTTCACAAAAATCTTTAAGGAGTTGAGGAGAACATATTGAAATCCCAACATCAAGCAAATCATAGCGAATTTTTGTATTACCACTTTTTGAATTACGTCTATACAAACTTAAATCTAAGGATATATCCAAAGACTTACTAAATTCTCCCCAAAATACCAATTCGTTGTCTATCACATCATAAGCTACTACACACTCTGTAGCTGTTGTTCTTAGTGTACTTAGGGGAGGACATTCAGCAAATATTATTGTCATTGCAACATTCAAACCACTTAAACGCTTCTTCTTATGAGCAGATATATGTTCCCTAATATCTGCTACTGTAAATAAATCACCTCTTACTAGGATAAAATCGTCTCTTAAGTCAACTTGACATTCTAATTCTCTCAAAATATCTCCTAAAGAATTGCAGTGAAGTCCGAGATGAACTATGTGCAAATTAAGTGACTTCAACTTTTTATTTGCATTTATTAAAGTTTCAATATGATTACTAACTAGATTGATGTGGTCACGAACTAACAAATATGCGTCAGTTACTCCATTGCGAGATAACATTTCTACAACATAATTCAAAATGGCCACTCCATTTATAGGCAAAAGTGTTGCTGGAAATTCACATGATATAGGTGAAAATGAATCTTCTTCCAAAGTTTCTACAAGTACAACAGCTGGAAGACATACGAAATTAGTATCTTCATTTCGTCCCTTAGCTCCTTTCTTATCCATACTCCATATATCATATATTTCAATTGTACTTATAACACAAAGCTTTACAAAACAGAAACTAATGTAAAGTAACTACTAAAATCTTAGTAACAAGAACTTTGCTCTCGTCACAGAACAAATTCAAGATCTAATTCCTTATACCGGCATGAGTACCGAAGATAGACACAAAAGTATCTACCTATATGGCGGTAAAAAAAGAGCTTTTATTAAAAAAGTAGACAATAGTGTATTCCATGTGCTTGTGTGGGGGTGAGGGGGGGGGATAGGGGAGGAAGGGAAGAGAGGCCTTTTGAAAGAAAATAAAAAGAAAACAAATCTTTTGAAAACTTAAATATCTCAATATAGATGAGGAGGTATGAATTTATTCACATGGGAAGGCAATAGTCTGTCTGAGATAAGGCAAAAGCCTACTATAATTCCGGAATTGCTTAAGGAGCTAGTTAAACATCTAGTAGCTACCCATGAAACTTTGGAAAATTGTGAAAAACATATAAGCAAAGAGAAGTTAGTACAAAGGTGCTACTTGAAAGCTCTTAAGGTTATAAAGGCTCACATCGTATCTGGGTCAAAATCAATAACAATATCTGATTCACCATTGGATGAAGCTCTAGAGTTACTGATAAGCTCTAATAAATCTATACAAGCTCAAAAGTTGAGCCTGCTCTATGATCGTCTTTCTATTTTGACTTTAGCAATTCCAGAGCTATCTAAATTTGTATCTGATGGGCCTTCTGGTCGCTTTGAAGACAAGGTAATAAGATTGCTATTACCATTGTGGAATACCAAGAATTCTAATATTTCTAATATATCCATTCGTAATAAAAGTGTATTTGATAAATTTAATGATGGGAATTTGCGGGTCTTGGATTCATCTGATACAATCTGCAAAAGCATAGGTCAATTAAGGCCTAGAACATCGGTTTCAACGTTGGTAGAAATACCAGTAGCTCAATCATCATCTACCTCCTCAGCAATATTTACAATTCCACTTTTTGTACTAGAGCAATGTCTACTTTCTCCGTCTCAAGAAGTTGCTCTGGTACATGATATATTGTATGCACTACAAGGTTATGATTCACAATTTATCCATTATGATACAAGTTCAGACCAATTTAGAATTATGCCCTCAGTTTATGCACCAGAGACAATTCGCACAATGGTATCTGAAATTTGTTATTTAGGAGTTTTATATCGTAGAATGAATCTAGTTATTGATGAAGCAAGCAATATCAAGACTAAAAACAGTGGAAGTGTATGTAAAGCATTTTTGGAATCTGTAAAACAAGTGATATCAGATTATAATGAATTTATTGTAGCTATGCAGAGTCAGGTACAAGAAACAGTATCTTATTTAGCAAGACTTCAGTCTCGTCAAAATCCGAATTTGGAACTACTTAATGGAAATAAGCAGATTATAACTTTGAGAAAGTTGTATCACAGAGTTTTGGAACAAATATATAGATTAGAAAAACCATTTGCTTTATTTCAGGCATTAATGAATACAAGTAGTAGCTCAATTTTGTCGGGTTTGTACCTGGGAATTCACACAGGGCATGAGTATCACAGAGGAGTTATGATGAATATCTTTAACAGATGCTTACTGTCCTGGTTAGAAAACCTAAATTCGTTCTTAATTACAGGCGTATTAAATGAGAATCAAGCTCAAGATTTATTTATAATTCAGTATAAAGAAGCTGTGGGTATTCGTTTTGAATATGTCCCTACATTTATGCAATACGAATCAGCTAGATTAATTGGTTATGTAGGCTTTACCAGATCTTTGATACAAAAGGTAAACAAAGCATATAATAAAAAAGGATTACAGCATGGAGAACACTCTTTAGTTAATAATGATAATTTGAAGTCCACAGAAAATTTATCGGGATTCAAAATAACTTCCGAAATGGTTTTGAATTCTTGGTCTCTATACTCTCATCTATCTGGTTTGTCAAAGCAATGTGATAATGAGTTGTTAGATTTACTTTTTAATAAAGGAAATATAAAGAATCACTTAGAAGTACTTAAATTATATATGCTGGGTATACATGGAGATTTCTGGGATATTGTTATCTCAGGTAGTACAAGTGAATTGGATAAACCTGCAAAGAATGTTGTAATACAAGCACTAATAACTGTACTGGATGAGGCTAAACTATTTCATGATAAAATTAAGAATAAAAATGCATTTAATATGAAGAGTTTGAATAGGAGGTGCTCTAAAAATCAAATTATCAATTCTTACTTAGATAGGCTTCGCTTACTCTGTTATGAGCCTACTTTGGGTGATACTGGTTGGGATATTTATGGTTTAGACTATGTTATTGATGATGATCCCATATCGTTTTTATTATGTGACAACACTTTATCACGTTATAGACGTATTTTTAGAAATGTATGGAAGATATTCACTTGTATAACCAAATTAACACAGACATGGTTTATTGCTTCCAAATTTATTAGAAATAAGAACTTGAATACTAACAATAGTTCTACCAATCTGGATGATTACTTTTTAGATATATTGAACAAAGGTATCAACCTGGCTAGGTGTATTCTTTTATCTGTAACCGAAATTAGGAATAACCTCCTTTTTGATTCTATTGATTCCTTATGGAATTGTTTGCAAAGTAAGTTGAATGAGTGCGCAAGTTTTGAAAAAGTTCAGAAAGTTCATCAAGAGTTTCTTGATGGAATTGAAGGAAATCTTTTTATTTTAGATGATGGAGGGAATAACAAACTGAATTTGAAGACAAATATACAGGAGATATCTTTCTCTATTGATAGGTTGCTCAGGTTAGGTTGTGATGTTTCTAGATTAATAAATATAATTTTGGCTAATTTCTCAATAAATCAGCATAAGCAAAATATACATGAACAGTTAGATCAGTATGGGAAAACATTCAGAGAATGTGTAAAAGGGATTCTACTTAATATAAGACTTTTACAAGGAAAAACTATTAGATCAATATCTCTTACATATGATACTTTATCTGGACCTATAAATCTACAGGATTCAATACTTCTCAATCTAGAATCTACTCTGAAATTTTCTAGATTTGCCAAGTAATACATGGAAATAAGAATTGATTATATTGTAAATTCAAATGAGAAACTATTGAGTCCTAAAGATGGCAGGATTACATTCTTATATCTTAGAGTTTATCTAGGCATGAATTTGGAGGAATAAACTGTTATTAGTCGAATATTATAATTGCATGTGTATATTTAACTTATATCTCGTATTATTTACAATATTACAATATAAAAATATGTCCTGAATTTTATATATGACCAAAGTTACTAAGGAACCTTTCAATAACTAAAGAGTGTTTTAATTTAAGTTCTATAAATTTCTAATCAATAGTTCTTGCATACTAGAATCTTAATTTTTACCTTTCTTTCAATTTTATATTATTTTTTAGATTGTGGATCTCTAAGGCTAATTATAGTGTCAACTCGAGTTGCTGTATCCATTAATTCTGCAACCTGGTTCTCCAATTGAGTTTGCCTTGAAACTGCAGATTGTAGATACTTTTCACAAATATCACGTAACTCTTGCCAAAACTTTTGATAAATAGCAACTCTCTCATCAAATCTAGTTCTAAGAGTAGGGTTTTCTGTAAATCCTAATAGCTTTTCAGCATGTTGACGTAATTGTAAAATCTTTTCTATTGTAATATTCATATTTCCCCAAAAAGCAGCACATCGTCCTAATACATTTTCAATCATTCGGAGTTGAGCTAGAACGCGCACTAAAATATAGGATACTTTTAATTGGTTCCCCGTTATTTCATGCTCATCCAAATTAGGCCCTTGTGCTTGTTGAACTATACAACTTGATTGTTTAGAACTTCTTCTAGAAATCCCCGATGTATCCACTTTATTTGTGTCTTGACTTGTCGAGGAATCGTTAATAGGATGATTACCTAAATTATTCACTAAATTAAACCATCCCGAGTCAGAACTACCTTGAAGGACAGATTCAATTCCAGGAGGTACTGGACGTATACTGACAGGAAGAAAAATGAAATCAAGTAGTAAATCTCGTGTATTATTCCACAAAGAAGATATATGAGAACTAGAATATCCATCGTAATCATTGCTTATTTCTTGATACCCCACATGATCATTGTTAGACATACAAAAGCTATTATTTGAGTGACCTTTATATTCTTCAACACTATTATTTGAGGAATCTGATCTTGATATTATCTTTGGTACAGCTGTTGATGGAATTGATGATTCTGGAATCCTGGAAGCTGTACAGTTAGAAATAGGGTCCAAGATTGTCTCTAGATCAGAATTACAAAACAAATCAGCAATACGCCTTAGAACTCTATCTCGTGCAACATTATATCCTAAAAACATCGTTGTATCTGGGATAAAACTAATAAGATTTGTCTCAGAATTATTTTCATTGTCTCCAGTAATTAATGATTGACTATCATCTGCACATGTTTTCAACGTATTAGTTTGAGGTGTTTCATGTTGAGATGATTTATATACTAAAGCCAAAGATGTCTCTGAAACTCTTTTCATATCCCTAACAGATTCAACAAACTCAGATAGCTCTAAAAGAAATTTATTATAACCATTTTGTATATCTTCTACATCTGATTCAGTAGTTGCTACCCATTGACGAACATGTGATAGAAGTGCAATTGCCAGTTTTGGCTCATTATTATTCACAGCTAAAAGAAAATCAGGAAGTTCATCTAAAACAGATTCGCATGTTTGTTTAAATCGTGCAATAGCCAAACAAGATTGTTGTTGAAGTATTCTCCATTTATGAATGTGTTGTTGAAGTATTCTACATATTGTTGAATTGTGTCTAAATGCCATATATACTCCTTGTAGCTTATAAGCTACACTAAATTGAAGATCAAGAAGTCCATTGATCTCCATAATTGTAGAGGGTAAACTAGGTGTTCTAGGAGTAATTAAAGTTTTTGAAGATATTCCTGGTGTATTTATATTTTCAGAAGAGTTAGATGTAGTTGATTGAGGCAAAGCCTCACCTTCCAAATGAAATTTAGCATGAGATACACTTTGAGGAGCCACTTTTGGTACAAAAGGTATAATTTGACTATTTTCAGATGTTAAATCATTGATCTTACCATTAGAAGTTGCTTGAACTAAATTTAAATAACTTGAGGGATCTATTGCATTACTACCTAATGAATCTGCTATAGTGATACACTCTGCTACATCCGTTGCATGTGTATTATAACTTTTAGTTGACTCTAAAATATTTGAAGGTTCATTAATTTTCGAATTATCTAAGTTAAGAGTTGAAATAATTGGTTCTGATGGATTAGCCTTTAATAACCAGGGATTATTCATAAGCTCTTTTAAAGTTAAACGTTCTTTTGGATCAACAGTCAAAAGTCTACAAATCAGATTCTTAGCTTCGATACTTACATTCTGGAAGCGAGGATATCGAAAGTGATAGTTACCTTGTCTAATTAAGGTTTCAAGATGTCCTTTTCTCTCATCAAAGGGGAAAGCTCCACCTAACATTACATAAAATAGTACACCTAAAGACCACAAATCAACTTCTGGCCCATATGTATCTCCAAAAGAGGCTGCAGTTAATACTTCAGGTGCCCAATACTGAGGTGTACCAACTAATGTTCTGGCTTGGATATATCCATGTTTAAGAAACTTTGCCACACCAAAATCTGCAACTTTTATTTGATAATATGGGCCTGGTAAAGTCTTGTATATCAAAATATTTTCTGGTTTTAGATCTCTGTGTATTACATCTTTATTATGCATATAGTATAGTGCATCTATAATTTGTTTAAGTACAAATCTTGTATTATCTTCAGATAAAGAACCACATTCAACAATTTTGTAAAATAATTCTCCACCTTCTATTAGTTCCATTACTAAGTAAAGTTTATCACCTGATTCTGCGTAATCTACTAAACTCACAATATGGGGATGCCTAAGCTTTTGTAGTATCATTGCCTCAGAAAGAAGTCTCATCTTCTTATCTTCACTATTAGGATCCAAATATATAGATTTAGTATCAATAACCTTAACTGCAAACTTTTCATCTGTTAGTTCAATAGGGTTGTCCAAATGTTCTTTTAACTTGAAACAACGAAATACAGTAGATGCACTTCCAGTTCCTAACTGTTCGCAAATTATATACCGTACGCCACTTTGACCAGTGAATATGTTAAGTCCCTCTGTTTTATTACTGAAGGAATAACGACTTCTCGATCTCATGACAACTTTCTTACTGAGATATTACTCAATATATTATTGAGCTTTCTGATTCTAAGCTTGAACAATTACTAACCAGACATCTGGCGGTATAGAGCTACTAGAATATATGCAACATATTTTGAGTTAGTGCTTTGAATAGAGATAAGAATGAAAGATATTCAGAGATTCTCAAAGCTACCTACACTAATAAAATAACTGACAATGTAATCTTACATTGATTAATTATAGTTTTAAATTAGAAGCCAGTATCTTTACATGAAGATCTATTTATCTAATAAGTATATAGTAAGTGAAATAAATACCACGAATATATGAGGAAATTGACAAAACTATATAAATAAATTAGGGTATATAACTATGCTAAAAATTTTTGGATAAGATCTGTGGATAGGCTTAATTTCACTATTTGTTTACCATTATTGTGTTCCTTTACAAGTATATCATGAGTATAAAGTTCCACCAATAGATGTGACAATGCATCCTTTGTTGTTACAAGCATTGAAGATTTAGCATCCTTGAATATTTGATCTTCTGTTATACCATGAGGGCTATTTAACTGTAGTGTTGCTATTAGTTTTGTTAGTTGGACATGGCTGGGGGTTAAACATTTTAAAATAGTATCAAACCTATCAAGTTTTGATTTGGAATTTGTATCTTCAATTAGTAAATTAAGCCATTGAGGATTTGTCCCCTCCCATTGATGCTTTAATTCAACAGAATAGTTATCTTTAGTATGAACTTGAATATAAATAAAGTTCATTTTATGTAAAAGTGATGTACTCCAAAGAAATGGCCATCTAATATTATCTACTGTTACTAGAATTGACAAAATTGGTATTTGAGCTAATTGTGCTATTGTAGATAAATATGGACGAAGAGATATACAGTCAATATTATTTATTATAATGAATACCCTTTTTTTTGGAGAGAAATTAAGAGTTTGCAACTTGTAAAGCTTCCTAATTTTAGAAGTTAACATATCCAAACTCCATTCGGACATATTGACAGCTTCTTCAGGATCTTCAAGATAATTTATTAGTTCAACTAAGGAACTTTTAAATTTAACATGTTTGCAGTAACCACGAATTACAAGAGTCAAGAATTGAGGTTTCAACATCTTATGTATAAATTCATTCATAAAACGACGCTTTGAGCCATATCCATGAATTAGAACACTAAAACCTGATAAAGACCACATCATTATAGAGTAATGTAGTTCTTTCCATTTCTTTGACTCACTTTGTTGACAAATCTTTTCTTCAGTTAGTAGTCTTATATATAAACTCTCCTCAATTATTGGTAGAAAACTTTTCATTGGTAACTTCCCACCTGTTTCTATTAAATAATCTGCATATGTTCGATTCATTTTGGTTAAATACTTTGTTCAAGTATCAAATATAAATACATCAAATTATTTACTGGTTATTTTGAGCACTCTATAAGTATCAAGATGCACTCTTAATAAGTGATTCTAATATATTAATAACTATTTGCAGTCTTAATTATGAAATCTAAATGAGAATCTATTTAAGTATGAAAGTTTAATCTTTAGTCTAATTAAACTAATTTCCAGTTATTTTACTTTATATACTTGCAAATGTAATATTTAAATGTAACACACAACCCGCCTTTTTGGTATTTGCTCAGCGCTTAGTAAATTTCTGTCTCATGAGTTGTATCAAAGTTTAACTTTCATTATTTTTAAGAAGATTATTTAGAACCTTAAAGGTTTTATAAAGATAGGAATCTATAAACAGAGTTTCAGTTTCCCACGTGTGCCATCAAAATCAACAGCTAAAGTCATGCCAGTAGAACAGACATACTTAATGATTAAACCAGACGGTATCCAACGTCAAATTGTTGGCAAGATTATCAGTCGCTTTGAAGAACGTGGGTATCGCTTAGCAGCTATGAAACTTACAGTAGCTACCCCGCAAATTTTGGAACAGCATTATGCTGAACACATTGGTAAACCATTCTTACCGGGCCTTATTAAAAAGATGACTGGACCAGTCATATGTATGGTTTTTGAGGGTGTTGATGTTATTACTCAAGCTCGTAAAATTATGGGTGCAACACGTCCTAGTGAAGCTGCTCCAGGTACGATTAGAGGGGATTATTGCCAAGAAGCTGGTCGCAACATCATTCATGGTTCAGATTCAGTAGAATCTGCAAAGAGAGAGATTAGTTTGTGGTTTAAACAAGAAGAAATTCATTCTTACAATCTTACTTTATCTAACTTCATTTTGGAATGAAATTAGAACTATGTTATTTTGGAAGTGTAAATTAGATAACTAGATTGTACCTCTAAGTATTTTGTACTCTAAAATGTTTATATTATTAGATATTTTTTCATTAAATATTTTGTAAAGCTATATATGTCATATATAAATTACTATTTAACTAATATTATTGTCATATGACTTGCCTACATTATCCAACAATGTTTTTTGTAAATAATTACGTATATAATTACATAGAACTTTGGTTCCTGCTATAGCGATAGATATTGAATCAAAGTCATATATCTTATCATTGTAAGTTATACCTGTCCCTTTTGCTATCAAACATGCAATAATTTGATTGCTTCTACTACTTACAATATAATGTGAGCAAGATATACATTTATCTATTTCTTCACCATTTGGGTCTATAATTATATGTTTACTTAAATCATTCAATTGGTATGTGCATGCCTCTGCAATTGAAATAGCTAAAGGTGTAGTAGTCATTGGTATACCAGCATCTAATAATGCCAAAACTGCTGCATTGAAGCATATTGGAAATATTGGACCATCTTGAGAGATTACTTGAATAGCTACAGAAACAATACAACGTGGAATTTGTTTAAAGTCTATAATATCTTCTAAAACTCGAGTACAATATAGCTCTAAAAGTTTTTCTGTATCCCCTGTAGATCCTGAATTTGGTCTAATAATCACATCTAAATATGATTTACCTCGTATATTATTTGTCTCTTCAGGTTGCCACGCAACAGCTGTTGCACGTGATAAACCCATTGAAAAATCTGAGGAACCACTTAAACCATGAAAAACTCCTATTCTAATATTTATAGGGCGTAATTCAAGGTATTGCCTTCCATCTAACCTAATTTCCATCTTATAATTTAGTAAAATTTGGTATATATATTATAAATTTATTGTATTAGCTACAATATTCAGCGCTATTATTCTAAATTTATAGTATCAAGTTTATTTACCATTAATTACAAATAAGAACTTTTATACCAAGTCTAATTTCTGGAATAGTATTGATTTTATATTAGATTTAATATATATTATCAATAGAATACCAGGAAAAATATTAATATTACATAAATATATGAATATATAGTATTTAGAGTCACACTACAAATAAAAAAATGGCAAGTCCAATTTTAAAAAATGGGTTAAAATTGAATAATATATCTAATGACTCTGACTCTAATAACGAAATAAAAAATGAACAAAATAATGTAGATAACTTAAAAGATAATCCTTATAGTCGCCTAATAGCTCTACAAAATATGGGAGTAATTAATGATTATAACAAAATAAAAAATTTTAGTTTAGTAATTATTGGAGTTGGAGGAATAGGTTCTATTTCAGCAGAAATGTTAGTACGGTGTGGTATTGGTAAATTAGTTATTTTTGATTATGATAAGGTAGAACTTGCAAATATGAATAGATTATTTTATACACCTAAACAAAAGGGGATTGATAAAGTCCAAGCTTGCATTGAAACTTTGAAAGTGATCAATCCTGATATTGATATCATTGGATACAATTTAAATATATGCACAAATACTGATAAATTTTCTGAAATTCTGAAAACATCTAGTAAGACTAAATCACTAGTTGATTTGGTTATATCTTGTGTAGACAATTATGCAGCAAGAATAACAATAAGTCAGATATGTAATCAACATGGAATTGTATGGTTTGAATCAGGAATATCAGAAAATGCAGTATCTGGCCATATACAAATAATTATTCCTGGGAAAACTGCTTGTTATTCATGTGTTCCACCTCTTATTACCTGTTTAGATAAAGATGAGACAAATATTATAAGAAATGGCACGTGTGCAGCATCATTACCAACTACTTGTAGTATTATTGCTGGTCTATTAATAAATAATTGTCTTAAATATCTTCTTAATTTTGGTGAACTCTCCTTTTTCTTAGGTTATAATGCTCTTTCTGATTTTTTCCCAAGGTATATGATAGCATCAAATCCAGATTGTTGTGATAAATGGTGTAGATATAGACAGAAATTAAATAGTGATCTAAAAGTTACTGAAAAAATATCTGATCATTTAACAAATTCTGATGAATCTCAAAGTTCTAATTTATTTGGGATACAAATTTTAGAATCTTCTTGTGATCATTCTCAAAGAGATCAATTTAATTATACTCCTAATCAATTAATTACTGAACATCTACAGGATATTTCCGTATCAGAATTAATGAAAAAGTTAAGTGACATAACAGAATTAGATATCTAATTTACTTTTACAAAAAATTTTTAAATAAATTACTCTATATTGTTATTTAAAGATATATATCTTTGATATCTAAATAAAATTTAAGGGTCTAGGATATAGCTAATATTGAATATATCTTAATTACATAATATATATGATCTTATATAATTCCCTTGTCAGATAAATATGAAAATATATCTTCTAATATTAATATAAAAACTAATTTATTGTTAAATAAAAGCTTAATAGTGTTGATTATAAAACTACCTAAAATAATACATGTAAACAACAGTCTTGCACTCCGTTTTGTCTTCCTGGTCTAAGTCATACTATATTAAAAGAAAAGTTCACATTAATTAGTTTTTATTTGAGAAATAATAGAATATTCTAGATTTAATATTTATTGAAATATCTAATAAGATGATTTTAATTAAGATTTCAATTTTTGGTTTTTACTCTTTCTTGTAGTAAGTGGTGATCTAAATAATTATTACATGAATTAGTTTTATTTTTTAATTCACTTTTTTTCAGTATTTTTAGAACTTATGGACTTGAATTATATCCACAGAATGTTCTACATAGCTCATATGAAGTTTTATATGATGGTCACACAATAAAATCTAATAATTTAGCAAGTACTCTTTTAGCTTTAGATTCTACTACCTGTAATACGATGTGTGATGACTTTGACCCAAACTGCAATTGTGATGTTCCACAAACCTCAACAACTACAATAACAATGGAACAAATTCAGACATGGTTAACTGCAATTGAAAGTAATTCAGCTCAATCTTCTTCAAGTCCTATTTTAAAATCTGGTGATTTAACTTCAGATTCAAATTCTAATAATAATAGTAATAATAATCCCAATTCATTACTATGGATTATCGGAATAGTTGGAGGTGTAATTGTATTACTTATTATAATATACTTAATATACAGGTGGAATAGAAATAGAAACCAACAGAGATCTAACCAAACTGAAGGTTACATGAATTATTTACAGGGACAACCTGGAATGCCTCCCAGTGGTATGCCCTTCATACCAGGGGGTCCAAATTCTACACCAGGAATGATGCCGGGACAGATACCAATGAGATAAAACTTATTCAAGTATATTCTTCGTATAAAGTTCAATTGGATACTGGTTATTTTTATTCATACTTTATTAAAACAAAAAAAAAGTACAACCTAAAGTGTAAACAAATACATATAATCTTAAATTTTATTAACAAAAATAATGAAATTAATATCTATGTTTCAACTCTATGAAATCTCAGATAATAAAACAAAAAGGAAACTTCTAAGCTTTAATATTCTTAGTTAACTTTATATCTAATGTTTTTTGTATTAATTTATCAATAGGTAAAGTTCTTGGTACTTCCTTTAAAGTTTGTAATATACCTTCGAAATTCTGATTAAATAATTTATGTTTTAGTGATTTAAGAACTGCAATAGATATTTTAAATATAACCTTGATTCCATCTAAGAAGAATAAATCCCAAATCCTTGCTACAACATCTACATGAAAACTATAAGCAAATATTGTTATAAACCATTGAGATGCATACATAGATTCATCTACATTTTCATTTTTGAAATGTTTATATAACAATGGTATTTGTTCTTTGAATATATTTCTGAGTTCAGTTAAATGTTTATTTAGTAGAGGAAGCCCTGGTAAAAAAAACCCTGACATCTCATATTTTTCTATAATAGCTGCTAACATATAAAAAGCATCTTCTTCATTCATATGTATTAGTAATACTCCTACAATAAATCCCATACCTTGGCAGTATCCTACTTCCTTATTAAATAAACTATAAGCTCTAAGTACTGAAAATAATGAATCTTGACCATAACTATTTTTTTCACGAAATAAAGGATGTTTAGGAAATGTACGACTAATATCTCTAATAATATCTCCTGAACAAGGAGCTTCTTTAATTTGGCATAATTGAAAATACAAGTGTTCAGGTAGTGCTATCTTCATAGAATCTATTCCTGCTAGTTTTTTCCATAAAAAACCTCTAAGGCATGATGGAATACCTGTTTTTATTCTACTTTCAATTATACTTTTTTCTTTCCAATATACTTTCTCCATTTCATAACAAAGAAATCTCCACTGTTCTAAATATCTTAGACGTGATTTATATGATGTCTGTACATCTGATGCATCATCTTTCTCATGAGAATCATGTTTATTCTTATTTATATTGCCAGAATATGTATATAGAAAGTCAAAATCCGATAGCTTAAGGGTCCACAGATCTTCTTGCATATATTACATAAAATACTTTTAGTTAATATATAAGATTATAAAGATTTATCTTGCCTAATTAAACAAAATATTAAACCATTTCTTTTTTTTTAAAAAAAAAAGAAAAGGAGAGATAAAGAAGAAAAGGAAATAAAAGGGAAATTGTATAGTACAATTATTCACTTAAATGCTTATACTAAATTTGAAGAATATTTGGCGCTAAAAATCGTTGTAATAAAGTGTGAATAAATTAATTTATGCAAGTTCCTTTTTTTTTAAAATACTCTTTAAAGGTATATGACTTAAATCTGGGGGTTTAGATAATGCCTCATTTGCTGGTATTACTTCAACAACTTCAGAATCATCTATATTATTTTTTTCAGAGAGCTGTTTATTTGATTGTTGTTTAACTAGTACACACTTGATTTCGTCATTCTGTTTTTTATCAGATTTGTCTCTAGCAAATAATTTGACTAAAACCTTAGATGTAGCCAAAGAATCTGGTAAAAGCATTCTCATATTTTGAGACATGTCAAAACGGACCCTTTTTTTAGGAGAAGGTTCATAACTTTTTATAGACTCTTCATTAATCAAATTCCTTTTATTTTTTGAGTTAATTGGTAATGCAGATATTTCTGGAATATTTTGTATCTTAGGAATAGCACTCTCAATTATTTCTATACTTTTATATAAAATATTTCTATTAGATTGGTTTATTTCTTTTGAAGATGCCAAACCAAATAATTTCCTACATACAATCTGCAAAAATATATCAATCACTTCCTTTGTGTATTGAGATATAGTAATATCTGAAATATCTAATAAACCTCCTTCTATCAAGGAATCCTTTAAAAGGGAATCAATATTTGTAAATCTTCTAATTAATTGTTCATGAATAGTTTTAATTACTACACGATTATTACAATCTCTAATAATATTTACAAATAATTCTGCTATAAGTTCAAATAAGACATTAATATTACTTCTTTCATAATTACATTTTTTTTCAGAAAATTGTGAATTTAAAAAATATACAAATTCCTGAGGGAATTGATGACAGAAAATTAGTGATATTCCAATACTAGAAGTAGTAAATATACACATTTTATAAGTATTCAATAAATGTTCAATATATACCTTGTCATATTCACTTTTTTTGATTATATCTAGTGATTCAGCAATCATAACACGTTGAAGAAACATAAATTTGTCCATTCTAAGCCTATCAATTATATCCCATCTTTGTGTAAGCATATTATAAAATTCATATATAAAACTATTCCATAATTCTACTGAAGCAAATAATCTCTGAAATTTAGATATATTAATTGCTATTTCACGTTGAATAGGAACTTTATCAGCTAACCACAAACAATAATATAAGCCCTTCCATAATTTAATCATTTGAAGTGAATTTAAAGAACTTTTATGTTTCAAAATAAATTTTTCAATTATTTGCAAACCTCTTCTCCTAGAGTTTGCGTGTATACTAGTCATAGTTTTACCTAGACGAATTAACAAAACATTGCCACTGTCCATTTTATTTTAATAATATTTGAATATTAGAAAAAATGAGTTGGACTAATTCCTGATAATGATCACGTCTTATATCTACTAAATTTTCAGCTGAATATGTTTATAAATAAGTACATCCAATCAAATATGTTATTTCAATGAGTATATATTTCAATGTATAAGGTAAGTTTTTGCATTTCTAAATATTTTACCCTCTCACTTAGGTTCCGTTACGGTTACCATACGTTATGTCTCTGGTATCTAGTCATCACCATAGGCGGTAAAAAAATCATGCAAAATTTTTGTTTGCCTAAAAAGATAACTGAATAGCTGACTCACTTTCAATGAGAAGAAATTTAAGAGAATTTTAAAAGAACGAATTTATATAGAATTTTGTGTAGAAATATTGGACAGACTTTAGTTATTTTGGGTTTATGTATCATTTGTAACCTGTGAATTTTGGTAATTCTAATCTTTGAATATAAAGAAGTGTATAACTATAACAAAAATAAGATCCTAATATAATGAGTTGTATAGAACATCTCTTAAGTTCATGTTGTACTCTTAGAAAGGATACTATTGACAATGAATTACTATGTATTGTGTGCCCTAGTCCTAGTGATCTGGAAGATAATTATTTAGATAATGGTATTCCTGCTCGTTATAGAAGAAATAAAATTAATGGATATAGAAAACAGATAAATAAGGAAATAAAACAATGGTCAGGAGATGAAGTTGCTAGATTTATGTGTTGTCATTTAGTTATTGAAGATTCTGATACCCGTAACTTTATTTTTGATGATAATAAACATAAAGATAGAAAGAGAGAAATTGATAGAGCTATATTATTAACTAATAATATAACCTCTGGACATAATAATTTAGATAAAAAATATAGAAGACATAAAAAGTATTTTAAAGATATGATTGATATAAATAAAGATAAAGTTATATCTCCTAATGATAATAATAAAAAGATTGAAAGATCTAAAGAAGATATTAAGAATTTTTCGGGAAATAAGGAATTTTTTTTAAATAAAAAAGATAAATATGATAATAAAAATCAATCAAAATTAATTCAGACAATTGATATGAAGGACAATATATCAGATAATATCAATGAAAGTCATAAAATATATCATAAAATTCATCATAATAATGTAAGAGCAAAACCACAAAAATTTTATAGTGATTCAGATTATGAATATTTTAATGATTCTAAACATAATGAACATAAATGCAGAAAACATAAAAAGAATAGAGATTTAAATCATAGAAGAAAAAGTGACATTATTTCAAGTATACAAGATGATAATAAATATATTGACTATAAAGTATTGAAAGATCATAAAAAAAATCAAGTTGTTTTAGGAAATACAAATAATAATAACTTATGTAAATTTGACTATTCAAGTAAATATTTGGATGATTCAAGTGATGAAATTTGGGATTATTATAGTAATTATTCTAATGGTTCTGAATATGAAAGTTCAGATATTAATGAGGAATTATATAATCATTTAAATAGAATTCCTAGAAATAATTCAAGTTTCTGTTCTACTTGTAAAGAATCTAATATTTTCAATTCACCATATTGTAAGATTGATCTAATTCAACCAGAAGAATCACAAGAAAAAAAAGGATATAACAATAACAATAACAATAATTTCCCTGAGAATATTTCTGATCTTCAATATAATATGTCATGCTCTAAAAATTATTTCCCTGTTGAAAAAACAAATCGAAGAAATTCTAGTCATAAAAAAAAATATCAAGTTGTAAATTCTAGAAATTCGATTATTGGTAAATATTTATCTAATAGATATAATAAATTAAGTGAAGTTCATTCCAATAATTCAGATGTAAATGATGAAACTTTAGATAGTCATGGTAATAAAGAAGTTGAACATAAATCTTCAAAAAGTAAAAGATTATTTAGACGTTATAAAAAATCACCATTTAAAACAATAGATCCTAAAAATATTAAAAATTTAGATAATATTGATCAAAATACCAAAAATAGAGAAAATGATAAAGTATATGATTCAACAGATAATCCTAAAATTATTAAAAGATATTCAAATACACCAAATAATATTTATGATCGTAATCATAAATATCTGGATAGTAATTTAAATATAGAGCAAAATTCTTCTTTACAAAATAAAGATAATGAAGATATTTCTAAAACATTTGTAACTCATAAAGATGGTTTAGATATTGTATATGATTCTCATAGTAAAGAATATTTTAAAGAAACTTCTGGGAATGTAAATGAAGGTGATTCAGAAAAAACAAATAAAAATATTAAATCAAAGGCTTCAGTTATAAAAACTGAATCTGAAGAGGAAGTTAATCTAGAAATTAATTTACCACCTCAAGGAATTTTAAGACGACTATCCCGTGGATTACCAGCTGGTGTTGTACTTAAAGATGGATCTCCTCTTAGATGTACAATTGCTTATTCTCAAGGTGATAATGATCTTACATTAACTTGTGATGATAAAATTAGAAGTATTCCTTGGAGTGATATTCAGAATATTATTACTAATAAAAATGAACTTCGTCGAATAAATACTCGTGCTCCAATATATAGAGATTCTTTAGTTATTGCTATACAATTGAATAAATCTGGTCATTGTATCCCTATAAAATTTGCTAATGAAAGTACTAAAAGTGATTTCTTGAATTTTGCCTATAAAATGATTAATCATCAACCAATTACAGAATGATATATACAAGTAGGTTAAATTATATATTTATGTAAAAAATTACAATATTAGTATAATATAATTACAAGATATATCAAAGAAGTCTTATAGTAAAAATGTCTATAATAATCTAACAAGTCAATTTTATGTTGGAAATTATTTCCTAATATATTGTTATATTATTATTAGTATTGAATTTCTAAATTTATTTCAAAACAATCACAACTATATACTTTATCAAGATTTATTGTATTATTCAATTCTCTATTTAATTTAGTACTATAACTCATTTCTTTCTACTTTAATCTAAGGTGTATATTTTAAAGTCCAGTAGACAAATTAAAATAATCATACCAAATATTAACAATATTTTCATTAGAATCTAATACATGAAAATATTTTCCAATAAATCTCTTTAGTATAGTAAATTAGATTTACCAAACTATTATTTTTAATTATATAGATAAATATAAAAATTCTTCTTATTATATCTAGAAGAATTTGACAATATACATATCTTGATATTAAAATTTTGGGATTAATCCGCTAACCTTAAAGATTTAGTGGATCTTAAAATCTTCTTTCCCCTCCTCCCCCCCCTTTTACTTTCCCTCTTCAATGATTATTTTTATATATTCCTAAGAGTGGAATTTAAAGAAATTCCTTAATGTTAATATAGTATTATTTTAGATTTAATATATCTAATTTAATATGATAAATATACAGAATAGATTTTTATCTTCAGTTCCAATAACAAAACGTTTTGATAAACTGTTTATATCTAATAGTTACTTATTAAGTTTTAGCAAGACAAATACAAATTTATACTCATCTTCAATATACCCATTAAATAGGAATATTTTGGTAATCAGGAACTATTCCAACAACAATAAATTTCAAAGTAAGTACAAATTATAAATATTTTTAATACATATATATATACATACATTTCTTTCTTTTTTCTCCTATTTATACTAATAGATTCGAGGATATCTAATTTATTTTATAATAATCCTATACATTATATTAATAATCCACAGAAAAATAATATGTTGATAATAAGACGCCATGAAGCAGGAATTGCAGCTATTTCAGCTGCTATTGCTTTAATTAGTATCGGTGGAGTTGCTAAGGGTATAGGAACATTATTTAGTGCTCTAGTAATGGGTACTGCACGTAACCCTAGTATAAAAGATACAATTTTTACTTATACATTAATGGGAATGGGATTTATGGAATTATTTGGTATTATTTGTGTGTTGATGTCTGCTGTATTGCTTTATTCTTAATAATGAGATATCTTAAATAATAAGGTTTTATGGTATATTTTATTATTAGAATTAGAAATTAATAAGTCGGAATTTTAATTTTTTTTTTTCCTACTATTATTATACACACATCTAATTATATTACTAAACAAAAAAAAAAGTTACACCTCCCGCTAAGAGTTATTCCTAAGCTTATGGTAACGCGCATCTAGTAATGTAGGTTACATTTAATTTAATCTCAGTTAATTAAAAAGGCTAACTATTGCTAGTTGAATGGTAAAATCTGGCACTTAATGTCAAATGAACAGGAAATTTTAAAAGAAGAGACAGTAAATTTGAATGAAGATGAGACTGTCTCAGTATTAGTAGATCCCTTAATAATATTTAAGGATTGTATTTTGAGAAATACATTGGATAAAATTACAAAAAGTAATAATAAATTTATTTTTAAGGATTATAATTGTATAATAGATTGTAATGTGCCTACCCGTTGTAGAAGTCGTCGTGGTGAAGTTTTTAGCTTAATAGATTTATATCTATTTGTAACAGCCTCACGAAATAAAGAATATACATTTCGTTTTGCTCAAGAATATGGTTGTAAATTTATAAGTGTTTTAGAAAAAAAAAATATATTAGATTTTTTAGAAGAGAAATTAAATTATGAAGAAGGTATACCATTAAAATATACAATGGCAGATGTATCGAAATATGAATGCATTGCTGTAGACTTTCCATTACAACCATGTTATTTATTAGATCCAAATATAAGGAAAATTGAATTATTATCTGAACCATGGGTAGAATATAATAAGATATCAGATATTTCTAATTTAATTGAAGTAAATGAAACTTCGGGATCACTCCAACAGAATAATTCAGTTTTATTAAAAGATCAATCTCTTATTTTGCCAATAAAATATTTTCATTCTATTCATCAATTATATCCAATAGGAGTTGATTATGTTTGCCCTGGAATGGATATTCATCATCGTTTAAGTCAATTGGTAATGTTTATGAGTGAACCACCTAAACAAGATACAAATTCTGGGGGGGCATTACCAAATAAAAAAGTAAATAAAGATCGTCAAAATATACCTAATAATATACCAAAATCTATTTCTTCAGGATATAATAGATCATCTCTTTTAACTTATTTAAGATCAAATAATTTGAATCCTATTATATTAGCACCATTATCCTCAAGAAGCCCAATTACAATAAATAATGTAGTATCTTTTTTAAAGGATAAGACATTTATAGATCCATCTACTGCAGAACGTCCTAAAGGTAGTTATGAACAAACAGTAACTCTTAAATTTGGTTCAGGAGTATTATCACAAGATGTAGTATTCCGTATTGTTGAATCAACTTTAAATTTTAGGAAGAGGGATTGGTATTCACTAGTTGCTATGTTTGTTACTGGAGTAGAATGGCAATTAGAAGCATTTCCATTTAAATCAATACCAGATATATTTTCAATTATTAAAGGATATCATATTACTTATGAATCTGATTCAATTCCTGAAAATATTCGTAAATGGAATGTAGAAGTTGTTCGTATAAATAGAACAAGTCGTCATAATGATGTTTCAGTATGGCTTCAATTTATGGCATCTATAGAAAGTTTTTTGGCATCCCCTAGGGATCATTCTAAATATGATAGAAGTAAAATGATTACAAATTCTTAGATTTTATTTTTTTTTTTTTTAAATGAACTCTTTAATTAAAATCATCAATTAAATTAATATTATAGAAATACTATTGATATTATTTGTTACATTAGACTATTTTTGATATTAAATTATTATAGAATATTTCAATTCAAAATATTTAAATTATGGAATTAATCATTAAAGTTAATATGATCTTATATATAACTTTTTTTTTTTTTTTTTTCTATTTCTACTTTCTTAAAATATTTGTACGTTTATTTTTCCTATTGAGTTTATGAATAGCAATATCTTCAGGGTAAGCTAAAACTACAGTATCTGATTTACCTATATATGTAGAACAATCTTCAACTCTTCTATCAACTTGTTTTATAGTATAAGCATTAAGATCACCTCGTTTAATAGCTTCAAAATCCCATACAATTACAAAAAAACCTGTACTAGTAATAATTTTTGTCTCACGATCTATCCCAAGAGGTTGATCAAATCTTGCTGGTGTAAATGATACTTCATCTATACCATAAATATATAAATCTTCTTGTTTAATTCTCAATTTTTTTGCAGGGGGCTTATTTTTTAGGCTAATTGTAAATCCAGTCCTATCATCAATTGAATCTGTTTCCTTTACAGGATATAAATCTAAACAAGTTTTTGTTGTTGCCAATATCCAATGACCATTTCTAGTAACATCTACAGAAATAATTGGAGAACCATAAGTATTAAGTAATGTCTTAGCTTTTTTAAATTCTCCATCTCTATTAACTGTACCATCAAATAATCTAAGTTCTCCTATATCACTACCAATTAATATATGACCTTCAATATCTGTAGCTATACTATTAAATAAAACATTAGATTTATATAACTTTGAAGTAAATCTATTAGAATTATCTTTTATTCTACTATCCATAACAAATAATGCATTATTACTAAGTCCTAAAAATGTAGGAATTGGTGTTGATTGAGCATCCTTATTGCATGTTCCAATAGATGATATTGGTAAACCATCTGCATCCCAACGTCTTATTATCTTTTCATTTTCTAAATCCATTTGATAAACATAATTTGGATCTGTTTCAGATAAAAATAACATTTGTTTCTCACAATTATGTAATTGTCCATTTACTGGTAATAGACTAAAATTATTATAATTTATATCAGATATTGTTGAAACATTAATAATAGAAGATCTACTTGTTTTATAAGATGAATTATCATCAATATTTCTAAATACAGAAATTTCAGATTTTCCACTTTTTCTATCAGCACGCCCAACAAAAGTATTTTCCCTTCCAACAAGCATATATTTATGATCTAAACTTAAACGTCCTTTAGAATGTTTATAATCATAATCTTCATCAGAACATTCTTCATTTTCCATTATTTCATCTTTTTGCCAAGTAAAACCATCAATAGATGGATCATATGTTTCACATAAATCCATATCATAATCTATTTCATTATTATTTCTATCATTAATAGATGTATCTAAAGTACATCTACGTTTTTCATCTGGATTCTTTTGATCAATACAATCAAATAATTCTTTTGTAAAAGAATTAACTTCATCAATTTCTTCTGTTAAAAATATTTTAAATCTTTTTCTTTCACCTACTAAATCTGAACCATAAAATTCAATAGTTTTTTCAGTTAATTTAGGTAAAAATAAAATACTATCTCCAACTATACTTGTAAATAGTATATTTCCTTTATCTGAAGTTTCTTTAATAGAAAAAATTGTATCACGAAGATCTAAACTAGATGCTAGTTCACAAATACAATTATCAGATATTAATTTCCATTCTTCTTCACTTTTATTTTGAAATTTAGATTCTTTTAATTTACTTCTTTGATTATTAATATTAATTAAATCTTCATTATATTGATAAAATTTAACAGGAAGTTGATAATATATATTACATAAAGATCTAAGTGTAAGGGTTACATTATAGCTTAAAGATGCTTCAGTATGTATATTATGTGTATCTAATTGAAAGATAAATTTAACTAAATCAGATCCACGTCGCATTATAATTGTAAATTCACCATTTTTATTTCCACGAAAATAGTGTATATTTTGAAAACTGAAGATATATTCTTGAGTTTCATTATTTAAAGGATCTTTTCCTATTATATTGATATTTTCCTTTAATTTTAAACAACAAGAAATTAGAACACATTCTAAAGTCCTACCAATTGATTTATATAAAGTCCCTAAATATTAAATGAAATAATAAAATCAAATTTATATATTAATTAATTTGTTTTAAATTATTAGTATCTATATATTTCTAAATTGATTTTCTAAACTTACCATAATATTCATTACTATTACATGATAAATCTAATTCATCTCCACGTGAAATACCCCTTAAAATTTTCCAGAATATTCCACTCATAATATAAATCTTCAATTATATATAATAAATAAGAAAAGTAGATCAAAATATTTGTATAGCGGCCTAAATACTAGTTCAAATATCAGAAAAATATTATAATTTATTATTTTAAAATATTAAATATATATATATATATATTATATAGCTTATCAAACTAAATTATAGTTAAATAGATATTCTAGTTCATCTTAATTCTATAATAAATAGAAAAATAAAAAAGTAACTTTTCTTTTTCTTCTTTTTTTTTATCAGCAAGGGGCGGCGCCAGCGCCACAGCGGCGATCCTTGACGATATGTAGAAAGTGCGTGGAATGGGATTCGAACCCATGGGAGCATATGCTCATTAGATCTTGAGTCTAACGCCTTAGACCAACTCGGCCATCCACGCTTATACTACTGGAGTCTTTTAATAAATATTACTAAGATAAGGGTATTAGGTAAAATAAAATTGTCAATATAATAAATAGGGGTATAAAGAAAAATATTTAATTTTTATTATATTAATAAATTCTCATAATATTTTATCTAATTAAGATATTTTTAGAAATAATTATTAGCAAATCTTATCTATTAATGTTACAATTAATTTAAAGTAATTAAAAGAAGAGTTTTTACTATATTTTAGATAAAATTAGGAGTATATGTTATTAAATATAATGATAAATAAAATAATTCTCTAATTTACTATATAAAAAGTATCTGATTTTATTTATATTTAAATTTTTAATAATATTTATATTATATCTTTTATTAATATTAATATATATAAATTTAAGTATTATATTTATTTTTAAAAATAAAAAAAAAAATAAAAAGAACAATAAACTTAAATTCAAATAGAATAACTTACTTTTATTTTCCTATCTATTATAATAAAGTATTTAATAAGTATACTTTTTCTTTTAGAATTTATTATAATTTAGAATAAAATATATACTTACTTATACTATACTATTATTATAATTATTATTTCAAATTACTTTTTCAATATTTCTTATTAATGTATTACTATTAATATATTTAGATATTTTAAATATAAAAATAACAAAAGAATAAAATATGTTTTATTTAAAAAATAAAAATTACATATTAATTATATCACTATTTAAATATTTATTTTATTATATTAAATTTGAAATTTTGTAATAACTATTAATATTAATTATTAGATATCCTAAAATAAATAATGCTAAAATACTCCTATATTTTTATAATAATTTATATATTCAATATATTAAAAGAATTTATATAATTTCTAGTTATTTATTATAAGAGCTATTTATATTATTATAATTATTATTTTTTTTCTCTCTTTATATTCAAATATATTTACTTATCATAATTAAGTTAAAATAATTAGTGTATTACTTATTTATATTTCATAGTAATTGTAAAAAAATCAAATATAAATTTTAATTATTTTGTATGATTCAATTTAAAATAAATTAAACTAGGGAATAAAGAAATATTATAACTAGAATTTAATTATATTAACTTAAATTATGAAATCAGGTTATTTTAAATTAAATTTATTAGTAATAAACATAATAGTTAATTGTTTCTTATAATATCTTTATTATTATTAAACCTGTATTAATATTTTACTAGTTAATGAAATATCTTAAAGAGTTTTAATTATAAAGAATAAAATACTTCAATATATCAATTTCTAGTAAATTTAAATAAATAAATAGAAATTATTCTTATTATTATTTCCCATCTTTACTTTACTACAATATATTATTCACCATAAAATTATTTAAGTTATATAATTAATATAATAAATATTAATATCATTGAATTTATATAAAATCACCATATCTACCACGAAGTTGTCTTGCTAATCGCATATCTCTTGGTAATAAAGTAACTCTTTTTGAATGCAATGTACATAAATAAGCATCTTCAAAAAGTCCTTGTAAAAAGGCTTCTGCAGCACATTGCATAGCTTGTAGGGCTTCTGCAGTCCAACGCCATACTTCACCATGTGGTACAAATTTTAAAGTAGTCTCTCTAACAATTCTAGCAAATGGTAATTTCGGAATTAATAATTCTGTAGATGCTTGATATCGTCTTATTTCACGAAGTGCAACAGTTCCTAAATATTTATTTTAAATAAAAATTATCATTTCTTTTTCAAGTAAAATTACTTATTAGTTTTATATATAACTTACCTGGTCTTCTTCTATATTTCCTTTGGGTAGAACTACCTCCTAATGGAATAGCTGGAGACTAAAAACTATATATATAGATAACTTGTTTATAATAAAATAATAAAACATACCTTTGCAGGATGTTTTCCATGGCGTCTACTTGTGGTTTTTGAGCGAGCCATTGGCTCTTAAAAGGTCTACTGACCACTTTTAAAGCGGAAATATCGCAAATCTATATGATTTAGGTACCAAAAATTCAATTAAATTTTCTATTTTATTATTTGATTTTATCTTTTTATATCTATAAATTAGTATATTCCCATATACATGGAAACTCTTGTTGCACATTTTTCCTAAGACCGTGTGGGTCTTAAAATATATATAATGGCGCTAGCGGTTATTTTATTTTAAAATTTAAATTTATCTTTGATTTTTTTTTTTAATTTTAATGACTCCTATTCAAACAGATATTATAGATAGTTATTTTACTTATAAAATAATTCATTGTGGTCTAATATTATTGTCTATACAATTAAATCCTAAGGACTTTCCTAATTGTGAACATATACCAATACTATTTTTATTAGTACCTAGAATTACTTATTTAGCTTGTATTATAAATAAAATTTTGGATTATTATCGTATATGGAATGTTATTAATATTTCTAGTGATTATAAATATTGGTTTGAAAGTTATGGGGTTATTTTAAAAAGGTAAGAATTCTTTTTTTTTTTTTTTTCATTATATATAATTTAATTAATATTAATATGGCAAATTTCTTATTACTTCTTATTATATTATTTTTTTTTTTTAAAAAATATTTATTTAGTCAATATCCTATAGGGGTCTTATTTGATATATGCTGTAAAAACAGAGATTCAATACATTTCCATATATCTATGAACATTGGTAATAGTAAAGTTATTACATCATTAAATAATCAATATGATGAATTAATAGATGATTATATAAATTGGCCATCTTTTTTAAAAAATTTTTTTAATATAATAAAACTTTCACAAATTATAACTGATAATAATTGTAGACAATTTCAATCTATTACTAAGAAGAAATATGAGGAATTAATAGATTGGATTCAAATGACATGTTCATCAACAAATCAGTATGATGATATTATTCAAAGTTTTTTTGGGCATATTGATAAAAGATGTAATATTAAGTAAGTTTATATTATAAAATCAGTAAATTTGAGAAAAATAATATATTATATATATATATATATAATTTTTTTTTTTTTCTAAAAGATTTTTGCCTATTAGAATACATATTATAGATTCAATAAATTTAACAAGTGTTAGTCTTCTACGATATTACCCTATAAAATCTGGAGAAAATTTGTTAACATTTGAAGATATCTTCATTGATATAGTACCAATAAGATATATTGACAAAGTAGAATTAATTATACATGGGATACGTCCACCACTTAATACCCCATTATTATTTATTGCAATCAATTGTATATATATAGATGGATTTATTCATATAGTTTTAAATAATAAATATTAAAATTGTAAACTCTTTTTCTTAAAAAAAAAAAAAGTGTTTAATCTACTAACTAATTCATTTCTACTAAAATTAAGATTTTATTTCATTTGTTTCTTTCATTTGTATATTATCAGTAGATTCTATATGTGACATTATATTAGGTACTATATATTGAGTCATAAAACCCATAACAAGAAATCCTATTAATATCATACTTCTTTGATAATCACTCCCATCAGATGATAAAATACTAGATAACATCAAAAATGTAGTTAAAAACATCATCCATTTAATTTGAAAGATTGCAGCAATAAATCCACAAATGATGCCACTTAAAATAATTAACTCAGTAATTACAGATATTTGAGGAGCTAATAATAAAAAACATTAATTGTTGAAAAAAGAAATGAATTTATAATTAAGATTTATTTCTAATATATTTAAACTTACCATATCTAGAATATTTCCTATATATAATAGATCTTGAATCATCAATTTGGCCTTTTAATACTAAATGATTTTAATATAATTAATAACTTTATAATGTTGATAATATATATTTATAACTTACCTATATTCATTATTTTAAAAGTTCTAAATATTATCCCGTTATATTAAATAAATTCGGATTTAATAAAGATAAAATGATTAAAGTATTTATATATCTGCGCCATTGTAAGTTATAAGTTAATATATAATTAGTTGTCTTATTGTACAGAAGAAAATTTTTTTCTAGGTACTTCAGAATTTGATCTAATTTTAACTTTTTGTTTTCTACGTATTTTATTTTGATTTCCTATATTATCTTTTGTATATAAGGGTTGATCCATTTGATTTTTAATTCCATCTACTACTAAATTTGCCAAATCTGTAAACATTGAATAATGGGTAAAACATAACTTATGAACTATTTGAAATTGATTTCCTAAAGAATCCCATAGATCTTTAGCTTGATTTCCTTCTATATTTTGATATTTAATATTATCATATAAATTAGAATTGAATTGATAAGTTTGTGTAGAATCAAGATAATTAGTTTGTTCATCATGATTATCCCATTGAATAAAATCAAGCATCTGATTATAAATAGAATCTCTAACATTAATTTTACTTAATTGTTGATGTGATTTTGGATAATCAACTGAAGTTAATAACAGTTGAGATAATTTTTGATAACAATTCATATTAGAGGGGATAGCTAAAACTGCATTACGACAAATCCAAGATTTTATATCTGAACTCCATTGAATTTTCAATGGTTCATGACATATACTACATACGAAATGAAATGTATCTATTGGAGCAAATGAGATGCTAACATTTTGTTTCATTTCATTCCACATAGGATTTAATTGTTGAGAATATGAAATAAGATCTGAAATATCACATTGTAATATTTGTTTTCTAATTTCATAATGATTATGAAGTTGATTAAATTTAGGAGATAATTGAATTTTTGATTGATTCTTCTCTTGCATGAAATCAATTGAATGATTATTATATTCATTTAATGATTCACATTTTATAAGATTATCAGCAATTACAAAAGTAGTATCAGTACCAGACTTTTTAAGAAATTTACTAAAACAAGATAATATTGAATTTGAATCTTCAATAACTTTATTATCAGAAGGAATTAATCCTGTTGGGATTGTATGGATATCTTCTAAAGTAATTTTTTGATTTGATGTATCAATTATATTATCTTCTTGAGTTAAATTTTTAGTATTTGAATGAATATTATTATCTATATAGTCATTATTTACATTAAAAAGTTCTTCTTTAGTTGGAATACGATCATTTCCTTCAGAACCATAAATCCATTCTCCTAAACTAGGCCAAAGTGTTTGAGAAGAACCCATTTGTTTACGTTGTCTTAAAACTAAATTTTTAGTTAGATGAATTTGTAAATGTGCCTCTTTCTTTTTTGAATCGATAAAACGAAATCCACAAATATGACATTGATTAGGTCTATCACTATAATACATTCCAATAGTTGATTGAAGATCAAAATCATTAAATCCATCCATTCTTCGTTTAATAAAGTGTGAATGTAACCAAACTTTTTTACGGAATTTGGTAGATGCATATACTTTTGATTGTAATTGTTGATATAATTGAAATAAATGATTTATTTCTTTAACTTCTAATCCTTCTATATAAAGACTTTGATTTCCCTTTGCATCTACTATACTTGGAGGAATCAATTCTAATGTATTAGGTAACTTAAAATTTGGTTTTGATTTAAATAATTGCATCCATACAGACGTAAATGCAGAGCAAGGTTCTGTAAATCTTGGTGAAAATGTCTTTTTAGCTATTGGAGTTGTTTGATTAATTCCTAAATGTAAAGTTTGATTTGTTTGTATTGGGGTATTTAAAGTAACATGTTTTGATTGAATAGGTATATCATGCACTTTTTTGTTATTAATTTGTTGAGTTTCCATTAGTTTATTAATATTAATATGATCTGGTTTTATTCTTTTATTAGGTTGTTCAAAATGTGGTTGGACACCTAAAATAGGGGTATGATTATTTATAGAAATAGGAGTTTCACTTATACATCCAGTTGGTAATGTTTGTTGAAGTCCTCCAACATTTCTTATTAATAAACTAACTAGATGTTGAGCTTCTTGTGTTTTACCTTCAGATTGTAATTTTGCAATTCTTTGAACATTAGGATCATTTATTAAAGTTCTAAAAGTTATTTCATCTCCTGAAATCCCTACTGCTTGAAGTATTGTTAATACTATTTGAGTTGCAACATCACTAGATATTTGACCAGAATTATTTGAACTTCCAGATTCTAATGAAGTATTTGTTGATTGAAGTTTAGGTATATTATTTGTTTTAATATTATTAACTGAAGTAATAGTAAGAGAATTTTCTGAGGATAATATAGGTTGAGTTGCTGTATCATCAGTATTTGTAGATATAGGAGGAGTTAATGTTATATCTAATGGTGGTTCAGAAAGTTTTGATCTAATTGCATTTGTAGTTTTTAATAATCTCTTCATAATATCTTTTGGGAAAGAAGTAGACCATACTTTAAGTAGTTTTTCTAGTGATCGTAAAATATTTGGTGGAGTTTTTATTGTATAGGCTTCTGCAAAGTATGGTGCTATATAAGGTAGAAAATATGGAAAGAATTGTGACCCAGCTCGACACTTTCTCACAATAGAATCAACTAGACATAGTAGTACATATTTTCTAGGAGTATCTGAACGTGGTATTTCTTCCAGAATAACACTAGCTATAGCATGTGCATATTGCCTTTGATCTTCAGCTAACAAAGTTAAATTTTGGATCATTCTGCCCGATCCAGCAGGACTACGTAGGTTACGTAGTACTTCAGCATATCTTATGCGGACTATTTGTTCTAAAAGTAATAAAAGTTTTATTTTATCTTTGTTATTAAATTTTTTCTTTCTTCCTTATGGGACTATGATAAAATATTGCCTCATTTTCATAATAAAGAAAAAAAGAAAAGTCCTAAAGTACACTTAGCTAGTCCCTTATAGTTAGTTATTGTTTATATTAACTTACCTGGACTAGAATTGTCCATTTTGAGCTTTAATTATAATTTCATATCAAAGTAAAAAAGTAACAAATATAGGCGCTATGTATGGTTATAGTATTTACTTTTGTCCCAATACTTGCATAACTTTCTTGCCTTTAAAAAGAAAAGAAAAAAAGGGAAATTAGATGCTGGGAACCTCAGCTTTAGATCTATACCATTATGAATCTTCCTCTTCAAACAGGATTAAGACATTTAATAAAACTTTAGATAAAGTACTTGGTGAGTTTATTCAAGGATTAAAACTACAATTCTTAAATAAGAAAATATTTATTTATATTTAGGAGGTGGGATAATATTAGGAAAGGGAATTTTAGAATTATGTGGTATTCCTGGATCAGGGAAAACTAATTTATGTAAACAACTCTCATTAAATGTTCAAATCCCAACATCTATTGGAGGCATAGATCGCAATACATTATATATAGGTATCTGATATTTTAAATTTTCTTTTTACCTTACAAATTATTTAGGAATATATTTAGATTCTGAGGGTTCTTTCAGTATACTTAGGCTGAAAGAAATGGCAAATTCTCTGGTAGAGAAATTTTATCACAAGTTAGACAATGATGAAAGAAAAACCTTTACAGTAAACAAACTTATTGAAGGTGTGATCTATCTTCGTATATTTGATCTAAATGAGCTTAAAAATATTGTGGAAAATTTAGAGATGGTTAGTTTGTAATCATAATGATAATTCTTTATTATTTGAAATATGAAATATAAATTTATTTTAGATTTGTAAACAAAAGAATTTGGGCCTTATAATAATAGACTCGATTAGCATGTTAATTAGAACATGTAATTTATGTAAGTATTATTTAAACTCTATATATTTGTGATTAAGCTATTAAATAACTTTATATTCAGCAAATAGAACTTATAAATTAAAGATGCAAGATTATATTGCTAATAAACTGGTTCTAATTTCCAAAAAGATGGAATTAGCAGTAATTGTAACTAATCACATGACATTTAAATCATTATCTGGGGAATTGAAGAATCAGCTAGATTCATCTAAAAGAATAGAACCTTCATTAGGATCTTCATGGGATTCATTAATAAGTTCCAGATTTATCTTAAAACCAATTAAAACTTATATAGAGAATAGTGTAATTTTTCTTACAAACTCTGAAGGTGATACTATACCTTTCCAGGTAAGATTAAAATTTCTTAAATTTATTAAAGTAAATATTAAATTTATAACTTGAGTTAGATTATAAAAGATGGAATTATAGAATATGTAGAAGATTATTAGTTTAAGTAATTTCAATTTTGAGTTATGGTCTTAACCAACCCAAATCTATAATATTAGAATTGTCTAAGCCTATATTATGATGCCAATATGCACTTTTTGAGCCAGTTGATTGAGGTAATATTTGCCTAATATATTCTGATGGCCAAGTATAATTTTTCAAATTTTGAAGTTCTTTTTCAATAATAATTTTGGTCTCTTGTATTATATTTAATATATTTCCATTTACTTTTTTTGTTATCAATTCATTAACTATATCCACTCCTCTTACTATACATATAGATGGAATATCCTAAATAAATTGAGCATTATTTCGCTTCACTTTATTTTTTGTTATTTATTAGTAAGAACTTACTGTAATATCATAATTATATGCAGCCCTAGGGCATTCATCTATATCAACTAAAAGAAACTTAATTGAGGGATATAATTGTTTTAATTCAATATACTCATTTAGTAATGATAATGAGCTTGTTGAGAATTCTGCAGAAAAGTAGATTGTAGTAATATTAAGAGGGTCTGATACAGCCATTTTAAATGTATCAAAGTCTGAGATTCTCTATGAAAAGCATTATTAAGAGTATAAACAATTATACTAGGTGTGTAGTAACTTACTGATACTCCACTTTTACAGATATCCTCATAATATTTATTAACTGCACTAGTGAGATATCTTTTATTTCTGCAGAATTTTCTTAAAGCCAGTGAATTATACCATCCCACAGTATATTTAAATAAGATTTTACTACATCTAAGTTGGGGATCTTTTAAAGAGACTAAGTAACAAAATATTTGTAACATTTAAACTATTAGTGGATTATTGAGTATATTATTTTTTTATTCCCAATATCTTTTTTGTCTTAAATTAGTTTATAGATGTCTAAAACCTTTCTAGTTTCCTAAAACTTGGATCTCGAACAATAATATTCCGGTACCCATATTACCGCTAAAGTATTTGAAATATATCAGGCGCTAACTATCAAGATTACAAGATGAAAAGGTGAAAAAAGAAGAAAAAAGTAAAATTTCCTTTAATCCTACATTTTAATTAAGCCAGATTCTATATAAATTGGTTTGAAATAATGAGTTTATTACAGAAAATAGCTGAAATAGAGACTGAGATGGCTAGAACTCAGAAAAATAAAGCGACAAATTACCATCTTGGCCTTTTGAAGGCAAAATTAGCTAAACTAAGGGCTCAAGTAATTAGTGGAGCAGATGGAAAGGGTGGAGGTAGTGGAGGAAATGAAGGTTGGGATGTAAGTAAGACTGGAGAGGCTAGAGTAGGTCTTATTGGTTTTCCATCAGTTGGGAAATCAACTTTACTAAATAAATTAACAGGAACATTCAGTGAAGTGGCAGCATATGAATTTACAACATTAACATGTGTACCTGGAGTATTTAATTATAAGGGAGCTAAGATTCAATTACTAGATTTACCTGGTATAATTGAAGGAGCAAAAGATGGTAAAGGACGTGGTAGACAGGTGATTGGAGTAGGTAGAACCTGCAGCTTAATTTTAGTAGTACTAGATGCTTTAAAACCATTAACACATAAGAAAATAATTGAGAGAGAACTCGAAGGTTTTGGGATTAGGTTGAATAAGGAACCTCCTAATATTTCATTTACAAGGAAAGATAGAGGTGGAATTACAATCACTGCAACTACTACACTTAGAAATATTGACGAAGAGACAATCAAATCTATATGTTCCGAATATCGAATAAATAATGCAACTTTCATAATTCGTTGTGATGCTACAGCTGATGATATTATTGATATTATAGAAGGTAATAGAATATATATACCTTGTATTTATGTACTTAACAAAATTGATCAGATAACAATTGAAGAGTTAGATATTTTATCACAATGTCCACACTATGTACCAGTGTCAGCTCATTATGAATGGAATTTGGATGGTTTGATTGAAAAGATATGGGAATACCTTGATCTTATTAGAATATATACAAAACCCAAAGGTCAAATTCCTGATTATGCAGCTCCAGTAATTCTTAAGCGTAATAAATCATCTGTAGCAGACTTTTGCGCAAGAATTCATAAGCATCTACTACCTCAGATGAAGTATGCCCTTGTTTGGGGTCAATCTGTAAGACATAACCCTCAAAAAGTAGGAAAAGACCACATATTGATGGATGAAGATGTTGTGCAAATAGTAAAGAAGTAAAATTGCTAAAGGGCATTTGTTAAAAATATACTTATATTAAGTTTATACTACCAATTTATCTATTATTATCTGACTTGTAATAATCTTTACTAAATAATATCAGTTGTATTTTATTATTTGATTATTATATATCGAATTCCACTACTTCTAATGTATTTGAAAATTGGATATTTCTAAGTATTGATTTTTTATATCAAGAATACTAATAATTAATTAATTTTTTCTTTATATTTCTAATAAATAACTATATCATTAAACTTAACTTTTCTGCCTTGACAATATATTTAGAAGTTTTTCACTAACTTTTTGTTTTAAACGTTTAAAATTGAGTAATTCATCAGCTATGGAACTTTGGAAGTTATAAGATTCTTGTTGTGTACTTGCTACTTTTGAGTTGTGAACTTGTATATTTGTATATGTGCTCGCTATTAAATTAACAATTGGCATCATACTGTGTAAATTTGATATAGGGGAGACTCCTTCACTAAGAATATTCCATACATTTTCTGGAAAACAAATATATGAAGGTAGGCAAGTGTCGTTATGCCAATCTTCACAGCTCTTCTCAATCCAGATATCAAATTGTTCAAGTAAATTTTTAGCTAATTTGGCAGAACTATTAGCAGTAGTATATTCAAATTTATTCAACTGATTATGTTCAAAATCTTCTGATTTATTGTAGAAGTAAATAGCTAATTCATGTATCCAAATAATGATTGATTCCCATTCACTTGCAGAATATTTCCAAATTAGTAACCAATTAATTTTGTCATCCATAAAGAGACAGAAACATTTGTAAAATCCATCCATTATAGAGCCAATTAATCTATTAGGAAATTGACTGTTTGAAGAGTCATTCCGAATATTATTTAGGTATGCTTGTAACCATATTGTTCGAATAAATGAACTTGATGAAACGTTTATGCTAATTATATCAGTTTTATACATTACCAATTTGTCTATATATCTTTCAACTTTAAAGTAATCTATATCACTAAATAGATCTTTAATACCTGGATAAAATAAAGTATAAGGGATATTAAAGAAGTCCAATGAAGCAAATCCAATGCACTTAGTATCAAATTTACATAATGAACCTGGAAGGAAAGACATAAATTTTAATGGACCCTTTGACTTGAAACAATATGAAGATATTACAAAGTCATCCTTATCATGACATAATGAGTAAATATTATTTAATAAGGCATCTTCTAAATCCTTTATATAAATATAATTATGTTCAATATTCGCAGTCTTTGTTTTCGGTATATAAGCTGCAAATGCTAATGTTATCTTTACATGTCTCCAAACAGGTCCATTATATTCAGCACGTTTTACAATATTGCATGTATTTTTCAAATTTGTAAATTCAGCTTTTAAACTCATTGACTCCTTATATGGGTTTACGACAAATGAAGCTAAGGAATTCATTAAGTACTCACCAATTATATCTGAATCAGTTTCCTTCATAATTCCCAATGGAAAGGGTAGTATCCAAATTATGTTTTGACTTGTTGTTAAAATTTCATCTTTATTAAAATTACAATCTTTTAATTCGCTCCTACTTATACAATGATTTCGTAAGGTTCCCTTTGGTTTAAATTTCCACAGGAAAGATAGACTAATATTTATTGGATTTCTTTCTATAAAGTTGTAAATATTATTTTCATCAAATATACTAACTTTGTCTTCTATAATAACATCTGGTACTATTGGCAATATACAAAAATTAGGATAGCTAGGAGTAACATATGGATAGCATAATATCTTTTCATTTATATCAGTAATATCTCTTATATTATACTTATTATATTGAATATTCAAGATGTCGACAATCTCTATATTATTAATATATTGATCTTTAATAGATTCAGTAGCTTCCGATACCCAAGGTACTTCAATTTCCAAATCTAAGTCATTTGAAATGTCACAAAAAGTCACTCCACTAATCATCATCTGTACTGTTGTATAAAAATTGTAGTGACAAATCTTATGAGATCGTGATATATTCTGATTTTTCTCGATATCACTAAATATTAAACAATAACTAAATAGGATAGATTTGATATCTAAAGACAAATCTCTTAATGTATCCATAAAGTGAATTATACTTGCGGAGAGTATTGTATCAATACGACAAGGCGATATTGGTAAATGTGGTAATATTGGTAATGACAAGTCACCCTCCAATAATATAGAATTGATCATAGTATCTCTAATAGATGAATTAGACATATCTTCAGTATGTATTGTCGCTTTAGATGATTCATTTGATTGAATTGGATTATTTCTTAGCTTCTTCCATTTAGAAATCCCAATCACACCATCCTCAAAATAAAAATTAGATGTTGAAGTAACAGAAGATTTAGACTTATTTTCAGTTTGTTCTGGTTTATCCTTTAATATATTAGTATTTATAGATTGAAATCCAATAGAAGATAATGTTTGTTTATTAAGTGAGTCTATATTACCTTTCAAATATGTAGAAGAGATTATTTCCTCAGTATTATCTTTTTCTTCCAATAAAAATGACTCATTACTAAAAGATACTAAGTATTCATCTCCCATAAGTTTTTTTTTATGCAATATGTTAAAACCTGAATCATAATTATCGAATTGTTCATTACTTTCGTCAAATGAAGATAAACTTCTTTTTCTTGGGTTTTTTACTTCACTAGGATTATATGTTTCCTTACTATGTGAATGAACTTGGTTTATTTGTATGGATTTAGATTCTTCAGCAAGAAAATCCATACCTGTATGAGTATCTTGCATATTTGTTTCATCTAATTTGTTTGAAATTGGATTTTGAGTCATAGATGAATCTTTATTATCTGATAAATTTAATCTGGATGAATAAGAGGGATTTTGCATAATATTAAGATTATTTAAAAATTGATTCTTAGTATTAGGCTCATTAGACATCTCCATTTGCTGAGAATTTAGGGAATTTAAGAGGTTTTTGGAAAGATTCTCAGGTTTATTTAAAAATGCAGTATTATTATTTATTGAGTTATCTAATTGAGCTGAACTCTTAATTATTTCAGATTTATGAGTCATACTAATATCTGAAGCTTCTCTCTTAAAATTTATAACTGGTAATTTTCTAGCAAGTGTACATGTATAAATATCATATAATTGAGTTTCTTTAGAATGATCAAATATAGGATCTAATATATCACGTCGAGAAATAATAGAAGTATCCAAGAGTTTTTCAATAATTGGTGAAGGAAATTGAGTTAGTCGTAATCTATCTAATGATTCAATATTTGGAATAGTTGTAGATGCAAATGAAACAATTAAGGAAGAATTATCAGTGACTTCATCAATTGATTGAATAGACTGAATAGGAACAACAACCTTTATTATCCTTTGAATCAATGATATATTAAATTTCTGGCAAAATACTTTAAAAGCTTGAATATCTTCTAAATAAAATCCAAATTGTTTAAAAAATATATGAACTGGCATTCCTTGTCTCCTTAGTAAATGAGAAGATAGTAATGCATTAAGATATCTAACCCTAACAACATTTGAATATTTCTTTAGTAATATTACAATAAGAATAAGACAATGTTTGTAGTTATAAAATATATTCATTTCTCCTTCACTTTGTAATTTATCCTGTATTATCCATTTAAATAAGGTAAGACAATTTTCAAGGTATTTAAAGTATCTAACTGCATTACCCAACCGGAAGGCTTGGTGAATTTCTAAACTGAGTTTTATTAAAATATGATCCTTAATCATTGGATTTATTCGAGCTATAATATCTATTATCCTTGTATCACAAGTCCCACGTGAATTTAAACTCATACTTGTTAAAATACGATAACACCAGAATTCAGCTTCAAATGGAGATACATAAGCAATTATATGCAAAAGTTTATCATTTATCGAATTATTTGTAGTACGCGAATAAAAATAATGAACATCATTATATCCAGACATTAATTTATCTAAGCAAGTTGACATAAGTGAACCATTTTGTACTGAATTAAATTCCTTAATATTACATAGTAATTCTTCAGATAATACTAAAAAACGAAATGAAACTTCAAAACTTTCCAAAAATCCTCTGTGCTTATTAGCATGTTGTACAGTTAAATCTTGCCACACTGCTCTCAGTCTATCTCTTAAAAAGTTGTAAATATCAATATACTGATAACCCAAAGGACTTGAATTAGTAATACTATTTACTCTTGGATATAAATATGGTAATTTTAAATGATCAGCATCAATAAAATAAGTTATTAAACTTCGAACTACTCTTCTACACCATAAAACTGGACGAACTAAAGATGCATGAAATACACGTGATGCATCCGATCTTTGAAAACTTTTCACTGCCAAATTTGGATTTACTATTCTTGCTTCAATATCACCTTCTATAAAAACTCCAGGCAGCCTTTCTAAATCATTAGCTGTAGATGTCTTTTGTTTATCAATAACCTCTTCTTGACTACACATACTCATTAACTTTCCAACTAGAGCTGTAGAAGTCATAGAGTCTTGTAGTTGTGCAGGATCTTGGATAGTGAACAATTGCCTAGCATCACCACATAGGGGATTTTCAAATAAATTAGAATTCAAAAGAGGATGGCTTGGGTAATCTACTAAATTTGTGGGAGGTAGGTACTGATTAGGTACAGGGTAAATAATATCACGACCAGGTCTATTTTTACCTCCCAAAGGTTCAGTCATTATAATAGCCACAAATATATACTTAAAAATAAAAGTTCATCATATTTAATATTATTGCCGTTTTTATAAGCAGTAGAATTATTTATAACATTGGAGATTTCCCTATATTACTTTAAGTAGCCCCTCTCTAAAAAATTATCTACGTCAAATTTTAAGCGCTTGTAATAGGGGTATCGAGTTCCTACAAGATCTAAAAATTCCTCTAAGATCTCCGTAATACAAAAATCATTAAATAAAAGACAATATATATGGTCATAGTTAAATAAATAATTATAAATATAATTGAATATTAACTTTTAATATAAATAGTATAGTATTGGCTAAAATCAATAAAGTATCAAAAATTCTAAATCTTAAAATAAAATTATATAATGCACAATATTTGAATAAAAATAAGGTATGGATTTTCAAGGACAAGAAAAAGATTATATTGAACTAAATAATATTAATACAATATTTCAGACTAGTTCTGAATCATTGGTTGGAGATAAGATAAGTTTAATCAATAGATTAACTCCAAGAGAATATATACCAACAAAATCAAGACTACATTCAAGACTAAATTCAAAGCTAAATTCAAGACAAGAAGATAGATTAGGTAATAATTCTGTATCTTTATTATCTACTGATACATATATAGAACCACTTTTATCTTCTTCGGTCTGTACAAAAAGACAATGGATTGAAAAATATTCCCAAAAACAGAGAAAAATTACAGTTATATGTATAAAAGATGGAAGGTGCTCACAACATTATATGAGTACTGCAGAATTACTTCGTAAAGTACATCTTCACAATGAAAAACGACTGTTAGAAGAAAAGGCAGCAGGTGCACTTACTTTAAGAGATCTTAGACAAGTAATAGGACATGGTAATGAACGTCCCTCTATTGAAATACGAAGAAATTGTATACTTGTTAATATGCCAGGTGTTAGATGTATTATTTTACATGATAAAGTATATTATTTACCACTAAATACTGTAATATTTCCTGTAGATGATGAATTTAGAAGTGGTGATGAAGGTCTTCAGATCTTTCATGGACAAATTCTAACTCAGGATATTGAAGATTCTGTAGCTAAAGGAACTGTGAAATATAATAAATATGATCGTAAAATACAATCTACAAAATATAATATAGAATATTCTGATATATCAATTATTGAACGTTTAATTCTTGCAACACAATTATGTTCTGAAAATACCCATGATTTCCATTCTATTATAAATGGGGCAATGGAAGAATCACAAAATATTATAGGTGGAATTTCACCTCCAAGTACTGAAACTATTAATGATCAACAAACTCCATTAGAATTAAATGCTTTAGAAGTTTGTTTAGTAGAAGTATGTTATCAATTGTGGAATAGTTATTATACAATAGATGCAATAGCACAAGAAAATTTAAAACATATAGAGAGTAATCCAACATCTACACAAAAAATTCATGAAATCAATGATATTAGAAAACGACTTGATTCCTTAAGAGATAGAATTCATGGTGTATATGGAGCATTAAAAGAAATATTAGATGATGATGATTTACTTGCTAGAATTGAGATATCCAAATTTTGGGCTAAACCTGAAAGTTGGGATCGTCGTTCTCTTAACCATACATTTATTGATTCCGAGATATTGCTAGAATGTTATGAACAAGAAATTGAGGGATTAGTAAAGGCTGTAAATAGATTAGATGAGCAATTGGATGATGCTGTAGAAATAATGCAAATCCATCTTGCAACAATCCGAAATACATTTTTGAAGAGTGAATTAAGTCTTGATATTGTTGATGTATGTGTTGGATTTGTAGCTGCAATTGCATCAATATTTGGTATGAATATTCAGAGTGGATTAGAAGCTAGTAGAGATATTTTTTGGCTTATGGCATATACAATGTTAACTCTATGTGTTATTGCAGGTATTATTGTAGTATTAATGTTCCGAAAGCTTCAATTATGAAGTATTATCTTCAATAATAAGATAATACTAGATACAAATATATATACTTAGCTTATATAGTGAATTATCTTATTAGTTAAGATTTCCAAATATTTAAAAAAATTCTATATATTATTACATTGAAAAGCCTCTTTAGTTAAATAAATACAATAAGATAAAAAATACTAAGAATTTTATCATTCTAATTATTTAATACATCACAATAAAGTTGTTTATAACTAATAAATATTTAAACTTTCTACTTTTTTTTCTCATAAATAATTTGGATAATTTACCGCCAATAAATAGATTTAGGTCAAAGTAAAATAAATTCCCATGCTTTGTTATAGAAAACTCTGAAACTAAAAAAAAGAAGGAAAAGGAAAAATCACACATTCCGAAGATTTGAGAATCTTTTAGAGATTTGAATATAAATATGCTTGATATATCACCTTGGTATAGTCCTGAAATACACGGGGAATTCCCAACTCCACGTGCAGCTCATAGTTGTGATAAAATAGGTGATAAGCTATTTTTCTTTGGGGGATGGAATGGTTTAGAAGCTTTGGATGATTTACAAATGCTATATATGGTTCCTAAATTTAAGTGGCAAAAATTAACTTCATCTGATAATCGACCTTCCCCAAGGAATAATCATGCTTCAGCTTCTTATGGAAATATCCTTATAATACATGGAGGTCATAATGGTGAAATTTGGCTTGATGATATGTTCCAATTTGAAATTTTAAAATCAGATTTCTATGAATATATAGAGGTAAATGAATGTCTAATAGGAGAATGGAAAAAATTAGCCCCTTGTAGAAATACTTCAAATCCTCCTGCTAGAGCCTGTCATACATTAAGTAGAGTTTTTAATAAACTATACCTTTTTGGTGGATATAATGGATCTCATTGTTTTAATGACTTGTGGATGTTTGATCTAGTAACTAAAAGGTGGTCTGAAATTATACTTGAAGGGAAAATTCCATTTGGTAGAAATGGTCATTGTACAGTATCTAATAGTAGAAATATAATTTTTTTTGGGGGACATTCTGGAAAATCTAGTGTAAATGAAGTGTTATGTTTTAATTTATCTACTAATACTTTTAGTAAACCAAAAATGTATGGAGTTTGTCCACCTGCAAGAAAAGGACATACTACTAATATTATAGATGATAATACTATAGTAGTATTTGGAGGGTATAGTAGAGGAATTCGGAGTAATTGTTTATATATCCTTGATATTACAAATTTACCAGAAAGTGTACGTTGGGAACAAAGAATTGAAAATCAGGCTCCTAGCCCAAGACAAAGACATTCTACTACTACAATAGGTCCTGGAAAGATTTTTTTATTTGGTGGATATGATGGGAAAAATTGGTTAGCAGATGCTTATATATTAGATACTAGTAAATTTTTGGATTCATTTCATAATAGAAAAATATCATTACCAATGCTTGGAAATTTGGGTTGTCTTGTTGATAATCCAGATTTTAGTGATGTTGTATTTATTCTTAAAAATGGTGAGACTCTTTATGCTCATAAATGTATTTTAATAGCTCAAAGTAGCTATTTTAAAGCTATGTTTAAAGTTGGTATGCGTGAATCTTCTTCAGAAACAATATATTTACATCATATTTGTAAAAGAGAATTTTATGCAATTATTAAATTTCTTTATACATCGTATTTAGATGAGATTGATGTTGAAATATTATGTAATATAATGCATCTTGCAGATATATATGATATAAAATCCTTATCTGAAATCTGTGAAAGAAAAATTCGAAATTATACAGATATAAGTAATGTATGTAAGCTTGTAGATATTGCAAATAGGTATAATGCAAATACTATAGTGGATTATTGTATTGAATTTGCAGCTAATCATGCTTCTATAGTTATAAGAAGTAGGGATTTCCAATATCTTACTTCAACTAATCCTCATTTGGCTATGAAGATATCTAATTCTGCAATTAATAACCTTCTATGAAATATTAAGACTTAGATAAATAAGATATGAAAAATAAAATATAAATCATATTATATTTATAATGAAAAGTTAATTGAATTTCTTTTTTTTTTTTTTTTTTAATAAATACCGCAATGTTTAAGATTTTTATATAATTTAAATATATTTTATATATATAATTATAACTATTATTATTAGGTAATTAATTTTTATATCAAAATTCTTTTTATTTAGATGAAATCTTATTCTTTTTTTAAATTTTTTAAAAAATATATATTATATCATCGACAATGGTTTTATTTTATATTAATTTCTTTTCGTATAATAAATTCTCTTTTAATAAAAACAACATTTAATCCTGATGAATATTGGCAATCACTTGAAGTTGCTTATCAAATCGTTTTTGGATATGGATTTCTCACATGGGAATGGGATCATTGTATTGCTTTAAGGAGTATAATATATCCACTTTTATTTGCTCTTATATATAAAATATTTAATATTATTAATATATCAAATACTATATTTATTATTTATATACCTAGATTATTCCAAGCATTTTTTGCATCTTTAACAGATATCGGGACTGCCAAATTTACATTTTTATTAACATCTAAATTAAAAATAAAAATATTTGAAATACCCCCAACAATTTATAATATGGATTTAATAGCTCTTTCTTTAAATATATTTAATTGGTTTAATTTCTTTTGCTTATGTCGTACTTATTCTCAAACATTAGAATGTTGTTTAAATATTTGGTCAATGTATTTCTTATTATTATCTATTTTACCAGAAAAAAATTTAAATATCAATAAAAATGAGTTCTTTGCTTTGATTTTATCTTCAATAAGTGTTTTAATTAGACATTCATCAGTTATATTTTGGTTTCTAATATTCTCTTTTTATTCTATTCATATAATTTTAAGGTATTCTTATTATAGATTTTATTATTTTTTATTAAAATCTTTTATTATTGTATTAATTTCAATCATTATTATGATTTCTACAGATTGGTGGTTTTATGGTAAATTTGTCTTACCAATGATCAATTTCTTTAATTTCAATCTTTTAGGTAATCCAGGGGCTTTTTTTGGTCATAATTCTTGGTATTATTATTTTTTGGAATGCCCTATATCTTTATTACTTTCATATATTCCTTTTTTTATATTAGGATTATATTGTATTTTATTTAATCAAAATAAAAAGTTAAAATTTATTCCGGAATTTCAAGTAATTCTTCTATCAATTCTTTTGGTTATTATATTATTATCCTTTTCCTCTCATAAAGAATATAGATTTATATTACCATATTTTCCATTCTTAATTGTAACAACTACTATTGGTATTTATTACTGTATAAATCATTATTTTTCAAAAAAATATAATTATTCATATATAAGAATTATTATATTAATTATTATCATTTTTCAATTAATACCTGCTATTTATTTTTCATTATTACATCAAAGAGGAGGTGAAAGTGTTATTAAAGTTATTTTAAGCTTACCAAATATATATAATAGTTCAATTTTTTTTATTTCACAATGCCATATGTATCCATTTTATTCATATATTTATAAACCAATACCAATGGGATTTTTTGATTGTTCTCCTCCTATTAATAATGTTCAAAATTGGAATTCTCATCTCTGGTATTCAAATAATATAACTAATTTTTTAGATTCAGTTTTTATTTCAAGTCATTTCAATCAATTCAACTATTCTAATTGTATTTCACCTTATATTATTCCTAAATTATCAAAGAAAAATATATATACTGGTTGGTTCCATAATGAAATTATAACTATTGAAAATGTAAATGATTCATGCCTTAATTATAGATTTTTGAAAAAAATATGTGGTCCATTTCCAACATACTTTATTGTACATAGTAGTTTTATTAATGATATTAAAAATTGGTTAAATTTAAATAATTATATACAATTAGGACAACCAATATTTGATTCCATTATCACTGAGACACCAAAAGGCTATATTACATATTCTTATTATTATATATATAAAAAAAAATAATTAATAATAAGTGATTACTTATTAGATTTATACTATATTATTATTGTAGACTATAATTTTTTAGAATACTAAATTTGCATGCAAAATGTCATAGGTTACCGCTAACCCCTTTTATAAGGCGGTCTAGTTAATATTTGACATTTTAATAATATTTGGTACAAAATCATTTTAACAATAATGAATAGAATTAATATGGATGGATTTCGCAAAGTAATTAGTGAAAATGAACATGTATGAATATATATATATATATATTTATTAACTGTCAATCTTATTTTCTTTTTTTTTAATTATAGCTCTATTTAGACGAACCAGGCAATATTGATGGTATAATTTCAACATTATCACCTGTATCTTGGCTTCATATAGATGAAGTAAGTATAAATAATGGAAAATTTCATGATAAAGAAGGTTTTAATGGATCAGAACAAATTTTAAAGGATTTAACATATGGTAAGTTTGTTATTAATTATTAAATTTTCTAAATTGATCTTTTTTTTTTTCAAAGAGCTTTGTCGTACAAAGGCATCATATTTACATAAATCTTGTAAGGTAAGTAATATATTTAATTGTAATTTAAAATCTCTTAACTTTTGATTTACTTTATTAGAAGTATATATGGATACTTTTTCTTGTATCTCTATTATTACAATCTATTCTTATGGTTATTGCATATTTTACATGTGATTTATTATCTATAAGTTTTCAACTTTAAATTGTAAATTTAATGCTAATTATTACTATAGAATAATATTTAAGACATTAATAACAAAAATATTTTTATGATTGGAGTAAATGTTTATAATAGAATCCATGCAATACTATATTAATTTGCATGCCCCACTAAAAAGTTTCTCATATATTAATAAAAAAAAAAAGTAAAAATAAAATTCTCACAAAATTAAAATTATAAAGTAAATAATATCAACTTATTGGATATTTTTACTTTTTTTTTATATTATTTTTTTTTGTAATACAAAATTTGGAATACTTAAATTCCCCATAATTAATATATATATGGATTTATATTTGCAATGAATAGAAATCCCAAAAGAAAAACTTCACAACACGAAGTTCATACAATGTATTCAAATAATAAATCAATAGAAACATTAAGTGATTGCTTATTTTTAAAGGATCAAGGTTATAAACGTCAACCAATTAATTTATCGAAATTTGAATATAATCATATTTTCGCATCTATAATGGGGAAAGAATATAATTCCAATGAAATGAAACAAAATGAAAATTTTGAGAATTTAAAAATTGAATCATTAAATCGAGATTCTGAAAATTGGGTAATATCTCAGTCACAAATTGAAAATACAGAAGTTCCAAGTAATACTTCTACTCAAAGTAACATATCTAATTCAATCCAAACACAAAAACCAATTAATATAGTAGAATCTAGGTTAAATAAAAAATTGGAAACTTCTAATGAAAATTCTTTAGAATCTGAAGAAATTGAAATAAATGAATTTGAAAAGTGTTCATACTTTGAGGATGAAACTTTACAATTAAAAAGTGAATATTTATATAGTAATAATAATAATGATAATAATAATACATCAGTTGAAATAGTTTGGGAGCGTTTAAAAGCACAAGAAAAACAATATTATACATCAGAAGTATATAACTTTTATATTTCAAAATGTAAAATATGTATCAGTCCTTATAAAACTTCAAATGAATGGATATATAATCAAAAAGTTCCTCTAGTTTTTATTAGAAAAAATATTCTAGATGAATTATCTAATTTAATATGGTTACAACGTATGAGAAATGAAATTTTATTTACATCAATATATTATTTTGATAATACACTTTGTAAAGATAATTTTTTTTGGAATATAACAGCTATTGAAGAAATAAGGGAATTAGCTTATTCGTGTGTATATTTGGCTGCAAAGGTTGAAGAAGTTGTTCATATTAGTCATAAGGAATTATGTAAGCGTTCTTCAATTCCTTCAAAAACTATACTTAATTTAGAGCGTCATATACTTAAAGTGCTTACTTTTAAATTAAATCCACCAATACCAATAACCTTTTTACAATTATTACTTGAAATGTATAAGGCAAAGAAAGTACAAAATTTTGGAAATAATAATAGTAAAAAAATACTTGAATACTATATTTGTAGTTATATATTAGAGATTTGTCTTTATGACATTGAATTAATGCAATATTCTCCATTGGAACAAGCATTAGCAGCTATATATGTTGCTAGACAATGTATAGAATTTAATTGTAATAAAGAAAAAAATTACATCATATCATTATGTTTAGATCAAGTTGAAATAAAAGGAAATATAATTTCTAATTTCAAATATGACTACAATTTAAAGAATCAATACAGGATTGTAGAATCAATTATACGAACATTTCAGTATTCTCATATAATAAATACAATAACAACAAAGAAATATCAAAGTAAAGAATATATGGGTGCTGCAGATTATGTGCTAAAGGCACTATCATTAAATAATAACAATAATAATACAATTAGTATTAGTAGTAGTAATAAAAAAAAAATTGGCAATAAATGATATATATAATATAGAATATTAAAATCAATATTCTGAAATGATTAAAGTAATATTAATTATTTTCAATAATTTCCATATTGCAACCTAGATCAGAAGATAAGCCAGAATATCTTGAGATCCATATTTTGTTAATATTTTGGGGATGTTCAACTATAGAAGAATTTGTTTCTTTACTCTCTTTAATATCAGGAGAAATCTCAATATCAAGAGAATTATGATTTTTTAGTTCAATATTAGCACTTTTTTCTTGAATATTACGTTTACGCTGCTCAATTTTTTTACGATCAGCAATAATCCAATCTACAGATAATGCAATACGATCACAAAATTCTTTACCACTTTTACAAGAAGTTGTATTATCTCTTGTAGAAGAAATATCTTCTACGACTACTTTAGTTAAGTATTCATGTGTCGTTACTCCTCTATATACAAGATAGCAATGAAGAATACATAGTTCACCATCTAAAAAAAAAAATGGGAGATTAAATATAATCAAAAATATACCAATAATGTAGAAAGCAGTTGGAGACCAAAATAAAAGTCTTTTTTTCCAATAATATTTTGTAGAACCATAAAATGCTTCACATATTATAGAAGCTAAGGATGAAGTAATAATACAACCCAATAGAAAGAAAACAAAAGTTATAAGAAAAAAAAATGAACCATAATTTTTTTCTCCTATACAAGTATTTAACCATTTACAATGATGATCATATCTGGGTATACATTTATTACAAAGTCGACAATGCTTACAATTATTATTATAAATACCACAAATATCACATCTATAGATATCATTAGAAATAGATGGTTGATCTAATGATGAATTATTATTATTATTATTATTATTATTACTAGTATCAGAAAGTCCTGGATCATTTGAAGTTACTTTCCATGCAAGTGTAAAAGTTGTAATACTCATAAGCCCTACAATAATTGCCATAGATATCATAGCACCTAATGGTAGTGATGGAATTATAAAAATGTAGTAAAGTAACAAATTTAATGCAAATATAAGCCATAGAAGTACTTGTAATACCTGCAAAGGCCTTTGGAAACCATTTTTACGAAATTTACCACTACTTAAATCATCATGGAAAATACAGCAAGGTATATTATTAGTATCTAAATGATTAACATTATTAGATACCATTGCCTTTATTATATGGTAGATATCAATAGATCTTCCCTCATTTAGTCATAAGCAATATTTACTAATTGAAATATCTTCGTTAGGAAAGAATGAAAGTTATAGGTGGTTCAAATAGGTATCATTTAAGTGTAACCGCTAAAATGACTAAAGAAAAAAAATCTAAGCTTTAGGAATTTCTGTAAAATAAAACCTGTATCCATAATTTAATATTAAAAAAGTTTTATTTACAAAAGAAAAAAGTATTAAGTGTTATTTGAATATTTAATATTAAAAGAATATTGAAAAGAAAAAAATTAAATTAATTAATGACATCTAAAAGCTTTATTAAGGAATTTGTATGTAAAATTTATTATTCACATGTTGCTTCATATTTCAATTTAGCAGCATTTGTAAAATGATGATTAGGACCTGTCAAGATGCTCAGGTAACACCATGTATCATAAAAGTTGCGTTGGATTGCAGCTAGCTGATGATTAGATTTATGTGATAATTTATTTTCATTATACTGAATACTCAGGATATCACCAAGTTCTTCTGTTATCCAAGCTAAAGTATATGTACAATCAGGAAAGGTACTTCTAACATAATTAAGTCGATTGTAAAGACAAGGTATTGCATTGTCATATTGTTGAATATCTTTATATGCTTCAAATAACATAGTATCTAATTCATACATTATCCAATGTTGTGTAAAAACTTTTTGAGCTTCAATATATACATTTTCAATATCTTCAATATCAGTCTTATCAGTTTCTTCTAATCTCAATATGTATTGAGATTCTAAATCTGTATAACTAAGTATAATATCTTGGTGAGGGTGCGTTTTACATACATTACAATTAGTAGATAATGTTTCTCCTGTCTCATTATCCTTAAAAAAAACAGTTCCAACACCACAAGAAGCACATCGTAATCCTCTAGATAAATCAACAGGATCACTACAACGTGAACATTGACAATAAAAAAGCCAATTAAGTAGTAAATTTCTCCTAACTTTTGAACACTTAAATAAATCGTCATCTGCAATATAAGATATTGTTATTTCATCTCCTATCTCTAATCTAGTTTTTGCTCTTAATACAAATGTATTTTCTGTCCCATAATGCCAACAACAACTTGCTGCACAGCTATGAGCCATCATACTAATTCTATTATATAATACAATACCATTATTTGATGTATGGTTAAATGAATTATAACGCCATGCTCCTAGAGTACGTTCATACATATATGGATCAATATTTAAACCAGAATTTTCAATTACTTTAATTACATCATGACTTGGTTCAGCATATGGATCAGGAACCCATTTATCAAGACAAGCTTGTTTTGTTTCCTCATCAAGCATAGTTAAAGTACATAATGCGGCCAAATGCCATAATGGAGGTAAAGAAAAAGTTTCAGACTCATTTAATTCCTCTAAGAAATCATACATTTCCTGAGCAATATCTGGTGTTACTACTAAAATTGGACTTTCAGCAAATATTATATCACCAGGATTAAAACTTTTACGAGCATATAGACAACGTCCTTTATCTTTAGTAACACGGATTTCAACATGTTCATCAATTTGAGAAATATCCCAAGGTTGTATCTGTTCTTCTAATTCTTCTACAAATCCAAATTCTGTTCCTTCTATACGTTCATCAAAATTACAAGCATCTTTGAAATGATATCTAAGTGCTTCTGGATATATTGAAACCTCTTCCTCATTAATAGATGTAGTATCAGAAGATTTACTAGTCTCTGTTGTATTATTATCAATTAATGTACGTTTAAATTCTGTAGTTGATAATGCAACCCATCTGTCATCATTAAAGTCAGCAACAGGTCTTAATTTTGTACTTGATTCATAAACATATGCCATATCAATATTAATCAATTCTCCTTAATATATACGGGACGGGTTTTTAATATGGTATACGTCATCTCAGACCTTTATAATAATAATAAAATCCTTTTAAAATCTTGTCAAGAACAAGTTAACCCAAATGTAAACTAAAAGAAAAAAAAATGCAGCACCCCAGGCGCTATATATTCACACAAGCGCTATAATGTGTGCAATAGTATTTTATATTTACCAATGTATAATATAAAATATTTTATTAAAAAAATTAGGATTTATATATTTTTATTTAAGTATAATTAGGGAATATATATTGCTATTTATTTTATTAATTTTAGATATGTACAGTATATTATTAAATAATCCTAATTTTTTAATAATAAATATTTTTCTTAGAAAAGAATGATGCAAAACCGTCTTAGGCGGTAAAGATACATATTTTAATATTATTAGAAGTAGGAGAGTAGTAATATAAGACTCTTAATCTTTAAAATATAAAATTAAAGAAAAAAAGAAGGAAAATGGCTAGGAAAAATAATAGAAATAAAAGAAGGGCATATATAGATTGGTTACGTGATAAAGAACGTGATATGCGTGAGAAATATGAAAATAAGAGACTTAGAAAGATATCACTTAATAAACAAGAGGTTATAAAGTCTGATTTTAGAAATTTATCAAATAGTACAGATATAAAGATGATAAAAGTACGGAAACAATCAAAAGTTGATAAAAGAGCTCAAAGACGATTAAATAAGTTAGCTAGTAAGTTATACTTGATCTTAATTTAATATAATATGATTTCTAATGAATTATAATTATAACTTTTAGATATTAAGAAAATGAATGTATCAATGGATCTATAACAACTCAATATAAGTATTATTTAGAATCCTTCAAGCTTTTTTATAATTATAAAAAATCTAAATGAGTTATTAGTTATCTTATTAATTTAAATATTATTAGACTTTAAATAATTAATATATTGAATTTTTCTTTTAAACTAGTATTCATAATTAAATAAGGATTATAATCTAATACTGGATTTATTTTTCTACATTTAGTGATACATGAATGAATATAGCGCATTTTTGGAAATATGAGACATTTATAGTTATTGTACACGAGATCCTGTTATAATAGAAGTATATATTACTATTGCTTATTAATTATAAAGAATTGTGAAATAAGGTAAATATGAAGATAATGAATATATAATAATTAAGTGCATGTATTGATTAAATTTAATATTCTAAAGTTGATAAGAAAGTTAACATGAACTATAAGACTACTAGATGGAATTCTGAAATTAGAAATACAAATAAACTACCAAATATATGTATGGTATCAGATTTCTTTTATCCAGGACTAGGTGGTGTTGAAATGCATATTTATGAGTTATCACGATGTCTAATAATACGTGGATTTAAGGTTATAGTTGTAACACATAGTAGAAGTAATCGATATGGTATAAGATATATGGAAAATGGTTTAAAAGTTTATTATTTACCTCATATATGTATGCATAATGATGTAATATTTCCAAGTTTTTTTTCTCTTTTACCATTATTTCGTCAAATTTTAATTCGAGAAGAAATTGATATTGTTCATGGCCATCAGGCAGTATCAATGTTAGCTTTAGAATGTATATTTCATGCAGTAACAATGGGTTATAAAGTTGTATATACTGATCACTCTTTATTTGGATTATCAAATTTTGATTCAGTTCATGTAAATAATATACTAAAGATTTCATTGTCTTGCGTTGATGATATTATTTGCGTATCATATACAAATAAAAAGAATCTTATTTATAGAGCCTCAATTAATCCTAAAAATATAACTGTAATACCAAATGCAATAGATAGTAGTCGTTTTACACCAAGTTTAAATAATAGATATTTTGAAAAAGATTCTTTAGTTGTTATAGTATCAATATGTCGTATGACCTACAGAAAGGGTGTAGATTTACTTGCATCTATTATACCAATAATATGTAATTTGGATCCAAATATAAACTTTTTAATAGGTGGTGATGGACCAAAAAGAATTCTTTTAGATGAAATGCGTGATAACTATAACCTTCATAATAGAGTAGAATTATTGGGTGAGATTCCTAGTTCTCAAATATGCTCAACTCTTCAAAAAGGTCATATATTTTTAAATACTTCATTAACAGAAGCATTTTGTATATCTATTGTTGAAGCCGCATCATGTGGATTACTTGTGGTATCAACAAATGTTGGTGGAATCCCAGAAGTTCTTCCAAATGACATATTAAAATTAGCAAAACCTTCAGTAAGTTCTATGATAAATAAGCTAATTAATGCAATAGACATGATAAGAAGTGGGGAAGTTGATCCTGAGAAACTACATGATAGAGTATCCAAGATGTATAATTGGCATGATGTAGCTAATATGACCGAATTAGTATATTATGATACTATTCAAAGACCTTGTAATGGATTAATTGAAATACTTTCAAGGATAGCAAGCTGTGGTCCAGTTATTGGAAAGGTATACCTTATATTAGTTTCTGCAAATTACATATTTTGGTATATTTTAAGTATATTATATCCTGAAGATCAAATTGAGCTTGCCATGAATTTTCCAAAATAATTTTGATTAAATAAATATAGAAATTTATAAATAAAAAAAAAATTTAACTGATAGAATCTGTATATATATATATATTGTTAGTAGTCTATTAAACAAATCTTTTAATCTCACCCCACAAATAGTCAGCATTTGTAATTCGATCTAAAAGAGAAAGTAGAAGATATTACTTCAAAATTTACCAATTTGAAGATTGATTATAAACTTACTATTTTCAGATAGTTGTAATTGAAAAGATTCAGTAAAATGAGGAGCATTTGGTGGTATAAAATGACCTTTTAAAGATAATTCAGATATGCTGGACCATGAAATTGATGAGATATTTTGATACATTTTGCGTTTTGCAATGAACATTTCCTCAGAGTCCCTCATTGATTTTAATAGTTGTTTTTTCTTTTCAAGTAATATTGCATGCTGATTATGAATTCTTGATAACTCCAATTCAATTTCCTCACAATATTTCGATAATTGATAACACTTCTCTTCTTCATTTGAATCTTTTGTATTAAAAGATATTGAATTTTCAAAATTTGTATTTTCTAGTTCCTTTTTGTAAGCTTCTTCATTTTTACGAATATCTAAGAAATACAAGATATTTAAATATAATTTTATATTCTATATTGAGAATACTCAGAAGTCCCACTTCTTAACTTACTCTCAACAGAATCTTTTAATATATCATAGACATTTGAGATATATTTGTCTAATTTATTTATTTCAGCTGTTAATTTTGATAGTGTTTCATCTTCTGATTTAAAATCTGAAAATTCATTGACAACTTCCTGTATCATATAATTTATATCTCTAAAGCTTTCATTTGAAGCTGAAATTGATCTTTTAGCACTCATTATCTCCATTTGTTTACTACTTCTACTTCCATTCAACAAATATAATCCCAGTAGTAAATTTTTATATTAATTATTAACTATTATAAACCACTAATATTTAGAATGTGCTATTGCGCTTAATTCCGCCACTTATATGCCACACAAAGGGTTTCATTAAAATTACAGAGAAATTTGAAAATTCCTTACCCGTAATACAATAGAGAGCCATAATTAGATATTATATTTTATAAATGAATTTATATCTAATATAATTAGTCTCTTATTCCACACTATACTTTTCTTTTTAAGTTCATATTTATTTATATGCGCATCTTATGTAACTGTTTATTAGTTTAAGTTCATTAATCCATCATTTTCTATTTCGACTCTTCCTATATCTTCTATATTATTTGTATTGAGATCTGTACTTTCAATATTAGGTGATATCTCCTCTTTTGTACTGACAGAACTACTATTTAATATGGCTGCAGCTTTTCCACGGGATAGATCAGGATCAATAAATATTGCTTGATTTTCTATACCACCAATATTTTTACCTCTTCTTATTTTTGCATAGCCTTTATTACCCCACTTTTTCCCCCATGAATTTCTAATAATCCAATATGGTATCTTATCAGTACTTTCAGGAGTTTCTTGTTCACCCCATCCTACTACTACAATAGCATGATTAGTGTATTCCCATCCATTTAATTGTTTATTTGGTAAATCACAGAATTTAGCATGATTTTAGGAGTTACATCATATATACCATCTTCATATACTAGTAATGAAGGATCTATATGCATTGCTACTACTATTGGGCCATGGTGATATATCTCTCTCTTCATACTTTCTTCACTACTACAACCATAACATCCTCCAATATATCCATAATCTTTTGCAAACCAACGTTCTGATTCAGTACATCCATCCTTTTCTATAATATAATCACCAATATAAGGTGAAAAATGACACTCTTTATTGTCTGTAGCTTCATATTCCATACAATCATTAGATGAAATACCAATTTCTAATGCTTGTTTACCTACTAAAAATGGATAACCTCCATCACATCCTTGATTAAATGGTGAACATGAAAGGATTGATTGGGCTGAAAGTTCTATCTTGGGAAATTTCTCATCTTTTTCAAGTCTATTTCTTAGTGCAATTTCAAAACGTTTTTGTAATATATAAGCTGATGAAATTGCATAACACGATCCACAATTTCCTTGGTTCAATAAAATATCTTCAAATTCACTTGATAAAAATGGATCCCCATAAGAAAAATTTGATGGTAAATCAAAATCATTTTTTTCATGTTGTACTGAACATGCAAATATACCTGAATCAGGATTCATTTCATTAATAGTTTTAGATGATAATTCCATAAAAGAAGTTACTTCATTTTTATTATCAAAAAGTCTCCTATAAATTTTCTTTGAATTCATTGTATGTAAATAATATGGATAATGAGAAAATGCTAATTCTCCAATACTAAAAGAATTTCTAGCTGTCCAACTTGTTTCTATTCTTTCGTTATAAAGTTTAGCTATTGATTGTAAAGATGTAGTTAAAGATCTAATTCCTTTATGAATTGCTACTTTAACTGGTACCTCTACTAAATTTTTAAGTTTATCTAAAGTGTTATTTTCAGAATCAGATTTATATCCAAATACACAAGCTCGCTTTTTATTTGCATTATCATAATACCATCCTAAATGTAATTTTGAGGGATCTGTTTCATAGCATAATGTTTCACCCGATGGTAGCTCATTATCTCCATCATATGGATTACAATTTTTTTCATCTAATAAGCTATATTTTATAAATCCAAAAATACTTTTATCCCCAATTCTTATTTGGAAACCTTCATCATAAACCATTGTCCAACCTCCTATTATTTCTCCACTAAGATCTTTTACAGCTAACTGATTCCATTTCCTTCTCCCTAATGATTTATTATAAGAATTACTATTTAATATATCTGTAAGTATTAAATTATATTCAATTAGTTCACTTGATGTATGATCCTTAAGCCATTTATTATAATCAATTAAAATAGGTTGCAAATTCTGAGTATTCTTATTTGGGACCCCTGAACCACAACCATTGACCCAATTATCCAATGGCTCAGAAATCTTAAAGGTCCATCTACCTACAATATCTGCTGTTGTTGCATGTATAGGTAAATCACCTTTTATACCTTGTAAAAAGAATAAGGAAATACTAAGAACTGAAATATTCAAAATCCACTTTAGACTGATCATTTAAAAGAATAATTTTAGTATAATTATAAAATTAATTTTTGTATAATTTTTTTTTATTTTTTCATATATTTATAAATAATCTGACTTTTGTAATCTTTGTAGTTCACGTTCAAACTAATATGCAAAAAAAAGAAAAAAATGCATGCAAAAGTTTCCCGCAAAATCTGGTTACTATACAAAGGCAGCATGGGGTAAATAAGATGGTAGCCCCTTAAAGAATTTAAAAATAACTTCTAATTTATAAATTATATTTATATTTTTCTAATATATATAGAACTTACTAGATTATCTATATATTTCCATATATATATAATATTTACTAAAAAAAATAGTACTATAGAGATGTATTTTAAGATTATTACATAGTAATTTAAAATAATTAAGTTTCTTATTTTAATATTGGATCTTAGTGTATTCAAGTTATTATTGCAGGTAATACTCATTTTAACCAATAAATTCTTAAATTAAGATTATTGACCTCACTAAAATCAATTATTACTATACTAATTAAAAATTTCATATATTATTTAATAGAAAGAAGTATCCCCAAATTTAACAAACTTTAAGTGGGTAAAAATTTAATTTCTAAGGTTAATTATTTCTATTTTCCGCGTTTTAATTTTGGCGGTACTGTATTTTATAATGAGGATTTTTGTTCTCTTCCTTTTTATTTTTACGTTGAAATAATTCTACATAAGAAGAATTAAAATATATATGATGTCTCCTGAAAGTGTGATTGATGGTACAGATGTAACTGGTAATGAAGGCGAACTTACTAGTCATTTTATGTCTGATTGGGGGGCAGAACCTATATATACAAATTATGAAGTCAGCGTAACTAATCCTGAAAATAAATCTATTGGGTTAGGCAAATATACAGTATACTTAGTATCAGGAAGAACTATACAAGGAAGTAATTTCTCTACAAGAAAACGTTATAGTGACTTTGAATGGTTAAGATCATCTCTAGTTTTACAGTTTCCAGGTGTATTTATCCCACCTATACCTCGTAAAAAGAAAGTTGGTAGATTTGAAAAGGAATTTATAGAATGTAGAAGGCGTGGTTTAGAAGAGTTCTTGCGTAGAGTATTTAATAGAGATTATCTTGCAAATTCAGATCTAGTACGAACTTGGCTTAATAGGGGTGAAAGTGGAATGGAATCTTTAAAACGAGAAGAAGCAAATCGTCCATTATTTGATATTGTAACTCAATACTTTAATAGTTTTGATAGTGTTTTAATAGATATACAATCAAGTTCTTCAAACAGAAGATCAAATAATAGATTTTCAGTACCTAACATTGATGTCAGCGTAATTAGTCAATTTTCGCAATGTTTGGAATCACATTTTTCAATATTAGAGCAATTATGTGGATATCTCTCAACAATATCCTCTACTGGTAATAAAGGATTTAATGCTTTACGTGAATTATCACCATTATTAAGTAGTTTAGTATCAAATGAACAACAATACATTTCGACTAATTCCTCCTTATATGTGAATTTATCTTCACGTCTTGATTTATCTCCTGTATTTCAACATTTAATATCTATTTTATCAGTATCACCACAAAAAAATTATGACATTTTACAATCAAGTTTAACAAGAGAGTTAAATGATACAGAATGTATGTTAGAAGCTGTTCAAACTTTAGAAAAACTTCAGGGATTATTGTTAATAAATCCATCACAAAAAGTAGATGATAATAATGAAGATAATTCAAATGTATCTGAATCCTTAGCATCAATTAGAAGTACAAATACTACACTATCAGCATCAAGTACACTTGGAAGTGTAGTTAGTTCTGCAGCAAAAGGAATTGTAAATGGTTTTTCATTATTTTCTTCTAAATCACGTGAAAGTTCATTTTCTTCTGATGGAAACTTATCCAAATTAGATCGATATAAGGAGGATCAATCAGCATTGAGAACTTTATTGGCTGCTGGTAGAGTTGTATTAGTTATTCATGAAATGCCACACTTTTTTTCTGGGAAAATACAAGTATTTAACAATATTATCATTGAATTTGTCAAAAAACAGATGAATATAGCTTATAGTGAGTCTGAATTTTGGAATAAAATATATAGCAAATTACAAACATTACCTCAATATAATTCCATAAATACCCATGATAACAATATAAATTCTTATAACAATAACAATAATAATAACAATAACAACAATTATGATTATTCTACTCAAAATAATCAATGGGCTAATGAAAGTTATAATTACTAATTTAATAAGATATTTTAAATTTGTTTTATTAGTTTATAATAATGTTTATTCTTAAATAATTGCAAGATCTACTTGAGAAATAGTATATATACTGAATATTATCTTTTTTTTTTTTTTCATGTAACTCCAAATAGTAGTTAACCATATCTTGAATGATAAAAATAATCCCTATAAAAATTAGATTTTAATTTTATACTATTCATATTTTTAATATATTGGTAATCCTTTAATGTATAAATCTAGTATTTATTACTATTTCTTTCCTGTCTTAGTATTCTTCAATCATAGAAATAAAACTAATAATTTAAAAAGTTTACATTAAATTTAAAATTATTAATCTTTATATCATATCATTGACTATATAATCCTATAGTATTTTATAAACATTCTTAGATTCAACATATACAAACTAATTCTATAATTTAAAATAATATTCTAAGTTTATATCATTATAATTTACTTTTCTAAATTAACTAAAAAAAAATTATATAAATTAAATCACAATATTAAGATTAAATAATAAAAAAAATTATTTTTTTTTTTTCTCTTCCAAATTTATTTCCAAGATAGATAATGGTAATATTTCTAGATATAACTTACTTACCATTAACTTGGTAAAATATTAATAAATTATTGTGATCAATAAATTAATATTAATAATCAATATAAAATCTTCTTAAGAATAATTTTTTTATTTAAAGTAAAATTAACTGATAAATAATAATATATTATTATATATTCATTACATATTTTTGAATTATGAAACAAACTTCAAAATACAAATTAATATATTAATTAATTCATCATAATACCTTATTCTTCATCCGAAAAAATTATTTCATCATCAAAATCCAATAGGGCTTCTACTTGCTTACGTTTTTCTTCTTGTATTTTCATCTCTTCTATAACTACTTTTCTAAATTCTTCTATATCATCTTCTGATACAGAAATATCCATTGCATCTTCTACTAAATGTATAAAAAAACTACCATCATATTCTGAGCTCTTTATATCAAAGCTATCTTGTTTAATTTTACCTTTTTTATCATCATATAATTTGTTATCCAAACGTAATATAGCTAAAATCTTAGATGTATCCTTAGCTTCAAGAATATCTTGTGAACAATTCTTTACAATAGATAATGCAAATTTAAATAAAAAAACATTCCCTTCAATTAATAATAACTCAAAAAATTTACATAAAGCTGGAAATGGTAATACATGAACATTTAGTCCTACAAACCATTTTGAACAAAATGCTTCAGTACAAGCTGCATTGCTTATCTTAGCTGCTAATTCTGGATATTTCTCTTCAAGAAGTTTTTGAAATACTTTTGCATCTCTAACATAATTAAATGGAGCTGTTTTAAAGTAACCTGGTAGATAATATCTATGTAATGCTAATGCAAGTTTAACAGTATCTTGTGGGCTAAGTTGTAACATTAAAAAAGCAACTATAAATCCAAGACCTTGATGATAATCTTGTATTTCAGTATATATTGTACTCAAAACTTGTATCATCTTCTGCCTATTTTTATCATCAGAAAAGGTTCTTTCTGCATCTAATTTAAATATACGATTAATTGCTGGATTATCTGTTTGTTCCTTAAGAATAACTTCACATTCTCTATCCAAAGGAATTTCAAATTCTACATAATTTTTTAATTCTATACTATCACTACTTTGAAATGATTTATTTAATACATTTTCAGGTCTTAGTGCTAAATCTAGCCAGCCTTCTGCATCTAGTAGTTGCTTTTCAGTATTCTCAGAATCACGACTAAAATATCCAGCATTACGTTGTAATAGTGGAGCTTTACTTTCTTTTTCCCAGAAATCCTTTAATTTAATCATTATATATTTCAATTCAAGTATATTAGTAAAGTTACATTTAAATATAATAGAGCGGGTACTTATATATAGCGCCAATATAAATTTTGAGAAAAGAAATTTTGTGATTATAATATTGTTTAAATTAATTAGATTAATATAATATAGTCAATTTTTTTTAAATAAAAAAAGTTGAAATAATTACACTAATATTATTTATAAAGATTTAGTATAATTGAATATATAGGACTAGGTATACCCAATAATAATATCAATATATAATAAATTATTTTTAATAAAAAAGGAAAAAATTATACTATATATTTAAAATTTATCTTATATAATGATTATATTACTAAATAATTTCTATATATTGTCTCTTAAACAATAAGGAATAAAAAAGTCTAACATTATTACTACTAAATATTCAGGTGATTTTATATATTAAAAAAAAAGTACCAATAAAATTAAAGTTAAAATATTTAATATTCAGAGTATACTTAAATAATATTTAAGCTAAATATATATTAGTTTAAGGTATAAGTACATGTAAAAAAAAGTACCTAATTTATATTATATAGGCGCCTAATTTAATCTACCTTATTTTTGTCATAAATTTCTGTAATTTTTTTTTACATGATTTTAATGTTTTAATTAGAAAGTTATGGGAATAGAAGATACAATAATAAGTGGGAACTATAATGATAACGTAAATTTTGGAAATAATGAGGGTATTTATAAAGAAAAAGGTACTTTCTTACAAAAATCCCCCAATAATAATATCCAATCTAAAACTTCTTTAAAAAGTGACCACTTTATTATTGGGGATAATTTAGAAATAAATAATAAAATAATTGAAATAGCTACTAATGATACTAATAAATTTATTAGGGATGAAATAGAAACATATAATCAAGTAACTAAAGAACTAGAAAAAGAAATGGACAATGATAATAATGAAATAAATAAATATGAAAAAAAAAATCTCGTTTACAATTATTACTTGATAAAAGTGAATCATATACAAGTTATATATTATCAAGATCTTTAAATACATCAAAATTATGGGATTTATCAACTGAAGATAATAATAATTCTAAAGAATATAATAAAGAGAAATTAAAGAAATTAACAATGAAAAAATCTCATAGACATATTATGGATATAGAAGATGATACCTTATTATTTCAAGAAACAGAAGAAGATATTTTAGGATATAGATCATATACAAGATTACAATTTCAGCCAACATGTATAACTGGTGGACAGCTTAAACCATATCAATTAGAAGGGTTAAATTGGCTTATTTATTTATATGAAAGTGGGTTAAATGGAATTTTAGCTGATGAAATGGGCTTAGGAAAAACATTCCAAACAATATCATTATTAGCATATTTAAAGGAATATAGAAATATAGATGGTGTTCATCTTATATTATCTCCTAAAAGTACTTTAGGTAATTGGATTAATGAAATTAATAGATTTTGTCCATGTATAAAAACTTTAAAGTTTCATGGTAATTCTGAAGAGAGGAATATTTTAATGCGTAAAATATTAACAAATGAGGATAATAATAAAGATTATAATGTAATTGTTACTTCTTATGAAATGTGTTTAAGAGAAAAATCATGGTTTATGAAGAAAAGATTTCATTCAGTAATTATAGATGAAGCTCATCGTATAAAGAATGAATCATCTAAATTAAGTCAAATAGTAAGAAATTTAGAAACAAAATTTCGTTTATTAATAACTGGAACACCATTACAAAATAGTTTAAAAGAACTTTGGTCACTTTTAAATTTTTTATTTCCTGAGATATTTTCTTCATCAGATGAATTTGAAACTTTATTTGATTTACAATCAATAAATGATAATTTTTCAGATTTATCTCAAGAACAAAAAGAAAAGAAAAGTTTTGAAATAATAGAAAGATTACATAAGATTTTACGTCCATTTATGTTAAGACGTATAAAATCAGAAGTTGAGATTGATATTCCACCAAAAAAAGAAATCTTATTATATGTACCATTAACTAATATGCAAAGAACTTTATATCGTGATATATTATCAAAAAATATTGATGCTTTACAAGAAAGAGATAGTGGTGGGAGGGTTAGATTAATTAATTTAGCTATGCAATTAAGAAAAGCATGTAATCATCCATATTTATTTGATGGTTATGAAGATAAAAATGAAGATCCATTTGGTGAACATGTAATAGAAAATTCTGGTAAAATGATAATGTTAGATCGTTTAACTAAGAAATTATTACAAAATGGAAGCCGTATTTTAATATTTAGTCAAATGGCTAGGATATTAGATATACTTGAAGATTTTTGTTATATGAGGAAATATAAATATTGTAGAATTGATGGTAATACATCTACTGAAGATAGAGATACTCAAATTTCTGATTTTAATAAACCTAATAGTGATATATCAATATTTTTACTTTCTACTCGTGCTGGTGGTCTTGGGGTTAATCTTGCAACTGCTGATATAGTTATAATTTATGATTCTGATTGGAATCCACAAGTAGATTTACAAGCAATGGATAGAGCACATAGAATAGGTCAAAAAAAGCCAGTATATATATATAGATTATTTCATGAAAATACTATTGAAGAAAAAATATTAGAAAGAGCTAATTTAAAATTACAACTTGAATCAGCTATAATACAGCAAGGTAAACTTAAAGGTAATAATTATTCTAAAACAAATCAAAATAATGGAAATATTCTATCAAAAAATGAATTAGTAACAATGATACAATATGGTACAAATGAAATTCTTAAAACTAAAGATATAAATATTACAGATGATGATATAGATGCTATTATTTCTAATAGTGAAGAAAGAACAAAATCTTTACAAGTAAAGATTCAAAAATATGTAAAAAGATCATTAATAGATTTTAGTGTTAATTCAAATGTTAATTCTTCTTTATATGAATTTGAAGGAATAGATTATAATGAGATACAAAAACAGCAGGATAAACAAGCTTGGAATGATATTGCTATAAGTACTGTTAATGAAGAACGAGAGGGAAGGCGTAGAAGTAGAATAGAGAATCAAAATCAGCGTTTAATTGATCAAATATTATTAAAACAACATGTAAAAAATGCTCCAAAATTACCTCATATGTATGAATGGCAATTTTATAATAGAAAAAGGATTTTAGAATTACATGAGATAGAAGTTAGATATAATGCTGCTATTGTTTCAGGAATTATAAATATTACAGGAGATAAAATTGAAAATAGTGATGGAGGTCTATCTACAACAAGTTCTTCAATAAGAGATGGTAGTTTTGAGAATATATCCCAAAAACAATTTGATTTTAAACAAATTAGAAATTTGTCTCAAGAAGAAAAAGAGGAGAAAGCATTTTTATTAGGACAAGGATTTAAAAATTGGACGAGGAAAGATTTACATACTTTAATAAAATTATTAGAATTATATGGACGTGAAGATATTGAAAATATATATTTGGGATTTAATGGAACTAAGAATAGAGAAGAAATTAAAAGATATATAAATGTTTTTTTTGAACGTGGACCTTCTGAATTATCCGATTGGGATAAATGGCAAAAAAAAATTCAAATAATTCAAGAAATTCAAAATAAGAAGAAAGAGATAGAAGATATAATAAGATGGAAACAATGTAAATATAAAGATTCTTGGAAAGAATTAAATTTAAATACAACTTTAATTAAAAAAGACAAAATTCAATTTAATATAGATGAGGATAGATATCTTTTAAATATGATACCAGTTATAGGATATGGAAATTGGGATCATTTAAAAAATTGTATAAGGCAGGATCCTATATGGAAATTTGATTGGTTCTTAAAATCAAGATCTCCTTCTGATTTAGGTAAGCGAGTAGATTTTTTAATTAAAATACTTAAAAAAGAATATATTGATGCAAATGAAGAGACAAAGAAAGATACCTTTGAGAATTTAAATACTAAAAATATGAAAAAACGTACTTATTCCAAGAGAAATTTAAAGAATCAAGATATTATAGAAGAAACTAAATTAGCAATAGAAACAAGAATTTAATAAATTGAAGAATTCATTTTTTTTATTTTTACTTAATATATTAAGGATACATTTCTATAAGTTTCTTTATATTACATGGTTTGGTCTCTATACCAAGATCCTTATTAATTAGATTGTGGAATTCACATACCCATAAGATAAAGTCATCTCTATTTGATAATCTAAAAAAAAAATTATATTTTATTATTTTCACTCTTAATTTACAGAAAATAAATTCCACTAAATTTTATATTTCCATAAATTATAGTTAATATATATTTAATTACCTAGGTGGGAAATTTTTTATGACCTTAGAAATTCCAGTCCGACATAGTTTACAAGGATATAATTTTGTAAATGAATTGAACCACTTAGACCATTCCTAGAAATAAAATAATGAAATTAGGTAATTAAGAGATTATGTCATAAATAAAAATATTTTATTCTCACCTCTATGTCTTGTTCTGTTGGATTTATTGGATACTGATTAGCAATAGTATGTAGCTAAAACAAATTTTAAGTACAAATTTATATTTGTATACATAAAAAAAAGAGAAATTAGACTATATATAATATATATATACTTACATAAAGCCAAGTGGCTCTACCTATTTCTTTAGTATTAGGGGGCTTTCCTCGTCTGTTTTCTACAAATTCCAAATTTGAAGGATCAATCTAGTCACCATAATTATATTAAAAATTAAAATACTTAATACTGCAATGTTTTTATTTTAATTATAAACTTACTGGATTATCTTTACAATTCTCTTCTTTGCATTGTTCATCTATTCTTTTTTTAAACCAAAACATCCTGTAATAAACAAAAAAAAAAGGAAAAACAGAAGATTATTAGTTTTCCGGGTAAGTACTCAATTTACAATATTCAAGGATTCTATTAATAAAATATTTTAAAATTTAAAATTTAAATTCTTCATTTTTATATGATAATATAAATCCAATTTTATAAATAATATTAAATCTAATATCTATTATATATAATTTAAGTTATATTTATAATTTATAGTCAAATCTTGGTATATTTTAATCTAATAACTCTATATTTAAAAGAAAAAAAAAGAGAAAAAACAAAAATAAATTTGAAAAAATATAAAATATAATTTATAAATAATATTATTGGATTCTTTATATTAAAAATTTTACTAATTAATAACCTAGGTTCACTTTTATATAATCTTATGTTAAAATTCTTAAAATATAAAATCAAAATCTTCCAATAAAATTATATTAATGTAATATATTCATCAATCTAGAAAAATATTAGCTATTACTTTCAAAATTTGAATGGTTATTTATAATTTTGAACTTGAATCATATTTAATATTATATATTATATTTATATATTGATGACTATTTAAAATAAACTATTTCAATAATATCTTAGTAAGTTAATATAATTCATAGTACTCAGATCCTATTTAATTCAGTTGTAGTATTTATTTTATTATAATTTATCATCTTTATAAACTCCTAACTTTTTTTTTTCTTTTATAATCAATTATATTGTTTATTTATATTTGATCTGATCATTATTTAAAATAACTTTATTAAAATTAATTAACCAATATTAATTTTATTAGGATATTAATATTTCCATTTTAACAAAATTATATTTCTATATTTACTTTAATAAAGTATAAAAGTCAATATATCTCAACTTTTTTATAAATCTCTTTTTTCTAAAGTTGTATATAAAATTATATATAGAATTTTAGTCACTTTGAAATTTATCCTTGGTTCATAATTTGTATTTCAGATTTATTCAGAAGTTATACATTTGATATTTAGAATGCCCATATTTATACAATGTATATAGTAAATTTAAATATCTATTGCATTAGTAATATAAAATAATTTCCAGTAAGTCCTCAAAATTGTATTTTAATCTAATATAAAACCATATTTTAATGCATGCATATATAAAATATTAACAAATTACAAAATAATATAATATCTGAAATTTTTAATATTTTTTTTATATCTAATAAAATTATTCTGAGACAGATGATACATGTAATAATGATGCACATTAAGTCTTACAAGTAACGGACTCATAATGAGCGCTAAAGTGTATATTGATTATTATAAATAGGAATAATTAAACTTATTTAATTTACTAAAGAAATAATTTGAAAAAAATTTAATTTAATGATTATGGTTATATAAATTCTATGCTATATTATAATATATATTTAGGAAATATTAACTCTATTTTATGGAAGAAGGCTAAGAAAAATATAGATGATATACCTATAGAAGATCCCCCCTATCAATCTAAAATAGTAAAAATGAAAAATATTATATATAATAATTTAAATTCATCATTATTATTAAATGGAATAAATGGAATCTTAGTATCTTTTATATGTACACCATTTGATGTTATTAAAAATTATTGGATTTATAATATAGGCTTAGAGAAATATGATAAAATGTCAACATTATTAATAGCAAAAAAATTATATAAATATAGAGGAATTAGAACATTTTGGAGTGGTTTTTTACATTCAACATCCTATACAGTCCCATCAAATATAATCTTTTATAGTAGTTATAATTATTTTTTATCAAATTTGGGATTATCTCCTGCTATATCAGGAATGCAAGCTAGAATATTAACAATTTTTACTATAGCACCAATGGAATTTATAAAAACAAGAATTCAAGCTAAAGCAGGTACAATTAATACTAAATATTTAATTAAGAAACTAATAGATAATGGAGAAATTACTCATTTATGGTTAGGAACATGGACTACAATACTTAGAGATGTTCCATTTACAGCTACTTATTGGACACTTGTAGAAAATTTGAGAAAAAAATTTATAATAAATAATAATCAAAAAGAAAATAAATATAATAAATTATTTCTTATAAAACTTATTTCTATTGGATCTTTTTCAGGTGTAATATCTACTTTGATTAGTCACCCTTTAGATGTAATAAAAACTAATATACAAGTATATGATCTCAATAGAAATAACCAAATAAATAGTTTTCCATATTTTTATCATAATTTATTTAATAAGATATCTAGTGAAATCTTTAGAAAGCAAGGTATAAAAGGTTTTTATGTTGGTATTGTTCCAAGAATAGCTAAAGTTATGCCTGCTTGTGCTATATCATTGACAATATTTGAATTATCTCGTCAAAAGAGATTAAATCAACAAAATAATAAATATGATCATTATACTAGAATATAGATATATATTCAATTTATTAAATTATTATATTTACTTTTAACTATCTTTCTTTTCTTCCTCGTCTTTACTTTGTTTCAATGATTCTGCTAAAGATTGTTTATCACCTTGTATATATTTACACATAACTTCTTCTGCTGCTATAGTATCAAAATCTACCGATTCTAATATATCTAGTATCAATGTATATGTAATATGATATTTCTTGTACATAGTTCTTATCCACACAACTAAAGTCAAATCTAATAGTTCTGCCATTTCACGTGCCTTATCTTCAATAGAGACCACATTCTCTTGATCTACTTCAAGAGGTTCTGAATCTAGTAATACATTTCTTCCATTATGTATTTCAGGTGATTTCCCCATTTAATCTTTTATTTTTAGTATTTTATTAGTAATAATACTAACTAGTATATACTCAATATATAATGGCGCCAAGGTTATAAGTTTTATAATAATAAATTCTAAGAAAGTTGTAATATAATATAATTTTTATTAGCTATATGCCTTTACTTCAGCTAAAAAAAAAAAATTGTCTCCCTAGTCTTAATTCTCATTTGAGTCTTAAATATACAAGATAAAACCATGTTATGTGAGGATGTAGAAGAATTCATTCTAAATCTAACTTTGAAGTTCAATATTTCTTAAAGAAAATTAATAATCACTATATATCTTTGAGAAGTAATAATTTATACTAAATAACTTGTTAATTAGTAAAAGGTATTTTTCTAGTAAATTCCCATGAATGAAATGACAATTAAAAAATCAGATAATATATATAAAATCTTAAAAGAGAATAAGGTACAATACTAGGTCTATCTAATTTTTTTTTAGTACTAGCGGTATTTGATTTAATTTTTTTGAGTTAAAGCTACCGGTTTTAAGATATAGCATACTTTAAATATTATATAAATAATTTAATGCATAGAAGTGAATCAAACTCTTCATATTTAAATAATCAATATAGGAGAGCAACTTCATGTTCAACATCTGTATCAGAATTAGGATGGAGATATACTCCTTCTACTTGGTCAAGTATATTTTCCCCATTTAAAGCTCCATTACGAGAAAGTTATATACCTAAGAGAAAGGAATCATCATATGGTTTACCTAGATCTAGATCAGTTGGTAATATTTCTTCAAATTTCAGAACAAAAGGTTCATTACGTCCATCTTTTCTATGTTGTAAAAATAATGATGAACAAGATTCAAATAGCAATACTAGAAGTATTAGAATGTCTAGTAGAATATATAATAACAATAATCCTAATTCAGATGATTTATTATGTTTAGATGATACATTTGGTATAGCATTTAGACCTTTATTTGAAGTAATTAAAATGAATGAACCATATCATTCTAGAGTTTCAGCATTCTCACATACACCAAATAATCGAAAGAAATTATATAGATATCAATATGAGAAATTATATGAATGTAATAACTTAAATAATAAATATAAGAATGATGATGTTAATATTATTAGATTTCATGATGGGATTTCAGGAAAATCATTTAAACTACCTAATATAAGAAATAGATATATAGATAGAAGTAAGCAAAATTATTTAAATAATCAAGATAAATTGACATATTCCGATTATATTGAAGTAGATTGGAAGAAATGTTCAAAGTATTTTGATAAAGATGAATTTACTATTTCAAGAGATAGATATGATAATAGTTTAAATACATCTATTATTGGATCAAGACATCAAGGAGATATTCCATATTGTGATGCTATTATATATTTAAATGATCCAAAACCTAACTTATATAATAAGATTGATCTTGATAGTTTAAATTAAAGAAATAATAATATGTAGCTTATAATTTAAAATATTTTGATTATATTAATATAATTATATTAGAATGTAATATATATTTGTAATATTGCCAATAATTTATATTTAAATGAGATTTACCAAATAATTAATAATAAGATTAATAAATATAAAATATAATTTTTGAAATATTCTAATTTATAATGAAGATGATATTTTAAATAATAAAAAAAAAAAGGAAATAAGACTAAAATATATTTCTAATAATTTTAATTTTAGTTTATCTCCAATATCCCCTTTAGTTGTTGCATAAATGCAGATGCCTTAATCATCTTTTCTATTCTAATTATCCAAGATTTTCTAAGTTGTTGTGAATTTTTTGGTACTTTCCATTCATAAGCTCTATTACTACCTCTAGCCTGTACAAAAAATACTTTATCATCTTTATCTGATACTTTTGATGTCCATTCTGCTACCTTAAAATTTAAAATTCCCAATGGATTCTTACCTTGTTGCATTTCATAGGGTGATAAAAAGTATTCCATTTCACACTTAGCTAACCTTACCCATCGTAGTTTATAACCCCATGACCATGGATTTTTCTTTTCAAGAGGACCTTCATAAATTAAATTATAAGTCTTTTTAACAAAATTTTGAATTTTTTCTAATTCATTCTTTGAATATAAACTTAAAGCTTCTTCTTGAGGAGTCAAAATGGTTCTATGTATATTTTTAGTTAAATTATTAACATTATAATTATGAAGATAATGATTTGGAAATTTACTATGATCTAAAACTATCTTAGAATCAACATATTTCTGTCTTTCAATATTATCCTGAGGTAATGATAATCTTGGAATTAAAATTGAACTATTTCTTAAACTAGAGCAGAAATTATTTTCTATTTTGTAAGTCTCTGGAGATGATGAATTGGATATTCCTTCATCAATTACTGTACTAGGTGTTGTTCTAGAATGAATTAATGATAATTTATTTTGAGGGTTAATATTCGGAGTAAAGCTAGTCATTTGTTTGATATTTACCAACTCAGTTTCATCTATTGCGGTCTCTAGTATATCTTCAGGATCATTTGCTTGTTCATATTCTGGAGGATTAATTAAACTACGCTTAGGTAAACTTCCAGATCTATTTTTACAACTATATTCTTGTTCTAACTTATATGTTTGTGTTCTTGGTACTAATGTTGCTTCCCCAGTACTATCATCTACTATTCTTATTATATCTGGATTACCAATTTTGAAACGTTTTGTCATCTTATTTGTAGATACAGGTATTCTAGATTCCATATTCTTTTTAGCTTCCAATGCATCAACTGCATTAGGATCTGGTAATATATATTCAAACATATTAACTACAGGATTTGCAATGTACCTTGCATCATTGTACATCATATTAAAGATTTCTGACCAAGATATATCTTCATATTCAGTATTTTTTGTATCCTTATTATTTAGATGGTTTATTTTCATTCCTTCATGTACAAAAGCCATTTTTTTTACACGCTATTTAGAGCTCTTCACTATTATTTATAAAATTATAGTCAACCGCCTCCTTAAATAGACGAAGAGATTATAAAGATACAAATTTTATATCAATTTTAGAGATAATATAAATACTTCTTTAATATCAAAAAAAATATTTAACTACTATAAATCTTCAAATTTGTACACAATTTTGCAATTCTGCACCTTGAGAGTTTACTTTGTAAATTAGTTTATACACGTACGAATATGGCGCCTTTGTTATTTTTTTTTCTAAAATTATTTTTTACACTTTAATACTTATTCCCTAGAAAAGTATATAATTTATATATATAATCAGATAAAATATTATAAATGGAATATTCTAAAAGTTTTCTCTTTATATCTAACTTTTATATTGTAAAAGAAAAAGAATTTCTAATATATATATTAAACACCTTTTCCGCGCTATAAGATGCATGTTTGGTACCACGTGTGAGTATTTAGAATTCTAGTAACCAGATTAGTTAAATGGTAAATTAAATATATATTTAGAAATAATTAGAGTTTTAGTATTAGTATTATACTACTGAATATATAACTAAGTACACTAAATAAATTTATTTTTTGGATTTTTTACTTTCATATTTTGAACTTCCCTTGTTAAAGTCAAAAAACTTAATTATATTTTCTTATAAATGATAAAAAAGAATTAATTAAGAAAAAATCATATCCCTAGTTTAATAATATTTACAAATTGTAATATAATTATAAATAAGTTTATTACAAGTAACTGAATCTCTTTCTAATAAATGGTAGACGTTCCTTAAGTTCTTTAACTTGTCTATCATATTCATCTTTAGTTTCTCTATACTCATTAATAAAAATATCCCTATTTTTCTTATATCTTATACTTTTTTTGCTTCTTTTAATTGCATTTATAAAATTCTCTGTCTTACTAGTTACTACTTCTGGATACCTAATCAATTCCTTGATATATTTTTGAAAAGATTTCGGTTCTGAATATTGGTTAGTTACAAAATATAACATTATTGTTAAGTCATCAAGTTCCTGGACTAAAGCTTCATATTCACCTGATACTGTACCATATTTACTCATTATATTTACTCTCTCTTCTAACTTGATAAACAGACTTTTTAGAGTTTCTACCTTTCTTTTAATATTTTTTGCCCATCTACTAGTAATAAAGTTATGTGAAGTTTCTGCCATTTTTGCAATAGGAATTAAAGAATTATTAATAAGTTTAAGTGCATGAGAAATCTTAGAATTCTCAATATTTAATCTAGAAAGTACTTCTTGATTAGTATTAAAACAATTAAGTGGTAAATTTCTCGATATTTGATATAATTTTGGAATATACCCTGGTGTATATTTAGGAGTTTTAGATCTTCTGTGACAAGATTTACCAATATATGTACTTTTTTGGGATAAATTTGGAGTAAAAAAATCTTTAATTTTTTGCCAGATTCTTTGTAACTTTCCTGGGGTCTTCACTCTAATAGGAATGTCTTGTTTATCTATATGTTCATCTCTTATTCCCTCCGAATATATTGTTGATAAATTTGAGTCACAATCTGAATAAATATCTGAATTCTCAGTTTCAAAATGAGTTGTATCAAAATCAGATGTTATATCAGAATTATATGTTTCATCAGTAATATTAGATAAATATTTCATCTCATTTAAAGATAATTCTTGGGTATTTTCAACTTCAAAATTAGATTTATCAGAATCAGATATATCAAAATTAGATGTTACATCTGAATTATATGTTTTACCAGTAATATGATTAGATAAATATTCCATCTCATTTGAAGATAATTCTTGGGAATTTTCAGTTTCAAAATTAGATATATCAGAATTAGATGTATCAAAATTAGGTGTTATATAAGAATTATGTGCTTTATCAGTAATATGATTAGATAAATATTCCATCTCATTTAAAGATAATTCTTGGGAATTTTCAGTTTCAAAATTAGATATATCAGAATTAGATTGATCTTGTTTAATATCTGAACTAACTTCTAATTCTATATCACTTTTTTTAGGTGGCCATGGAAATTTTCTAAAAACTTGTTTAGAATTAATATTTGAATAATTACTATCAGGTATTATATATTCTTTAGTTTCATTTGTTCTTGAACCTTCATTAGATAAATTTTCATCCACAAAATATTCACTTTTATTAAACTCTTTAAATGTAGAATTTTCATTTAATAAAGGCATATCAGATGCTAGCTCCTCTAGTATTTCAAATGGTGAAGGATCTGTATAATATTCTACAGATATATCATTTTCATTATGTTGATTATCATTAATATCTTCAACTGGACTTTGGTATATAGGAGATTCTTGAGTAACATCTTGCGTATTTGGTATAAATTCCACCTTTTTTTTCTTATTTCGCCTATTCAAGCATCTCTTAGACTTAGATGAATTCTTGGATCTTTTCTTCCGATTTTTTGAGTTAACACTAGCAACCACTTCTTCTTTTTCAGAACTTGGTTTATACATATCTTGATTTTCAATTTCTCTATTATCTATCTCTCTAGAAATAATTTCATTATTCAATTCTTCTTTAATAGAGTTCAATTCTTCTAAATTGTTCAGTTCACTGGTTGAAATAGATTCAGATAGTTTTTCATTCCCAGTTTCATGCTCTTCAGTAATATTATATGTTAATTTCTCTTTATATGGTGATGTTAAAGTTATATTATGAATACTTTCAGCTGAACCAGAATCATATTCATCTTGATATTTGGATCCCTGAATAAGTCTTTCAAATTGTTGAATTCTCTTCTTAGTAATTCCTTTATTACTGTGACCTTTTTCCTCATATTCAATATCTAAATCTTTATTTTCTATATTATTATCATTGTATATAATATCTGATACAACTTGACTATTTATAGGATTTAATAACAGTAGTATAGTTGCTATTAGAATAAAACTTAGTAATTTAACATCAAGTTTACCCATATTACCTTTAAAATATCTATATACCTTTAATTCTTGTAATTATTGTAACTTTCTTAATATAAAAATAAAAAATATATATATATATAGAATTCAAATTTATATTTCCTAATACTAAATAACTTAGATATAATCTAAAAGTCAGATACTTACAGGATAACTATATTTATGTTGTAAGCATGCACATTACTAAATCTATAAATATCATTGTTAATAGTTGCTTATTAATAATGTACGCAATGAATCCAACTAATCATTTTATAGTAAATCTAAGTATTTTATGAGACGAGACGCTATACGTAGGCGGTATAGGTCGATACCGAATTTGATAATATATTAAAGTAATAAAATATCATTCCTACAAAATAGTAATCATATTAGAAAAATAAAAAATATTGAGAGTAATATTTTAATTAAATAATATGAAGCTTACTTATAAATTTTCTTTATATGCTTAAAGTACACATCTAAATCTTACGTATTATAATTCTAATTTTTTATAGATCTAGTAATTTATCTACTTATAAAAATCCAAAATAGTCTTTGTTTTCTTTTACCAAGATTTAAAGTGATCTTTCTCAAGTCTTTTACTAGGATCCAAACCAGTTATTCTTAACTTTGTACTCTTTTCCAAGATAGCTCTTTGCATTTCATCTTTAGGATCTATAGAATTATGATCAATACCATATTTTTTCCTTTCACCATCCACTTTTCTTTTCCTCTCTTCTTCTTCTTTCACTTTTTCCTTTTCTTTATTATGTACCTTAATTTTTGATCTCTCTTCAATTTCTTCATCTGTAAACCATTCAGTATCATCATCTCGTTCCTGATAATTTGAAGTACTCTCCTCACCTTCAAGATGATTTACTGGACGTATCTTTTTACGTAATACATCACCAAGAATATTCATTAGATCAGCAGGGGACTCCTGCTTAGGAGAGCCCAATTTTTTATTTGAAATTCCTGTTTTACTACCAACAGAAGTTTGCTTTATTTTTTGATTTTCTAGCCTAGTTGGTGGTAATGGTGGTGGTAATGGTGGTGGTAATGGTGGTGGTAATGGTGGTGGTAATGGTGGTGGTAATGGTGGTGGTAATGGTGGTGGTAATGGTGGTGGTAATGGTGATGGTAATGGTGGTGGTGGTGGTAATGGTGATTGTACTGATTTAACTGGAATCTTATTAACTGAAGATAAGGGCAATTCTGAACCAGAAATATTTGATGAACTAGAAGATTCTGATGATGAATTAGAATATGATAAACCAGTAGGCTTTGATAAAATTTGGGGTTTTAATGGAATAGAAGGCTTTGATGAACCTCCTTTAGCTTCTTGACTCTTGTTATATATTCTCTCTTTAGTATTTGAATTATTTTCTTCTTTATTAGTATATTTTGAGATATCTCCCCTTTCTCTCTTATTATTTATATTCTCCTTTGTAATATTATCTCCACTGGTTTCTTCAGTATCCTTTTTATTACTTTCAGGATCTATTTTATTATTTCTTCGAGTATTTTCTGAATTATTATCACTACCTTTATTGGAAGTATGATTATTTGAATTCTTACTAGCTATAGTTGTACTAGTATTCTTTGTTACCTTTTTTTTATTATTTTGTTGTTTATTTTCAATAGAAGTATTAGTATCTTCTCTTGTTTTTAATTTTTTATTAGTATTTATCTCTATTTGTAATGATCTCTGCTTTCTATTCACTAAACCTGAAGTTGAATTACTAGTAATATTCTTATTGCCTTCATCATCTGCATCATAGATACTATCAATTTCTTTCTTTATTATATATTTATGAATAAATTCATTATATGCTTGATAAACATCAATTTGACGTCTTGCTCCTAATCATTTTGTTGAAAAAAAAAAAAAATATAATTATCAATATTAACATGAATTTTTAATTTATTATAATCATTACCTTTACATCTTTTCTGAAGTCTTTTTATAAGCTGATGTCTTTGTTTTCTTTTATGTATTATACTTTTAGTAAAATTTCCTCTATTTAAGATGATTAACTGGCTAATTGAAGTTAACATTTTTTTATCATTAAATTCAATATCCAAACTATCTGAATTATCTGCTGCTCTACAATAGATTTAAAAAGTAAAGGATTAGAATAAAATAATTAGTATCTTATTTGAGATACTATTCTAAAGTGTATGAATACTGTATCATACCTTGTATAAATTACAAAATACCAGAATAAAAATATTATGTTGTTCAATGAAGGCATTATATTATTAACATATTTAGCACTTTTCCTAAATTTTACTTATATTTAATATACGAGATTAGCTTATTTACGGACTCCAATATAAATTTAAGAAATAGCACACTATTTGGTTATTGTACACAGTGTGAGCATGTGACCCACTTTTACTAGTTATTAGACCATTAAGTAAAAACATCTTCTTATTATAACCTTATACTGGTATTTAAAAAAAAAAATTATATATTAATTAAATACAGGAATTTAAGAACTATAATAACTTTAAAATATAATAAAAAGATATTTCAATTTACAAATCTAATAAATTACATGTATGGCGCCAAGTATAAAACCGCTATATTTTTTTGTACCTTAATATTATTGGTTCACTTCATTTTTTTTTAATAGAGTTAGTTTATATTAATAACTTCTAATACTTTAATTTTTTATTTATATTTTATGAGCTTTGTATATCTAATTAGTTGAATTTATATTAAATATATTAAACAAGATATATTAAATTTTTTTTTATATCTATTAGCTTAATAAATTAATGTATATTACTATCCTAAATACTTAATACTTAAAATATTACATATGTAACTACTTTAAATCATATTCGTCGAAGTCATTCATATTTGCAATGTCAGATGATGCAGGAGTTGCATAGGAATGAGTTGATACACTACCATGCTTTGAAGTGTTAATTGCACCCCCACGCCTTTGATTAATTAATTGCAAAGCTTGGAAAAGACCCGTTAGACTTTTGACAGATCGTGGTGAACTAGCCGATTCTTTAGAGTTAGATGAATCATTACTATCTTCATCAATTCCTCTATTACCTTCAGTGGAAGCTAGTGATACTAAACTAGAAGTATCTGAATTAGTACGACTACTTTCACTAGGTATTAAACTATCAAATTCACTTGTTGAATAACCACTTGAAAAGGAGGATCCATTCCCAGTAGAGGATATTTCTTCATTCATTTGTATAGGACTTTTTTGAGTTGATATTAATAGTTGTTCTAAAGATGATAAATTTTGTATATTTTTTGGAGGTGGTGGCCTTGGTGGTGCCACTTGTTTCACTTCTAAAGATGATAAATTTTGTATATTTTTTGGAAGTGGTGGCCTTGGTGGTACCACTTGTTTCACTTCTAAAGATGATAAATTTTGTATATTTTTTGGAGGTGGTGGCCTTGGTGGTGCTACTTGTTTCTCTTCTAAAGATAATAAACCTTGTATATTTTTTGGAGGTGGTGGCCTTGGTGGTGCTACTTGTTTCTCTTCTAAAGATAATAAACCTTGTATATTTTTTGGAGGTGGTGGCCTTGGTGGTGCTACTTGTTTCTCTTCTAAAGATAATAAACCTTGTATATTTTTTGGAGGTGGTGGCCTTGGTGGTGCTACTTGTTTCTCTTCTAAAGATAATAAACCTTGTATATTTTTTGGAGGTGGTGGCCTTGGTGGTGCTACTTGTTTCTCTTCTAAAGATAATAAACCTTGTATATTTTTTGGAGGTGGTGGCCTTGGTGGTGCTACTTGTTTCTCTTCTAAAGATAATAAACCTTGTATATTTTTTGGAGGTGGTGGCCTTGGTGGTGCTACTTGTTTCTCTTCTAAAGATAATAAACCTTGTATATTTTTTGGAGGTGGTGGCCTTGGTGGTGCTACTTGTTTCTCTTCTAAAGATAATAAACCTTGTATATTTTTTGGAGGTGTTTGTCCTTTTGGTTTTTTAGAAATCAATAAATTTTGTGTACCTTTTTGAGGTGACACCTTTATTTTATTTTTATTATCAAGCATTTGGAACTTCATTATTAATTCTTTAACTTTGTTTTTAGACATTCCATGATAACTTTTTTCTTCATTTTTATTCTGATCAACTTCTTTCTGCTTACTAGAAGTATTTATTTTATTTGAATAACTAGTTTCCATATTATTATCTTGAGGTTGAGATTGTGATTGAGGTTGAGGTTGAGATTGTGATTGAGGTTGTTCTATATCTGATTTTATTTCATTGACATATTTATGAACTTTTTTATAATTATTTTCTTTATCTGGATTAACTATTTCTTGATATATATCTCTATTATTATTTATGATATCTTTATTATCTTTATCTTTATCATCTTCATTTTCATTTATACTCAATTCTGAATACAAGTTGACATATTTACTAGAATCTTCCTCATTATCTCTATTATTACTTTTATTTGTTTTTCGGGAACCAAATAAAATATTGTCTAAAGTACTCTCTTTTTTAGTACTGTTTTCATTTCTTGTTATAGCTTTAAAATCTAAGTAGTAACCATGATTCACATATCCCCTATGAAATTTAGCTTTATTACTTGAACAATAAGTCATCATATCAAGTATTCTTCTTTTATTTTTTTGTTTTCTTTTAATCAAATTTGCTTTTAATACTTGAAGATTACTTCTTAATTGATTAATTAACATACTTGTTATTTTTTTATCATAATCACCATTAATATTAATATCTACAACTTCATTAAATGCTTTCTTTAATATTCTACCAGTCATACTTAAAGACATTTTATTTTTATTATTTATTTCATTGTTATTATTGTCTACTTCTATAATATTAGAATTTTGTTCTGTGAACAAGTCATAATTTAGATTACTTGAAGCTTCTGGAATACTATTTACTTTGGAAATATATATTAAGAATAAATAAACTAAAGAGCAAATTACTTTCTTCATATATATTATATTTAGTAATTCCTATATTTCTTCTTATTTTATTATAATATTGAAATATTTAATATTCTTTGGTTATAGTTACACAGTGTGGTAATATGGGTGAAATAAGGAAATCGCAGTTAGTATCCCATTAGGACCATTATTATTAGACTTCTTAACAAAATATTTTATTAAAAACACACATTTATTTAATTTATATTTCTAAATAGTAAATATTTGTACTTAATTATTAGCTAAATTATTTCTAGGTTCAATAGTAAAATTAAAAGATATTAAATGTTTTGATTTAAAAAGTTTAAAAATATCTTGCACACACTAATTATATATTTAGAAAATATATAATATTAAATAATGCAATATAATGATAGTATTAAGCTTTAAGAGACAAAAAAAGAGTTTATGTCACGAGTATGTTACATATTCTGGCGCGATAATAAATCTTTGCATGCACTTTAATATTTCGTGGTCTTAGTAGTTAAAATATAATCCTATTTATATTTTTGTAGTGGATATATTTAAACTTTTTTAAATGTCAATTTAAATGATGATGTTTGTATTACCCTATTTAATGTATAGGCCCCCTTAAACCAAATTATCTTCTATAATAACTTAAATAAACTTCATCCCCTGCAGGATCTCTTCTAGCTGAACTTGAACTATTACCTAGACTATATAGTCTAGGAAATCGTGATTGTGGTAATGGTTGTCGTGGTGGTATTTTTGGTGGTGGTGGTAATGGTTGTCGTGGTGGTATTTTTGGTGGTGGTGGTAATGGTTGTCGTGGTGGTATTTTTGGTGGT